TCTTCGCAAACAAGTGCGAGCACACACTCCTGCGCGGCGTGTGTGAGGTTATTATGCTTGGCGGGGATGATTTTTTGTCTTTGCACACGAAGACTTTGCGGACTTCCCGGATTTTCTTCTCGAATGACTCTTTCTGAAAGTTGAAATTCGGGCCATCTTTTTCGACCCCGTTGTCATCCATGTGGTCCATCATCTCCTGCAAAAAGTCCTTTGTTTTTTTGCTCGGGTCGATGGGCACATTCTTGATTTTGCCCCGGCCCCCTTTTGTGGTCGCCAGTTTTGAATTCCCGATGCGGACGGTATTCAAAGTTAAATCGCCGCGCTGCAATAGCCTTACGTCCATGCCGCGCCGGCCAGTCAGGCATGCCACAATCCACGCGAGTTTATAAAATTTGCCCGCTTCCTTCTTGCGGCCGGTTGATGCTTCCAATGCGTCGCCGAACCGCAGACAGTCTCCCATCGTGAGCGACCCGGAGCGCTCTTCGCTATCAAAAACATCCAAACGCTTCGGCGTTTTGCGGGCGCTTGGCTTTGCGATGGTCTTCTGTTTCTTCTTTCCCAAGACAGCCTTCTGCGCTGCGACTGCCTTCTTTTTCAGCGTCTTTTTGAAGTTCGGCTTCAGGGCGGACTTCTGTTTCTTGCCTGCGATTTTTTTCCCCTTCATCGCTGCGGAGATATGTGATGCGAAGGTCGTAGCTGCCGCTTCTGAGGTATTCACGATTCGAAAAAGTCGATGTAATAATGAAAATGATAATGAAGATGATGATGAACACAACTATATTACAGATCGAGGCGGAACTGAAAGCCTACAAGAAAAACAACCCGGGAAAAAAAGTCAACGAGCTGGCTTTTTACGAGGTACTTACTTTTATGTTGCGCCATGGTTTGCGGAGCAGATCGTGCGAATTTTTGAAATAGAAACTGATGCTCGCATCCGATCTTATGGTTCAGGATTTCTCGCGAAAATGAAACTCAAATTGAAAACAAAATCACAAAACAATACCAGAGCCAGTGCGAAGGAATCAGTGGTATGGGCGAGATCAACATCATCAACCAAGCCCGGCGTGAGTTCGGGTGCAGTCAGACCAACTGGTTGCAGACCATCAGGCGCCTGAGTTCCTCCAAGGATGACAGCAAGTTCACTACGCTGCTGAAGTACGCTTTTTCTTTATTACTAGTCTGTTAGTGTTGGTGTGGTCTACTACTACTTCTACATCTACTTTTCTACACAACGTCCTGATGTCTGTGTGCAGTGACAGTGAGTGTGACGCGGATATCTAAGACAAAAATAAGCTGCGACGTAAACAGTATGGTGAGAATCTATTTCGAGATGTAGACGTAGCGGCAGCTCCTGCCTGAGTATGTGCCTGTGAGTGGAATTGGAATTTTTGCATTGCAATCGCATCGCTGACGCTGTCGCTGAAGCAAGACGGGGACGTAGAAATAAGTATTGAAGATGACGGCTGCGCACACGAGCTTGCTGCAACAGCAGCGAGCAAGTGTTTTGCTTTCGTCTTTCTCTCACTCGACAATTCTACTAGTCTTGTGTGTTTCGATGTGAATGTAAAAGCAGAACGCCTCGAGCTCGACTTCGAATTCGCTTTGTAATGCGATTGCGAGTAACAGTATCAGCATCTGTATCAATATCTATTGTGACATCAGGACCCGCCTGTTCGAGTTGCAACTGCGCTACCTCCGCCCCGCGTTGACCGACATGATCTTGGACACCTTCATGCACCTCCTGCTCGGACCGGACGCGGTGTCCTTGAACAAGAAGCAGATGAAGGAGATCAAGCAGATGATGCGCCAGAATTGGCTGAAAGACGAGAAATCGGATAGCGTGCGCAACCAGTACCTCGTGTGGTTGGTGAGCGAAATGTGCAGAAATGCCATGAAGGGGAAGACCAAGCTGGACAAGAACAAAAAGAAGCCGAAAGGAAAGATGTTAAAGAATGCCGGGTTGCTGTCCGACGACGAGGAGGATGATTTATTCGTGGAGCCGGAGATTCAGGGCGCTGTCTGGACCGTATTTCAGATTTTGATTTATTTCAGTGCATACTAACTTCTCCTTGCAGTAGCACTACCTCCAGTCACGTCCTAACTTTTCAGATAAAGCAAATCGCACGAACCAGTAGTATTCTCTCACTTAAACTAAAACTAAAACTCACCCCAGGACAAGGATGGCGTGTACGGTTCGTTGGTGACTGCGAAGTGTCCCGAGGAACTCAGGATCGAGTACGACGGAGACTTCAGTTTCGGTAAGAAACTGGTCGAGCAGCAGAAATTGGACGACTCCGTGCTGAAAGAGATCGAGAACGTGATCCGCACCTGCGCGAACCTGCAGAAGCCGTACTTCGACGGCGCGAAGGTGGTCGGTACCTTTGTCGTGCGGTTCGCCGACAACAAGACGCTGAACTCCACGGTCACGTTTGCGGAGGGGATCGAGGTCTTCAAATATCAAGATGTTCATGTTGATCAAATTTCTAATGCAAGTTTTAATGCATGTAAGCGAGTTCGTATTTGAAAATGAAAACTTTACCTATGAATAATCCACAGATCACCATCGAGTGCGATACCACTGATGAAGCGCTGGGATACCTCGATGGGAAAAGTGGTGAAATTCAGGGAAAAGTCATGTCGCCCGAGGTCCGCCAGATCAAGAACCAGCTGCACTCGCTGGCCGCGAACTACCAGGCCGATCTGAAGGTGCTGAAGTCCAACTTGGAGACCACTTTGAAGGCCATGGAGAAAGCCATGAAGGCGGAGATGATTGCCCGCAAGAAAGCCAAGGTTTTTTTTATGATTTTATTTCAGTTTGTGCGAGAATGCAACGAGTATTTAAATTCGAACTAGTATCTGCGTCCATTCCATGAGCGTGTGTGTGAGCTGCGACTTCCACTTCGACGATGGATCGCGTGCGATCCGTCTGTAGAAGTACCTATCTCGCAAAACAGCTCTACGTGATTCCCGGGACGCTTCGGTTGGATTTAACTGATCACACCAAGAATGTATCGCAGTTGCAATATTTATATTTATGTTTAGTATAGAGCATTGTTTGGAATTTGGCTGTGACATCGTTCTCCTAGAAATTCATAGTGACCTATGATAACCAGCTTTTCATCCCGGGTTCGTTCAACCTCCAGTTTTCCGGTTCTATTCACCAGGTGTATGTCAACGCTGCCAAGGAGGAGTACGAAGAGAAGTGCAAGAAGCACAAAGATGCCTGCGAGCTCGAGCAGAAGCAGTTGAAGGAGATTTTCAACCAGGAGACCGAGGCCTTAGGGGAAAAGTTAAAATCGGCCGAGGAGGCCAAATGGTTTCAAGTGAAGTGCGTGGCTAAGTCGCGGGCCAAGGCCAAGGAACCGGTGGAGGAGCAGCAATATGCCCTGATGGACGTACTTTTATTTCTGATGTTTTTTTAGTCGTGAGCGCGACGTGAGCGTGAAGAGGAAAATGGGCAAGACTTAGAAGACGAGCACTCACTTGCGAAAGACTTTGTTTTCAAAACGAAATCTTCGTCAACAAAAATCAGTTCCCGGCGGACTGCCTTTCGTTGAACATGGGTCACTACACCGTGCAGTGCAAAAAAGGGCTGAAACAGGGACAGACGTGGACGCTCTCCTCCGAACAATTAGTGAAAGTGAGTGTCGTGCCGATCAAAGTGCCCATCAACTTCCACATGGAGAAGATGAAGCTGTCCTCGCGGTTCCAGATCCTGCAAGAGAAGGCCATCACCTTGGACTTCAAATGCGACAAGAAGGTGAAGGGAATCAAGTTCGAGATGACCACGTTCTGCTTGGGTGACCTGAAGTTCGACTGCTTGATTCCGTATTTTTATTATCATCATGCTTTTTGTCATCTGATGTTCATCATGATCATCTTCATCATCATCTTCATCATCATCTTCATCATCATCTTCATCATCATGCTCTGTATCATCTGTTGTTAATGAAGTGCTTCATAGTCATAGCTTATGATGTACTGTCTATGATCTCATAGTCATGCTCATCATTATCTCAAACTATCAGGTATGAGTGCGAGCCGAGCCGCGCCTTTGCGAACTCCCTCTCCGCCGAGTACCGCTTGTCGGCCCCGCTGAACAAGCCCGCGGGCGCCAAGGGTGCCGAGGTCCCGGCTAAGAAGACCACGGCTGCTGCTAAGGCGGCCGCCGCGCTGAGCGCTGCCGCGACCAAGCTGCAGGCCTCGTACGTGGACGCGTCCCTGAACTTCTACACCGATGCCAAGAACACCGACGCCTGGGACAACGATGGTCTTTGCCAGGCCTACCTGGATCCCAAGATGGTGGCCGAGCAGGTCAAGCAGCAGACCGGATCCTCTTCCGCGGAGGAGTCCACCCGCGATCGCAGCAGCAGCTCGTCGTCGCACAACATGGGCATGAACTTGTCGGGACCGAGCAACGTGAAGCTCTTTCAGCAGCAGATGAGGTTGCGGAACCATTCGGCGTTGTTGCGTCCCCGCGGCATGAGCGAGCTGTCCATCGAGTCGGCGAAGCAGGATGATGACGAGACGCCCAATGCGAAGCGAAGCAGGACCAACACCTTGGATGAATTTACCTTTTTAGACACGAATATGTAATCTGAAGGTAAATTCGTACGAGATGTATTTGTGCTCAGAAACTTTCCATTTCGACTTTCGTTGTCGGTAATCTTTTTTCTACCTCTCGTTGAAGATAGAGTGCTGGCTTTGTCTGTAGATACGGAAGTTATTATGCACAAACATGCAGTACTACTTTTAGAAATATAAATTTCATATTCATCAGTATGAGTTCGTCAACTCCACTCGAGCTGCCGCAATTCGGTCTGATTAAAGCCCGCATCCTTCCTGCGTAATCGGATGGGGCTAATTTGTTTATTTTACTTCAAAAAAATTATCAATTTCTTTTTCGATTAGAAAAATCACTGAGATTTCAGCGAAGCGAAAATGCTTCGTGCTACACCGGCCTTCTTTAGAGTCGGCAGCTTAGATGTCTTGCCATCTACGTCTGCTGACTCGCAAATATTCGTAACATTTCTTTTTTGTCTTTCGAGTATCAGTATCTACTTCTCATCGAAAGACAAGCACTTCTACATTATGAAAATGCAATCTTCGATCTTTTATTTTTTTGTTAGAAAAATAACAACCTGGACTCTTCTTTATCGTCACGTCTTTCGACGTGGCGTTTGTATCAACACCTTCACCGTCCTCTCGTGAAGAAGCTGCATTCGCTCGCGAATGTAGTTTCTTCGCAAAAAAACAATACTGTCAAATGATGGAAGATGATTGTCTTCCATATCTGAAAATGTTTCGCTCTACCCACCATGTGATGGATATGGTCTCCCAAGTCGCCGTGAGTTCTGCTGCGGACTTGGAGGCAAAAACGATATGGCGAAGCGATAGCTGTTTCGCCAAGAACAAATGATGAAGAGCTTTGAAGATGGTCCCACGGTCGCGCGTGCCGATATTGCGCGACGTGAGTTCGTGAAAGCGAGTCGGTTTCGGATGTCTAAGTTGAAAACTTGAACAATTGTGTTGGAGAAATCGAATAGTTGTGGTTTTGTAATAAACCACAACTATTCGAAATTTTAGCTCGGTGTAGAGGAACTCGCATTTTCCGGAAATGAAGGTTTGTTTTGCTCGGTTGAAGTTGTTTTGCTCGGTTGGTGATATTTTGGTTTTCGGTGTTTAGAATGTTGGTTCGGTGGATCAGTGAAGTCGGTGGCTCAGATAGAATCCGTGCTCTTCAGAAAGCAGTTCTGCGTTCTCAAGAATTTAGTTTTTGCATCACAAAGAAATGTTTTCTCCATGACAAAAAATTGTTTTCATGACAATCGAAATCGGTTTTTGCATTTTGGAAAATGAAAAATACGGCTCAGAAAATGCAATAGTTAATACTGAACTTTTGTACTTTGTCCATTCATAGAAGTTGCAATGCGTTGCGACAAAAAAAGGAACTCGAGAAGGGTTACTTCTTCCTATCCTATGGTGTAGTGCCTATTTTTGATTAATCGAATTGCTATGTTTACAGAGTTGAATGTTTTATTTTCCTAAGGACCGATTGCTGAAGTGATTGCTGGTGGTTTATCTTCCTCGTTCTCTTGGGGTTAGATAATCACCGAAACTGTTTCTGTTTTCGAAAAATCCGAGTCATCAAGTGTTTGTTGTCCATTCAAAAAACACAGCTTCAAGACGTCGTTAGACTTAACATTGCCGTGCTTCCTTGCAACTCGGCAAAAAAAAAGTGCTCGTTGGAAAAAAAAGCGCACACTCGCGAGAGGCACCAGGACGTTATTGCTTCTTTCTGATTTTTGCACGAAGTGAAGAACGTCTTGAAAAAACAACAGAAAAGAACGACAGACAGACTGTTTGTTTTCGGACGAGGACGACATTGCACGACAGAAAAAACTCACCTCTCTCTTCATGCAGAACGAAACCGAAACTGTTGTGAAAATAAAGCAAAGAAAACAGACGACCAGCATTGCTATTCATTATTGCTTCAGAGTCAGAAAATCAAAATTCCTGTGAAAAAAATAAACTCAGCCTCAGGAGGTGGCACAAGGAAGATTCGTTCACAAGCACGATAATGTTTCTTGTGTCAAGGCGCAAGTACGAAGTCACGTTTTATGTCTTACTTTACTATAGCAAGCTTACTTGTGGGCTGCGCTGCTGCGAGCGACTTCCAAAATCACATCTGTAACAGACCATTGGTCCGCAGTAACGCTCTCACGTACTGCACTCTCTCATCGTAGTCAACGATGCTGCGCCAGAACGACGCGGGAATCTCAATGACCTTCCAATCTAGCATGCGCAGGTGGCGGCGCAGGTTTTTCTGAAATGGTTTTCGGTTCACCAGGTCGAAGTCGTCACGATAGTAGTGAGTGCCAGATTGGTCCACCTGCTTCTCGCCTGCCCTCGTTCTTGTCGTTTCCTGGTTGAAATGGTCAACATCTCCTGCTGTGCCAGCGCTACTAGAAGAAGCATCATTGCCGCTGTGCAACAGAAACTGCTTCTTCCCGTAACATTTCTCCCGAAAAGCCTGCACTTCTGCCGCGAGCGCCGACCAGTCTTCTTTCAGATCCTCGAGCTCGAGCACTATCGCAACTTTCCGTGCCTTGTCGCACAGCGACAGTGCGTACGGCCCCACACAGGCCCAGTCGCACGGGAACCCGTGCTTCTCGAGAAAATGGGCCACCTGGTTCAAAACCACGCACCGTTCCAATTCCTGCTTCGGCGGCGTGTACTCCCAGTTTTGGATCGCGGAAAGAAAATCCAGCAGCTGTTTCGCGGAAGTGGACGCGTACTGCTGGTGCTCCAGTCCTTGGTTGGTATTTCCCGCATTGTTTTTACTATTGTTGTCCTTCTTATTTTTCTTGTTTTCGCAGTTCTGCAGGTCCAATTGCTTATAGAACTCCCGTCTTTGCTCTCCTTGCAGCTGATGCTGTTCCCGTAGTTGGCTGAAGAACCCGTCGGTGTCTAACCGTATCAGCATCTCGATCGACTTTAATAACCGAAGTTCAGTCACCTCGCTGCTTGCGTGCATCGGCACGTGCAGTAGAGTGGCAATCACGGTCTCGGAGTAGCTTCTTGACTCCAAAAGCTCGTGCGCAGTGATCAAAGCGGTTTTCACGTCGAGTACCGGGGCGACGGTTTCGGCGTAGCGGTACAGACTTTTCATCTTCTCCGGAATTTGCCACTGGAAACGGTGGAAAAGGTCGACAAGCTGGTTAAGTTTGTATTCAAATGCTGCACTAGCACTGGATTTCTTCTCTGGCATTTCTACATCCACAGTAACGAAAAAAGAAGAACAGATCGATTTTGTGGTCATGCTGTGGTGCAGAAGGCAAAACAGGAACAGAAATGCGCCCCTGCATCGACTTATTGAAGTACCTCGCGAATCTGGCCCAACACCATCTTGGGCGGTTGCATCAGCGCGTCCCCAGACAGGTACTCGTTGTAGATCTCCATGAAGGCGGCAAAAATGCTTTTGGGCACAGGGACAAATTTCGAGATCAAAGTCAGCTGCTGCAAGAGATGGATCTTCAATTCCAGGTTTTTCCCGTGCACAAAATACGGGTTAATCTGGAAAACCACCTTTTCCAGAAACCCCTGCAGAAATTCCCGATGCTCTTTGTCAATTTCCAGCGGCTTTATCACTGCTTTCTGAGAACAATTCGGGACGAAGAGCTGGGGGTTGAGTTTTACTTTGCCCGTTGTTCCTGCGTTACTTTTTGTGGTTGCGGATGAAGTTGTGGATATTCTTGTTGTTGACATGGAGCTGCTAGATGAAGAAGAAGAAGAGTTCTTTCCGCGACTTGTACTAGTCATCATCCCACTTCCTGCGGTTGACGACCTCGCCGAAGCCGGTCCTGTCGGCGCATGCACCGCAATAATGCTGTCGAAGACCAAGGCTGCGGCCTCTAGCGGGGGCGACCAGAGCTTTTCTTTTTCTACTTTCTCAAGGAGATTGCGAAACTTTTCTGCATCTTGAGTTTGGTCCTGCGCAAACCGAGCACGAAAAAGGACGGCGTTGAGCTCTGGCTCGACGTGCTCTTCGATATCGACGGAGGCTTCATCGGATACAACAATCCCGGCGGGTTCAACATCGTCACGAGGTGCTGGCTCTACAACTATACCGGTCGTGTCTTGGGCACTCAATTGCGATAGCACGTTCTCCTGCTTCACCTCGGACGTTGATGCGGGCGCAAAATCTTCGGTTTGTGTTTCGATATCTGGCGCTGCGCTTGGGTACCTCGGCAACTCGGCATTGAGCTTCTCGTCGCTCGATGGTGTTGTTGACGCAGTGACACTACTATCAGTATAGTAGAATGATGGCTTCCTATCATTTTGTTCCTCCCAAGATACAATAGTGTCTGCCTCAAGTAGTTCGGCACTTTTCACGGATGGCTGTAGGGATTGTTCGTCTGCCAAAGTACCGTCGTCTTCCTCATGGGCCGAATTTGACACTTTCGCCTCCACCACCTCCTGCACACTTCTCTTAGAGGCTTTGATTTCAGGCACTTCTTCGAACGCAAGGTCCAGTACATCCTTCGGTGGGGGAACAAGGGTACTTCTATTCTCATCTGCCGGTCGTGACGGACACGCGGCCGAGCCCGACGACGCACCAAATTGTTCGGTGTCATCTTCCAGTTGTAGTTCCTCGACAGTAGTGGACGAAGACGTGCTGGCATGATTGTAGAGATGCACTTTAGAAGCATGATCCACCTCGTTTCTTGGCGGATAATTTGACACATGGTCAGAGAACGCTTCGATCCTTTTATTCCCATCCGCGCTGGTACTAGAAGTGGCTGCTGCAGCGCTTGCAGCAGCCGCACTACTAGAGTCGTCAACATCCGCAACAGCTGTCTTCTTTGCTCGCAACTTCGCACGCAGAGATTCCAGAACTCTCTTTTTCGTTTCCATCGCGGCGACGCGCTGCGCACGGGGATCGATGAAGGGAGGCGGTTGCCTGATTTGGGTGGGAGTTGGAAGATGATCATGTTCCTGTCGAGATACAGCAGTGCCATGTTCATCTGCTGGTGCGGCGTTTGTTACCGCGGCCGCGGCAGCCGCACTGCTACCGCTGCTGGAGAAAAGCCGACGAAAGATAAGAGCTTGGCGAGACCTGCAGGTAGAAGACCAGGTCCATGCTAGTGGACCACGGGCGGAGGTCGCCGTGACCAGGTGCTTCATTTTTGAAGAAATGGAAATTTGATCAGCTGCAAATCGACGTAAATGCATCAAGAAAACGACCACACTCAACAATTTCTTGCAACGAATAATTTGTGTTCAGAAGATAACCGAAAAACAACAAGCCAGCAACTACAAGACGGAAGCTAGGGGTGAAGAACAAGAACTCCTGCTTCGCAAAAAATTCAGAGACCGGCGAAGGCGCAAGATCCGTTCTTCTCGAATCGGAATAAGTAATTATGCGTTTTTTGGTTCTCCGCGGCGGTAGTGCAATGACTGAAGATGAATGATCGTCCTCGTGCAAAAGAAAACGTCGAGCCAACGTGGTTGAGTGCGGTAAATGTTATCGCAGATGAAAAGTTCAGAAGCCGAATCCGGCGTTTTGTCTGTCATCTTTTTCTTTTATGAAAACGTAAACATTTTCGCAGTCGAGTCGACTTTTCTGAACTTTTTTCTGACAAATTCCGTCCCCAAAATTCTCTCCAGCGCGCAGTCGTCGTTTTCTTGGTCCACCAAAGTGAAGGCGGCTGCCGGCACCAAAGCCATGTCTTTTGTCTTCGAATACGGGGACAGCCAGGACAGGCCCAGCATGTAGCTTTTCTCCGGGGTGCCAAAAAAGCAGAGGTTTTGCGCGTTCTTGATGTCGAACTCCGGGTGGTAAAAGAGGAATCGTTCGGTTAACAGCAACACCCGCAGATTGCCCTTGTTGAACTCCATCCGGGCCTCCTTCACTTTCAGCCACTCCGCGTACTCATCGAGCGCGACGTGGTCCACGCCTTCCTCCTCGAAAAATCGTTTTATTCGGAAGAAATCGCAGTACCGGTACCCGCTGCCAGAGACGACGATGACCAAATATTCCATTTCCGTCCCGGTGGTCCGCCAAAACTGCTTCTGAAACTGCTTAAACAAAGGCGTGTCCTCGGCTGGAGTGTCCTCGACGTCTTGCAGCTGCTTTTTTAGCGCTCTGTTCTGCTTGGAAATTGTTGTAGAGGAAGACGAGTCTTTGCTGTTCCCTTTCACCACCAGGAACATATGCCTTTCAATCGCAAAATGCTCCCGTGCGTAGTGAATCAGTTCCTCGCCGGCATTCTCCAATGCGGCGGGAAACTTCACCGCGCCGCGAAAGTTCGTTCTGAAGGGCACTAGGGTTGTCGCGTCGTTTTCTTCCATTTTGTTCTTACCACCGGTGAGTAATATTTCAGTCGCGGTCTCGTAGTTTTTGGACATGACGCGATTCTTCTTGTTCTTTTTCCCCGCTCGTGCAACATCAAGTTCATCCGCTTCGTCGTCCGCTTTGTCGCTGACCAGTAAAGCGTTCAGCTCGGGGCAATTCCCGTTGCTGGTGACGATCGTCTGCCTCAGCAGTCGGGATTCGTTCAGTGCGAAGCACTCCCGGAGTCTCCCGATGTCGCAGTTTTCCGGTAATTTTTTCGGTTTCTTGTTGCACATCTTCAGCACGTCCAGTACATGGTCGAAGTTCTGGTACTTCAAGATGTCAACCCGATCCAGCACGACGCACTCCAACGAGGACAAGAAATCGTACTCGCGCTGCTTCGCGGACTCGCCCTCGGCGCCGATAATGAGCCGCAGCCCTAGGGGGGAGCAAATCAGAATGTCGGACTGGTAGAAGGGGGTGAACAGCTTCAGTGCTCTTTTGGAAACTGAGACGCCAACGCGAAATTTGTCGTCGTTGTTCCCCGAAAAGCAGTGCTGCAGGTCTTTTGCGGTGTCGTTGGTCCAAGAAGAGGACTTGGGTTTTTTGGTCGACGTCGTGCTGTCGTTTATTTGCTGTTCTACATCCTCATTCGGCCCTTCGGCGAACTGCTCATCGAATTTCGACTGCTTCAAGACCTGCTTCGCATTCGGACAGAGCGCTTCCAGCATCTTCACCAGCTCGAAAGCGACTGACCGATAGGAACAGAGAATCAAGACCCTGGCGCGGCAGAAACCCTGGTCGCGCGCGGATTCGAGGAAAGACGCGTTTTCGTCGTCGTCGTTGTTGTTTTCCTTTTCCTCCGCTTGTTTCTGTTGCTTCGCAATCTTCGTGTTGTTCGCAACAACCTCTTCCCGGGCCTTCAACACATGATTCACCACGTGCGTCATGTATGTGCTCCGGACCGTTCTGCTGTTGGCGAAAGTGTGGGTTGGGAGCACCACGTCCTGATACCTGTTCAAATGGTGGAAAGCCGCGTGTTCTCTGGAACTCCATCGTTCCACAAACTCCTTGTCGTTTCCCTTCAAGGCACGGGTGTAGCCGCGCTCGGAATGTTGGGTGAAAGAACTGGCTGGTGAACATGATAGTTGTTTTTTCTTCATCTCTTGCTTGTCCTTGTTTGGACTCGTAGTGGTACTTTTATTCGCCGCACCTCCGCAGTACTTTGCCAGATCGCGCCCGGCCTTGTCCTTCTGCCCGTAAGTGAAGGACACAGTACTAGTGCCGAACCCCTTCCCGGCCAGCTTCTCTTTCTGTACGGTTGTGAAGTCAACCTGGGATTCCACATTAGCCAGTCCGAAGGAACCGTAGTGGTTGTGAAGGTCCTTGTCGGTTTGCTCTTGTTCTTGCGCGTTTTTGCTACTTCTTCTACCCGCGGCGGGACAGTTATCTGCCAGAAGAGTTCTTTGTTCCTCCTCGTCCAACACCTCGTCCTCGCTCACTTCGTCGTCAGACAAGCCGTGCAGCGTTCGCTGGCGGACCGCTGCCTGCTGATCCGGGTCGTCTTCGTCAAGGGAGATATCAGCGTCTGATTCTTCATCCTTGTTGTCGTCGCCTTTTTTGCTTTTCTCTGTGCCTGCTTCATCACCAGAATCAGAAACCATTTCCTCATCGGAACAAAATTCCTCCTCCTCCTCGCCGATGTCTGACGCAGATTCCATAATGTCCTCCTCCTCAACAGGTTCAACATCTTCTGCGCCTCCAGTTCTGTTCGATTTCGTTGCGCGTCGGCGGCCGAGCTTTTTCTCGTCACTATCCTCGACGTCTTCCATATCCATGTCCTCATCTTCATCAGCGCTTGACAAATCTTGTTCCGAGTCAGAATTATCCCCGTCAGTGTTGTTCGACATAGTTCCATGTTGTTGCCCCTTCATGCTTTCCAGCAACTTTTCGTACGGTGTCTTTTCCTCCACATCCTCCGCATCCTCTTCCCCGGATGTTAAAGGGTCGTTGTCTTTTGTATGAATTGCAAAAGTATCGTACTAGTACTAATTGCAATACAAATTAGCTCAGCATGACAAATGGAATTTGTCATGCTGTTTTGCCTTTTGAATTGAATTGAAGTAGCGACGCCCCCTGACGTGCCTCGGTAGCCGATCGCTCTACCAACCGGAGGTGCTAATTACATGCTTATTTCTTCGTTCGTCGAGCACCTTATTCCGCCATACAAATCGGCTGGTGAGCAATTACCCGGACTGCCGGCCCAATTTGTGCCGGTTTTGGTGTTTTAGGGAGATACCCGCAACGCCCCCGCGGAGTTGGCGAAACCCTGATAGCGAGACGCAACCCTTGGCGGACCTGAACGACCTGAGACCATCCCCACCTTTGGATGTGTTGTCTCCCGCTTGTGCTGCTCGTTCTGCTTCGAGCCGCCCAGACCCTGATAAAGATTTGTAATGCATGACTGCGATTACTACGAGTACGATACTTTTGCACAGGATATTTTGCGACCCGCTGCAATCTGCGGTCCTCCTTGGCGATTTTCTTTTCGATCCGCTGGAGTTCCTTTTCCCGGCCTTCGATCTTTTTGTGTAACAAATCCTCGCGGTCCAGCTTCTTTTTGGTCTTTTTCTTCTTTCCGTTCTTGCCGGCCTTCTTGAAAAAGCCCTTGCTCTTTCCGGTGCCGCGCTTTTTGTTCCCGGCCATGATTTGGGATTTAAGTTTCACCTAGGTAGGACAGATTGATCGATGGGTTCCTTCGAAGGGTAAGGCTAAAAAGAATACGACTTGTCATAAAACATTGATGAAGTAGTTACGGGGATAGAGACGCGATGAACATGGAGCTGCAAATTAGAAGCATACTAAGAGCAAGAATACATTTGTTCCGCTGCAATTCATTCTTTGGTGGAATAGACGGTGTCGGTGAATGGATTCTATGCGGGACCAACATCAGGCACAGGCTGGTCAGAAAGTAAAATATGATCATCTCTTGTAGAGGAGATTCGATCGTCTTCTTTTCCAATTTGATCCGTCGTCAGAGATCTTTTTTCTTCACTCCTTAAATCGACTTTCCGAGAAAGGAACAGCAACAGGATCGAATTCACTACTAGTAGTACTTCGGTGGTTACATGACCAAGCTTTGGTCGTATGAGGATCCTTATCAAGGGTGCTGTAAAGAAGATCCACGAAAATTGCAAGGAATGATGCCCTGCGAGTGATTTGACCCGAGCGCCGGCCCTTATGATCATAGAAAGTTTCTCGGTGGCCCTGATCAGCAAGTCCCTGGTGATCCTTTCAACAACTTCTTCAACTTAGAGGATCTATGTCCCTCTGTCATCCTGATCTCGCACAATCCGGATAACGTTTCGCTTGCTCGGGTAGTTCTCTGGACGGATACGAACAGAAAGAAGAAAAAAATTGACGGTGAAGCAAAAGCTCTGTCGTGGGGACATCAGAAAAATCCTAAATACTATCCGTGGAATTACGAGTTGTGTATCCTTCCTCTTCCAAAACGAATGCTCTTGCAGAAATAAATTTCACTTTCTCATTCTTGTCGCTTTTTCCAGCGGTCAATTGTAACGAGGTCGAGGACGTAAATTTATTTTCAAACCGCCTTATTTTTTTCTTGATACACTGGCGTCACTCGGCTTCGTGTTCAAAAACCGCACACAAAACTGGGAGGTAGAATTTTTCTTGCGCTAGATTTCTATCTTTAACCAACTGCTTTTGTAAGTAGTGAAGTTTCCCAAAAAGTAGAAAGTGTGGGTATGCGTTTGAAGTGTTTCAAGTACTAATTGCGCGGTAGCTATTTCTCGTCAAGAAGACGTGAGCTTGATGGGACTCGGGTCTTGGAGTTCGCAAATTAAAATTATGGGGTAGACTGATACTATAAACATAGAGTAAGAACATCAAGAACTCAGGGCACGCCTAAACTATTAGTATACGGATAAGGACGCAATTGTCGTTATGAGACAGGGTGATGGTAGCCATGCTTGTTTGGTTGACACTGCTAGTAGTGATTGTTACTTTGTTGCTAGGGTGAAAGGGGAAGAACTTCGAAGCTACAATACCGTATTTCCCAGGATATTTCTCAAAACATATTGGTACGCGTGGTCATTCTGACTTCCTATAAGCATTTGAAGGCCTTTATTTGTGGTAAGTATCAAAAGTAACACTGGATCTCAAAAATGTACGAATTCCTTGCGCTATTATAATTGACAACGCGAAAACAATGAGTCACTGTGCTTGCCCTGATTTGTTCCGGGCGGAAGATATTCTCAGAAAGAAGAAAGTATCCATGAGCAATGATGTTTTGTTTGTTTTGTTTGATGCGAGAGATAAGTCTAAAACCGCTCTATCAAAATTGGACTGTATTGGTTGTGTGGTGATTAACTGCGTTTATGGAAAGCAACTGGGGCGAAGTAGCTGCGCGTGCGATGAAGAACTTTGAATCATAATTATCAATAAAGCTAGTAGGTTTCAGTTGTGCTTCGTGAAGATAAAAATGAAAATAAGTAAAGGCTCTTACCGATAAGAGCTGTTGCCATTCCATGCGTTTTTCCCTGCGCCCTGGCCGCCATGAAAAGAAGACGTGCGGTCGTCATTGTACCAAGACGAGGAACGGGACCAGGATTGTTCGGAGGAAGACCAGGAGTCATTTCTCCCCCCCGACCATTCGCTCTTTGTCGCGGACCACTGATCCGTATTATTCCGACTATACGACCGATCGTTATAGTTTCCGCTAGTACAACCGGCATGCCAGGACGACGTGCTGCTCCCCCGGTGGTGGTGGTGGTGGTTGTCTGCTCCGCCTCCGCCCGACCGGTACTGGGGGCGCTTGCGATGATACACGACACCCCGCTTGTTTCCCTTCTTACTGCAGGCGGAATTATGTGCAGTTGACCTGGTGTAAAAATCGTCGCTTGTAGTTCCGCCCGGAAAATGAAAGTTGTCGTAAGTCGACGATGATGTTGCTGATGCAGTTGTTCCTGCTGTTGTCGAAAAGCCAACATTATTAGCTGCATCGCTACAACTCGAGCCGCTTGTCCCCGATGCTGAGTTTGCGGACGACGAAGAGGAGGGTGTCCGGGTGTCGCACGAACTCCCCGATGATCCAGGTGGGGCTCCTGCACCTCCAAGAGCTCTGTCGTAGAAGTTGTAGCTCTTCTCAACCTTGTTATGGCCATCATCTACGAAATGATCTTCAGTATTGTTCTCATCACTGGACGAGAACATTCGGTTTTTCCTCCTCTGTTCGCAGTACCACTTGTAGTCGGCGAAGTCCACTTTCACGCGTTTTGACTGGTACCTGGTCAGCGAAATGCGGTCCAGCAACACTTGGTCCACTGCCCGCCGGTAGCCCGCTTTTTTGATCAGTTCCACGATGGCCGTTTCGCGCGTCATGTCGTGCTCGAGAGCGACTTCCGGAAGGTAGGTGGCGGAAAACTGGCGATTGGGAAAATGCTCCGGGTCCTCAAAGGAGATGATAATGCCGTGCTTGCCAACTTCCCAATCATACGCCCCGTGCGCCGCAGGTTCGAAACTGTGCAGCACCGAAACTTGGCAGATCAGCATGGCTGTATGTGATTTTTTGTTCTTTTTGCGTGTCGTCGATGCTAGTAGAAACAAACGCAAAGTGGAGTGTGACTCGTCCTTCGCCTTCCATGCGAAAAATCAGATAAGTACAGTCGACGTGGTTCTTGCGAGAAGACATGGCACTAGCGGTTTTACCGTCAAGTATTAGAGACAGAAGCAATGAAAACCAACGACAAAAACACAAACTACTGGATATCATGATTAAATCTGTACGCAATTCTCCGGCTTGAATTGGTGGAAATCTTGAATCTTCAAAGGCCGCCTTAACCGTGTAATCCCGCAAGCCAGGATGTAGATCGAGGGGCTCCAAGCACCCTATGCAGCCGCGAAGCTCCTCTTGGCCCCGGCTCGGTTCCCACGTTAGCCAGGTAACCTAGACGAAATATACAGAAAATAGTCGATGGAAAACTCGCACTCGACGCTGCCGATTCGAAGTCAAACGGAAACAAAATGAACAGCACCCTACATATTAGGGAGTCAGAAAACAACAGAAAATCAGTAGTACAAAAAGCGGTGATCGCGATTGCGCGTCGTAGCTCGGCGGAAAAACCGGCTCGTTGTCCACCAGCTTGTTTAAGCGATATGACACGACGTCCCAAGCATAGTAGCAGAGGTCCGTATCCACTTTCGGCACCACCAGATGAGCTGCTAGGGGTGGAGGAGCAGTTGTAGTATTCGAGGTAGAAGCACTGTTAGTGTTTTTCGTCTGGTTCGACATTTGCGGCAATATGCCGCTGGTGTCCTGTATCCCAGAAAAAAAGTGTTACAGTTACACATTTGTAGTCAATTCAGCAACACAAATTTCGCTGCATGAGAGAGAAAACTTGTAATGCAGAAATCGTACGGGGAAACACCTATGAAACGAGGCTCCTATGCATATCCGGCATGACAGAGCTTGTCTGTCTTGCTTGGCCTGCAACACAATGTGTAACTGTAACACTTTTTTCTTGCGATATCCTGCTCACTGGCGGTCGTCGTAATGGACATCGTAGACATATCCTCGCCTTGCTTCTGCTCGTCCGTGGTCTCCATTCTTAAATTGACCCCAGGAGGAGGACTCATCGTCGCAGCAGCTTGTAGCATTTCCACCGTTTGAAGATTTAAACAAGATGCTCCACGACTTTATCGGACGCGCGACAAGAATGAACCAACCCCTGCGTTGTTTTTTCCGAAAAAAACTGCGGCTTTGATGTTCCCAGGTGGAAGAAGCTCGTGGTGGTGGTGGGCCTCTACAGCTTCTAGTACCACCTAGAAGGGGGCTACTTACTTCAGTATTCGGTGACGAGAAGTGAATCTGCTCCTCTTGGTCGACGCAAAACGACCCGGATGCTCTGCTGGCGAGGCACTAGGAAGAACGGTCGTGGTTTTCTTCCTCCGTCGCTGGTTGCGAACTAAGCATTTTTTGGGCTATGGGACGATATCACTTGTGATCGATGGGCTACTAGCTTTTCGTTTTCCCCCATTTAAATCTTCATCGGTTTGGCTGGTCAATAGTTCACATACTTCTCGGTTACCATATCGGTATAATGGCTATACTTGCTCCTTCTACGTTTTATTCTGTACCTACAATCATGACACTGGTGCATGTCGTAGATCCATTCGATAGGCTAAGACGCCTACAAAAAGTTTACTACAGATGCTGCACGTATTCGGCTTATTGGTTGATGACTGAGTGCGTAGTTATGGCTCGTTAAACTTTTGGTCGCAAAACTATCAACAGACAAGCTTTCTATACCGGCTTCTCGTCCACACATGCGAAGATAAACTCTATCTGGATGCAAAAAACATTAACGAGAAGGAGTCGTGGCCGTGGGAGAGATATCAAAATACAGCACTCAAGGTGGAAAACAAATTCTGAAACGTCGAAATCCAATACTGATCATTTACATACTGATCCAATATCATATCAAAAACCAAAACTACAAAAAGTCAGAAAATGAAAACGTGTGGAGTCCCGACAAAATCATCTACAGAACCTCAAATGCAAACCTCTCCTGTGGCCGGGTAGGCTCTTGTTGTAGTCGTGGTACTTCTAGGTGGAAGGTACCTTTCACTTTCTCCGAAACGAGTAGTTTGCAATCACCTCGTCGGGTCGTCCACAACGCGCTGCGTCGGAACGCTAAGTAGAGTTGTCCTTCATCATATCAATACACTAGCACTAACTTGCGCAAACGGAAGCGAGTCAAAACTTTTTCGCCGGTGTACATATTAAGTACTCGGGAACTCGAGGATTGCACTACATCTGATACTTCTTCTACAGGACTTCTTTTACACGGAACAACAAAATGGAAAATGCAAAGGCGAGAATGGATCCTGCGGCGCCTCTAGGTTGCAGCTACCAATCCGTGCAGAGTCCTGGTTCTCCATCATTTGGATCGAACAAGAAAAATCCTTTCGTTTTATTGTTTCTCAGACTATATGACAAAGAAAATATTTCGCCTGATTCTCCCCACGGGAGAAAGCAGGCGGTCGATTTTTCTATAATTGATTTTAAAATACTGCCAAAACTGGTGGTAGCGTAGAGAGCCATCAGCACCTTTGAATGATAGTACTGCAGCTACAGTCGCGTCGTGGAAGTGTCTTCCATTTTTTCGCCGCCGGTACCCCTATTCTATCTGCAAAAATCTGCCGCTAGGATCTGCATCCTCGCTGTGTATGGGGAAAGGCTCCTTCCAATTATCGTTGTCCTTATTTTATTTCGATGCGGCTCAATGCGGCTCGTAGCCGCGCAGCACGCTTTTCTTTGCTATATGTGTTACAAGATCTTGGCACCGAAAATAGAGATAGTCATCGGTATACATTATTCTATCTGTTTTTCTACGGAGGTGGCACGAGGTGTGAAATATTAAGTGTACTAGGAGACAAACAACTGTCAGAAGTATAGAGGAGGACCTGCAAGTGACGTTTCGTCTGCGAAGATACTGGCTTATTGTGTCTATCTTCATTATCACCGTGTTGACAAATCATATTCAATTTCAATTTCTCACGCACAAAACATACACGGGCCGTGAAAGGAGCTCTGGCAGCACTTTTTCAAAATACAACGGTGGAAAAAAAAACAGAAATTCTTCCGGAAACTGGCCTGCTTCATCTCTCCACTAAAACCATAAGACCGATTAAACAGTTTTTTGGTCCTTTTATTTTATTTTTGTGTGTGAGGAAGACGAAGAACTCGCCATCAACAACACGCTCTGTTGAATCGCCATTGTGAAGGTTCATTCGCTTGTTTCACTCGTGATTTTCCTTGCAGCGTCGGTCTATCGGATTATTGGCGGATATTCTTATTCAACAAACATATCCTTATCCATATCCAGTTAGTTGTGCTATTTTTCTTCTTCAAACCTCACAACTTTCTTAAGGGATCTAATGCAGCGGTCGTACGACCCTCTGCTTTCTTATTTTTATTAACCTCGTTCCTCATGCAGCATGCAATTGTACTGTATTTTTCGCAGACTTTTTCTTGCCGCCTGTAGACCTGGCAAAGGAGACCCGGCAAGAATGTCTAGATGATATAGTGCTGTAACTCTGTATCGTTCGTGTTGTACGTGGTAGTGTCAGCATGCCCGCTACCTGTCGGGAGATGATGATCAAGCGCCTTTGATCTTTTTGCAAAATAATTAAAAGGATACCAGGTCACCACCTAAAAATAATCGCAGCAGCTGGTTGTAAGATGCACTGCCTGGGTCGTGTGCTGAAGAAAGCGTCTTCTCGCGAGCTTTGAAAAGAAAGTCCGAGTGGAGCTGCAAGTAGACCTTAATCGAGTTCTCGAAAAAAGGAAGAGATTTTTCGAGTGTGATGAAATGACGAATTCGAGTATAAAAATCCTTCGTCGGCGCCAAACCCATCACGTATTCCTCTCGTCCTCGGTTTTCGTTTTCCATGCCTGACACAACTACAGGCTTCTAAAGTAGTTGTCAGCAGGGTTAAAGGAGCGACGGCTAATAACTTGGGAGGTCTAGGCGGCGAGCTCCCATCCCCTCCTGGCCTCGAAAATCACTTTCTTTTCCTTTCTTTCCGCGCAGCAACGTCACTAGTGCAAAAAATTGCCCTGTGCAATGTCGCTAGACCCGGACTCGAAATACACTCGATAAAAGTTGTCTGTGGCTACTCCCACAAATTATCAATGCTGGGAGTACTTAATTGCTTTTCATGTTTGTTTGTTTGTTTGTTTGTGTTCATGCGAGAAGGTGGGAACGCGTTTACACACCTTTTTCTCTAGAGCTATTTCAACAAAAAACCTCTTGCTTTGAGAGCTTGCTCTGAAAAAAGACAACTACAAACGCCCTAAACTAGTTCTACTTTTCGCTACAGAAAAACTTTTTGAAAAACGCCTCTTTGCGATTTCGCTGAAAAATTTTCACCTGCTTGCGACTACTACTACGTTGGTAAAAAGAAATAAATTGTAGAAACAAGTAACCATCTCATGATAAGCTAGAACAGCTTTATTCAATTTGATACTTTTTTCGAACTTAAGAAGTAAAGAGGGGCTAGTACAGTTGTTGTAAAAGCCACAGTGGGACAAGCCTCAGACAAGACTTAATCCCGCAATGGGCAGCTATGCGGTAATATATTGAGTTACGCCGTGCGAGCGCGGGGTCAGAGATCGACGTGAAAATAACAACCCTCGCACATATTCATCATAGAGTGCAACTGCATCTGCACTTCGCGGACATAGTGGTCCAAAGATCTAGTGTATGCGACACATCTAGAAGATACACAGAAACGGCTGCTATTTCTGTTCGATTTCGATTTCCGGGCATAACAAAACAAAATTAGTCCAAACAGGGCGGTCAAAAGAATCAGATGGTAATAGAAGCTGAAGAAAACAACTGCATTGCCGATGTTCGCTCTCTTTGTTAGTTGCAATATTTATATTTTTCTTTTTGTAGATCCATAAAAAACTAGTGATTGCTTGATGTAATAAATAATCCTGAAAAGAAGTGAAAGTCCGATGAGTTGCTTCGCCTCATAGCAAACTGAACCCATGATCCAAAAAAGCTGGTGTAACAATCAAATCTAATGACCGTACGTGCTGTCCACCTTTCATGATCTTGTTATGCTCCTCATGCGACAAGACCCATATCAAACGCATCAGGAGAAATGTAAGTAGAATGAAAGCAAGTAGAACCGTCGAAATCGACGCCATACGTCGGGTGACTGGAATGACATACGTTTTACTTTATTTGCGTTTCCTCATACGACATAGTAGATTTTATCTGTTAGGTAAAAGTGGATAAAAATGACCTGCAGCTTCATCTCCTCGTGATGGATTTTTATCGAAGGAAGAACTTCGCGCAAAGATGAACTTCGATCGACGGCTGGTCGTGCTACTACTTCAGGAAAAAGTACCATCAGCTGCAAAACCTCCACTACCAGGCTAGTCGTGCTGTTCTCGGCGCCCTGCTCCGGGTTCTGCTCCTGTTCCCTCGCGTCTGCCTCCTCTACTTTCGCGGCGGGGAAGGGGATCGATGGGATTCGGATTCGCATGATGACCACGACTACTATTATTACCCGGTGCAGCGGCCTTTTTCCCCCTGCTGTGTCTACTGCGAGAAGTGCCATCCTTTTTCGAGGGTGGCGGCGCATCGGTGGCAGCAGCCGCGGCGGTGGCGTAGGTGGGCTGCGGCGAAATGGGCAACATCCGAAAAGGCTTCTTCGACGGCCGGTAGATCTCCTGGGGGAGCTCGATGTTCTTCCAGCGCACCAACTTGTATTCCTCCTCGAACAGAAGCTTCTTTAGCGTCCGCGGCTCCGCGCCGTTCCTGGTCAGAATCAGGTTCCGCTTCCGCTCATCCAAATGGACCGTGTTCACCCCAATGCGGCACAACACCACTTCGTCCCGATCGTCGGGAGGTTCCAGAATCGACTTCCGCAGAAAGTTCGGGCTCTCCTCGGTTTCCTCACCGTACTCCCGCCCCGTGCAGCCACCGTTGGGAATCGCGATCTCTTTCGCCGCGTCGTTCACCGTGTACTTTTTCCCCTCGGGATCGTGCTTGCCCCGCTTCTGTCGCTGCGCGGCCACGTACTCCTGCCATCCGGTGGGCAGATACTGGCGAAACAACTCGCAGGGGTTTACCTGGTTTGCGTCCGGGTCTTCGGAATCCTCGTCCAGAAACGCCGCCACGTCGGTAAGCCCGCTGGTCCTTTCGTCTTCCGAGGACGACGTCGCCACCACCGGGTGGATGTACTCCTGTTCGACTTGGTCCTGCTGTGGTTCATCTTGCTGAAGATTTATTTCCTGCTCATTGGGTAGTTCTGGACGTACTTCGTCTCCTGCTTTTCCTGCTCCACCAAGATCTTCTTGTCCACGTGGTGGTCCCCGTGTAGTAGAAGCGTTGTTCGTCGGGGCCCCTCGCGCCGGAGCTGAAAAATCTTCCTGGTGGTCCTGGGCGCCAAACAGAGAAACTTCAAATGGATTTTTTCGGAATGGATCGGCCTCCTCGACAGGACCATTGTCCCGGTGCAGCTGCCGGTCATGATGTGTTTGCTTTTTCCGAATCTCTTTCACGGGCGTCTGCTCCGGTGTAGTTTCAGCTGCCGCTAGTTGCGGTGCAGACGAGGAAGCGGCCGCCGTATGAGGAACCCCTGGTGCAGAAGAAGATGTTGGCGCAGCTACATCTTCACGAGGAGGAGGACCACGACCTCTATCGTGCCGCTGCTGCTGCTGCTGTGCCGCTTGTCGATCCAAACTTTTGGTGATTTTTTGCCGCAGAACCGCCAATTTGCGCAGAAATTCTGTGGGGTGCCTCTTCTTCATTTCCGGCTTGCGCTTCAACCGCTCGGCGAGCCAACGCTCGCGCAGCTTTTTCCGCGTTTCAAAGCAGATGCCGGTGACCACTCCGCCGGCCGTGTCGTACATGGTGTCGCCGTAAATCAAGAAGCCCCAGCTCCAGGAGCCGTCGCGAAAGTTGCTCGCCCCCTCCCGAATCATGTGGCTGCTGCTGAGCAGCTTCCAGTTGCCGCCGAACCGGGCGCGCGCGGCCGCGGACGGCGTGGTGCCGCGGAACCGCACGAATTCGTCGTGGTCGATGGGCAGGTCGAGGTCGCCGGGAAAGTGGCAGTACCCCCGCTCAAAGGGGTCCTCCCGTCGGTGCCGCCGCCTTTCCTTGGTTGCGGAAGAGCCCGACGAGCTGCTGAATTCCCCCTCCTGCAGATCTTCCAGGCGACAGTGCTCCTCGCCAGGAACCGGTCTCGGCCCGGCGCGAGCCGGGACTACACGACGTCCTCCCCGCCCCCGGGCGGTTGGGGCTATAGGAGTTTGTGGGCAGAAGTCATCCTCAGCACAAGAACCCGAATTTTTATCGGAACCAGGAGAATGAACATGAACATCGCGGCGCTCTCTCTCGCGTTGTTCTCTCTTGTGTTCTCTCCGTTTTAACTTTGCTAACCGCCGCCGTCGGTCCCGGTCATTCATCTCGTCCTCCAAGAGCGAACTCGAGGAAGAGCCCTCGTAGGCGGTGTCCGGATAGTCGATCGGCGGGAAATCGTGGATAAACTCCCACTTTGCCTGGATCGCACGCTGCTCGTTCAGCTGCCGGGTGTACGCGTCCTGCTCTTGGAAGATATTCTGCCCAGTTGTTGAACTAGAATTTTTATCAGGACTATTTCCCCCGCTAAGAATGTCTATCCGGTGTTCGTCTTCGATATCCATTTTCGTCTGCGCCGCGGTGCTCTCCGAGGTGGAATGATTTATTCCCACCTTGTTGTTCGCGGCTCCACCTGCGGCAAGAACATCTTCGTTCTCGTCGTCGCCCATCATCTCGTCCTCGGTTTCGTCCCCGCAAATCGGCGTGACGCAACTCTTCGAGGTGCTGGAACGTATTTGTAGCTTTTTCCCGCAGCCGCAGGGGACGCGGTTGTAGGAAGTAGAGCTGGCGTTGTTCAACATGTAGCAGCAGCAGCAGCACCAGCAACCCCCGCAGCATGGAAGAACGAGCAGCACGACTGTGGAAGCACCGCTGCAGCCACTATCAACTGTAAAAATGTCTGGGTCTGGAAGATTCTGACACTTGTCATGCACGTTTTGCATGACCCATGATGTCTGTGATGCATACCCTACCAATACAGATTTTTCGAGCGCTTCTTGATGCCTATTCCGCATGACAAATCCCTTCTCAGCGTAGCAAAAATTGCATTCCGTTTGCTACTCATGCAATACAGATTTTTTTGGAATGCAAATACAGCATCACAAGTTGCATTCTTCCAGACCCAGACATTTTTGCATTTCATAGCCACTCCGGACGCACGACTGAACCGCTTGCTTTACACTAGCTGGGAGCGGCAGGAACTGCAACGGCCGAGAGGAGAGAAGCCAAGGAATTGCCCCGGAGCCCACCATGGCCGCGAGGCTGCAGATCAGCGACACACGGAGGTACCACGCCAGCCTCAGGCCTTTGGACGCCAGCGCGCCTTGTCTCGCCGTTTCCGTGTGTCTCGCGGTCGTTTTGGCTGCCACTTCCTCGAATAATTCGTCCAGCTTGTTGATCGTTGCAACGATCTTGTCGAAAATACCCTGTGGGGTCGACAAGTCCGCCGTGACTGTGCTGTTTCCGGCCCTTGCAGGAACTGTGCTGGTGGTGGATTCAACATCGCCGACAACATCAAGGTTGCTGCCATTCCCGCCTTGCCTGCTCGTCGAAGTGCGGCTGGCTAACTCGTCTTCCCCTTTGGCGGACAAAATTTGAGAGTCCCAGAGCTGCAGTTGTTTGGCAAAGTGGGCAGATATGGATTCTATGGTATCCCACGGCAGAGCACTGCCGGCGAGCCCATAGGAATTTCCAAAACAGCGCTCTTCCACGACCTGTGGGAAAAAAGAACTGGCTTTGACACTATCTCCTGCTTCAGTATCTGCTGCACCATTTACAACGCCATCATTTACTACTTCTGCAAGCTGCAACCTGGAAAAGCTCTGGGCCAGGTCCTCATCGAGGCTCATCTCGTCCGGAGTGCGGTGCGCAGCGTCGCCCTGATCCACTTCCATTTCGACGTGGTCCCCAAGTCCTGCATCCTCCCGAACTTTCGTGTTGATGCTGTTCAGCGCACACAGCACCTCCATCAAAGTGCCCTTGCTCATGCTTTCCTGGAAAGAGGCGAGCGGTGCCTCTTGTTCTACTTCTCCTCCTGCAGCTCTAGGAGCACTACTGCCACCAGCTCGTTGCTCATCTCCTTCTAGTACATCATCCAGCTGCTGCAGAAGCAAAATATCCTGCACCTCGTCCGCGACCGCACGGGACGAGCCGCGACGCAGCGCACCCAGCAATTCCGAGCTGGTGATGAGCTCCTGGAGCTCCGTCGGGTCGAATGCTAAGTGGTCGCTGAGGTCGAAAAGGGTGCTGGTGTTCTCTTGGCCCGTTCCTGCTCCTCCGTTGGCTGTAGCTGTAGATGACAGAAACGGAATGTTCATTCCCGCCTCGGCCGGATTTTCCGCACCATACGCGTGGTTCGCAACACCAAGCAATAATGCCTGCACGACTAAAGCGGAAACGGTTACAACCTTTGCTACTTTACTGAGCAGCGGCCTGTGCTGTCTCGCCGCCACCTTGCAGGCAGTGCAAGAGGTTGTTGCTGACTGCAGGCATTTGGAGAGGAAGGTGGACCGGTTATTCCTACTACTTCGACAGCACTCCTCTTCCTCTCGAGAAGTAGATGGGGAGGCCGTCGCAGATTTTTCACGCGATTCCTTGCTACTGGATCTGGATGAGGAGGACCCTGGGTCGTTTCTTTCCAGAACTCCTTCTTCGCCAGGATAATTATTGTCACCCGACAGCGCACTAGCTGACCCGACTACACCTCCGACCGGCACTCGAGAGGGAAGGATGTCCTGACACACATCCAGATCGGCATCGTTTCTTCCAGTGCTGTCTCGTTGCGAAGATTTGACGTTGCTTCGTCTGACCTTCTTTTTCGCATTCGCGAACGCGCTTGCACCCTGCTTCGGGTCCGCGGTGGATCTTCGCTCCTGTTGCGCTAGAGGTGGTCCATGATGCTGTATTTCGTCGCGGCCACCGGTCAGTGTACCATCATGTGTCGCTCGTCTTCCTTCCTCTCCCGCTCTTTCCTCTCTTGGGCCGCTCCTCCCCTGCTCGAGATCTACTTCCGCCCGAGGATCATCCGCTGCGATTCTTTCCCTGTGAAGATGAGGATGTTGCGGTCCTCGTCCTCCTGAGCTCGACTCGACATGGAGACCGGTATGATCGTGGTAGTTGCAGTGCTGCGGGGTATGATCGACGACATGGAACCTCGCATTGGAGCTACTGCTCGCGGCTTCGAGCAGTGCTGCGGCCGTTCTACGAGTGGTCGAATCTTTTCGACGCCTCTGGAGTGTTGTTTCCTCCTCTCGTTGTTGAGCAAGCGGACGGCCGGTTGCATTGGTGCTAGTGCCCTGATCGAAATTATTCACTCTTCGGCTCGTCAAAGGGGCTTGCTTTACCGCACGCGCAGACATCGCGTCGACCTCGTCGCTACCTATGTCTCCCGCTTGTTCACGTCGCAACTTATGATCGGCCTCTGGCACGGGCCGCAGATTGTACTGCGGCTGATCCAAATCAGCTGGAACTGCCAGGGGAGAACTTCTACGGCTTTGTGTAGTCTGGTGCGCGGCTGGTGCCACCTCCCCGGGTCGCGTGGCTTGATGTTGATGTTGATTCGGGGACTGACACGTACTGTTGTTTCCTCGTGAAGAAGATGTCGCGTTCTGCAGGTTTTCTGGGGGTGACGGAACTCTGCTTGGGGTTTTCACGCGTTCCATCTGCTGTGACGTGGAATCCGAAGGGACGGGGGTGTTCTCCATGCTGTCGCTCAACTGCAGGTTCTGGTCGTGAATTATACTAGTTACCGGAGTGGCCTTCGGTGTGGCCGGACCTGCTCCGGGATCAGACGTGTAATATGCCTGGTGCTGTTGTACTACCGAGGATGAGGAACCTTGGGGAGAAGGTGCATGATGCGGTCTTTTGGGTTGTTGAGGGTGCGGACTTCTGCTCGTCGCACCGAGCGCCGGATCATGGGCTGCTGCTGGGGAAGTAGTAGAGTCGTGCAAGTGCTGTTGACCCTGATACTGCTGCTGCGTTTGCCCTTCCGGGAATGGCAGGTCCACAGGGCGCAGCGGCAGCATCGCCGCCTGCTTCTGACGGAGCTGGTTTTGTTGTTCATTCATCTCTCTGACCCGCTGCTGGCGCAGTAGTTCCTGCTGGCGATCTAGTTCGCGCTCCAACATGGGAGGCATTGTATAGTTGTCCGGTGCCGTTGACGTGTGCTGCGCGTTGTTCTTCCTGGAAGTCGTGCTGTTATGTTCTTGCGGAGTATAGCGAGTGGTAGAAAAACTATCAACTTGCTGCTCTACAACTCGTTTCATCTTCTGACCAGTCGTTGGGCCGCCGGCCTCGCCCAGATCATTCTGCGGGGAGGGTGACGTCCGCGGTTCTTGCGCGCCACTGTCCGCGCGCTTTGGCGAAGGCTGTCTGCCGCGGCCTCTGGGTGCGTCGTGAACATGAGGACCTTGAATATAATTCCCTCGTCCAGTGACCACATGATGCCCCGCAAAAGCTATTGGGCTGGTGCTTCTTACACCTCTAGGAACGTCATGCGCGGTAAGAACTTGAACTTTTGAGTTCTGCAAAAAGTTGTTGTCCGCGAGCAGATGCTGCGGTGCTTGTTGTGTCGAACCACTGCCCGCTTGTTCCGGCGCCCGGTTCATCCCCGGTGTAGCGCTGGAATTATGATGGTTAACACGAGAAGAAGAGCATGCTGCACCTCCTCGTCCAGAAAATTCTTGTCCTCGCACAACTAGCGGATCTTGTTCACGTCCCTGCCGTAATAGTACTGCTGCACCGCCCAGGGGTTGGTGTTCTTGTCGTTGTCGTGAAGATGAAGCTGCACCTGGACCTGCAGCCGCTCGTACTTCTACAACTTGATCACAAGAACTTGCTGAGCTGCTGGTATCGCCGCCGCTGCTCGCCGCTCGTCGCACGGGCGAGTCGTTGGATTCCGACGATGAAAAATCCAGATTTCCGAGCAGCTTGCTTCCTCTACTGCTACTTCGGGGGTTTGGACCGCGCAACTTCGGGGGTTTGGACCGCGCCCGGGGTTGCTTCTGCTCGTCCACGTAACGCTTCACGTCTGCGAGCAGCACATCCATGCCATTCGCTCCTGTAGTTGTATTTGGTGGGGATGGGGCTTCTTGTGGTGCTGTCGCCGAGCCACCTACATCTGAAGAAGTCTTGTTGCCCGCACGACTACTCGATATCACGGAAGACGAGGAGTCTGCAGAGGTCCGCAGTGGCCACGACCCAGGCTGTTGTTGTTGAACTTCATCTGGGGCGGGAGGCGCCTGCTGTGCTCCTTCTGCAGCTCCAAGTATTTTTGCCTTCTGTAGTTGTGTACATCGGCCGACATAATTATTTTCTGTGCTTTTAATACTAGCAGGAGGTGGATCTACTTGTTCTTGTTCTCCTCGACGTGGTCCGATACAACTTGCAGCATCCTGCTCACAAAGAACTTCCTCGTTGTTTGTGCCTTCTATTTTTTGCTCCGCATGTTCTTGTTCTACTCGCGAAGGAACTTGTTGCTGCTCCGCAACTCCACCTCCCGCCGTTCGTTCCGCCTGTGCTTGTTCTCCTCGCAAACCAGTTCCTGCCTCCACCTGCCCTTGCCGCGGCGGCAACAAGAAACCTTCTTGTGCGCGCTCCAGTGCCTGACTGGGCACCTCTGAATGACTGGATCCTTCATCGGCTCCTCCTGCACTACACGACCGGTCCTCTCGCGACGTCGAGGGTGGCCCTGCTTGCGCCGGGGTCGCATTCGATATTGAGCTTGTTCCGGATACGGACGCACTAGGTGGTCCAGCTACAGCTTGTTCGGCTGCAACCGCAACGGACAAACTTGACGCTGCAAACGTCCTCGTAGAGAGTTCTTGTGCTCGTCCTCTCCTGAATCTACTGTCGTGCTCCTTGTCGCCACTTTTTTCTAGAAAAACAACTTCAGGTGGCTGGAAAAAGAACGACCCTCCTTGGTCCGGCCATCGAGCGACGGCGCTCACCACCTCGTCCGCCTGTTCCTCGTCACCCCGCGAGGACCACCTCCTGCAGGAGGGATGTAATCCTGCGAGGACGAATATCAAAAGCGCGCGCATCGGTCGGAGAGCAGGCAGCGCTGCATTGATTACACATATTTTCTTGCAGCTCATGGATTTTATTGTAGAAAAAACATTTATTCGTGCGCGTGAGTCAACGAGCGACAAAGTGGTGCCGTTGCACCTGCCTTTCAGCGCACGAAAGAAGACGAGAAATTAACTACTAAAGGACTAACATACGGCATATATTATCAATTCATGCCAATCAATTTGGCAGCACGCATGTTAAATTCATAGTCAAGTCATTAATATTGTCTTACTTCATTCAAATGCAACGGTTCCAAAAGCATTGATGTCCTGGACGATGAGAAGTTGCATAGAAATATTGTCTTTGCAAGAAGAAGAAGAAACTTTTTTTATTTTTTCAATTTCATCGCCCTAAAAATGCGATAGAGAACGGCGTCAAATTGGAAAAAGTCAACCATGAAAATGAACGAAATATCAAAGCGATAAAACAGTTTTCTGGATCATTACAGGTTTTGATCATCGTCCGTTGATTGTAGTACTAGAACAACGACAAATCAACGGCAACATAATCGTTGCCAAAAATCAGCAATCCGCACGTAACTAACGCAAAATACTAAAGCCATTGGACTGTTAATTTCTCATCCGGATTCGCTGATCACACCCAACTCGTGGAAACTTTATTAACGATCTTGGTCTTAACTACTACGTTGTGGCTTTCATCTTAAGAGAAACGCGAACGCCGCTGCAAAGGAGACACATCATCAAATAAAATCTCGAAAAAAATATTTCACCGTGCGTCCACGTTTGGCATGGCAGTAAATCGGATCAAGTGCAGCATGCGCATTAGGATTGCGTCATATGCCGCTTGGCTAAGCAGGAGATAAGGAACGGATCTGGCTTTGGTTGCCGTCGTTGTGCTAACTGAAGTAGACGACGACCGCATTCCGGTACTGTAAAAATCTGCATCATGCATCGACGACTCGCCTCGAAGACGTCTTTCCGTCGCGTTTGCCGCCCACAGTATGCCGAATTGCTGATCGTCACTGAGTACGACCTCGTAGTCGATAGACGCTTTCGGATGGCGCCGGAGACGGAAGTGATTATTGTAATTCCTCCTCTGGTTCATCTTGGGGGTCCTCCTCGCTGCGGGAGCTCCTGCTTGGTGAGCTACCTTTTGAAGAGTATCCTGCTGCTCGTCCGGAGGTACAGCAACCGGTTTCACTTTTGGCTGTGCCGCTGAAGAAGCAGCAGAAGCGTCACCGTGCTCGTCGACGCTCAACGCGGAAGACGGGTCGCGACCTTGTTTCTCGGTTGTACTTCTAGCAGTCCGGGAGGTGGTCTGAAATTCATGATTTTTCGTTGGCAGCTGGTCACCATCAACGTTCTGATCATGACCACGACCCTCTTCATCGCTAGTACAGCCTATTGCGTCCTTCTCAATGTCCCAGGTGGCCCCGAACCCCAGGAGGAGATACGGCAGCTGGCAAAAGAGTGCCTTGACATAATTGCTCACAGCGGTTCTTTCATCATCTCGAGCAGGTGAGCTCGTCGTCCGGAGCGCAGTGTAGTTTTCGTTCATCTGCCCGAGCAGGTTTTTGATTCCATCCTTCAGTTGTACTTCTAGATCATGCGCAGGAGCAACACTCTTCTCTTCTTCCAAAGCAGCCGCCTCGCTGGACCTCCAGACGGTGTACAGACGGGGCTCTACACGTGGTCGTGTCGGCGCAGAAGGTGCGATATGAAGATCATCCTGTACTAAAATAGCATTGTTGTTCCGCCCGTCGCGGTCAAGACCACCATGAACAACCACAGGATTATACTTCTCGTCGAAAAAAATTTCCGCAGATGATACCATACTTCGCTTGTCGTGTTCATCAGGAAGAGCTGCGCCAGTCGACGTCCTGTCGGAAAATAGAATGTGTCTGCTCAGCGCCAGGTTTAGTCCTCTGGTAAATTTCCCACGCAAAACTGCGTCGAAGAGCGGCAGGGCCGAAAAAATTCTCATGCCCTCGAAGTCGGTCAAGATCGACGCATAAGCAAGCGACCGCTGCGGAAAAGATCGAGCGCCGTGGTTTGGAAGATTATTTTGAACAGCTGCGGTCTTTCCAGGTGTAGTTCTGGTTCCCTGTATGTTGATGTGCGGATCGTCCCAAAAACGCAAGCGGGGCGTCGCGACATCATGTGAAGCGACGTTGCTATCTTGAGTTTCCTGTTTCCTACCCCCCATGGTCCTCTCACGCGCAGGAGCTTCTTCTGGAAGAGCCCATTCTGGAAGAGCGACCGTGGTAGCTGTCGTGGCCTCTACAATCATTCGCAGAACGACCCCTTCCGGACGCTCCTCCTCCGTGCTGGCCTCCACAACTGCGGTGCCCATTTTCTCATACACTTCTGCATACCCCGCTTCGACGAAGTGGTCGACGGCACTTCTCACCGCGGTATGGGCTCCGTAATCGTCCACGACGACAAAGTCTACCTGTAGTTCGTCTCTTGCCGCCACCAGATCGCTTACCACCATCGGATACGTGTGGACGCAATCCAAGAAAAGGATGTCGTTTTTCTTCCTGCTGTTTTTCTTGCGATTGAGTGGTAGCACCTCCCTCCACGGTTTGTCGAGGTAGCTGTGGATACGGAAAAACAGAATGTTGGTCACGCCTCGCAGGTTCTGCATAGCTGTGAAAAGGAACTGCATGGAGTCGTCCATTGCGTAGACGAAGCTGCAGTGTTGCGCCAGCACCCTCGTGGTCTCCCCTCTGTACACCCCGAGTTCGTAAGCGAGGTTGCAGCTTTTTCTCCGGAGAAAATCTGCCAAATCCTCGCGAAACATCTCGGACACGGTCCATTCGTCGGAATTCTGGCTTGGTAGTGGCACTGGAGCCCCATCTGGGGTTGTTTGTAGGTGCTGCATGGCCGACGTCGCCTCGACTTTCGCGAGAATAACGGATGAAAACAGCGGCCGTAAGACCACGCTCTGAAGCAGACGCAAAAACGTCATCGATCCAACCATGACTGTGGAGGTCCTTGAGAACTTTTTCCGGAGGCGAGGCCATTTTTCTTTTCTTTACTCACAATTGCTTCTTGGTTGGCCTGATGAAATTCAAACCCGCTCTTACCTTCTGGCTTTCGCTGATAAGCAGCAGGTGGTGAAGATGGAACAAAAGCAAAAGCAAAACAACTTCTTCATTGTACAGGACGGAAAAAACGCCAACGCTAACTACCTAGATTTCTAAGTACTAAACGCGAACAGTTTGGTCCCGGTCTGAACGTCAATCCTCCGAGGGCTAGCGCGCCACTGAGCATCATGCTAGAAGCAGAGGCATTCACATTGCGGAGAATGAAAATAATAGCTGATGCAGAAAAGGTGTTGTTGGGGTTTAGAGCAAAAAAAGTGGTTTTCATTGGTGTGAAAGCACGTTATCATCTGTTTCCATCTCTTCCGAGTCACCCATTCTGAATCCTAATGCGGCGAGGATTCAGAAACCTTGAAGAGCAAGACGCGCTGTTCCTATGCTCGCCTGGGCATCTTCATCTTCTAGATTCGTTCATTGCTCGTCTCCTCGAATTCTAAGTCTTTCACCAACTGTAGTTATCCTTATCTTGATGAAAACAACTTCTTATCTTGATGAAACAAAAAAATCGTCGTAGAAAGATGGTAATCGTGTTGGTCTCCGCGTTGTAGTTGTGATCTTTCCCATCTAGATGCTCTAAGTTCTACTCCGTTCCTCCTGAGTAAAACTAAAATCCTATTCATTGGATAATTATGCCCGACAGCGACCACTAAAGGTATTCTTAGTTCGCCTTCGGCTGAGCCCAGCCGACCTGGAGAATGAGACTGTCGTACCCGTGGCCGTTGAGTTGCTTGATCGCCCGCTCGCCATCCTTCCGGTCGCGGAACTGCACAAAGGCGAAGCCCTTGTGCATGCCCTCCTTTTCGCCCTCCTTGTGCCGCGGCATGAACACCCGGGTGACGTGGCCGACCCGGCCGAACAGCTGCTGCAGGTCGCCCTCGCGGGTGTCCTCCGACAAGTTGGAGACACGCAGGGTGTTCTCGTTCCTCGCGTCCTGTTGCGGGCCGTCGCCCTTGCGGAGGGACGGCGGCACGTACTTATTCGCGAGGGTGGAATTCTGCCCGCCGGTGGCGATGATGCCCGCGGCCTTCTGCTCCGCCTGCTGCGCCTGGAACTCCTGCTCGCGCTTGCGCCGCATCTCGTTGGCGTCGTACCGCTTGCGCTTCGCGTCGTTCAGAATGGTCTCGCACAAAACCACCGACTGCTCCCAGAACTTCTCGTCTTGGCCTGTTTCATAATTCATGTTTCATCGATTTAGAAGTATCATGCGCGGTCGTTTTGGTTTTCTTGCTACTTGCTATCAGTATCAGTTGGAAGAATTATTGTATAGAAACAGTGTTAGTGTCTGAAGATCTTCATGTGCTGTGTATCACAAACAACAACGCGACTACTTCGCCACTTTATTTGATGTCGAATGCAAAATGATTGTAGTACCCAAAGCTTTCATCTGTTTTTCCTTGTTCATCTCGATTTGCACTTCCTCCTCGGCGCGCACCGGTTTGTTGCCACCGTAGTCGTATCAAATGCAAAAATGTCTGGGTCTGGAAGAATGCCAGACTTGTCATGCATATTTTGCATGACCCATAATGTCTGTAATGCATGCCCTAGCATCCCAGATATTTTTTAGAGGGCTTACTAATGCCTATTTCGCATGAGAAATGCCCTCTCCGCGTAGCACAAACTGGAGTCCTCTTTCTGGTCATGCAATACAATTTTTTTTTGAATCCAGAGACACCAGCATCACAAGTTTAGAATCTTCCAGACCCAGACACTTTTGCATTTGATAAGTCGGCGAATTTCGCCGGGTCCGTGCAGGGGCCGAACGGCTTCCACTTTTTGCGCTCGTCCACGAACTTGTTTGACTTCTTGATGACCTTCTTCTGTTGGTAGGTCGTGATCAGCTTCACCGCTTTCCCGTTGCGTTCGGTGTACTCCACTTCCGTCCGAATCCCCTTGTCGTCCGCCCCCGTGCCGGCCGGGCGGAACCGCTGCGGCGCGCCGCCGACAAAGTCGTCCTCCTCCTCGACGTCGGCCCATCGGGACCGCGTCTGCGGAACCGGGTGCGCCGGCTCGTCGTCCTGGATGTCTGCCCACTTACGTCCGAATGCCATTTTCTGGTGCGTTGCGAAGGAATAACTTTTCGTTTTTAATGCAAGAGAAGATGATGAAGAAGTTGTGCTAGTCCTAGTACTGATTCTAAAACACGATGCATTAATGAAGAAGTTGAAGCTTAAAGAGTGCTCTTTCGCTTACTTAGGTGGGTGATACAACAAAAAATGCTGCACCTGATAGAAAAGGGGAAAAAGTTTGGAATTCAACCTCAAGTTCGTGAATGGTGGATCGTCTTCAAGCATCAGCTTCATTTCTGAATGAGAATGGGTCTGGTAGAGATCCGGTGATCTTGACTTTGCTATTTTTTCTACCACGCACGCATAACTTTTGCTTTGATCCTGACAAACTTTTCCGTCATTGTCATTCATATGATTTTTGATTGCGAAATACGCTGCTTTCACTTTCTGGTGTACTACTTACTTTACACAAGCTACACCGCTGCGGAGGATGGATTTTTAGATCCTCGAAGACATATTGACGCAGATGAAGAACAGGTGACTTCGCGTTGGGCATTGATATCCCGCATCAATCAATGCACAGGAGCTTCTGTGCAAATAAGCAGGCCTTTGTTTCTTTCGAGGGGCTACTTCTCGTTTTTGGTCTTGGTAGACGTCGAGGATGTCAAAAGCGGACAAAATTTTTCCCATAGTAGAGTCTTTACACTTACTTTCGAAGTATTCACAGCCTGGCGAATACTGATATTGCTGGAGAATCAAATTCTAGCACGCTGTAAACCCATGAAAAAGATCCTGCTTGATGTTTCCTCGAGCTACTCGTCCTACAGAGATGTTGATACTAGTGAAGAAAGTTAAAAGATACTTCGAAAAAGAAGTACAACTCCTTCATCACATGATTGTCGCTTGGGGTTAAATTTCTGCTCTTGTGTCACAAAGCAACTTACTCCGCCGCATCATCGTCCACGCTCCTAAGTAGCTTGACACAAACTTCTGTTGTTTCTGATCGTTGTTTTCTTCGTTTTCCAAAACAAGTCATCGAACTCCACTTCACCACAAACACGATGAAGCGTCCTCTGTTAAAACGTCGTGACATTGTTGACGAATTTCAACGCCGAGGTCTGCTTATCCACTAAAGTGTCCTGGTAGATGTAGGTCGCCGGCGCGGCCTCGCCCAGCGGTTCGCTGCGTGAAAATGACAATGATGAAGCGTCCTCTATTTTCAAAACGTCGTGACGTTGTTGACGAATTTCAAGGCCGACGTCTGTTTGTCCACAAGGGTATCCTGGTAGATGTATGAAGGCCCTAAAGTTTCCACCTTTTCGCCCATCTTTTCAAATTTTGGCCAGTTGATTGCTCGGCGCCCTCGCCGATTCTCGCTTAGCGCCTCTTCGATGGTGGCTGCGTGTCTGCCTTTGCAAACGCGTCAAGCCGGGCTGCCCTATTTCTGCCCCGAGGCCCGGGGCAGAAACGCAAGCCAAACACCCCAAAGAGAAAAGCCACCCAAACGAGCCTCCCAATCATATGAGGCCATGGACCCTGAGCGCGCCTCTGCTTGCGCAGGTAAGGAAAGGCGCCCGGCAATAGCGACACACGCGGAAAATGCCCCCAGCCAATTCACCCCCGACAAGGCTGGCGCAGCCGAGCGAAAGGCTGCGCCTCCCCTCTTATCAGCCCCGGCCTGGCTTGGGCCTGATTCGGAAACAACGCCCGCCGCATCTTCTGCGCAGCTTCCCAAACCCCTGGCGGTTCAGGACTTGGCGCGCACCCAGTAAAATGAGGACAGGCGGCGTAGGCTGGGAAACCCGGAAAAGCCAAGTGGAATGGGAGGTCTAGGTAGAATAGGGAGGCGCGCACAGACCACAGCTGTCCGAGAAGCCAAAGGGGTCGAGAGATCCGGGAGACCTGAAGAGCGACCAACCCCTGACGAGGTGGCTCGTGCTTCATGGCGCAACCTTTTCAAATGTGGACACGGCTCTTTCAATCTTCGAAGCCGCAGAAGAGCGGATCCGTTTTCTGTCCTGAGGTTGCCAAGATTCGAAAAGATGCTGAAGAAGCATCTTTTCATTGCGTTGTTCCGGTTGTCAAATTTTGAAAAGATGTTCCTTCAGCATCTTTTCAAAATTTGGAAAGTGAGCAGCCACTTATCAAAATTTGAAAAGATGCAGAGGAGCATCTTTTCAAAATTTGATAGCTTTCAAAGTTGAAAAGATGAGCACTTTGCGTGGCTGCATCTTGTCAACTTCTTTCTCGGCCGAGTGAATGCATTCTCCCGGTTTTGTTCTTGTTTCTGCATGTCGTGGAGCTGTGCATGACAAGTTGGCCTCACAACTCCTACCACACTCCTCCACCAAGCTGCAAAAAGAAAAACAAGACCCGGAAAATCTGTCAGGCAATATGGCCAGCCAGGATCTGCGGTCGAGCTGCTCGAGAGGCTTTATGTATTAGAATGCAACGAAATGGCGGCAAACCGATAGAGCAAATTTTGAAAAGATGGGCGTAGAGATGGATTTTTTAGGGCCTACAATGTAGGTCGCCGGCGCGGTCTCGCCCAGCGGTTCGCTGCGGTACCCGACTAACGACCCGCAGCACTTGCACTGAAACCGGTACTGCGCCTCGCACAGAGCCTCCAAAGAAGTTTCCTTCTTCGCCCCGTCCTTCATGGTCTGCATAGTGCTCCCGTCCCGCTTGATAATCGTCTTCCGCTTCGCCCCCGTCACGTTCAACCGGGAAATAAATTTCGTCTCCTGGATCACCATGGCGCCGTCCGTCCGCCGGCGCGGAAGCCGGGTCAGCCGCCCCGCGTCGGTAATCAACACCCACTCACCGCAAAACCGGCAGAAATAGGTATTTAATTTCGTTTCCCGCAGCACGGAATCCTGATCCGTCATGTTGTTGATCTTGACGCGCTTCGCCAAATGCGCCCGCTCCGCGTCCGCTTCCAGTAGACGCGACTCCTGCGCCTGCCGCTTCGCGTCCTTCCGGATGGCAGCCAAGGTTGGCTGCATCGACCGCGCGATCTGGGCGGGGTTCAGTGCGGGAGTCATTCCGGGTTGTCCGGATTTGTTCTTTTTGGTTTTCGTGGTTGTCGGACCCTCATTGTCGTGGTGGACCTCGTCCGGGACTTCGTCTACCGCGTTTTCGGCGAGGAACTCGGCCGCCGGGTCCATGGTAAGCCTTGTGCCCGTCCCCGCCTGGTTCTTCTCCCAAAACTTGGTCTCGAACGAGTCCAACTCGGCCGCCACGCGATCCCACCCATCGCCGTCGATGGCCTCCTGGGGAATGCGGTTCGTGTCATTTGCGAACGTGTTAAAGATCTCACGTCGCTCGAAATCCAGCGGCTCACACATTTTGTCTTGTAGTCGTTGGGTTAGTAAAAGAAAAGTAGAGAATTATTGAGCACTACACGTGGACGAAATCAGATCTATTGTGAAGATAGCCCCTTTCTTCTTTGGTGAAAGAAAAAAATTCTACAAGAAGGTTTTGTTGTGTTTTGAAAATCAGTTTTCCGTCGCCTATTTTGGAGGTTGTTTTCACTTTATACACGACAATAGTTCTGAGTATTGGGTTCTTTGGGCTTGGGGTCGTGCAACCTGGTGTGAGAGAATGGAAAGAGTGAAAATTGTGAGAATTGATGAAATTATGCGTGTTTTCAATTTCAAGTGGTGCCAGTGTACGATTTGCTTTTTGCCTTGCGAAGATTTCGATCTCAGTGACAGCATACGCTACGTAGAACCGACCCTTACTGTATTTTTTCCTGTCAGTATTTCTTTTTCATCACGAACGAAAACCGATCTCCATTTCGCTTTCTCTCACGATTTCTTTGGACGTAGTTGGAACAACGTGATAATTTCGTGGCCTTTGTTGATTTGCATCATCAAGGAATATCTGGCACAGCTAATGGTGCTCTTCATTCAACCAAAATTTCATTGTATCGAGTTCCAGGTTCATAGCTGGAGAAACAGAGTTCGCATCAAAATTGGAAACTGCTCCTAGATCAAGATTGTTCTCTGGCATGCGGATAAACATTCCAAAAGAAACAGTCCATGTTTAGTTCATTTTGATTTGTGGTCGGCGGGAAGGTAGCTTTATTTCCACTATGCACAAAGTCCACCACATTGTCAATGTCCAATAAGTTCTTGTGGCACATCAGTTGTAGATATCCGTGTAGAGTGAGCCAAACTCTTTGAGGTCCTTTTCGTATCTCGTTATGTGCTTCTTCGGCACATAACCCGGCGCACCAGCAGCTCCGTGCCCAAAAGCAGGATGTGACATGCCGTCGTGATCTTGCTGCTCCTCTGTGAAGGCGTTGGAGCCCCCCCGGAGCCTTTGCGACGAGTTGGGAGGAATGATGTGCCCGGAGTCCTCTGTCAGCTCGTAGATGACCGTTGCGAAGAGGCAAGCGATGCAGATCCCGAAGATGTCCATGCCGACTTGGATAGTCGCGGTGGCGTGCGCCGGATCTATCCCGACCTTTTGGAAAAGCTGGGGAAGGAGCGTACCTGATGTAGGTTTAGTACAGTTTGTGGTGCAAAACAACACTCCGTTTGCGTTTTATTTCTGAATCGGATCCACTTTCACGACCAGAGAATCGAATGCATGATACCATATGATTTTTTGTATGGCACACAGACACACCAAAACGCGAAAGCGCTTACTAGAAACGTGATAAGTACATAGACACAGTAAAAACCCTAGTACCGAAAGCCACCGCGAACACGACGATAAAGAACATTGCCCCGCTGAGTGCGCACCCGGTGTGAAACGACGTTATTTGCTGCACGGCGGTCCGCGCTGCGGTCGCGATTGACAAAGTAACCCCGAGCAGCAACCCGATCTTCATCTGGTGCAGTGTGTCCACCGGCTTCCCCAGCGCGAGCCGCCGGACCGCGTACACCACAGCCTGGCCGCCGGCATTGCCGCCGGCGCCAACTAGCATGGTAAGGAAATACACGATCGAGGGGTGTTTTTGGATTAGCTCCTTGAAACTCGCTAATACGAACGAACTTGTAGACTGCAGTATCAACAGCGCAATCAGCCACGCGGCTCTGGGTCGGAACCGGAACCAATCCTCGTCGGGTATCCGCTCCTCCGGGCTGGAGCGCGTCGCCCCACTATCCGGATCGTAGGGAATGTCCTGCAGTGGTGTCGTGCCGGGCTGGTGTCCGTGCGGGGTCCGTGGAGAGGTCCTTAGCGGCGGACTGTCGTCTTTCTTGTTGGAACCGACATCATCAAAATGATTCACCACTTTCAAGGGCCCTTTGGACGAGGAGGCGCGCTGTCGCAAAAAGTAATTCTCCTCTTGCAGGGTGGACACGAGCTCCTCGAGTTCCAACACCCGCTGCTGGAGGGCTTGATTGCTCATTTTGGGACTTCAACAATGTTGGTATTGATATTTGGGCATCAATTGTGATATATGCATAGGTCGCTTGCTTTCTGTAGTTCCCGACGTTGCTATAAGAATGTCTTCAGCGTGATAAATGTTGCTCTATTCTTTTCGTCGTTTGCACCTGCGCTCTGGCACGATAACGCCAGGACTAAACGCACAAGGAATCCCTCTTCGCTCTCGGGGGCCACCCTCAGAGCTCGTACTCGTTGCGACACTTCTATTTTGGATGGAAAGCTCTCAGGAAAAAATTCCTCCAAAAATGCGGAAATTTCTCTCCGTATTGTAACGGCAACGCGATCGCGAACAAGACACACGTGTACCTGTTTTATATACCATCTCCGTTTCGATAACGGCGCCGGTATCAATACGCTTATTGGCTTCTTATTTCTTCTTTCGTTAGATGCCCCGAAAAGAAAAACTTTGTTTGTTTATGTGTTCCCCGACCTAACTCGGCAAAATAGGTGGGGAGCTCCTTTCATCGATCCTTCGCGAGACTCCGCAGGGATGACATGGTTTTAAATCTGAAACGATCATACAAAGGAATGCATCTGGCTGTACATCAAATGCATCTTATGCTTGATCTCCAGAAACCAAAAAAACTGATAGTCCACTTAGGCTTCTGATTTAGAAAAAAGAAGATTTTTAAATCGTAATCTTCCAACATGCGGGAGAATATTAGAGTCCAGAAGGATATTCCGAGGACTGTTCCCATTGCTTGCATTGGGAATAAACTGGGCTTGATAAAAGCTTGAAACGGTTCGGTCATAAAAACCTCGCAGCTTTTGCAAATAATCTTACACGGTGACGGTGATAGAAGCTTAATAACCACCCAGGTTTTTTATTTTTGATGAGTGATCTGACATTCATTTGAAAAACTTTGGAGTCGCCTTCTCCGAAAAAATGATTAGGCACGCTTGCTTTATTGCCCCACCCCTGGCAACGCAAGTGGTCAAGTAAACTTACCCAACCAATTCGTTCACCTCGTTTGTCCATTTTACATCAAACGCATCGACTACACCAGGAAATAAACTCTCTTCAGTTCATCGCCAGCATCTTGGCAATCCGGTCCGAAGTGTACTTGTCGAGCATGTGGCACTTGGCACAGATCTTGCCATCCTCGACCACCTTGTGCACCACCGCCTGCATGGTCAGTGTCTCCTGCCCCGGGGTGTTCAACTGATTTTTATTTTGGAGAAACCAGCATTCGCTATCTGCACATGATCCTTGGACGTTGCTTTTGGAAGAACTTCAAAATAAGTGACGTAGGCGTACATTTCATGTGCTTGCTCTTACGCTTATGCTTGCATTATTTTCATTGTATTCCAATTCTGCTCAACATTTATACTGCGTCATTTGCACCAAAGGACAGCACCTTGTACCTTGATTTCCCAGTCGCACACGAACCCGACGTGTCCGCCGTAGCCGCTCATGGAATGCGGCACGAACCGGATGGTCTCCCAGATCGAGCCTTGCTTCTCGGCCATCTTGACAAAGCTCGCCTTGTCCGACCCGGAGGTGTTCTCCCACAACCCGTTCAGGCAGTTGTAGTCGAATTTACCATCCGTCACTCGGTTCAGATACTCCTCCATCTTGCCCGCCGCCGACCCGGCCAACGCCTGCTCCACCACCACGCAGCCTGGATGGTATCCAGTGCAAAAGACTCGTACTCGTACTAATTGCAGTCATGCATGACACATCTACTTTCTAAGGGAAAACAGCATTACAAATTGCATTTTTGTTCTTGAGCAAATTTGTCATGCAGTTTATACTAGTACGACACTTTTGCAATGCATAGATGGTGCTTTTCCGCCACGTACGGAACGCCGGTGATCTTCGCGACCGCCTTCTGGTCCAGCATGTGGTACTTCTCGCAGATCATGCCGTCCTTCACCACCTTGTGCACCACCGCTTTCAAAGTGCACAGCTCCCCCTTCGCGGGGCCCTCGCCCAGCCAAACGAACTCCCAGTCCACGAGGAACAGAACGTGCTGTTCGAAGCCGACCCAGCTGTGCGGGGTGAACTTCTTCACGTCCATGTACTCGCCCTGTTTCCCGCCCAAGGCCATGAAGGCCTCCTTGCTGCTGCCGTGGGTGAGGCCGTCGGGTAACAACCCCGCGCCATCACCTGGTATTTAAAGTCCGGGTGGACCTTCTCCATGTATGCCTCCGGCTTGCCGGCGTTCATTGCCACCAGCAAGTCCTGGATCAACTTCACTTCCGGGGTGCACATCTTCTTGTTTTGATGGTGCCGGATCGGAAGCAAAAAAAAAGAGAGGTAAAACACGTTTGTCTGACTGTTTTCTCAAAGTTTATCTGGAGTTTTCTTGTGATTTTTCGACTGGTGAAGGCAGTTTTTCTTTCCTTCTTTGTAGTGCTGTGCGGTTTGGGTTTGACGCTCCTACGAGGCTTGCTGCTTTGTCAACCTCTACGGGTAATGAGAGGCAGCCACAGAAGTGCTTTTTTCCTTCTCTGTGTTTGGATAATATGCACGATGGGGAAAAATCAAAAAAGCCGCCTTGATTTTGCACTACACGAAATTCAACGATTTGTAAACGAGAAAGTCGCTCGGCCTTTTTTTCTTCCAGCCGTGCTGTCCTCGGTACCAATTTTGCGTTGAAACAATCCACTACCAAAAGTTACCGACTGTTCAGTTCTTTTGTTGACGGTAATAGAACACGATAAGATGACCCAGCAGCGTCAACAACACTCTAAGGCACGGAAAAATGGTAATGGTGCAGCTGCTCGCTGCACATGTTAGTCTTGTGTATCCCCTGTAATGTACCAAAATGAATGTACAGTTTGCCAACTTGTTCCGAAAAAAACTATCCACGTTCTATGCTATGCGCATGTATGTGTCAAATGAAAACGCTTTGCCTTTTGCAGCCGCATGAAGATGCTGGCCAAAAAATCCTGACGATGACTGGACAAACTAGTACTTATCAGTATGACTCATCGATGTTGCAATAAATTCTTCCTGTGTAAATGGACCAAAATTGTGCTGTGCAGATTCCAAAATTTCCTTTCGTTGGATGGAAGAACCCGTATCTTCAATCATTGGTATCCTTGCTGGATTTGAGAGTGGACAACATTGAAACCCCGCCATTATGCTCTGCAAAAGCATCTTGCTCGTACTGAAACTGATACTGATTGCAATCATGCATGACAAATCTGTTTTCATGGCCAAATCAGCATCACAAACTTCATTTTTCTTTGTGAAAAAATTTGCATTGCGATTTTTACTAGTACGATGCTTTTGCAATGCATAGCCATCACCTGGTACTTAAAGTCCGGGTGGACCTTATCAAATGCAAATATGTCTGGGTCTGGAAGATTTCGAGATTTGTCATGCATCCCGCGGACTACGCACACAGTCTGGAATGCACACAAAAGCATCACAGATTTTGCGAGACCTTCCTCATGGCTGTTCCGCATGAGAAATCCGCCTTTTGCCTAGCAAGAATTGAGCAACTTTTGGCGTTCCTGCAATACAGATTTTGTTGTGCTCGAGACTTAGCATGACAAGTTGCGATCTTCCAGACCCAGACATATTTGCAATGCATAAACCTTCTCCATATACGCCTCCGGCTTGCCGGCGTTCATCGCCACCAGCAGGTCCTGGATCAACTTCACTTCCGGGGTGCACATCTTGCTTTGGTTGTGCTGGGTTGAAATCGAAAAAAAGAGAGGAAACACGTTTGTCTGTTTTCTCAAAGATTCTCTGGAGTTTTTTTGTGATTACTGAGAGGTTTTTTGTCTTTGTGATTACTGATGAAGGCAGCTTTTGTTTTCCTTTTTTGTACTTGCTATGCAGTTTGGGTTTGAAGATCCTAGCTACGAGGCTTGTTGCTTTGTCAACCTCTACGGGTAATGAGAGGCAGCCACAGCACCGGTGGTTCTTTCCTACTTCTCTGTCTTTGGATTACATGCACGATGGGGAGGACAAATAAAAAAAAGCTATCTTGGTTTTCTACTATACGACGATTTGAGTAAACGAGAAAGTAACTCGGCCTTTTTTGCGTTTCGGTTTCAGCCGTTGTTTCCCTCGATAGTAATTTTGTGTTGAGACAATCATTTAGCAAAAGTATACCGATTGTTGTTTTGTTGACGTTTCGTGAACACGATAAGATGACTCTGATGCGTCGAGAACAATGCTCCAATTCAGTGGCGAAAATGGTGCAGTTGCATGATATGTTGGTCGTCTGACACTCAGTGGTTTCATATAAATATGCGCGTCCCCATAATATACCAAAATGAATGTACAGTTTGCCAACTTGTTCCGAAAAAAACTATCCACGTTCTATGCTATGCGCATGTATGTGTCAAATGAAAACGCTTTGCCTTTTGCAGCCGCATGAAGATGCTGGCCAAAAAATCCTGACGATGACTGGACAAACTAGTATCAGTATGACTCATCGATGTTGCAAATTCTTCCTGTGTAAATGGACCAAAATTGTGCTGTGCAGATTCCAAAATTTCATTTCGTTGGATGGAAGAACCCATATCTTCAATCATTGGTATCCTTGCTGGATTTGAGAGTGGACAACATTGAAAATTGACTTTTTGGTAGTGAATTTCTTCGACTAGATATTTGGGCGGAATAGATCAAAAATAGATTGGCCGCCAAGCTACGAGCATAGCGCGGCGCCAGGAAAAAAGATTGCTCCGGCCCGCGAAAGTTGGCCCAAACACCACGGCACTCTCTTACCTGGGCTGTCAGGTTCTGGGGCCAGGTTAGAGAGCAGCGCGGTGCCTGTGGTGCGAAAACGTCTTGGCCCGGGAAGGTGGCCAGATAAGGAGGATGATCTTGAAGCACAAACAGCGCGCTGTGCTCTTCCCGGGGCCTCTAGGCTTTGAGGCCCGGTGAGAGCATAGCGTGGCGCTTGGAAAAAAAGACAGCATCGGCCCAAAAAAAATTCGCCCAAACACCACGGCACTCTCTTACCTGGGTTGCCGGGTTTGGGGGCCAGGTAAGAGAGCAGTGTGGTGCTTGGGATGCGAAAACGTCCTGGCCTGAGGAGGTGGCCAGAGGAAAAAGACACTCTTGAAGCACAAGCGCCATGCTGTGCTCTTACCTGGGCCTCCAAACTTTGAGGCCAGGTAAGATCCTATCATGGCGCTTGGAAGGAAAAAAGGCCGCGTCGGCCCAAAAAAAGTTGGCCCAAACACCACGGCACTCTCTTACCTGGCCTTCCAGGTAAGAGAGCAGCGTGGTGCTTGGGATGCGAAAACGTCCCTCCTGGCCCGCCCGAAGAGCGGAGGTGGCCAGGAGAAAGAGACACTTTTTTTAGCACAATCGCCATGCTGTGCTTTTACCTGGGCCTCCAGACTTTGAGGCCAGGTAAGAGCATAGCATGGCGTTTGGAAGGAAAAAAGGCCGCGCCAGCCGAAAAAAAGTTGGCCAAAACACCACGGCACTCTCTTACCTGGCCTGGCAAATTTTTGGGCCAGGTAAGAGAGCAGCGTGGTGCTTGGGATGCGAAAATGCCCTGGCCTGAGGAGGTGGCCAGGCGAGGGAGATGATAGATCTTGAAGCACAGGCACCACGCTATGCTATTGGTATCTTCAATCATTGGTATCCTTGCTGGATTTGAGAGTGGACGACATTGAAAATTGACTTTGACTGCAGGGATTTGGGTTCTCCCTCTGTCGGCTGAGCAGCTGAAGAAGCCCGCAGCAACTCGCACGAAACTCTGCAGCCGCCCAGCGCCGCAAAAGGTTCTGTCTAATAAAAATAGGCGGACGAAAGGGCGGGGCTAGCTCTTTTGCTGCGTGCCCAGGTGGCCGCGCCCGGATGAGAGGAGCTCTGAACCAAAAAAGGGCCGCAGCCCTTCCGGTTGCGCGCCGGCTTAGCCGACGCAGTAGCTTGGGCGGTGGCATGGGCGCGGGCGCCCGGGCCGCCCTTGCTTCTGACTGGTTGGCCACCCAAGGCGCGGACACGCCGGCGTCTTTCGGCTTGTCCCGCCACGCAGCTGGGAAAGGCGCGGCAAAGTCCCCTCTGCGTGTCGCGTGTGGCCAGCGGGCAGCAGGTATCCGGGGTTTTTTTGTTTTCCCGCCCATTGGCATAGCCGAGTATAAAGTGGGCAGGCTGGCCGAAGGGTATGCGTTGAGGTTTTTGAAACTAAGTAAAAGGGAAAAGAGGCGCCGGCGGCTTTTGTCCGCCGCCTTGTGGCCGAGGTGCTTTGCCAATCAGTGGAAACGGCCCCGGGCGATGCGCATACCATTTGGAGGCAGCGCGCCCCGGGGGTTGTCTTTTCTGTTTCCACGGGCAGCCGGGCCCCCGGCCCCAGCCAGAGAGAAGGCGGCCGGGCAGGGCGGCGCCCAAGCTCGCTTGCGGGGCCGGAGCGACGTTTTCTTGCGTCTTGATCGTTGGCCCGGAGCGGCGGCGCGTCTGGACTTGAAATATTAACATATAAGCAGTGGCGGCGCGCGCGTTTCTGTTTTTCTGCTCGTTCTTCTGGCCAGGTTTTTATTTTTCGCAGCCGGCCGCCCGGGCAAAGCAAAAAAGAAAAAATCCGCCTGGGGGAGTAGCTACCCCGGGGAGTTTCGCAGTCGTTATTGACCTGCAGAAGAGCTCAACTGGGATGAAGCTATTGGGCCCGTGGCGCCCCTCGTCCTCATAGGCAACCTGGGAAGTTGATTCGTCTAGGTTTTCCGGCGTTTTTTGCGGGCCATTTTGTAAAAAAAGCTCTAGAGCTTTGACCCATATTTGAGCCAACTTTTCCCAGTCATAGCATGCTGATTTGCAATTCGCCGTCTGTGAACGTCTAGAGCTCATATCACACAGATTTGTTGCAATAGTGTCGTGCTTCAGAAGAAAATAGAAGCAAAAAAATGCTTAGGTCTAGAGCTTCGACCCAACTTTGAGCCAACTTTGAGCCAAGTTGCCGTTGCAATAGCGTGCAGATTCACGAAAAAAGTTGGCCCCTATAGCTTTCGCCCAGCTTTTACCACAACTTTGAGCCAAGTCGCTGTCAGTACTATAGGTCTCTCTACTATCTTCAATCATTGGTATCCTTGCTGGATTTGAGAGTGGACAACATTGAAAATTGACGGAATGCGATTTCGCCTATAAAATTTTGCGGGCGATTTTGCGGGTGATTTTGCGGCCGATTTCTGAGCCGCGATTTTGCGGCCGGATAATTTTTGCGGGCGATTTTGCGGGCGATTTTTCGAGGCCGAATTCGGCGCCCTTGCGAAATTTTGCGGGAGGTTTTGCGGGCGATTTTGCGGACGATTTTGCAGCGCCCATTTTTCGGGCCATCGACAAATTCTGCGGAAATTCTGCATCGCCCCGTTGGCGCCGATTTCCGGCCCGATCCTGGCGGGGCGGGCCCGCCGCCCCGCCCCTTCTTGGCGGGCGGCCGGGAGGGCCCCGCCTCGGCACTGGCAGTTTTTTTGGCCAGGACCTGGAGCGTCGGCCGCTGTGCCGGGGCCTATTTACAAAATGCATGCTCCCGCTACGGTTGTTTTCTAAGTACTTGCCGCCCAACCGTCGGCCCGTTTGCCGGAGTTGGCCTGGCGCTGACGCTGCTTGCTAAAGCCCCCAGAGGAGACGAGGGGGCGCGCAACTGCATATGGCTTTCCACAGCACCGAGTAGTGGCGGTTTAGCTATTTGAGTGCACACACCGCCTCACTGGCCTCCTCTTTGTGCCTCGCCAAAGTTGCTACCTACCTCAGCACCTCGCTCGCCCCCATTTAAAAACCATCCGGCCGTGCGAGACATCTATACTAGACCCTAAGCGCATGCGCAACTGCCTAGCTTCTCCAATCTCTTGCCCTCTGCACTGCACAAAGCGGCCTCGTCGGAGTGAACTAGCGCTCCGTCCTAAACAACTACGATGACCACAGCTACGCTGCGTCGTCTATGTCAGAGCCAAAAAGAAGTCGAAAGCTAAGCATCGAAATGGGGGCGAGGGGTGAATGCAAAGACGTCACATACGAAAACTGTGCGGATGATTTTGAGGGATTTTTTGCGGGCGATATGGCCTGGGGCCTTCCAATTGAATTTCATTTCATTGACAAAAAACACAGATGAAACAACCCGTATCTTCAATCATTGGTATCCTTGCTGGATTTGAGAGTGGACGACATTGAAAATTGACTTTGACTGCAATAACGAAACGACATAGACATACTTCGAATGAAAATTGAAACGAGATGACTTCTTTTGTTGACATTGATATGCTTCCCTTAGCAGAAACAAATGCAAATTGGTACGAGTTGTCGGAAAAAAGCTTATCTAAAACAAAAATCGCAAACTCAAACTGACAAAACTCACAGCAACATATTCCGGTTCGTGATTGCGGTTTTTTCCGACAGGAGCAGACCCAGTTCCTCCGAAATGAAGACCATCACCACGAGCAGAGAAACAAAAACCATCATATCAAATGCAAATATGTCTGGGTCTGGAAGAGTGTAAACTTGTCATGCAGTTTTTCCATGACCCATGATTTCTGGAATGCGGGACCCAGCATGACAGACTTTGCGAGGTCTCTGTCATGCCTATCCTGCATGAGAAACTCCCTTCCAACTTGGTCGAAAGTGGACAGCTTTTGGCACTCATGCAACACAAAGTTTTGCATGATTCGGATTTGGCATGACAAGTTGCATCCTTCCAGACCCAGACATATTTGCAGTTCATACATCATCACAAACGCGTACTTCGCACTCTTTTTCACCAACGACGTTTTTTCGAGGCGATCCAAACCCGAAAAGGGTACAGGCTTTCCAGCAAGAAAAACAATCTCCTCAGTTCGCTTACGCTTTTCTTGCAAAACCGTGGAAGACGTAGAGAAGAGCAAGTCGTCGAGATCATGCAGCGGTGAAATGGTGACCAGGGAACCCAGCGGTGATAAACCTTGATGCGACGGAGCAGAAGCGAATGCTCCTCGGCTGTTGCTGCTACGAGACCGGTTATTTTCGACCACAGCATCGACCAGGGACAACACGCGAGACGGCACATCGCGATTGGGAGAAAGACTGGAACTTCTTTCCTGGACAAGCGACTTTGCGCGTTGCAAAACGTCCTCGAAGATCGCTGCGGTCTCGCTGCTAGAAAGTGCTTGACGGAGGTCGACGTGTTGGTCCTCTCCTGTATTGTAAGCCACAGCATGAGAGGCGGAAACACCACTGCTGCTGCTACTTTTTTCGTTTCCTAGTACAACCTGCGACTCGAGTTGCAGCCCGTTGTCCTCGCCCTCCACCACTTCCAAAAGGCTGTCTTCCTCCTCCAGTTCCCGCGCTTTTTTCGCTTCGAGGAAGATTTTCTGCATTTCCTCCACTTGTTTCTCCAGTAATTCTTCTTTCATCGCCACAAGTTCCTTCTGCTCTTTTTCCGCCAACAGCACCGCTTTTTCCCCACTGTTCTTCTGCTCCAGTTTCAAAACCTGAAGTTCTTGCTCTAAACCCTTGATCTGTTTCTGCAGCATCTGCACGGATTGCTGCAATTCCAGCTGCAATTTCTGTAATTTCCTTTTCTTCGGCGAGTTGTTGTTCTGACTCCGCAAATCCCCGAACAGGTCAAACATGGTCTCGTCGTCCGGAATGATGTTTTGCTTCATCAATTCCAAATGTTCTTCGTCATCCACGCACGGCGGAGAGGAGCCGCAGAGCACCAACGACCGCTGACTCGTAGAAGTAGTGGAATTATGACTCACATCAGACGCTTCGCCGAGGGAAGAGCTGTCACCGCGGGACAGCTGGTACCGGGCGGGCGAGCGGTCGCTGCTGGTCGCGGAAAGACGGTAGTAGTCAACTAAACGCTCCTGTGGACGTTTCTGTAGTGAAGCAGTGGGGTTCATCAAAGTGCCGGCATGATCCTGGGCGAGTGTAGCTGTTCCTCCGGCTGCTGCTGGTGCACCAGCACTTTCATCGACACTGTTTATTCCACCGAAAGACTTCTTGACGATCCCGCGGAGCGGTTCCTTACTCAGCGACAACTTCGCCGACGGGGTTGCGACCCGGGTTTTGATACTCGTCAAGACCTGGCCGACCGGATTGTGCTTGTATGCGATCGCGGTGGAGTTGGTGGGAAGTAAGCACTTAAACAGCATTGGCGGCGCGTGTTGCACTTGGATCTCTTCGTTAAACTTAACACTGGACTTCCGCCGGGGTCCTTGCCAGTTTACGTCCGGAAACCAAATCTCCCCCCGGTGGTTCGTTCCGAGATCCTCTGGGCTCAGCTTGGGCTGTGGTGGTTTCTGTGGCTGATCCGCATCGGTTTTCGAAGGAGTGGTCGAGGGCTTGTTTTGGTCTTGAGCAAAAGAGGGGGAGACACAATCGCCAAGGAGAATGGAAGGGCTGTTGCTTGGAGAGGAGGTGTTATCCGCGTTTCCGTCCTCCGCATTGGGGGAGAGCGGAGGCCCCAACTCACTGTTGTCCTTCTGCTCAACACGGCTTGTTTGCGGCGCAGCCGGAGAGGGCTCACGAAGATTCTGTTGATCGGCCGGCGTCGGCAAATAGGACTGCAAATCATTCGCTTTCTCCGGAGAAGCAGAGACTGATGGTGACGACACCGCAGTTTTTTCTTGCTTGATGTTGTTCCCCTGTTTCTTAGGCGTGTTTTTACTATTTGGAAAAGCCCGCTTTTTCCCCGCACTGCTCGGCAACGACGCGGTGGTCGACAAATCCACTTTTTTCGAAAAGTGATCTAAATACCGCGCCGCCACGTACACGCACTTGCTCTTCCTGTAGTTCCGTGACGCCGACCGGTTGCGCTTCTGCTTGTGCCCATTTTGGTGTCCACCTCCGCTTCTGCGAAGATTTCCGCTGGGGGTGAGCGCCCGCATCTTCGGACTGACGGGAGAGTATGCCGGGGTCGTGCCGACAACCCGTCTCTTCCTCGATGGACGACCGCGACCGGGCTTGTTGGAAACCAAAAGCGAATCTCGCTGTGAAGTAGAACTCTGGTGTTGTTCTTGCTGGTGATGTGCATGTGCTATGCCTTGTAAATGCAACTGCAGTTGCTTTGTCGCTGATTCAGTCCTTTCCACCATGCTGCCGAGCGACAACCCCCGTTGAACGAACCCCTCGACGCCCACGGGTGCCGGCCCACGGCTGAACGACCGCGGCAACCGCAGGTTCGACGGCTTGTTATCTTGTTGTGCACTTCGTTCGAATAGTTGTGCCCCTCCTCTGGCGCGGATCGGCGACAAACTCCGAGACGACAAAGACAACAGACTGACGCCGGAATTTGCTCGCTCGACAGGACCCGGTGTCAACGGTCGCAGATCCAGTTTGCGCGGGGTCATCAGCGGAAACGCAGAGGCGGAACGGTTTTGTGCAGCTGAAGACTGTGGCACAGAAGAAGCAACGCCAGCAGTCACGCTACTGTTAACATTCGCTGCACTCTCCAACAGCCGTTGTCTCTCCACCACCGGTCTTCGTGCGCCCGACTGCAAACTCGGGGGACTGAGTCTCGCGGGTGGTTGGAAGGTTGTGCCGACACCGCTGGCCCGACGATGAAAAGAGTGCTTCACGATGTCGCGCCGGGGGGAGTTGTTATCGGGCCGAGAGATGGTACGTTGCACTCTGGGACTTCGCTGTATGGCTTCGTCATCAAGAAATTCTAATTCCGGCTGGTGGTGTTTGAAAGAATGCGACGATGGAGCTGGATCGCCTTTGACATTCTCGTTACTCTCTGCCACAACATCCTCCGCCCACTGCCGCTCGAACCGCAGCGGCATCGGCGTTTCGTTCACGGCCGAGTGATGTTCTGGACCTAGTTGGGCGTTGCTGGGTTCAGGGGACGTCGGGGGAGCGATTTTCACGTATTCTGTACCCGAGGAAGGTCTTTGCTGCGAACTTCCACTTGGGGGAACCGCGACGCGAGTGCGAGCCTGAAATCAATGTGAAGATCTTGAGAATCTGAGGACTGTGTATCTGTTTTTGATTGCGACTTGCGGTTGCGATTAACATAACTTGTGTGAAGATGAAAATAGGTGCAAAGCGAACGAAAACCAAATCTTCATCTTGCTATAGCCACCTGGTTCCGCTCAGCCGGATGCAAAGTCGGGCGATACACTGCCGACGCGAAGGGTATTCTCGTGCCCTTGCTTGCGGTCTCAATGCGGGTCCTGGCTTCCCTCTGTTCCGTCACTTGCTGCTGCAGGTCGTGGGCTGGAATTGGGCGATGATGGGGTTTTCACTCATTGTCAACATCAACATGCACTTTTTTACAGCAAAAAAAAATCATATCAACAAGTGACTGGTAAGGACAACACGATCGCTACTATACAATAATTCTTCTGCAGTTGCCTCTTGTTCGCGGACAGCTCGGGCGTTGTCTGCGTTTTTAAGCCGAACTGGTGCAAGGTTCCGCCGGGGGAGGTCGGAGCTAAATTTGTGCTGCGATGATCGCCGGTCGACATAATTCGCGTTTTAGCTGTGCAGTGGCTTTTACTTCTTTTTCACACGAAATTACGATTAGTTCCTCTTCTTTTTGTTGTCAGTCTCTTGCTATGATGCTGTTACTTCTTCATTCAATGACAATTTACTACAAGGTACAGCAGTCGTTTGGAAAAACAATTTTTGCTGAAAAGTAGGCCTGTGCTTGCTCGTGTCGGACTTACATAGTCAAATCGTTTCTCTTCGGGCTATTCTCTGTTTTGAAAGACAGAAGGCAAAAACAAAAACACAAACCGAGTGACTACTTTGTGAAACAAGCACACTGAAACTCACTCGCGGAAATTTTTCCCAAGAAAACAATTCGCTCCAGTACTTCACGTGCAGAAACAATTGGCAAGAAAAAAACGGGGCTCCATAGATTTCTATCACAGGTTAACAAAGAAAACAATGCAGAAACACAAAAAAAGCGACGACTTTTTCACAAGCAGACAAGAAATTTTCTCGTGGTTCCTTCAGGGTTTTTTTGAGGTTTTCGGTATACAGAGCCGTACATGTGAAAGTCGGGTTGTAGAGGCGGGTCCAGTGCGTTGATCTTTTGTCGTATTGTCTAAATGAGTTGCGCTTTCTCATTTCGTCGCTTGGAAATGGTCCGCTACCGCTGCAATCTTGCGGTTTCGAATTTCAAGTTGTTCGTTGTCAGTTTCGCTCGTCTCGGCTAGTTGTGTACAGATTTTCAAAAAAACATCTGATTGACAATTGCAGCAGCTTGTTTTCATCGCATCTGTAAACCAAAGTAGAAAACGAAGGCTACTTCTCTAATCGAGATCGTCGGAGTCATCGGTTCTCTGTCGCTTGGCAATGTAGCCGTCGCGATCCTCGTACCCTTCGATGTACCCGCCGTCGTTGTTCTCCTTTTCCTTCGTCAACTTTTCCAACGCCGAACTCGACACCGGCACATGCATGTCCGGCACGGCCGGCTCCTCTTCCGCGGCCGCGGCTGCAATTTGCTCCGCAAAGTCGTTGTAGGAGCCGTGGAGTTCCGGATTGTAGGACGAGCCAGCATCTTCTTCGTAGTCAAAGGAATTTCCCGAGCCAGCTCCCGAGTTGTTGTAGTCGAAGGACGAACCAGAGGTGTTCAACACTCCGCCCTTTTCGGAGCCCTTCTTGTTTCCCGAAGAACCTTTCTTCTCGCCCTTCTTCTTTCCCTTGCCGGCCCCGGATGAGCCTTTTTTCGACTCGTACACGGTGTACCGATTCACCAACGCGGTGGACCGGCCGTCGTCCGCTTTTGGAGCCGCTTCAACCACGACCCCATCTACAACGACTTCGCCCTTCTTGAACCCCTTATGTCCTCCTTTTCGCCCGCGTTTCTTCCCCTTGCCCCGCTCCCGGCGCAGGACCTCCGCGGTGGTCACCTCGCGCTGCGCGGTGATCTGGATGTCCGGTTCCTCGACCACTTCGACGACTTTTTCCTGGAAGTACACGACGATGCAGGTCAAATTGTCCATCGACCGCCGGTTGTAGGCCTCCTCGACAATTGCAGACGAGGCTTTGGTCGCGTCCGGGTAGTTTTTGTGTAGAATCTTCGACACCTCCGGGTTCGTCAACACGTCAAACACCCCATCGCAACTCAACATCAAGCCCGTCTCCATCCGGACCGTGCGGATGTCCACGTCCGGGGTCGCGATCAACAGCGGTTTCGGGACCTTGAAATCCCGATCGCCGAAGGAGCGGGACACGGCGAGCGCGACCGGCTCACGTTCTTGCACTCCCCCTAACCCGCGAGCTTTTTCGATCTTCAGCCGCCGGGTTTTCTCCTCGAAATCCAAATGCGCGACGCGGGAACAGCCGCCCATTTTGATAACTTTCCCACCGGCATTCGTCACCCGTTGCTTCTCGTTCGTGTCTTCCGGTTTGTGATCCTCGGTGACCGCGGTAGATTTGAAGGCCACGCGTTGCTGTCCGTTGATGTCCACCGCCCCTTGCCGCTCCATCAAGACGGCGCGGGAATCACCTAACCACGAAGTGACCAACCGGTCGCCGACCAGGAGGGAGACGACAGACGTCGCGCCGTCAGGTAAGGTTTTGTTCTTTGCGAGGAATTCCCGGTCCAGCGCCTCGTACACATCCTTCAGCGCCACCCGGTACATGTCATCCGTCCAGTACCCGCGGTAGGAAGCCAGCGCGGGGACGAGTTTGAGGACAAATTTCTTCGCGATAAACTCGGAGCACTGGGTCCCTTGGTGACCGTCGAACACGCCAAAAAGGGAGCACGGGCGGGTGTGGAAAAGAAAATGCAGGTCTTGATGGCAGATTCAGGATTTTTATGTGTTGTAGTTGTTTCTAGAAGTACTATGTCGAATCGATTTGAAAAAAAAAAGCTGGTGCATTTCTGGATAAAGTGATACTGTGAGTGTAGTTCTGCTACGCATATGCAATAAAGCAATATGCAATCGGTTATGGCGCATGACAAAGAAGCCCTCCACATTGCCTGCATTTAAATTCATTTCCATAACCATCCAAGTGCTCTAACGAGTACTTCAGGGCTTTAGCGGTCTGGTATTCATTGGAAATCTGTACTTTACGCCAAGATTTGTAATGCTCATCTTCGATTGTGGGGGTATCAAATTATGCGACTATAATTTCCTTTTTCTAAGTAACGCCCCAACAACATAACATAACATTAAATGAATAAATTTACAAAATTCGCATTACAAATTGAGGTAGAAAACACAGAAAAGAAACGTTTGGTAGGTACTTTAGGTCACGGACAATCAAGTGTCGATCTTCTTGCTTTGGCCGGCGGCCTTGCATGAAGGTAAAATCCGCCGTGAACTCCCAGTTTTCGTACTCGAACACCTCCTCGGGCAGCGCCGCCTCTTCCGCGTTATGCATTGCAAATATGTCTGGGTCTGGGTGTGATGCGCATTTCACAACACATAAAAATCTCTCATGCATAGGCAGCAAAAGCTGCCCGCTTTCTGTCACCAAAATCGAGCATTTGTGATGCAGATTCGGCATTGCGGAAGCTTCTCGAAACCTGTGATGCTAGAACTTCCTTTCCAGACCTTCTGTGTCATGCAAAAGCAGCATGACTCTTCCAGACCCAGACACTTTTGCAATTCATACGTGTGCGTCTCCAGCAACACGGCGTTGGTCGGAATCGGTTTCCCCTCGTCCTGGTCCTTCCCGCCGATGCTGTTCAGCGATTTGTTTTTCTTGTTCAGCTTGTATCCTGAGTGAAAACGTCCCCACACCAGAGTCAAGATGGAGATTTTTTTTGTTTGAATGCGGGAGGGGATTTCGGCCTCTATACACGGCTACCCACATGCAAAAAAAGCTACTTTCTCCCGGTTGTGCGATGCGACTGCATGTCTGTCCCAGATAGCAACATCGGCGTAGCTTTCGAATCGTGGCGCCCGTTTGATCTCTGTTGCTATGTGTGACGTCTCAGGCGCAGAGCGCTTCGACGTCAGTACCTGTCCCGTCCAGCCCTTCAGTCTTGTTTGGCCGCTCCGGTATATATAGGTAGCTCCCTGAGCCCGAAAAATGAAAAGAAGTCACGTCCTTTCTTTGTTAAGGCGCTTCATATTTTTCATCACATTAATCTTCATACATATCCGCTATTCCAAGCCAGTGCTCATACATAGCTTCACACTCGAAAATGCAGCTAGAGACTTTCTCAGAATACATATCACATAGCAGACGTTGTTACCCGCCTGAAGGTTTAGTGCCGCGCATTCAGAATCTTTTGGCAATCGGAAACCTGCAGCCACGGCCTATCACACTTCACACAGGTAGAACACCCATGCTCCTTCTGCACTTTTGTCTGTGATAGTTGCCCTGACCTGGAGCAGCTTATGCATATGTGTCTTAACTAGGACTTCATGCAAGGACTGCCCCCTTATCAAGAAAAAAAGAAAGGTCTAAGTTTTTGGAATGGTAAAAAAGAAATAGCATGCACACGCCTCCCCTTCATTGGGGAGGTGCTGGTATCATTGTTGTGCTTTTTTCTGCCATGTTTTATTTTCTTTCATACCCAATCAAAACCTTGCGCTAACGACGTGGCAACCGCGATGAGCCAAACACTAATGACCGACCTTTTTCTACGATACGATCCCTGCTCTACGATGCAAAACAAGAGATGGAGATTTTGGAACACAAACCTAGAAGTTTTGGGACTCATGCATCACAAGTTGCCGTCCGTAGTGTAGTGCAGGTTAGCACGATAAAACGCATCACAAATCCATCTGCTGATCCTGGTTACAGCATTACAAATGCCACAACACGACTAGAAATTACTATCATGGTGATGCGCATTACAAATGTTCCTGTCGATGCAAACCTGCATGACAACTCTGGGGTGGGCGGGACGTTTTTACAAATGATAGCTTGTGCTGCTCCGTCATCCGCTTCAGCTGCGCGCTGGGCGGCTGCACGCGCAGGCTCTGGCCGTCGAAAAGCGTGTCACTGGATGGGTGGTACAAGGCCTGGCCGAGTTTGGTCACCCCAATGGTCGGCTTGAATCCCTCCTTCAGCAGCGCCTCGCGGCTCAGCGGGGCGTCGTCTTCCATCATATTTTTTTGTTGGAGATGGCGTGCTTATTTCTAGGGGTAGACACGTGATTTGGTAGTAGAGTGTAGTTTTAATTAACAAGGGGCTCAGAAAAACTCTATGTGTACTCGGTCGTCTAGTCACGTACTTTCTCGAGAACCTGTCTCACACAAGGAAAGCTCCCGTCACACGACTACTTTGCTTTCGCTAAAATACTAGGTCAACTCGAAAATTTTTCATTGTGCGCCTCATCTCCTCGGTTTGGCTGATGGGGTCTGTAAAAAGAAGTAGAGATTTTCATTGATTGCATCACACCAGCAAGGGTGTGCGTGACATACAGTGATGACAAAGAAATGGACTTACACTTAGGTTATTTGCGTTTCCCTCTACAGCGTTTTGATCTTTTCCTACTATAGCTGGATGGTGCCCATGTTTGCAGCAACATTTCTCGAAGCAGAAGATTGAACAAGAATGTCACATTCTTATCGTAATTCTATGCGTAAGCGTATTCAAGTTTCCTATTGGTACTGCTCTGATCTTTCATGTAAGCGAATTGATCCCCCTCCTTTGTTGACGTCTCATCTACTTAGAGGCTTTATTGATTCTGTAGCGAGGTAGAAGTGAATGTACTTAGACGGGAGCAGTGTTTTGCAAAAAGTTGGAGTTGCGAACGATTTCCTGTTTGTGGAAAACACAGTCACATGGACAAAAGATGGCCTTGATCAACAACATCATTCCTGACGCGTATTTTCACGCACTGTGCGACTGCTTCATCAATTTCCACATTAGTACCCGGAGCGCTGTGCGTAGCTCCGAGCGGAAAAGAAAATCAGAATGCAGCGGTAAGTACATTTTGAGTTTATTTGATCCAGAGCTCGCAATCACAACATCCGCGTCTTCAGCGGTGAGTCTCTGCCTACTGATCCGTAGCTCTTATCTAGTGCTGAACTGTTGTTCATCCCTGGCAGCCCGCCGTTTGGAAAATTGTGCATTGCCGACGGGACGGACGCAAACACCTTCGTCAGGACGAAGGTGAAGCCGAACCCCAGGAACGCCACCACTGCGGCGGACACGAAGAAGAAGACGAGACTTTTCGCAACATACGTATCTCGTAACTCCGTCGTGTCCTTCATCCAGCGCACGTAAAGAGTATGTTCCTCGTGCGGCAGACTGAATTGACCCTCGGCTTTCAGCTGTGAGACGACGTTTTTGATTTTGCTGTGGCAGACAACAACAACATGAACATGATAGATTGATGAGGTACTACTTAAAATCAGTGCATAGAGAACGAGAATGGATCAACTTCCACTTCCTTTATGGATCCTGGCGAAAGCATGCAGTCCCTGGTAGCCTATCTACCTACAGAATCAGTACTCTTTTACCTGCGCATCCTCGAATATTTCCGACCCGCTCTTCGTCCAAAACCTGCTGGGCTTCCGTCGTAGTATTACCGATGCCGTGTGCACACTTTGCTCGATACTACTGTCGCAATAAAAGTGTCCGACCGTGTCGCAACAGTTCATGCCAACCGCCCAGACGTATCAAAAGGAAAAATCCCCCCTCCACATTTCCAAGCGAAGTTTCTGCTGCTGGATTTCCGGACACAAATCAGACTTGTCTTGCAGTAGGGGACTGCAGGCATATGCTAAGCCTGAGTCGAGAGGTTTTGACGCAGGCGCCTAGCATGGCAAACGTCTAGACTGTAAGCCCAACAGCATCACAAACCGCCCGCATAATGCGGCGGACTCTCTGGGTTCGCCTTCTTGCAACACAGACGTGATTGGTGGTCACAAATCTGCATCACAAATTTTCAGACAAGTGGACTTTCAATATGGGGAGTGGGGATTTTTCTTTACAATAAGAAGCTGACTTTCGAACTCGTCTCCGCGTCCTTCTCCACGATGGGGGCGATACAGTACATGGTCCCTTTGCGTTTGTACCTGAAGTTTAAGTCCGTTGTTAAACCGGGAATTTTGATAGCTGGGGCGGTAGTAAGACAGGACGCCAGCTGTCGTGTAAATCATTTGTATTCCTTCAAAGGAATCCTTTGTCGTGAGGATGAAGCAGGTACTTTTATCCCTCGCAAAAACAAACACTAACACTCCCTATGGTATACCCAACTCCCCTGGTCGTTTCCACGATGCTTTCGTGCGAGAACTGCATTTGCGATGCGTCCAAAAAGGCCTCCGCCGGGCTGGTTGGTACGACGTTTCGGTAGGTGGTCCCCGTGTCGTAAAAAACAACGTGCTCAAAAAACATACGCCAATTGTACGCCGCGGCCAGTCCCCCGAGCGCCAATCCAAACGTCGTGCAGATCAGTGTGGGTACGAAGTAAACGTTTTTGAACCGGTTTTTCCAGAGAAAGAGGAACAGAATCGCATCGACGAAGAGAAAGAAGTGCAGTAACCTCGGTAAGTGGAAGATCGCGTACACGCCGAGAACTTGCGTGAGGAGAAACTGGACCAGGATAAACGACGTGTACAGATACCGCTGTTGGTGCACGGGCATCCGCGCGACATCCTTCCGGAGCAGCCCGCCGTAGAGCAGGTTCGACTCCTCTTTTACAACGTTCATAGTAGTAGGTTGGCGTCGGACGCAAAGAACGCGGGTAGGTTGGCGTCGTACTTCACTTGGGCGGAACAAAGAACGCGCGCGCCCGCTGTGCAGCTCTCTCCGCCACTTGGCGATGTTGTAGCGCTAGCTTTACGCTTGCATCAACAACGACGTGCTAAGAAAGTGGAGGGACACGCATTTTGATTTTCGATTGATTGTAGATTCAAAGCAGAACTTTGACTTTCACGTCGGTCCCGTACATGCGTCCTTTGCACAACTTGCTTTGCTCAAAAACACGCGTGTCGCTCGCGGCTTCGTTGTCGCTCTCGTACGCATCGTCCTCTCTCTTGTGGAGCGAAACAAACTTCTGTATGTGTATCTATCAAAAGTTTACTAAATTCTATGATATCCATGCCGAAGAAACTCGTCACATGACGAGTTGTACTGAAGCCCTGCTCGAAGCAGAGTTTGTTCAACATTTAGCGTCATCATTAAATACAACTGGTACAACTTCACTGACACTGTTTCAACATCTCCGCAATTTGTCACTTTTAGTTTTGCCAGCAGCTCTACGACCGAAAGCAAACTAATTCCTATTCCACATCAAGATACAGAAGGCACCTTGCACTTGCACTGAATCACGTCGCAGTACTACTACTCGAAGATGACCTGCCCTGGTTAATCGTGTCCCGCGCGTCCTTCCCGGGGGTCTCTGCATGTCGAAAAATGTCGTTGCCATCGTACACATACGCCCGAAACTCCGTCGACTGCGCGCCGGCGTAGCACTGCAGCGTCAACCACCGGTCTATATTCGTCCACTTCTCCTTGTGCCTGAGCTCATCGAGACGTGTCCGCGGGGTGCTGCCCCAGGGAATCTGGCGCAGGCAGTTTAGTAGATGTGAGGCGCCGACGGGTACTAGTTCTTGGAGGGTCTGGGTTTCGGAACCGCTTGTAGCTGTTTTTGGATCAACTACACGATGATCTCCACCCGTAGCAGTTGTGGTCGTCCTCCCGAAGAAGGGGGCTGCAATTTTTATCTTGCGATCGTTGTACATCAAGGCCGACGTCCAGACGTTTGGTACGCCCTCCGCAATGTCGTGCTTCGGAACTTCTTTCAGGGTCCCGTGTTTTTGCAATTCCTCATTTTCATCGGCACCGAGCGTCACGTTTGACGACGGAAACCAGCGCCGCAGGGAGCCATGGATGTCTAGCTGCTGCACTTCCTCCATAGCGGACACGCGGGGGCCCACTCCGCCAGCCAAAGCAGTAATTTGTGTTGTACTACTAGAAGTTGTCTGTTCTCCAACTAATTTTTGCACATCATCCACTCCACCTCGCAGCAAGTCCGGCCCGTCTGCGAGCGGTCGCAACACCGAGAGCAGGGCAAAGTCCACTTCCTCGGGCGAGTGCATCCGCTTCAACAAAGTGCAAACCTTCCCGAAGCTGTGCGGGTCCGCGACGGCAGAATCTTCCAAGACGAGTGTGAAACTGGGCGGGGGCGTGGTGGAGAGCGAGGTCGCGACTCCTGTTGTCTCCGATGAAGCGTTCTTGTCCACCTCGTCTGCCGACTGACTGTACAAGCTCGAAGCCGGCTTTGCTGACGCTGGTGAAGTTGAAGTAGAAGTGGAATCCAAATTTACCAAATAGTCCGCGAGCGCCACATGCGCCATTCCGCAACCAAGATTGCCGTCCCAGCCTTCCACGTCCAGGAGCGCTGGGTCCACAACTCCGAGTTCTTGGATGAAATGGGTTTTCACCTCCGCAATGCGATCTCGGTACATGAACCCCGGCCAAACTTTCAGCTTCATCGGCATGTTTAACATGAAGGCTGCTTCACTTGTTTTTGCTTTTTGTTCTACTTTCTTTCCCGTTGTAGCTGCTTCTTGTTGCCCGATTTTCGTTGCCACGACCCCATGTTGACCCGCGTGTGGTGTTTCGCGCCGCGGGTCTACTGCTCCAGCACCAGGTTGATCTTCATACCGGTTCTTCGTTTCTGCTAAAGCCGTTTGATTGTCCTCCCTCATGTCTTCAAACGATGATGAAGATGCAACCCCCGGAACCTCCACCCGATCGTAACACTGCGTGAGAAACCGCTCGAGCTTCCACCGCCACCGCGGCAGTGAGATGATGAATGCACGAAAGCTGGGATCGTCCGGCCCGCCGCAGTGATTCAGGTTGTCGATTGCGTCGTACGCTGCTCGGTCTTCGAAGTAAAGCTCCCCGGTGGAAGTCAGGTAATCCACGACTGCATCGATTCTTGCTTGCGTCTCGTTGACCTGTATGAATGCAGAAGAAGAAGAAGTCGAGTTCCAGAGATCACCGGGCGGTGTTTCATATCCTCCCGCTTCCGTTCTTCTTGTTCGGGCTTCTTCATTCTTGAAAGTGATCGTCGCCTCCCCGCCGGGGGCAAGAAAAGCGACATCGTCTTTGCTGTCGCGGCGCAGCAACTGTTTCTGTTGCGCGGCGCTATTAGAGGCGGCGAGGGAAAGAACGATGGACGAAACCGCAAAGCGACCAACACTGCCTCGCCCGATCCCATTCGGTTTCCAGAGAGTTGAGGACATTTCGATTTTCCTTGTCTACGCTCCTGCCTTTTGGCACGAACGTACTTACTTTTCGCCGGCAAAAACTTGAAATTGTAATGAAGATGCGAAAACAAGAAAAACAATAACAGGCACGAACTGCCGACAAAAGAAATCAAAGCTCTCTTTCGAGTAAAATAGTGAAGTAGATCTCGGCGAAGCGATACACACGAAGTCGAAAAGCGACAACTTCACGACACGACGAGGGCCACGATTAATACGATTGAAAATTCCAATACTCACCTCACTCAAGCGAAAATCAGACGTGGTCAAAACCATTCTTGTTCTTATTTTTATGTATCGCCTCCGATTTTATTTCGAAGGTCTGCCTTCTTTTTTCAAACGGTCGCTCGTTCATTGCGAAGAACGTTTGAAATGGTACTATGTTCGGTTTTTGTTTTTTTCCTTACACTTCTTTTCTTCCTCACGCTTCCTAGCTCGTCAGGATATCTCTGGTAGACGCCCATTTTTAATGAGCCCTGCGACGGAAACTCTGCGAGGGAAGTTTAGTACGAGTAAGTGTTCAAAGAAAAACGACTTACTTAAGTTCTTGCTCAACATCTAGCGAAAACGTACTAGCCACCAAGGCTCTGTGTAATATCCAAGTGCTTTTGCAATCACTCCAACGGGCAAAGCAGGCTGATCCGACGCAAAGATCGATGAGGTTGTAACTTCCATTCTTGGCTCGGTTCTTCTGTGACGCACGGTGGCTACGTGATGGTTGTTCACTTGATGATGTGCGCAGACCGGTACAGTTGGAACGAAAGTGGTCCGAAGCCTCGTTTTCAGAGGGAAAGAACTTCGAGTGGCACGACAGACTCCTTGCGACGTGCAGATTTCGGTCGTGCCGTCACCAGTTCTTCCCACATCGAGGAACAAACTTGCGCCTGCTGCTACTGCGGACCTAGTATCCCGTGGTCCCACACTTTTCCCGCCCTTCAACAATTCTGCTACTTGGCCCCGCTCTTCCGTAGCATCCTTCGTCTCTTGTTGCTTCGCGCTCTCCACTAACTGCGCTCCGTTCTTCAACATCCTGTCATACTTCTTCTTTTGCAGCTCCGCCAAATCCCCGCCGTCTTTATCGCCCTCCGCACCGGGCGGCAAGAGCCCGGCGGCCTGCTGCTTCGCCCGAATTTTCTCGCGCAGCCGCGCACGGTCGATCGGGCCCTCCCCCTGCTCGTTTGCAAGCTCGTCCAAATCCTCCTCGAGCTCCGATGCCGGATTCACGACCAAGACGGCCGTTTCAGACGCCGTGGGTACGTGCACCGGCCTCGCATCGCAGAAGTCCTCGGGGTACTGTCGCAGGTAGGCAAGCCGCTCCAAAAACTGACTCGTGTCCACGTGCAGGTCATCGGCGTGTCCGAGCGACCGCCGCGCGTACCGAAAAGCGGCGCTGCTCCGGGCTGTCGCCTCGTAGCTGCGTTCGAGTAACGCTGTCAGCGTCTCGTTCTGCGGCGCGTCGCCGGTACGCAAAAACCTGTCCGGCAGCTCGGGGTTTTCTCCCAACCCGGTTGGTGACAAGCTGGTGACCGGCTTCGGCCGGATTTTATTGAACGCTGCCATGATAGCGCTCGCCATCTTGTTGGAGGAGGAGTGCTTGCAAGGACACGAAGGCAGACACACAAAATCAAAGTGAAAGTTCTAGTTGAGTTCTCTTTCGAATGAAATTATGTATCGTGATGTAGAAGATCTCAGCGAAGCGATAACGATACACACGAAGTCGAAAAGCGACGACTTCACGACATGAGGGCCACGATTAGTTACGATTGGAAATTCGAAATCGAATAGTCAAGGCACGTCGATCAGGCGAAAACCAAATGTCAAAATGAGAAAGAACACTTTTGTTCTCATATTCCCCCCGATTTTCCAAAGGTATCCATTCTTTTTTCAGAAGATCGCTCGACGTTCATTGTGAACGTTTCTATGTTCATAAAATGATACTATGTTCGCTTTGTAGTTTTTGTTTTTTCCTATACAGTTCTTTTTATCCTCACGCTTCGATTCGTACATTTCTTACTTCATCGAGCTCGTTCCCATGTTTTTTGGTTTTACTTTCGCGTCGTCCTCCAATTTCAGCTCTGTTTTGCTGTAGTAGTAGGGTGCCACTTCCGCGAGCCACTTCGCCTGCACCTCGAAACATTCCCTCATGTACTCCTTTTCCGTCTTCCACAATTCGTAGTAGCAGATCATCTTCGGCTTGAACTCCAATATTGAGCTCGACGGGTGGATTTCGACGGAATGCGGGTTTTTCAAAGTCGTGTACGACCCGTTCTTGTTGAGTCGCGCGCAGTGCCAGAAGTAACCGGAAAGAAGTGACTTCCTGATTCCCTCGTCGTTTGCCGGGTTGCTGGTCACTTCAATGTCGACTTTTTCCAACAACTGCAATAATTGGTCTCTGATGTCTCTCGCTCGGTTTAATGGGCGGTATTGCAAATAATTCTCCACCGTCCACTGTTGACTGTAATTCGTGTCTTCCCACTGCTTGTAGATGTTCAAAAGCATGAACTGGTCGCCGCCGGGCCGGTGGAAATTCTTCTTCGCGTTATCTGCGTGCACCGCTTTTTCCTTCGGTCGGAAGAACAGGGAATCGCCCATGGAAAGAACCGAGCAAATCGTCACTACTTCGTCGACGACCAGGTACTTCTGTGCGGAAATCAACGCTTTCGCCATCATGGGCTCGAGTGGAAATTCCGCCATTCTCCGCCCGAGAGTCGTCAATTCCCCGTTCTGGTTCAAGGCCATTAACCCATACAGCTGCTCCAGTGATTTCACTAAGAAATCCGTCGGCGGCGGGTCCATGAAGTCGAACCGCATGATGTCCTTCACGTTCAACGCGAGAAGTTGTAAAACCACGTTGCAAATGTTCGCGCGAAGGATTTCTGGGGTGTTGCTGTCGTCTAAATTCTGTTCAAACTCGTACTTCGTGAACAGGCGGAAACACTTTCCCGGCATCACACGACCGGCCCGACCGGCGCGCTGGTTTGCGGCGGCTTTGGAGACCGGGACGACCTGGAGGCTGCTCATCCCGGTTTTCGGCTGGAAAGAAGACTGCTTGCAGAACCCAATATCAATCACATAGACAATGTTGTCAATTGTGATCGAAGTCTCCGCGATGTTCGTCGCTAACACGACTTTCCGTGCGCCTTCGGGTGTTTGGTCGAAGATTTTTGCTTGCAACTCGGTTGGGAGATTTGCGTAAATTTGGCAGGTGATCAACTCCGGCACTCGGTTTCCAAGCGTGGCCATCTTCTTCTGAATCAGCTCGTTCACCTCCTCAATGTCTTGCACACCGGTGAGAAAGACTAAAACATCCCCCATGGGCTGCGTCAAGTGGATTTGCATCACAGTGTGTGCCGCCGCCATCTTGTAGTTCGCTTCGGGGCCTTTCGTGTAGTGGATGGAGACTGGAAATTTCCTCCCCGGGACGGAGAAAATCGGACAACCATCGAAGTAATTGGAAAACTTCTCCGCATCTAAAGTCGCGGAGGAGATGATCAACCGGAAATCTTGTCGGAACCGGATGATGTCCTTCGCTAGCCCGAACAATATGTCCGTCTGCAGTGTTCTCTCGTGCGCCTCGTCAATAATCAAGACTGCGTAAGTGGAAAGGTCCGGCTCGCGGAGGAAATCGCGCAACAGCATACCGTCCGTCATGTACTTGACAATAGTTTTATCGCTTGTGCAGTCCTCAAACCGAATCGTGTACCCGACCTCGTGCCCGAGCTTCACGCCCATCTCCTCCGCCACGCGCGCCGCGACGGACATCGCGGCGACCCTTCTTGGCTGTGTGCAGCCGATCTTCCCGAACCCGCCAAAGCCCTCGTCCACTAAATACTGCGGCACTTGCGTGGTTTTCCCGGACCCCGTTTCCCCCTGCAGCACCAACACTGGATTCTCTTTCACCGCTTCTATCAACTGATCCCGCCACTGAAAAACGGGCAATTGCCGTCTGCCTTCCATCAACTTTGCTCTTTTCCGCTGCACTTCCGCCTTGGCCATCGCGACGCGCTCGTCCCGCGATCGGTCGTACTTGTTCAAATCCTGTCCCTCCGCATTTTTCATTGACGCCAACGCAGCAAACGTACTAGCAGTGGAACTTGCGTCGTCCTTGGATTTGTAGTTCCCGCCGTGGGTTTCGAGCATTTCAAACTCCACTTGATTCTCCATGATCAGATCATACCCCGCTTTTTCCTCTTCGTTCATTCCCTTCTTGAACGTCCCCATCGCGCGTTTTATCATGTCCTGCTCGAACTTCTCTTGTTCGGTCCGCCCGGTCCCGTCGAAACCGCCCTCCGCGTCCCGGCCGCCCTTGTAGGCCCCGGGGCCCTGATTCAACATCCCCAGCCGAGACGCAGCAGATTCGCCATCCTTGTTATCGGGGAGTGCGTACCCGTCGTAGGCTAAGCCCTGTTCCCTCTTCTTTTTGTGCTCGACCGCCTTCTCGTACATCTCCTCCTGCAGTTTCATCTTCAACACCTCCGCCTCCGTGAGATTTTCGTGCTGCATCAATTCCTTCTGGGCGGTGATCAACCGTTTCTGGAGTTCCAACTGTTGCCCCTCCCGCTCGGATAAGTACTTGTATCTCGTTTCCTTTTTGTGCATTTCAATCGCCAGTCTCCTTTCGTCCTCGTTCCGGAACGTTATGTTGCCCATGGAGCTGATCTTTTCCTGCTTCTCCTTCTTCTTTTTCTCTCCCTTCAATCTCGAGTTCAAGTCCGCGAGCTCCTGTGCGTCCGCCTCCGCGTCGATCTTGTGGTCCACTTCGGTGACCATTTTTGGCCTTTTGCTACCCGGAGGGGTATCTAGTTCTCGTGGTGACTTTTTATTGTTGTCTAGTATCCCGAGTGGATCATCATCGTTGTTCTTATCCAGCGGGCTCTTATCCAGCGCCTCGTCTGCCATGCGCTCCAGTTCTTCTTTGCGTGATCTTTTTGCCTTTGGCGGATACTTTGCGGGGTTGAGCACGATGTCCATCAACTGCGTGTAGAACCGCTTGTCCAGGCCCTGGATGTCCTGCCCCTGCCGGAGAACCCGTTCCAATTCCTGCGCGGACTTGCATTTCGAAGCCGTGTCGTAAAACATTTCCACGATACCCGGGGTGCTCATGTCCAGCGCCTTGAAGACCGCGTCTTCGACGTGCGTAAGCAGGTGGGCGCGGTTCGCCATTTTGATCTAGGGGGTTTCTGAACTATGAAAATAAGTGGTGAAATAATCAGCGGGGATAGGGTAGTTTGTTTCGAGGTCGCTACGGGAATCGGAGTCAGTAAAATGGGTCCATTTGTGGGTAGAGAAGTTCCAACACGAAGAGCTAGTGCTTGTAAAAATGTGTGCCTGAAGGGATAAAATGAGAGGGAAGATGAAAAGATTGCTTCGATCACGATAGATCTTGTCCAGAAACTGCGTGAGAAGGCTGGCGATCGGGGGAATTTGTTCACCTCTTCATGATCCGCTTTGCTTTTCGGTTTATGATCACATCATTTTGTTTCTGATGATCCCTAACACAGATTCTCTTGGTCCAGCTGAACACGCCGCCTTCCGGGAGCGAAAACTCGTGATTTCAATGCTCCTGATCATTATCGTTGAGATCAAGCAATTAGATTTTCCTTGATTTTTCTATCGCGTCGCACATCTTTCTCTGTCATCTTCAAGACTTCATATTTCCATACGTCCCCTTGTGAGCTCGATCTACATTCACTGCGGCTTCGTGCGCTAATTCTCTGTTCTCGTACCTTGTGTTCGGATACAGTGTTCCACTGCCACAATTGACCATCATCGCCCGGATGGAAAACGCCAATTGCTCGAGAGAAATCACCGGCGACCAACCGTCCGCGGACAGTAGCTCCATGCACAAAGCGCCGTGATTCTGTACCCAGAAGGACCCGAGGGACGCGGTAGGTGTAACCAGCCGCACCTTCGGGGCGTCCATAGGGTAGTGATCGGAAAACATCAGTTCGAAAACGAGCCTTTCTATTCTCCCCGCTTTCGCCTGCTTTCCCAAAGCTGAGTCGTCCGGTAACTTTTCGCTCAAAAAGTGCATCTGGAGAAAGCGAGAGTTGTGCGGCGTCGCGTCTAGTAAGCCGCTTTCTGGTCGTGGCAAAGTAGAGGACGAAGACGATGAAGATGAAAGCCCTTCGCCGATTTTAAACTCGAACCCCTCGGTTTTCAGCCTGTCGCTGTTCGCTGCGAGATTCGTGAACTCGGCTTTGACCCGTTTGAAAACCCGCGGGGGCAGCGGTTTTGGTTCGCTAGTCTTTTGCAGGTTGAAAGCCTGAGCGACGGAATCGGCCATGTTGCTCATCGACTCCCCAATCGCGCTGGACGTAGCTGGTGAAGCAGGGGGAGGATTTGCATTTACTGCTGTTGTACTAGCGGTAGGAATTCGTTCATTCCCCTGCGCCACTGCACTACCACCCATCTCCGTCATCTCCACCTGATTATTTGTATTTCCTGCTTGCTGCGCTCCTCCAACATTCCCAGAAGACGCTGCCCGCTTGGCCTGCTCCACCCGCCTTCTGACGAGCGGATTATGCTGCGCGACGTCACCATCCGCGTATTTCTCCCGCCCAATCCACGGCATCCAGGTCGTGCTTTCGGACGCTTCCACGGGCCGGGCCAGAATTTCCTCCGCGAGCTTTTTGTTTTCGGCCTGCACCTCCGGACTTGGTTCCAGCATTTCTTGCGGTCCTTGCTCGATCGTCGGACGGCCGTCTAACCGGATGCAGTTGGCGATATCTCCGCGGCACAAGGGGCACCGGACCGCCGTCTGCCCGTTTTGCGTGGTCAGCATCCGGAGCTGCAAAGTCGTTGCGCAGTCGGAACACAGACACAAGTGCTTGCACGGCATCACGAAGGTGTCCACCGGGGCGGAGTAGCAAATAACGCAGTCCTTATCCTCCGCGTCCCCCCCGAACAGATCTTGCACGTGAAAAACTTGCTGCTTTGGGCCGACCAGGAATTTTTCCACCACTTGCGGGGTGAACAGCCGCTGGTGAATGCCGAAAAAGTACATCAGCGTGCCTTCGGGCGGAAGCTTATCCCCGGGGGCCTCGGACTCCGCCCAAGTAGAAGTACTGCTGCCAAAAGCTGTTGTACTCAAAGGGGCAGTCGAGCTGCTACTCGAGGACCCGCCGGCGGTGTTGTTACTACTTGTTCCACCGCGCTGCCGCAAGGTACTACCGGAAGAGCTGGTAGACGTCGTGCTTCCCGGAAGAAACGAATTGTCGCCCGATCCCGATCTCCTCCGCCTTGACCGCAATTCCAGTGCTAGGGGCCATCGCATCTTCTGCTGGTCCGGCACGAACAAGTTCGCGGGCCACTGGTGCAACTTCAAATAGTCTCGTGCGCCGTTGACGCTGAATTCGAGAGTTTCGACCATAAATTCCTCCCCCGCAGTGGGGTTCTTGGTTTGCTTGTTACCCGAAGATGCTGCTGAAGACCCTAGCACCCCCCGGCTGTGCGGGTTGAAGGTCAGTGGCCGCAGTTTTATCGCTTCCAGCGCGTACCCTGTGTGGCCGTCCTTCACCAATATCGGCCACTCGGAGCTCACGTCAGACAGCTTCGGCAAAACAAACAGCGTCGCCTCGCAATCGTCGCTGATCGTCATGCGGTCCGTTTTGTTCGGGGATCGCCCGATTTTACAGACGAAACGGAAATCAGAGTCGGTCTCCTTCCGAAATTCCTGTTCGAGCAGCACAAAGGGCGGCCTGTACCCCTCCGCGCGGTTCTGTGCCTCCCTTTGCACCGCTTCGGTTTCAAAAGCGGTACCGCCTTCCAGCGTCCCGTCCTATCAGAGTGCACAACTCCCCCTCCCCCTCATTTATGTAGCAAGAACGGCAATACAAGCGTCAGCAAGAGTGCCGGTTTTGCATGACAAATTTGCAGAGGATTGTAGTACTGTTTGGGCTTCCGGAGTCTGTCATGCAAACAGTGCCAAGGGGCACAGCCTCGCCTGGATTTGGTGTTTTGCATGACAAATGAGGGGGAGGGGGAGTTGTGCACTTTCATACTTCCTCTGTCAGCTTCACGACACGCTGCTTCGGCAGCGGAGTGTTGTCGGAAGGCTGGCTCGTTTCGTTACCCATGGCGTCGTGGAAAGTTATTCGCAAATATTTTAATTGTTTTTCCAAGTAGGTACGAGGTAACTTAAGCCTTCAACTGATGGGGTCACACTAAACACGTAAAAGTGGAGCTCCTAATTGCATTTTTTGGTAAAGCTACTTGATGAAGATCAAGATGTCGCTGGGGCTAGGTGTCATAGAAACCGACTTGCTCCAGCTCAAGGACAATTCATTGTGTACATCTGCGGGAGGACCTGCAAAGCATTCTGTAAAAATCTTTTGCGACCGTAAACGATGAACGAATGTTTTCGAAGGCCCAGTCTGCACTGCTTGCAAAATCTACTTCAGATCTATTTTACACTGCAGCCCCACTGCCCAGAATTTGGTCTCTCGTAGAAGAAAATCCGCGGTTACCAGAGAAGAAATCGCGCGGAGAAAAGGACGAACAAAAGAACGACCGAACATAATGTACGAGAGTGCAGTTGTTCGGAAAAAACACTATTGTGTCGGTGATTATGCACGTTTCGAGGATGAAAAATAAGTATTGACTTTTTTCGCGGTAGCATAGGTTCTTCGAAAAGCGGGATTTTTGTCGTTGTCGCTTCGCCATCAAGGAAAGTGATAGGCCTGAAGATGCAAAAGCAGTCGCCCAGCGACCACCAGACGAAGTTTGATGCCTTCGTGCCTTTGGTACCACAACTGTAGCTGTGACAATTCGAGAAAGTAGGTAGAGGGTTTTTTTCAGGTAATGGTGCTCGCTGGTTTTTGATCTAACTCGTCAGTGTTAGCTGCTGTACGAGATACAGTTTCTTTACATATTTCCAATTCGCTAAAATCTACTTTTCAAAAAAGCAGAAAAAAAACCTTCCACTTAGTACCGCTGTAATTTTCCGTACAAGAATCACACTCGCATGCCGTCGCCTCCAGCTTTACGAGATACAGATGATCTAGCTTGTCGTTGTAATACAGTAAGTAAGTACTTTTATCACTACTTCTCTCCCTCCTCCTCCGTGCCCGCCTTGTCGTGCATTTCGGTGACTTTTCTCAAAGCCTCGACTTCTTCCGTGATCCACGGTAGGACCCGTGCGCTGGGCTCCCGAATGGCCAAGTCCGTATCAAATGTAAAAATGTCTGGGTCTGGAAGAGGAGAAGTTTGCCATGCACATTTTCCATGATCCATGATGTCTGTGATGTATACCATAGCATCACAGATTTTTTGAGCGCCTATCGATGCGCATCCTGCATGACAAATGCCCTCTCCACGTAGCCAAATTTGACTCCTCTTGCTACTGATGCAATACAGATTTTTTTAGCATCCAAATGCAGCATCACAAGTTTGGCTCTTCCAGACCCAGACATATTTGCAATCCATAGTCCGCAACTTTCGACAGAAGGGTCGGATTTGGATTCAGCTCCACCACCTTCGCGCCGTTGTGCGCTTTCGCTAGCAATGGCATCTGCCGTGCCGGATCCACCTTGCCCGTGGTTCCCACCATCAAAACGACGTCAGACTCCCGGGCCGTGCGGATGGCCGCCTTGAGGGTCTTCCGCTCCAGCGCCTCCCCGAAATAGATCCCGTCGGGCTTCAAAACGCCGACAGGAATGTTTGGGTTTTTTTTACTCTGCTTGTTGGGAGAAGAAGCTGCTGTTGGTGTTACAGCGTCGGGCTGCTCTGAAACGATATCCACTAAATTGACGGATTTTTCTTTCTCTTCCAACATCTTTTCATCCTTATCGTCCACTACACAAGTACTGATTATATCCGACTTGTTACTGTCGACGCTCGCCGCCTTAAAAATGATTTTCTGTTCGACCGCAGCCCGCTCGTAGTACTTGTCGCCCGTTTGTCCGGTGCAGTGCCCACAGAGTGGCACTTCCGCTAGTCTCGGGCCGTTCTTCAAGTTGAACTGCGATAGGGTCGTGGAAGAGGAAGATGTCGAGGAGGAAGAGGATTTTGATCCACTGCCAGACGAGCTGCTGGAAATTAACCCTAGTTTCTCTAATTCCGTTTTCAAACTGCCCTCCCCGTCAGAACTTACGTCGGAACTGCTGGATTCAGATCCTGACTTACTTTTTTCAACCTTCTCGTCGCCCTTCTTTTCGACTGCGGCGACTCCGCCATTTTTTTTCAGTTCTTCTCTCTTCTTCTTCAGCTCCTGCTTCTTTTTCTTCAGTTTCTCCCGGACCGACTTCTTTGTTTTCGCGCGACACTTGATTGCGTAAGTCATCAAGCACTTTTTCGCCAATTCCGAGAGCTCCGCGTCGGCGTGCAGACGATCGAAGTCCCCCGCTTTGGACCGGTCCGCCTTCTTCCGGATCTTCTTTCCTTTACGCAACTTTTCCCCGAACATGCCACTCGCCGCACTGCTGTCGCTGCTGACGGATTTGCTCCGACTCTTTTTACCGTCGGAAGATGTCGTTGATACCCTTGGTGCAGCATTAGTACCTGCCGCGTTAGCACCGGCAACCGAAGTAGCAGGGGACTTCTTCGGACTCTTCTTCGTCTCTGCTACTGCAGCTTGGGGCAACGTGGGGCCGACGATTGCAGCCTCACCAGTTCCAGTCGTCCCATTTGAAGTAGATGCTGGCACTACCGCAACTGCGCCGACAGTTGTAATTGGCTTTTTTTCCTGTTCCGCAGCGACGTCCTTCAGAAAGTCCTGCATGTTGTTGTTCAACTTGAAAGTCCCGTCGGGGCACAAAGACCCCCGTTCCTGCATCGTCCTGACCACTTCGCTCATGTCGGTCGTCTTCTTACACCGCAGACAAATCGCCCGCACTTCCGAGCCGTGCACCTCTACAACCGTTTCACTACCTGCCTCCTGGTGCAACCCGTCCACGTTCTGCGTCACGATGCGGAACTTCATATTGGCCAGGGCCTCGTGCGCCGGGTTGGGGTGCACCTGGGCGAGGAGTTTGAAAAACTCAAACTCGAACGCCCACACCTTTCGTGGGTCCAGCGCAAACCCCTTGATCGACGAAACTTCCTCCGGGTCGTAGAAGGACCACAAGCCGCCCGGGTCGCGGTACGTGGGAACGCCAGATTCTGCAGAAATCCCCGCGCCCGTAAATGCCATGCGCCGGGAAACCTCCTGCTGCGCAATCCAACGCGCCGCCTGTCGGGCGGGACCCTGCGGTGGAATTTTAGGACGAAGTGGAAATTTGCATCCAACTGAGCATTCAAAATGCATAACAATCTGTTCTACTTTCATGTAAATCAAACTCAAGCGAATCGAAGCACCAACAACGCAAAGCATATTTCAGCAGTACCTGTCCCGGATACAGTCCTCTTTCCAGGGCGTTACACAGCACCATAGGCCGTTCGTTCTTCCGTCCCTTGCGCATCAGCACCGTCTTGGAATAGCAACTTTCCACACAGCCATCCGGGTAAAATACCGTGCCGGTCGCCCGCGCGACGCCCACCCAATCCTTCTGCGTATTGTCGTCCGCCTTCGGCCATGCGGACTCCGGTCCGATGAACACGTTATTCCCGAAAATTGTCGCCTGCGCACAGTCCTGTTTCCCCTTGCCGCAGTCCGCCTCGGAGGCAACGAAGACCGCGACCTGCATCGGCCTCGCGCGTAGCGGAGAATCAAACTGTTCAGAGTTCGTGGTGACAACGCTGCTTCGCTCGCTCTTTACTGTGGTGGTTCCATTTTGGTGCACCAGCTCTGCCCTTGGCGACTTCTCATCCACGTCGGAATTTAACCTGCGCACCTTCGGATTCAAAATGCCCCCGTCCTCCCCCGTGGCAAGCGTTTTGGTCCCCAACTTATTTTCCTCTTCATTAACCAAGATCTCTTCCAGCGGGTAGAAGACCACAAATGCGTTCTCCGGGGACAACGTGGGAATGAAATGCATCCCCTCGGACTGAAACGCCGCCGCTATCGTGGACGCGTCCTGCTGCGGCAGTCGCGGGTCGCAGTAAAAGTAGATCGGGAATCTCCTTGCGAGCAGAACCATGTCAGCTCGCTTCAGCAACTTATGATCGTTTCCGTTCGCGACCCTCCCGAAGGTCAGGTTCTCGATCTTCTCTCGCGCCTTGAGCGTGTGGTTCGGCAAGATTTTTCCCCCGGCGGGTGGGAGGTTGGACTCGCTCTCGTCGGAGCTGGAGGTGTCGACCCCACCGAGTTGGATCAGCAGAGCTCGTTTCTTCTTGCCGTTCGCGCGCTCCAGCATCCGCTTTCGTCGCTCGCGGATTTCCTTCCTCTTTTGCTTCTCCATGAGCTGCTTTTCCAGCGCCGCGGGCTCCAGCTTCGCCTGTTTCAACGTGTTCACAATCTCTTCCCCGCCCCGGTACCACAGGTCGATCAGAAACGTCCGCAAAATGCTGTCCCAGATTCCGCCCGTGGGTGCGAGGATACAGTGGAGGAGCGCGTCCACGGAGCCGAAGACCGTACAGGCCTGGGCTTTCAGTGACCTGTCTTTGTACAAGTCGGGGAGGAGCGTTTCTTCTAAAAATGCTTCGTCTTGACGGAACCTGCTGTCTTCGATCATGTTCAGGACCGGAACCCGGCGGGCCATCGCGCCCGCCTTCTGGCGCTTCATCAAGGCTGCTTTCTCCTTTTTCTTCTTCAACAACGCCAGATTAGCGGCGGCCTGTGCCGTGCCGGGGGTTGCCATTTTGCTACACGAACCGTAAAATATTGACTAGAATTTCCTGGGTCTCTCTACACTTACATCTTTTTGGTGGTTTCGATCTCAGTCTCACCTCTTCTGTTTCTAAAGTTGTCCTTTTTTGTGTTTCTTTCCGGCTCTAACTGCAGCAACTGCCATAAACAAGAAACACCACGACAATCCTGTTTGTGAAATTGGAAAGAAGATCGATGAAGATCAAAGGATTTTACACAAGAAAAAAGACAGCACGACCAGCATGATGATCGTGATCATTCCGTTCTGCATTTATTCTCTGTTTGCTTGATCACATCAACCGACAAAAAGAAACACTACATCTACGAGCCTGATCTCATCCTGCCATAGGAACTTCGACTGCCATAATAAATATGCCTCAAGATCCAATCTGCTATTTTCTGACGTCGATCCAAACTTTTTGCTTGTGAACAAGTGAGCACACAGAGTACGAAGCTCGAACTGCTCGCACTGATTGGTTGCGCCTCAAGAGCAGAGCAAGACCAGACGCGGGCGCCTCGTCGTGCACTCGTCGCGCAGGTGTGACTACAAAAATCGCCTTGCTCTTAATCCATGGCATCGATGCAGGGAGGGGCGGGGGGGGGCGGCAATGATACCGGGGCCAAGCCCCGCCGTGGCCTGCAGGGCTGGCACGCCGGGGGGCGCATGCGATACGCGGCTGGCGGCGCAAGCGCTGCGCGTGCTATGCTTTGTGAGCAGCGGCGCCTGCCAAAAATACTAAATGCGCGGCTGGCGGGCGCAACTAGACAACACGCAGCCAAAAGAAAAAGCCAACACCGCGGGGGCGAGAAGCTAACGGCCGCCAAGTGCCGGCGCCGAAACGCCCAAGCTATCAAACTGCCGCGACCCGCGTGCCATTCTTCAAACTACCCCCAAGCCCGCGCCGGCCGACGTGGCACGGGGGGACGCGCGCGGGCCCCCCCGGCCAAAAGGGGGAAGCGCCGCACTAGGCGCACAACCGGGGGGGCGCCAGCAGGAAACTAAGGCCGCGGCCACACACACGGCCGCGACAAGGGGCGGGCAGGCGCGCCGGGCTCTTTCGCGCCGCCAGTTCCGGCGGGCTGGATGAGGCGCCGGACTTCGTCAGGCCGGAACTCAGTGGCGCACGAAGGAGGGGGGGCGGAGCCGCCGCGGCTTCGGCGGCCGCCATCTTCGCCGCGCTGCGCCCCCTGCGCCCGAGCGCCGGCCACCCCCGCTGCTTCGCCCTTCCTTGGCCCGGCCCAATGCGGCGCCGGGCGACAAGCAAGGGAAGGGGGAACGACCGGCGCGCGGGCGCCTTCTGAGGCACGGCCGGCACTGCCGGAACCGGGCGCGCGGCCCGCCCCCGCGCGGCGTCAGCGCTCGGCCGCACCGGAGGGGCCGGCCGTCTCGCCCCTGCCCGGAAAAGGGCCGGCCGTCTCGCCCGTCCCGATCTTGGCCGGCAGGTGCGCGCCATGGGTCCGGAACGAATTCGCGGCCGATTTTGGCGGCGCGAGGGGCCTCTGCTCTGCGAGGCAAATCTGCGCGGCCGGGAAGCGATTTCGGGGCGCCTGCAGTCGGCCCCCAGGTCTGGCGTCGCTCGCGCGCGAATTCCTTGCGGCACTCCGCGTGGTCGATTACGATCAGGCCGCGCACTAGCACGCTGAACCCCCCGCACTGCTTTCGGCGAGCCACACTCTTGCGCGCATGGTACTCCAACGCGATGACAGTCCCAGGAACCTCGTCGGCGACACTTGCGCCCACCTGATCGCCGCCCGGCCTCTTCCACACAAGCCGGACGGACAGGCACGCCACTCCGCTAGTGCCAGCACCCCGCTGGTCATAGTTTGCCTGTGGGCCGCTTCCTCCAGGCACAGGCCGACAAAACTTCGCGCACAGAAGTACACACACAAATAGTTTGTCCGGCCTTGAACTTGGGCCACGAACCCTCGATCAGCAGTATACTATTGTCAGAGGCCACAGAACAATAAACGTTCCAAGCCTGTCAAGCAGACAGAAGAAACCAACGTCGTGCTTTTTTGATCTTCACAATGAGTCCGATATTTTTAAGAAGTTTAATGTATTCTCGTCCTGAAAGAAAGTCGTGCGGTTTTTTGCCTCCGAGCGAGTTCTATCTGAAAAGAATACACAAAGACAAAAATGATCTTCATGTTGTCATTAGATGTGTAGCTGTATCTTTTTTTGTCGCCGAAATTTTTTTTTCGGCGACACAAAGCGAAGACGTTTGGATACCGAAAACAAATTTGTTCATTTGGTATGCTCATGACGAAACCGGAGGTCTCGCGCCACGCAAACAAGGGCTCACATCTACATCTTCACTTCCTGCAGTCGCTCGTTTCCGCTAGCTTCGCGCTTGCTCCAAATCGGCATCTCCCCCGCATCGACCGGATTAGTCACTGTCGGATCGTCGTTGACTGCTTCCGATGTCGCGCTACTCTCCGCTGCAGCCCCTGCGGCGGTACTAGAGAATGCGGCCTTTTCATCGACTTTCGCATCCCCCTTGGAGCTGGAAGTTGCACTTTCTACATCCGCATTTTTGTTCTCTCCCGGTTGTTGTACCTCACCTGCACCTCCTCCCGCACCAACGTACTCCTTCTTTCCGTAGTCGTACCCCGCTCCTTGCATGACCATGGTCTCCAGAATCTTGTTCAACCGCGGCAAAACGGACCTGGGTTCGTCCAACATCCCCGCGGCGATGCAAGCGTTGTCGAATAACAACTCAGCCGATAATTTCGCCACCTCTTCGTTGCTGTTCTTGATGCTGTACAGCGTTTTTACGATGCTGTGCTTTGCGGAAATCTCCAGGGTCATCGGCACCGCGTCCGCGCCGCCTCCGCCCTGTCCCCCCGCTCCCGCTGCCATCATCTGCTTCATCATCTTGCGCATGTGTGGGGTCAGCATGCTGGTCACAATAGCCGGACTGGACACAAGCCGGTCCGTGAATTTGATCTCCATTACCTTTTGCCCCAGCGTGTCCTTCAGCCACGTCTTCAGTTCCTCTTGCTGCGCGCTGCCTGTTGTAGGGTTTGTTCGGATGAGCTTTGATGTTCTATGGTGCGAATTCATACAAAGTAAGAAATGCTGAATCATCTACTTGGAGAGTTCTAGTCGTATTGCGTGCAATAGAAAACATGAAAAACAAATCAACGTCGCTATCATGTACTCAGTTCCACTTTCTCCCCGCTTTCGGTCTCGCTGGCCTTCTTTTCATCCAAATCCAGTTCAAAATCTTTTCCCTGCGCGTCAATCGCGACTAATTTGTGCTCCTTGTACCCGTCAAGAGCGCTGCTCAGGACAAATTCGTCGATGTCCTCATGCATGAGGAGAACCTGCGGGAAAGGATTTTTAGTCGTGATTTGCAATGCGCAACGACAACGAGAAAAAGAAAAAGCGCTTAAACTCTTGCGCGCCCACATCACAAACACGCACACGGTTGTTCAAAACTTATACTTATTCTTATTGCACTACAAAGTTATACTGCCCGTCCCCGCTCCTGGAATTGCTCCATATAGGGCGAATTCATCGCTGTTTCGCGGTTTGGCACGCAGTAGTAATAAATGTTCTTCTGCTTGCCGTTGTCCGTAGACACCATGTGATTGTCCACGTAATCCTGGAGGGAAATCAACTCGCCCTCTGGCCGGGTGGAAACGCCGTACCGGAGCAACTTCGTCAGTTCTTCCTGTGTAAGTTTTGTCGGTACACGGACGTGATTCTGTACCATGAGTCGCAAAGTGGTTCCAAGGAGCGTGTAGTACTGATTTTTTACTGGTCGAACTACAACAGAAACAAAATAAAAAGCGCCCGTCTCTACGAATGCGTATTTCTCACCTTATGCCGTCCCCCCTGATCCCTGTCTTCGATCAACCCCGCTTTCAGATAATACGAGTAGTTTTTGTAGAACTTCAAGTATTTCTGGGCGTCCTTTTTCGCCTGTTGGTCCAAAAACCGCAAGAACCTCCTGACCACCGCCAAAGACAACTTGTTCATCAATGCCGTGTCCTGCATGCTCTCGCGACTAATGTTCAGCGGCATATCTTCGCAGTCCACCACCCCCTTCACCCAGTGCAGCCACCGCGGCATAATCCCCTCAGCTTGCTTCTTCACCAACACGCGCCTGCAGTGCAGCGCCACCCCGATTTCCGGTTCTTTCGCGAAGAACCGGCTGGGCGCGTCCTCCGGGACGTAAAAGAGAGACTTGATGGTCAGGGGCACGTCGGACGCAAAGGATAAAGTGTAGTACGGGTCGCCGTAACTGGTACCGGAAAGAAAGCGGTAAAACTCGGAGTGTTCCTCTTCCGTCGCTTTCGCTTTTAACCACAGGGGTTCTTGTTTATTCAACTCTTTCATTTTCCCAGCCTCCTCCTGAACAAAAAGCGGAAAGTCGACGAAACTGCTGAACTTCTTCGCACAACTCTTCACGGTCAACAACTTCGAGAACTCGCTGCAGTCCTCCTTCAAATGCAGCTGGATCTTCGTGCCGCGGGCGGGCGTTTGGTCTTCCGGGAGTTCCTCAATGGTGAACTCCCCCATCCCGTCCGAGGACCACTTGTACCCTTTGTTGCTTGCGTCCGCCGACCGGGTGAGCACCTCAATTTTGTCCGCCACGACGAAGGCGGAGTAGAACCCGACGCCAAACTGTCCGATAATGGTCGTGTTCTGCTGCTCCGCTTCGCCGGACCCGGTGGACGTTTGTATCAAAATGAAAAAAGTCCCCACCCCATATCAAACGGGAAATCTCTGATGCAGGATATGTGTACACGAATGCGCGCTGTCTTGCAATACGGCATCGCAGCCAGATCCGCAGCCTAGGGAGGGGCATTTGGGTCTAGGTGCTTAGCACTACAAACGGCTGTCCTCTAGGCCCAACAGCATGCGAAATCGCTTCCATATTGGCGCGGAAGCCTCTGCATTTGTCTTCTTGCAAGACAAATGTGATTTGTGACCTCAAATCAGCAACGCAAATTTTCGGAAACATACCTTTTCGATATGGGGAGGGGGGATTTTTCCTCTCAATAGTTTGCTCAAGGAATTCCCGGGAACCAGACCGGGCGATGGTACCTGTAGATGAAATTCATATTGATGATCGTCATTCGAATTCCAATTCATCTTGATCTTCGTTCATCATTCTTGTTCGTGTAGTTGTAGCAGCAGTTTCATTTACACACAGCATGTGCATGCACAACCACAACATGACAGTTGAAAAAAAAGAATGCAGCACCACCATACTACCCAGGTTGTGGATCAGCTGCTCTTTTGTCATTCCGATCCCGTAGTCCTGAATCGTGAACAGTCGCAAGTTTTCGTCGCAACTCAGCTCGATCTGCAGCTGCTGGTCCTTACTCGTCAGTTCCTCGGGCGCTTTGCCCGAGGTTTGCAAGAACCGCAGTTTCTCACACGCGTCTGACGCGTTGCTGATCAACTCCCGGATGAAGACTTCCTTATTATGAACTGCAAAAGTATCGCGCTCGTAGGGATGTAATCATGCATTACAAATCCTTTTTTTGAAGGTCAATCCGCATTACAGATTTTCTTTCTCATGCTGAGGAAATTTGTAATGCATTTATACGAGTACGATACTTTTGCGGTTCATACTTATCCGTGTACAGCGATTTGGCCACGATGTTCAGCAACTTTTTCGTCTCCGCTTTGAACTCCATCTTTTCCGCCCCGGTAGATGCAGTGTTGTTCTCTGTCGAGAAATTACGGATAACGCTTGCACTCGTCCACGAATTCTTGAACTGTGATCCATGTTGCGCCGCGCCAGCTCCTAACTTGTTGCTCAGTGCCGTCGAGCAAGGAGCCAGCGCTCCTGAGGTGCGAGAAGAAGCCCCGAGATTCAATTTTGTCCGCAAGTTCCGAGCGGCAGTCCGGGACACCGTCTCGCGGGCGAACTTGCTGAGCACCGTCATTTTGATTATTTTTCGTGCTTGATGAAATTCGGTACGCAGCGACAGCGGGCTTTGGTGCGAGGAAGAATAGAAAAATTCGACAAATGAAGATGTATTTGTAAAAGCAAAAGGTACTTTTTGTTTTTCGTTCAGTTTTTTTTTTTCTTTTCGATGGTTGCTGATACAAGGTCAGGCACTTCTTCTTCCAGTTCTCAACCTCATTTAAATAAACCAAAAAAAATCAGGCAGGCTTTTAAAAGATTGCTTTGGCGCAAACTGTGATCTTCGTCTTCCTTTATGCGGGGGACACAGCTTAGTTTGAGCTCAGCCGAGAAGGAAAAAAGGAACGCAAAATGAAAACGCAAGGAAAAAGATCGCTTGTCTTTCCACACGGCCAATATGGAGCGCGTTTCCAATCGCAACCGATACTTGCAACAGATCTCTTTCTCTTCATCATCATTCATCAACATCAGTATGGCTAAAATGCGCATGATCTCAGCACAAGGATTCGTCGACAGGGAACACAAAAGAAAAAGCAAGGCCACCTCTGGCGACCCTAAGTAAGGATCGATGCCTCACGTTTTTTCCAACTTTTTTTCAAGTTTCCGTGTCGCATGTACTGTTAGTTTCGATACTTCTCGAGCTATCTAGGTTGTTCTACTTGCTTGTCATTGCGCTAGCAGCGATTTGATCAGTTCAAGTTGCTCAACCAAATTTTTGTCGCTTGCTGGGTCCTGGCCGGCGAGATGCCGCTCGGAGCATTCCAGTGACAGCAAAGTGAAAACGGCAGCTACGTGAGCCTCCCATACAGGCTTGGATAGTTTTCCTAAACGCTCTACCTCTACTCGCGACTGGTCAGAAGCTTGCCCTGTCTTGTCGTCCAACGTTAAGCTTCTTAGCCTCCCGAGCTTCTCCTCGAGTCTGACCAAGAGTGCGTTCGTTTCAGCATGCATGGGTGAACAATTTGATATCGCTGCGCCTGTTGCCAGTGCCGGCTGTGTCGTCGAGGTAGATGATCCTGCATTTATTTCAGTCGCCGCTGCCGCTACTTTCTCCTCCTTCGCCGCGGCTTTCCTTTCTTTTTTCTGCATCTGCTTGCGTGTCGTCTTTTTCCCCATCTTTGCAGATTTTAATATTCTACTTCTTCGTACTATTCCTCCGGTTCACAGTCAAGTCAGTGCTGCACTAATTTTGAGCATAAGTAAGCACATAAGTGCATTTCCTTAAGAGATACGAGCGGCTGTTGTCCTGTAGTCGAGGTCTTGGGGTTTTCGGAAGAGCAATAGCCATAGCAACATGTTCATATAAATATGTCTGTGATCTCTTATGCGTGATCTCTTATGGTAATGATCCAAGGAGGAGCTGTCACATTTTTACTCTCACCAATCTCCGGCAAGAACGACTGATCGGGTAGGGCAACACAGACCGGATATTTCGTCCTTTATTTGTACGTCAGCAAGATCGTCGTGCTCATGTACAAGTTGTCGGTTTTTATTAGAACTTCAACTTTTCTCTTTGAATTCGATTTTGCGTTCTTGATCACGACGAGGACATTCTTGGCGTACTACTTTTGTTCTGTTTATTGCGCGTCTTGGTCTACTTTTGAATCCAGCGACGAATAGGATTTTTCTCGAACCGTGCTGGAAAGAAGGAGTCTTAGTCTCCTGCGCCGGAAACCGACCTTGACGGATCGGCCGGTGAAGGAAAAATCTTCTTCGCGATCGCGGTGGCCAGGTTTTATTACTCTCAGGTTCGATCCCAATTTTGCTTAAAAGCTGTGCCAGAATTGTTACGACCTCGTCGTGGTTGATGATCTGGTTCGAAAGAACTGCAACTTGTCCCCATGACCCAGAACATCGCGTCTGCCCGAAGATAAAGCGACGGGGAGTGATTCTCGCGGTTGAAGACTTTTTGGTCCACCCTCAAGACCTTTATGTTCCGCACAATGCCTGCTCCGCTCATCCCGGCCGGCTATTTTCAAGATTCCCTCCGCCGCGACGACCGGGCTGTGGGTTCCGCGACGACAGGGACCGACTTCTGGATATCGCTGCCAAACAGAAACAGCTCCTCCTGAAATAATTTTTGTTCTCCCCTTCAATCTCCCCAAGCGAAACATGATTCTCTGTGTCCTGCGCGTCGCGGCCGCGTGGGTGGTGAAAACGCTCTTCGGCGTCCGGGTGGTTGATGCGTCCGCATGAAAATCCCCTTCGCGACAAAGTAAACGGTGGTCGGGCCCGCGCGTAGTTGCAGCATAGATTCTAGGACTTGGCGGCCGTGGTCGTGTGCGGCATGACCTTATTGTTGCTGTAAACGACGTTGTTATTCGGAATTTGCTCCTGGTACAGCAGCCCACTCCGGTTCATGTACGTGTTTCGACAGGTCAACCGGTCCCGTTCCCGTCCTGATCTGGTTTGCTCAGGATGTAGTTGGCGAAGATTTTCATTCTCCTCCGGTTTGGAACCTGCTTTTGCGACAGGGGCACTGGCCGATGATCCACGACCTCCCCCATGCAACAATCTCCACGATTCCGAGATACACCGCTGCGCCATGCTCGGTCGCTCTTCTTGCCCGGCGGGGGCGGATTCGGGAGTTTTAGAAGTACTTCTATTTTTGCCTAAGAACTTCTGCGGTCGAGGTGGATGTTGTTGTGGTTGCCCAGAAATTGCCGTGTAGTCGTGCCGGGCATGGCCGCGTGCTGTTCTCACTGACGGCCTTCTGGAGGATCTTGTCGAACGTTTTCGCCTCGAACGCCCGCAACCGGGCTTGTGCGCGTTCACGAAATAAGTTGGGAAGGGAAACTCGGGGCAATCCGGATCCTTTTCGGATTTGTAGCGTCGCTGTAAAGTTGTAGTGTCGGTTTATTTTTATGAAGTTTGCTTTTCAATCAGATGAACGTTGTAGTCCTTCCTTTCAACAACTCTAATTGAAAATCGAAGAACTTCTGTTTTCCTAAACTGCAGCTGCAGCTCTCTGATATTAAGGTAACTTTAACTGACTTGCGCTATATCAAAAATACCGTGCAATCGAAGTCCATTTTGATCATTTGGTAAGTCGATTCCGACACGTGCAACTTTCCCACTTGCCCACTGGATTCCATCTGGTTCGCCGTGTGCACGGCGTCGCCCCACAAATCGTAACTGAAATTCGAATATCCAATCACGCCGGCCACCGCAGCGCCGCTGTGCACCCCGAACCGCATGGTCATGGGCTCCAACTTCCCGTATTTGTTTTTGTTCAGCACCGCCCGCTTCCCCCGCATCCGCCGCATCACCTCCAACCCGTATTTGCACATCTGCATGGCGTGGTTCCCCATGTAGGACCCCGGCACCGGTGGCTCCTGATTGTAGTCGTTCAACCCGGTTGCCGCCATGTAGCAGTCGCCGATGGTTTTGATCTTTTCCACGTTGTTCCTGGCCAGGTACTTGTCGTAGATGCGGAAGAGGGAATTCAAAGTTTTCACCAACTCCTCCGGCTCTGTGCGGGAAGAAACCTTCGTGAAGGAACACACGTCGGCGAAGAAAATGCTGCAGGACTCATAAAAATCCGCGTACAGACCAAACGCGTTCAAGGACGTGGTAATCGACTCTTTCGCGTGCGGGGGTTGCTGTTGTACCAAGTGCGCGCTCGTGTCACCGGTCCTGTTCAAGGTCGCGTGTGTGACCGACAACGGCGTGCGGGTGCCCTGTACCAGCCCACCACGCGCAACGACGGTGGAAGCAGTGGTTTTTCTCGTCGGAAAGAAGAGCGCGCTCTTTGACCTCCCGTGGACGTCAACGTTGATATCAAACAAATCATCTTCCACGCCGGGAGGCGGCGCAGTGCCAAAGTAATCGTGCGTCGTTTGGCGGCTCCGCACGATGGCGTTGGCGGCACTGTTGCGGGCGGCCGCGAGCGAGTTTCGCAGGTGTTCCTGCTGCTTCTGGCGGTCCTCACGACTGACCGGCGGCGCCATGATCCGCTTGGATATTCTCTTCGGAAAGATGTTGTCCAGCAGCGTTTCGTTCCGGTCGATCTCCTTGAACACGTGCTGTGCCTGCACGAAATCCCGTCTCTGCAGCATTTCCAGGATGTACCCGAGCGAGGTCATCAACACGATTGCGGTAAACACGACGAGAAAACCCGGGATGAGTTCGAAGATGACAAAGCTGTTCCCGTACCGTCTCCGGTTGAAAACGCACCAGGACGTCCGCTGGATGTCGCACTGCTCGCCCACATTAGCGTACGCGCGGTCCTCTTCCTGCGTCAACTCTGGCACGTCGAAAAACTGGTGCAGCGAGTGGAGCCGGTCCTCCGCCTGGGACGTACCCGGAGGGATCGACTTGTTGTTTCCCGTTTCCAAGTTCGAGTCGATGACGGTAATTCCGTACTCGGTGCAGCCACAAATCCGCCATCCGTCGATGGTCGCGTGTCGGGACAGCGCCAGGAAGTACGCCCCGTACAGCAAGAGAATCAGGGTCACGGCGCTGCACACCTGCATGAGGAATTTCTGGCGGAACAACGTGCAGCTGACGACGACAAAGGTGACCAGTTGCATGTTGGTCGCCAAGGGCAAAAAGCGGGTCTCCTCTATTGCGATGAAAAATCCACCCTCCCCATACTGAAAAGGTATGTTCCTAAAAATTTGTGCTGCTGATTTGTCACCATAGATCCTGTCTCTCTTGCAAGACGGCAAATCCAAAGAATCCGCCGCCCTATGGAGGCGGTTTGTGATGCTGTTTCACCAACATGGCAGGCCTCTGCTATGCTAAGCACCTGCTACACCAAAACACCCCTACACAGGCTTAGGCTCTGCCTGCAGTGCCGCGCTGCAAGACAGACGCGATTTGTGTACACAAATCCCGCATCACAGATTTCCATTTCAATATGGGGAGGGGGGATTTTCCACTTTGATATCCTCCGGCGGCCGCCAGTGGTCGCGGTCGTGGTCAAACTCGACCAAAACGAGCGGACGGGTATGAGAATGCACAACTCCCCTCCTCCCCCTCATTTGTAATGCAAAATACGAAATCCACATCCTGCCTCTACGTACTGTCCGCATGACAAATCTCGGTGGAGCCTCAAACTACAGTACTCCAATCCGTGCGCAGATTTGTCATGCGCGACCAACATTTCTGCTGTTGCGTGTGTTGCAGCTCCTCATGCTATACAAATGAGGAGGAGGAGGGGTTCTGCAGCACTCTCGTAACGGGCGACGGTGATGGTGAAGACCATCACAACGCTGGAGATGAGGAAAAACAGAAACATGATGACGTCGAAGTTCCGATAGATCAAACTGGTACACACCCCGAGGAGGAAATGCAGGAGGAGTAACCCTGGCGCGACCATAACCAGAGGGTCGACCAAGATTGCCCGATAGCTGGCGTGTCGGCTGCTGTTGACCATGGCGAGCATGACCAGAGGAACGACCGACACGGCGTACCGGAGGAACCGTTTGTTCCGCCGCACGTGGTCCCAACAAAATTTCGCCTCCAGCCCGTCTTCCTGGAAGGCGAGGGTGGCAAAATGCATCGGCATCCTATGTAAAAACGTCCTTACCCTAATGCAACTCTGCATGCTGAAAATATTTCTCACGCGGAGCCGCATAAGAAGCATTCTCTAGACGTGTTTCGGAATTTGTCATGCTCCAATCTGCATGATATGCGAGGTCTGTGATGCTGCTGAGCTTGCTAAACAGGATGACATTACGAGGAGAAACTTGTCATCCGCAACAACCAAAGCTTGTTGATTTGTCTAGCATGATTTCCCATCTTGACTATGGGGTGGGGACGGTTTTACACAGCATAATCGGCACCCCGTACTTCCTCCACAACGTGGCGGCCTATCAAATGTAAAAATGTCTGGGTCTAAAAACTTGTGATGCCGGGTGGCGTATCATGAGGAGGCCACAAGTGCTGGCTCAGCATGACAAGTTTCTGAGCTTCTTGGTGTTGCCTATTCTGCATGACGGACTGCGTTTCTGCATGACAGAAAAATGGGGCTCTTGGGTAATGTGCATGACAAATTTAAGAGTCATGTGAGACAAGCATGACAAACTTGCGTTCTTCCAGACCCAGACATTTTTGCACTTGATACGGCCTGCTCGTCCGCGACTCGCTGCATCTCGATGCGCGCCTCCCGCTCGATGCGCTTCATATCCTGCTTCTTCCGAATCTCTTCCGCCTTTTTCTCCGGATCACTTTCCTTCCCGGACCAACATCTTAGCAGCGCAGTACACGGGTTCCACAGGACCCAAAGTAGGTTGGCGCAACACTTCTTCAACTTTCCGCAACAGGTCGTTTTGCTGGGAGCAGTCTCTGCATCTATCTTACTGCCCGCCCCCTCTTGCTGGGCTGCTGGCGCTTCGTCTTTCTTTCCGTTTTTGATATCTCCTGGGTTTTTTTTGTCCGCCTCCTCATCACCGGAACTACACGCAGAGCCCCGCTGACTCGCGCTGTCATCCGGAGTAATTCGTTCGCGGTTCACGAACTCCTGAAAGGAAACGCTGTTACGCAAATTCTGTGCATTCTTGTTGTTCGCGTTCATAGCTGTTCGGAAGCCCCCTGAAGATGAATTCGGGTGCGCCGGGAGGTGCTCCTGCGTCGAATGATCATGCTGATCATCATCAACAACTCTGCCCATTTCGACCATCTCTATTGCCCCAAGACAACCCCCGTGATCGTCGTCGGCAACGCCGGAGTGCGAACTTATCAACTGCAAAAGTGTCTGGGTCTGGAAGAGTGCCAGAATTGTCATGCAGGTTTTCCATGGCCCATGAGGTCTGGTATGAAGGAGATAGCATGACAGATTCTGCGAGAGTTCTATCATGCCTATCCTGCATGAGAAACTGCCTCGCGACTAGGTCAAAAGTGGACAGCTTTTGGTAATCATGCAACACAGATTTTTGCATGATTCAGATTTAGCATGACAAGTTGCTTTGTTCCAGACCCAGACATTTTTACATTTGATAGAACTAGACGTGCGGACAAAGTCTGGCGGAAGAGGATCCTCGTCCCCGTCAGACGAGTTTTCCTCAGATGCTTCTATGGCTGAAAGCCTCGTATGAAGATCCTCACCCCGCGAGGAGGGATGCTGAAGTCGTGGGTGAACCTATCCTGTGCAAAAGTACCGTACTCGTATTGCAATCATGCAGTCTTTTTCTTATAGGTAAGCTCGCATTACAAATTTCATTTCTCATGCTGAGGAAATTTGTAATGCATTTATACGAATGCGATACTTTTGCAGTTCATAGAACCTCGATGGTCGCAACATCCAGCTCGATGGTCGTAACATCACCACCACCTGCACCAAAATCTTGCATTTCAATCGCCCCGGCGTTGACGTTTAATATTTCACTATGTTGACGATGACGCGCCACCAGCTCAACATCTTTATTATCCGGAACAACGGTCGTCGTCGTACTAATATGTTGCGCACCAGGGTCAACCAGAATTTGGTCCAGCGTCAAGGCCGCGCCCGGCCGGGACGAGGATGCTGCGCCGTCGCCCGCCACTATCAGTTCCTGGTCATCCCAGCCCTCCTTAAGCCGCTCCTGTTCTTCCGTGCGATTGGATTGGGAGCTCACTAAACTGTAATTGCACGATCGCATCCGATCATGTGCAGCTGCTGCCCCAGGTAAAAATCCTGCTTGCTCTTCCACGCCAAAAACCTCCGGCTTGCTGCGCGTGCGGGCCAAATTATACCTCGCCTGCATGTCCTCCGGGATGTCGGCGGTGCTTAAGCGTCGCAGCGCCTTCAGGCTTTTGCTGGTCGGCAGGTTGTACTTCGCGCGCCAAGCAGCCCCGGAAGAGAGTTCATCATGATCATGATCTTCTGGATCTACTCCAGGTTGATGATGTTCATCTTCAACTTGATCTGAGGTCTTTAATCTTTTTCTCTCCGGCAACTCTTTCACAGTGCTCTGCGCCGCCGAATCACGATTAACATCTTCCACCTCCCCGTCAGATGCGTTTATTTGGTCTTCTACTGGTTCCTTCACGCTGTGACCGGGCGCGGCGGGTGCGGGGACATCAAGCAGTTGCGGTGACAAGGAACTCGCACTGCTGCTCGACGACGCGGCCGACATTTCCACCATCTCTACCGCACCACCCGGACCATCACCACTTGTCGATGTCGCCCCGACTAATGGCGCCGCACTAGTGCTGCAAACCCCGCCGGCAGTAGGAGAACGCAGCTCCGTTGGAACAAGCACCACGTCCGGACTTGTTGCCGCCAACGGCGCGTTGTGTGTCGTGACTCTCCCCCTCGTCGGCCAGGACTCCCGCAGTTGTGAATTTTTGTCCTTTACGACCGAAGATGAACCTTGGTCGAGAACAACAACATTTTCAGTGGCTGGTGCAACAGCAGCAGCAGCAGTGTCCTCTTTCACGCCAGACGAGCTCGGCTTCCCGAGGGCGCCGCTCAACCGCGCGCTCGAATTGCTGACGTCCCTTCGCTATCAAGTGCAAATATGTCTGGGTCTGGAAAGATGCAAGGTTTGTCATGCTCTGCTAGCATGATTCTCAGGTTTGTCATGCAGATCACCCAAAAGCGCCATTTTTCTGTCATGCAGAAGCCCAGTTTGTCATGCAGAATAGACAACACCACAGCATCTCCAAAACTTGTCATGCTTGGCAGCCAATTGACATTGAGGCGTGCCCCTCTTTGTCCAACCACCATCACAAGTTTCCAGATCCAGACCCGCACATATCTGCAATGCATATTCGTAAGTAACTTCCGTCCGTTTCCGCGGGGGACGCGAGACCACACGGGGAGAAAGGCGAAGACCGTGCCAGGTCGCTGATGTTCCGAACCACGTTGATGCCGTCGTCAAAAACCATTTCGAAGTCTCCATTGTTACCCAACAACTCTCCCGTTTCGTCCAGCCGGGCCAGTCGCGCGCTGTCCTTGTTCCTCAGACTGGCGCCGAAACTGCTGCTCCGCAGCGTCGCACTCGCACCTGCCGCTTGGTCCGGGAAGGTAAGTCGGGGGTCGGCGCGGGTCAGTGGTGGACGAGCCTTCGCTTTCGGCGAGGACGGGAGTTCTTCCTGCATTTTCTGTTGATGCTCCTGTGCAGCGTGCTTTTGGTTTTCTCTTTCTGTTTCTTGTCCGTCACGGTCCTTATCTTCGTAGTGGTCATCGAATAAATCTATGTCCGGAATCTTGATTGGCGGCGAACCGTCGGAGGAATCTGAGTCACCACGACCTGCTGCAGCCGTCTCTCCATCACGACCTGACGCAAGCAGAGACCCACCTCCCGGGAGGTTGATGTTGAGGCTCCTAGACACTCTTCTGCCACTACTTCTCGCGTTGTTGACGCTCAGTGGCGTTATCAGCGAGGTATCGTTGTCCACGCGCGCGTTGCAGATCTCCGTCATTTTCTGTATTTGCCGATTTGCAGTTCCTCGGCAGCTGTTTTCGTCTTGCGAAGAAACCCGACTTGCGAAAGAAGCAGAACGTGCTACGTGAAAAGGACTGGTACTGGACTGTTCCGACGGCAGGGCCAGGTTGTACACTGGAACCGGAATCACGTCACAGGTGTTCCGCCTGTTATCCACAGATGATTCTTGTTCGTCGTCCTCTTTTTCAACAACTTCTTCCTCCCCATCTGCCGAATCTCCTGAACCGGTGCGAATCAAACGATTTCGTCTAACAATCTCCCGCCGGCCACTATAATTTTCATTTCTCGTAGTTCCCATCACATTATTACCACCTGCTCGCGGCCCTGGCACGCTGTCGAGAAGTTGCAGTTGGTTCCCTCTACTTTGCTGGTCCTTTGCGGAGGTCGTTCCCGCACCCTGTAGTAGTTCTACGCGCTGCTGCTGACTCTGGCGGAGCCGCACCGCGGCCACCGACCGTTCCTCGCCGACTTGGGAGGGGCGGCAATTTTTCCCCTGATAGAAGAAATCCTTTTTGTAGTCGTAAAAATCCGTCACGTATCAAATGTAAAAATGTCTGGGTCTGGAAGAGTCATACTGTTTTTGCATGACACAGAAGGTCTGGCATGGAGGCTCTAGCATCACAGGTTTCGAGAAGCTTCCGCAATGCCGAACTCGCATGAGAAATCCCCCATTTTGGTGACAGAAAGTCGGCAGCTTTTGCTACCTGTGCATGAGAGATTTTCATTTTTCTGTGTTCTAAAATGCGCATCACAAGTTCGGATCCTTCCAGACCCAGACATTTTCGCATTTCATATCACGTCTCGCCGCACCTTGAGTCGGCACTTATGAGAGTGCACAACTCCCCCTCCCCCTCATTTGTAATGCAAAATCCCCAATCCAAGCTGTGCCTCTTGGCACTGTTTGCATGACAAGTTCTTGTAGCGCAAATAGCACTACACTCCAGTGTCAATTTATCATGCAAAATAACCAGCATTCTTGCTGATGCTTGTATTGCCGTTCATGCTATACAAATGAGGGGGAGGGGGAGTTGTGCACTGTCATAGCGCTTCATACACACGCAGAAGCAGCACTTCCGTAGGTCGGTGCCCTCGCCCTCCGACACGGGGCTGTCGCCGTCATCGTCCATCAGGCCTTGCTCGGTCATGCTAAGCTTGTTCGATATGTCCAGCCGCCCGGTCGCCGTGTCTTGGGTCCACCGCACGTTGTCCAGATCCTGGTACAATTGCGGATCCGGGGTCGGTATCAAATGCAAATATGTCTGGGTCTGGAAGGATCCGAATTTGTGATGCGTGTTTCGGATCCTACAGTGATCTGTGATGCAGAACGTGCAAAAGGTGCCCACTTCTGGCCATGCTGAGCGGGCATTTCTCATGCAGAATACGCATCTATCACCAACGAGCTGCAGAACCTGTGATGCTAGGCCCTGCATTCCAGACGTGGGGGAGCTTGCAAAAACTGCATGACAAATCTCGGAATCTCCCAGACCCAGACATTTTTGCATTTGATAGCCGGCGGCGCCCCGCACCAGATGGCGGAGCACATGTTGTAGCAGAACCGCTTAAACGCCCTTTTGATCGGAATCATCCACTATCAACTGCAAATATAACTGGGTCTGCAACATTGGAAGATTTGTCATGCATACCTGACATAACCCATGACGGCTGTGATGTATGCCCTAGCATCACAGATTTTCTGAGTGCTTCTCTTGATGCCTATCCTGCGTGAGAAATGCCCTCTCCACGTAGCAAAAACTGAACTTCTATTGCTTGTCATGCAACACAGATTTTTTCAGAATCCAAAAGTAGCATCACAAGTTGTATCCTTCCAGACCCAGATATATGGTAAAGGTGTAGACCAGGGCCCCTGGGACCAGGGCCCCTGGGACCAGGGCCCCTGGGACCAGGGCCCCTAGGACCAGGGCCCCTAGGACCAGGGCCCCTAGGACCAGGGCCCCTACGGACTGGGGCCCCTACGGACTGGGGCCCCAGTCGTGTCTCAGAATCTGGCGTCCCGGAATCTGGTGTGCCGGCGTCTGGATCTGGAAGAGTTGGGGCGTCCCTCTACGTACAAAAAAAGCACAGCTCGACTTATGAACTGCAAATATGTCTGGGGCTGGAAGGATGCAACTTCTGATGCGGCCTTTGGATTCTACCAAAATCTGTATTGCGTGAGCAGCAAGAGGAGTTCAGTTTTTGCCACGCAGAGGGGGCATTTCTCATGCGGTGTAGGCATCAGGAAGCGCTCGCAAAGGGTGTGATGCTGGGGCATGCATCACAGGCATCATGGATCATGCAAAATGAGCATGAGAAATCTCACAACCTTCCAGACCCAGACATTTTTACATTTGATACGACTTTCATGGTGACAATTTGAGATGTCTCTCGTTAGCACTTTGAGCTGCATCCCTGTCCACTCAAGCAGTGATTTTGCTGGGAAACATTTCGAATACAAACGGCGCCCGTCGCATTGTAAATAGATCTGGGTCTGCACAACTAAGAACTTGTGACGCGTGTCGAGGAATATAGAATAAAGCGAAAGAGATGCTCTGGGTAGTCAGCAGACTGCGTCACATATTACGTGTGGCCTGCCTTCTTCCACCTCCTGGCCCGATGCTAGGACTTACAAGACATGCGTACTTGGTGGCCCAGATACGCTGGCAGACAGCTCCGGTTCCGGCCGCGCCTCGCCGTGTACCAGATTCCGGGACGCCGTTCAGTCCGTAGGGGCCCCAGTCCGTAGGGGCCCTGGTCCTGGGGGCCCTGGTCCCAGGGGCCCTGGTCTGAGCAGGGGCCCTGGTCTACCCGGATACCCAGATATATTTGCAATGCATATCCACCGCGTGAGACAGCAGTCCAGGTCGAACCGGAACACGGGCACGTCCTGGTTCTGGTTCTATCAAATGCAAATATCGATCTGGGTCTGGAACAAGATTGCAGAACTTGTCATGCCGGTTTTACGTGACCATGTTGGTCTAGCATGCAAGCCCTAGCATCACAGGTTTTGAGCAGGAGGTATCCCAATGCTTAATCCGCATGACAAATGCCCTGCTTCGGTGACAACAAGTGGGCGACTTTTGCTGGCCAAGCATGATAGATTTTGGCATGATGTAGGGTTCGCATCACAAGTTTTAGGCCTTCCAGACCCAGACATATTTGCATTTGATAGATTCGACCCCCGCTCCATTTGCCCGGACAGCCCGTCCATGAGCATCTGCAAGGACCGCTGCGCCTGGTCCTGGTAGTTCTTCGTTTCATAGTTGTAAATGTTCTTTTTCGGCTTCTTCTTTTTACTCTTGGACTCTTTGTCTTTGCCTTTGAAAGGCGCGGCTGCATTTTTCTTTATCGGATCAGCATCTAAGTTGTTGTCCTTCTCGTGCTTCGCTGCTGAGTCTTGCAGTTCTTGCTCCAATGCGGAAAAATTCTTTGTTCGCAACCAATCCGCTCCCTCTCCCTCCTCTTCCGTGCCGGAATCTTCAGGCTTCCCGCCACTTCCGGCAATCGCACCGCTCTTGCTGGACTCATGTTCGACGTCGTCGTTGTGTGACGTGTCTTCGGAACGGGATCCGCGCCTCCTGCTCGACGTCCAGGGCCTCTTCACAAAACTTGTCAGATTCTTAAACCACATAGTGACGTAAACTCCTTTGACCGGATATAATTCGACTGCAAAAAACTTAGTGTTAAAAGTACTTAGTTAACAACACAGCCAGTATACATGAAACGAAGAAACCTCCAAAACTTTTATTACTCACAGAAGCGAAACTCGAAACTATTGCAGCTGAATGAAACGCAGGTTGACGTCGCACGCTCCAGGCCAGCCTAGGTAGTATCAATCTACATAGTATCTTCGACCTACGCAGAGTTTTCACTTGAGTGACAGAACAAACTTCCACAGATCTCACGGAACTTCCGGATCAAGATCGTGTTCGCCATCGCCGCACGGATATCTTCACCACGTGGGATGCTTTGTTCACACAGAGGATGTTAAATAGGATCTACTTACAACTGTCAAATCTTTGCACCGATGAGAGTAATGAATTTCTTTGGAGACGAATAAAGGAACGAACATGCTTGCGATCTACACCTACACGAAAATGATTGAATCATTGCGCTCACGAAAAAAAAACTTCGTCGTCTAGCTGCAGCGAACAACGGAAGCTGCTACTCTTTCTGAGTGCAATCCTAGGCGCATCTTCTTGTCTGCTCACCTGGGAATGCTTATCGTCTGCGAACCTGCGCTGCGCGAGCGGAAAGAAGTTTTGCAATATGGTAGGTACTTCTGCCTCCACTTGCGAACTGGTTAAATCTCCTCTACAGCCACTTGAGCGGCATAACGTAGTCGGGGGAATCTGAGTAGCCAAAGAACTCTAGATCGAAGGCAAAGTGTTCCCGGACCAGTCCTATGGTCTCTTCCGTCCACAAGGCTTCCCACGTGGTTTCGCAGTTCCGGTACTGCACTTTTTTCGCGTCGAAGGAGCAGATCGGTCGCTCCGTGTTGCTTGAGGGGAGGACTTTTGGAAACTTCTTCGGTGCCGGGTGGCAATAATTGTACTCTTCGCACAGAAGCGCGTAAAGCTCTTCCAAGTCTGGCCCTATTGTCTCCAGATGCAGGACAAAAAAATCGTCCAAGTCCTGCACTGGCCCGTTTATTTGTAGAAAGACCTCGTCGTTGAGCATGTCGAGAAAAGGCCGCATGTGAAAGATGTCGCTGACATCCACTTCCGACTCCAGGTGGACGCAGAACCCCTTGTCTGTACTATCGCTGTGGTCTTCCTCTTGTTCAGTAGGAGAAGCTGTACCCCCCTCACCAGGATCATCTTGTACGGATGTTGACACGTGGGAGGTCCTCTCGTCGGTCAGCTCTCGCGAGATTGTGTAGCCTGCGTCTTTCGCCTTCTGGATCATTTCTGGGGTCGACTTGTTCACGCACATTTTCGGGTTTTGTTTGTCCGCGAAGTTGTCGCTGATGTCCTTCGTGAACCCGATTCCGTTCAACTCTCGCCACTGCGACCGTAGGTACAGCATTCGGCTCAGCCACTTCCCGAAGTCCTTCCAGTCTTTATACGGCCCCGCCCGTTTTCCGCCGCCCCCGTTCGTTGGCGGCGCACTCGTGTTATCCGCGCTGTCTTCGTCCGTCCTTTCCGCCTCCTTCGGCGGCTCGTTTGGATGCCGCTGCGTGGGAAGCCACGCGAACTGGTACATGGAGGCCATGCGGACGAAGGGGTTTCGCGCCAGCACCACCTTCTTTCGCCACTTCTGGCTCAGGCAGCAGTTCGGGCACAGATTTGCCGGCGGAAGAAACCGCATCCACGTCCAGTGCTGCTGCGTGTAGGAGTCGGGCGGAAACCGGTGCATCAACCGCTGCGACAGGTCTTGCACCACCTCGTTCTTGTCCATGTGGCCCCAGCTGATGTTTAATTATTTGCGATAATTTTACTTGATCTAGACCATGTTCATCTTTATTGATCTGTGTTGTGCACTTGTTCTTGTTGCAGCAGCGCCGAAAACAGGTCAAGATTCCTCATCCATGCGAAAGTAAAAATTATAAGTAGAGGTGGACGTAGTCAATTGTTTGATGATATCTTCAGGGCACACGCAGACAAGTTTGTTTCCCCACCTTCAGCAGTCAGAAGACATGGGTTAGAAAAACTCTTTGCTCATCGTCATCATCAAGAATAGATCGGCAGTAGTTATGTTGACAAGGGAGAATATGTCCTCGCATGCTAAGAAGATCCAATCAGGGCACACGCAGACAAGTTTGTTTCCCCATGACAGTTCGACTGGTGTCGGAAGACATGGGTTAGAATAAAACTCTTTGCTCATCATAGAGAACGTGAAGATCACAATCATTCACAATATCATGCTGAAATAGAAATAGAAATTCAAATTCCGTGCCGTTGGAAATAATAAAGGTGCTATTAAGCTAGTACATCAGGGCACACGCAGACAAGTTTGTTTCCCCATCTTCAGCAGTCGGAAGACATGGGTTAGAAAAACTCTTTGCTCATCATGAGATTGGCCGTGGAACTTGTCCTAGATACGATTCAGGCTTGACCTTCGCTTTCTTGATGTATCTGTCACGTCGAGGTGCGGCGTCGTAGTTTTACTTTTCAAAAGCTGTTACTATCAATCACTTGGGAGGTACAAGAGATGCTTATTGCAGCAGTGCAGTGTGAGCAAACTACATCGACGAGATCTATCGAGGAAGAGACATTCAGCGTACTTCGAGAATGCTTGTTGTGCTGCGGCGCATCAGCAGCTGCTCTACGATATAAATTCAAATACAAGCAATCAAAATGAATAAGTACTAGTCCAGCTCCGTAGCGAGCCAATCGATCATGACCTTTGGCCGTTGCAGCATGGCGTCCATTATGAACTGCAAAAGTATCGTACTAGTAGTAATTGCAATACAAATTAGCTCAGCATGACAAATGGGGTCTGTCATGCTGTTTTGCCTTGGGATGGAGATTTGCAATGCAAGACATGCATTTATACGAGTACGATACTTTTGCACAGGATATCCATTGCGTTTGCGAGACTGGTTTTGATGTAGGGTTCCAAATCCATAATGTAGTTCACCGCCGTATCAAATGCAAATGTGTCTGGGTCTGGGAGGATGGAGCTTGTGATGCGTCCTGTGGGTCACTCAAAAATCTGTGTTGCGTGATCACCAGCAAAAGTTCTCCTTTTATGACCAACATGAGCGGGAGTTTCTTATGCAGGATAGGCATGATAGAGATTTCGCAGAATCTGTCATGCTAGGTCCTGCATTCCAGACCAATTGGGGCATGGAAAATATGCATGACAAATCTGCACTCCTCCAGACCCAGACACTTTTGCATTTGATACGCCGAGCTTGTCCCGGACTTTGGCAGCATGAAGAACGCGATCGGCGCGCCCATGGGACTATCAGAAGGAAAAATTGCCCCTGCCCATATCGAAGCGGCACGTCTCAGAAAATTTCTAATGCGGATCAGTGGCCACAAATCGCGTCTGTCTTGCAAGAAGGCAACTCCAGAGGCTCCGCCGCAATATGGTGGCTGTCTGTGATGCTGGTGGGCCTACAGCATGGACGTTTCTGATGCCAAACGCCTAGGCCAGCCCCTCTCTACTCAGGCGTGATATGGGCCTGCAGTCCTTCACTGCAAGACACAGCTGATTTGTGTACGCAAATCCAGCATCAGAAACTTCGTTTCGATATGGGGAGGGGGAATTTTTCCTTCTGATAGGGACAGTGGAATAGTTGCGTCAACATGCCGGAATTCTGCCCGGGCTTCCAGATTTGACAGTTTGAATTCAGCAACACCTTCTGCCGATCGCGCAACTGCGGCTCAATGTACCGGTGCGCCTGCATGATGCACATCCCCCCGCCCGGGCCGTAGGCGTCGCAGTGGTCGGCCCGGAAAGTCGACACCTTTTCGAACAGCGTTGGCTCGGTTGGATCAGTACTAGCAACTGAAGCCGGCGCGCCCAAGCTGACCCGTGTCAACTTGTCCAGCGTTTCGGGGTGGAAGTCGAGGAAGTTCAGCATGTATCGTAAGGAAAAATCCTCCTCCCCATATCAATAACGAACCCACAGAAAATCTGCAATGCTGATTTGTGACCGCAAATCGCCTCTGTCATACAAAAAAGCAACTCCACAGGCTCCGCCGAATTATAAGGGCGGTCTGTGATGCTGTTGTGCCTACAGTATGGACATTTGTAATGCTAGGCGCCTATGTATTTCAAACTCAAAGCCTTGCTTCCCAGGGTTTGCATATAACTGCAGTCCTCTACCGCAAGACAAGTCTGATTTGTGTACGCAAATCTAGCATCACAAATTTCCTGTTCGATATGGGGAGGGAAGATTTTTCCTTTTGATAGCATGTTCCCCTTCACTCGTTCCCGCAGGCCCGCGACGAACGCCGGCTCCGCCTCCTCGAACGCGGTTCACTATCCTGAGTAAAAACGTACCCCCACCAGAGTTGTAGTGCAGATTTGCAAAGACGGGAAGACTTGTAATGCGCATCCCCATGAGAGCCATTTCCAGTCGTGTTTTGGAATTTGTGATGCTGTGAACAGGATGAGCAGATGAATCTGTGATGCGGCTGCACTTGCTAACCTGCACTACACTGCAGAGTGCAACTTGTCATGCGTGACTCACAAAACTCCTAGGTTTGTGCTGCAAAATCCCCATCCTGACTCTGGTGTGGGTACGTTTTTACTCAGGATATCCACAAGTGCTTGTTTTCCGGCTCGAAAAGCAGCTTTGCGAGGTCCTGTTGCAGTTCCAAATTGAATTCAGCCACTTTTTCCGGGTCGCACAGGTGGTACCAGTGCAGCTCCGACTGCCGGTTGGGGACGCGGTACAAGGGCATCACGGTCTGCATCACGCGGTGGACCTGCTCCAGCATCACCGGCGGCTCCGTCTCGTTCCATGTGGGTGGGAACAGGAGGCCGCCCCGCTTGTTCTCGGACTGTTTTTTAGTAGTTTCAACATCTTGCCTGTCGTGGTCCTGCCCGGCAACGAGCAACTTCTGGCGGGAAGCAGTGAATGAACCGCTCGGCCACGCGAGAAAGAGCCACAAGAAAAGTATTCTGCGAGGATGAAGAACTGGTGCCATTTTCATTTTTCCCTTAGTTCTATAGATACAACCGACCGTAGCGATCTGCGTACTTGCGCCGCGGCGATTGCGAGTCGAGTGTGGTCATTGAACAGAAAATTACGAAAAAACCGAACAGAGGAGATTTACCGTTCGACATTTGTGACCGATGAAATTCGAAAAGTCAGGACAACGAACGCGCTCCGTGATCAAGAATGAATGATGCTCAATCTTGATCTGTAGAAAACGAACAACAGGAGTGCCGCGGACTGCTTAAAATGCAGACACGCGAGGCTTTCGCGCACCGCCCTGTCGGAAGCGCCACAGCCGCCAAAGGATTTTTTTTTCGTATGAAAGCAACTCTTTACATTCTGTAGACAATACCTACACAAATGAATTTCCTGCCTTCAAATCAATTCAAATTCTAGCTTCAGCTCAACCGTTCGTAGATTACACCACTGTCAGGAGCGCTAGATTAGATGCCTTTCAACAACTAGACTAGTGTCATGTTGAAGCTGCAAGAACAAGTGACGAAAAGTAGCCACTTATTTCTTCTTCATGGACATCATCTTCATCTTCATCGACATCTTCATGGACATCTTCTTCATGACCGGCGCGGCGTCTGCGGCCTTCATCATCTTCATCATCTTCGCCATTTTCAAGGTTTGGGGGTTTTGTTTGGAAAAAACTTTTCCGATTCGTTTCCCTATGTTCGGCAAAGCAAAATAATTTAACGACCAAATATCACAGCAAAGGGGCAAGAACCGGGAGCGGGTCATGTGGTTTGTGAGTGGAGCAATGAGAAAGTGATTGTGGCTTTGCCTTACTAGACGAGTTCGACGAACGATCGCGATGGCGTGCTTGAATAAGTTCGATTCACCACGACGGCCTTGTACGATCACTCGAATTTTCGCGAACGATTTGAGCACACCGAGATGACCTTGCGATGTCCTATCTTGTGTACGAACGACTTACTTGCTGCATGCATCATTTGAGAACCAAAGCCGATGGGTATCATCCTCCTCAGATGCTTACGGACCGTGGATCGGCGACACCGAGCAGAGGAGATTTACCGTTCGAAGTACCGATGAAATTGGAAAAGTGAAAACAACCAATGCATTTAATGCTCAGCATGAATGATCCCAATCTTGTTCTTGACCGACCGAGATAAACGCATAACAGCAGTACCCAAAGGTGCGCCAAATGCAGACACGAAAGGGAAAGCCGTTCTCGCGCCGCCCTCTCAGAAGCGCCACAGCCGCCCAAGGATTTTTTTTCCGTATGAAAGCAACGTGGTGCTTTGTTCACGGAAGTGCGGTTTTCCGCTTGAAGTAGGTGCTGGTTTGTTCACGCGAAACTAGCTCTACCGCCACTTCTTCAAAGAAGTAAAATACTACTTGGCCAAACAGTCTTTTGCGTAGACCTGAGAAAAAACTAGAAAAATACTGAGACGATGCTCTGCCTCTTGGGAAGCTTGAAAGTTGGTGAAAAACGAAGCAAAAAGTAATAGCAAGCGTCTGACGTTAGCAAAAATCAAAATCATCTAACTGCTTTCCGTTTTTCAAGGTATATGGCAAAGTAGAAGCCGTCAGATTAGGACGCTCGTGATCTCACTACCTATCACATTATCTTGCAACTCTAAATAATATGCGTTTCGTTTTGGAGTGCGAACCATTTTTACCAGAGCAGTACCATTACCACTAGCTACCAGAAGCCGAGCCATCTCGATCTTAATCTTTAGCAGGAGTAGGATATGGATATAATTCGTTCTCGTTACATAATGACGCAGCGGCACATTTCTTTGTCTACTTGCGCCACCTGTGCCTTCGTTTCCTTCAGTTCCGCCTGGATTGCATCCATCTTCGCCTCGAACTTGTTGAGCTTCTCCACCAACAGGTTCCCCGCCGTCGCGGCCTCTGCCACGCTCCCCAGTCCCGCTTCCAACGCCCCGATGCGGAGCGCCGTTGTTTCTGCGTTCACTGCAGTCTCCTGCAGTTTCAAGGTCACGGCACTCGGATCAATCGCCGTGCTGAGATTCGCCATCGCCGCGCGCAACGACTTCACGTCCTGGTGCGTCTGTATCACCCGGGGCAAGATGCTGGATTCGCACTTGGACACACTGGAAAGTATTTCGGCACTCCCTCTAGCAACTTTCTCGTCGGCCAACCAAATGGCCTGCGCTTGACGCACGTCGTCGGCACTCAGCAACGCTGATCCCGAAGCTGATTCCATTTTGTGGCGAGACACGCAGGCACAGGCAGAGGGACGCAAGCGCAATATATGACTGAGAGCGCTCAAAAACGAAACTCTTGAAATCTAGACTGCTCTGCCTCCCATTGTGAAAAATTCTCCGGCTCGCTTCCCCAACTATACTATTGAAAAGCAAAAGCCTGAAGGCCAAAATATTACAGCGAACTACGGACGACCGGAAGGAGGGGGTCACGCGGATATCAGTTTGCGGATGAAACGAAGACACAGAAGTAGTTGTGGCTTTAAACTGAGATAGATTGCCATACACGAGCTCTACGGACAACGATGCGTTTGCACGCTCCCGAATATTTGCAAGTGATTTCGTCACAAACGCGGCCGACAGCTTGCGATAATATCCTATGTCGCATACGACCGAGTTCCTTACGCTTACATCTCTAGAAGACCAAAGCCGATTATTAGCATCCTCGTCAGATGCCTATGGGCCGTGGACCGGCGACACCGAGCAGAAGAGGTTGACAGTTCGAAATACCGATGAAATTCGAAAAGTTAAAACAGACAATGCACTCAATGCTCAGCATGAATGATCCCTTGTTCTTGACCGACCGAAATAAACGCACAACAGCAGAAGTACCCAAAGGTACGCCAAATGCAGACACGAAAGGGAAAAACCTTTCTCGTGCCGCTCTCCCAGAAGCGCCACAGCCGCCCAAGGATTTTTTTTTGTATGAAAGCAACTCTTTACATTCTGTAGACAATACCTACACAAATGAATTTCGTGCCTTCAAATCAATTCTAGCTTCAGCTCAACCGTTCGTAGATTACACCACTATCGGGAGCGCTAGATTCGATGCCTTTCAACAACTAGACTACGACTAGTGTCATGTTGAAGTTTGAAGAACAAGCGACAGAAAAATGCCACTTATTTCTTCTTCATGGACATCATCTTCATCTTCATCGACATCTTCATGGACATCTTCTTCATGACCGGCGCGGCGTCAGCGGCCTTCATCATCTTCATCATCTTCGCCATTTTGAAGGTTGGGGGGTTTTGTTTGGAAAAAACTTTTCCGATTCGTTTCCCTATGATAAAGCAAAACAATTTAACGACCAAATTATATTACAGCAGAGGGGCAAGTAGAACCGGGAGCGGGTCATGCGGATAGTGGTTTGTGAGTGGAGCAATGAGAAAGTGATTCTCACTTTGCCTTTACTCGACGAGTTCGACGAACGATCACGATGGCGTGCTTGAATGAGTTCGATTCACCACGACGGCCTTGTACGATCACCCGAATTTTCGCGAACGATTTGATCACACCGAGATGAGCTTGTGATGTCCTATGTTGTGTACGAGCGACTTACTTGCATGCATCATTCGAGAACCAAAGCCGAGGGGTATCATCCTCATCAGATGCTTATGGACCGTGGATCGGCGACACCGAGCAGAGGAGGTTGACCGTTCGAAATACCGATGAAATTCGAAAAGTTAAAACAAACAATGCACTCAATGCTATAGGATAAATGATCCCAATCTTGTTCTTGACCGACCGAAATAAACGCACAACAGCAGAAGTACCCAAAGGTGCACCAAATGCAGACACGGAAGGGAAAGCCTTTCTCGCGCCGCCCTCCCAGAAGCGCCACAGCCGCACAAGGATTTTTTTTCGTATGAAAGCAACTCTTTACATTCTGTAGAGTACCTACACAAATGAATTTCGTGCCTTCAAGTCAATTCTAGCTTCAGCTCAACCGTTCGTAGATTACACCACTGTCAGGAGCGCTAGATTTTTAGATGCCTTTCAACATCAACTAGACTAGTGTCATGTTGAAGTTCTTTGAAGAACAAGTGACGAAAAGTAGCCACTTATTTCTTCTTCATGGACATCATCTTCATCTTCATCGACATCTTCATGGACATCTTCTTCATGACCGGCGCGGCGTCGGCGGCCTTCATCATCTTCATCATCTTCGCCATTTTGACGGTGTGGGGGTTTTGTTTGGAAAAAACTTTTCCGATTCGTTTCCCTATGTATGGTAAAGCAAAATGATTCAACGACCAAATATCACAGCGAGGGGGCAAGAACCGGGAGCGGGTCATGCGGATAGTGGTTTGTGAGTGGGGCAATGAGAAAGTGATTCTGGCTTTACCTTACTAGACGAGTTCATCGACGAACGATCACGATGGCGTGCTTGAATGAGTTCGATTCACCACGACTCGCTTGCACGACCGCCCGAATTTTTGCGAACGATTTGATCACACCGAGATGAGCTTGTGATGTCCTATGTTGTGTACGACGACGAACGACTCACTTGCATGCATCATTCGAGAACCAAAGCCGATGGGTATCATCATCATCAGAGGCGTTCCATGAAACCGAGCAGAGGAGGCTGACTGCGCGAAATACAAACGAAATCCGAAAAGTGAAAACAACGAGATCTTCGCCATCTTGGCGACTTGGTGGTCTTTTTTGGAAAAACTTCTGTTTTTTTGATGTTCCGGGAAGTGCGGTTTTCCGCTTGAAGTAGGCGTTGGTTTGTTCACGCGAAACTAGCTCTAGCGCCACTTCTTCAAGGAAATAAGAAAGTAAATTAATACTTGGCCAAACACTCTTTTGCCAAGTAGACCTGAGAAAAAACTAGAAAAATACGGGTGAGAGGATGCTTTGCCTCTTGGGAAACTTCAAGGTTGGTGAAAAACGAAGCAAAAAGTAATAGCAAGCGTCTGACGTTAGCAAAAATCCAGTAAACTGCTTTCCGTTTTTTAGGGTATATGGAAAAAAAGCCGCCAGATTGGGACGCTCGTGACCTCATTACCTATCATATTATCTTGCAAGTGCAACTCTAAATATGCGTTTCGTTTTGGAGTGCGAACCATTTTTACCAGAGCACTAGCATTGCCACTCGCTACCCGAAGCCGAGCCATCTCGATCTTTAGCAGGAGTAGGGTATGGATATAATTCGTTCTCGTTACATAATGACGCAGCGACACATTTCTTTGTCTCCTTGCGCCACCACCTGTGCCTTCGTTTCTTTCACTTCCGCCTGGATTGCATCTATCTTCGCCTCGAGTTTGTTGAGCTTCTCCACCAACTGGCTCCCCACCGTCGCCGCCTCTGCCACGCTCCCCAACCCAGCTTCCAACCCCCCGATACGGAGCGCCGTTGTTTCTGCGTTCACTGCAGTCTCCTGCAGTTTTACGCTCACGGCACTCGGATCAATCACCGTGCTGAGATTCGCCATCGCCGCGCGCAACGACTTCACGTCCTGGTGCGTCTGTATCACCCGGGGCAAGATGCTGACTCCGATATAGTCTCTATGGTCAGCGAGGCGATGGCGATCGGAAGGATAGCCGCCTTCTCTGTCCTTTTGGAAGATGGCATACGTTTGACGGTAGTCGTCGGCAGTCAGCGACACCGATTCCGGTGCGAGCGCCATTTTGTCGCGAGGCACACACCGCCAGACAGACACAATATACCAATAATAGCCGCGTCCGCGGAGGTAGTGAGGTCATGGCGGTCTTTTTGTCTTCACGCCAAAAAAGGACGCAACTTCTCTGCCCACCATGCCATCGTGAGTAATGTTATGCACGACGGCACGGCGGTCGCTAAAAATCTCAATCCAGAGGCGGCCCCCATTTGGTTTCGAATCGAAGAACCTTCCCCGCATGCTATGGCCCCGCCAGGGCCCACGCCAGGGTCGGCCCCTTGGGAGCCCCAAATCGGGCCCATAGCATGCGGATTGGCTTTTTGCTTTTGGCGGTCTTTGTTTTTTTTGTTTTTTTTTTGGCAAAATGCTGCATCTTCTGGTCTTCAGTCCGCCTCTGAAATGGCGGATTTTGAAGGCGTCTTTTGCGCGGCCCGAATGTGGGGAAAAATGAGGCCCATACCATGCGGATTCTCTGTTTTTTTCGGAGTGCTGCTTTTTGGGCGCCCATTTTTGGGCGCCGCAAATCGCCAGAAACTAAGGCGGTGGGCGCCTCAGAAGGGCGCCCCTTTTGCCGGCTCCCCTGCGTCGTTTTATCAAGCGGGAATCGATAGAATCCGCCCGGGCTATTTTGCCGCAAACGCCCCGGCCGCTTGATAATTGAAAACTTTTTTTGTTAAAAAACACTTCCGGCCGCTTGAAAACTGCCGGTCGTTTTGCGTGATGCATGTCAAAAAAACCGCTAGGATAGAACGTTCGTGACCTCACTACATATGATAGCGCTCAAAAATGAAACTCTTGAAATCTGGACCCTGTTCCCTATTGTGAAAAATTCTTCGGCTCGCTTCCCTAACTATTGAAAAACAAAAGCTTGAAGGTCAAAATGTCACAGCGAACAAATGATCGGAAGCAGGGGGGTCATGCGGATATCAGATTGCAGATGCAAAGAGGAAAGAGTAGTTGTGGCTTTAAACTGAGATAGATTGCCATAAACTAGCTCTACGGACCACGATGCGTTTGCACGCGCCCGAATTTTTGCAAATGATTTGGCCACAGATCACCGAGAGCTTGCGATAATATCCTATGTCGCATACGAACGACTTCCTTCCATCTCTGGAAGACCAAAACCGATTACTATCATCCTCATCAGATGATAGTGGACAGTGGATCGGCGACACCGACCAGAGCAGGTTGACCGTTCGAAATACCGATGAAATTCGAAAACTTAAAACAAAAAACGCACTCAATGCTCAGGATGAATGATCCCAATCTTGTTCTTGACCGACCGAAATAAACGCACAACAGCAGAAGTACCCAAAGGTGCGCCATATGCAGACACGAAAGGGAAAGCCTTTCTCGCGCCGCCCTCTCAGAAGCGCCGCAGCCGCCCAAGGATTTTTTTTTCGTATGAAAGCAACTCTCTACATTCTGTAGACAATACCTACACAAATGAATTTCGTGCCTTCAAATCAATTCTAGCTTCAGCTCAACCGTTCGTAGATTACACCACAATCAGGAGCGCTAGATAAGATGCCTTTCAACAACTAGACTAGTGTCATGTTGAAGTTTGAAGAACAAGCGGCGATAAAGTAGCCACTTATTTCTTCTTCATGGACATCATCTTCATCTTCATCGACATCTTCATGGACATCTTCTTCATGACCGGCGCGGCGTCGGCGGCCTTCATCATCTTCATCATCTTCGCCATTTTGAAGGTTTGGGGGTTTTGTTTGGAAAAAACTTTTCCGATTCGTTTCCCTATGGTAGCGCGAAAAATTTGAAGCCAAAATATCACAGCGAGCGGGCACCGGGGGCGGGTCATGCGGATATTGGTTTGAACAAGGTGAAGCAATGAGAAAACGATTGTGATTTCAGATTATGGGGGGGGTTGCTTTTACTTTCTACGGACGATGACGTGTTACTTCGAATGAGTTCTACGAACCACGATGCGTTTCTAAGTACGACCGCCCGAATCACGATGTCTGAATTTGGTCTTGGTCATACCGAGAGATTGCAATATCCTAGGTTGTAGACGATGACGAACGACTTTACCAATAATAGCCGCCTCAGCGGGGGTAGTGAGGTCGAGGCGGTTTTTTTGTCTTCACACCAAAAAAAGACGCGAATTCTATGCGCGCCATGGCATCGTGAGTAATGTTATGCACGACGGAACGGCGGCCGCTAAAAATCTCGATCCAGAGCTGGCCTCCATTTGGTTTCAAATCAAAAAACCTTCGCCGCATGCTATGGACCCATCAGGGCCCTTGCCAGGGTCGGCCCCGTGGGAGCCCCAAATCGGGCCCATCGCATGCGGATTGGCTTTCTACTTTTGGCGGACTTTCGTTTTTATTGTTTTTTTTGTCAAAATGCCGCATCTTCTGGCCTTAAGTCCGCCTCTGAAGTGGCGGGCTTTGGTGGCGTCTTTTGCGGGGCCCGAATGTGGGCCAAAATGAGGCCCATACCACGCGGATTCGCTGTTCTTTTCGGAGTGCTGCTTTTTGGGCGTCCCTTTTTCGGCGCCCCAAATCGCCAGAAACCAAGGCGGTGGACGCCTCAGAAGGGCGCCCCTTTTGCCGGCTCCCCTGCGTCGTTTTATCAAGTGCGAATCGATAGTTTTCGACCGGGCTTGTTTGTTGGCAAAGCCCCGGCCGCTTGATAGTTGGAAATTTTTTATGTGCAAAAACACTTCCGCCCGCTTGAAAACTGCCGGTCGTTTTGCGTGATGCATGGCAAAAAAACCGCTAGGATAGAACGTTCGTGACCTCACTACATACAAACTACAGCCCTCCCCGAGTACAAAAAAAAGTCCCTTTGTTGGTGACCACCATAGCGTCGCGCATAACATTACTCCCGATGGGGCGGTGGACCATAAAAAACACGGCCGGAGGTCGCGCACCTGCTGCTGTCAGCGGAGCAACGCTTTCCCGCATGCTATGGCCCCCAAGGGCCTCCGCCCGGGCCGGCCCCTTGGGCGCCCCAAATCGGGCCCATAGCATGCGGATTAGCTCTCGGACTTTGGCGGCCATTGTTTTTTTTAGTTTTTTTGTAGGAAAAGTCGCAACTTTTGCCCTGCTCCCCGCCTTACAAATGCCCGATTTTGGTGGCCGGCTTTGCGACCTCCAAACGTGGGCCAAAATGGGGCCCATACCAATACCATGCGGATTCGCGCTTTTGTTCGTCTTGGCATTTTTGCGGCGCCCCTTTTTGGGCGCCCCAAATCGCCAGAAACCAAGGCGGTGGGCGCCTCAGAAGGGCGCCCCTTTTGGCGGCTCCCTTGCGTCGTTTTATCAAGTGCGAGTCGATAGTTTTCGACCGGGCTTGTTTGATGGCAAATCCCCGGCCGCTTGATAATTGGAAATTTTTTATGTCAAAAAAGCCTTCCGGCCGCTTGAAAACTGCCGGTCGTTTTGCGTGATGCATGGCAAAAAAACCGCTAGGATAGAACGTTCGTGACCTCACTACATATAATATACCTCGCTGAAAAGCCAAAACCGACTCACGTCAATATCATGCTTGGCAATATATACCAAAAACCGATTCTGTCGGGATGTGAACAGGCGCTATCGTCGTAATGCGTCCATGGACGATGACAGTCTATGCGACGGCGAACAATCTCGCTCGCTTTTGACGACTTCTATCTTTCTGCTCCTTTCACGTTCAAAAACTTAACATCTACATCTGAGAAATTTTGTGGTACTATCGTTCGAGTGAAACCATTATTTCCACAACTGTAAGTTGCCAGAGGGCTGTGTACTCCTCGGTGGAAGAAGATACAACGAACTTCATGTTCAAACCTTTTAGTATCTTCTGCCGCCACCGCCCCACTGTCTCGGGTGGTTTGGATTGTGGTCGTAGGGGCCGCCTCTGGAGCTGTTGCTGTAGCCCCCGCCATTATTTCCCCAGTTGTTCTTGCCTCCGCCCTTATTTCTGTTCTTCCCGCCGCCTCCGCCCCAGTCGTTATCCCGTCCATACTGATTATGCCCCGCGGCTTTACTGCTCGTGCTCCCGCCGTAATTGTTGTTATAGTTATTTCCGTAATTGTTGTTTCGGTCGTACCTTCCCGTGTTGCTGTTGTAATTCGAGGGCGCCGCCCGGCCGGCCGCCGGGTTGTACTCTTCCCGCGGGGCCTGGTTGATCCTGATGGCCTTTCGCGTGTCCAAATCGTAAGTCCACTGGTTGTCATCCTGGTTATTTTGCCTTTTGTTTGACTGGTTCTGCATCTGGATCCAGGCGTTGGAACCAACTTCCGGTTCGTTCGAACCCCCAGCGCCTCCCTGGTCGTCGTAATTCTCGAAGTTTTGCCGCTGTTTGCCCTTCGCTTCCAAACCCTTCTTCCCGGTGGCTTTTCCCCCCTTGGTCCCCATCGTGTGGTTAATCTCTTCGAAAAAGGTCTGCAGCAAGTAGAACAGCTTCTGCAAAAATTGCGTCTCCTGCGGGGAGGGCGGGTTGTGCGGATTTTCGCAAAATTTCGCGAACACGAACTTCAGCGCCCGGCGGATTTGACAGATGGAGGTCGCGTGGTTTCCCTGCATGGTGAACTTGATCCACCCGTCGTGGAGGGCCAGCTCGTTGTTTTCGAGTCTTTCTTCCCCGGCGATCAAACACAAAATCAGCGGGTGAACCAAGCTCATCTGTTTGATGCTGTAGCTCGACTCGACCTGCAGCAGCTCCTCGAAAATGCACCACTCGTCGTTCGCAATCACGTCTCCCAAGCCCCGGGACGTGCCGTAGCAGGTGGACATGTGCGCGCTGGCGCCGAGCTTGCCGCCCTTCACCTCCATCTCCCGCGTGTTTTTCCCGCACCGTTTCACGGCCACGTTCGGGTAAATCCCGGCAGTCAGGACGGACAGAATCAAGTGATCCTGCCCGCAGTTACGGGACGCAAAACCGTCGGAATCGCCCAGACCTGATACGTTTTTTCATTTCACCAATTATATGTAGTGAGGTCACGAACGTTCTACCCTAGTGGTTTTTTTGACATGCATCACGCAAAACGACCGGCAGGTTTCAAGCGGCCGGAGGTGTTTTTGCATATAAAAAATTTTCATTTATCAAGCGGCCGGGGCTTTGATATCAAACAAGCCAGGTCGAAAACTATCGACTCCCGCTTGATAAAACGACGCAGGGGAGCCGGCAAAAGGGGCGCCCTTCTGAGGCGCCCACCGCCTTAGTTTCTGGCGGTTTGGGGCGCCCAGAAAGGGGCGCCCGAAAAGCAACAACCCGAAAAAACAGCAAATCCGCATGGTATGGGCCCCATTTTGGCTTACATTCGGGCCCCGCAAAAGACGCCACCAAAATCCGCCATTTCAGAGGCGGACTGAAGGCCAGAAGATGCGGCATTTTAATAAAAAAAACAAAAAAAACAAAGTCCGCCAGAAGCAAAAAGCCAATCCGCACGCTATGGGCCCGATTTGGGGCTCCCAAGGGGCCAACCCTGGCGGGGGCCCTGGCGGGGCCATAGCATGCGGGGAAGGTTTTTCATGTCGAAACCAAATGGAGGCCACCTCTGGATCGAGATTTTTAGCGACCGCCGTGCCGTCGTGCATAACATTACTCACGGCGGCATAGTGGGAAGGGAAGTCGCGTCGTTTTTTGGAGCGAAGACAAAAAAACCGCCATGACCTCACTACCCCCGCTGAGGCGGCTATTATTGGTATGTGTTGGCTTTGGCATTGTCGTCGTGTGGAACGAATGGACAAGGACAATATGTCGAGTTGTCCTGACCATGAGCTAACTGAAAGTGCGCTCTTGTTGAATAAAACAGCTTCAGCCGTTTCTCTACTGCACAAATTTAAGTCTGGATCTGGAACTAGAAATATATTGCAATGATCTTCAAAAAGTACCTTGATCCGGCAAGTCCGCTCGCAGTTTCTGTGACTGGTCCGCCATCTGTCGCACGGTTTTTGCGTTGAGCCCGTTATCGCGTAAGAAGTCCAACCGCGTCCCCTGTTTCGACTGGTCCAGCGCCCGGAGCAGCGCGATGTGGTCGGAAACGTACGGCGCCGCCAGGTTGGTTTTGTGCGTGCCCGAGGAGTATCAAATGCAAAAATGTCTGGGTCTGGAAGATTACCAGGTTTGTCATGCATATTTTGCATAACCCATGATGCCTGTAATGCCTGGCCGCGCATCACAGATTTTTAAAGGGCCTTCTGATGCGTATTCCGCATGAGAAACGCGCACTCCGCGCAGCACAAACTGAACTCCTCTTGCTGGTCATGCAATACAGATTTTTTTTACCTTCCAAAGACAGCATCACAAATTGCAACCTTCCAGACCCAGACACTTTTACATATGATAAGGAGGCAGAGGCGTCTCCCAACGTGGTCATTTCCGTTTCCAGTTCCCCCGTGACCGGGTTATCCTGTGCAAAAGTATCGCACTCGTTGTATTGCAATCATGCATTACAAATCTTTTTCTTAAGGTCGATCCGCATTACAAATTTTATTTCTCATGCTGAGGAAATTTGTAATGCATTTATACGAGTACGATATTTTTGCAATTCATACGGGTTGCGCGATTGCGATGTTTTTTCCGTCAGTTTCTTGCCCAGGGTAAGAAATGGATCGCGGCAGAAGGCCGTGGACCCCACGACCTTCAGCACGTCGTCGAGCACACCGAAAAGCGCGCTCCACATCACGGTCTTTGCCAGTGTCGGCGGCAGGGAACTGTTACAGAGGGCCTTACCGAGCGGCGTCAGCATCTCGGTTCCGTGGTCCAGAGCGCCGATGGACTTCAGCAGGTCCACCGCGTTGTTGACGCCCAGTTGCTCGGGCGGGGTGGGGGCCTTCCCTAGAAAGGTCTGAATACTGGTGTCCTCCTGCTCGGTCTCTAATAAGAGCATCTTTGCCGCCAAACACGTCTCCTCGAGCGGGGACCGGAGCAGCTCCGGCTCGGTGAAAGCGTCCATACCTGTATTTTTATTTTCATAGTTTTTTTTGTTAGGTATCACTTGTTGACACCTCCAGTACTTACGTGATAGTACTTACATACTTTTTTCTAAAACAAATTGCCCGATGTGAAATATCAGATCTTGATGTCTAAGCAAGTGATGCAAGTGTTTCCACCACACAGGGGTCTGCAAAACTGTCTCAAACAAAAAACATACCTTCATCGCGTCTTTTTTTCGAAAACAAGTGAAAGCAGAGGCCGTTCTGCGTTCGTCCCGCCCGACCCGCTCGTTGCGAAACGGATGCTTGCGAGATCCAGGACGTGGTCAGGGTGGCCACCTTCAAATACGGATCGTAGCTCGTTTCCTTCGCCCGTCCGCAATCAATCACGAATTCCACGTCCGGCACGGTGATCGATGCTTCCGCGATGTTGGTCGTCAAAACGATTTTCCTCACCCCGGGGGTTTCGATCGGCTTGAAGCACTCCTGCTGCTGCTCCATGGACACGGAACCGTGGAGGGGCAAAATGGTGAACTTCTCCTTGTCCAAATCCGATTCCAGAATCCTTTGGCACTTGTCAATGTCGTTCCAACCGGTGAGAAAAACGAGGATGGATCCGAGTGGCTTCGCTTTCAACTTTTCCTGCTCCGCCGGGTCGTCTTTTTTCTCTTCCAATTGGGTTTTCAACACGTCCTTGTAGTTCTTGTCGATCCACATGATGAGCGCTTCGATGATCGGGAAGTCAAAATCCAAGCTGGACTGCTGCAACACGTCCATCTTCGCCAAACCGTCGGAGAGCTTGTTTTTGGAAAATTTGTCCTGCTTGATCAACGGCCGAATGTGGTCCGCCAAGCCCCAGTAGCCGTCGCCCCCGCGGCCCTCGCGCTGAAACACCGTCCTTTTCCACTCCTTTTCGTCTTCCATTTCGATGCCCGCGGACAGGATGCCCGGGCCGAGCCACTTGCGGAACCCGGGGACCTTCCACAGCGTCGGGACGATTTGGTCCAGGTACAGCTCCCGGACCGGAAAGGTGCGGCCCGGGATGTGGACCTTCTGCACGATGCCCTCAAAATAGTTTTCGAACGTTTCCAGTTGCAAGGTCGCGGACATCAGCACCAGCCGCATGTCGGGCCTTCGCTGCACCAAGTCGCGGATGAAAATCAACGCGAAGTCGGCGAGTTTGTCCCGCTCGTGGATCTCGTCGAACACAATGTGGGTGATGCCGCGCAGTTCCGGATCCGTGAACAGCCGGCGGCGCAGCATCGCGGTGGTGCAGAAAGTCAGTCGGGTCTGTTGCCGCGCGCGCTTCTCCAGGGGAACGTGGTACCCGACGTCGTTCTTGCTCTGCCCGCCCCGCTCGTCCTGGACGCGCTTCGCCAGCGAGATCGCCGCGATGCGGCGCGGCTGCGCGACGAGAATGTGTGCGGACTCATTGCCGTCAAGGAGAAACTGCGGCACTTGCGTCGACTTTCCGCACCCGGTCTCGCCGGAGATCAAGGTGACCTGCGACATCTGGACCGCTTCGAGCACTTCCTGGCGCTGCTCCCACGCGGGAAGTTCCTTCCGGCGCTCCCCGAGGTTGTGAATCTCGCAGGCGGCGTTCACCGCGTCCAGGTCCATCGGGATATGGAGTAAATCATCGGGATTCACGCCGTTCGATAGCATTTTACTCCGATTCTTGTTCACCGTGGACACCACATTGGCCTTCGGCACCGGTCGGTCCAACGCCACCGCGAGTCTCGCGCAGTCTAGCAGCGCGTGCTCCTGCGGGCCCTTCAGCCGCACCTCGCCGGGCGCCTTCTTGCCGCGCTTGCCCCGACCCTTCGCCTCCTGCATCCCGCCGGTGGGGTCGGACACGTAGACGCGAATGTGTCTGTCGGCGCCGGACCCCTCGGAGAGCGTGAACAGGCCGAAGCCCTCGGCAATGCGGTGGACGTACTTCCGGTCGGCGGAAGAGAGGGAGCTGGCAAAAGCGATGAACGCCTTGTCATCCTCATTCCCCTTCTCGACCAGCTCAGAGAGCTGCCGCGAAATGTCCTTGCGAAACGATTCGGTCGTCATGGCTTGTTTATTTGTCGGGCTGTTTTTGCTGGGTAACTAAGATGTATGATTTGAAGATACAACTCTGAATACAGAGCTGCAGGACATCAACCCCCGGGAGGTATGGTTGATCTTAGATTGCGTGTTGAAGAACTTGTGCTCTTTCACGACGCACATGGAGCTTGTGTCGGTTGTACTAATCCTAATGCAGCAGTTTTCATGGCACTAAACATAAATTTTTTTCCTGTGATGATTGAAGCTGAAGAAAAAATTGACAATCACTTACATTGGTAGATCATTTGCGATTCTGGGGCACAATGGAAGAAGGCTGCAGAGGTCGAGTCCAGGTTTTGAGAGCTGAGAACTCTATTTTTTTTTCTGTGATTCTGGAAGATCGATTATAAAGGCATGAAGCTAAGGAACGTGAGTTTGACTTGTTCGTTGAAGCTAAGTTGGTGTGAACGCTGCCGCGCTCTCATTCGTGTGGGTCTAGTTGCTGGAGAGCACAATTTACAGCACCGAAAATGGAGATGGTGCTTGAGTGCTTTTTTCTTTCCTTTTGACGATCGCCTTACGGGATTCTCAATTTTTTGGTTCATTTACATCTTTCAGTTCTCCGTTACTGCGTACATTAGTGATAGACTCAACAACGCGAGCGCGACGAGGATAACTTACATACTAGTTACTTCACGAATTCTTCCAGTAGTCTCCGCACCTTCACTTTATCCGTTCCCCCCTCCACCGGCATCACGGACGCGGGGTCCGCGCTATACCCGAACAACGCGAAATCCAACGCGTAGTGCTGCCGCACCAATTCGGCGAGCGCCCCGTCCTCTCCCCACAATTCCCCCCACGTCGTCAAACAATCTGCAGAGAACGATAAAGTTTTCGCGTCGAAGTCGCAGGCGTTCGCCCCCTCCGGCCGTTTGTTCGTGGTCGGGTAGACTTTGGGGAACGCGTGTCGCTCGTTGTATCTTGGGAGGATTACGTCCTTGTACTCCCCAAACCTACCATCCTCCACATAGTCAGAAGTCACCTCCAGTGGGTTGCCGGCGTCGTCTGCGACAAACATACGTCTTGATGAAGAAGGGTCGACTGCAGTAGTAGTGGTCTGTCCTGCTTCTGTGGAAGGAGTGGGTGATGTGTCTGCTGCACCATTTTCTGCTGCACGACAAAACCTTCCGTACAGTTCGCAAATCCTGTCGTACAGCTTTTCCAGATCCTGTTTCATGGTCTCGAGGTGGAGAATGAAGATCTCGCCGCTGTCTGCGCTTTGGTCTACTTCTGTAGTTTCTGCTTGTTTATTTCCCGATCCCTGACCAAACAGAAACTTCTCCGGCTCTTCCCCGACCGTTTCCACAAATCTTTCGTCTTTCAGCATGTCGATTAGCGGTCGAATGTGGAAGATATCGCTCGCGTCGAACTCGAACGTAAAGTCCTGGCAGTGGTAAGCGCCAATATCAGCGGACTTCTCGCATTTTTTTGCCTTTTCCCGCGACTGAAACGCCGTGGCGTGGTCTTTGTGGAACGGCTGCAGACTGCGGAAATGCAGCAATTTCCGCACCCAAGCGCCAAAGTGCTTCCACGAGTAGTAGTAGCGGTCTTTCGTCCCCGGGAGAAAGCCCCGCTCCTCGTAGAAAAGCCCGGTGGACTGATTTTTGCTAGTCGCTGTCCCGACGTCGTCCGCATTGTCGACAACATCCACGTTGGGCAAAGCCGTTGCTGTTTTGGTCGTGCCTACTGCGAATAAACTTTCGTGGTTCTGCTCAGCCTCTTTCATGGTATCGTTGTATCCTTGCAGCCACCGGTACTTGTAGAACGAGACCAACCGCACGAACGGATTCCGTGCGACGAACACCCGCAACCGTCCGTGCCCCTTGGCGCAGCACAACGGGCAGAGGTGCGCGGGGGGCAGGAAGAGCCTTTTCTCCGCATTCATCTGCGTTTCTACATCCGCCGGCCAGCGGTGCATCACGCGGTTCGCGACGTGCGAAGCGGTTTCCTGGTCCACAACCCACCAGGAGGCTTCTTCGGAGAGCCAGTTCATCATATCTTGCGGCCGCAGCCGCATGTTCTCCGCGGCGTGGGATAATGTGGGCCAGACGTCCTCATGCTCCAATAGCCAGTTCAGACTGCTGGTCGTGCCGGACTTCGGCAGGACAAAGGCCGCGATGGGCAGATTTCGGGGGCAGTGGAACAGCTGGAAATAGAAGGGGCCGGCTTTGTCGGACCGCAGCTGGCAGTTGCTGTTGAGCAGGACGGTGTCTTCCTTCTTCGTGTTGTATCCTGAGTAAAAACGTACCCTGTAATGCAGATTTGCAAAGACAGGAAGACTTGTAATGCGCATCCGCATGAGTGCCATTTCTTATCGTGATTTGGAATTTGTGATGCTGTGAACAGGATGAGGAGGTGGATTTGTTATGCGGCTTCCCTTGCTAAACTGCACTACAATACAGCCTGCAACTTGTCATGCGTGAGTCACAAAACTCCTAGGTTTGTGTTGCAAAATCCTCATCCTGACTCTGGTGTGGGTACGTTTTTACTCAGAATATGTTGTTGCGCATCTTCGTGTGGAAGATGCACTGCGACGAGCCGTACGTGTACCAGTCGCAGTTATTCGCGTTTTGCTCGTCGCAGAGCGGAAACCAGAGCACCTGGTCCGCGTAGCCTGGGTTTTTGTAGCGCATAAACGACGCACGCCGGGCGTACCGGAGCTGCCGGAAAGTTTCCGCGTCGCGGGGCCAGGCATGGGCGGTTTTGATGTGTGCATTGAGGGCACTGTGCCGCAAAACCACAGCGACATTGATTTTCAAGACGCAAAGCGCGAAGTTTTGCAAAAATCGCTTGAGCTTTGAAAAAGGGACACTCCTTGAGCTTGCTTTACTTTCCGGCCTAGTGGAACAGCAAATTCCACACCCTGAAAAAACCTGGGTCATGACAGTCGTCGGAGCGAGCAGGCAGGATCAACAACGCCGATTTTCATTTTCCTATGATCAAAGGAAAAATTGCGATCTTCAACAGCTGAAGTCCGTTGACAAACGCAAAGAAAGCACCCGAAAACGAAAAACGCTGCGCCTCTGCATCTTCAACACCACCACGCATTCCTTCACTTGTGCTGCAAGTGCAAACGATGTCGATTTACGACGCGAACATCAGGCAAATCACAGCACTTGCTGACGTATGTGCGGAGACCCGCGGAGCGGCTCCGCGTTTAAAAATTCCGTCGCCAGTCCGCATCTTCTTGGTGCCCTCTCACGCATTTGCACAGCGGCCCCACCCCGGCTGCATGGGGGCCACGAAAGAAAACGGCGGGCAACCCTCTCTGCAGCAGACAGGTTGCGCCGGCGGCCAAACAAAGCTGGCTCCCTCGGCAAGCACCCCGGGGCGCACATGCTATGCCGAATAATGTTCCAAAAATGCGTGGGCACAAGTGGGCATCGATTAGACTTCGCCCGCCCGCCGCCCCAAGGGGCGGGCGTCCCAGATGGCAACTCCTGTGCGGGGCGCATAAGAAAGAGAGAATGGCCCCGGCGCAGCGGGCGCGCGCCCGGCCGCGGCACGGCGGGCCCCGTAGCAGGTTGCACAACAGAAGCGGCAGGCGCTTCGGCCCGGGCCAAACACAGGCCGCGAGGCGCGCACGCACCCGGCGCCCTGCGAGCGCGGCCAAAGGCGGCGAGCGTGCGGGGCCCTCCTTTCTGTTGCTTGCCTCGACGTCGGCCACACCATCAGCATGGCGCGGCGGCTCCTGCCAATTCTGGGCCGATGAAGCCGATCCCTGCGCCGGATCCGCCGCCGCGGCGCGCAGCAGCGGGACGCCCTGGGCCGTTACCTGCTACCGCCAAGCGGCTTGGCTGGCGGGGCGAGGGGGCAGGCCGCGTTACGCGCCCGCGCCCAACTGGAGGCGCCTTTTTTGCACTCCTCCGCAAGGTCTTATGAGCGGCCTCGCCCGCCGGTTTCGATTCGCAGTTGGATGGCCGGCCGCAGCTTGGCGCATCCCGGGGCCAACAGGGCCGCCAACTCAACAGCCGCGCCGGCGGTCTGGCGCAGCCGCGATGCCGCCCGCCCGGATTACCGGACCGGCGTCGTGGGCCCCCGGAAAGGGGCCCGCCCGCGGCCCCAATCAGCCGAGCAGTGTGCTGCGGGCGCGGACGTCTAGGCCCCGCGGGCTCTGCATGCGATACAGCGCCCCGGCTGCGCCTCCGCCAGGCCGCGCGCCAGCATTCTGAAGCAAAGGCCGTCCCAGGGGCCCCGCCACAGCGTGCGCCAGCGGCCCCGAGGCTGCGCCATCCGTCGCCAGGGCGCCCAACATGTCGAAGCTGTTGCCCGCCGGCCCCACCCTCCCGGCCCGCCGGAATCTTGTCCGGCGCCCTCTGTCTATGACGGCGAAGCGCTGCGCAGCTAGCCCTTGTTCCCCCGGTACACATGGCCCGCGAAGTCGCACGGGGTTCATTCCGCCCGCTCTGCTGTATTCGCGAAAGGCTGCGCGCCCTCTCTCTTTCGGAAGGCACGCGCAACAGACACACGGCCGGCCGGGCCATGAGGGTGCGCCTGGCCACCTCGGGGCGGCGCCGCCCATTTGGCTGCGCTCTTTTTTCTGCGTCGCTGGATGCCCCCAAAACTTCAGAATTGCTAAGGCGCTCGAGGATGCAGCAACTCGCTTCGCGTAGGGAACTGCAAAATGAACAACGAAAGAAAGTCATGGGCTCAGCCTTCGGCTAAGGCTGGCGTACTTTGCTGCTCAGATTGAAAAACATCTGGCGACTTGAATGCGACGTTTCATTTCCGAGCTAAGCTCCACGTCCGCGTGTTCTTTTTCGGAATCCGAAAGATATCAGAGGTCCTCAGCACCACAATACTAATACTAAGATTCTGCACATACGCTAAGTGCCAAGCACAACAAGAGTCCTCGAATTCATAAATACTTTATGAGCAACTTCATCTACACTCTATTCTCAAATAAACGCAAGAGTCGAAGAACCGCACTCAAGTGCCAAGCCGCGTCTTGGAAAGCCGCGCAGAGGATGAAGAGAAGAATAGGATAGATACATACTAAGTCCATGAAAAAATATCGGCATAGCAGCATCAAATCGTCCTGTGTCCTCCGAAAACGAAGTTCAACTCGGGGGAGAAATCGTACCCCGAGGAACCTCGCCACATCGACGCCGAAGCTCGCCTCTCCCTCGCCCTCAAACGGTTCCGGCGCTCCAGAATATCGCGCACGGCGTAGGCGTCGGCAAGAATGCGGCTGGTCAAGTGGCCCCACCAGTTGTTTACTTCTTCCGATATCCTGGGCGTGTCTGGAATCCCAGGCTTAGTTTCAAAAAATACGTCACTGCCGATTCTTGTCTCCTTCGGTCTGGTCGTAGCCGGAGAGGAAGATGAGGGAGATGACGACTCCCTGTCAGCAGGAGCTGTTGCACCAGTCACAAGATTTGTGCTGCAGTTGCAACACTCTTCGAAGTAACTTTGCATTTTTGCAGGAGTCGTAGTAACTGTAATCGTCGTCGTGGGTGGCAGTGGTAGAGGACCAACAATTTCTCGCAAGGTTTTCGTCCCCGTTTGCGTCGGAGGATGAGCGCATGGACCAGGACCGCACTCCAACGCCTCCAATAACAACTGTTGCCCAGCAGCCGCTCGAGAGGGGGAGTTGTCGGCACTGCTAGTCGTCCCAGTGGTTGTTCCGGCTGTCGTTGAGGATGAACCCGAAGACGTCGAAAGTTGCACCGCCGACCGTGCGGCCGCGGCCAGATTGGTCCGAGCCTGTTCTTTGTCAAACTCCGGATTTGAGAGAAAAGGATCAATGAGTCGGGGCGACATAATTCTTCTAGGCTCTGCATTTATTTCATCACCATCCGACTCCACCGTTTCGGCGTCCATCTCGTCTCGCTTATCAAAAGGCACTTCCAGCACATCGTCAAGCAGCACAACCGGCGAGGTCGGAGACAAAGACGACCCCGAGGGCGCGTTATTGTGCAGGGAGGAGGTCGGGGACAGAAGCCGGTCCGCCGACCCCAGCGGGATCCCGACCACGTCGCACACGGAGGCTAAATCCTGTTCCGCTTCGTCATCCGCAAGTATGCCTAGCAGCCCGGCATCCACATCCTCTATCCACCGTTTTTTGAATTCTTGATCATTCGGATCAATCCCCAACGTGAGAGCCAGCTTCTCCGCCTCGAGTTCTCTGTTATCTTGGCTAGACGAGGGAGCTGCACCAGCGGGGGATGTTCCAGCAGCTGCTTTTCTGCCCTGGTAATTTTCGTTCAGTCCGGCAATCTCTGCCGCTCGCGCTCGCGCTTCCGCACCCGCCTGAATCGCGTCGGCGACAACGTGTTCCATCGTCACGTTACTGTCTGTACTGGTGTTCGGGGTGCTCGGGACCGTGTCTGGAGGTAGCATCTCTTGCCACGTTTCCCCCGAGGGGATCGTTGGTAAAGTCGCTAGATGTACCTTCCGGTATTTGTGCTTGGTCCGGCTCCCGAGCGTCGGAGGGTCGACCGGCGGAGGCAAGGGCTCTTTTCTTTCGTCCGGTCTTCCTGGCGGCGGAGGCGGCGACCAGTCGACCGAACCGTTTCGGCGGTGCCGGTAGAACCGTTTCACCGGTTGCACGTCGCCGACTGCGCCGGACGAGCTGGTCTCGTCCCCGCCCGAGTTGGCGCCCGCGCTCTGCGAGTCTGCGGTTCCGTCCGAGTGGTCCGACACTGGCTTATTTGCCTCCACCTCCTGCTTCCTGCGCGGCAAGGGCGCGATGCGGCCGGAGACGTGTTGGTTCAAGATCCAGTCGCTGGCGGACTTACTACTTGGCGCACTTCCGTGCTGCCGGACGGCTTCGCGAAGATTACAGAAGTATTCGTCCTCGTTCAAAGCCTGCAAGATCTCGATCAGAGTCGCGGCCGTCCGCGTTTCCAGCGGCAGGAGGCTTTCCAGCAACTTTTCCGGGTCAACCACGGCATCGTAGTGGTTGCCCACGTGGAGAATGGGCAGGTTGACGTCTCTTCCAGATTCGTCATCCGGGAAAAAAAGCGACCCGCCAGTGCAGTGGTCAACCACTTCAACGCGAATCTGTAGACAGTTTGTACACGTAGTACAGTAAAACTATTTTTCAGTGAGAGGGCCATTTATTGAGACGGAGCATCAATCCTCATGCTGAAAGTGAAACGACGACGAGAATGAAACCACGACATCCAAAAACACGTGCCGCTAGTTGTACGTACCCTACCTGCGGCCATAGTTTGGTCAGCGCCCATATTTCCAGATTGCCCGCCCAGGTATCGGGACTCCGCAACTTGTCTAGATGCGACTTCCGCGTTCCGCCCAGCAGCTCCGGCCCCAGGGTTTCGTCGTCGCCGAAATCGCCAAAAATGTTTTCCCAGGCTGCCTCCATGAAATCGCACATGTAGTGGCGAAAATCGCCGGAGCTAAAAGGGAGAAGTTTGAACCTGGCATCCTCCTCCGACCAGTTCTGAGTCTGCTTGATATCAACCTTCTTCTCTGCATCTTCACTTGATGAAGAGGAACTTTCGTCCCCATCCGCTGCACTTTGTTCGTGGTTCCGAGTACTGGTTCCGATGTTATCCTCGTCTACATCTTCAGCGTCAGCCCATCTACTTACCCTTCCAGCATTGTGTCTCTTGAATATGCCACCGCGTCTGCGGTCGTCGTGCCGTGGCGTCATTTCTTCGTCTTCTTCAAAGACAAACTTCACGTCCTCGCTGTCTCCTACCCGGTCCGGCCGCAATAGAGACTTGCTCTTCTTGATGCTCGTTCGCTGCCGTTGGGGCTTGGTCTCTTTATTATTTCCACTTTTCTTCCGAAAACCAGCATTCTGCTTTGATTTTGCTGTGCTTTGCCCCACTCGCCTTAGGATGTCCGTCAGCGTACTGCGATCTTTCTCCGTGCAGCCGTGTCTCGTTGTGCTTGCGGCGGCAGTGCTGAGAAACGAGAAGCAGGAGCTGCATCCCTCGGCCGTTGCGTCTCTCTGTAGTCGGTTAGAAGTAGTAGAGTCCGGGCTGGTTTCCGGAGCCAGGTCGGGTGGTCGGTTTATTTTTTCTCCGTTGATATTCTTGTTTATTGTTCCGGTTGTCGATGCTAAATCCATATCGTCTGTTCGATCCATGCTGTTGAGCTTTCGTATTGCCAAGCCGTCGTCCTCATCTTCCGGTGCGACCGTCCCGTGCGTTCTGTCTGGGTCGCTCGAGCACGTGATGATAGCAGCTTCCTGCGCAACAGGCTCGGGCCGTGCGGCGGTGCTGGCTTTAGTTGCTGTTGAACTATTGTTCTGTCTGACAGGCTTTGGCTCGCACAGAGAATCCGGCACCGCTGCTGCGCAGGTGGATCCGAAACAACTACTGGAACAGCTATCTTTGGGTCGTTTTAACATCGCTTCTTCCACGGAGCTCTCCTCTACCTCGGTTGTGCGGTGATTTTCCGCTTCTTGTTCCGCCCCATCAACGCTCTTCGTCTTCACCGCAGCACCGAATTTCTCTGGAAAATTCACACTCAAAACCTGCCGCACGACGGCCCTGAGCCGGGGTAAGTAGGCGAGTTGCCAGTGCAGTTGGAACTGGATGCTGGAGAACCAGCAGCTGTATGCAATACAAATATGTCTGGGTCTGGAAGGGGGCGAGGTTTGTCATGCTTTGTGAAGCGTGTCCAAGATGAGACCGCTTTGCTTGTCATGCGAGAGCGCAGTTCGTCATGCCAAAAACGCAACACTACGTAAGCAGCGCAGATATTTTTCATGCTTGGCTGTGCACTACAGCGTACTCACTATTCCCCACTCAGCATTACAAGTTTCCAGACCCAAAAATGTTTGCAGTGGATAAGCTGTTATCGGGATCAATCTTCACCGCTTTCGCCGTCCCCCTCACCAACGCACCGTCCCTGGGGAGCACCTTCAAGGGGCGCGGTCTCGTTGGTCTGGGAGACCGATCTGCGGGATCTCGCCGGTCGGCGTGGTCCCGTTTTTTTGCGGCGCTGCATGGACTGCTGCTACTGCTCCACTTAGATGCACGATAGGGGTCGGGACTGCCAGCACATTGGTCCTCTCCGGGGTGGACCAGGTGGTGCGAGCTCGCGTCCCAAATCCAGGGGTTGTCGCCATCTGTATAATGCATTTGATTTCAAGTCGATAGTTCTAGGATACTTCCTTCGCGAGGAGGTGCGACGTAAACATTCACGAATATTAAAATCAATTCACCGGCTCACAGTTGGTTCATATGAAGAGCAAAAAACCCGTACGTTGCAAGAATTGGTACAGTCCCCGCAAAATCCCCCTTCCCGCTGGGCCCCGAACATGTCAAAGCCATCATCGTCGAGGCAGCTGCCCGGGGTGGCGGGATGGAATTGCCCGATCAGCGGCATCCCGTCCTCATCCGTGCCTTCCGCACGGGATCGACTCGGTCGGTTGTCCAGCTGCAGTGGCGACACGAAGAGGCGAGTAGGCCGCCGAGCGCCCAGCTTGTTGCTGGACGGAGTGTAGTGCGCTGCGCTTGACGAGGAACTTGCGGATGCGGAGGAGGATCCTGCATTATTTCTCGCGGACATGCCGGTGGCTGCACTCCTGCCCGCTAGCAGAGAAGCCTGCGCAAGTTGGGGCTCGCGGCTCATGGCGGAAAAAACGCCAGCCTCGTTCGCACACCTCATGGCCCCCCAACATCCGGGGACAATCAGTGATCCGCACGTGACTGCGGCAGAGGACGGCATTTGGTTCTGATCCAGGCGAACAAAACGGGAGGGTAGAGACAAGGCACGTTTTCGTGCTTGCGGCTGGGGGACAAAAACTCAAAACATACCTTAGGTGCTTCACCAGAGCAGAAAAAGTACAATGCTGGGAACGATCGGAATGGAAGATGATCTCGGAATTCTTGCTGTTCACGTTTCTAAGAAGGATCTACTGTCGATCCCTATGTTTAAGTAGACGTTTCTCTCCATAGCCCGCACCTGGAGAAAGGTGGATCTGCTTCGATCTGGAAGTGGATCTCTAATCGTAATCGTACGGGACGAACAATAGCAAAAAACAACATTGAAACAAAGTTCTTGGCTCGCTGCCGCAGGAGAGCAAGGTGGATGTCCGTCGTGTCCGTAGTAGACTTTGAAATCGAAAATGGCGACGGCTATGGCAACGCAGAAAGATAACAACATTCAAGAACTGCAACTGTCTGCATTCAAGGTTTGAATTCGAATCAGATCCTACATTTGTGATGTGCTTACATACTCAGAAGTTCTGCTTTCTCTATCTCATTCGCAACGCATGTTCGACTGAAGCTGTTCATTCAAAAAAAACGCACATCAAGAACTCTTCCGCCTACCAATCCACCGGCACTGGGAAGAGCACCTGCGTATTGGTCGGATCGAGCGGAAACCCGAAGGGTGCCTTGGCCTGAAACCTTTTCTCCTCGGCGTACTGAATCCCAGCCTTCTCCGCCTCCCCCCGCTCGTTATCCGGGATTTTCTGCCCCGTTTCCGGGTCTATCATGTTCATGTCGTTCGCCCGTAAAGATCCTTCGGTCTCTTCCTTCAGCTTCCGCGTCTCCGCCGACTGCAGCACCAGCGGTTGTGTCGCTAAGGCCGGGTGGTGGCTTTGCGGGTAGAGGGTAACGAGCTTGTACTCATTCAACGGCTGCTTCTCTGGAAATGGCGGCGGAATCAGCTTTTTCATCACGGACATGAGGCTGAAACTCGTGCTGCGTAATGGTTTATTTCTTTTGCCTGATGTGGTCCACCTGGCGGACGCGTTCGCGACCTGGTGCCAATCTGGAACTGGTAGGCAGCTTGTCAGTGGTGAAGATGAGGACATTGATGATCCTGCAGCACCTCCTGAGAGAAGCCCCTGCTTACAAAGCTGCGAAACCGCTTTTGTGTTTGTCTCTGCGTTGGCGCATGACGAAGAACCAAAATGAAAGCCCTGGTGCGGGCCCAGCAAACTTTCAAGAAGAACGCCCATCGTGTTCTTGATATTGATGCGATAAGCGACAAAATTTACGGGGAACCAGTCATCTATATCTTCTGCATTAAGTGTTTATTACGTGACTTAGACCTATCGTGCCCGTGATGATCAAGATAGACAAGGACAACTCACGCACGATACAGAAACGAAGTGACGGCAACGAGCGAATTTCAAAAAGCGATATCAAGCTCGGTAAAACGACGACGTCGAAGAAACGAATGCCACATACGAAAGATGACCAAGTTCACTCTCAGGTAAAAGGTGTTCTATCATGAATGTCTGTTGCACTTCGACAAAAAGAAAAGCCGGACGCCTTGCCCTTGCATCAACCCGTTATTGCCAAAACCGTCGTGATCATTTTGCGTACACATTTTCTGTCATCATGACAAGGCTCTTCGTATGGTCCTCCACCTTTCGTGGATTCTAGATAGCAGGAGCTGCTTGTTTACTTCATCTTCCAAGTCGACGTTTCCGAAACGACTATACTTCCAGTCTGATTCTTCCTGTTGTCAACGAAACTCCTAAAAGTCATCTTACAAAGAAAACCGCTTGGAAAATCCTTCAGGCGGGTTACGCCCGAGCGAGAAGCTAGAACGATATTTTACCGTGTAGAACTTTTTTAGAAGTTTTTCCGAGCAGCAGCAGCTGCTAAAAATACAAATAGTGTGTGTGTGCTTATTGTAAATTATAAAAGAAACCTTCGAGGAATGGGACTCTGTCAAACTCAAAAGTGCCAAGTACGGCAGCTGGGATACTTGTTAATAAAACTCAATTCGAAAAGGGGTAGGGGCACATCGTCGTCGCGAGGATAGCGGATTGCTATGCAGAGATACCTGACTGATTCTAAGTAGGCTGGCTAAGAAGACATCATGATCAACGGGTACGACAAATTTGTCGACTACTTCTTTTGCTTTTTCAGCGCCGGGCCTGCTGAGCTCGAAGAAGCCACTGCCGCGGCGGTGCTGGCCTTCTCTTTTTCTCTCAGCGCCTCCAGCTGCGCGACGTTCTTCATCCATTTGGGGGCGTTCGGTCGCTGGGCCTTCTTCGCGATCTGGTTTGATTTGTTGATGAGATTTTATTTTCGGTATCAATTTGTTTTGAAGATCAGCATAAAACTCAAACTCAACGACAGGAACACTTGATGTCCGCTTTCACAACAAAATATGCGCACCAAACAACAACATTTTGATGTTGCAACAAATCTAAATCACAACATCAAAATCAATACCTCTGCCGCCCAAGTATTTATCTCCTTCGCCTGCGTGATCGGGAACACTTCCGCCACTGCGGCTTCGAATCCCCTCTCTATCAAAAGGAAAAATCCCCCCTCCCCATATCGAAACGAAGTTTCTGATGCTGGATTTCCATACACAAATCAGATTTGTATTGCAGTAGAGGAGTGCAGGCATATGCCAAGCCTCAGTCGAGAGGCTTTGACGTATGCGCCTAGCATGACAAACGTGTATGCTCTAAGCCAAACAGCATGAAAAACCGCCTGCAAAATGCGGAAGGCTTTCTGGACTTGCCTTCTTGCAAGACAGACAGGATTTGAGGTCACAAATGCGCATCACAAATTTTCAGACGGATACGTTTTCGATATGGGGTGGGGGGATTTTTCCTTTTGATACTCTCGTCCAACTGTTCAAACCGGTACCCGACGTGGGGCTATGCATTGCAAAAGTGTCTGGGTCTGGAAACTTGTGATGCAAATCTAGGAATTGTGGGCGCACTGCAATACGCAGCCCAGCATGACAAGTTTTTGCGCTGCTGTGTGTTTCGTTTTTCGCATGACAAACTGCGCTTTTGCATGACAGGCAAGAGGCCCTTTGCCTGCTCATGCATCACAGATTTAAGACTCATGCCAGACAAGCATGACAAACTTACATTCTTCCAGACCCAGACATATTTGCATTGGATAGGGGCCGCAGCTTGACAAACTTGTCGAGGATCACCTTGTTACCGGACTTTTGCCTCATGGAGTGCTCGGTGTAGGATTTGTAATTCTGGGCCCACTCCTTGACGAGAAACGCCTCGGTGATCTCATGCTTTAAGGGAATGAACTTGTTTCTTCGCCGCGCATTCGCAGGGGGGAGCGCGATATCGACCAAGTCCTCGTGCGTGCCCGTAAAGACGGATCTCCCGTAGTGGAAAATTTGCTGCATGGGGAGGTCCGCCTCCAGGAGCCGTCGCAATTCGTCCGACAAAGACCGGAGATTCAGCACCTGAAACATCCCGGCGGAGGAAGAGGACCCGGAGTAGGATTCTGTTTTTTTAGTAGCTTTGATGCACATATTTATTGTCCTTCTTACGAACTTCTCACATCTTCAAATTAAAACCAAAGGTAGGACAATGGAATAAAATTCATTGTTGAAAAGCAAAAGTAGAAAAATTTTTTCTTCTGCAAATTTTGAATATGATGTACGTTCCGATCCATCGTCGCTGTCTTCGAAGTCAGATTCCCAGTCGTTCTTGCCCTTCTGCTTGGGCGGTTTGTACTGCACCGGGTAGACCTCGCCCAGTTCCTTCTCGAACTGATTCCTGACCGCCCGTTCGGTCGACAAGCGGGCCAACACGGCAGGGATTTCCTCGTCCGACTTCTTGAGAAATTTGTCAGTCTTCCTCGGCACGTCAATCCACTCGAGTCCTTGTGCCCCGGTTTCCCCGTCTTCCTGCAACCGGCCGAGCACGCGGTAGGTGGGGCGGTGTGCGTGCTTCTCGGTGTAGACGTTCTTCAGCAGGACAAAAAGTTCGCTGGAATCTTCATCGTCACCGTACCGCATCGCGTTCCCCTGCCAATGCTTCACGGGCTGTTGTGTTGACTTGATATCTTCAATTTTTCATGTCAAGAAATACTTGGTGCTGCTTCTTGCAACTTAACATGTTCGATTCATGAGAAAGAGAAGGTATCTATGATGGCATTCCAATAAACTCAAATCGCAAAACAAGAATGAAGTGAGTTGTATTTTATACATTCGATCTGCCGTCAATCCTGACCGATGCCGCGCCACTTTCGCTGGGTTGTTGCAGCAAGACATTGTTCTGAACGCCGCCAAGCTTCGCCAGATTCTTCGCGTTAACCGGTTGTGGCGGGGCCGCGGCTTCCGCGATCGGTGCCTTGGACGAAACGGACTTAGAGGGAGCGGACTTTGACGCCTTCATGTCCACAGACTTCGAAGACTTCAACACACCGGCCTTCGGCATGACGAATGGAAATTTATTTCAAGGGTAAAAAGAAGCAAAGAAATCTTGCTCCACGAAAGAAACAAAACCAGTTTATATTCGAAGATGGGTTCTTCGATTTTTACACTGGAAGATGTTTTGATGTTGAAAAGATAAAGACTTTATTTAACCAAGACAATAACAATAAGCGTGGTCCAATTTCGATCAGCTTTGAAACGATTTTTGAAATACGACGTTGTCCAAGTTGTACAATTTAACCAATGACTCTCTCAACGAAAAAACTCCGACGATCCCTATTTTTTCAGTCGAATGATGAATTTTTTGGATTTGGCGATCCCAACGTAACGAACGATATTTTTTGTTCGGGATGATTTCAGCAGATTTTTTTCCCAAGAAAAATACGCAAACTGATTTTATACCGATGCGATGCGGATCAAGTCAGTGTCGTGCAGTTCCCTCTTTTACTTTTAGAATTTTCTTTTTCTGTATGTGAACGTACGAAAAGGAGATAGGAAATCTTACGATACAAATCAATTCCTATTCGCTCTTTGAGACGCTCTCCTGGTGGTTGTCAGTGCGACGATTCTAATCGTACGACGTTGGATAGCCACATGGGAGTTGTCACGCAGTAGCGATATGCATTTGGGTTAAATACAATACCCGTATTGATTGGGGACCTGAAAGAAGTTTTGAGGAATTAGCCGGAGCGTAGACGATTTGTTTGGTGCATCTTTTTGTTCATGCCACAGTCCCTTGCCGAAACACATGTCGCTCGGGTTTCTCTCACAACTCATTGTCGCCATCTCATCAATAAAGATGATGAAACAACACCAAAAAAATACTCTACTTGAAAGCATCTCCTGGCACTGCGTGCCACCTCGTAAAAAATCGAAAAAAATTTAGACTGAGCAAAGTCCCATGGCTCTGAACACTGTTGAATTCTTGGTAGCACTGCTTTCTCTCTGCAGCATGAAGCTTGAGATTCCTTTCTCCTCGTGATACATTTTTGCTTCTGTTCGCGAGCTGTCGCGAAACTTCATTCCTCAGAAAGCGCATTTACAGGTTGTTGGGGTGTTCGTTCTTAGTACACAAAGCTAGTACAATCGACAGAGTTTAGAAGGAGCTCCAGAGCCGTGTTCATTGTTTCGATACTTCGGTTTTCTTCGTCCGTAAAGGACATTTGTCATCAATTAGGTATAGTGCTTTCAGTTACTCCAGAAACGCGTCTTCCTTAGTGATGCGCCTCGAATATAGATCGGATGCGATACCTGAGGTTGAGAAGAATGTCGGATATTAGCTATAATAATAATTACTGTTGTAGGCTCACAAACAAACTGGACCAGAGAAGTTGTGCTGTTCTTATTGCTGGCGGAGGAAGAAAGTGCAAACGCATTCTGGGAAATGGTATTGAGAAAAACAAGTGAACTAAGAAGTACGCTCCAGGTCCTGGGCCCTTCTGACGCGGATCGTCGTTCGAGTCAAATTTCGTCGAAATCGTGATATCATACCTGTTTTTTGAGTTGATGCATTGCAATTGGCGCTAGAGAACTTGTTTTGCATATATGCGTCCCGTCGAGCATAATCCGCATGCCAAACAGTAACATGCAATACAGTGTCCCGTGTTTGATCGGGTAGTTTTTTCCTGGCTTCCCTGCGACGTTGTACCGTCCCGGACCTGGCTTTCCCTCTTCCTCTATCAAATGCAAAAATGTCTGGGTCTGGAAGAATGCAAGATTTGTCATGCATCTTTCTCATGACCCATGATGCCTGTAATACATGACCTAGCATTGCAGACTTCTAGAGGGCTTCCTGATGCACCTTCGGCATGAGAAATGCCCTGTCCGTGTAGCAAAAACTGTGCCCCTCTTGCTGGTCATGCAATACAAATTTTTTTAGAGTCCAAAAACAGCATGACAAGTTGCAATCTTCCAGACCCAGACATTTTTGCAGTTCATATCCTCGTTCAGTTTCGAATTGTCCAAGTACTTAGCTGGGATCGTCCATTTTGGGTTACCCGACCCTCGCTGCAGGCCCCCGTCGCCCGCGCTATACCTCGTATCGTATTTCGCCGGACCGGGACCGCTGTGTCTCGGGTTACCTGCCGTCTTCTCCTCGATACTTGGAAACCTAGAGTTTTTATTTGCATGGGACATTGCAGAAGAAAAATAGCGCATGATGCTGCCATGCATGGCCAAACTAGGCTCATCCGCCGAAGAAAGAACAAAAACAATTTATCAGCACGTCAATATTACCTTGGCTTGATTTTAAGGTCTTTTATGACGATGTCTTTTCTTATTGCGGAAAACTTCTTGGACACATCGCCGTAGTGGTCTGGTCCTGGTTTGCTCCGGCTTTCGGGATCCATGCCATATTCGTTTCGCTTTTCTGAACCAATTTTTGCGTGCGGCCCCTTTTCCCACTTCCCGAGAAACAGTCGGCTCTCTCGGTAGTAGTTCGGTCCACCGGGGGTTGCGCGACCTAGAGAAAGTGAAAGACGAGATGCGAGATGGTGCATGATAGTCTGCAGCAAGTGCAAAATCGCAACAACCATTTCCCTTGAATTACCGTACGATTTTCTTTGTCACGCCGGCGAGAACAAAAATATCGGGAATAAGTAAGTACCTTGCTTCACAATGCACGGATCGTCGACGTAACTTCTGCAAACCTTGCCAAACCCGTTGCCCTTACTGTGCCATGAAGAGAAGGGCGGACCTCCCTCGTTAAAACTGGAATTTAGCTGGACCATGATAGCAGCACCCTCCTGGCGCGCAAGTCGGAGGAGTGTTGCTTGATTGCCAAGTGTCCCGTTCGTTTGATCGAAGGTGGACGCGGAGAGTTGCACACTAAAGTACTCTTCCAGTCGCTTGCGACCGTGCGGTTCCCAGAACGTTTCGTCGCTTTTCGGTGTGCAAGGTCAGACGCCAAGGTCAATTGGAAACCACGTGTGAAAAGCTTTTTGGGATTGGGATGTTCTCACTTTCGTATACGCGGAAGCGGCGATGAGAGCGGCAAATACGGGGGCATGCGGGAACTTACTCCGGGTACTGATTTCCATCTACACTGCGCTTGGTTGCGGGTGGTTGTTTCTGAGTTGTAGACAAAGATCAAGGACATTGAAACAATGCGAGAGCAGAACCTGTTCTCTCTCGTCTGTCTCACCAAACAGCTCCTTCACTCGATTCTACAACTAGCGCTCTCAGCTCCTCGAAACATCGACAATTATCGAAGCACGCGGAATTAGAAGCAGGCCTGCGAGTTGCTTCACAGAATCGATGCATCGATGGGACCTATCAACACCGACAATTTGATTGAGTTTGAAGTTCGTTGAATGTCGCCTATGGCAACTCCGACATTGCAAAATACCTGGCTTAAATTTCGTTTCAATATCCCTCGTCACGCATTTTCTTTCGAAGTGGACTTCGCTAGAAGTCCACTATGCAATTTGAAAGAAGCTTCAAAATTGGAATTGCGGGATGCCTAGGTGAGGACAAAAAAAGTTCACCTGAGGAAAATAATGAGACGAAAAGTTATAAAGAAATGAGCTCGATTTTGACGATTCGGAAAATTGCGTGTGTCTTCTGCTGTGATACAGAAAATGGAATAGGGAAATCGGAAAATGTGATGTAAACAGTCAGAGTCGAAGAAAGCGATGAGTTTGGAATAATTTCACTTGCCTGCGCGGAAAAGGGGAGCTGCGCATTCTTGTTGCAAGTGGAAGCGCAGGAGCAGCAGCAAGTGCAACCGACTCCAGAAAATAATAAAATCAGCAATCTCTGGCTAGAAGTTAAAGTAAGCTCTTGGTAGAAAAAAAAACAAGTTCGCAACGGAAAATAGTTCGACGATTCATTGAAATTCATTTTTATTGTGAGGATGTTGCTCGGTAGCTTGGGAAAAGATGAAAAATTCTCAAAGACATTAGTGCCGCAAGTTCACCTTGTTGATCAATCTGTGCTACATTTCACATTCAGTTATGGTGAAAAAGAATTTCATTCTATTTTGACCTCCCCATTTCGTATCTTCACCTTTTCCCTTCACCGCTGGGCATACAGTCCAAAGTCGACTGCAGCAGCCCGCATCCGATCCAGAATCTTCGTTTTCTTCTTCAAGGACTTTTCCAAGTCCTTCACGAGTTGCGAGTCGATGGTGGATGTAGGAGCTTCGTCACCACAGGTCCGCACGCCCTTGGGTGGCTCATCGTGCTGACTCCAGTACCGCAGTCCCGTCTTGTACTCGTCTCGATACTTTCGACTTCGTGCTAGAGCAACAACGCGACTTCGCGTGACACCGGACCATTTCGGCAACTTGGCTTTGTGTAGGTAGATCGAGACCGTCTGGTCCGCCTTCGGTAAGCCGCTATGGGAACCCATGCGGACGGCTCGCCCACAAAGCTGCGCGTACTCTGTGGCAGAAAGGGGGATGTCGAGGGCATGAAAGTCGCGCACCCCTCGAAATTCGATCCCTGTTTTGATCGAGAAAAAGCTGAATGAAGTTCAATTGCAGACCACAGCTATTTGTGCAAGCAAAAAGCTCATCTCGCACGGTCATGGCATCGCACAAGATCAAGAGTCAGCATCGCTAAGTAATGTAGCCAGTCGCAAAAAAGTGCTTTTACCCTCGCCGCATTCTTCCCGAGTGGCCAACATAATGACAAATTTCTCACCCCGCAAATTTGTCTCGCCACAGTTAAAGCGACTGAGATCCTCAAAAAAGGCGACCTTGCCGGGAAACGCGTGCTCCAGCAGCCTCTTCGCAGCAAGAAATCCCGTCCGTCGTGCCACAATGACAAGTGTCTTCAATGACCTTTCCCTTGTCATGCTTATCACCTGAGGATGGTGTAAGAGACGAAATCGAAATGAATACTGAACATATTAATTGAAGTAGTGCTTGCATACTTTCTACCTATGATCGAAACAACTCAGTAAATACCTTGCAGATTTTCGGGCACAGCTCTTTTCTCAGCTCGATCAGCTGTGCGTCTTCCATTTTGCCGATGGTCTGCGGTGGCAGAGCAGAAACGGTGTAGACGGACAGTTTCTTGACCCTCTGGGCGTCTTGGTCGCCGACCTCGACGGCGTGCTTCAACACATACCGTGCTGCGGACCGGCCTTTCAAGCCCACGGGTAAAGAGCCCGACAACTGCAGCCCGCTTCCGAGTTTCTTGTCGACATCCGGACGGTTCATAACGACACGAGGGTAGTGCTCCTTCAGCTCCTCGTGCATGGTCGAAATAAACCCTTCATCCGTGCGGTCGTCGCGCCCCTTGCCTTTTACGATGTCGAGCAAAGCCCGCGGGTTCTGGCCGACGATAACAGGCGTGGCGGTCATCAAATAGACCCAGGTGCCGGGCTTGCTTTTCGTTCCCCGCGCGGACGTGGACGAGATGGCCTCGCGAAGGCGCTGCAGCGGCAACTTGAATCGTTCCTCCGTCGGTCGGATGAGATTGTGGGCCTCATCCATAATCACCAGCTTCCCGGCCAACGCGTTCTCAGGATTAAGCCTGAACTTCAAAGCCGGATCGACTGCCTGCGTCTTCAATCCTTCCCTGTTGTAGCCCATTGCGCGTCCACCCGCTGTTGCGTAGGAGAAAATTCGCAGTGGAGCCGCGGGCGGGGTGATGCCCTTGTCCATTTCAAAATTCGCTGCCCAGCCGCTCTTCACTTTTCCTTGGACAATTTGTCCCTTCAACCCCACGACATCGCAGAACTGCGAGCACAACTGTGCCGTCATGTTGACCTTCCACTTCTCCTCCTTCTTTGCGACCCAGTTATTGGTGCCGAGGAGCTCGTAAACGGACTCAGCACAAGAGGCCGCGAAGAAATCACGCCAAATGTTCGGCCAAGTGAGGAATTCCTTCACCAAATTCTCCACGTGGTGTCGCTTTGGTAGGACAATCACTTTTGCGCGTGCAATGGCGTAATCCGCAGACAGCATCGCAATCTGTGTCCGGGTTTTTCCGCTCCCCGTGCGATGGTCGACCACCATACGCGTACACCTCCCCGTTTCGAAGAGGTACAGCAGTGCTTTTTGATGCGGGAGGAGCTGCACTAACTTGTCCGCGGCTGACGCGCCGGGATCGAGTTTCTTGAAAGCAAACGTTTTGAAAAAAGTCCCGGTATGAAGGAATTTCACAAACCCCTTGTCGCCCGGTTGCAAACCGCCGGGGTTGGGAAATTCATCTGGCTGCAGACCGTCGTCCTCCTCTTCAAGATCACCTTCCAGCAAGCTCTCGCTATCATGATCGCTGCAAGAGGACTGCGAATCTTCGTCCGACAGGTACTTCGGTTCATCCCCCTCGACCAGGTCCTCCTGTTCCGACTCCGCTGCGACCGGATCGGGCTGTTTGCGTTTCAACACTCCCGCATCCACTAGCTTGTTCCGCAGCTCCGCCTCGCCTCCCCCTGTACGGACCGCTCGACGGATATCCCGCAGGAAGTCGGCGGTGAGTTCAGGCCCGGATGAGCTCTCGCCGTCGCTGTCGAGAGAATTGACGCGGTCGACTTTTTGGTTTTGGTGCTGGTTTTGATTATTTGGTTGCGGTTGGCTGACTGCTGGTGCTGCTGCTAGCGCTGCGGCTGCTCCCGGCGCGGCATCATTAGCATTTCCGATGCCGCTTTCACTAGTCCCGCTTTCGGATTCGGAGTCGGAGCTGGCAAACTGAGATTCATCGTCAGACTCCTCGCCGTTTTTTGCCGTGTTGGACGACTCAGAGTCAGCCTCCTCCCCTTCCTCGTCGTCGCTGGAGCTCAGCAAAACCACCACGTTTTGGCTCTCGTTTTTGCTGACTCGTGGCGGCGTGCGCGAGCGTAGAAGTGGGGATGCAGCCGGTCTTCCAGGTCGAGTCCTGGGCGGGGTTGATCCACCCGTGTTAGGCGCCGCCAATCGTCCGTGGGAAGAAGATGAGGAGCTTAAATTCGGCATTTGCTTAGTTTGTCTGTTTGCAATTGTATAAATGAAAAACGGATGGAAATCTAACTGAAAACAGAAGTAGAAGTTCCAGATCAGCTCACTAGCGAAAGTGGATCAATTTGATCGAGTTCAAAAGGCAAACTGTTTAAAAAATTCGAAGAAGAAACGTTGGGAAAACCTTAGATCAAGTTGTCCGAATTTTTTACTACCTGCAGCTGTTTTTTCGAAATTAAAAAGAGGGTGCTGGCGGTGGCCTCAATCCTTTGACTTCGTGAAGAGGAAGATGAACAAACAACGACAGACCACGAATTGCGATAGCGAAAGCGATTTTGCGAAGCATATTTGAAAGCACTCTCGTGCGATTTTCAGACTCTGTATGCCGCTGCCCCAATTATTTGCGTGACAATTTGCAACAACTCCATCGACGAATGCTAACAAAAATGCTTGCGTGGCGTCGACGTTTCTCAGTACAAGCAAAAAGAAAAGTCCGACAAAAGACAGAACAAGAAAACCTTCAATCAAGCGAAAAAAGAAAAACACCGAAAACGATTTGAGGAGCACATGACCAACCACGGCGTCTTCTCTCGGTTAAATGTATTCATTTCGCTGATAGCATACAACGTGCATTGATATTCAGTACAGAGCCTACAGCATCACGAGACGTTTTCAAATAAAACAGCGACATAGGGTCATCCTCGTCTTTGTTTCACATTCGTAGTTTACTTGTTTTTGAAACAGAAAAATCCAGCGGCACTTAACTCAAGAAACTCACTGTGCAAAATCTCCGTTCCAGGGCTTCAACTTTTCGAAGGTTTCCCGCCTTCCGCTGATCGGGTTGGTCCAGCCCTCCGCACCGTACCCCGGCGTGTTGATTAGCCACCGGTAGCCCTTCGCCCCCTTTGCCGCAGGAATCATGCCGTTCAGACCGCCCTCCATCGGCGGCGCGATCGGTGGGCGGCCGTCGTCCATGGAGTCCAAGGGTGCGTGCGTCATGTTGGTCCACCAGTAGTAGCCGTGCGAGTCGTGCATCGGGAACCACGTGCCCGCTTCCTGGTCCGGGTTCTTCACGAAGAAGTCCGGGTCCGCGTCCTTGTACAACCTGCGCTCGAACTCGGTGGGCCACCGCGGCATGAAACTGCGGTCGCTCTGCTTTATCCTGTGTAAAAACGTCCCCACACCATAGTTGTCATGCAAATCTGCATGCTTAAAATGTTTCTCATGCGGAGCCCCATGAGAAGCATTTTCTAATGGTGTTTCGAAATTTGTCATGCTCCAATCAGCATGAGAGACTAGATCTGTAATGCTGCTGAACTAGCTCAAACACAACTACACTACGCGTCCAAATTTGTCATGCGAAACAACCAAAGCTTGGGGATTTGTCTAGCCGATTCCCCATCTTGACTATGGGGTGGGTACGTTTTTACATAGGATATGCTTGGAAAAGTCCTTGCCCGCGTCCGCCCGGCACTCGTCGACGTTCAGGAAGTTGTCCGGGTCGTCGCACCGGTATCCTGAGTAAAAACGTCCCCACCCCATAGTCAAGTTGTGAACTCTGCAACACAAATCTAGGAGTTTTGGAAGCCATGCATGACAAGTTCGTCTTTGTAGTGTAGTGCAGGTTAGGAAGGACAGTCGCATGACAAACTCATCTCCTCATCCTGTTTACAGGATTACAAATGCCAAAACACGATTGGAAATGCCTCTGATGTAGATGCGCATTACAAATGTTCCTGTCATTGCAAATCTGCATGACAACTCTGGGGTGGGGACGTTCTTGCTCAGGATAACCGGTCGCTCTGGCTCAACCAGTAGTCCCGTTTCGGGTTCCCGACCAGGTTCTATCAAATGCAAAAATGTCTGGGTCTGGAAGAATGCAAGATTTGTCATGCATATTTCTCATGACCCATGATTGTCTGTGATGTATGCCCTAGCATCACAGGTTTTTAGAACCCTTCCTGATGCCCTTTCCGCATGAGAAATGCCCTGTCCGTGTAGCACAAAGCGCACCCCTCTTGCTGGTCATGCAACACAAATTTTTTTAGAGTCCAAAAAAAGCATGACAAGTTGCAATCTTCCACCAGACCCAGACATTTTTGCAGTTGATAGGTTCTCGCGCATGGCAATCATCGCTAGCGGGTTCTGCGGCGCCATCCCCGCCATGAACGTGTTCGGGTTTTCCATGATCGGGTGTCTTTGCACCGTGAACCCGATGTGCGCGGCGCGGTATCGTATTTGAAAACGTCTCCACCCCAAAGCTGTAATGCAAATCTGTATGCTGAAAATGTCTCTGCTCATGCGGAGCCCCATGAGAAGCATTTTCTAGTCGTGTTGTGGAATTTGTCATGCTCCAATCAGCGCGATGCACTAGATCTGTGATTCTTCTGCACCTGCTAGAAACGATTACACTACGGGACCAAACTTGTCATGCGCAACAACCAAAGTTGACAGATTTGTCTAGCAAACTTCCCATCTTGACTCTGGGGTGGGGACGTGGTTTTTTCTCCGGATACCCGCCCCCCGATGTTCTCCCAGCCCTCTTTCCAGTGCTCGATCTCCTTCGGCTTGAACCGCGCCACTATGCAAAGAAAAAAGTGTCACAGTTACAAATTGCTTTGCAAAACATGCAAGACAGACGACCTCTGTCATGCGCAAAATGCATGCGTGTCTCGTTTTGTGTGCGTTTTGCCTTATGATCTCTGCATTACAAGTTTTCAGCGTCATGCGAGGCAAATTTGTGATGCTTTATTCACTACAAATGTGTAACTGTAACACTTTTTTCCTTGCATAGCCACGGACGTGATTTTCATGTCGAACCAGTGCGGCCGCGGGTCCCACTTCGGCGTGCAGGGAAGGATTAACGTCTTCTGCGACCCGCCGATGGCAACCATAGTGCTGAAGTCCCAGTGTCCCGGCTCCGGGTGCTTCAACCTATGACAGTGCACAACGGCGCCTCCCCCCTCACTTGTCATGCAGAACCGCGATTCCAGTCGCTGCCTCATGGCACTCTTTGCATGACAAGTTCTGGTAGCCCAAATAGCACTACACTCCGGTGGAAATCTGTCATGCAAGACCGGCATTCTTGTTGATGCTTGTATTACCGTCCATGCTATACAAATGAGGGGGAGGGGGAGTTGTGCACTCTCATACAACCCCACCCGGCTGTCGAAGATCGCGTCCCACAAAATCCGGTCGGATTTCCCGTCCATCCTATGCATCGCAAAAGCATCGCAGTTGTACTTCATGAATCGCATGACAAACTTTTCAAGCGGAAAGATGAAATCTGTCATGCAGATTTCGGTAAGAGCCTACGGGTCTGTCATGCAAAACTGCGTTTTACACCAGCAGTCTTCGCTACTTTTGCACCTGGGATACATACCGAATTCCTTCAATTCGACCCGGATTCTCCCGTCGCTGAGCGGCCCCTTCTTGTCCCGGAAGTTCACGGCTGGCAGTTGAAACATTCTGTTCGTGCCCCCGAGAAACGCTTTCGCGGTCTGCGTCTGCTCCACGGTCCCCCCGCCGCCCCTGGAGAACGGCGGACGGTCCGTGCAGGTGAACCGCCCCTTCCGGCCGAAACCGGTCTCCCCGATGTTTACCATGGGGAGGGAGGACTTCGCGATGTTGGTGCTGTAGATGTCTGCCGTCTGGTACTGCAGGTGAATGAAGGCGGGGCCGAGGTGGGGGCCCTTCGCGAGGTTGTTCCACACATACGCGGCGCCCTCGGCCGGGGTCCACCGGTCCATCGCACGCCGCTGCCAGAGCTTGTCCACCAAATCATTGATGTAATCCTTGTTCGGGTTCTCGCGCTCGTGGGGAAGCGCGAACACAGTCTTGATTCTCTTGTTGCGATGATGTGACGCAAATAAAGCTCTATTCCCTGGGGTCAACGCGAGAGTAGAGCTCGCTGTACTGGAAGTAGAGTGCTCTTCATCTATCGGAGCCCGAAAGTAACCCGTCGTTTGAACATTCGCTAGAAACGAGCTAGGGTTGCGAACGGCAGTCCAGCCTGCGATGTTCCTCTTCCCCTGACGTCTGCGCGCTCCTCCGCAGTAAAACTGCAATGGTGCTGTTCCGCCCGTGGGACCTGCGCAGCTCGCGGTGTCTTTATTCTTGAAGGATGATTCAACAGAGAACGTTGTGTCGCTGTCCCCCTCGTGTGTTTTCGTCTCGTGCCTACTGAAAAAAGCCGTACTCGTCCGACCGTGATTATGGTTTGCCCCACGACTACAGTTTTTCGCATTCTTGCACAATATTGACCAAATATCGGCTCCTGTCGCCCCTACTGTGGTTGCGGCTGCTGACTTCGCGCGGCCCGCGCTGCTTGTCGTGTTGACTGCACTTACGTAGTCCAGAAGCTCTGTTAACAGCGAAGACGTCCCCGATCCGGAAAACATCGTCGTGCAGCTGGCAGTAATAGAATGCTGAGTGGTCTGTAGTTTCTTTCCTAGTAACTTACGTCTCACTACAGAACCTAGAAGACCACAGGAGGTAAGTACTTTACGCAAGTATCTTTTCTTTGGCTTCACTTTCATTGACGCCAGCACGCTCACCCGATCTTCAACATCCGAACCTTCATCTCCCAGGAGGTAGCTGCTACTGCACGATACTTCGACAGACGAGCGAAGTTTGTTCTTACGAGATGGATCAGCGAGTCCAAAGAATACGACGAAACGCACGAGCATCGACAAAGAGAAAGTAGACCTCAAAGACTTCTTGATTGTTGCGGAAAATCAATAGATAGGAACGGCCTGGTGTTTGTTCAGACAAATATTCGTCTGGTCTTTCTTGGTGATCTTCATCGTGGTTTTAAACTACAAAAACGCGAAGTAGAATGTAGGGTCGCTATGCTTCCTTGGCCTCGGCCTTATCACCCTCAGGAGCCTTCTCACCCTCTACTTCTTTCGACGCTTCATCATCGCCTGCGGCCTTGTCGCCGTTTTTATCATCCCCCTCAGCCTTTTCGCCCTCGGCCTCGCCTTCCGTCTTCGCTTCGTCCTTCCCTTCCGCGGGCTTTTCTCCTGCTGTTTCGGACGGTTTCTCTTCTTCCGCCGGTTTCTCTCCTCCTTCCGCCGGGGGCTTCTCCGCCTCAGTCCCCACAGCACCTGCTCCGAACCGCTGTCTAATTGGTTTCATCTCGCTTCCTGGCGGCGCCGTTGACTTATCCAGCGTTTTGGCAGCTTTTGCGAAAAATGCCTCGTTCAATTCACCATTCTTCCCGGCATCCTCCGTGCACTTCTCCACCTGCGCCGCCGCCAGCACTAACTGCTGTGTCGGCGAGCCCTTGGGCAGGGCGCCCATTTCGAGCCGGCACTCGGGCGGCTCGTGCAAAAGGGCGACGTTGCCGGTCTTCGGGTTGCGTCGCACGTAGTACTGAATAATGTTTTTCTGCGCCTCCGCACAAAATTGGTACGCCCGGGAAGTTTCGTGCACCGCGTCGGCAGCTTCCGCGAGCTTTTCCGGTGGGGGGCACTCCTTGCCGGTTGTGCCCAGAAGCTTGTCGACCTGGTAAAGGTCGTCAAGATACTTACTTTTATCAACTACAAATGCGTTCGCGTCATCATGTGCCGTGCGGCCATGCACCACTCTTCAACATATCGACAATACCCTCCGAACAAACACAACTCCAAACACGTCGAAAAAGATGAATAAAAAGAACTTTACTGCTATACAGCTTAAGTACCTTCCCTGCCGCAGTCTCCAGAGCGTCGTTGACGTGCTCCGCGCCTTTTGCCAGCCACTCGCCGTACTTCGCCACCGTGTTCCCCCTGCCGAAGAGAAACTCCCCCGTCACCAAATCGAAGTTGTCTGGCGGCTTGACCGGGTGTTCGTACAGGATTGCGTCGCCCGAAAGAGGTTCTGTAGTTCCTGCAGCTTCCCCTTCTGCGGCACTTTGGTTTGAATTATCCCCCTCCGCCTTCGGCTGCATTTCCGTCTGCAAGTTCACCACCCGATACACGATGTCCCCGCCCTTCACCGCTTCCTTGTACTTCTTCGCCGCCTCGCTCTGCGCCTCCCCCGTATCGAGTGCATATATGTCTGGGTCTGGAAGAATGTTAGTGTAATGCTGTTTGTGCATGACACAGAAGATCTAGCATGCCAGTCCTAGCAACACAGGTTTTGAGCACCTTAGGCGATGCCCAATCCGCATGACAATTTCCCTCTTTTGGTGACGAGAAATGCGCAAGTTTTGCGGCCCATGCATGACAGATTTTTTTCTGGTCTTCAATGCGCATCAGAAGTTTACATGTTTCCAGACCCAGACGTATTTGCAATGCATAGCCCGTACCCATGCGCAGTCTCTCCGGACGCCGCCCCGCCGTTCGCACGCAGATGCAGTCGCTCGGGTGCGCGCACAGGCTCGGGGAGTACGCAACAGGAGAGAAACTGTAGCAGGCCTTGTCCTTCGCCCCCAATCCGTTTTTCAACCCGAGCTCGCACAGCTCCTTCACGACCTTGTCTTGCCGCCCCGTCACGGGACAGCCATCTTCGAACTCGTACCCCATGCCGCTTCCCTTGCCGCTCATCAGCATCACGCCTTGGGGCATCCCGTTGCTGGGCTTCTCCTTGTCCTCGTCCCCGGACGAGGTCATCTGCGTTTCCAAGTCCTCCTTGGTGGGCATGAAGCCAAACTTTTTCACGTTCGCGACGCATTTGTACCCCACGTCGCAGAGCTTCAAATCACCACTACCTGCAGCGTCGGCAAAGGAAGTCGGACGGTGGTCGTGGGTACCAGATATAGAGGTGTAGTGAGGATCATGTGAAGAGGTCTCCGCAGAAAGAACCGGCGACCAGTGCTGCTGAAATTGGTCCAGAAACGCACGGAGCAAGGCGGGCATGGTGCGGTGTTGATTTACATTTGTTTTCAACTTCTTGTTTCCTTTCACTTAATGCAAACGATAGGAGTTCCTGGACAAGAACTTGCCGAAGAAGAATCGCCCTGTAACAACTTTCTAGAGAATGCCGAAGAAACAATGACTCTGCATTCGACCACCGAAAAGATGCAGCGGAAAGCGACGATTTCGATTTGCGAAGGTAGATAATGCGCGACGGCAGAAACTTCGATGTGAAGAAAAAATCGCAATCACGACTTGTTCACAAAACGATGCATCACGACGATCGCCGACACGCGAAATTCCTTCACGGCTAAGCGTTTTATTAATTTTTTCCACACGAAATAGTGATTCAGTCGGTACTACGTAAAAGACCTATCAACCGCGAAGGTCAGCATCATTTCTCTGCGTGACAAGCGCACAACAGCTACACTAGATTTGTAGGCACACAACTGCTCCACCAGCGTCCGCATGTCGTCGTGACCTATGCCATGAACAGAATCGGAAAGCAGCTGTCCATTAGTACCCACCATAGCATTTCATTCTCTCCTTATGCCTTTTTTCCTTATCAACATGAGTTGCAAAATGAATATGAAGCAAAAAAAATGCACAAGAAGAATTATTCCACGGTAACTGAGTACTATCTCACATTATGCAGCAGGAACGTGCTCGTCTTTATTCTCACTGGGGGTTTTCAAGAAGTTTTTATGAAGAATGTGTATGAGTCTTTCTATGATCATCGCCACTGTCATTTAAGCCAGCCGCCTCTTCTTCCGGTTATTTTTTCCTTGCAAAGGTCGTTCGTCGTCTTCTCCATCAGTCAATAGCCTCTTCCCGCCGGTGGAAGCCAAGGCGTCCAGTCCTCCGTGAATGCGGGAAGATCCATCTTCCTCTTCGGATTGCTCATCGGAACATTCCTCATCGGATGAAGATTCTTCGTCGGAAGCTTCCTCACAGGAAGACTCCTCAACATCGGAAGATTCCTCATCGGGACGAGATTCCTCTTCGCATTGCTCCCCAAACTGCACCGTCATGTCCAACGTAACCGATGCCAAACTGGATTCGTTGTAGGACATCCCGTAGTAGGACAAAAATTTTCGGAGGTGCTCCGGATATGAAATGCAAAAGTGTCTGGGTCTGGAAGGATGTAACATGTGATGCGCATTTCGGAACACACAAAAATCTCTCATGCATGGGTAGCAAAAGCTGCGCACTTTCTGGCTCCAAAGTGGGGGGTTTGTCATGCGGGTTCGGCATTGCGGAAGCTTCTCGAAACCTGTGATGCCAGAGCTTCCATGCCAGACCTTCTGTGTCATGCAGAAACAGCATGACTCTTCCAGACCCAGACATTTTTACACTTGATACCGGACCCGCGGCGACCATTTTTGCCGCAAATCTCCGATAGTGCGGTATCGCGTACCGCAAAACATCGACTGTTGCCACTTCCTCCGTGCTGATGCGAATATAAGAAGGTTCTTCGCTCCGCGCGACCATCTGCTCGTACGCCGCGACGAGATGCGGCTTTTGGCGGCAAGTCTCTGCGAACAGGTTTACCTTGTCGCAAAATTTCTGCCCGTGCTTCTTCACTAACTGAGGGGTCCCAAAAGAACGCAAACGCAACTCTTTAACAGCCTGGTCGATTTTCTTATCGCGATAAAACGAATTTGGAAAAACAGTCTCCGCGAAAAAAGTGAAGGCGCTGTTGTAGAGAAAGTGGTCCACAACGTCCTGCAGTGTCCGTCGCTGTTCCTTGAAGAGAAACGTTCGTCGCTTCGACATCAGCGCGTCCGACCTTCGCAGTTTCAGGATTTTCTGCCGCGACCCGGTAAACCGCGTGCTTGCCTCAGTAAGGTACATGGCGAGAAGCCACTCTCGCAGCTCGTCTTTGTTCTCAAAGTCTCTCAGCTCCGCCGGGGACGCGTCCGTAAAGAGCCAGGTGAAACACAAAGCCACCATGTAAGAGTGCAAGGCCTCGAACAAGCCAGGCGGGTGCAGGCGCACAGTCACGTCCTGTTCTCCCTCGGCTGAATATGAGGTTGGAGAACTTGAACTTCTCTTCCCCGTCGTGCTCTAGTCATTATTTCTTGTGATGCTCAAAAAAGAACGCCAACCACTGCCTTTCGTTTCCCTTTTGGCAGCATTTTTGCAATGACAAGTTCCGCAAGGAGCCGATGCCGAACTAGCCTCACAGCCCCCCCGGTCTCATTCTCATACCGATGCCTGGGCCCGCCCGGGCATGGTGTTGAGACCATCTTGCTATGCAAAGGAAACACTGATTTTCAACATTTGGCTTCATCATCTGATGCTCTTCAAATGAGCCGACGGAGGGAAGTTTTTTGCACTACCATAGCCAGCTCACCTTTACCGAAAACACTATCAAATGTAAAAATGTCTGGGTTTGGAAATTTCTGAGACTTGTCATGCACGTTTTGCATGGGCCATGATGTCTGTGATGCATGCCCTAGCATCACAGACTTTTTGAGGGCTTCGCGATGCCTATTCCGCATGGCAAATTCCCTCTCCGCGTAGCCAAAATTGCATTCCCTTTGCTGCTTATGCAATACAGATTTCTTTGGAATGCAAATGCAGCATCACAACTTCCAATCTTTCAGAGCCAGACATTTTTACAGTTGATAAACACCTGTTGCAGGCAGTGGAGAAATATGCATTGCAAAAATGTCTGCGTCTGGAAGAATGCATGTTTGTCATGCTTGTCTGGCATGACTCTTAAATCTGTCATGCACGTTACCCAAAAGCTCCACTTTTCTGTGATGCAGAAACGCAGTTCGTCATGCAAAGTAAGTAGGCAACACCCAGAAGCTCAGAAACTTGTCATGGTGAGCCAGCACTTGTGGCCTCATCATGAGACGCCACCCAGCATCACAAGTTTCCAGACCCAGACATTTTTGCATTTGATAAGAAAGTCTCGCGGCGAGACGGCGCGTGCTCCTGCACCTCCTCCCAGGGGCAGATGCTGCTCCCACTCGCGGGACAGGAGACTGAGCAGCGCGGCCTGGGCGATCACCGTTTCTTCCAGCGGCGTGTCCCGGAAAATTGCAGAAGAAGAAGCTGCAGTAAATCGGTGCCTCCGCAAAGCGTTATCCATTTCAAACTTTTTCACGTAATCTGCGAAAGAAAAGGGCACGGTAGAAGTTGCACCTACGGAGGTCCCGCAGCCGCAACTTTCCTCCATCTCGCGCACCGCATTCTTCCGCTCTTCGTATCGCAGCAGCGCCGCACTCAGACCCAGTGGATGCGAGAAGGGAGTCTTCGGCTCCTGCACTGGAAAGAGCGGCTTTGGTTTTTCCTTGTCTACTTCATCATTTTTCCCAGTAGGAGTTGCACTGCCGTCATAATCGCGGAGGTCCTCGTATGTTGTATCCAACTTGTCCACCACAAACGGGTGCAGCGTGCGGGCGTAAAACTGCTTCCACACGTCGTACTCATGTTCACTGCAGTCAAAATCCAAACTCACTCGCAACGCCGATGCGATCGCTTTCAAGTGCGGCAGCTCCCACCGCTGAAAGGGGCGGCTCGATCCCCGCAGCGGGAACACCATCGTCATCCATATTTCGTCGAGGGCGGGCTTGCAATCTTCCGTGAACTCCTCTTCTTCTTGGATCGTGGGCAAGGTGGGTAGCGGCGGCCCACTGCTGGAGGTGGTCTGGTAGAACCTACGGCGCTCGTACAAGTCCTCGTGGTCGTTTCGTCCGGCACTCAAAAGGAGAGGCCCGTCCTCGACCGGCCTCTCGATGGGGGCTTCAACACCCCCGCCGTCGACATCAAACGGCGCCTCGATGAACGGGGGCCTTGGTGTCCCCGTCGTCCTACTCGTGCCTCCTTTGGCGGTGCGCCGCACCAAGCCGAGGTACTGCTGCCACCGGCGTTCCGTCCCCGCTAGCCGCACCTTCCGCTCCGACGCTAGGGCGAGCTGGACCAGCCGCGCAGCCTCTTGCCGCAACAAGCGCACGCGCTTCGATCGGGCTTCGTAGTACAGCGCGATGGGATGGACGGTCGAGGTAAAGCAGGCATCTGCTGTTGTACTGATGGTGCAACGGTCAGGATTAAGGTGCTGGTAGAAAGAAGAGGCTGCGCCCGTAGTTGACGAAGAGCTGGATGTTGAAAAACCGCCTCGTTTGTCGCTTCTTTCCTGCACGCTGGCTGCCAGTTGTCGGCTATTGTAGTTACTATCACAATGTGCGGAGTTTCCTTCCCCATAGCACAGCAGCGCGGCCACGTCATGCACTTTCCGTTCGTGGTTTTCGTCCGCAGAGACAATACGCAGGGCCTGCTCAAAGGCCGCTTTGTTTGTGAACTTGCACTCCTCTTCGTAGTGGTCCCGAAACTTCGCCAGCTCTCCGCTCCAGCCGCATCCGCGGTCTTTGTGGCAGCAGAAAACGGAGACTTCCGGACAAACGCGGTGCGCGTGGTGCTCGAACCGGTCGAACCGCGCAATCGCCGCCTTGCACTTGCTGCACGACCCTTTCTGCATCATCACCATGCGCTTGATGGGCAAGGCCGGCGTGACGCCATGGAACTTTTTGCGGCACAGGGGGCAGGCCTTGTACGTGGATCCGTCTTCCCGCTTCTTCACCATGTGTTCTGACTCCACGCACTCGCGGCACATCGCTTGCCCCCCGCAGCAGTTGAGCAGGACCGGGTCCTGCACGGTTTGCAGGCAAATCGGACACTTGCACTCCTCTTCCGCCTCCTTGTTGTCAAACACGAAGTCGGGCAGCGAGTCTGGTAACCTCTCGCACTGCTGCGCCTGTGCAGCCGCGTCCCCCAAGTCGTCCTCGTTCGCCCCCTTGTAGTCCGGCCGGACCTTGGTGATCCCGTGGCAGATCTCCGAGAAGGAATACAGCGAAAGGAGATCCCTGCTCCGGGGCTGCTCCATCACTTTCCACAAACTCGTCTTCGACGTGGGAGAAAAGGGATCCGCCTTCTCCAGGGTATCAAATGCAAATATGTCTGGGTCTGGAACGTTTGTAGATTTGGCATGCATATTTTCGATGACCCATTATGTCTGTGATGCATGCCGTAGCATCACACATTTTCCGAGGGCTTTGTGATACCTCTACCGCATGAGAAATGCCCTCTCGGCGTCGCACAAACTAACTGGAGCCCTCTTGCTGGTCATGCAATACAATTTTTTTTGGAACCCAGAGACAGCATCACAAGTTTAGAATCTTACAGACCCAGACATATTTGCATTTGATACAGGGCCTGCTGCAGCAAATCGTTGTAGAAGGGGATGGGCATCACGGCTGGCACGATATCCTCGCAAATAAGCCACTCTTTGCTGATTACCTGAAACTTAAACTCCGCCTTCACGACCGCCTGTAGATTATCCTTGGAGGCGTGAAGATCTTCACGCGGCCCGAGAGGAAGGCTCTTCCCCTCCACGATGCGGTACAGCGCAATGCGGAACCGCGTGGGCGTGCCGAGCATGGCACTTTCGTCCACGAGCGCAGCCTGGTGCGCATGCTCCACAGGCAGCCCGCTCTTGTTGAGAAAACAGTAGGAACAGCTCGCGTTGTTCTCGTTTGTGTATCCGCACAGGGAAGGATGCAGGCTGGCGGTCGTCCCCGGCTTCTCCAACTTTGTCAGGCGCAAGCCGGACGAAAATTGTCCATCTTCATCATCATCACGCAGCAGCTCATCTATTTCATCACTTAACTCATCTCTGACACCCAGTGGTTCTCGCTTAGAGGAAGATCGTGTCCATAACGCGAAGGTTTGCAGTATGTGGTATTTTTCTTCTTCGTCGATTTCCCCAGCGGCCCCTGCGCCAAGAAAGCAGATCTGCGACTTCGATGCCTGTTGGGGCACGAGGAGGTGATGCACTTGCGCGCCGGCGCGGGCTGCCGCTGCATTCGTGCTGCCGCCGATTGCAGTTGTGACGGCTGGTAGTTTTTTTCGGAAATAGAAATCTTTGACGGAACAATTCATGCCGGTATCATCTTGTTCATGACGATTTGTTCCCGTCCCCTCCCAGAGTTTTTGTGCGACCTTGGTTTTGGATGTCTCGTCCAGTGTGTTTGCTTGTGCCGACTTGATGCTCGTCACGGGTGAAGCTGCTGCATCCGTTCTGCTTGCAAAAACTGCGGACGAAGTGGAGTTATGTTGCTTTCCCGTTCTAGTACTTTGGGGACATGATAACAAAGATGAAGAAGCGGAAGAAGAAGCAGCTCCTGGAGTGGATGAAGAACTTTTACACGACGACCGGGGACGAGCACTTCTTCTCGCTCCTGCTGAACTCGAAAAGTTCCGCTCGCTTTCTTCCTCCAGAATGCTTTGCAAGCCCGGCGCGCAAGAGACGGTGGACTTCGATCCTGTAGCACAACAGCCCGATGCAACTGCGGCCATCGTTCCTGCTGCAGCGGAGCAGAAGTCGGACACATGCGCGTCAAACGCAGACAAGGCAGTGTCCAGCTCTTCGTCTAGCTGCTCCGACGAGGGCAAGGGGCTGCTGCTGCTCCCCGTCTCGGTCAGAAAGGAGGCCTCGTCGTCATCAGGCACTTGGGAGTGCTCTCCATCGTGGTGGTCCTGCGACACGTCCAAAAGGTTCGCAAGAGTCGTGTTTGATGTCATGGTTCGTGTAAGTAGTTATGTATCAGGAGAGTCGTGATCGCAAATTGATGAGCTCATGCGAGCGATTTATAGTAAATCAACAGACAACTGTGGTCGTCGATCTCATACTGTATACTTTTATTTCAAAATTTCTGCCGAAAAGACTCCGAAGAAAACTTGACAAAGGTCTTGGCATACATATCCAGATGCTGTTGACGCCACGATTTTGAGTTTATCCTCCTATCGATCCTGACGGCAATTCTTGTACTTCGCTGTGTGAAAGCAAGCGGATGTTGTCCAAGATCTGTGCTGCATTCTATCGCTTTTTCCGTTGCGAAGACTTGTGAAGTCGTCAAAGAAAGAAGGATCGTGCTGCAAAAAGAACCACGACATCCAAAAACTTTGTTGGCTACAGGGAACAAGAGATTGCAACGCCCATGAAGAACACAAGGGGGCGCACGTATCAAATGGAAATCCGCAAAACTTTTTTTGCCATGATTTTACTCTTCATCAAGAATAGGGCTGTAAAACAAAATAGGAGCCTCCTCATCTAAACTCTGGATCCCTACATGATCGTAACAATAAATAATCAAAAGTAAGATCAATAAAATAGAAGCCTTGACAGCCTCTCCTGAACCATTTCTGCATCGTTGGCTCAACAGTACCGGAACAGGGGCGGAAACGGTGCGCATGTGAAGCAGAAAGAAAAAACGGAGGTCGCGGCCACGGGGAAAACCGCTTCATAGCTGAAGGCAGCTCGCAAGACGTGTGGTATGTACATATCCACAAAAACTTAGAAAGTCAAGCAGGTCAAGAACTCGCGTTCAAGATTTCGATAAAAATGTGGACTTAGGGAGTTTAAAAGAAAGCGCAGCCTGCGGACCCTAAACCGAGGTTCGCTACCTGGCGAGGGTTCTAAAAGCTCTGTGAAAGTTCTCAAAGTCGAAAGCTTGCTAGCCCGCATAAATTCTAAATTACTGAAGAGTTGAAAAGTTGTCGCTACTTAAAGTCGTGCGCGTTCGGTTTTTTTGTTTGTTTATTTGTAGCTTTTTGTTATTGTTTTCTTGGTAGTGCAATCGAGTGTCTTGAAGCGCTCAAGTTAGGAATCAGAATCAAAATTATCAGGATTAAACATCACTTTAACTCTTTAATATCCTTCCTTCAAAAATAGCTTTGTAATAAGGACCTGGACAAAGTTGCCCGTTAGTCTGTTTAGTACCAATAAAAAATCTTGTGTCTGTTGATAGAGTTTTATTTGGTCGTCAAAAACAGAATTAAAGTGGAGTAAGTAAGTGTCTTCATAGAAGATTCTAGGTTGCGCATCACGACTGCCCGACAGGGAATATAGTCGGTTTAGTGCCTGCAAATCTTGCGTCTGTCAGTAGTACCACTTTGTTCAATCTGTTTCTCATCGAAATCATACCTTGCTCCGCGTGGCGAACAACATTGTGACCTAAAACTAACGCTGCGGAAAATATCAATAAATGCTACGTACAATGAATAAGAATACGACTACCGTGTAATACTTTATCGTCTCAAAAATACCAAAAACCTTTCATTTCACTTCGCCCTCGAAAGTAGCACCATGCGTGTCCGCTTCCCCATCATCAGTCGACTGGGGCCTCGGGGAATCAAGTTCAAGAAGAGCATCCAACTCGTCCTCAATATCGGCACCATCGACAGCTTGTTCACTGTGCAAGAAGGGTGGTTCGTCGCAGTCTTCTGGGGCGTCGTCGTGCACACGGTGTTCTGACCTGGAACTTGTGTTGAACATCCAGCGTTCGTCCGACGGGAAGACGTGGCCATGGCCGGCTGTACGACTCCACGGGGTCGCTGTCGTTGCCGACGTATCTGGAGTCGCCCAGGGCGGCGAAGTAGGCAGCAGCTCCGTCGTGGAGAACAAGTCTCCTTGTTCTCCTGCTCTCATATTACCACAGTGCTGCCCTCTCGTCTCTTCAGAAAAGCCTGGCGAAGGTCGAAGAGTCAGACGAAATAAAGCGCTGTCTTCCACCACCCTGTGCGAGGAAGTGCTATGCGGCCTTGAAGATGACGGTGCTGGAGGCACGACTCGTCCTGCAGTGGAAAATAAATCACTACTCCGATCCGTTGTTTCGGCTGCGGGATGATCGCGAATGTAACTAGTACTAGACGCCGGACTAGATGAATTGTGCGCCGGAGCTATAGTCGAAGCCGTGGCGGGATCGGGCTCTCGGTTGTTCCGTTCTTCCCATGGCCTTCTCCGGAACACTTCTGCCCATCTCTGACTCGTCTCCCGCAAGACTCTTTCTGTTTCAGCTCTGCTTCCTCCACTGTTGTCGCGCTCCGCTGGTCGTGACGGTGCGGTGACCTGAGTTGCGCTTACCTGAGGCGCGATGACCTGCATTTGAGTTTCTTCGAACAAATAGTACACATGCACATGCAGTCCACCACGACGTGACGCTGAAAGTAAATTCATCAGTTTCCTAAACGAAAATGAAAACAAAAAGCTCAAGCTCCTATAAAAAGCAACACGTTGGATCTACTTAGGCTATCAAAAGCAGACCAAACATTTTTACCGTAGATATGGCCGCCGTACCACCGCGCGGATGTCCAAGGGGCACCACCGGCGATACAATTTCCGCAATTGCGGTGGCTGAATAGTCTTCATCGCGCTGAGTGCTGCAAGAAACACCAGGATTACTGCGAAGGCTTCTACCACTCGTAGTAACGTTGGCTGCAGCTTCCGAATTTGCAGCTAATGCCGCTGTGTTACTACTGCTGGAAGTGGAACTACTGCTTGCCCGTTCTTGCGCTGTCGCGGGATGTTGTTGTTGCTGTCCTCCTCCTCCACCCCCTCGTGCACCATCTACTGCTGCACCACAACGCGTTTCAAGATACCGATACCGAAGAACTTCTTCCTCTTCCAGGCCTATTTTGTTCCTGCCCGAATTGTTCAGAATTTCGGTGCTGCACTCGTACTGATTGAAAAGAAGCTGCTTCTCAGCTTCCGTAAGATTCTGGTCACCGGTCGTAAGAACGTCTCGGATGAGATTGATACCGTCGGATGAATCATATGGAGCCTGCTCGTCTATGATCGCTTGGAGCTCCGTCAGGCTCATCTTCATCAGATTCTCAGGTCGAAAGCGGGGATCCGGATCTTCATTCGCTGGATGGGCCTAGAATTAAGATTTTTCTTTATTGTTTTTCGATATAAACAGGTATATCTTCATGATCAGTTTCACAATGTTTATACTTCGACCCCAAACGCATGCGTGCCTGTGCTGACACATGAAACGTCATGCGACAAAAATGTATCGCCCAAAGGCGGTAAAACAACCACGTAGTTATTGTAATTTTTACTACCGCAGCAGGCTCTTGCTGTAGCTCTTGTTCTGCGTCAACTTCGAGTTGTTCCTGTGTTGCACGAGTCGTGGCGGGGGCTGCCTCACGTGAATGATCCAGCGGAAGATTACTGCTGGTACTAATTCCCCCCACCTCCACCTGACTCCCGTGCGCGTCCCGCGGTTCATCCAGTTGCTCTGATACCGCCCCTTGCGTCGGCCGCTCCTGCCTTTCTTCCTCTTCTTCTCGGTCCCTAGCCTCCCACCGTTCGGTACTATCGATCTCCCGTGCCTGTTCTATCGGGCTATTATTTCTGGGAGGATCGCCCGGCTGACTAAGAGCAAATGAAGTTGGAGCTGCGCCCAAAAAATCTCTGCTCAAGCAGATGTTGCTCGTGGTAGTTGTCGTAATAGTACTCCCGCCTTGCGTCGCTTGCAGTGTCGTATCAGTGGGCAATCTACCCGCCGCTGAGCGAGAATTTGTATCTGTTCCACTTACATGGAGCCGCTTGCTGTCCCTGCTCTCCGGATAAACAACATCAACATCTTCTTCCCTGTTAGAATCGGATGTAGTTATTAAATCAGCTGCAGCAGTAGCAACTCTATTACCTTGGATTCGTTCATCACTTGCCGCTTCGCCTCCTGGTCTTCGTACTACTGCTGTGTTAGCAGCTGTCAAGATTTCGCGTGCTGCGTTAGCACTTAGCGAAAGAAAGCGCGGAACCGCAGCAGTTCTCCTGCTTCTACGCGCAGGTTGTGTGCTGTTGCTGGCCAAATTCTCGCTTGTTGCAGAAGAAGAAGTTGAAGTTGTTCCATTCGCAACGTTCCACCTCAGCGACGCACTACTACCGCTATGGTTCCTCTCGTCGAGCAGTCCTCTTTGTTCCACCTGTCCGTGGTCGTCCTGGCTTTCGTCTACAACGTCCGTCCCGGCTGGAGCCCCTCTAGTTGTACTCGACGGAAGGAGCTCCTCGCTCGGCTGCCTCGGTTCTTGCCTTGCTGTTTGGTGTTCCCTTATGGCTTGCTCGCCGCGTCGCCCCGCCCGGTCATTTCGTCGTAGACGGCTTCTGCTGCTTCGTTCTTCTCCATACCGTCTCACAGGCCTCGATGATGAAGATGAACTCGACGTACTCTGCGCTGCGTCGGACGACGAGCGCCGGGCCCCATTTCTTCTTGTCCGCTCGCCTCGCTCTATTCCGCGCAAGACAGCGTCCACCAGAAAATTACTCTGTGGTCCTTCTCGCGCCAACCCTCTGGCTGGAGCGCACAATAGCTCCAAAATTCTCGGTGTTGATCTAGTATCGGTACTAGTAGTTGTAGCTGTTTGTCGTGTTTCTCCATTTCGCCTCCCTGTCTGGTCGTCCATTTCTACTGCGTGCCCGTTCCCACATTGCTGGTTGCTCATGATCTGCTCGTCGAGATGAGAAGGTTCGTCGCTTGTTCTTGCATTCGACGTTGTTGTCGAGGGAAGTAGATTTGCAGGGGCACTACTCACGCTCGGACGAGATGTTGACCCGCCCATGGCTTCTAAAAAACCTTCTGCGTCCTCGTTCGTGTCCTCAGCATCAGCTTGCGGCAGCTGCAACAGTCCCCGCTGTGTCTTCCACCAAAAAGATCCAGGCTCTGTGACGGAAAAGATCCCCTCTTCAGCCGCACTTCTCGGGAAGAAGACCTCCGCACTATAAATGTTATTCGTCGTTGTACTCGATGTCGAACAAACGGTCGTTCCGCCGGCGGCTGAGGTCGTTGAAGACGATGTCGATGCTGTGCTGCTGGTTGCGATCGCATCCGCGTTCTCGCGCGGCACTGCGAGCTCTGACATTTCATTTCCAGCAATGTCACCAGCTGCATCAGCTTCTAGTTGTGATGTGGTTCCTCTTGAATCATTGCTCAAAAATTCGCCTGTGAGACGCGATATTGTTCCGGCCGCGTTAGATTGCATGTGAGCATGCCTCGCAAGGGTCGTGTCAAGCGATTCGTAGTCTGAAGACGAGGTGGAGTCTTCCTCATCGTCTGAAGACGACGAATCCTCCCCATCCTCGCCGTCTTCGCTGTCGCTATCGTTCTCGGAAGACGAGAACTATGCCTTGCAAAAGTATCACACTCGTACTAATTGCAAATATGCCATGCATGAGCATGGTAACGTAAAACAGCATTACAAATTCCACTTCTCTTGTTCTTGCCAAAATTTCTTGTAATGCTATTCATACTAGTAAGTACGTTGCTTTTGCAATGCATAAGAACGGTTCTCGTACAACATCCGCCTCTTCATGAAGATCTGCGTCTACTTGTTCGATCCGTGGATTTAATACCATTGGCTCGTCGTTATCCTGCAGTAGCCCCGCCGCTCTGAAGGTCGCGTTTAGGTTCTCTTCGAACCAACTCCGGGGAGTTGGGGAGGACTGTGTTTTTGTTTCGGTTTCCAATTCTTTTATACAACTCGATACCCGTTTATAATTTTCATTTTGCTTTTTTACGAGCAACAGAACACGCGAAGATGCTTTATTTCCTGTCAACACCACCTGCACACCATTTTTGCGTACGTTCGCCAATTCATGATCTTTTTTCAAAGCTATGGACGTTGAAATCAATCCAATGGAATGATCCAAGAGGTTGTAACTACAAGGGTAGTACCGTATTAACTCCACTCCGCGACAGTCCTGCGGCTCTTCCCGCCGGGCGCGTAATATGCCGGCCGGGCGAGGATTCGATAAAGGGCATACGCGGCCTCTCCGGACGAGGATGTGTCCCGTTCTTGGGGCGTCTAGTGGGCGTCGTGCCTGTGGTTGCGAAAAGTTTGTGACCAGGACGGTGCCATTGCATGTAGAGGTAGACAGTGACAGATCTTCGGTAATAGAATTGCGTACTACGCGACGCCGAACAGCAACGGGGCGGTTCGTAAACATAACCACGCTCGAGAAAAACGACAGCAATTAGGCACAATCTTTCTCTTTCATTCCTTAGGGTCAATAAAAATAACATCATCATGAAGATGACGAAGTGCTATACTTGCGTCCACACTGCTGTTGCCGCGGACCTGCCACACCGCGGACCGCTGCTGCCCGTCGGTCTCAATATTACGCGAGCTGCGGGACCCGGGCTCGTTAGGTAGCAACGACTATTAGTAAGAATGGAAATTGTTCAAGAAAATTATTAGTCCGAATAACATGATCATTAGTGTGTATCTTCAACTCCATAGCAACTTGATGATGTGAAGTAGGGCTGTACACGACGTCTCGCGAAGAAGTGCTTTCTCGTTTATTACGCACCAGGGGCCAGATGATTCGCCGTTTGTTTTTTGTTGCTATTTTCAAGAACATACAGAAAGGCTGGCAGTCCGAGCTTCTCAAAAAATCTCCTACTACAAAAATACCTGTGTGCCGTTCGCCGTGTGAAGCGATGCCCCTACCGCGCTTTGTTCATCCGAACGAACCGGAGGGCCGCATGGTTGAATTCGACATCGAATTTCAACAGGCTTGCGCACAGGAGACTCGTAAAATCGATCCCTTCCAGCGGTGGAGCAGGATCGCCGCAGCTCGATGCGGCGCTTCCGAAGACGCTCGTATCTCACTTGTGTAGCGCACGACTCTACACAAAGTCGCAACTCGGCCGGTGTTGTGGACCACCAGTGGGAGAATGACGGTTTACTTGTACGCGTCCGGCAATATCCCCGTTCCTTCGCAACCAGTACTACTTTTCGGGATTTTCCACCTTGGCCCATGATGAAATTATTCTTGAAAGAGTTATTTAAAAATTTCTGCCGCCACTTCTCCGCTCTTCGTTGATGCCGCACCATGCGCTCAGCCCCTCTGCGAGCAGCGCGAAGCCGCCACGAGACCATGCTCACGCACGGGACGACCTTGCCCGACAGCTGCCCTTTCGGTTGCCGCGTCGCCCGCGAGATCACGCGGTTGGTTTGTAAACAGTACCGCTCGCACTGCGCGGGACTGTATCGAAATGTTGCCGTCGCGCTGTCCTCCTCACAGAAAAGCTTACAGGCCGACCTGCTGTTTTCGGACCAAGCGGATTCCAACACGGAGCGCAAATGCCGCACGTACTCAGCCCACTTGGGCAACTTGGGTTTCTCGTCCCAGGCTTCCAAATTCATCGGGCACGTGTTGTCCCTCAGAGATTCCGGTAACCACTCCCAAACCCGCTGAAAAAACGCGTTCCGAGTCTTCCGCACCGTGAAGGTGGAAAAACGCGTCTTCTGGGCCGCCCCCGCAAAGGCCTCGTCTGGCTGGTCGGAAGGACGAGTCTCACCTTCTTCTTGCTCCTCCTGCGCAGTACTAGAAGAACAATTATCGTGCACGACGACCGGTAGGCCGAGGTTGTCATGGTCACTCTTCAGGAACGCGTTGCGCACGGCCCGGTGGTAGGCATATTTTCTCATCTCCTGCTTCGCCTTCTGGGGCAGTTGCGTGTTGGTCCACATCCCATTTGGATCGCCGAGCCCGTCCGGCCCCGGCCGGCGCGCCAGTTCGGCCAGGCCGAACAGGACGCGCAGGGAGGGGTCCAGACACCCTGGCAAAACCGAGGCCCAGTCGAACTCGTTCGCACGTGTCTCGGTCTGCCGCTGGTGCCGGGTTGTGGATGAGGTGGTCGTGGGAGGCAATACTACCCGACGTGGAGGACAACTACCTTCTCGGGAGGCGGTTCTCGTCGCGCTGCTACTGTTATTCGACGACATATTCCCGCGGCCAGTTCCACTAGCACTGGTGGTGTCCTCGTCGTCCCTTCTGCCCGCTGACGACGACACAGACGACGCCGAGGAGCTACTGTTCGTGGTTGACATTGTTCCACCGCTTGTAGTGATTTCTGGAGAAGTACATGAAAGCTCGGACCACGCCGCGCGGCTACGGCTCGAAGATGAGGCAACATCAACATCAGGTGGACGAGACCTCGTCACGGAAAGGAACGCAGTATGCCTCCAGGTAGTTGTTGCGCGACAAGGAGGCGCAGCACCGGGAGCTGCATCATCAATATGATCGTGATCCGGTGCCGCTTCGAGAGGGTTTACCGCGGCGGCCCTCGTGCTGGGCGGCGGCGGCGCTCCTCTAGAAGTAGAACAGGTTCTAGTGCACGACGAGGAACTGCACCAAGACAAGACCGCAGCCTCCCAGGGGGGGCGACAGGGAAAGTCTACCGCGCCGGTGTCGACCCGCAGCTCGTCCGCCAGAAGCCCGATCAAAAAGCGATACTTCAGCTCCGTGGAATTCCGCGTCTCCTCGTAGTGCCTGCATTCGTCGACCACGCGCTGGCCGCACGCATCGCTGGGCACCGGGTCCGTGAGGGGCAGAATGACGTTGCCGCGGGCATCCACCTTGTCCACGACAAAAGGCCGCAGCGCCCTTTCGTACGTCCGCCGGTACGCCGCGTGATCCTCGCACAAGTCGCGGCAAGCGTTTTCGGCGCACGCTCGAAAGTTGGCGGCGGACCCTGCGGTTTGTCGTGGTAGAAAACTTGTTGTCCTATTAACAGCGCATGGAAAGAAAAATCACAGACGCGGCGCCTTCATCTGACTAAATATTGGAGGGCTACTAGTACGGTGGAACTAGAACAAGTACATGGTTTATTCGTATCTCTACGTCGCACTTGTTTTACATATAAATGCGCTCGCTTCCAGGTGAGCGACGAAATACAATTGTCTTCAGGGCACCGACTCTATCAAAAGTCAAAGACAAGAGCTTTTCTAGGTAAGAAAGAATTACTTACTTACCCAGCTCAAAGGACCTGACGCCGCACGCGTGCGCGATCGCCTTTACATGATCGGCCTCCCAGCTTTCGAAGGGCGACACTGTCCCTCCGCGCAGCGGGCGTAGCAACACCGCCCAGATTTTATCAACAAGCGCCGTAGCGAAAGTCCACGACTCCGTACGAGCGTCACTCCGAGCCCACGACGACGAACTGTAGGCTCGGCGGACAACGTGGTGGCGGCACGGCCAGGCCACCCCGATGCCCGGCAACACCAAACTGTTCGAAATGGACAACCGCTCACCAAACCTCCGCCAGCCTGGCCGACGACCCGTGCTGCCGTTGGTACGAGCTCTTGTGCCACGCGCTTGTTGTTCATCACGCTCCGTGATCTCAGTTGTAGTCATCAGCAGCGCGGCCGGGTCGCACGCAGCAGCGCAGTGGCCGTCCGCCCCCCGACGACCCCGCACCGAAGCCAGGAAGGTCCGCACTCTTGCATTTTGCCCGGACAGGTGACGCGGGTCCAAGGCGCAGGTAGTCCGGAAGAAAGGTTCCGGCAGATTCCGGACCGGCGCGGAGAAGGCCGGATACGCGACTCGGAACTCGCAGGGGTACTGCCGGTTTTCGAGGAGCGCGATACTCTCGCTGGCTCGCCGGCTCACTGCGCAGTCCGCCAGCAGCTCAGCCTGTTCCCGCTGCAGCCGGATGTTGAGCGCGCGGGCATGCCGAAAGAGCTCAAGCGGGGACCAGGCGCTTGCATAGTGCGACCAGGGACACAGGTCGCCCTCGAGGCGGCCCCGGTAGAGCACGTTGCGCAGCAGCTCCGCCATCTGGCTGGTTGGAGGGTAGATACTGGGGCCACGACGGATAATCTCCACGGTCTTCCGCCGCACTGCATGTTCGGCGTAAATCTGTTTGTTTGTACTTTTAATGAATCAGCTGCATCTGGTGCTATACCGATCGTCAGAAAGAAAATGCCCTTGCTTCATGTTCATCATATGAAAATTTTCGCTGCTAAATTCATTTGATCTTCTTGTTTGTTCCCGCTGTCATCCATGTTTATATTTAACCAACTGCATTGATTCAGTACGCAGTGGTTGCGAAAATGCTCCGCAAACTCGTCTCGTCGCCCCGTCCACATGCAGCCTTTGTGCCGATGCGCGCAGCACACAATCACGGCCGGGCATTCGCGGTGGTAGTGCGCCGACCGGTCTGCGTGCGTGACCTCGTGTTGGCAGCCCTGGCAGACCGCCCTCTGGTGGGCAATCATGCGTGCGCACGCCCGATTGGCGTGCACGCTACTGTCCGTCAGCACCGACCGGCAATGGGGGCAGGTCGGATCCGGGGGCGCTCTCTCCCGCGCACTGGTGGCGTCCGTGGTAGTACCTTGTGCCGCGGCTTGTTGCTGCTCTACGTCCGCGGTTGACAAGGCCGAGGCCACTTGCTGGCCCTTCCAGTCATCGAGGCAGTGCCGGCAGAAATTCACGCCGCAGCAAGCGGTCAACACGGGCTCCTGCCAGACGTCCAGGCAGATTCCGCAGGTAGCGTTCTCCACAGCATACGGGTCCCGGTATTTGAACTCCGGTTGCGGGTCGTCTCTGCTGACCGCGCACTCCTCCGCGGCGGCCCGCACCGCTGCCTCGGAGGGTGCAAAATCGTCCGCCGGCGACGACCTCCGCGAGACGCTGAGCATAGCCTCGAGCACACTCCGTTGTGCGACCGAGAGAGGCCTGCGTACTATCGTAGGGACAGAGAAAGAACACTTCCCGTGGTGCCGCCCCAGATGGATAAATGAAGATGTTGACGTGTAGTCCATCAAAAATATTCCAATTGCATTGCTTCATGCAAGTGCGGCGAGTTATCTGGCCGGCGTTATTGTTGAGAAGGACAAAGATGTTTGATGTTGAGTACGGACTCTTATCATCAATTACTTCCTTCGGCAGAAATTGCTTTATCTTCTATATATGCATATCATGTTCTGCAAGAAAGACATGCAATTCGAGAGCATAAATCTATAAACTGGAACGGGGACCACGGGAGTTGATCTCGCGATTGCATACTGCGGGACGATGAAGATCTGCAGGGTGCCGGAATCGTGGCCACAGCGCGGTGTATCTCCTCCATCCTTAGCTTCTCAAGTGCCGTTTCTTGGTTTGAATGGAAGCGGTAGGGTTGTATTCTTGTTCAACGCAAAATGGCGATGATGTTCTGTGTCTGGTGTGCCCACGCCACTATCAGATCGAGGAAAATATCTTTTTCTTTTCAGAAACCGAAACTTTTTACCGGATGTGACAACAATTCTAATATTGTGCGTATGGTACACCTCGAAGCGGAAAGAAGTTTTCAAACTGCGACTATGGCATTTGCTGGAAAGGCACAGTTGTACCTCCTACGTCCTGTACCTGCTGGCGGCGAAGGAGAAAAAAAAACTTCTTCGGGCAGCACTTAGTGCGGAATAAATAGACCACTAAAAGGATGAATGTTTCTCGTCCATGGTTGTTGCAGGCTGATGACTTTGGAGGTATTAACCTGCACACTTTTTGACAAGCCTGTTGATTGCCTGATCGCGTGCGCCGGCTCTGCAATTGATCTATATACGTATAGGTGCACATATAATACCTCTTCTTTGTTGCGCGGTCATTCCTCCTCGCGAAGGAAAATAAAACAAGTACCTCCAACAACAAAATTCACACGCGATGTGGAGGTCGGCTGAACGACCGGGACCGGGGCCGCGCAAAATAAAACATCATATCGGAAATAAGTACTTATTGTACTGATAGTCCGTTCCTGCGGAGATGACACAGTATCTACTATGCAAGGGCATCGATCCAAACGTTGAGATCCAGAGAAAAGAAGTTCGTCGGAGGAGCAGAAAGTGAAAGTCTCGTCAAGATAGCTTATTGACTATAGGCATTGCACGTTGACGTTCCTCTTTTTTAATACAGGAATCATTCCCGTGTGTGGAAAACTGAAGTGGCCGCGTTTTCTCCAATCCATGCGAACTTACTATGACGGCTCGCTTGTATAGGAGATCTTCTTCACCGTTGAAATAAAACGGCACCGCTTCATTTTATCCGCGTGAAACACGACAAACAGATTTCCTTTATGTGTATCGCAGATCTTTCGCAGGTACTAGCAGCACAGCAAAAACAAAAATCTTCTCTGCTGCCGCAGGTTCTTTCATCCGGCTTGTTAGAAGTAGTGGAACACATTGCAATAGGTGTGAGCAACAAAGTACACGCAAGGCTTGCAGCGCAGTCTCGTTCTCGTACGAGGCTCCACACGACAAGCATTCAGTTTTCGATGACATCTTCACCAATCTTCAACTTTTGAAAGTTCAGCACTCGTTCATTTCAAATGAGCTCTTTCAGCGAAAATGAAAACCCAATGTGTTGCAATGCCCTTTTTCAACTTCTAAAGTTTTTAGTAGTCAGAAGGTCACACCTATCAACAAGCCAGCTTGAATTGCATAGCCTATCTCAGAATTTCTGTAGCCACCAAATAGAGCACCAATACCGATTCTAATTCGTTACCCCCCATGCCAATGCCAATGGTGTTTTGAAAATATTGATTTGGAAGATAGCAATATCGCTAAACATATACTTCAATGCGTTGAACTCCAAGTGCTACAAGTGAAACTAACACAATTTCCCCTGTTACAAAACAAAAGGCCAATGCAAAACAAATTCACCTATATTCCTTGTTGCAAAAAGGCCAGTTCCTTGTTACAAAACAAAAGGCCAGTTCCTTGTTACGAAACAAGGAGCAGCAAATTGAAATTGAATAGCCGTTGGTGTTCAGATGAACTAGGGTCCCGGGGCCCACTCTCCCATACCTCTTCTACGACGGCAAAAACTTCGAGCCCATTGGACAGTGTAGCTTCAATCTCTCTTTTACGTTTACGAGTGTCGAGGGACAGCTGCCAAGGTCCTAGCTGAGATTGTTCTTCCTCGGACAGGGGTACGTTGTCGGCAGTAATTAGTAGGAAGCCGCCCTGCGGCTCAAAGAAGCCAATATAAACTTTCGCGACAGGCTCAAAGAAGCCAATATGGACATGCGCGCCGTGCTTGTTGTAGTTGAACACGTCAATTCCTCCTTCCTCCACCTCCCGCATTCCGTCTTGAGTCAGTGCATCTTCCAAAAGTTTAAGAAAGTGCCGAAGCGGAGCATCTAGTTGGGTGACTGCAGGGGGCTCCGCGATGGCAGCGCTGTACCCACAATTGTTCGTGCCAGCGGCTCCATAGCACACCAACTGTGCAGCCAGACCATACGGATGACCAACTGGCACCATAGATGTCCTTTGCATTGTGTTCTGAGTCTGACCAGTTGCTTGCATAAATGTCCTTTGAAACTGACGATTGAGCTTGGACAAATCCACAATTGGCATGGGCGGGTGCGGGCGTTGGCGAAGAAGGTTATAGAATGCACGCCAGCTCACATCAATCTCACGCTTAGGCCACCTCCCCGAAGCGAACGCGTCGAAGACATTGTGAAGGTATCGAAAGGAAAAATCCCCCCTCCCCATATCAAAACAAAATTTCTGATGCTGAATTGGGATACAGTACATATCCAATTTGTGTTGCAGAAAGACTGCACGCACATCCCAAGCCTGGGCACAGGCCTTTTGGTGTAGGCGGCTAGCATGGTAGACGGCTACCCTGTAGGCCTTACAGAAACAGCAGCACAAATCGCCTGCATAACGTGGCGGACAGCCTGAATGCGCCTTCTTGCAAGACAGACCCGATTTGTGGCCACAAATCTGCATCACAAATTTTCAGAAGGATGCGCCTTCAATATGGGGAGCAAGGATAATTTTTCCTTGCAATAGAAGGACAAACTTGTTCTCAAAAACGAAAGGCGCAACCCCTGCCCAGACCTCTTCGGGCAGATCAAGGGTGGAACTGGAAGCGTCAGTTCGAGGTAAAATATGATCCGCAGCCCCTGTCCTCGCTGCTGCAAAATCATGACCATCCAAGCGCGTCGGCGCCCCCACGACGGCAGCTGCACCATCGGCGGTGGCGGGACCGGGAGAACGAGCACTGCTTTTACCTTTGGCGCTTCTGGATCTGCTGCCAGACCGTTGATGGGTGTCCCGCACCCGTCCCGCGGCACCAAGAGACTGAGAACTACCTCTGGAGCTGCTGGCTTTCCCGGTGCCGCTGCGTCGGGGAGACCGGCTGCCCTGCACCCGTCCCGCGAGGAGAAGGGATCCGAGAACGAGGAAACAAAGAGCACGCGGCACCGATTGCCAGCCCATGGTTGGAATTCCGGACATATTAATGCTTTGTCTTTGATTATACAAATTGGATATAAATATGTGAGAGTACAACGTAACGGTAAAGCTACAGCTAGTGAGAACGGAAAAAAGTAAACTTTGCCTTTGAGGGGCGAGAACAACAGAGATCATGCACTAATGCAAATGCTGAACGTAAACTCGAAGTAAAATAAACAGTTGAGGTACTTATGCTTACGGTCTATAATCCGATTGTAACGAGTTCTGCAGCGAAAGAAAGAGAAAAATGAAGTAGCCGGAATCAAGCAAATCACTTGAGGTGGGGAAGCTCGAGTCAATTTAAAGATCGATCAAATTTTTGTTTCTTCGGTCATTTCACTTGGATCTAGACATGCTAATTTCATATATATCACGGTGTCTCTCGTCTCGGCAGCCTTTCTGTTTCCCCGGTGAGGGAACTGCCATTTCACTTCACATTTTGCCACTTTGATCCTTTCGATCTTCTTGATCTTGCATTCATTGGGCCTGCTGGATCTTGCGCTTGGGGTATCGTCGAAATGCCTTGTGTCAAACTCAAAATACAGAAAATGCCAAAACTTCGGATCAACTTAATTTGTATTTCACGGAACAATACTTGTAGTCCAATTTCCATACAAAGACTGCCGTATGCGCAGCTATACTTCTTGCCGTATCACTTTAAATTTCCAAATGTGGACTTCCCGTTGATGGTGTTGTCTATACAATCTGTCACATGTGTAATAAAGTCGCCAATCACGAAGACGGACGAAATAAATGGTTTTTGGATCGCACTGGTCACATAGTTGGACTTGCAAATGTTCTTGTCCTCCTCTATCAAGATTGGATCCACTAATATCCATCTGCATATAATCTTAATGACCGCGGGCGTTCACATTGCAAAAAAAAATGTTTGTGTAGTCCCTCGTCGAGAGAAAGTAAGTATCATATATTATGCGAGAATGCCACTCTTTTGACTTCGTAAGAATCTCAGACATTTCATTTCTCCCCTGTGCGTGTTGAACGTGAATACTTACCGCCTCCTTTGGTTACACAGAAAAAAGGATCCAGTAATTTGAAATTGCAATTTCGATCACATGATGAATGTGCCCCAATGTCTTGATACGACTACACTCCATTGACGCGCATATCGCAAAAAAAAAAGTATGAAATGAAAAAAGAAAATCTCGTATAGCAACATGTCATCCGCTTACTCTGCCTTACAAATTTATCTACCCCCAAGTAGACTATTTCGTGCGCTACTTGGTAGCTTACTTTTCTCATGTGAGTCTGCCGATCGAAAAGTCGTGCAAAAAAGATATAATGTGAAGTCAACATTTTGCGACTATTACTTATTTACTTTCGTGCAATCTTACAAACCGGAAATCGACATCTTCAAGTGAAAAAATGCATTGTGAAAAAAAAACACGTGCGCCTCGTGCGCAACGGCAACTTGCACCGCCTCGAGGATCCAAAATGGATCATAACAAGACTGATGTGCTTACCTATGCATAGGTCTTTCGACTGCTTGAAAATATAAATCCTCGAAAAGAACTCTAAAGTACAAAGCTACTAGCCTGGTACTTACACTTTCGAGCAAATTCGTTGAAGAAGAATGTATTGATTCGTACATGTAGAAGTAGTTGTACTACAAAATTCAATCATACATGAAAAGGACCACACTCCAGGACCACCGCCAGCAGCTTTTATTCCCTTCATGCGCGGAACGCGAATCGCCAGGAATCCGTCCGGTTGATCTGCTGCTGCGAGGTGGCAACGCGACCTTGCTCCTCCGCGGCCGCCCGCGCGCCGGCCTTGGCAGCGTAGTTCAACAACGCTTCCAGTTCGTCGGGCGAGGGCTGGTTGTTCACCTGCGACTTATTGTTCCTGGATGCCCCCGCGTTATAGTTCGCCGTAGTGGTCGACTTGCGCGTCAAACTGAACCGCGACGGCGACCGGACCCCTTCGTCGTTGTTTACCAACAGCGTCGGCAAACGAGCGTTGCTCTCGTACTTGGACGGCCCGCGGACCGGGGAAGCGATGTTCGCATTGTTCGCGAAGTCGTCCATTTCTCGCGTCAAATCCTGTTTCGGGATGTTTTCCACCGCGTTCGCGAGAATGGACGAGCGCTTCTCCGCCGGGTACAGCTGCGCGCAGATCTTCAACAAATCGTCCACGGAGGGTGGCGCCCCGCGCGGGTCCGAAATGTTCGTCTGCAGGTCTTCCGCGGTCGGCGCCGAAAAGTCCTTCAGCGGCGGCTTCTTGTGCTGCTTGTGGTGCGACGGCTGGTGCTGTTTGCGGTTGTCCTTGCGCACATGTAGGAGCTTGCTGTCATGAGCGATTCCGGTAGTTGTTCCCGGTTTCATATTATTGTTCTGCTGCGTGGGTTCGTACAACTCGGCTACGGCCGCCAGCAGCACGGTCGAGGACACGGGCGGACTTGCCGTCGGCGAGGACACGATTTGCGACACCTCGCGGTCGTGCGCTTCAGAGACCAAGGACAGCAACTCCTCCACCCCGGCATAGTCGAGCTCATCCAGCGTGGAGGCCCGCTCCACCTCCATGGTGTCCGTGCGCGCCTGCTTCCCGAGCATCTCCTGGCGGTGCTTCACCATGTAGAGCAGATCCTGCTCGGAGCACTGGTAGTTCTTCCCCGCAAACTCCTGGCCCAACTTCTCCGCGCGCGCCTGCTGCGCCTCCTGCAGGGCCACCTGTCGCAGCAACTGCCGGCACGTCTTCAGCAGATCGTCGGAGAACGGCGGGTTTCGCGACTCCACCAAATTCGTCCTCTTCGCGATTTTGTCCTGCCCGAGGGAGACCAAAAACGGCGCGCGGCTGTGCGGACGGAGTTCCCACACCTGCAGGGTGGACGTTGGCGGGACGTAGGAGGTTTCGTGCCCCGGCGCGGGCTGGGCGGCCAAGTACCCGCAGAGCGACAGCAAATCGTCCACCTGCGGCACCGGCTCGCCGCTGTGCTGTTGGGTACTAGAAGAAGTATGTTTGTCCAGCGTGCCGACGTAAAACTCGTTCCCGCGCGTCAGCACGTACGGCGTCCGCCCGTTCTTCCGGATTTCGTACACAAGCAGATCGTCTTTGTTTGTTTCTCCAGCACTACTGCTCATTTTCGACACCCGATCCGCAACTTTTCTGCCCAGGTCCATCTGCATTTGCTGTTCCAGTCGCTCTTTTCTCGCCGGAGACGCCGCTTTCTCCGCGGCGCGGTGGACGAGTTTGTGCGACAGCTCCGAGCACATGGCCAGGAGCTTGTCCACCTTCTGCGGCTTCCGTCCCTCCCGCTGCTGCCACTCCGCGCGGAGAGAGCCTACCGAGGTGATGCCGTTCTTGAACTCGTTGCCAAGCGACACCACGTACGGGACCCGGCCGGTCTTCCGGATGTGGTACACCAGCACGTCCTCGTTCAGGTGTGCGGGACGCAAGTCCGTGTAGTTTGTGGTGTCCTTCTCCGGCAGCTGCGGCCGGGCCTCGCGGGACCGCCCGCGCCGGATCCGGGTGCCGGCGGTATCCGAAATGTGTTTCTTCAAGTGGTACCCGCCCGCGTGGTCGAAATTCGGCGTGGTCTGAGCGAGGGGCTTATTCTTCGTCTTCTGAGTTGTTTGACCCTTGTTGTAGTTCTCGTACACGGCTGCAGTTGTATCTGCTGGTTCCACTTCTTTGCTCGATTGCTGTTCGATGGACAAGTCGTTCAGGTTTTCGAACTTGCCCTGCAACACCTCCTTCTCCCACCGCATCCGGAAGCGGCGCGCCGTGATCCACTGATCGCGGCGGTCGCGGAGCAGCGTGCGTGCGTGGTCCATCTCCCGGCGCATCACGCGGAACAGGTTCTTCTTGGTGTTCTTGGTGTGCACGGTGCGGTGCGCGTACTTGACCCCCCGGATCTCGTCCTTCGTGCGGTTCCACGGGGAATCGTGGAGGTTGTTCAGCTGCTTGGTGTTCACGTGGATGTTGTTTATCAAATGTAAAAATGTCTGGGTCTGGAAGATTCTGAGATTTGTCATGCATGTTTTGCATGACCCAGGATGTCTGTAATGCACGACCGCGCATCACAGATTTTGAGCGGGCTTCCCGATGCCTACTGCGCATGACAAACGCCCTCCCCGCGTAGCACAAACTCGACTCCTCTTGCTGGTCATGCAATACAGATTTTTCTAGAGTCCAAAGTTAGCATCATAAGCTTGCATTCCTCCAGACCCAGACATTTTTGCACTTGATATTGTTCGCCAAATACCCATAGTCCTCGTCCTCCATCGCATACATTTGCTGCTGCTTGGACGGAAAGCGCGGCTTCGCGAAGATCGTGTCCGTTTCGGGAGAAAAGAAGTCCACATCGTGCAGAATGCCCGGCAACCCGTCCGCTGACCAGTCCAGGGCAAACTCGAACTTGCCGTCGGCTTTTCGCCCGCCCCACGGGAGACCGTGCGTGCTCCAATCCAGCACCAGGGGCTCCCATTTCGCGCTGATACAATTTGATTTTTGTTTTTCTCTTGGGTGGTGCTGGATAATTCTGTTTTTCCCTCCTGCGCCTGCCTCAGAAGAATGATGATATCAGGCTCAGCTGAACAAAAATGCAGCTCAGACAAAAATTTATAGTCGATGAAGTCCTCTTGAAACAAGAACTCTCGAAGACCACTCAGCATCAATTTACTAAAACGTACCTCTGCGTGCTAACCGGCACTCCGTTGCGGTTCCAGTCGATCGCCGTAAACATATCTGGTTTCTCCCCGACCGCCTTCCGGAAGATCGGCGGCAGCCCCTTCGCGGACCAGTCCACCACCGGGCTGGTCCGCACGTCCCAGTCCCCGTGGCGCTTGGTCTGCTGCATGATTTTCGGCATGCCTTTCCGGGACCAGTCCACCGGGAGCAGCCACTCCTCGTCGACTTCCTGGATTTTGCCGGGGATCCCCGCACCGCTCCAGTCGATGGCCATCTCCCGCGGCTCGAACGGGGCCGCCTTGATCTCCATCGGCAACCCCTTGGCGTTCCAGTTGATCGCCTCGTAGAAGTGGCCCCGCTGCGCCTGCACGCCCGAGTACAGGCCGGTGGGACTGCGGGTCAGGTGCGCGATCACGTTCGGCACCGCATTTTTCAAAGCCCAGTACCGCATGTTCGCGTCCGGGTTGTAGCACTTCTTCCCGTCGTGCACCATGGGCATCACCTCCCCGTCCTTGCTCCAGTCGCACCGGCACTCGAACTTGTACCCGTTGGTGTGGAACGAGGCCACTTCCATGAAGAACGGCAGGCTATCACATGCAAAAATGTCTGGGTCTGGAAGAGTGGAACTTGTAATGCTGTCTGCGGATTCTAAAAATATCTGTGTTGCATGAGCAGCAAGAGGAGTCAGTTCTTGGCACGCGGAGAGGGCATTCCTCATGCGTAATTAGCATCAAGAAGATATCAAAAAATATGTGATGCTAGCACCAGCATCACAGACCTCACGGATCATGCAAAATGTGCAACATAGATACCAAAACGCCCCCATGCAAAATGTGCATCACAAGTCCCGACTCTTCCAGACCCAGACATTTTTGCAGTTGATACAGGCCGGCGTTGGACCAGTCGATGGAGTACGGCCGATCCTTGTGCACCGTCTTCCGCAGATCCACCCCCTTCTTGGCCCAGTTGATGTAGGAAATCTCCTCGGTCTGCTTGAACACGTACTTCTTCCCCTGCACGAGCTTGATTTCCTGCGAAAAGAACCGCCCGGGTTCCTGGTTCTGGATCTTCTGCTGTTTTGTCAAAGGCTTGGCGCACTTGGTGATGCGCGCGGGAGAGATCTCGCCGTCCTGCCACACGTAGGTGTCGACCGTCTGGTACTGGGTTTTCTGGCCCCAAATGCGGTTCTTCCGGAGGTTAAACTTCATCGCGCCGGAATCGACCGTGCGGTCGACGGAGTAAGTAATCGTCATGTCGGACAAGGAGCCGGCCTGAAGGGGGGGGGATGGAGTTTGAACATTTGAACTTGAAGTGATACCGATGTAATGTAGATCTGGATCCGAGACGACCACATAAAAAACGCCGAGTCTATCTCGTTTTCCCTTTCTTGCACGCAAAATCCTAAAACCTAGATAGCTTTGACTTTTCGACATTCAGGTTAACCAACGTCACGAAATCGCACTCCATAAAAACATATATACCTGTCCCCAATCGATGGTCAAGTTGTCGAACACGCTGGTGTCCACCGGTAGGCCCTTACCGGAAAAGTCTGCGGAAACCGGCTCTTCGTACATGTCTTTGTAATTACCAACCAGCACCGGACTTTCGAAGCCCGGCAGCTCGACCCACGGCAGCTGCGGCTGACTCCAGTCCACGGTGAGCAGCTTCGGCCAGCCGCGGGCGCGCTTGGCCTGTTTCCGCTCCATGAACTTGGCGTAGCTGTAGGATTTCCGCCCGATCGCCCACTGGTCGCGATCCGTCGGCAGCTTCCCGACCCAGCCGAAGGGCACGCCGTCCTGGCACCAATCGATCATCAGCGTGTTCTGCTCCTTCTTCCGGGCGGCCTGGGTGACTTGCTCAAACAAGCAGCGGGGGGACCCACTCGCGCTCCAGTCGATTGCGAGCTCGTCGTACACATGTTTTCGGCCCCGCAAGCACATCCAGGTCTCGTGGTGCCGGAAGCAGGGGGGCATCTTCTTCTTGCCGCAGTTCGCCCAGTCAATCATCAGTTCCGGTTCCTGCTTGGTACTACTCGACTTTTTTGCCATCGCCGCGGACCCCGGCCGGGTCAGCGCCTTCGGCACGCCGGCGTCACTCCAATCCAACTGCGCTGACCAAAACATGTCCGCCTTCTGATCCGGCGACAGCATCGGGCTCTTGTGCGTGATCTCCATCTTCTTGACGTTCTCCGGGGTCGCTCCTTTGTTGAACGCAAGCAATTCTTTCACAATCGTCGGATTCATCTCGGCGGAGGCGGCAATCTGCTCCGCGTGCGAAGCCTTGAACGCGTCCTCTGCCTTGTGCCGACGGACCCTGAAGGTTTATTTTCGAGGCACGATAAATTCTTCATTTCGTAAATCTTGTATCGATTTTGGTTTTGCATAGCGAGGGTGGTGGATTGACTTTGACATCACGTCGGGATCGGAAATAGTACCAACGACATCATTGCAAATGCAAATCCGAACAAAAACCACGCACAGGAAATAAAGTACTCGTGCAACTGGTGGTAGGCACTGTTGACTTCCTTCAGCAGGTCGTCCACTTTCGGCACCGGTTTTGTATCAGTGAAATGCTTCGAGTACACGTCAATCTTGGTGTCGTGCCCGACCGAAATTTCCCACGGAATCCGGCCCTTCGGGGTGCGCTGGATCACGTCCATCTTCTCCCCGCCGTAGTTTTCCATCGGGTCGTCCTGTGCGTCCAGGGCCTTCGGACGCATATCTGTTTTGAGAAGACGGTATTATGGATGATCTCGAACCTAAAGCTGGAAATAGAGTCAGAACTTTTGATGCTCGTAATCTTCTTGAGGTGCCTACTCGTTGCCTCGTTTCTTTTTGTCATTCTCATTTAATTTCAGCAGCATAAAATCCTAAAAATCAATCCCAAACCTATACCTTTCGACACAGTTCTGCTTGCCGCCGGCGAGGTGTTCGTCTCGAAAAACCCATTTTTGAACAAAGTAATCGTGTTGCTTCCCTTCGGCGACGGGACGAATTTCGTGCCAAACTTCAGGCTCCACTGGGCGTGCTTGATTTCCGGCGGAATTCCCGATTTTGTCCAATCCAGGCCGGTTTCCGAGTTCAGTTGCCTCTTCCCGAAGGGCGCGCCCTTCCCGCTCCAGTCGACAGCACTGTAGATCATTTTTTCGTCGTGCTCGGAATTATGCGTTAACTTCTGGAATTCCCCGGGAAGCCGCTTGCTGACCGACCAGTCGATCAAGGGAACGCCCATGGTCTCCGCGAACGGGTCGCGCTTGGCGTCTTTCGTGAACTGGCCAGGCAGTCCAGTTTCCGTCCAATCGAACGCAAGTTCGCGGTCGTAGAGGGAGCTTTTCAAAAAGCTCGGGATTCCTGCACTGGACCAGTCGCACGCTCCGCAGTACTCGTCGTTCTGCTTCTCTTCCCGCGAGCGGTACTGTTCCGGCACGGACGCGACGACAAACAATTTTCCCTCGTACTGCAACGTGTCACCGAGAACGGCGTTGGTCATGTTCGCCGTTTGCCCAAACGTCTGCTTCAGCAAGTAGCCCCGCTTGTGCACGAATCTCGACTTCTTCGTCTGCAGCATTTTGTTCATCTTCCGCTTCTTTGCCGCGGGGGCCTTTGAAGTTGTTTTATTTCCCTTATTTTCCTTCTTCGTGGGCACGTTCAGCACGGCGTTGTGCCACAGCTTCTCTTCGTTGTGCATCTCGACCGGCGCCAGCGGTCCGTGGACCGCACCGCGGATGCAGTTCCGCACCAGTTCGGCCCTCCGGTTCGGCTTGGCCATCAGGTCCTCCACGCAACCGGGGAGTCCCGGGGCGCTCCAGTCCAGAATGATCGACTTGTTGCGGTACCGGGCCTGGCCAAAGTCGAAAGGGACGCTTTTCCACACCGCTTTCCGGAGGAGCTTCGGGAGGCCGGGAGCCGACCAATCCAGGGTTTTTTCCTCGTATTTTCCCTTCACCGGGAAGGTCTTGGACTTGAAGGTCAGCTGCATCGTAGAGGGTAAAGTCGTATGGATTGTAAAAATGTCTGGGTCTGGAAGGATGCAAACTTGTGACGCATACTTGGATCACACAAAAACCTGTCATGCTTAGACAGCAAAGGGAGCTCCTTTTCCTGTCGCGAAAAGAAGGCGTTTGCCATGCGGATTAAGCATTGGGAAACCGTCTCAAAACCTGTGATGCTAGGCCTTGTATGGCACACTTTCCGTGTCAAGCAGACACAGCATCACAAACCTCAGCAATCTTCCAGACCCAGACACTTTTGCACGTGATAGGTCGGGTGGTGCGGTTTTGGGATGCCGGAAGCCGACCAGTCGAGCAGGACGCCGTGGTCCCAGTAGGTGAGCTTGATCGGCAATCCGGTTTTGCTCCAGTCCAAACACACGAGGTCCTTCGTCGCGACGCCTTTCGGCTTGTTCCTTCTCTGGCCCACCTTGAAGACGCTCGGCATGCCGTTCGCGCTCCAGTCGATCGCGACGGGGCGGTCCTTATGCATTGCAAATATGTCTGGTTCTGGAAGAGTACAACGTCTGTCATGCATATTTTGCGTGGCCCTAGGTGTCTGTGATGCATGCCCTCGCGTCACAGACCTTGTGACGGCTTTCCGATGCAGATGCTGCATGAGAAATCAAATTCCCCCTCCGCGTAGCAAAAGTGAAACCAAACTGTTACGCTGGTCATGCAATACAGAGTTTATGTGGAATCCAAAGGCAGCATCACAAGTTTGCACTCTTCCAGACCGACCAGACATATTTGCACTTCATAGTCCTTCTGCGGCTTGAAGCTGACCGCCGCCTTCTGGATCAGGGAGGGGATCCCGCGCTGCGACCAGTTATGCACTGCAAATATGTCTGGGTCTGCCCGATTGCTAGACTTGTGATGCATGTCTGCCATGCCTCGATACTTTGTCATGCATGTCTGCACGAATAAGGGGCCCTGCTCTTGCCTGTCATGCAAGAAAAACGCAGTTTGCCATGCGTATTCCCGAAAAATACGCAACACATTATAGCAGCCCAGAAATTTGTCGTGCTTGGCTGCGTATTGAAGTGCGCCTATCATTGACTTTTAGCATCACATCTTTCCAGAGGATCCAGACATTTTAGCAGTTGATATCAGTCCAGCTGCTCGAGTTTTGACCACAGCTGCTCTTCGTCGATCTGGACATTATAGTTCTGCATCTGCTCGACTTGCCGGTTGCCGTTCTGAAGCGAAACGTTGCTGGACACGTTCAGAAACAGCAAATTGTTCGAGCCGCCATTTTTACTGCTGGGGGTCGACGGAGCTCCCGCCGCCTCGCGCGTCATCTGGCGAGAGACGTGGAGCGAGCGGTAGGGGGTGTCCGGCATGGAGGGCGCGGCGGTCGAGGGGGTGGTAGGTGTATGGAAGCGTCAGGTTTGAAATCGACAAAGTTGAAAGAATTTCATCTCATGCATAAATTGCAAGGCACGAAGTGCCTCTCTTGCAGGGATGGCAAGCGGGACCGACTGTCAGCCTGTTTGGGGTCTGCGATAGAGCTGCTGAAGTAGCATGACAAAAGATGACGCCTTCTGTCTCTAAACAGCATGACAGACTTGATTTAGACGGTGCCGAAATTTGTCATGCACCGCTTGAAAATTGGGCTTCCCACTGGTGTCGATTTTATGCATTACAAGTTATTTCAACTTTGACGATTTCAATCCTGACGCTTCCATAAGGAGAATACATCCCGTACTTTCCCATCGGCGTCCCGATCTTGTGCTTCTTCGAGGAGGATTTCATATTCGTACCGTTGCTGTTATTCTTACCCTTCCTCGACCGCTGAATGACGCTGTTGCTCGAGCTGGACGAGGTCAGAGACAGCAGGTTTTGGTTGTGGAGATCGCCCGCCATGGGGGATTATCAAATGCAAATATGTCTGGGTCTGGAAGAAGTCAGATGTTTGTGGTCATGCAGCTTCTGCATCTGCGCGGAGGTCTGGAATGCACACAGAGCATGAGAAATTCTTGGGAGGCTTATTCATGCCTAGCCCGCATGAGAAAAGCCCCCTCGCACAGAAAAAAAGCGGCTAACTTTTGCTGACCATGCAACACAGATTTTTGCCTGTTCCAGAATTCGCATGACAAGTTTGGATTCTTCCAGAACCAGACATGTTTGTTTTGGATAGGGATCGACCGTACTGGTCCGGGTACTCGTAGAGCGGGGGCACGTAGTTCTTCTTCGTCGCGTAGACGCCCAGGCCCTGGTGCTCCAACGGCATCGCCATTTTCGCCGGGGGGTAGGGGTGGTGTAGTTGGGAACTCAGGTCGTGGGGAAGTTTTTTGTTTTTGGTTGAAGGGCCTAGCCTCGTGGGGGCCCCTTTTCAAGGTCTTGATCCCCCGCTCGCTTTCGTCTCTTGCCTTCGTCCGGTCGATTTCAGCAGGAGGGTGACGGTAGCGAAGCGTCCTGTTCTTATAGGATTTTTACCTTTCAAGGTTGGGCTGATGTGTAATTTTCTTTAAAAATTTCAATTCGATTTCTTCGACAAGTGACTCACTTTTCGTATTGACGATTTTGTACCTTTTGATTTTGGAGGTTGCGAGTGACTCACTTACACTGTAGTAAATTCAGAAAGGCTTTTAAAAATTCGGTTTGTAAGACAGCAGTTGCGGTTTGTTTCTAAAAACTCAAAATGTGTATATTGAAAAAACGAATGACAAAAGGCAAAAAGTCCGTGACTAAGTATGTATTATTTATTCCAAAACTTTCATACACAAAAACGAGAAGTCTCGTGCTATGTAAGTATTCCCTATGCGGTGACGAAAATGAAGGTTTTAAAAAAATCGTATTTTCCCGAGTGTTTGCTTGGTTTGAATGTTGAGTTTTGAAAAAGTAGTTGCTGTATGCTGTTCAGACTCGTTTTTTTTTGTTCCTAAAGGTTGCTTGTGTTTCGTTTTCGTTTCTATGCGGAGAGAAATGTGAAGAGATTAAATGAATGTTTAAAAAAGTTTTTGGTCGGGTCTAGGTAGTTGTTCGTCGTGTTGGTTCTATGCTTTTGGAAAAGTCTTTTAAACTGTCCACGTAACTAGTTTTTCTGTATCCACACGAGCGGTTACTTCTCGTACGGTGTGAAGTTACAGAATAGATTCTGGTAGAAGAGAATTTATTAAAAGGTAAGTTTCAAATTTTTTCTCCGATAACTCTTAGTGGTCTGGTACGTGACCGACAACTAATTCTAAACACCACTTAACTCTTTGCTGGACCGCTCTAACTTAGCAGCTAATGGGGTTGCTAAACTATCGGGGTTTCGCCAAACTCCTATAATTTCTCCCGCCTGTGTGTGATGTTGAAGACAACTTCAAGTACAAGGAGGAATAACGAGTGGTATTCCGAAAAAAACTCGTTTTCTATGGATTTGCCTCGAAGCCGATTTTTCTTTTTCAAATTGCGCTCCTCACAGCACAGAAAAAACAGAGAAAAACCGAACTTGTCATCCTCATCGGTTCCGAAGTTATATTTTTAACGGAAAAACTACGACGCTCCGTGTCCGTTTACCGTAACCACATTGCATAGAAAAAAAAACCGATGTTCTTTTGCGCACTCGACTCAGAAAAAATATGATGCATCCATTGTGACCGATTTTACGTAGTTTTTTGTTTTTTTCACTCGCACAAAAAACCTCGAAAAAAGCTCATCTGGAGGTGACACACCGAGACCGAAAGTAGATTGGTTATTTCTTCTCGAACACATGTGGATGCGACTACACACACAACAGCAAAAAAACCCTACAAGCTCGATAGCAAGAAGTCTCTTTTTCTCTCACTTTTGCTTCGCAAGCGAACGTGAATCAACAAAGATTTTGCGTTTGAAATTCGCGATATAATTTTTGTCTGAAAACAAGCAACGTGTAAACCACTTTTGCGTCGTTCTATACATGGCACTTGAAGTGAAAGTGAATTCATCTACTCAGCGCGACACCACCTCACAGACAGCAAACTACGACTTCAAATCCAAATCGAGTAAGTCTTCGTCTCCCTTTTTTAACACGGGATCCGACACCCCCGCAGTCGCTGCCAGGGGCGGTGGCGGTGGGAGGTCGGTTTTCGGCGCGCTAGCCTCTTCCTTCGTGCCGCTCACTATGCCGCTTGCGTCCACGCCGGCTTCTTCTGCTGTAGTCGCACTTGATGGCGCCGCGTCTCCTACAGGATCAGCCTCCGCTCCCTCTCCACCCTCAGCACTACTCCCGGACGCCGCGGCCCAACCCGCGGGCGCGTTGGTCTTCCACCAGCTCTTAGTTTGGTCTACAGTGCCGGAAAACCAGTCGGTTGTCTTGCTCCACGCAGCTTTGCTGTTGGTCACAACGTCGCCCTTAATCTTCTCCGCCTTTTCGCCCAATTTGTGCGTTTGGTGTAGGGTGAGGACGCTACCTGGAAATACAATGTTGAGGATTTCGAGCGCTGGTGAACAAAACGAGTCAAGTTCCAGCCTGTCCCTACCTTGAAGCCTTACTTTTCAAGAAAACGATGCAAAAAGCATCCATCCGCACGGGTAAGTTTTTTTGCGATTATTTTTCGCAGTTTTTGCCGAGGCCACCCCAAAACGCCTCACAAATGCCATAAGTTGTTGCAGAATCTTTTCAGATTTTTCCTCGCGCTGTGTTTAGCAGCGCAATTCTGCCTACCCGCCACGGCGTTTACCCTAAGAGTTTCAGCGGGGTCGACCGTGGGGAGGGGCGTTAATCGATATTCCCATTCCAATTAATCGATATCCATTCCGACTGCAATTACTAAGTAGCAGAGGAACTGCAGATAGACAATGTGAGTAAGTAGCTATGCATGATTCCCATTTCAAATAATAAACTGACACAGGTACGAACGTCCTCACTCCAAAGGTGCACAAGTGCGACACCTTCAACATGGCAAAAGCCAAACACTTGAACGAAACAAGTACAACGCCGGGCAAAGCCCTCGACCCGGCCCCTCCGGGGGCCCGCTATTTCTCTGCTTTTGCGTCCTTTGGGGCGTTCCGCGGAAGGCGCCAACCCTGGAAATATTACCCGCGCGAGCCGGTCTGATGTCTCCTGTGCCCTCCACACAACGCTGGCGCACGGCTTACTGTTGGCTTCAGACCGCAAGAAAGCAGATAACAGACAGTAGTACCTTTCACCGCAATCCCTAAAGCTTCCGCTTTTGCCACTACCGTGGTGTCTGCATTGTTTTCCGGCGCGGTTTGTTTTTTCATCTCCTCCAGCTGGGCCTTCAGGAACCGTTGCCTTCGAAAATACTCCGCGGCGCCCTGCAACAGCTCTTCCGATTCAGGTAAGGAGGAGTCTACCAGGTTGACGTACTGCAGCGCTCGATGGTACTGCCGGATCGCGTCCTCGAACTGCTTTCTGTGGGGAGAATAAATAGTGATGGCTCTTGCTAGATTTTGATCTTTAGCAGGCATGCATCAGCATCACTAGCACTACCCTTGACTTCCTTGCCATGGCAAGAAAATAGCGCAAGCAACAAGTGAGAACAACAGATCCTGATGTAGTTTGCACAATACATGATCCGATTGTCGAAGTCGATCGCGGCCGCCACAGCGCTTTTTGCGATTTTGCACTGTTCCTTGTGGTATCAAATGTAAAAGTGTCTGGGTCTGGGAACTTGTAATGCTAAAAGTGAATGGTAGACGCCCTGCAATACGCAGTTATGCATGACAAATTTTTTGGCTCCCATGTCTTAAGTATTCCGCACGGCAAACTGCGTTTTTGCATGACAGGTAAGAGGGCCTTTTCGTGCCTATGCAACACAGATTCCCGAGTCATGCCAGACAAGCATGGCAAACTTGCATCCTTCCAGACCCAGACACTTTTACAAATAATATCGGGTCCAGAACCCGAAATTGGTCCTCGTTCAAATCCACAAGGTGCGCCATCTTGTGTAATTGGTACACAAACGTCTGCTGCATAAAACCCGGGGGCTCTCTTGCACTTCTTTCGTCTCTCTGGAAGGAGAAGGACCAAGTAGGATCAGCACAAGAAAAGCGGATACTGGATGAGGATCTTCTGATGCAGGAGCTAGAGCCTGAGCCACTTGTTCTCTCAAAAAGGAATAGACATCAGAGGAACAGATATCGGTGCCTACCAACGTACTGGCCCTGTTGTTTTCTCACTCACTGAAGGTGGCGCGCAACAGTCACACTCACAGGTTCGCATGCATACGCGTCGTTCAATACAGGCAGTACAGGGGCAGTCTCATGAACAGTGAGATCTTCGCGTTCCTTGCTATAGATACAGGTTTTTTTTTCTTGGAACTGCAACAGCGTATTTCAATCTTCTAAAAATGGATACAGAATCTGAGTGATTTGAGATACACTACAGTACGTATGTGCAAAAACGGATTCTCATAGTTTGGTTTTCATTGAAACGATGAAAAGTGAAACTTACTACTAGTGACGACAACTATAGTAAAGCCATTCATTGTACAATAGAAATAAAATTTTCAGAATATTAATCTCCCTCCTCACAGCAGGCCCTCGCCTGAAATTCCCTACCCGCCCACGTCCGACTGGTCACCCCCGCCCCCGTGGCTTGATTTTCTCGCCTTGGCATCTGCATCCGCTAGCGCCCGGTTCGGATCTCGGTAGGTGTAGAAGACGTAGATGTAAATCGCATCGGCCAGAATGTACATCAGAAACGCGAACCGAAACGGCAACCCCGCCGCGAATCCCCTGGCGGTCGGATCGAAAAGCAAATTCGCGTACAGGTAGCAGCCGAACGCTTGAGAAATCTCGCTGGTGAGAGAAAAGAAGGAAAGGCACATTGCACGCTTGTCCACAGGAAGACGCGCCGCAATGAAGGACGAGCTGTATTTCGTTTAATCCTATTTTCATATACGTTGGCAACGCTATGAGTACTTTCTTCAACACTTATGCTATTAGTACAGCATGTTAAAAATGTCGGACAGAGCAAATTGCAACACCATGATCACAGAAAGACGATCTTGCTATCCCCAATTTTGATATGCAATAGATACCGTATGCTCGCCAGAAACGCCAAGCAGTGCCTGATGATGTTCATGAAGACGAAAAACCGTCCGGAGTACGGCGCTTCCACCGTGTAAATCAACTCGCAGGTCAAGTTGATACAGCACCCCAGGATCAGCAAACTTGCGTACCTTTCGTGCAGGGACGTTTCCGCTTCGCTGAACCGATCTGCGTGCGAACTGGACCAGTGATCGTCCGACACGGAATGCCGCGCCAAGGTGTTCAGGTTCGGCAAACTTCCAAATTTTTTCCGCGAAAACCCCCACGACCCCGCGGCGCCGGGTAGGCTGTTCCTTCGCAGCGCGGGTTTCCTGCTAGAACTGCCGGCGCCCGGCGGGCTCAAATCAGACCTAGTACTTCGCGGCGCACCGCGCGCAGACATCGAACCGTTGCCTCCTTGAAGATGCTGAAAATGAACCCGGGGACGCGCACGTGGCTTGCTGCCATTCGCGCCGTCGTGAAACAGGCCACCAGCACCTTGCTCCAGATCATCCTCGTCCGCTGCTTCATTCTGCGGATAAACAAACCCGCCCGGGGAACTACGAGAGGAGTACAACGGAGCCAATCCGTGGTCTTCTAGCAGGTCCGAGTCCCGCGTTTCATTCGGGTCTTGTTTGGAGACGCGGCGGAGTTGCTGAAACGCTTCCTGTTCCGGCTCTTCCGTGGGGCCCCTGTAGTTCTGGTCTTTGGACGACTTTTTCATGATCAAACCCGCTGCGGTGGAAGAAGTTTCTTTCGAACTTTTACAACTCTGCTGGATCTTCCTCATCGCGACTGCCTCTCCAGCGACTTCCGGATCGACATCAGTAGTTCTAGACGTCGTTGTACAACCTGCAGATGATAAAGGTTCCGAGTCTCCGTCCGGGTAGAACATTACGATTTGCCCGGCCGATTCCGTCCCTCGGTCGTCCCCCACCGGATCGCGTAGGGGTGCTTCATCACTGCTGTTCACGGAAATTTGAATCACGTTGCGATTTTGTCCGCGCGCGCTTGAAGTTCCGCTCGGCGCGTTTGAGCGAGCGGTTGAAAGTGGAGACGTTTGTTGAGCGATGGCACCGTCTATCGCACTACTCCCCTTCACCATTCCGTCACTCAATTGCTGGTGTTCGATCTGGTTTTGTTGTTCCTGATGGATGTTCAACCTGGTGAAATCGTAGTCGTCTTCCGGGGAACTCGAAACATTCAGTGCGTACTTCTCATTTTCCGCGTCGTCGAGCAGAATCACCTTCACTTTCCGCTTCCCATCCTTCCCCCGCCGTTCAATCTTCCGCAAGTTTCCGTACAAAACCAGAGGGGCGGCGCAAAGCGCCGCCAGGTTCACGACCATCATACAAGCGGACATGAACTCCAGATCGCCCTGGTGCCAGTTCCATACCGCAATCGAGTAGGAAGAGGTGATCTCGCTCATGCAGGTCGCCAACGTGATATGAGAGTGCACAAGACCCCGTCCTCCAGTTCATTTAATTATACCGCACGAGCAGCAATACAGGCATCGGCAACAATGCAGATTTTGCATGATAAATTGGTGCGGCGCTATTTCGGCTGCCAGGAGAACCTGTGATGCAGATATGGCCAAGAGGCTAAAAGTGGACCCGGTGCCTTGCATGACAAATGAGGGGGAGTGGCAGTTGTGCACTCTCATACGTGAAAAAAAAGCACTGCACCGTCCAGAGCTGGATAAAGTTGCTGGATTCGAGGAACTATCAACTGCAAAAATGTCTGGGTCTGGAAGAATTCATGTTTGTCATGCTTGTCTGGCATGGCTCTTAAATCTGTCATGCACGTTACCCAAGAGCTCCGTCTTTCTGTGCTGCAGAGCCGCAGTTTGTCATGCAGAATAGGCAACACCTGGGAGCTTAGAAACTTGTCATGCTGAGCCACCATTTGTAGCCTCATCATGACACGCCACCCAGCATGACAAGTTTCCAGACCCAGATATTTTTGCATTTGATAGGAACAACTTCACGTACGCGTTGAACATGTCGCCGAAATAATTGGTCCACGCCACGACGTCGTAGAGGGCCCTTTGGCAGCAATTCATACGTGATCGGGTTCGTTTCAAAACCAACACGCCTTTGTTGCCCGTTGCTGTACTAATATCGTCCGCGCTTGCACTAGAGGGGCGGAAACTGCCGTCGCCGGAATTATCATTCGACGTCGTCCCGAAGACACTCAAGACGGAGGAAAACACTTGCGACACTACGCTGGTGCTGTCCGAAAGGATCGCCTTCTCAGCCTTGCTGTCGTCCCTGGAGATATTAATAAGGTTAGAACTATTTATTCCGTCAGTATTGTTCATCTGGACAGACGAGCTCCTTTTTGTGGTCGTGTCGTCCGGGGAAGTATTGTTCTGACTCGAAGCTGCAAGAACTTCTTGATCGCCGTACGATTTGTTCGCGTTTGGACGCCACCGGGAGTAATGTGATGCAAGAAAAAAACTGTGTGTGATGCAGAAATTTCAAAACAGTTACACTTGTCATGCTCGATGAGATGCATGATCGGCTGGCTTCCTATGTGTTTTCCCTTCCTATCTGCGCATAACAAGTTTTTCCTGTCATGGCAGACAAACTTGTGATGCTGTTTTCCCAAAAGACTTACACTATCACTAACACAGTTTTTTTCTTGCATAACTGTGCGTGTCGGGTTAATAATCCCTCCCGCTCCAGTTCCTCGGGGTCCGACTCGACATTGATCCAATCGTGGATGGAAATCTGCAGGGTTTCCTTTAAATGGTTGGACACGCAGACCAGTAAAACGGAGTAGAGCAACGCCATGGTGCTGTACAAAGCGGGGAAATCCGTGAACTCGTTTTCGAGCAAACTGGAGGAAACCAGACCCGACACCAGAACGCAGATCTGGGTCAGGATGTCCAGCAAAGCGAACACCAGCACCCGTTCGTTGCCCAGCGAGGTCGCGTCGAAAATCATGGAATGGAAGGCGATGAAACTAGTTTTGAAAAAACCGCGGACCAGGTACGCGAACACAAGGAGGAGCAATTCTAAATGATCCGTCACCCAATCGCCGAACTTTTGGAAGAAGTTCTTCTCCGCGTGCGGTGTCTGGAGGCCCTGCTGCTGCTGATTGGGCTTGGCTTGCTCTCCCTTATTGAACGTCGCTCCGCTCGTCGCCTTGGCCGCTTCTTGAACCATCTGCAGGTCGTGACTTTGCTTCATCACCGGCTTCGGCGGTGGTTTCGCGTCGGCTTTGCTGTTTTTGTGTGCAGCAGCGTTTATTTTCGCTTCAGCTTTATTATTCTCAGCACTCCCTGCGCTCGAACTTGTTTTGTCACTCGCGGGAGCGGTTTTTGCCTGGTCCTTTGCTGTAGTTTCTGGCGCCATATCATCCGCTTGTGGGCGCGCACTCGGACCACCTGCAGCATTTCCTTCTCCTGGTGTGCCTTTCGGTTCTTTCTCTGCGCGTTCGGGCTGCGCCGTGTTTTTGTTCGTCCCACTACTTGCTAATGCTGTTGGCCCTGCTCCTGCCACACCGACCTGCTTATCGCTCCCAGCCTCGGTACTTGTTCCCGCGCTTGCAGTGTCAGCATTCGCAGACTCCTTCTCCTTCGCTTCCGCGTCTGCGTCCTGGATTACCTTCGTCTCCTCGTGTGTCTCCTTCGCTTCCCGTACGACTTCCTGCGGCGCGGCCCGATCAGAAAACAGTGCCGGCTTGAAAACGTCCGCTGTCAGTTTAAGTTTCTGCCGCGGAGTCTCCGTGGCTTCCGGCGCTGCCGACGTTTTTTCACTCTCTTTCTCCGCGGATGGTGAAGGTTGGGGCTCCGCGGGCTTATCTTTTGTGGTAGAAGATGTTGTTCCGGCTGTTGCTTCTCCTGGTGGCACGGCAGCCGCAGGTACAGCTGCGTTGGCAGCCTTTGTTACATCTGCAGCTTGCTCCGTCACGGTAGTACCTGTCTGTTTTTGTTCCCCGACCGGCGCCGGCGCGGCGGCCTGCTGTTGCACTTCAGGTTCTTTCTGCGCTGCCGGTGCCGCTTCTCCGGCCGCTGCAGTCTTTGTCACAGCGGCTGTCGCCGGTAGTGCGAGATCATCTGCTGCGGCGGCGGTAGCGGCAGACGCAGGAGCAGGCTCGGCAACGTTACCCTTCGATAGGTCAGTTGTGTCTTTGCTTGTTTCTTGTTCCACCAACATGTCAGTACTTTTCTTTACTTCCAAATTATCATCCCCACCAGCGGTGCTTGCCGCCTGTTTCAAAGGCGCTGCTCCACCTTCACCCTCAAAAACTGGAAGTTGTTCAGCGCTTGTTCCTGCCAACCACGAACTGCCCTTCCCTTCTCGATTCTTCCCGTCGGCGAGTGGCACTGCAGTTTCAGCGTGGCCATCGCTCTTTTTCTTCGTGATTTTCTGTTCCAGCTCCACGAGGGAAGAGAAAGATGCGCTGGATGAAGACGAAGATGCGCTACTTGCGGCTGCTGCTGCTGCGATGTGGCTCGCGCCGCCCGCGACAGCCGTTCTTACGGCTGATCCCTGCAACGATCTTCCACTGTTCACCTCGGTTGTTTCTATCTCCGCTCGCAAGCCCGCACTTCTCGCCGCTTGCTCCTCGATCGTCAGAGTGTGGCCCAGATCGGAGCCCCAAATTGGGTCCTTTGATAAAGCAGACGAGCCTAAGTACACCAGTTTATCGTTCGCCGAGGGGGCCACCCACAGGGCGATGACGAGTAGGATCACGTAGTAGAAAATCAAGCCCCAGATCGCCAGCACCAACATGTATTTCCGCCCCTTCTTGTCGCACAAAACGCCAAAGGCGGGGATAGAAATCGCGTGCGCACAGGACATCAGGCAGTCTAGGATTCCCTTCCGCTCCTGCGCAACGCGGATTACCGTGTTCACGTCCCCGCAAAAGAAGGAACCCGTCCAGTTATCGTAAGCCGCCTGCTCCTCCTGCTGCTTCTTCGTCTTTATTCCGGACGCGGGATTCCCGTTCCGTGGGGTTATTGCGTCTTTGGTTTTTTCCAAGTGTCGCTGCGCTGTTTCCGTTTTCGAAATTTCTGTTTCCGTTTTTTCCTTTACCTCCAGTTGGTGCTCCGTGCCAATCCTCGTCGTTTCTTGGAGTCTATTTTCATGGTGATGATGCATTTCCAATTCCAGGGTCAGAAACGAAGAAGACGAAAAGCCTTGCTGTGGTGGCGTTAGTACCGCTGCGCTGCTAGTAGTACCGCCAGAACCAGATCCTGAAGCAGCACTTGTTCCCACGTCAGGATTCGCACCCGCTGTGACGAGCACCCTTGAGGCATCCATGGTCCCCGACGGCGCGTTCGTGCTAGAAGACGACGTCGTTGCCACATTGGCCGTGCTACTCGTCGGGGTGTCGCAGATCACCAGCGTCCGCAAGAACGGCAAAAACAGCGGCCCGGCTGTGCTGTCCAGAATCTGCATTGCCAGGTAGCACGCGTAGATCGGCCACACCCCCTTCGGAATCATGGAAGCCAAATTTCGGCACCGCATGCCGAAGTTGTGCGCCGCGCCCCGAACGCCATCGCGGCAGCGCGCGGCGTAGGCGTGGGGACCGGTGCCGTAGGTTTTGGGCATGATGATCTTGATGCTGAGGGGTCAATAGATGATGCGACTTTACCGATTCATACACGAACCATCACGCGTGGTTCTCTCGAAAGAACGCCAGAAATGTCGCCACGGCCCCGTTGTGGCCCTCTACTGGTACTGATACGACCGCCAGAAGGGATATATAGAAGAACTCGGATCAGTTCCATCATCAAGATCAATCGAAGTGTAATGCCATGCGCTCTCTCGAACGACAACGAAAACGATTGCAATTGAAGAATCGAGAATGACGACAGTAGGCTACCCCGAGCTCGCTCGACAGATGAGAACGATTTACGACTTTTCTTTTCAGCAATACGATGATGTGAAACGACTGTGATGAAAGCACACTTGGAAATGGAACAAGCAGAATGCTCCTGCTGCAAAGAGCCCTAGAATCGCCTCGATTTTTTATTTTCTGGGTGGACTAGTTTACACACAAAAAAAGCACAAAGTTTTATTCGCGTTGCAGAGCTTGAATGGTGAATGACTACGTGACCCGGGGAGGCATAGCATTTATTGTGTCGAAATTTTCAACCCCTTGCGTGCACAAGAAGGCGACAAAAATGGAGAGTTCGATCAAGTGAGAATGCGGGGACTGACAGATACTTACACACAGAAGTCAGGTACCATGCAAGATACTAACAAATGCGTGCTTGAAAATAACAACAAGGTACAGAACATGTAAAACAACTCAACACATCTGGTACAAGTGGAAAAATTTCGTCCAGGTTCAAAAAAACCCTCTGTCTCACCTCTGGTGACAGCTTGATGAAAAGTACATTTCACAAAACTTACATTTTCTTTTACTCTATCAAGGGCATACTTGCCTCTTCCCCTCAGGAGTGCATCCCGTCATCTGCGGCGTACGCACCTGCCAACATTTTCACGGCGAAATCGTTGGCATCCTTCGGCGGATTCTTCCGGAGCAGACCTGATATTTTGGATGGATGTCAATTCGCAAACGTATTCGCCTTCAATTTCAAGCGCACGCACAAATGTTGCCACAACACCTTTCACAACCAGATGTTGCTACAACACTTTTCATAGTAAAAGCAAGTGCTTGCATTGCACAAGAGAACGACAGCAGTACTAGTGAAAAACGTCGCAGCAGTCATTTATTCTGAAATCATACGTTCATCGCACGCCGTTCGCTTGGCGACAGTCTTCAAATCGCCGGCGCATTCGCTCCACAGCGCCACCATGGCTTTGATCCCAGCGTCATCCTGCTTGGGCGCTGTGCCCGGTGCTGGGCCGCCGGTCTTCTTCAGCTTGCCGGCCTGGTCCTGAAAAGTCTTACCCTCGAAGGTCATTCCGTCTTTTATTTTCTTGGTGGAAAAAGTTTTTAATGCTCTGGCTCTCGTTCTGAAAACTTACTTTTAGTGTAGCAGGAGAAATAAAGGCTTTGTTTTGGAGGAAGTTGTAAAATGTGTTACGTCACAGAGGACTATTCTCGAGGTGGAAGAGAAGGGCCGCAAAAGAGGCGTCACTGTGTGGAAAATCAGGAGAGCGCAGTCGTGTTGTGCTACAGCCAGTACGACAAAGACACATTCATAAGAAAACAAGTCTAAACAAATGTGTACGACATTGCAGGCACGAAGAAAGAGGAGCACGGGTATCATTTTCGTACGCACGGATGTTGAACGAACCGAATTAATCTTCAGAAGGCATTGTGTGCACGTACCGACCTTTTTCACGTCGCAGCAGCAACCGATGGCGGCTTATCTCAAAATGCTTTGCAAATTAGTGCGACAAAACCGACAAAAGACAAATTGTGAACCGACTCATTCAGTCTGCAGTGCTGTTGCATCTTTCGTGAAGGAGCACAGAGGCAAACAAAAACTCAAATGTAAGTCGCGAAATCTTTGCTGCTAGCGGCAAAATGCCGCACTATACTTTTTGCGTCTTTTCCTTCAGCAATGTCACTAGATTTGTGCCTCAGCTACATCTGAGCATCGTGCAAACAAACCGCTACACCGCAGCCTGCGTATTCTGTTCATTGAAGTTATCAACTCGCAAATACAAAGGGAGTTCTGTCCTGTCTTGCCGCTTCAAGTAATCTTTAGGTGTGCCGAAAAGTAACGGCCAAATGATTTCCATATAGCTGGTCAAGCAATGATTCCACTTTATCGTCACGGACCGAGCTATCTCTTCGTACCACCGTTTGGGGTACCTCCGTAATCTGGTTTTGCTCACGACAAATTGGCTGCAGCAGTAAAAGGAAAGCGGGACCACGTCTCGCGGTCCTGTTGAAGATACATTTGCCGGATCCACTCCGGCCGCTGTTGTTGTCGAGCCTTTGTCTTTGTTTTCGTCGATACTGTTCACATTCGTCGCGGTGTGCACATGGATGAACTCAGATGGCTGGTCGTAAGTTTGGAAAAGTTTTTGATTCAGCTGCTTCACTAGAGGATTTAACTTCCCCAAGTCGAACCCGAGATTTCTCAGCAACCCCTCATACTCTTCCCTGGCGGTCATGTGTGCACTTATTTCTGTGTCGTCTTTGACACAATCACTGACCCTGTTAGCGCTGACCCTCTCGTAGTTATGCAGATAGTGGTGAGACAGCGTGAGAAAGTCGTTCCAATTTGACGTCGGCAAGTTCGCACCGTCGAAGATGGAAACTGCGTTGTCCTGGATCGTCTTTGCGTAGTCGGTTTCCCAAATCATTTTCGTAGAAACGTCTGTTAATCCGACGTCGACACCACTTGTTGGTGTTTCTGGTCCCGCGGCCATTTTATTTTCTCCGAAGTTTCCCAAAAACAGTGCCTGCAACACGTTTCGCAGTGCGCGAAAGTGCACGTGCTCAAGTAAGTCCGGGTGGGCGAAAATTGTGTAGTCGTCGAGATGGTCGTAATTTCGAAAAACATGCTCGAAATATCGCTTCACTTCCCACTCGCTGGGCTTGCTGACGACGTCATTCACTATGACGACTTTCCGGAAGTACTTTTCCAAAACGTGCAGGTCTGGCTTCGTATGCTCTCGTTTCCCGCAGTGCCACCGCGCGGTTTTTTCCACCAAGTAGCGACCCGCGCCATTGTGGTCTCTTCTAGACAAGGAGGATGATGTTTCATCTCCTGAGCCAGACGCTAACCCGCCCTCGCCTGTTTTATTTACTGCAGCAGCAGATGAATCTTCTTCCTGAAATGGCTTGTACAGGTAGAGTGTGATATGACCAGTTGGAATGCCCGGTTTGTTTTCTGGAAAACTACCATGTGACGTCGAGCCGGTTACCGAAGATGTTGAAGTAGCGGCTGATGATGTACTAAAATTCTCCACATCATCCTTCTTCTTCCTGTACTGCGGCGCCACGGCGATGTCCCCTCCCACCATGCTGGAGAGCAAAGCGGATAAATCCTCCTGGCAGTACGGTAAAACCAACCCGACAGTCGGGACTTGGGTCTTCATCAGTCGGTAGTCGGCATTCATCTTCTGCAGTCTTTCCAGGCCGACCTGCACCGGCCATGTCGTTTGCTCAAAATTTATCAAAGGTGGTAGTTTTTGCCTTTCCATTTCGTTGTTATCCATCCTCGCAGCAACATTCAACAACGACATGAAGAGGAAAGACAAATCCAAAACGGAGTCCGTTGCTTCTTGAAATGGCAATCGCTCCTCCGAGCGGAGAATCATCGCGAGCATGTACGCCTCCGGGCACACCTGCAGGATGTACTCCTTGTTCGCGAAAGCGATGGTGTTGAGCCAGAGGAAACTAATCGTGGTGACATTGTGGAAGTAGTACATCCAAGCTTGGAGTTTGTAATCTGTGAAAAATCCAATATCGATGTAAGGGCCGATGGGACCGAGATCTTTCACACCCGCGCCCACCCGGATGTCGCAATCATCCTTCTGCTGGAAATCTGGCATGCGGATAGCGGAAACGAGGAAGAGATGGAGGAAAACCGCTAAGCAGGACCGGAGCCGGAAAAAATGGCGACGCTGCCTTAAAAATAGTACCCGCCAGTGGCGACGGGGAGACGCGAGCGTAGAGAGAGTCATTTTGATGTTCTGTTGTTCCCTGCTACCGATGCCGCGGCTCAAACAACTGATCATGTTCCGAAAATGTTAATACTTGTCGCTTCAGAATCAGAATCAGAAAGGTCTTGGCTTGGCTTGGCTGCGGGGCGGCGTTCCAGAACTTTAAGAGTGCAGCTCGAGCTATTCATGAGCTAATTCTTGACCACGCTTACTAGTTTTAGTAGAGGCGGCTAACAGCGAACTTGTCCTCGCGCGTTCCACCATCGAGGCCACACACCACGCGCGTTCCACCATCGAGGAAAACTGCGCGCTCCACCATCGAGGCCACACACCAAAATCGTGGTGAGAGCCCGACGGTCTGGTCGCGAAACATCATGGCAACATCAGCAACCAACCAACAAACAAACAACAGTGGGAAAAAACAGCGATAGCGATGGCCCAACCTACCTACTTCCAGAGAGATGAAAACCCTACCTACTTACAGTAGTCGTAATGGCGATAGCAAAAGATAAAGAGCATACCTAATTACAGATGAAAATAAACAACAATAGCACCCTACAGACAAATGGAAAAGACAAATACTGCTCCTGATTGAAAATCGAAAACAAAAGGAAATAGCGCCACTTCACAAAACGCAGGCGAAACAGGCGCTCCAGCATCAAACGAATGAAACGCGCCAGGCCCAGAGCGCGGCGCTCCCTGACAAAAGCACAGCGATTTGCAACAGCTCTCTGGCAAGAATTGAACAAAATGCTGCTCGTCCACAAGATGAGCTTATTTCTTTCAATATGCTGACCGTCCTTCGCGCGGAAAGATATTTGTATGTGTTGCGTACTTAGTTCTACTTTTGCGCGTACTTGCAAGTCACGCACTGCACTTGTTATCCGTTTACTCATCAATCATCCCATGACGTTGGTCCAACGAAACAGCGGGTTATTCGTATGTCCCGGGACCGCGGCAAATTTCCCGGACACCATGGCGTCACCGGCCAATCGATCGACGCGGTCGTTCCCTGGGTCCCCGGAGTGTCCCGCGACGTACTCAAACTTCAAATCCGCCTTCTTCATCGCTGCCTGATGCGCCGCGCGTGCCTTGTTCACCAGCTGCAAGTTCTTATGCGCTTTCTTCTCGCCCGTGCCGACGCCGGCGGCATAGGAGGAATCGTAGAGGACGAGGATTTTCGGCCTCTTACTCTGCGTCGACCCAGGATTTGCATTTGCAATTGCATTCAAAACTACTGTACCACAAAAGCAATCGATCCACAGCATGGCCTCCGCAAAGCCCGTCAGTTCCCCGGTATTGTTAGACGCCACCTCGGCTCCCAAGTCCATAAACTTCTCGAGGTTGGAGAGATTTGTTTTTCCTTTACTAACGACGACCGGGCCGGATAGATCCACTATGTGATTCCGGTGGCTCTCTTGGACGATTCGCTGCCGGGTTTCCGGACTGTCGGCGTGGTTGTCCCTGTTCGCGAAAATCGAAACGCCCCAACCCGCGCGGGCGTTCGCACCCGCAATGTTCATGTTGCTGCCGCCGGACCCATCGAAGTAAATGTAGAAGTGATAAACTACTGAACCTGCAGTAGAGGACGACACGGCTGACGCCGGAGCAGCTTGAGGCGCTCCGAAAATTGAGCCGCTATTAAACGGCAGCGGGGCCGACCCAAACGCCGTTGCTGGGGCTCCTGCTGCTGGAGGCTGCAAACCAGAAGGTGTTATTCTCGCTCGCTTTGCTGAGTCTCCTTCGCTCCCGCTTTCCGCTTTTCTCTTCCGGCAATACTGCTGAAATCGCTGCACTTGCTCCCCGCAAATCCAATTCGCGTAGCGCACGTGATTTTCAAACACTTGTTTGAAAGACAGCCCAGCATGCTCCCCAGCTTCTATTCGCTCCGACCCTCCGTCGTCTAAATTTAGCCCTTGCAGATTCTCCCGCGGGCGTTTCAACGACGATGCTGACGAGGCCGCTGAAGAGGCCGATGATACTCCACCTTGCGGTTGATTGTTATTCATTACACCATTGTTCATCCCAAACTGCGACGTATTGGGCACGGTATTCGGCCGCGCGGCTTGAAACCCGGCTGAAAAGCCAAACCCGTTCGCTACGGATCCGCTGTTGCCGCCGAAGGAAGCTGTGCCAAACCCAAAGTTCGATGCTTGATGCTGGAACCCAGCAGGTGCAGCTGCTGGTGCGGCTGCTGTTGGTGCTGTGCCCCCATTCCGCTGGCGCGCGACGAACGCGAGAAAACTGGTCTCCGCCGCTTTTGCCTTGCTCGGGTCGCCTTGAAAGAGAATCCCCCGGGATTTCGGGTAGTAGTTGAGCTTGTACCCTAAGTGCTGCGACCCGCTCGGAACCAAAACGCCGGCCGTCGGCTCGTCCCATTGGACCTCTTTGATTTTCTGGTCCTGCCGCAGCCATTGTTCAACCTGGCCCTTGTCGTAGGGGGAGATCTTTTTCAGGGCCATAATTTTTTTCTTATGGGGAGAGATGGGACTTAGAACGACTGCGCAAAACTTGGTGAGGAAAAGCGAAAAAGAATGAAGCGACAACTCCAGATCAGATTACAATGATCTTCAAGCAGCCTACGACTGGCACTTCGAAATCGAAATCAGCGAGGGTCTTCCAACATAAAAAAAATGTCATCCGCTTCGTACTAACTCTTGCGTCCGGGCAGGTACTGAGTTTTTGATGATCTTCAGAAAAGTTCACGATAAAAAGCTGATCCATATGGAATCACGTACTTACCAGCCAGATCTTTATCTTCAGCAACAGCGTGACATCTTGTAGATCGGCTCTTCGTACACGTTGCATGTCTTCGTGCAGCAGTAAATAAATTGCGCTGCAAACGAAAACACAAAACACTTCCAAATTGCACCATCACGTCGCACGTCCACCAAACCACTCTGTCATTCTGTGTTTCTATTTGCTTCGCAAGCGAAGAGGCAAAAGCCAAAGCCCAACGACATTTATTTCTGTGTACAACGTGGATCTGGAACTGGATACCTCAATTGAACCAAGCCCTCAGGATTCCAGCGCTTCCCGCACGGCTTTGCAAAATTCCTTGGGAGAAAACAGCATTACGGAGTGGTCGCCCTTCCCGGTCGGAAAGACCTTCAAGCTTTCCGCGCCCACCCGTGTCGCGAGCAAGGCGCTCCACTCCCACGGCAACACCGTGTCGTCCTCGGCGCAGATTACGTGTATCCTTACCGGCTCGGTCAATAACACCGAATTTATCCTTGCCCGAAAATCGTCGACAGGTATGGAGTTTTCGAAGACCGGACCCATCAGCAGATCCAAAGTTTTCGGCGGCTTCAGAACTTCCATCACATCGATCTGCGCGCTTGCTGCGGATAGCAGCATGCGGAAATGCATCATTTCCGGATCTTTCTTGATCCACATCCGGACCCCCTCCGCCATGCGCGCATCCCGCGGCGCCGACCGGTACTGACTGCAAACGGCCGCAAATTTGTTCCCCGGGCGGCGGCGGCGGCGCGGGGGAGGCTCGGCGGGCATGGTTTCCGCAGTGGAATTATCAAATGTAAAAGTGTCTGGGTCTGGAAGAGTCATGCTGCTTCTGCATGACACAGAAGGTCTGGCATGGAAGCTCTAGCATCACAGATTTCGAGAAGCCTCCGCAATGCCGAATCCGCATGACAAATCCCTGACTCTGGTGACAGAAAGTGGGAACTTTTGCTGCCTATGCATGGGAGATTTTTCTGTGTTCTGAAATGCGCATCACAAGTTTGCACTCTTCCAGACCCAGACATTTTTACATTTGATAGGAATCCGAAGAGCCCGTGTCGCAGGAAACCTTGGACTATCCTATGTAAAAACGTACCCACCCCATAGTCAAGATGGGGAATCGGCTAGACAAATCCACAAGCTTTGGCTGTTTCGCATGACAAATTCGGACGCGTAGTGTAGTGCTGTTTGAGCTAGTTCAGCAGCATTACAGATCTAGTCTCTCATGCTGATTGGAGCATGACAAATTTCAAAACACCATTAGAAAATGCTTCTCATGGGGCTCCGCATGAGAAACATTTTAAGCCTGCAGATTTGCATGACAACTCTGGTGTGGGTACGTTTTTACTCAGGATATGGACTCCGCCTTGTTTTCCGCGTTCTCCTCCTCTTCATTCTCCTCCACCAGCAGCAACCGCTCCTTCACGTCCGCCAGCGTCCTATCGGCGTCGAAATCGGTGAAGCTGCCTATGGTTTTGCACTGCGACGTAAAGTAATCGACGAACCATTTCCATTCTGTTTCGTCCGAAAACTTCAAACCAAGAGCGGTAGAAACCAGGACCAAGGACGTTATCCTTTCCGGGGCGGCAAAGGTGGCCAACACGCCGACGAAACCCCCGTACGAATGTGCCACGATGGCGGTTTGGCCGACGTTCTCTGCATCAAGGATAGCAAGGAGGTCATCGGCGTAGTGCTGGGGCTTGAAATTCTCCAGAATCGCGTCGCCCTCGCCGTCCAGGCGTGACGCACCCCACCCGCGGATGGAGACAGAGATGGTGTAGTATCTGGGTGATAATAGGAAGGTCCGCGATTAGCGTTGCTTGTCTCCCTCACACACTGCGTTGACAGAGATTGAAAAAGATCAATGCACAAAATCGAAAATGGAAAGAACAGCCGCCGATGAAATATCATCATCAACTAAATACGTTTGCTGCCCACTTTCCGGCGTGACGGCGCCACCGGGGACGCTACTGCAGACAAAGTGCGGCGTGGTGCGCCACCAGGAGAGCGCATTGCCCCCCGCTCCGTGAATGAACGTTATTACCGGTGCGACGGCCCCATCGGCGAGGGTTTTCTTTCCCGAGACAAAGTATTCCAAGTCACAGTTCGTTCCACGGACAACGGGCATGTTGCTTGGAATTTCAAAAAAAAACGCTATGGCTCTGTCTTGTACATGTTTTGTAAAACAACACGCTCATGATCGCGCTCATAGTACAAACAAAAATCTGTCGCTGCTTCGCTCCGTAACGCCTGTTCCATACCTCCGTGAGAATGCAGCGAACAATCGTCGTTTGATCAGTACTTACGCCGTTTCCCACAAGGAGCTCATTCTTGCAAATTGATGCTGTCAAAACTTACTGCAGTGCTGATCCCGTTCTTCGCAGTTCGAACGGCTGTTTCTGTGTTTTCAAACTTTGCTGCTGGAGCCGCGTGAGTCCGAATCAATTCCTTTATCCTGTCAAAACTAGCCTGCAAGTGATTTCGATTTTCTCCATCTGCAGTAGTAGACCCACCCCAATCAGTGTCTAGTGGTACAAACTTTTCCTGAAGGTCTACCACTAGCCGAATCCCTCCCTTTGCTACGAAAATGCACCACAACTTCCCGTCGTCTTTCCATTCGGCAAGTAGGGCCTCGATGTTCGTCCGCAACCCTTCAGCATCCTTGTCCTTCAACCTCGCCCGAAGATCACGGAGGCGCGAGCCGACTTGATGATAACAACGATAAGTTTTCGCGTAGGTCGCGTAAGTTGCGGTCGTGCTGGTTGTTTTGGCAGCGTCTGTGGATAAACTTGTTGTCTCCAGCTGCTCGGTTATTTCCCCTTTCACGACCGCCTCTCCGGATTCGAGGGCTTTTTGCCATGGCTCATCTTTTGTAAACAGCTCTTCTATCTCCTCCTTCGTACGGCAGGCCCCCAACCTCCGCAGCACGTACTTGCACACATTCCAGTGCGCCAGTCCGCAGTGGGCTTCAAACAATCTGATCCACTTCTTCTCCAGTTGATCTGACGTGAGCCAAGCGGACTCAACTTTCGAAGCTGTAAGCATCAGGACCTCGTCAGCTCGCGCGGGAACCGGTTTCCCTTTCAGTACTGCTGGAACGAAGCACCGGTCGAAGCTGCCCGCTCTGAGTAGCGCGGCCAGAAGATTCACCTTCAAAACAGACAGGAGCTGCTCTCGCTTCTCGAATTGTTCCCGGGACTTGATGTCGACTTCAACGGCGGCCCGAACACCTTCTTCCCAGCATCGCACGGCGAGCGCGTAGTCCTTCGAGGCGAACGCAATACGGCCCTCCTGCTGCTTGACTTCGAGAATGTGCAGCGCGTCCCGGTTTACCGACTGGCCGAGATTTTTGCGAGTGAAACTCACCTTCGTCACCGCGGTTGGCTTTCGTGGGAGGTAAGTAGCTCGGGCATCATCGTGTCCTAGTGCTGAGGGCATCTTCACACCCGACATTTTTCTACGCTGATTTATTAACGACTGATCGAGGCCACAGTAGCAGCACACGCGACGGGCAATTCGAAGGAAACAGGGCAAGCAGAACAAAGAAAACAACAACTGCCTGTTGAGGACAACTTACGCGTGCCGTTCTCCTCTCCCTCTGGATCTGATGCGGAGGCGCATTGCGAGACCTCACATTTCTCGCATTCGCCAATTGAACACGGTGGCGCCTGTGCGCAATGCGCACGGGAAACGCAGGGCCCTGCCAGGAAGTAAATGGATAAATTGCTCAAACGCAAACCCAGGATGCTCCTCGGGGCGAAGCGCGGCATGGAGAGGAATACAAGCGAGCAAAGGACCGTGTGCGGCAGCCGCCGTTCGCGGCAATGTACAAAACAGGCTGCGCCGCACCCCATCGCGCAGGGTGGCGAGGGTGGGAACAAGGCAAGTGACGACCGGCAGCTTGGGCATGCAAAACATTCAGAGCACGGCGGGCCGCTGGATGCCCCCAGCGAGGAACGCGGCACCGCGGGCGCCGGCAGCCGGACCCGGTGCAGAACCGGGGGCCCGCCAAACAAAGGGCGGAGCCACCGCCCGGCGCGGCCGCGAGGCGCGCCAAGAGCAAGGAGCAGCCCCGAGGGCCAGGCCGCCCCGCGCCCGCGCACAAGCGCGCGCCCGGCCCGCGGGGGGGAATGGGAGAACCAGCCCGCGGCGGGGGCCTGTTTGCCGGCAAACCGGCCAGCCGCGAAGACTCTGCGCACGCCGGGCCGCGTCAAAGGCGCCCGCTTAATCAAGAAGAGGGACGAACGGCGATCAGATTCCGGCACCAATTCAGGCGCTGCCGGCACTCTTGCACCAATTCAAGGATCACCCACGGGCATCCGCTTGGCCCAGGGCCCACACCCCGACGCCCGTGGCCTTCTTCCAGACAGCCATCGGGGCCATACGACGCGGCCAACCCAGGAAGTTTACGGGGGCCAAGCGAGGCAACCGCGAGGCGCCCCGGCCCCCCTGCGCGCGGCGAAAAGCGGCGCGACCCGGTGCGGCCGCTTCGAACACTCTCCCCGGCGTACGCCGGAGCCATAGGCCCGCCGAACACTCCCGGCAGGAGTTTCTGCCAGATTTCCCGCCCCGCGTCCCTGCTTTTCTTGAATTCCTGCAGCGCCGCCGAAGCTCCCGGCGGACGCGTGTCCTGCCCGCGGTTCTGTTCGCGCGAGTCGCGCGCCCCGCGGGTGCGGGTGGTGCACCTGTCGCACCGGCTGCAGGCGAAAACTAAGTCTCGGAGCCCGCGCCGGCTCGATCTAAACGGCGGGGGCCGCTTCGAGCGGATCGGGCTAGTCCTCGGAGCTCGTCGGGCGCCGTGCTAGGCTGGCGCTATTAGAATTGCAACCCGGGCAAAGAAAAGCGCCGCGCTAGACGTGTGCCTCCCATACATAGTGGGGGCGCTCCAAGATGGAGACGGCTCGCGGTTGTGCGCCTGTTCTTGAGAAGGCCAAATGCCAAGATTGCGCGAAAGATTGAGAACGGGCACAAATTCCAATCTTTGCGAGAACACGAATCAAAATAGCAAGCCACCGCAGCCGAGATTCGGACCTCAGGTTTTTTCAGTTGTGAACTAGCGGAAGAAGTATCGACGTCGATGTTCTTCTGTGTGTCACTTCTTCACATGTCTGTCGGGTGCGTGACGCGTCAAGTGTATAAATGGTCCTCCCGGGGTTCCCGAGGAAACACGCTCTTTGGGGAGTGCCAGTAGGGGGAATAAAATGTATGTAGCGGCAGGTAGCAGCAAAAACACTACTTTTCCACACTTCAACATCTACAACTCCTCCCGGGTCGGCTTGTCGTTGGCGAAGAGCTGCTGGGCCAATTGTTTCTGGTTGGAAGTTAGGCGCTTTGGCATCTCCACCTCTACCTTGACGAACAGGTTTCCAAACTGTGTTGGGTCGTCCTTGTGCGGCATACCTTCCCCCTTGATCTTGAACACCTGGAATGGCTGGGTGGTGTCGGATGTCTCGAAATTCACCGTGTGGCCGTCCAGATGGGAGATTTTTCGCTGTTTTGTTATTTGGGTTTCAAAGCTCCACACGACAACATGGATGATCCACTGCAATTGCAAAACATCACTTGCGAACTCAATTCGCAGCCTGTAGCTTCGAATATTTCAACAGCTTGCACCGAATCCCATCAAATGAACCTACTTCATTTACCTTAAAGCCGAGCATAGCCTCCTTGAGCGAGATCTTGGTTGATATGTGGAGGTTGTTGCCCTTGCGCTCAAATCTGTTGTGTGGTCGCTGCTGGAGAATGAGAATGACGTCGCCAGGAAGCTGCCCAGGACTCTGCTCCGCCATGTGCGGAAACGTGATTCGGTCACCGTCGCGCATACCTCGCTCGATCTCCGTATGCAAGTATGCGACGTCCTGATAGTGTGAAAAGCGACGATGATGATGGATGAAAATTTTTTTGCAGACCCGGCACGAATGACACAGCAAAGAGCTGCACAACTACAGTTCGCATGAGAAACACATCTTCACGCACACATCAGTACCTGTTGGCAGCGGTCCTTGCTGGGCACTTCCTGTTGCTGCTGGATGACCATACCGGGTCCGATTTGCTGCTGCACCATCTTGACTTCGTTCGGACAGCGGTTACAGCTCATGCAGTTCGGGTGGTTTGGGTCGTTTCGGCACACCCGGCAGATTACTCGCCGTCTGTGGTGGTCCGTGCGCTTGGCGCCGGTGTAGAGCTCCTCGAGTGTGACCGGTTTCGTCAGCTGGAAATCCTTGCCGCTCGGCATCTGCTCCTTCACTCCCTCCATGCCGCAGCAGTCGTAACGCGCGCGCTTGGCCGGGTCGGAGAGCACTTCGTACGCAGCGGTCATCTCTTGGTACATGGCGATGATGTTCGGATCCGAGTTCTTGTCCGGGTGGTACGCGAGGGAAAGCTTTCGGTACGCCTTTTTGATCTCCGCCGGGGAAATCTCCTCGCCCCGCTCGTGCTTCTCGTGAAGCCCGAGGAGCTGTGGTTTTTGAGTAGATCATTGGAGTGCATTTGCTGTATGGGATGATTCGCAACACACAAAAAGTGCACTTCTACTGATACGGAACCACAAACAGCAAGGACGAAATCTAAAAAATCTATCAACACCAGTAGATTCTGTACCTCATAAAGATCCTGCGAGTCCTTGAATGCGGAATGGTCGAAGACCTTATCGAAGACCGCGCTCGCCCTTTCTTTCCTGCTCGACGGCTCCCGGTTGTCTAGTGCCCTGTGCCCCACCAACTCAATGCTCATCAACGCGTCGGGGTCCTGCGTCTTCGGCATGTCGCCGTGCACCCGCATGGTGTGCAGCCCGTCGCCGCCCCACATGATGAAAATCTTCTGCGCGCCCTGGTGCTCGTACGCCGCCCACCGGCACTGCCCGGGCATCATACAGGACTGCGTCGGGGCCTCGAAGGAGCCGTCTTTGTTGAATTTTACGTTCCCCCACCGGTTCCAGTACCACTCCGTCCCCTTCATCCAGTTAAACTCCTTTGCTATCTTCTCCTCGATGCCCGCCGGAAATTTCGTCTCCTGGGGTCGCTGCCGTCGGCCCATGCCGGGGTGCCCTCCGAAGTGAATTTGCTGCCCGCCACCCTGTATTATTTGATGGAGTGTTTGTGTTTATTCAGATTGCAGTTGTTCAACAAGAACTACCCTTTACGTTGTACAGACGTGCGATGAAACACATGCATAAAATGATGTATGATCCAGAATCACAATTGTGCTACATGTAGTTGTGAAGCACTTGCTTTACCATGTGAAATTGGTGGAATCCCTCGCCGCCGCCCCCAAAGGCCTGGTTAAGAATATCCTCGATGAAAGCATGCGCATCGTCGACAGACGCCAAGGTCGTCAGAAGCAAACGAAAAGCGCCCATGCTGGTAGCAGGTATAAGAAAATAAGAGCACCAAATTTACAGGAGGTTGCCGTAGACCAACTAATATGGTTGAATGCTTTATTGAAATTCCGGTGTCGTCAGAGAAATGAAAATCAGTATGAAAAAGAAAACTTTGTTCGGTCGTCTCGTCTACTTTCAAAAAAAGCGTGTAAGTGGGTGCCTACGTCGGAAAAAAAATCCAGGTACAAAATGTTGGTGTAGCCTATGGCGGGAAGAGCCTGCAAAATTGATCCAAATTGTCCACAGATAACCGCGCGATACGCGAGATTGCAAAAAGAGTGTTTTGCGACATGGTGATCCTTTGAAAACCAATACCAATTTTGATCCTCCGGAAATTTCGTTCGTGAAAATGAGATCCTCGTCGGTGATCAATTTGTTATTCGACCGCGTCAGACTTTTTAAAAAACCGACTCATCATGATTGCAGGACTAGCTTGTCTGACACGTGCTCAAATCCACAACTGATGAAAGACAAAGCATGGAAAATTCTACACAAAGTAACTCCTGCGCTTTCGTAAAGATGTCGTCGGTGCAACGCTAAGCGTCTTCACGCTATAGAAGTCGTTCCAGGTTCAGTTCGTCCGAAATAGTAATCTTGGATAGGTTTCTCGACAAGGGATACTTGAAGCAGTGGTTTTCATTTCGTCTAGTGGTAGTGCCACCCACATGGTGGGCATGAAGAGAATCATTCATTCATACAACTTTCTTCACCCCATTATTCCGGCCGGTGAAGAATCCTGCTCGCCAAAAGCTTCGAGATTCACCGCGGGCGTCGTTGGGTCCGCGATTCCTCTTTCATCCATTTCCAAGACTTGCGCAAAGTCGCCGGAGGAAGATTCTTTGAAGATAGCCATCTGACTGTTGCCGTAGTTTACTTGGAGCATGCCGCCGACCTAGAAAAGTAGAATATGAATGACATGGTGCACTATTCTATGCGGTGGTAGTGCAGTAAGAAAACTGCCAACACACGACATTTTCTGGAAAACCGAGTATGTTTCTAGAGGTCACTTGAGTTCATCTTTGCGCCGTCCTGTCATTTGAAAAATCATACCTGTGAAAACTCGACGCTCCACACGGGCTTTCCCTGGAACTCCTCCCTGAAAAGCTTTACGGGCCGCCAGATGGTGTCACACCTTTGCCAAACGACCACCGTGCCATCCTTCGAGCAACTAGCGAGGATGTCAGACCGGTGTCCCTGGTAGGGTCGCCACGCGATCCCGGTTACCCAGTCCTTGTGCCCGGCCCCGCTGGACATGTCGACGTCCTCTCGAACCTAAAGTTGTCGTATTTTTGCACAGTGGAGCGGCATGCTTTGTACGCTCACCCAACCTTTCATGTTGCGACTGCGAGGTCTCATCACAGTGAAGAAAAAAAAACACACTTCTCGTACCCAGCTCCCATTCTTGAAGATCCACACCTTCACCGCGGCGTCTAACCCGCCGGTGGCGATTTTCGCACCCTCTAGCCCGTTCCCGAGTTCAAAGCAGCCCATCGGCGCCCAGCAAAGAGCGCGCACGCCACAGGGGTGTGCGAGGAAGGTGGTTCGGGTCCACTGGTCGCGTTCGTATTGGAGCAGTCCTACGTTTCCGTCGCTGCCGGCCGAGGCGAGCACCAAGCCGCACTCAAAAGGCGCGAACGCTACCTGGTTCACGCACGCCCTCGCTTGCTCGTCCTTGTATGCGAGCTGCTGGTCTTTCCAGATCAGGACCTGTTGGATTGGCGTCGTACGCGTTTTTGCTGCAGAAAATTTGAATTTCGCAGCATGAACAGGTTCAAACATCCATGTACTTATATGCAACGTCAAAGCATAATTTTGATTTTTTTCCAGATAATCAAACCTCTCTTCTATACCTGCTTATCATACCCGCAGCTGGCCAGCACCCCTGGGTATTTTGGGTGGGCCCAGCACACGGACCATACCGGTGCCTGGTGCCCCTTCAGCTCCGCAACGGCTTGCGGCCTGTCAGCGTTGGAGATGTCCCATATTCTCACGCTGCCGTCGTGGCCGGCTGTCGCTAATCTTCTGCCATAGTAATCCAGCTGCACGTCGTGAATCTGGCCCTCGTGCCCGGTCTCGATACGACCGATCGTTTGCGCCATTCTGTCGCTTTCTTGAAAACGTATAGAACAATTTAGGTCGTCGCGTTTATATGTAGTATCTTCTTCTAAAGGTTGTGATGTGTTCTTTTCGTTTTTCTGAGTGCTTACTACATACTACGCAAGCGGTTATTGTATTTGTTTTTCCATCGCTGCTAATTTTTTTGGATAGGACTGCTCTAGAGACCGACAGAAGTAGCACCAAGGCTTCGTGATGAATCATTTGGATTTGTTCGCCGTATCGTGAGAGCTTGGAGTTCAAAGTTCGAGAGACTGATCCTTCTGTAATTGACTCATGCTCAAAAATCGGAACACGTGCATACAGCGATCAAACGTTCAAGCAGCGAACTGTTGTATGGTTTTCTTGTTGAGCGATATTAGTTCAGCAGAATCATCCACCCGAATACTGTATTTGTGGCGGAGAAACAAAGTCGAGTAGCATCGAACTTACATGAGGGGAAAAAAACTCGAGGACAAGTTCTCTTTCTTGTTCATCCGGTTGCGGTTCATCGAGCTCGAGGAAGATTAAACGTATTTTACATAAGTGATCGATACAGCTGGCCGGGAGAGGATCCAGCCCGCGCAAGCCTCTGCCAAAAGACCTGCTGCGGCCCGCGAAAGGGGAGGTATTCTTCTGGTACCTCCGGCGTCTCGTCGGCAAAGGATATCCGCGACTTGCTAGGTGATGAATTGCTTGATCCACTCCTACGAAGGCTGGAACTCTGCGGCCTATCCGCGTCAAATTTCTTCGCCAAGTTTTCCAGAGGGAGCGCCGGAATGAACACTGACGTCCCGCTGCCTCTAGCGAGCGACTTCGTAGAACGGGAAGAGCGCGAAGAAGAACTTGGGTCGGAGACAAACTCGTGCTCTTCGTTGCTGCGCGCCAGCGTCTCGCCTTCTGGTTTCTTCTTCTGCTCGATCTTTCCGTCCATTCCAGGTGCCTCTATGTTCACACTGGAAGACAGCCCCACCGCAAGGCTGCGATATCGCGTGCTATGCTGTTGTACCTCCGATTCTACCACGGATGTTGACGTTCTCAGGCTAATGGGCTTTGACGACGGTGCAGAAGAAGAAGCTCCGATCGGTCTAATATCACCTTCGACAGCAGCTGCACCAACGGTACCGGAACTCCTACTCATCTTTTCCTGAAAAGAAGACGACGAAGTCCCGCTTGTCATCTCTACTCGCTGCGACCGTAGAGCTTGAAAAGCAGCTTCCCCTTTTGCTAGTTCTTTCTTGACGGCTGCCAGGGCTGGCTGTTCAGCTTGCTTGTTTTTCGGAAGTAAAGCATCTTGTTCCACTCTGGATTTTTCGTTAGCGGTGACGAAACTCAGCTCCCCGGTCGCATTGATGAAGTCTGATTTTTCAGCGTTTTTGAAGGCACCTAAAGAGGGCGCAATCTCCACCGTGGTGCTTGTAGTAGCAGCCATTCCCGTCAATTTTTTGGTTACCGAAGACCTCGCAGCGACCAACTTCTCCATGGCTGCAGTCAAATCCCGGCACGCATCGAGCCGCTCCTGGTGCGCCGCGTCCAGCACTCGCTTCTCGGCTTGCAGTTCGAGAAGTTTCCTTTTACTCTCCGACCTTGACAGAGAGGAGTTAGTCTCTTCTTCCTCATCTTGACAAAGAGCAGTCAACCTCCTCTTTTGCGCCGGTTTTACTACTTCCTCCCGCACCGACCCGATATTAACCAGCCCGTTCCGCATCAAACTCGTGCTGTGCTGGTAAAAACTGTCCAAATTTTCTGAGTCGGGGGAAACAGCACGACTGGTAACTAGGCTGGCAGAAGCCGAAAGAAGTTTCTCCGCTTGCTCTTCCATGCTTTTCGACTGTTTCCGGAGTTTTTGCAACCGGTCGAAGATGTCCGGTCCGATTTTTTCGTTCGCGAGATGGAAAGAGCGATGATTTTTGATAGTACTGGTGGTGAATTTCACAGGCGAGAAAACCTCTTGTCCTTTTTCGTTCTCCTCTTGCTGTGGCACGTCTTGCACTTGTTCAGACTTTTCGCACTTTTCGCTGGCTGCCTTGGAGGATGATGATGCCAGCGGCGCTGGAGCGGGTCGTTGTGCAACAACTTCCTCTTGCGGGAGTTTTCCTTGTTGTTGTTGTTTTGTACTACTATGATCTTCGCAACTCTCAGAAGTAGACGACGATTGGCTCAAAATAACTCCCCGAACGTGCCTGGCAACTTTCGCGATTTTCCCAAACGAGGTATAATGCGAGTTGTATTTCGGACGCGATGGATTCTCTGAGTACAGCCCTTCTGCTTGTTGTGACGAAGCCGCCACACTTTGCGACGAGGACTTCGAAGATACGCTAGAACGATCTCCCGTCGTGCCGTGCCGCTTCAAAAAAGCTTCAAATGTCTCGTCCACCTCGCGGTCGGATAGCTTGTCGATGCTGTGCTGCAAAAAACCAGGACTGGGTTTTTTACCAAGAGAATCCTCCTGTTCCACCGCCGAGCTCGTCCCGCTGCTACTCGTCGCCGAATGCTGCACTGGGTTCTCGCCGTGCAAAACCGCAACTGCTTGGTTCTGCAGGCGACGGAGATTTGCCCTTTCGTCCTTCAACTTCCCGGTTCCTAGAAATGCGTCGTCCTTATTCTTCACTGTCAGCTCCTTCTTCAGAAATTCGTTCTTCAAATCTATGATCCGCTTCTCTGCTTGACACGTAGTGACTGTACTTTGATTTGTCTGCTCCGCCAGCGGTTCCAGTGACGCAGACGTCGGGTCGTGAACAAGCGTAGTTGTTGTGTTATTTCCAGCGTTAGTACTTCCATTCGGGTCCCGGAACCGGCTAGATCTGTACCGAAGCGAAAAGCTTGCGCCGGCTGGCTTCCTTTCTATTGCACTACTTTCCGCTGGATCTGTAGATGCAGCAGCAGCACCGCCGAGAGATAATTCTTCTGGAAGTATCGTCTGCGATAAAGCGAAGTCCTCGTCTTTCGCAGACAACAACGGCGAGAACAGCTGCTGTTCCTCGAAACTGAACCTTGAAAATTCGTCCCCCTTGTCAATCGGGCTCATGTTGAACGTGAAATCGTGCCGGGTGCTGCTCATCAGATTCGTCCTCGCCAGAAACTCTTCAACGACCGTCTCCGCTAGAAAAGGCGTCGCTTCGATAAACTCCTCGGCAGGAGGGATCGGTAAGATGTCAGCAGTTTTCATCGTTTTCGATGCCACTATTCCTGCTGAAATTCCTTCTACCGTTTGTGGTTCAGGTGCTAGTGCTATTCGTCGCGCTCTCCTCGCCAGTCTCATCTGCGAATTCCCGCTCGGAAATGAAGAAGATTTATTCACGACTGGCAGTGGCCGGTGCCACTGTCGCAAAAACCGCCTGACTTCCGGCGGAGACATGGAAGATTGGTAGCTGCTGGCCGACGTGGTCTTGTGCGAGGGATTGCGCTCCGGCTCTTGCGGCAGAAACGGTGTAGTTGTCATGCTAGTAGTCAAGAAGTCCTCTACTTCTGGAAATGGGACCACAGGAGCCTGTCCGCGAAGAGCTGCAGCGGCATCGGAGGTTTTTGACTCGGCTTCCGCCGCAGTAGTGCCCGCCGCGGCAGGAACTTGTTCCGAAGGTATATTCCTGTCGTCCAGATCGCCACCATCAACTGCATCTCCTCCTGAATCAACAACATTTCCGGCTTCGCCTTCTTCAACAACAGGATTCTTCAGGTTCTCAACTCCTTCCTCCCCATGCGAGAGACTTGTACTGGTTTTCGACAGCAACAAACCAGGCTCCGCAATCCCTGACGCGCCCGTTTCTCCAGCGTTGGTAATATGCACGTACCGGTGCGCCGGTAAACTGGTGAACTCCTCCCGCGTCTGCACTTCTTCCAAAATGCGCTTGCTGACGACCTTCTCCGCGACCTCTTCGAGCGGCGAAGACGACATCATCACGGCGTCATATGCATTGCAAATATGTCTGGGTCTGGAAACTTGTGATGCAAGGAAGGAAATAGCGACCACACTGTAATGCGCTGCCAAGCATGACAACTTTTTTCGTGGTTCTAAGTTGCGTACTCCGCATGACAAACTGCGTTCTTGCATGACAGACGAGAGGAGCTCTTTGAGGCCACGCAAGACAGAGTCCAGAGTCATGCCAGACTAGCATGACAAACCTCGCAATCTCCCAGACCCAGACATATTTGCATTTGATACGTCAGGGTGGAGAACTTCTGCTTGGTCACTTCTTGGAAGCACCGTTTCGATCGCGGCGGTTATGGAGTCCTGCTCTGGTTCTTGTGCCACTGCAGCGACCATGGCGCCCGCAAGAGGAACCACCTTCTCCTCTGGGACGATCGTTAACGACGGAGAAGATGTTGCTCCGGCGACGACAACCCCAGCTGCTGTTACATCTGGATTCATCTCCTGTTCATAGTCCTCCTCGAAAAATTCTTGACTTGTTCTGTGTCTTTCCCGCCCGAAACTCTTCCGCTTGTCCTCTGCAGCGGGAGCTGCGACGAGAATGGTGTCTGGATTCATCTCTTGCTCATACCCATCGTCGAACTCTTGACTGTGCGGCCTCCGGCCTTCTCGCCCGAAAGAACTACTCTGCCGTCTGTTCACATACAAACCGTCTTGAAACACCACAGACCCTTCATACCGCGGAATTACGACGGGTTTGATATTTCCCCCATTCGCATTTCCGACTTTCACCTTCTCGCCGGATGAACTACTGCGCTGCTTCCGAGACCCACGCTTGCTCGACGTTCGTGAAGATGTACTAGTTTGTCTCGACGGCGGAGCATTTAGTACCCTGGGAGAATCCACGTAGATGCCGTGCGTCTCTCCGTGGTGAGCGTGCGGATGATCGTGCTCATAGATCCCGTCCGGAACGTTGTCATGCCCGTGCCACCACGGACTTGCATGCTTTTTCCTTTCGTCTTTTGCGCCGGTATCAACATCCTGTGCTGCTTCTGTGTCTTGCTCTACTGCATTTTCGTGCCCATTGGCATCTGGATCTCTTTCTCCCGCCTGCTCACCGGCTTCATCAAGCCCCTCTGGGGCAAACAGGAAAACCGGTTTTGTCGCGCAGGCTGGAACTCCACCGGCTGTCTCTTCGTCGCCGTAGAGCAGAGCCGAGCAAGACTTTCGTTTCTGCCGCAAAACTGGTACCTTCGAAAGGTTCACTTGCGATTGCAACCACATTTTATTTCCTCGGGAGAGCCCGAAAGAGGCGTCTTGACGTTTCTCGCACAAATAAACTTCAAAAAAACACTGCAGCGATCTTGATGTAAATCAAACCACAGTAGGCGATATTCGGCGGCGTGAAGGCAATCTTCTGAAATTGCGAAATCGAAATGCGAATGCGATACGACGATTGGCCGCTCGATTTCGGTTTCCCGCGCCCACGATTTTTAACGACAAAACCTCTTCTAGCCCCCGATACGAACACCAGAGAGACGCTTCTATTCGCGAATCCATCAAATAAACCTGTGCAGTTTCTGCTGTAAATGTTCTTCTTCTTTTTGTGTTGTGCGCCTTTCGAGCGTGTCCGATATAATCGTCCGTGCTATAATCTTTTACCTTCCTCCCCTTGTACTTCGATTCTGCAGCTGTCGATTCGGAGCGCCACTTTCAAAAGTACTTGCGTTCTGCAAAACGCCCCCATCGCGCACCTCAGGAAGCAGCTGCTGGTGGCCACCACCAGCATCAGAACCGCCGGTATCTCTTGCAGCTTCTAGTGCTTTCATTCTCTTGTACTCAGCAATGGCGTCCTGTGCCTTGGGTCCCATCTGCTTTCTCGCTGCTCCAGCTGGACCTGCCCAAGCGACGCGGGGGCCGCCGACGCCACCGCTGTTCGCGCGTGGTCGCATGTCAGAGCCAGCACGCGGACGCGCGGGTGGTTGTTGGGCACTAGCTTCGGATGGGGCGCGGGATGCGTGGCTGGAAGGGGTGGCGGAAAATGTCGCGGAGAGAGCGGCTGTGATAAGTATTTGTTTTTGCGATTGTGTATCGAAGAACGAAAACATGATTGATCTCTATTCATGCATAGTCAAGGGAAGTAGAAGATTCAAGTTTTACAACAAATTCCTAAAAACCCCACTCCCTACCTCTCGGCTGCTCTCTCCGCACCTTCTTCAGCTGCAGCCGTTTCATCTTCTTTTGACTTTGCAGAAATGCCGCCGCTGTCGATGCGTCCGTGAATCCCCATTCTTCCTGCACCTTCGCCAAAGCTGCTTCGAATTTGCTCGTTCGGTGCTGCGAACTTGTGGACGGGCGCGACAAGGATTGCGGTGTCTCAAGCGTCTCCGTCTGGAGAGAGTTCAAATCATCATCCAACCTTCTCGGTGTGATCTTGGCCTCTGTAGTAGAAGTCGCATGCTGCGCTAACCGAGCGCTGTTTAGATAGGGAGGATCTGGAGGAGGTTCCTGATTTGATACTTCTTCAGTCGCGGCCATAATATTCCGGTGCTCCTGCTGTTGCTGCTGCAAGTGCGGCGCGTGTAGTGTGAGGTGGCGCATCTGTGCTTGGAAAGACGAAGAAGATGCCGACTCGCTGGAGAAGGAGTAGGAATTATTTTCTTCCAAAGATGCCGAATTCGAATGCGCATTCATCCCCGCGGACGAGGATGATGAACTGCTGCTGCCCGCACTAGCCAAGGAACCACCTCCACCGATTTTGCTCCCCACCAACGGTGGCAGTTTCACCGAAACTTTCGCGTGCGCGTCCCGCTTTCTCGGCTCCAGTCTTACGGCGGACGGCTCGAGAGTTCCTTGCTCTTGAAAGGTCGGTGGATATCTTGGTAGCTCCGCTTTGCTCACCTCGGGCTGTTTCACAAAGTTCACGTCTTTTTCTTTGTCTTTTGCGTTAACCGCGGAAAAGTGGAGTTGCGTCTCGTGCTTGACCGGAACTTTCAACCGCAGCATCTTCGGAGGTTTCGGCGCTGTCGGGACTGCTGCTGTTGACCCCATCGGTTCGTCAAAAAACTCCGCTTCCGTTGGTGGTGGCGCGGGATGTGCTGGTAGTGGTTCGGCTGGCTCCACTGCGGAGTCCGTCGTGTCTTCCGCAGGCAGTTCCACCTCAGAATTCCCGTTCGAACCCTCGTGCGAGGAAGAGAGGGGGGAAGACAACACCCGTCGGTCCGGTTCCCTGGCGAGCGTCTCCACGTCGAGGAAGTTGTCTTGCGGCATAAAGAACTCCTGTCGCGCAGGCAGTTCGGAGTGATCAAGAACATCCTCATCTTCATCACTGTCATCTTCCGCTGCATCCACTACACTTATTTTCGGCCTCGCCGAGCTTGTGGCTGACATGTTCTTGTCGAGTTGTGGAGGATTGGACGGTGGATGATGACTTTTGTCTACTATTTCCCGCTCCGCATGATGTGCACCTTCGTTTGCCACTGGAACTGGCTCAACATCATGATCTGTACCCACCACCAGCATAGTGTTTTTACCAGCACAACCTGCGTGTTGTACAACTTTAGCCTCCTCTTCCCCCTCAACAACCTCAGGCGACGTGTCGAGAATCCCCGGAGACTCCTCTTTCACCGGTTCCAGCGTCGGTCGCCGACTAGCACGATTCGATCCGACAGCCCATGCGTTTTTCGCCGAACGGGCGATAGTTTTCTTCGACGAAGTGGAAGCAGAACTACTTGTACTCGTGCTTGTTGTAATATCGGTTGTCCCATACAGCTCTGTAGATGAAAAGCTATCCTCCTCCACCGAATCCCCATCTTCCATTAGCGCTTCCACTTCTTGAATCGCGGTCTCCAAGCTCTTCAGCGTTTTTTCCGTTCTTTTCCTCGCTTTCCCCATGTCCGCAAACGGATTCTCGTACAGGGAGGCATCGTAGGTGAACTCGGACAGATCCAGTTCGGGAAGATCAAAATCGAGATCCGCGAGAAACACTTTACGGAGCTTCCTCCTGATCCGGTGACCACGGTACCACCTTTGGATGATAGACGCTGCGAATTTCCGAAGACTGGTCCGGTAAAGCAAAACTTTCTTCATTTTCCGCTGGATCAGCGTGATTCTACCGAGGTTTTTCACGAAATGCTGCCTTCTGTTCTCCGCTTTTGTCTCCTCGTACCACGTCCTCGTTTTTGTGCCGCGATAACAAGTTTGAATCTTCGTGCTCGCTTGAATCCGGGCTTTGCGAAAGGATTCCAGCTTTGATTGTAGACGTTCGAGGATGTCTTTTTGTGCGACATCAAGAACTTCTGTGCTGCAGCCAGTAGCTGGGTTGTTGTCCTTGACAACTGCTCGGATCGCCGACGGGAAATCAGCAGCGAACGCGGCAATTCCTGCTTGCGCGTCCGTGTCGAGAACCTCCGTCTTCAAAAATTCGACTGCTGTTCGGTATTGTGAAAAACGCACTTTCAACCGCTCAGCTTCGACGACCTGCAACTCTTCGTCGATGTGGAGGGTTGCGATGGCGGTTGTCGACGACGGCAGTCCGGTACCATGATGATCATCCCCGAGGAAGTTGCCATCGAAGAACCGTATCGCTTGCGCGAGAGAATCTGCGAGGTTCGTGAAACTAGCGAAGCGGTCTTGCGCCTGCTGCTTTTCAGCGCTTCTAGTATCTCTGTTCAGAAAGTACGCGTCCCCCTTCTGCTGCTTGAAATCTTCCCCGTCCCAGCTTTTCAGACAGTCAACCGCGTTCAGGGCCCGCAGAACATGCCGGCGGTACCGCGCCGGATGCTTGCACAGCAAGACGTTTTGATTCGCCGACAAGTTTTTCAAATTCGGAAAAGCGGAGAGGCTCCCGGAAGGCAGCGCGGAAAACCTGTTGGCTGCGAAGTTGAGCGTCCGCAGGTTTGGGGCGAACAGGGGCAGGATTTCACTGAGTTCGTTCTTCGCGAGGTTCAGCTCGTACAAGCTGGGCAGAAATCGCAGCGAAGCCTTTTCCGCACGTCCAGACCCGATGCGGTTGTTTTCCAGATTTAATTCTTGCAAGCACAGAAAGAGCAAGTGTCCGATGGCCGCGATCTGGTTGTCGGCGAGATCCAACGCTGTCAAGAAGGGCAACCACCGGGAGAGCAAGAGTCCTGGAACTGCTTCAAGAGCATTTTTGCTCAAATCCAGCACTTCCAGCGCTTCGCAATCGCGGAGAAAACAGGTTGAGTCCAGGTTTTTGATTTTGTTGCTCCGCAGCACCAATCGCGACAAAGACGCTTTGCTCTGGCCGGTTGCTTCCGGCACCTTCTTGATCAGGTTGTGGCCAAAGTTCGCGGAGGACAGTCGCGGGCACCCGGTTTGCAAAAAATCAAAGTCCTTCAAAAAGTTGTGACTCGCGTCGACCGTCGCCAGGTTGACAAGCAGTTGCAGGCCGTTGAGAGTGCGCAAACCGGTATTGCGAAGCACGATGTGCTCGAGCATGGCGCAATGGAGGGCGAGTTTCTTCCCGACTTCCACGTCGGTAGACAAGTCTACGTTTTCGATCTGCAAAAACCGGACGTGGCGGAAATTGGTCAATTGGAGAGGTTCATCTTGCAATAAATCTGTAGCTGCAGCGATTCTCAAAGCTAGCTTATCGTCGTTGCTGGAGGACTTTTTCTTCATCGCGGCCTTTTCAACATCTTCTGCTGCATGATTATCCAAGTACGTCTTCCAGACGGCTACTGTGGAATTTTGGCTTTCGGGTCGGGGTCCGTTGATTTCTATTTCTTCTCTCCCCGGCGGTAGAGCCGGCAGTGCACCATTGAACAGAAGGGTTCCGCTATCCGTGTGAAACGACTTTATCGACGATCGCTGTTGGTGAAACACGTTCTCAGCAACCGAACGCACGACCCGGTCAGCCACGCGCGCGACGCGCTCTTTCACACGAAAAATCTGCGACCAGAAATCCCGGCTGAGAAATTTTGTGAAGAAAGAAGAACTTGTTTCCGACTTTGCAGCTTCTTCAACAACCTCATCCTCGAAGAACAGCTCATCCACACTGGAGCGCCCCGTGCTTCCTCCGCTGTTTCGCGGTGAGTAGTGACAGCGGTCGCTGGTCGGATGCGCAGCAGCTGCGTCTTGGTCTTGCCCCACCTGCTCTCGTCGTGCACGACCACTTGCGGAGCAGGTGAACTCTCGTTCTACTTTCCACGTCGCAGACAGTGCCAACCAGGAGTTCCGCCCGTTCCGTTCCCACAGGCCCATCCCTGGTTGCAAGATCTCGGCAATCCCAAACCGCGCATCCGCGTCTTCCGCGGCCATGCCCGGCCACTCGACAAAAATTCGCTTCTCTTGCTCCCGGAGCGTCGCGGCACGCAAATCCTCTTCCCGCATGCGGTCCTGCTCGCGCCAGGAGTAGATGTTGCAATTTCTCGCCTCTTCGTCCGCGATTTCCATCAAAACCCGCTCCCTTGCGCAGTTTTCGGATTCTCGCAAGTCAAACGCGGCAAAATCCTCCTTCAACATCTGTCTCCACTCGCGGTGCAGTGCTTCCCGCGTCAAACGCTGTTCCTCATCTCGCTCCCACTCCCGTATTCGCCCGGCCGCGCGATCTTCAAACGACATCCGACTGTGTTCCGCTTCTTTCGCTTCCTTCTCCTCTTGCTCCCGCAATCTACTGTCGGTGTCCGCGGCGAAAAACCGGGCTTGCTCGTACTGGACTATCCTGGGAAAAAACGCCCCCACCCTGTAGTTAAGATTGGAAATCATGCTATACAAATCAAAAAGCTTTGGCTGTTGCGCATCACAAGTTTGGCCTCGTAGTGTAATCCTGTTCAGCTAGTTCACCAGCATCACAGATCTAACATATCACGCTGATTGGAGCATCACGAATTCCGAACCATGACCAGAAAATGCTTCCCATGGGGCTCCGCATGAGAAACATTTTCAGCATGCAGATTTGCATTACAACTATGGGTTTGGGACGTCTTTACATAGGATATGGACGCGACGGAACTCCTCCTCGCGACTTCTCGCTTCCGCTTGCCTTTTTAACCGCAGTTCCGAAAGTTTTTTTTCCTCCTGTGCCTGCTTCTCCCGGAGCTGCTTCTGTTGCTCGGCTAACTTTTCGGTCAGTCCGGGGTCGTATGTAATAATTGCTTCGTCTGTTGTCCTCGTGCTTTCTATTTCTTGTTCTCCCCGTTCGCGAATGTTCGTGTCCTGACCATCTGCAAGAAAAGCGACTGGACCTGGAGCGAGAACAGGAACAGTACTCCGCGGCAGGGCCCAGAAACTTGTTTGATCCTGGTCCGGAATTTCCTTGTCCCGTTCCAAGGGTCGGCGCTGGATCTGGGCCACGTACCAGGGTACTAGCGATTTTTCCGTGTTATCATGATCCCCACCGGCTTGTTCTGCAATTGTGTCCACGTTCAGCTCGCTTTCGTTTGCAGAAGAATTCTCCCCGGAGCCGTGGTCGCCGGCGGTATCCGCGACGAAGTTCTGGTCATGATTTTCGTGGTCTTGGTCCCGACGCTTTTCCTTCCCAAGCAGTACTTGCTCTTCTGCCGGCGCTGGTAGAAAAGCATCATCTTCTTGCGCTTCTTCCGGCTTTACATCCACAAGAATTTTTCCTGCATCTTCTATATCTTCGCTCGTCGTGGCGCGTTCAACATTTCGCTGCTCTTGCGCCGCGGCAAGAACAGCCTGCTCCTCTTCTTCTGTCAGCTCTATCCTCTCTGGCCACGCGACGACCGGCACGGTTTTGAAGAAATTCTCCCGAAACACCGCGGCCTCGTCCTTCGTAAAGTCGAAGAGCTCCACGGCTTCCGCCAGGGCCGTCTCGATTCTGTCCTCGGAACTCTTGACTTCGTACTTGGCTTCCAGTCCAGGGACGGTAATATCTCCCGCCCGTGGGTCAAACCGCTCAGCAAAACCCAACTCGGCGAACGCAGATTGCAATTGCTGTGCGGCGTCGAACTTGTTTTTTGGAGTGCTTCCCTTACTGCTGCTTTTTTCAACATGATCGTCGTAGTTGCGGATATTGGCCAGGCGCCGGTAAAAAGTTTCGGCGTCTTATCCAAGAAAAAAACTGTGTTAGTGTAGGTCTTTTAGGAAAACAGCATCACAAGTTTGTCTGCCATGACAGGAAAAACTTGTCATGCCCAGATAGAAAGGGAAAACACGTAGGAAGCGAGCCTATCATGCATGTGGAGCATGACAAGGGTAACTGTTTTGCATACTCTGCATCACAGACGTACACTTACACAGTTTTTTTTCTTTGATACGTCTTCTTCCTCCTCCTCAGGAATGTCGTCGCCCATCGCTGCGAGCTCCCGCTCCAGCTCGGCAGCGAAATCCATTGCGTCATCGAATTTGTCATGCTGCGCAGCCATAGCTCGTTCTTTCCCACGGTTATTTAGTTCATGTACAAGAGCAGAGGAGACAAAGATCTACACACAAAGAAGGCAGTTCATCAAGTGTAGTTGTCCGATTGAACACGAATACATTAGCCTGTGTAGAAGTTAAGTTCTCTCCCAGACTGCTCTCAGTATCGGTTCCTCGCTCACGAGCTCGAGAAAGAAAAACGCCACTTTGGTGAGCCGAATTTCACGCTCGTCGCCTCTACTGAAGTCGATAAAAAATTCTATAAAATCTGAATGAAAAATCTCTGCAGGTACACGATTACGATGGGGATGATTCGTTTGTTTGGCTGGAAAAAAATACTGCCCGCCGCCGCCACGACGGCGAGGCATGGTTATCGCACACGGGAGAGCTCAAGCATCTTCGCACACGCACACTGACAAAGCAAAGGCTCTGTGTGTCAGATGAGAAAAGCGACGGGAAACGCCAACATGTAGATTGCAGCAGCAGCAACAGGACCGCTCGACATCATCATCATGGAAATCCTACAATCAGGCGGACAAAATCAATTTACATATAGCCACCTACTTTATTCATCAATCTCTTTACGAGAATCGTACAATTTCGCTTCGTACAGGCAAAACAGGGTGCTGCAGCCGTGGAGGGGGCATCGCCCTATCGCCGCCCCCACGCACCATGCCCGTCCGGGCAGCGGCCTCCCGAGTGACTCGCCCAAAGCCGAATTTTGACGGCCGAATTCTTTTTGGTCGAAGGTCCATCGGCTGCACTGCATCAGAAACCATGACTCCGCGCTGGGCCTGATGAATTTCATTTTCATTGTTTTTTGTGCTTGGCATCATAGTGAATTGTATTTCTGTACAACTTATAATGCGAGCCTGCGCTTCTGCTTTATAGATGCAGCTGCAGCAAGCAGGACGATAAAAGAAAAACCACACAGGATGACAAATTATCACAACTCCTCTTCGCTATAATTCTAGTACCGCTGCTTGGCGGTCGGACATGTATCCCCGTCTGGTTTGTGGAAAGGAGTACGCTGGGCGGTTTATCAACTGTAAAAATGTCTGGGTCTGGAAGATTCTGACACTTGTCATGCACGTTTTGCATGAGCCCTGATGTCTGTGATGCATGCCCTAGCATCACAGATTTTTTGAGAGCTTCTTGATGCCTATTCCGCATGACAAATGCCCTCTCCGCGTAGCAAAAATTGCATTCCTTTTGGTACTCATGCAATACAGATTTTTCTGGACTCCAAATGCAGCATCACAAGTTGCATTCTTCCAGACCCAGACATTTTTACACTTGATACGGTTCTTCAACTTGCTATTCGCGGAAACGTACGGATCTTCTTTGAAAACATCCTCAGCGTCGAAATTTTCCATCCCAAATCCAAGTCCTCCCCCGTTATTATTTCCAAATCCATTCCGCGCCCCTCTCTTCCGCCATTTCCTGGTGATTTTCTCCCTTAACCCCGCGAGCTGACTGGATAGCCCTCCGATCGACACCTTTGCGCTGTTCCGGAACCTGCTCGACACTTCCGGATTCGGTAACACGTAGCAGCACGGCCCCGGGTTCGCCGCTCTGCTATCCTTTTGGAGGGACCCACCGGAGGGTCGGGGGTCGGCGTTGGAACTGCCTGCGGTGTCGAAAACCGCAAGCTTGGTACTGTTATACTTCAACTTCTCGGCAACGTGGTGCGCGTTACTCCACAGTTCCGTGAAAATCCAGGGATCAACTACCGTTTGCTCCAGCAACGTCGTATTTTTGTACCCATTCTGCACCAGCGACAGGTCCTGTTTCGGGAAAGTGTACCCCGCGGAACCCTGGAGATAGGCTGGAGACTGATGTTGCAATGCTGGTTTTAGGATTTTGGAGCAGTTATCATGCGTCCGACTTCTCCGAGCAGTGGACGACACAGCTATTAAACTGCAATTGTTCTGTCGTGCTTGTGGCGGGCTGGTTTTCGTTCGTATTGCCAGCGTGGTACTAGTATTCTGGCCGTCAGCACCGCCGGCGGCCCGGTGCCGCAACATGGGCGATTCGTGGTTCATGCGAGGAACGACTGCGGAAGCGGGTGCGGCTCCCGGACCAGCCTGCTGACTCGGTCCGCGTCCGCTCGACAGCGCGCGTTCTGCTTTTGCAAACGAAAACCCGCATTGCGACCCTTTTACAGAGTCGAACTGTTCGCCAAGAGCGGAGCCAGTTGTCATCGAAGCGGGTTGTACTTGTACGGGTAAGACTTCAAGTTCTACACATTCGAGATAGGTTTGCGGGAAAGCAAGTGAAAGTTAGGGCGTTTTCACTCATGAATAAAGATGTTGCTCATGATCTTTTGATCCTATCTTTTGCTTTTAGATCATCCCAAATATCAACGGTGGCGGAGCTCGGCTGTGGACGCTCAAAACCGGGGCCAATAAAAAAACACCCCTTGTTACCCTTCCCAGGTTTTGTTGGTGTGGCCCCCAAAAGATCACGGGGGATGAAAAAACCGGGATCCTTGCCCCCAAAGATCCCAATGTCAAGGGTAGGATCTGCACCACTCGTCCGAGAACAAAAGCGGTAAGTGTGACTTCCCGAAAAAACAGTTTACGCAACTGCCACAATTTTTATCCACCTGAAAACTTGCGGTCGAAACGGAAAATAAAAGGGTGCTCCATCTGGTTCTTTCAAACCTGTAGTTTCAAATTCCGGCTATTCCTATTTCACCAAAACACTTCAGGTAAAAAGGACTGAGTTTCTCTCTTGCTTTTTCCATAGACTTCAAATAAGATGATCTTGATTCTCGCGTGCCTAGGGCGTATCGTGCTGAGCCGTATCTATTTATTCATCAGGTAGTTCTGCGTCTGCTGATGAAAAAGTTATAAGTGAAACTGTCGGGACTACCACTTTCGAATGCACCGCTGCGGCTCGCTCTAGGGCACTTCGAAACGCAGAGTTCGTTGCATGACACACGTGTTTTACTAGCTGCCTGTTGAAACTTTTTACAAAAACAAAGTAATCGCCAGTTCTTTTGAAATTTCGTACCCTTGCTGTGCAACTACTTACCATCTGGGCACAAAGCAAAATAAGTAAATCGTGCTTTGGAGTAGAGTTAAAATAAAGTCTTTGTGAGTAGTTCTTTCGTCAAAATCTAAATTATTCCACCTTGGAAATAAGCCCCCCAAAACTACACACTTGCAAGCAACCTGTACGTGCGTTTTGCCACGCGGACACAGTACATCTCCAAAACAAGCAAAAGGCGCACGCAAGGTGCAGGCAAGCATTGATCATTTCGGTTCTGAACCAGCAAAGGTCCCTCCCAATAAGCCCTTCCCCACTGAAAGTTCAATCATTGCAGGTGCGCGATGCAAACTTGAAACAAGTTTTACAAACTTGAGTCCCAAGCTTAATATCCGCGGCCCGCGCAGTTCATTTTCCCAACAGAAATGATGACAAATATATAACGAGAGTTGTAATAGGTGGTGGTGGCTCATCACGGTTTTGGTCGTGCGTACCAAGGGTTGACGCTCGCCTTCGATGAAGTAGATAGAAGGACGGCTCTATCTCATCGGAAGGCGCAGTTCTTATTTGTCTACTTGTTGCAGGAGAAGCACTTCTACACATTTCTACTCCACCACTACTTACCAGCTCAAGTGGAGGTGATACATAATGAAACTAGTTCACGACCGGCCGTTGTTGTAGTTCGATTTGATGCATTCGCGAAGGCTCCACGTAGCCTCAGTAAAAACACAACTTCAAAAAATGTATCAGGTTCGTAGCAAACGAGGGAAAAAAAAACTTGATGTGCCCGTCTGGGTCTGCCCACGGATTTTTTCCTAGTAAACTCTATCCGCCTCTTTTAATACCGCAAGCGCCTCATAAAATAAGACTTTTACAAGAGATGAACTTAGCTTCTCTATTGAGAGATTAGGGCATTTTTTCCTGTTTGAAAGTGGTTCTACAAATTTCACTTATTACTTAAAATTCTTGGCCGTGTTTACGATCCAGTTCTGGTTCTGCGATTCTGCAGAGATTTCTATAGCAATGGATTTTCAAGCAGTGACTCCTTATGTCACTGTCCAAATTGACTACGTTGAAAATTTTTCAAAAACTCTTAAAACTCATCGCTGGCGCTCGCCCTCGCAGTGAAGAGAGCCCCCTTCACATGGCAAGAGCCTTACTAGATACTCCTCTCTAGAAACCAGCACGAGTTCCGGAAAATAGTACGAAAAATGCGGCTCCTTACTCAGCCTTGCAACCTTCAAATAAAGTTTATCTTCGGGCGAGAGTGGTTTATACTGCTGTTATTCTTCTTCATGATATACGATTCTTAAAAATTCTGCAACATGGATTACTTGAATTCATTCCTTGAAACGATAAGCTGCTCCTTTCCATCGGTTCTTGTAAAATTTCTCATAAGCATTTCCATTTTATAAATAATTGTTCTCGCTTTCGAGTGGACGACGTGGGCTCTTTGATATTCCGCAGTTTTTCGAAACTTTCGGCTCCTCGTGCTTATTGCTCTCATTCTTCTTGAAGTTTGCTATAATTCGTGGTTCCCGCAAAAATTGGCTCTGGTCGTCTGTTTATCTTACAGTCTCATAATCATGAATAGGTGTAAAACGACGTCCTGCTGGCGCTACTGCTGGATGGTACGGCTACGCTGCAAGCTATTTGCTTCTACCAGCCCTCACGGCCTGCAAGTTTGTTGAAATAAAGACTGCTTTCCAAGACATTGCGCTCACGCACGGCAACTGTTTCAAGCATACGGAAACTTCTAATGAATCGATAGTGCCAAGGCAGCGAGCTCGCAAAAAAAGCAGCTTCAGGAAAAAGTGCATGGATAGAGATCGTGACAAATCAAAAGTAACCCAAGCAAACCGGCAACAACCAGTTGAGAAAGCATCGCTTGGTTGCCCCCTCAGCACAAGCAATAGAAAACTTCGACATAAACGTAGTTCTACTTCTACCCGTATGGATTACAGATTCCGCCCCCAAAGCTACTTGTCGGGGAAGCGGAAATCGGCGGCAACCCGACTAATTCAACTCCGTCCGCCGCCCCGATGCAGGCGAGGTTTTGCTTCTCGAAGTAGCTGATGTGTGCGATGGGTTTGTTTGCGCCCGCGTCGTACTCCAGAACGTTACGCGCTCGCGTGTTCATGAGAGCGTTTTGCTGCTGCTGTGCCTGAGCTTGCGCTTGTGCCGCGACCGCTGCAGCATCCACTGCGCCGGCGGTATTTCCTGTAGTTCCTGTCATCCCCGGCTGGAGCACTGGTCCAGTACTTGACGTCCCGCCTGGATTTGTACTACTATTCAGGCTGAAACTATTCGGATCGACCAAAAATTGTGGCCGCACGTCAAACACCGACACCAGTCCGTCATTCGAGCCAACCAGCAGATGCGCCCGGTCCATCCAAGCAATCGAGTTCGCAGGTGTGTTGGGCATGTGGGTTAAGGCCATAGAGGGCTTCCGAATGTCCAGCACGATCACGCCAACGCCGTCCTGTTTTAATTATTATTGTACACAATTTTTATATCTCCACGCGGCTGCAGAAGATCTTGTCGTGCAATAAATGATATGCCGCAAATAATCCAACATACATGTACATTCGCAAGGAGAACAGAAAAAAAGAATTCTTCTCCCCGCAAACTCCTAAAACCCTACCTGAGCGACCACGGCTGCCATCAGGTTCGTGTCGAATTCGTTCCAGGCGAGCCGCAGCAACGGGGCGGAAGACTCGTAGATGATGGTGGAATGATCTAAATTTTTCTGATCAAACAACCGCACGGACCCGTCCGCGCCGACGGACGAGAATAAGTTATCAAGCGTCGGCGAGAAGGCAATGTCGTAGACCGCGCGGTCGTGGGCGATCAGTTGGGTTTCGATCTTCTGCTTTTCCAGGTTCCAGATCGTGCACGTCGTGTCCACGCTGGAAGTTCCCAATTTGTGCCGGTTTTGCTGTGATAGATTGCACTTGATGTTGATCTCCCGTTACATTATTTTGCTGGCGCGAAGATCATACCTGAAACAAAAGAACAAATCTTGATCTGTCACAAAACATAGTACAACTCAGCAGCCCGGTCAATATCTTTTTCTTTGGATTCTCTATAATACCGGGCACCAATGGAAGCTGGTCAGCGGCGGCAGTTCCAGTTGCGTCATTTGCGTCCTCGCCTGGTTCAGCACCGCCACCTCCTTCAACTGGCCCTGCTGTTCCTGGTCCCCCGGGTAGTACCGCCAAAGGCGGAGAGTCTGTCCCGTGCCGGCCAGGAGATCCTGTTCCCACATCAGCTTCGTGACCGGAAACGCCACATCCGCCTCCGCGACCTTGTGAAAGGAACCGGACTCCATGTTCTCCTCAATTACTTGCAGCTTGTTCTCCTCCCGCATCAAGTAGGAACCCATGGCAAACCTGAAGGAAGAGGTGGAACGCAGCAAAAGTTGTAGCCACGGAGTGATAAAGAAGAAGTCGCTCGTGATGATGTCGATGTGATCGAACACGGGCGGCAGAGGCCAGGGCGCGGCGCGTGGTACTTCTTCTTTTTACGTTCGGCTTTCGCAATAAACTGCACAAAAAATGATAAAGTTCTTGTGCACATTTACTGCGAGCGAACACAGTAGCAAAGCAACGCTACTCAGCGAGCATGGGCGGCGCGGCGCGGGCTGCAGACAGATTTTGCTGAATGATAGCACGATGTTGAGCCACTGAAAGATACCAAATTAATATCTTCCTGTAGATAGTACTGATTCTTTTTCTCTGTAACATGACCTCTTTCTTGATGACGTCAATTTTTTTACATGTGCTTTCCCCGTCGTTTGTTATGCGCCGTGGCGAACACGGGCAAGTCAGCGTCGTACGTCATTCGAATGATCGGCGGCCACTTATCCTGTGCAAAAGTACTATCACACTGCTACAGTATTTGCATGACAAGCCAATTTTCATTTTCTGAGTCAGCATTACGACTTTTATTCTTTCTTTGTAATGTTCGATGCTTTTGCATTGCATACTCCTCCCCAGGCGACAATTCTGCAAAGTCCTCCCATCTTCCCGTTGTGCTGCTGGGCGGCGTCCACCGGGATTGCTGCTGCGAGGGGTCACTGTGGGATGTTTTTTGTTGATAGATTCTGGCGCTGGTTGATCTGAAAAAAGTTGTAGACACCATAGATGGTACAACAAACTTGTACTTATCAGCAACTATAGCCAATCAAAGTCAAACCTGCAGGATACATAAGGATTCCTGACACGACATCATAGGAGTAGGACGACGCTATCAACATTTGTTTTTATAGTCGATGGACGCATGCACCCTATAAGAACCTCACCTGACGCCCCCCAGACTGTCCGCGGTGGGCAAATTTGTTCCGGTATGATCCCAGTGGTCTTTCTGGTTGTACCACCAGACTTGTTCATTTCCCGCTGTATTGTACCAGGACTGGTCATTGCTTCCGTAGTAATCCGGCCAGGACTGGTAGCTCATGGTGCCCCCATGGTGCTGGTGCTGCGGCGCGGCGCCGACATGCTGTTGGGTCGTCGCGGTGTTCATCTAGCTGGCACTTTGTCTACTTGTGAAACAAGTCGTCGCGGTGCAGCTCTCTCCACAGCTGCACGACCCCAGGGGGTAGTTCTCGTGATAAGTAAGTAAGTAAGTGCACCGGAAAAAGCGTCGCCGCGAACTGTGTGCTGGTGGCGTCTGTTGTATAATGCTTTTTGCCTCTTGCTTGCTCCTGTGTGTGCGCTTCCAAAACGAATTGATTCTGCCGGTGACACTGCCGTCAGAATAATTCGGCGGCCCAAATCTTCTACAGTGAAGTGCCGACCGTTGTTGTTATTTCGTATTTCCCCAGTCGGCAAAAGGTGACTCCCGAAAATATTTTCCAGCTTCTGCGTAGTTGCTTTGGGTACTAGTTGTAGTAGGACGTCGTTGTAGTAGTAGGACGTAGTAGTGGAACCACCAACCTGGTAGTTTGTAGCCGAAAATGGTGTTCCGCTTCGCTCTCGCAGAAATTATCCACTTCTCCGGAGCTTCTTCGATGAAAAAGCCGCTCCGGTTCTTCTTCTTCCCCGCAACAAGGAGGAAAGAAACACTGCTACGCGACTGCGCAGCCGGTGACGCCCGTGCGCGTCTCGTCCCCACGTAGAAAACAACCTAATTGCAGCACCGCGAGGATGTTGAAAGACGATCCAAAGAAAGTATGAACACGCAAGCAAACGATTTGAATGCACAGACGCACGCACAATAGGATTAGGAATAGGCACACACGACTCTGCATGAGACATACACTCATCGGATAGGCGGAAAAAACCGCACTCAGGAACAAGCTCATGTTCCTTCCCTCTACTTCGCTCCTCTGTTTTTCGTTTTCCCCCACCGCTCGAAGGATGTTGCTCACCACTTTTGTTCCACCCAAACTGACTCCAACTCCGTTCCCGAAAACCCTCTCGTGATGAAGATGGAACAAGAACGCATTCAATAAATCAACTTTCCGTGCCTCGTCAATTGCCGATGCGAAAAATACCTTCCGCGTCAAGGATATTGTGTGTTTCTTTGCCTGATCTCGTATAGTTCTTTGACTATTCGGTGTTCTCACAGAGATCAGAGATTTGGTTCCCCCTAACAGATAATTTATAATCTGGCGAGCGCGCGTCCTACGTAATCGGATTATGCAACTTTTGAAGCAGACACGTCAGCGATCGTATTCTCGCCGATATCGCAGATGCACGTTCGTCCTTCGCCTGATTGTTCTGAAGGCACTTTTACGGGCAATTGTGCGGCGGCGGGCCATGAGATTTTTTCCCGTCGTGGCCACCACCCCATTGCAAAATAGTAGATGACATAAACAGATGATTTTTCGATGTGTAAAGTTTTGCGTACTAAGGTAATTTTTCACATGACAATAAATATCGTCAAAACAACATACAGCTCTTTGCGCTAGCAGTGCATTGACTGTTTCTTCGAAATCATAAAAACGCAAAATTTCAACAATGTCGTAACCACTGCGATTTCTATGCTCCTGCGCGGGTTCTAGCAACTGCATTTCGTGTTGACGTCCCCAGAGGGCGTTGTACTTGCAGAATTTGTGGCCAGGTTCTTCAGATTCCCGGCATGGATGCCACTTACCATGGTATTCGGGTCTATTAGGCCGTCCTCGATTTTATTCAGAATCTGCTTTGCGACCTGTATTGATTTTTCAATTGTGATTTTCCTTCCGGATAGACTTCACTTCCGGCAACAAATTTCCTTTCGACAACTAAAATCATGAGCGTGAGTCTGACAATCTTCTACCTTTATGAAAACGTCCTCGACTCCCTCGCCGGTCAATGCACTTGTCTCGAGGAAAAGAATGTCATTTTCCTGTGCGCAGCGGCTGGCTTCGAGGTCTGGTAATTTTGATTTTGCGCCTCTTCATTGCAATTATGTGAACATGCAAGGAAAGTGTCAACATCATGCAGCTAAACTTTATACTACTAAGATGCAACAATAAGCTCAAGAACATAAAAGCAAAAATGTACAAGTGACAGCTCTCCTATCCTTCATGTCGCACTTGTTTCCCACTGCTATGATGCTGATGTCGGCGCGGGCAAGTGTTCGCGCATCCGCGAGCCAATTCATCAGGTGCTGATACGTCTCGCGATTCGTTATATCGTAGACCTTTCGCAGTTTCATATTTTGTCATTTTGATTTTGACTTTTTACAAATTCATGTTCTCTGCACCACAATTTTCTCTCCTACGCCAGCACGCAAAAGTAGCTTCAACACGACCCGTAAGAGTAGACACAAACAGTAGTACAATAAGCGCTCCTGCCGCTCCTCGGTAGTAACTTCTCGTGACACTGCGGTACCTCTCTTGCCCGGCGGTGTCCCATATTTGAAGTTTTATTGTCCGGTTGGCGACCTGGGGAGTTGATACTCATTAGCAGTGGCGGAGTGATACGCAAACGGGAATAAACAACTACTCGACAGTCCTAAATCATAACACAGTTGCTAGAGCGCGAAATAAAGACAGACAATTCTCCAGAATATAGAAAAACGGCAAGTATCTGTACCTGTATAATCTTGCTTCCGAACTCGACCCCGATTGTGTGGGAGGAAGACTTTTTGAATTTTCCTTCTATGAACTGATGCAGCAGACAACTTTTCCCAGCCCCGGCGTCGCCGATTACGATGAATTTAATATGGGAGTGTCAGGATCGAAATCGTCAAAGTCGAAATTATCTGTAATGCATAAAATGCTACACAAAAAGCGACTCTATTGCAGAGGATGCAAGGAAGGCGGATTATAGTCCTGGTAAGGGCCAAATGTTGGGCTGCTGACTAGCATGACAGAAGGCAGCTCCTTTGCCCTAAACCGCATGACAGATTCGCTTCCAGGACGGGGAAAATTTGTCATGCGCCGACTACAAACTGTGGGTCTAACTGGCTACGATTTTGCGCATCACAAATTTTTCGACTTTGTCAATTTCGATTCTGACACTTCCATATTTAAAGAGGTAATCATACTGGTCTTGCGGAAGCCGCCCGGACCCGGACATGTTAGTCGCCTGCGAAATTCAAATTTATTGGAATTGGAATGAAGCGTCGCCCCGAATCAGGTTAAAGATCTTGTGCATATTAATCGACTGGAATGATAATGAGTTTGAATTTCAATTTGGGTTGTAACAAGTAATAAGCAACAGTACAAAAATCCAATACCGAACTGCTTGCAGCGGGCATGTTTTGGGACAGAGTCATACGAGCATAAAGAATTTAGCAGACATTTTAACGAAACCGGAAAAAGAACGCAGACGGAGAACTTCTAAGGAACCAAAACATGCTGTACCTCAAAAACGAAAAACATGCTGTACCTCAAAACAAGTAGACAAGAATGCATGGGCAAAACGAAGTAAAAACCAGCTTCCAACGTAAGCAGAATAGCACTTCGGATCAGAAGCTGTACACAAGTACGCCAAGAGCAGCGGATTCTCAGAAACCAATCCTCATTTCGCTCGGGTCCCTGATTTTAGTTTTACCTTCCACAAAGCCGCAGTAATAACACGAACACGGCGGTGCTGTCGACCTCTGAGGCAAATTATGCAACAACCAGATTTTATCCACTTGCAGCGCGATTACGCTTCTGCACAAGGACAAGACCGCAACATGGTGGTTGCAACATAACTTTTGAATTTTCACGACCTGACGACGATAATTATTGTGACAGTGTAAATCAATCGGCTTTTCTTCAGAAACGAGTGGACACGGATCTTTCAAAACCGGCCGTCGCTGAACGACATGACCACGAGAATAGTGCACCAGTGCGTCAGCTCTAAAGAAACTATCAGAACTTCCGCTTTGGGTCGTCCAGGAAGCACGTTGACCAGGCACAGCATATAGTGTGATCAAGACTGAGTGTCGCTGTTGGTGTTTGTTGTCATTGTCTTTTCGTTTCCACCGCGCACTAGTCAGTGGGAACGAAATCAGCCTCGGCCTGCGGATAGGTAGGCGAAAGCTGATATAATACCCAAAGCGAATCAGTTCGTTGCTCACCTACCAATGCACTCGGTCCTCGTCCTGTTATACTTGTATACAAAACGGCGCTCCTAATACCCTAACTGATCCGAAGAGGCGTAAGCATCACCCTGTTTTTGAGGTGGCGCTTCGTTTTAATTTCCAACGTCCTCCCCTCAGCTCGCACTGCGCTCTCTTCGCCGTTGCAACTCCTTGAGCTTCTCCAGAATCTCCTGAAGTATACAGGCTTCGGGTGTGGAATCGCTATTCGGCTCAGATTTCGGACCTTGCCACTCCAATCCGAATTGGACGGCGCGAATGAGGTCATCTAAGCTCACGTTGCAGTTGGGCAGCAGCTCCAGAAAGCGGTCCTTGATCGCAGATGCCGCGGGGAGGAACTCGCACGACGTTATTGTATACGCAGCTGCGTTCACGAGCACCTTGCCCCAAGCACTGTCCTGCGCTGGAAACTGATTGAGACTCATCTGCTTTGCCAAAAACGCGCCCAGCTCTGCAAAAGAACGCCACTTCAACACACTTGTTCCGCTCCGCGGATGGTCCAGAAGATCTGAGTGAAGTATGTAAAATGAGAGCATGGTCTTCCCGTCGCCGGCCCGCCAGTCGTAAAGCTCTTCAGGCCAATCCAGCTCCTGCAACAAGAACAGCAAAGCTCGAGGAAGGCTGGGCCTGTTCCGCCAAGCACGGCGCAGAAACAAACGCGGCAAAGGGACGACGCCAAAACTCTCCCGGTCCAATACTAAACTGAGACTGAGTTCATGTGCGTCTTCGTGCGACGTACACCGAACCCGCATCAATGCTGACACCAGCTCTGCGGCGTTGTAATTTTCTGCGGATTTCGTAACCTCGAGAAGCATTTCAGTCAGACGAACTTGAGCATCCTGGTCCTTTTCCACATCCCGAATCCTTAGGACCCCACGGACGTAGGCGACCGCAAAGCGATCCCACCTCTCAACAGTATTCCCCTTTATGGCCTGGCAGTACTGCTCCGCAGCGCGAACGACTGCTTGACTACTGACGCCGCAAAACTGGCATCTTGTCTCGATTATGCGGCCCAGTACCTCTAGGCACCTGCACGCCGCCGCTTCCTCTGCGCCGTCAAGTGGCCTAGAAATATACGTCGCAAAGTCAAAGCTTTCGCGATTGTCATACGCGGAAAAGCTCCTCGGGGTCTGTGCAAAATCGGGCACCTCTTTCCGACACATTTCCCGCAGCAGGTCCTTCATATCTTTAGGCCGCGCAAAATACTGTAGCGCAAATTCACTGGAATCATCTTCCTTCGCCCTGCGTGGGTTACCACCGGAGTCGGCCGCAGCAACACTACCGTCTGTATCGTTTTCGTTTTCTTCCTCTGCCTGTCCCTCTCCCCCTTTTTGCGCCTCCTCCCGCCAATTAGATGCGGGCGACAGAAAATCTGCCCCCTCGCATGGAACTAGGAACAGAAATTTGTAGGTCGCAGGCTCTTCTACAAGAAGACCGCCTTTGGTGGACTTGTTCTGGAGAAAAGACTCCAAGTTCTTGACAGTCACGACGGTGTCGGGAATTCCCACGACCGCGGCGGCCTCGCCGGCCATGTTGATGAGTTTTAACTGCGACACCATATTACTGGTTGAAAATGTGAGTCTGCTATTTACTTGCTATGTGGAACCAAATGAAGCGAAAATCACTTCTAGAAAGTCAAGCAATGTTTTGATCTAGCGCGTTTCGGAAGTCAACAACCTATACCTAGTCATGAAGACTCGTAACTCGATTCTCCTGCTGAAGATAAAGTCTGGATCTGGAAGCAAAAAAAAGGAAGAGAGGGCTTTGCCGTCGGAATGTTCCAGCCAACACCGGAAAAGAAGTTTCACTTTGATCTTAGGATGTGAATCAACAGCAAAGTGCCGAATTGTACTTCATTCCCAACACAGGCTACAATCTTGCTGGTGCATTACAACTCATATGATCAGCCATAGGCAGCTGCGCACAGCCCGTTAGAGTACAGCAGCGGTCACGCCTGCTTGGACACCTGTGGCAGACCATGAAACAAGAAGGTCTGCTGACTTTCTTCAGTATGCGGAAGTAGAACGTTTCAGAAACCGGCCCGCAAAAAAAACAATTAAGCTTCTTTGGCACTTATGAAAACATAAACAAATCGGCCATGTACATTTTATCTGTCTTTCAGTCGTATCTATCCTCCCCTCGTTCATGAAATGAAAGCCTACAAATCCTCGTCGCGACTCGCGAGAAGACCCGCAGCCCCGGACAACCTCCAGCACAGTGCCTGGTGCTCCGACATGAGCTTCCCGTCCTGCGAGTCGTCCTCTCCCTCCGCGTCACTGCCCTGGTGCTCCTGCTCGAATTTCTCGAACGCCTGGATGGCCTCCTCCACCATCGCGCGCGCTTTGACGGCAGCGTCGCCCGTCCAGTCCCCGGTCTCCAGTTCGTCCTCGAGGCTCCAAATCATCTCGCTGACGTCCAAAGGCGTGAAGTCGCAGCCCGGCTGCTGCAGTTCGCCGACCAATCGGTCCTTGATCGCTTTCACGACGGGTAGGAACGCGCGCAACTTTGCCGCCAAAGCGGCGGCGACGCCCAAGGCTACGCGCCCGTCCTGGTTGTCCAAACAGAGTTGGTGCACAGTCATTTTCTTGGCCAAAAACACGCACAGGTCCGGCTCCGACTGCCACCCTTGGCTTTTCCGAACCTCCCGTCGGGGTCGGTCTAATAAGGTCAGCAGCATGTTGTTCTTTTTGACGTTGTACCAACCAAAAAACTCCTCTGGCCAATCGAACGCCTGCAACAAGACCTTCATGGCACGGGGGACACTCTCCTCCGAGGTAATTTGGCGCGAGAAGGGCAAAAGGAAAAACGGCACGGGTGCCAAGGCCATATCGTCCGCATTCGCCTTCAAATGCAGTTCCAAACACTCGGGCAGCGAGCACGGAATGTTTAGCAGCGGTGTCACGGGATCCTTGCTCCAGTCGTCATGCGCTTTGATCAGCCGGATGAGCATTTCTACCAGTTGTACTTGCGCACTCTCGCTGTTTTTTGCGTCCACGCTCCTGACAACTACTAGGACGAAGAGGTATGAGAAATGCCCCCGTACCAGCGAGTGTTCGAGCGCGTGTTCGCCTACGACCCGGCAGTGCTCCTCGGCCGTCCGAAGTAGCGCCTCCACCGGCTTCCGGCACGACTCCTTCGCAAACAGCGGCCTCGGTTGCTTCACAAAAAACGTCTTCAGGAAACTCAGCAGATCGAGACACTTGCACAGGGTCGCCTCCACCGCGGTATCCTTTTCCAAAGGCTCCAAGATGTATTCCGCAAAATCCCGGTCCACATGCTTGGACAGCAAATCGGTCAGCTCCGTGTGCCTCGCCAGCTCTTCCTTGCTCGTGGCCGCGCGGCGATGCGCCTCGACCACGTCCCTTAGCACGTCCTTGAAGTTTTTTGGCTTGGCCACGTACTGGAGCACAGAATCAGTCGTCGCAGAAGTAGTTATATTATCCCCCTCGCTTGCTGCCGTTTCTGTGGACGCAGTTGTACTAATTTCGACATCTGCGCCGTCTTCCTCGTCCTTCACAATGTTGGCACTACTACTACCACCCCACCGCCGCGCCTCCTCCCGCCAGTTGCCCCCGGGCGGTAAGAAATCCGCCCCGTCACTCGGCACGAGGAAAAAGAATCGATACGTCCCCGGGTCTATGAATTGCAAATATGTCTGAATCTGGAAGGATGTAACTTGTATTGTATGTAATGCTGCATTTGGATTCTGAAAAAATCTGTATTGCAGGAACAGCAAAAGAGGTGCGCTTTTTGCTACACGGAGGGGGCATTTCTCATGCAGTATGGGCATCAGAAAGCCGTCACAATAGCTGTGATGCTAGAGCATGCATCACAGACATCGCCGGGCCCGGGGATCGGGATGCAAAATGTGCATGACAAACTTCCAGACCCAGACATATTTGCAGTTGATAGGGTCCTCGATGAGAAAGCCGCTCTGGCTGGCCTGCAGAGCCGCCTCCAAGTCCGCCACGGACTCCACAATGTCCGGGATATGCATGACCGCGGCGTCATCCCCGGCCATGTTGAGAAGTCTTAACTGGGAGGTCATCCTGTCTGCGAGAGAGTAACAGTAAGATACTTACTTAGCCAGAGGCAAAGCGCGATAAAATGAAAACTCAATACCAAACTACTACAACCAAAAAACGGGTCCGGAAATTCAACAGCCTATAGTCGACAACGCCGGATTTCCCTGCGGCCTTATTGTGAAAAATGAGCCGGCGATCAATAACCACAATAGGTGACCGTGCGAGAGAGGAAAGAACCCTTCTCCCACGACAAAGGATCTCTGTCGCCATCTGGTGCGAGAGTCAGTTTGGAACCTACAACGCACCCAGTCTGGAACCCAAAACGAGGCCAGTTTGGATCGCAGTCAACGTCGAACAGATGCGAACCTCACACGCCCATCCATATTCGAGCATCAAAAGTGGGCTAGTGGAATGTTGCATTGCACTAACAGACGCGTCAACTACACGAATATCTAGACTCGAAAACCCTAGAGCGCCGCTCCTGGAGTGATTTTCGTTTATCGTCCTCACGAAACCTTGCAAGCGCAGCACGAGGGGGTGGAAGCTGATTTTATACCGAAAGCGATTTAGTTCTTTGCTCAGCTAGCAATGCACTCGGTCCTGTAGTTATACTTGTATGGTGCAAAACGGCATTCCTAACACCCGACCGAATCAGGAGAGGCGTAAGCATCACCCTGTTTTTAAGGTGGCGCTTCGCTTCAAATTCCAACGTTTTCCCCTCAGCTCGCACTGCGCTCTCTTCGCCGTTGCAACTCCGTGAGCTTCTCCAGAATCTCCTGAAGTATGCGGCAGGCTTCGGGTATGGAATCGCTATTCGGCTCAGATGTCGGAACGTCTGACTCCAATCCGCGTTGGACGGTGCGAATGAGGTAATCTAAGTTTATGTCGCAGTCGGGCAGCAACTCCAGAAATCGGTCCTTGATCGCTACCACCGCGGGGAGGAACTCGCGCGACTTTGTTGCATACACAGCTGCTTTCACGAGCCCCTTGCCCCAAGCACTGTCCTGCGCTGGAAACTGATTGAGACTCATCTGCTTTGCCAAAAAGGCGCCCAGCTCTGCAAAAGAACGCCACTTCAACACACTTGTTGCGCTCCGCGTTTGGTCCAGAAGATCTGAGTGAAGCATGCAAAATGAGAGCATGGTTGCCCCGTGGCCGGACCGCCAGTCGTAAAGTTCTTCCGGCCAGTCCAGCTCCTGCAACAAGAACAGCAAAGCACGAGGAAGGCTGGTCCTTTTCCGCCAAGCACGGCGCAGAAACAAATGCGGCAAAGGGGACGGGACGACGTCCCCCTGGTACAAACAGTGGTCTTCCGCGTCTTCAACCGTACACCGGACCCGCATCAATGTTGACACCAGCTCGGCGGCATTGTAGTTTTCTGCGAAATTCATGAGCTCGAGAAGCATTTCCGTCAGCTTTACTTGAGCATCCTGGTCCCCTTCCACATCGCGAATCCTTAGGACCCCACGGACGTAGGCCACCGCAAAACGATCCCAGCTCTCAACAGTATTGGCTTTTATGGACTGGCAGTATTGCGCCGCAGCGCGAACGACTGCTTGACTACTAACGTCGCACAAGTGGCCTATTCCCTCGATTGTAAGGCCAAGCACCTCTAGGCACGTGCACGCCGCCGCTTCCTCCGCGCCGTCAAGCGGCCTAGCAATATATATATACGCCGGCAAGTCAAAGCTTTCATAATCGTCATACGCGGAAATAAAATTTGGACGCAACTTTACAGAGTGCACAATGTGGTCGGACCCTTCCTTCCGACACATTTCCCGCAGCAGGTCCTTCAGATCTTTAGGCCGCGCAAAATACTGTAGCGCAAATTCACTGGAATCATCTTCCTTCGTCCTGCGTGTGTTACCACCGGAGTCGGCCGCAGCAACACTACCGTCTGAATCGTGTTCGTTTTCTTCCTCTGCCTGCCCCTCTCCCCCCTTTTGCGCCTCCTCCCGCCAATTAGATGCGGGCGACAGAAAATCTGCCCCCTCGCATGGAACAAGGAACAGAAACTTGTAGGACGCAGGCTCGTCAACAAGAAGACCGCTTCTGGTGGGCTTCTGGAGGAAAGCCTCCAAATCCTTCACAGTCGCGACGAATCCGGGAATTTCCACGACCGCAGCGTCGTCGCCGGCAATGTTGATGAGTTTTAACTGCGACGCCATACTGTTTGAAAATGTAAAAAACCTGTACCGAAAGAAAGCAACACCCACACGAAAATCAGTGACTACAGAAGCATTCCCTCTAACTGCGCTGTTAGAGAGTCACACAGCTAAGCACGTAGTGACCTCAAGCCCTCTCGTTTGTCCTGCTAAAGACCGGATCCAGATCCTTCTAAGCGTTCGGGAAAGAAAAGAAAAAGCGTTCAACGCTGCTAGGATCTTCTTCAGGCCACCACAGTAACGGAAGTTTCATAGAACTTTGTCGTCCGCTAAGGACTAGACGTGCAAACTATGAGCGCACTGATGCCGAACTTCTCAGGCCAGAACCTCACGTCCTGGTTCGCATTTCTCTGTATTCGAATGATCAGCGCATCATTTTTCCGTCGGTTCTGTATACAGAGAATCTAGCATTGATGTCGGGGTTAACATAACGACACCGGAAATCTATCGTCGTCTAGTGCAGCGAGGCCAGTTGGGAACGTAGAATGATAGCAGTAGGGACCGAGAACAAGGCCAGCTTGGATCCTAGTCAATGTCGAACAGATGCGAACCTCACACGGCTATCGATGCTGGAGCACCAAAAGTGGGAAAGAGTGTTGCACTGCACCCACAGACTGCATTGCGCGCGCAGTAGACGCGTCAACTACACAAATAAATTCGAAAACCCTAGAGCGCCGCTCCTGGAGTGATTTTCATTTATTGTCCTCACGAAGCCTGCTCGCGAGCGCAGCCAGAGTGCCTGGCAGTTGTCCTGAGGAATTTCTCCCCTGACCTTGTTCACGACCGCCAGAGTATACAACTTCAAACCCAAAGAACTCTCCGCCGATGGAAACGCAGTGCCTGGTATCATCTTCCCAAGTGAAGTCCTCAGCCGCAAAAAAAAAGCTACCAAATGCGGGCCCATCCCCCAACTTCCTCGCCCCGTCGGAACCGCACTGCCCGTGTTGGGAGAATTCGTTGCTGGTGCCGTTATATTCCGTACAAGAGCCTAGCTGCGCTCCGCCAATCCCTCCTCGCTACTGCGCTTTCTTCATCCGGTCAAACGCCGTCGTGCTGTGGACCACCTCGTCGTCCTCAAATAGCGCTTTTATCGTCTGTTTGAGCAGAAAGCCGAACACCACCAGTACCACCGCCAGAGCGAACGCCACCAGAAACATCGCGATCGTGAAGCTGACCACCGGGAAGCCCGGCTTCGGGCCTTGCTTTCTCTTCTTCTTCGGAAACCCGCTGTCCATCTTCATATTTGCCATTAAATCCAACTCCCCGTCGTCGTACGAGTAGTACTGCGCCAACTCCTGATAAACGCCGCAAATTCTCAGAACCTCCCGCAAATGAAACCAGATCGTGCTAAGCCGGTTCCGGTCCTGCTTCATCACGAACGGCCACCTCTTGTCGAGGAAGTCGAACAGATCGGCGGACCGGTTGGACCCCTTTTCCTGCACGGGGAGGGCGGAGACCAGTTGGTCAAGGGTGAAAAGATCCTTGTCCTCGTACCAGCTATTGAAATTATCCGTTATCAACCACAGCCGGGGCAGGTCGGCCTCAAAAATGTTCATCGGGGCCAGGCTCTTCGCGAACTCGTTGCCGTTCAAAACCCCCAGGAGAACCCCGCTCTCCCGGAAAACTTCGCCGAGGCGCCGGCTGTGAGAGAGGTTTACAACAGAGTACTTAATCTATGAAAATCTCTTCTCCGGGACTGCTCGTATCTATTGGAAATCAATGATGTTTGTTAGTTCATGCTTAACTCAAATTTCTTCGAACAGCCCGACCCAAACAAGTTAGAGTCGGTATTCCATCATCAAACATTGTAACCAAATCACTCAGTACGCGGCCACAATGGTTCGCTCGTCCTCGAACTTAGCCTCCGGGAGTACATACAGCAAAACCGGTCGCCCGGCGCGGACGAATTGCGCGAAAAACTCGTTTGTGACGTTCCACACGCCCGGGTATTTATTCACCGCCACCCAGTCCTGCAGCGGTACATTGTCTGGTTTCCGAGAACTAATCGCGTCCGAGTACATGCCGCGCATCCGGTACACGTTTTTGTATAAATTTTGCATGCCCGCCATGCTGTAAAACCCGGGTTCCGGCATCCAACGGTTCTTTTCATTCTGAGCCACCCGCGCGAACTGGTGGCGGTCGCGCAGATCCCGCGCCACGCGCTCGAACTGCAGGGGAACCGGCTTCGGGCCCACGTACACAAACCAGCTCTCGTGCTCCGTGGTGGAGTCCACGCCGCCCGTGGGATTTTTGCCGTGGTAGTCGAAGAGGTCGTTCTCGCTCTTCAAATCCCGAACGAGCGGCCGCCGCGTCATCCGGTCGGCGAACGCACGGAACGCCTCGGCGGTGCGCGGCCCGCTGTAGGGCCGCCAATTGATCGTCGTGGTGGTCGTCGCGTTTGAGGTTGTGTTGCTGGCGCCAGCAGCTCCCTGCATCTCGATCTCATCCCGGTAGTAGATCGCGGGGTAGCCCTGCACCTGAAACAGCCGCGGCAGCGTCTTGTCGTCCGTGCAGTCTGCGTGAAGAAACGTGACTTCTTCCAATTTGTCCTGCTGCGTATTTTTACTCCCATTTCGCGCCGGCGGAAGCTCTGCCGCCTTTTGGAAGTGGGGAAAGGTTCGCTTGCAGATACCGCACCAGTTTACGTGCAGCATCAGGAAGTACGGCTGGTCGGCCTTGACAACGGCATCGAGGCCTTCTGCGGTCACCTCCAGCAACTTGTGTGCGGGGCTGTCTACTGGGAGGTCGGAAGCTGCGCCAGCACGCGATCCCACCGCGATAATGCAGGCGAGGAAAAGAACGGTGCGGGAAGCGACGAATGAAAATGAATACGCCGCCATTTTTTTCTCTGGTGCAAGTTGTAGGCCACGAATTTTGCCAATGCTCCGTCCCAATGAATGATCGTGGCTCCTGCTAACCGTAACCAGAACTTAGAGTTGGATCTTTTCTGTCACGCAGCGCAAAAAAAATTCTGCGCTCTGGTGGTTAAAAAAACTTTAAATTTCTTTTTCGGACCGCAGCGATCAAGCGGACTATGGAAACGTGAACAACAAGTCCGGATTGCGCCTTTCCCAGGCGGGGCGGGTTTGCTCATAAAGATGAACCGGCAGTGATTCCATATGCGTCTACTTCACGGCAAACATACAAACAAACAACGCTGCTACGTCGACTTCGCTGCGTGGTCCCTTGGCTCTCACATGTGGCAAAATGGGAAACGTTTTATGTGGCAGTTGCAGTCGTGCAAAGGACTACAAAAAAGCATTTTCCGTGGGTGTAACCAAAAAAATGGATGTATCTCAGGATGCAAATATCTCCTCTACATGTACAGCAGCGACTACGTATTAAGTGGCTTCAGTAGTTTCATTTTGTGCTGCAGAAAAGAACGAGCTTCGACATCTACCTACCATACCACCATAGCAAGGAGGGCAGTCCGCTACTTTTGAAAGTGTAAACAAAAACTAAGAACATACCTGACATAAAGATAAAAGGCATCACAGTCCAGCTGATCATTAATTATGCAACAAGAACGAACAACAGCGGCATAGATATCATATCGAACAGTTTTTCAATAATCGATGCCCTTTAGTACTACGGTACACCGTACATGCTCAACTTCAACCCCCTCTTGCTTCAAAAAGCTGCTCTCGGACTGAGATGCGCGGGCCGCATCACCTCGGAAATGCAGCTTCGAATGGCTTTATTGCGCCGCTCAACGTCTTTGTAACGTTCCACGACAACGTCCTGCGCGACCCGGCAACCGCGAAGTCTCGCCTGCAAGTCAATGTTCTCCTTCTGTGCCTGTGCCAGCAGAGCTCGAGTCCTGCATAGAAGGTTGACGTAAAAATTCACATTCAAATGATAAGTTAGTGGCTCGTTTGTTTCAAACAATGAGCATGCCACAAGGAACGAAGGTCCTTGTCTCCTTCTAAAAAGCAGTGGAGTAGCAAGAATACTTGTGTATCTCGCTTGTCAGCGCTCGCATGGCTGCAATTTCGCTTTTCAGCGTCCGGTCCACCGCATCGTAGTCAGTTCGAAGCTGCGAAACTTCTGCGCCTAGCGCCCCATTGTGTCTCTGGAGCCCCAGCAATGTGTTCTCCAGAACCTGAAAAGAGAAGCAGAGAAGACTGATCGAGAACCGCCTCATGTTCCAAAGTCGCCAAGGGAAAAAAATCGCAAAAAACGCCGGGAGTTTTAACATCGCAAAACCAAACCACGGCAAACCTTAACGTCGCTGGACTTGTCGCCAAACCTCGCGTTCACCTGCTTGCTCTGTATTGTGTCGGCCTGCGTTTCATGCATTGCAAATATGTCTGGATCTAGATCTGACGAGTTGTCAGCGATGCTATGCATGAGTGACAATTATCTGTATCTGACCGCAGTAAACGCATAACAAATTTATTCTGAATCTGATCGCGTTCTTGCATAACGACGTGGCAGCCAGTGCCATTCCAGAGTTCAGGGATATCCCTACCCAAGTCTGGCAATTTTCCAGACCCCGATGTATTTGCATTTGATACGTTTTGATTCGTATGTTCTCGCCCTTTCGCGACAGAATGCCCTCCTTCCGCCGCAGCTCGGCCACGTGCTTGGCGAGCCTCTCTTTCCGCTTTTTCGTCAAACTCAATTGGGCCGTCACTGTGATATTAGGTTTTGCAGTGGAAAAGGGCCCTGACTTTGGCAAGTGGGTTTATTCTCGATTTTTCGTCTTTTCAGGAACGAAGAGGATAAAGATTAACAACAACAAGCATCGTCGTCTAAAACGAAGTCCTCCCAATAAAGTACTTTCTTTCGCGTACTGCACCACATTGTTTTGGTCCAACTTCGTCTCGTCGCGCGTGAGGAACAGCGAAAATTCTTCCTTCCCCCGTGCCGTGTGCAGGGGCGACCGCGGCGGGCTGCTGCTCGTTTTCGATCGGGACTGACGCGAGGAGTCATGGTGGGCAGGCCACTAGCCCCCGGACGGTGTTTGGGATATGTTTTAAAAATTGCGAAATTTATTGCACCAAAAAAAAAACGATCGGGGCCCAGAATGTGGGCGGACGGTTCACTACCCCTTTCGGGGTCGCGGCTTGCATCGTCCGCGCTTTGCAGGTAAGATCGGACGCCCGCCCGATTTTCCCTTGCGTATAATTTTTCGCCCTGGGTTGGAGCGCTCTGTTCCGCTGTGCAAATCGGTGACACTTCAACTGCGACACAGAAGCTGGCAAACGGGCCAGTAAGTAATTACCGAGACGGCGCGAGAACTCAGCAGATGGCACAGCATCAACTTATTCAGACCCCAGGGCCCCGGTGCACACTGACATCGGCGCAGCAGAGTTGCTTTTCACATATTTTTCCGAGAACATGCTGCAGAAAGTACCCGAAGAATGTCATTTCTATTTAGAAACGGGATCACTTGGGTACATTATCTGGGTACATTATTTTGGTACATTATTTCGGCGCATTATTTGGGCACATTTTTTCGGCACATTTTTCCGGCACATTTTTTCGCTGCTTCTTGATTTTGGCGCAAGCGCGGGCACGTGGCAAGGCGATCGCGCGCTTTTTATTATGATACGGCCAACGAGGCCGCCACACTGTACGTAGCACACAGAAACTGCGCTGCCGAGGGATTGGGCGCGCTGGGGAGCGGCGCCTGGTCTCCAACCGAACAAACACAGGAATCTCCGCTGCGGAGGTGCAGGCGCCGTTATCCGCGTCCTGTTGTCGAAAGCGCTCCACTTCGTCCAGTTTCCGGCAGCAGACGCAATTTTTTAAATTTTAAAAAAAAAAGTAATGCAAAGTTGCAATTTTCTACGGACATCTCGGGACCGTCCGGGGGCTAGTGGCTTGCCCGTCCTGACGAGGAGGTGGGGTGGAGCACACTGCGAGGCGAAGGCAATAGGGTTGCGCTAATCCGCGAGGGCGGACGAAAGGTCGGGGAGGTTGGCATGTCTTTTTTATTGAGGGCGAGTGTTTAAAACCTAAAAAAATGATAAAACCGCACTGGTGTTGACCCGGATCCTATCATCCACGCCCTTTTTACCTTGCAGGTGTGCAACATCAGAAACAAAACCTTCTCTCTTTCGCTCCTCGGTTAACGAGTCTGTTGCAGCGGACCAACGAAAAGTCCCTCGACTCCTTGCAACTCGAAGAACCTTGCGTCCTCCACACATCGTGAGAAAAAACCTGCACACCTTTTCGCTCCGACTGTGATATCACGGCCCCGGCCGAGATTAACCACCCCATTACTTACAGATCCAAACATCCAACGTAACCGGAAGAACAAAAAGCGCGCACGAAAAACAAAGATTTGTGTATACAAGCGCTCTATCGAGAAAACGCTGTTCGCATTCTCCTGCTGTCGTTCTGCTTGCAGAGGACTTTCCCTTTCCATCCTCTTCAATAAAATCGCCGAAAGGTGCAGCTGCATTCCCTTCCGAAAATTTCTTCAAAAAGGCATTCAAAGCGGCTGGATCGTTGATCTGCGGATATCGTTTGTTCACTCCCGCCTCTTCACGATTTGGCTCTTCTTGGAGAATATTTCCACGACTGGAATTCTGTGCCCGCAACGAAGCAGACGCGCCAGTTCTTCCATTTCCAAAAAACTCCTCTTCCCCAAAACCTCGCTCCTCCTTCTTCTCACTCTCCTGCGCACCACCTTTCTTTGGATCGTACCTCCACGCATGCCGCACTAGCACCGCGAGCAACGTCCAAAAGAGAATGGCCACGCGCGGGTAGTTATGCATTGCAAATATGTCTGGGTCTGCAAGGTTGGAACTTGCAATGCTGGCTCTCCATATCTAGGACATCTGTATCCCATACCCAACAAAAGTCGCAGCCTCTTTTGTATATGCAAACACGCAGCTTCTCATGCGGATTGCCTATGAGAAAGCGTTCTCGAAAGTGGTCATGCTAGACTGCATTCAGATCTGTTTTCATCGTCCACATCTTAGCGTCACAAGTTTCCAGACCCAGACATATTTGCATTTGATAGTAATTCCCGAAGTGCGTCCACCAAGAGACGTAACCTGGCGGTTTCCGGCTGACGTTCCGCGCAATGTTGCTACCCCCATCTCCAAGGACGCAGTGGCGGAAAACAGTGTCTCGGAGGACCGCAATGGGAAACTGGAGGAGCAGGGACCTGGCGGATGTCTTCACGTGCGCACCAAGGAAGGGTGGCACTTTCCGGTCGTAGAGAAGCTGCACTTCAACTTTCGATAATGCTGAAACAGGCTTTGATATTTCTCTTTGCTGACTTGTGCTGGACCAAGCCGCATCTTTTGGTCGTCCTTCATTTTCTTCGCTGTTGTACAACAAATCGGAAGTCGCAAGAGAAAAGAGCGGGATTGTTTCGCGTGAAATCAAACACAAGGCGAAGATCTCACCGGTGTTAGTAGCCGCAACAACGACGCGCCGGTTCGTCGGCAAGTGCACCATGGAAGTTATTGAGTATCCCGGGATAGTCGCCGGGAAAAGCAGCTTGCTCCGTCTGTCGCCGGTGTTCCTCCTCGAAAAGCTGGCGTGGAGCTGTGCTTGCTGTGGCGCAAACGTGAATTGCTCCACGACCGCGCAAGTACGGTCTTGGAACATGTTCCTTCGCGCCGTTGTTCCAACGGTCTGGTGGTCGTCCGGCGAGGACACCTTTTCCCGCAATCTCAGCACTGCAATCCGCGTGGTATTCTCGAACCCGACGAAGACACGAGTGCCGTCGGAGTGGGCGGCGACGGTGCTGATCGCACCGGCCGGCAAATTGCACGGCTTCGCCTGCCACTCCGTCGCGAAGGAACCGTAGAGGCCGACCTGGTGCTTGGTGTAAAAAATTGCGTTGCTACCGGGCGGGGTCTCGATTTTGAAAACAGATTCGGGAAACAAGCGAACGTCTTGCACAATCGCGCCGTCGCGACGGTTCTGGATTCGAAGGGCGCCAGGGACGAACTGTGAAGTGTTTCTCGCAGGACTGATTGCTGCTCGAAGTCCGGTGAATAGAAAACGGCTGTCCTGACTGAATCTGATCTCCTGTGTAGACTCTGCATTGATGGTGTTCTGCAGAAATCCTACCTCGTTACCGTTTGTACAGTTGCTCCTACTTTCAAGTTGTACCAAAGCGCCACCTGCGTCGAAGCTGCTACTGCACTTTTCTAGGCCGACGGCCCCGCCGCTTTGATTTTCCTTTTCCAATTGCAGCAAGTAATCCGTCAGATTGAGTCGGCGGCCCAGTCTACTACGATGGCTTCTTCTCGGGGGGACAGAGGGAGCGAAATGTGGTTCACTTCCTGAGCTCGATATCGCATGCTTTATTCCGAACAAATCTTTTTTCGTGGGGACAATCTGAGCCGTTCCAAACCGCACGACAAGCTGTTCGACTGGGAGTTTGACACTTACCAAGACAGGGACGATAACGATACTGCCGTCTACAGTTTCATACGCCAGCAACTTGTCCTCGTTCTGCGAACCTGTAACGTCGAACGGCCCAGCGGGCCAGAGGCGCCGCGGCAGAGGCTCGGCTACTGGCAAGGCAGTTTCAACATCATCTGCAGGTAGTATTTCCGCCTGTATGATCCGGAGTTCGTCCGCTGTTATGCCAAGTTCGTCTTTGTTAAAAGAATTCTCACAAGAACCAGCAGGAGCACTGCGATCCTCACTTGAACATGTGGCGTTTGAAGTGAAAACCTGTCGCGATGACCTGCTAGTACGAGCATCCTCTTCTTGTTCTTTTGGTGGTAAAGCAAGCCTCGTTCCATCCCACGAACCGAGAACTCTTCCGTTGTCTGGGTTCAAGACGTGAAAACTGTTTCTTTCCTTCCCAACCACTACGACCGACGGCACGCGCGCAGCACTTCTGCGAAGGACGAGAAGTCTCGCGGACTTTTCCAGCACGATGGTCTCTTTCACGGTCGCGGACAGAAAAATCTCCTTTTGCTCAGTGGTTGTACTATTCCCAGATTGCGTTGAGGAACAATTCCGTGAATTCATCAGACCTGCACTGGATGTTGCGCTTTCTGCTTTCATTCGTTCCAGAATCTGCAGCGCCGTTTTGTGGTTCCAAATTGCCGTGCTCAGTGCGTCTTCGCTGCTGGCACAGATTCCGAAGACCGGCAGCAGAAAGAGGAAAAGAGAAACCGACAGAGGCTGCATGTTGACTACTGCTGTCATCAAGTACTGAGCGAGGGTTCTTGATTTTGCTTGCTCAGATCGATTCATCTCGTGAAGAAGTTATCAGATCGACCGGACGGCGATGCACCCAGTTCGGATGTCCGGTGGCTGGCTCTACTCAACTACAAATTGCGAACACTTGCAAAAAGAGGCTCGCTTCCGGCGTAGTTTCTGGCGCATTTCTACTTGCCGCATACATATCTCCAATAGAGGCAGCCTGCCTCATCCACGACTCTTATCTGTGCGAAACTGTGTGTGGGAAACCAACATCTGTGCGGGAAACCAAAACCATAGACGCTGTCCTTACTTGTGTCTTGCATCCTCAACATCAATCACGGGTCCCTTCAACTGCAGCGCAAACGGCCCCTGGGAAAAGGGTGCCAGTGTGCGCTTATCGTACGGAATTCCCGGCGCCCGCATAGTCTGCAACATTTGACCCTTGTGATCCTGTAGCACCATCGTCCACCGGTTCTCTACTGGGTAGAAAATGTGGTCGGGAAATCTCACCCAAATACGCAAGACGTAACGCTCCTGGGCTTTGTAACTTCCCGTCGTGCCGGGAGCGCGGTGCAACTTGACGCGAATCTGCCGGCAATCAGGTCGTCCATTGGTCGCGCTACACTGCTGAGCATCTGGCGCGCCGACGACCGAGGCCCCCGGTGCTGACGCCTCTTGCTGCTTTTGCGTCTCAGTTGTTTCACCCTGCCGTTGTGCCTGAACAACCTCCGTCGCCGACGAGGCAATGGAGGCTGCCTTTATTTCCGCTCCAACGGTCGTCGTGCCGCTTCTGCTGACTCCACTTGCCGACTGCTGTTCTTGCACCGCACTGCTACTCGCCGACGCAGTAGAGGAACTAGAAGTAGAACTACTAGCACTACTGGTCGCTGCCTTCCCACCGCTATTTTTACAAAGCACCTCACACGGCACGTTGTTTTCATCCTCCCTCGTCGTGTCTTCTCCTTCGGGTAGCGATGCCCAGCCGTCCATGGAGAACACACAGGTTGACTGGCCCCACGTGGTGCTTTGGAACGAAAACCCGATCGGCGCCTCCACCACTACCTTCGCGGCCCCGGGGCTGCGCACGGAGAACAGTAAAACCGTTTCCACCCACTCGCCGCGCCGCGCGAAACGGTTGCCCAGCGGCGCCAGCAGGTGGCTGTACGGAAAAACGCGGAAATCGCCGCACGGGTGCATGTTGCACGACCGCTTCTCCCAAAACTTGTTGCAAACGTTCTGCGACGAGGACCCGTCCCGCAATCCGTCGGGAAAAAGCATCATCTTCGTCGCCTCCTCCAGATTCAGCTTCAACCCGTCTTTCCGCGAGGGCAGTCTGCGCTTGCTGCTGCCGCGCCACCCAAACACGTTTCGGCCCTCGAAACTTGTGAAGTCCTTTTGCTTCATGGGATAGTACCAGAACTGAAACGGGGTCTCTTCCTCGTCTCCACTGCACCAGTCGCTGCACTCCGACCAGGGAATCATCTCCCGCACCGGGCTGTTTGCCGGCTGGTCGCCGTTGGATAGCATAGAAGTGCCTGAAAGATCTCCTTCGTCTTCTTCGTAGATTTCCTCCGGAACTTCCTTGTCCGAGCACGTGGTCGCTTTGGCCAAAATTCCGGCCTCTTCTGGAGCGTCGTAAAACTGCTGCGCGCGGTGCGGATCGCCCCGTCGTTCCACTTGCAATTCTAACGCAGAGCTACTGGTAGAAGACGTTCCGTCAAGTTTGCTATCGGCAAGACTCCGCCCCGCGGCCAGCACGGGCCGCCAGGTGTGCGCCGCTTGCGGCAGCGTCGCGCGCCGTAAGCTCTTCGTGTCCGCGACGGTGTCGCACACCGGCTTGCAGGGATTGAGGTTGCAGGCCGAGTACCGCACCCGCGAGCTGTCCTGGATCGGCGGGCAGGGGATGCCCCGGCCCTGGTTCGGCTGAACGATCTGCCGGCGCTCGATCAACATTCCGCCACCGCAGCTCGCACTGCAGTCGGCGCCGGGGTCCTTCTTCCACGGGCCCAGGCGGCAGTTCACGTCGCAGGGCGCGGCTCCGCAGTCGTCTTCGAATTTTATCATCGGTCCACTGTGGCAGTTCATTAAGTCCGTGCTGCCCAGGCTACCGGCGGTATCAAATGTAAAAATGTCTGGGTCTGGAAGAATGGAAGTTTGTCATGCTTGTCTGGCATGACTCTTAAATCTGTCATGCACGTTACCCAAGAGCTCCGCTTTTCTGTGCTGCAGAGCCGCAGTTTGTCATGCAGAATAGGCAACACCTAGGAGCTTAGAAACTTGTCATGCTGAGCCAGCATTTGTAGCCTCATCATGACACGCCACCCAGCATGACAAGTTTCCAGACCCAGACATTTTTACATTTGATAGGCGGGCTCGTGGCGCAAACTGCGCTTGAACATCCGCCTCCCGCGGTTGCACCTCGCTGCGCACTGTGTGGTCGGCACCCAGTCCCCGTACACGCAGCCCCAGGGCGTGTGCGCCTTGAACGAAAGCGTTTCCGACCGATCGTGGCCGTACTGGATCTGCAGCTCGAAAGTCGCGTCCTTGAACATCAGTTTGCCATCGGGCGGAGAGAGCACCGATTCGAAAGACGGACCGGAGGGCAGCATCAGGGAAGATTTGCTTTCGGACTGTTGTTCCGTCTCGCGGCTTGCTTCTGTAGCGGAGGAAGCTTTAATACCGCTCGACGCTGCACTGATATTGTTATCGAGTAAGCTCGGGAGCCTTATCCTGGCCTTCACCGCGAGAGCGTAGAATTTCGTTGTGCTGTCCTTCTCGTTTGTTCCCTTGTCCGTCTCCCCGGTCCTCGAAGAGGAGTCTTTGCCCCCCTCCGCGCGGCCCAACAGCGGGGGCGCCTCGTCCGGGTCGGACCCCTTCGTTGCGTAGGTCCAGGTCCACACGCCCTCGGCCTCGGGCCAGGCGGGTTTGTCGGTTACGTCCGTAGGGATCGCGTTGGTTTTCGCCAGCACGACCGTATCCTTGTCCCGCCGTCGCAGGACCCAGCGTCCGTCGTCCTCGTAGAAAATGCCGAAAGGCCCGTCGTTAGCCTGCCTAAACTCGTACATCGGCGTCGCGGGGGGCTTTGTGTTCTTGTTCTCCGGAGCACCTGCTGCAGAAGTTGCAGTTCCCGGTGCGGGGGCGGCTTTGGCGCCCGCTTTCGCCGCGGCCGCCGCTGCTTCCTGGGTTTCCTTCGCGGAGGGAACGAAAACATAGTCACCTGCAGTAGCGGAGATGGATAGGGAAAATTCAAATCTCCTATGCGCAGTGCTGCTTCTAAGCGAATGCTGGTTGTGATTCACCATGTATCGAGCATGGCAAAAAGGTATTGTAGTGACTCTTCCTACTTGTTACTTAAGTACCATTGACCCCCATCCGGTCCCAGCGATGCGCATAGACATAGACTTTTGGTGGCACGTCACCGTCCTTCTCTCCCAAGGAAAATACAGCCACATTTCTGTTGTTCTCCGTTCTGATTTGACATGGCGTCTGCAATGGCGTCCCTTCGAAGTTCGTTAGCGTACAGCGGGCGCTGTCCTTCTGTCCTACCGGGTCCAACTGCAATCCGGGACACTGGCTGCTCCCCGCGGATGATGCCGACTGGACCGCCACGCATGGTGGCAAGACGAAGCGCACAACCGCACGCGAAGTGGTGCGCGCAGCGACGAAGTTCAACCGCAGGTAACCAGAAGAGGGGTCGGAGGTGTCCTTTTCATTAACGTATGCAGGAACGACTGAAAATTGTCCACCCGTCTCCTCCTCCTGTTTCTGCAATGCGTTGACGGGCTTTGGCGCGGATTCCAAGGCAAGCGCATTCCCGGTTGCTTCCAATGCTCCCTTAATTTCGTCTGCCAGTTCATCGAGTGCGGCGTCGGCTCCAAAGTGCTGCCCCGAAGCGCCATCTGCTACGAAGGAGAGCAAAAACACGAGTGCAATAACGCGCGGCATCATTGGATTTGATACACTGCACCCCGGTAACAGAAACGCAGCTGCTCACGACGACGACCACGACGAAGACGACTGCGAGAAAAAAAACTGCATATCCATATGGCCAGGTCGAGACTACACAAGCATCAGCGTTCAGAACACCGAACTGCAGCAGCTGCAGACACCTGCTGAGTAACACTGTAACCGCCACGAGCAGCATCGCGGACTCGGTAAGGTCCCACCGACAGTGACAGCTTCACGACTGTTTCCTTTCATCCCTGGTTGGTACTTAAGACTACGACTCGCGAGGAAGACGCGCATCAGTAACTCTCTCCGCCGGAAGCAGGCAGACCTACACCGGCCCGGGAGGTGGCAGGGTCCCGACCTCCCGAAGCACGGCAGCCCTGCGCCGCGGGCCGTGCGAAAGAGAAAACCACGGCCGCGCAGCGCCTGCCCGGGGCAAGCGACAAGCGCGCAACAGCCATCATACGCCACCACTAGCGGCCCGGGCGGCCCCCCGGCCGGGCTTGCCCGGCGCGCGGCTTGGGCGCGGGCTGGGGGCCTTCCGGGGGGCCGGGAGACCGCCCCGGAAGCCCGGCCGCGGCGCCGACAAAGTGCGACGCACAACGTGCCGGAGGTCGCGCAAACGCGACAGCCCGGCCGCACCAAGTGCGCCGCAGGGCCTCCGGCCGGGCGCGAAATCGGACGCGCCCCGGGGCCGCTGCCATTTCGCGGCCTAACCGGGCCGGGCCCCTAGTGTTGTGGCTAGCCGGCGCGGCGACATTGCGGGCGCCCCGGCGGCGGCCCGGCGGGGCAAAAGCGGGGGAATGGCGCGGCGGGGCGCTGGGAGTCGTAGGAAGGACCCGAAACGAGTGAGAGCCGGCATTAGAGCGCAGCGGGAACGCGTGTGGGTTGCGTGCGGCGCTCCGATGCACGAGGCGGCGCATTTGCAGTTTTTCAGATACGGCGCGTCGCTGCTGAACAGGGCACGCGCTACGTTCTCGAAATCCGCAAAACTTAGCCGTGAGTACTGTAGCGGCAGCTCCTCTCCGGGTAGCTTTCCACTTGGCGGCTACGCGCTTCACAGGCGTGCACACGGGTCAAAAGCGAGACAAAACCTGGGCGATGAGCAAGAACGCACTGGCTTGAGTGTATGCTGTTGCCACTCTAATCGCGCACCTCATCGAATACGATAGCGAACGCCTCTGGCGCTATAAGCAGCGCCGTCGTTTCTGCCTGCTAGGCGTTGCGCCAGCTGCTCGCGGTCGTGTTCGTTTCGCAGCCGGCGGCGGGCCGGGCGCCTGGCGGAAAACTTCGCGCCGCGCTGCTTCCGGCGCCCGGGAGGCGTGCGCCACGATACCGGGACGCCGCAGGCGCCCCCCCCCCCTTCCACTGCCGCCCCCCAAGCGCGGCCCCGCCCTTTCACCCCGGGGCCGCGGTCCGCGCCCCCGCCGGCTGCCTTGGCCTCCTCCCGCCCGGCCCCCTCCGGCGCTGGCCCTGGGTATTGGGCAGATGTGGCCACATTTCGCAACGGCGGCAGGTGCGGCGCGCCATCTGCGTCTTGCCGTCACTCCACCAATTCAGCTTCCTCCCCGCTTCGTCCGGAGACGCCACAGCGCGGCTCTTCGCGTACAGGATGCGCACGATGGGCCCGCTGGGCCCGCCGTGGCTTTCTTCGTGCCAAGCGCCGTTTCCCCAATTGCCGCCGTTGTGCCCCCGCCCGCCATGCTAGGCGCGGCGGCGCGAAGGGCAGCACGTGCCGGGCTGCTTCCCCACACCGCTCCGGCGCAGGGAAAGTGCGCAACCGCCCCCCCGGGCCGCCGTCTGGGTCTACCAAGTCGCCGAAGGCGCCGCGCCGCCCGCGTGGGCGATCCATTTCCGGGAGTCCCGTGCGGGCTCCGCGATCCTGTGCCGGCGCTTCGGGAAGAAGGTGCGGAAGTGCCGGGCTGGCACCCTGCACGCCTTCGGCCGCCGCGGAGGCGGCGCACTAGGTTGGCGTAGCGCCTCTGCCTAGGCAGCAGATGCGAAACAGGGGCGCCGGCCGGAGGCCTGAACACGCGGCCAGGCGGGCCAGCAGCCGAGCGCGTCGCGCCGCCGCCCTTCCTCCTCTTCGGGTCGGCCCGGCTCCGAATTGCGAAACGCGGGCCGCCGGCCCTGGCCGAGGGGCGCCGCATTGCGGAACGCGGGCCCGCCGCTGTCGGCGCGCCTCGCGCCGCCGCCCTTCTCCTCCGTGGCTCGGCCCCGCATTGCGAAACACGGGCCGGCTCCGGTGTGGCGCCGCACTGTGGAACGGGGCCCGCCGCTGTCTGTGTGCGTGGCGGCGCCCTTCGATAGGCGTGGGCGGATAGGGGCTGCGGCCAAACGCGCGAACATTTGGCGCCATGCCCTTGGCGCGCCCTGTCAGGAGCCCCAAGGACGGGCGCGGCGCTCCACTGCCGCCGCGTCGCTGCGCCGGAGGCTCCAGGAGGTTCCTTCCAATGCGAAGGCCGCAGCGGAAACAAAGGCGGGAAACGTGGCAGCAGCCTGATCGGGCGAACAGTGCCGGCCGGGCAGAAACACGCTGCCCCGAGGAGGCGCGCGGCCCGGGGGCCGCGTCGCTGCAGAAGCGCAGACGAGCGCCGCCCCGGACGCGCCGTGAGCGTTTACATTGTAACGACCTGCAAGGCGCCCTCGACCTTCCCGGCTGCCTAGCTCAAAAAGCTCTTTCAACGTGGACTACTTCTTGGTTTTGGACATGCTGAACACGGACAAGACAAGACATCCACAAGAACACACTCTGCTTCTTTGTTCGAATCACAGTCGGAGCAGTGCTCTTGGAGCAGGAGCATGCCGCTCCTGCTATGGCTTATTCTTGACAGCAATCTATTCACCATTCACATCCGCTGAAAAAATCTTCCAGCTGGGTAGATTTGGCACGAGATTAAGGTAGATTAACAACAATTCGCTGAGGATGAAGTATTAGAATGAGATACACAAGCAGCAAAGACAGCTCCTTTATCTATCCTGAATTTGGTAGATTCTACTATATTTTCTAGTTTAGTGTAATCAGGCGAAGACGCATCTGTCTTGCTCTAGTTTCTTTCTCCGGGTAACTAACTTATTGACTTTTCAGCACAGTATCAAAGACAAGCACGAGTATTCGCTACCGCAGGGAAGCATTCGACTACTTCGGTTGTTATTTAGCATTCTTTTCCTTACTGTTAATTTCGACGGGCGTGATAGCCCTGTTGCTTTGTTAAAGTTTCTCTTACCTTTTCACGCGACTTCTGTTGCTTTGTAGATACTCTAGAATGACGAAATACAAGAACTACTTCTGGTTATCATTTGCTTTGTTGATTATAGTATTTAGAGTTTATTTCAGTTCGGCGACAGATCACGACCAATCGCTGGATGCTCAGTTGTCTTTGGCGCCGCTGGCAGCTTCAACCTGCACTACGTCGCCCGCTCACCCGTACGCTTTGTACCGGTCCTCCATGTTTTGCCGGTACCGGCTCTTTGCTTTCGGCGCTTTCCGCGTGTCCAACACGGCTTGCCAGAGTTCAAACGCGTACTCGCTCTCGTGCACCTGCTTCAAGATCACCGCCTCCTTCATGATACGGTGCAGCCGCCAGGCCAGGAATTCGGCGGTGCTCACGTATAACCTGCTCAGGTGTTACAATCTTAAACGTTACAATAGAGTCAGGAAATTGTCTTGCATAATGAGCATGACAGACTCGTAGACCATTCCACTTTCTGCAAGACAAATTTCGGCAGATTGTAGTGCGGTTTGGGACTCCGGAAGTTGTCATGCGCAGTCCTATGCGACTTGGTTAGATCACGCACCTCTTGCGTCACAGATTTCCAAATTCTATTGTAACGTTTGAGATTGTAACATCTGAGCGGGCCATATCACGCCCACGTAGAGGAAGTCCATGGTGTTTTGGTACCAGGACAGGTAGCCGTCGAACGTTTCCGTCTTCGTCGCCATGAACAGAACGGTGAACACGTATCCTGCGTGGATGGCGGGGCGGAGCACGTGCAGCCAGCCAAAATACAGCAAGAACATAATGACGGTGGCGGCGGACTGTGCAGACGTTTTGGATTATTTGCATAGTACGCATGGCTTTGCATAATTTTCATGACGTTCTTGCAGAAGATCAAGATCATGCTGAAGATTTGGAAATAAAAATACAGAGAAACAGACTTTTCAAAAACCAGTGGATAGTAGTACCCTTGGTGCTGGTGTGACGGCCGCAAAGATGAACATGAGGAACGTGAGGCTGATCTTCAGGTACGTCAAGAACGCGTCCCCGGTCGCCGACACCTTGTGCCAGTACTTCATCTTCTGTTGCCGCATCTCCTCGTCGAGCTGGAACTCCTTCAGGTCCAAGTACGGATGAAAAAACACGTCCTCGAAGAAGCTGGTGAGCAGCGAGGAGACGATGTCCGCGAGCGCGATGTAGACGATGAAGTACCCCTGGAAGCCCATGTCGAAGGGGAGGCCGAGCAGGTCCACCAGTGGCTCCTCGCTGGCCGCCACGTCCTCGTTCAGCGTCGCGTGACTGCCGAACACCGCCCAGCTAAAGATGAACGCCGCGATCACGAGCCGGGTTTCCCACAGGTTCTCGCGGTGCGCTTTCGACGGCCGCGCGTAATTCTCGAAAATACGCACGAAGTGGTTGCGTTGGAGGAAAAGGATCACGTACCTGTCGGGTTGGGAAGGATTGAATTTGGAAGGTTGAACCAAGTGTGCTGAAACGATTTTTAAACCCAAGCCACTTGTTGTACTAGGTACTGATCCACCTTGTGATCGACATCTAAAGCAGAATCAATACAGTCCTTGCGGCGTCCACCGGGTCCACTGGAGTCGTTGGACGATCGGAAACAAATCCCGCAACTCCTCTTTGTCCAGCTGCATTTTTTGCCCGAGTTCGGGCTTTTTACTTCTCTCCAGCTTGGCCTTCTTGTCCCGCACGGAATCCAGGTACTTCCCCCAGTTTTGCTCGTAGGCACCCAGTTCGTGCTGGCGCACGAAGTCGCGTATCCCGCGGATCTGGTGTGCTGTGCGGTGCTGCTTCGCGATGGCGATCTTCTTCTGTTGCGCGGCAAGCTCGGCATTCTTGTATTTGTCGAAGCTGTCGTCCACGCCCCACTCTTTGTCGCCCTTAGCGACGCCCGCGACCACGTTTTCGCCCTCCGCAAGAATGTCGTTCTCTTCCTCGTAGGGCACAATAGCGCTGCTGTACGGAACGACAGCCCCTGGGGGATTTTGGATATATGATGTGGAATTTGATTTTTTGGCAAATTTTCGTTTCAAATCAGAGCATGCAGGCTGAGACTAAAAAAATCAGCAGCATACACATACTTCAGTTAAACATGAAGAAAACAGTTGAATCGATTATCATACCGTCCGTGGTCCCACTTTGAAACGTTGCACCGGGCAAGGCTAGTTGCAAGCCACCTCCGGGACTGGTTGCGGTCATGGATCTCTCCAGATCCTCTTCGGTCTCGAACTCGCTCCCCGCCTCATCCCCGATCGCCTCACCGCTCGCTTCGCCGTCCGGCCACTGCCACTGCGTCACGCCGGTTTGGTCGTTCATGTAGTAGACCCGGCCGGAACGCGAGACCTTCTCTTGCCACGGGAACGGTAAAACTGGTACCTCCCACTGGGTGATATTGGAAATCACGTTCACGTAGTAGATCTTGCCGTCGGAGCTCACGTGCACCTCCCAGTTCTTCGGCAATTCCACGCCCCTCAACCGGTCTGGCTGCTGGCCGGCGCGGGCCACCTGCGCGTTCTCGCCCACGCCACCCAGGGTGGGCCGGAACTGGTCCATCTGTGCGGCGGTGGTGTTTCGCAGCGCCAGCTGCGTGCCCTGTGGTGGGGGGAGCGCGAGCGAGACGTCCGTCTGACCCGTGGCGGCTGGTGGCCGACCGGGCACGTGGGCGTGCTGCGCGTTCGTGACCACGTTGCGCGGACTCTGCACCGGTGATTTGCGATGGGCGCCTTCTACTTGTTTCTCCTGATTCATAGCAGAAGACCTCGGTGGCGTTTCTTGTTCCCTTTCTTCACGACCTCCTGCGGGCGGAGAGAACTCTGGCAGGGCTGCTGTTGATGTGTCGCCGGGAGGTTTGCGCTGCGGCGACGTTGTTTTTCTCCTCGACGATGGTACTACCGCAGTTCTCTGCGCGCCGGCCGTTTCTGTTTCTCCTCCTGGCGGTTCGTCCTTTATCTTTTCCACCGCGCGGCCTTCTTCTCCCACCCCGCCTGACTCGTCGTCTGGCGCCACCTTTGATGCAGCTTTCCGCTCGCTCATCTCGATCGCCACCTCTTTCCGCGTCCGCCGTCGTTTCGCCCTGCTTGGTAGCGGAGGCGTCGGCGGATTCGCGCGCCACTCCTCGTTCGGTTCTGGCGGCTTCCCGCGTGGCGTTCTACAGGTGGACGAAGAGCTGCCGCCGGACTGGAAGTTCTTGGACTCAATCAGCGTTGTGTACTCAATACCACCGACTAATACTTTTTCAGAATTGACGAACGCTGGCAGAGGGTTCGATGAACCACGATCTCCTCGCAGTATCCTTCTCCTCAAAAAGTTTGCATCCGTAGAAGAACTGCTGCCGCCGAAACTTGTGGTCCCCGAGGTCGAGCTTATGGTTTCAAAATTGTGCTGCCCCTCTTTAATACTCGCCTTGACCGAAACCGCGGTCGCCTCCAGGTCCTCAGAACTACTAGACGGTTGGGCGAACTTGTGCTTCCCCTCGGCCGCCGGGCCGGGGGTCGCCACCGCCATGTCCACGACCGAAGCGTCCTGCGGCGACGATCCCATCGCTGCGAGCTCATCCAGAGCTTCCATCGTCCGCTTCTGCTGCAGGTGCGCTGCCTCCTTCGGCAGACCCGGGCCCGGGATCAGATCCGGCTCATTCGTGCTCTTCTGTAGCGTCTGCTGCTTAAACGTTTCGTTCAAAATACTCGTCTATCCTGTGCAAAAGTATCGCACTCGTACTCGTAGTAATCGCAATCATGCATTACAAATTCTCATCCCAAGGTAAAACAGCATTACAAATTCCATTTGTTCATGCTGAGCTAATTTGTAATGCGGTTACTACTAGTACGATACTTTTGCAATGCATATCGTCGCCTTCGGGTCTATCCTGCCGTCCGACGGGTCTTGCACCAAACTCCCTCGCACCTGTGTGGCCTTCACCGTCTCCAACCGCTTGCCGTCCGGCCCGTACTCGGGTCTCGTGTCCAGCTCCTCTTGCCGCATCTGCTGCAGCCTCTCCAGTGTCATGTGCTTCTCCGGGTCCTCGGGAATGATCTCGTCGCCGGGTTTCGGGAAGTTCCACTGCGTCTTGCCGCTGGACGGGTAGAAGTAGTAGGCTCGGTCGAACTTGTGCGAGAAACAGAGCATCCAGCCCGGCGGGAGCACCATCGCGCCCCACGCGGCCTCCTTCGGCAGCTCCATGGCGACGAAGTCAGTGAGAAGATTTCGGTACGCCCTTTCCCCCGTGTCTTCCCGGACGATGTGCTGCCACCCGGGCGGCAGCTCCGGCAGCTTGCCCGGTTCGTCCTCCTGTAGTATTTCACCGAAGCAATTTGACGATTCGTAATTTCGCTCTAAGCGCGACATGGACCATGTCTTTCGATTTCGTGCTGCTTTACGCAACTACAAAAGGAGCAACGCTCTACCTAAAACTGGAGTTCCGCTTCAGCATCTTCACAAAAGGCTTATACTATATTTAATTTGAGTACCCCTTCCAGCCCCAACAGCGCCTCCAGCTCGTTCTTTGGCTCGTTGTCGAAGAGCACATCCTCGAGTTTCGGCACGTCTGGCGCCTCCTGGGGCATGCCATCCATGTCCCCATCGGAAACCGAAGACTCGTACTCCGAACTCTCCGCACTTCCGAGGATGTCATGGATGGTTTCTATTCGGATATTCTGCCCGTCCACGTGGATGTCGTCTGGGTGGAGCTCGGTTTGCTGGAAAAAGTGCTCGTAGAGTCGATTTCTAGTCTTTTCGCGCATCGACCGGAGCTCGCGAACCTGGTGTACGTCGTTTGTGTGGGGTGCGCATAAGATTAAGAATCGGCAATGAAAAACTCGTCCCATTAAAATCAAACCACGACCACTGGTGAGCACATGATACATGGTAATAAATATCTCGAGCGGGCCTGGAGGCAGTGGAGAAACAGAGCATCTGGATCAATCTGCTACGCTTGATAGCACGAAACTTAAAAGAAAAAAAGCTATCTACCTCATTGGTCATCATCTCTTCGTGGCGAAATCGGACGCAATTTCGCCACTCCACTCCCCTTTCCATCCTTGCCCTCTCCCTTCTTCTCCACCACCTCTTGACCCGCTCCTGCGCCCGGTTCACTTTGAAGAAGAATTCGTAGGTGAATTTCGACGCGGAGACCAGCATGACCGGCACGCCCTCGGTCAAGACCACCGGCTTCAGCTTCCGCTGCCGCAACACTTTGTAGAACGGGTCCTTGGCTTCCTCCCTTGCGATCTCCTGCAGCCGCTCGTGCTCCTTCAAGCGTTCCAGCCGTTCTTGCTCCGCGAGGAGAAACAAAATCTGGCTCAACGTCGCTTCACTCGGCCAGAACTTGGTCTTGTCTGCGTGGGATGCGAATCTTCGTACGAAGTAGAAGAGCAACAGGATGAACAGAATCCAGTAGGTGATGTTGTTGTGGATCGATTTGTTCAGGTACACCACCCCGGGCTGCGCGTAGGCCGGCTTGGGCAGCGTCTCGAGGCCCCAGATCTGGTAGCCGCCGGCGAACCCGTCGTTGAACTGGTTGATGATGTGGTCGCAGGTGGCGTACACCATGTCCTCGCGCGCCTTGCTCCACCGCGTGATGCAGCCGCCATCCGTCCACCCGCGCATCGTCCGGTACATCTGGGTCCGCTCCCCGCCCGCGGTCACGCGCATCCCGTCATCGAGTAAATTTTCCTTCCACCAGACGGCTTATCCTGAGCAAAAACGTCCCCACCCTATAGTCAAGACGAGAAATCTCCTACACAGATCAGCAAGCTTTTGCTGTTGCGCATGACAAGCTTGGCCTCGTAGTGTAATCCTGTTTAGCTAGTTCAGCAGCATCACAGATGTAGCATATCATGCTGATTGGACGATGACAAATTCCGAAACGCGACTAGAAAACGCTTGTTATGGGGCTCCGCATGACAAACATTTCCAGCATGCAGATTTGCATGACAACTCTGGGGTGGGGACGTTTTTACTCAGGATACGACGCGGTAGGGATTCATGTCCCCGTACCCGTACCGGTTCTCGCGGACCAGGTCGGTCTCGAGCCGGAAATCCAGCTCCAAGGCCTGGATCTTCTGCACCAGGAGCGGCTCGCCGCACGACCGTAGGCCTAAAGAGTAGACCAGGGTCACGTTGTTCCGGATCCCCGCGTCACCGTAGGCGTAGAAGAAGGGGTCCTTTGGCCAAGACACCGCGTAAATGGACACGTCGTCCATGAACTTTTGGTTGTGCTCCCAGCACTTGTGGCGGTTGAAATCTGATTTTTGCAAGTGGTGAAAATGAAAATTTTGATCTTCGAAGAGCGCTGCGTGGCTGCAAGAACGTTTTTTCGAAAAACGCAGTAGACGCCGTGGCAGTCATGCTCATGAAATTCTGCAGCATACAAAACGCAAGGAGGACAGCTAAAGATTGATTGACTCAAAATTTAGTAACTACTATACCCATCATAATGTTCCCGACCGTGCTCGGTGGTGGCGTGGTCATGACGACATGATTGCTCAGCTCCCTCGCCGGATCTGCCTCAATGAGCAGCTTACGCAGGTCTGCGTCCTCCGGAGACATCAAATCAGAGGACCCCTCACTGCTCGGCGAGGACCCCGCAATTGTAGTATCCGCCTGGATACCGAGCTGTCTCTGCCTGCCCGCCGGCGCCTGCGTGGTGGTCACGCCCATCAAGGCCGCGGTGACCCCGGGCGGCTGCATCGGAAAGGGATTCGCGTTCGCGCCCATGTCTGCATCTCCGTAGTTCATGTGGAACACCGAGGACGTGCTGTGTGCGGGGTTCATGATCACGTCCGTCATCGGGGTGCCCATCAGCGCCACCCGCGTGTACGGGAACGGCCATCGACCAACCAGGTTCGCGTTTGGGACCTGAAGAAAAGTGGTGCAAATTGTTTTCAATCGAAATAAAGGCCTGTAAAGATCAAACTCCTAGCATAACAGTGCGCCGAGAAAGAAACTCGCAAAAACACAGCCAACGTGCTCCAACAGCAACAGCATTGACCTTGCACAAAAGCAAACCCAAACTCTGGCTCTGCGTGAGAAAATAGAAAACTATACCAGCATTTTTCCCATGCCGTTGTTCTCCGCCCCGGTTTCGTACAGTGCCGGCTTGTCCTTCGAAATGGAAATTGACAACGACATTCCCGGCTTCCCCGTATGGTCGTAATACGGCGCGGTCACCGTCCGCATTTCCCCGTGCGCGGCGCCCGCGACGTACGACTCGGCGATGTTCACAACCCCGGAAATGATCTCCTTCGACAACTTTGCGTCGATGTGGTCCGTGAAGTTGAAGTTCGCGACGGTGCGCTGGTTCCGCGCCAGGTGCAAGTGCCGGGTCCTCTCCAGCAGAATGGACTCCGCCTCCAGAAACTCGCTCGCCGCCGTGTCGAAGTGGAACAGCATCCCGTTGGAGTCCCGGAACCGGCGCATCACCACGTTGATCGCGTCCGCGGCCAGGATGTCGATCGTGCTGTTCTTGAAGACGCCAATCTGCTTCGTCATCAACAGCAGCGAATTCGCCAGCGTGTTGATGTGGTAAAGCTCGTTGATGGTGTTCAGCTTCTTGTGCGTCATCAAGTGGTTCATAGCGTGGTTGGTCAGCTGCCGTGGGGAAGAAGAAGAAGAAGACTCATGCTCTTTCGCATTTTGTTGATTTTCCGCTTGTCCTTGTTCCGCCTGTCGCATCGCCGGCACTCTGGCCGCTTCACTCATCACCTTCGACAGCAACTTGGCGTCGACGTTCAGCCCTGTTTTCCTCTTCGTCGTGTCCTGCATCAGTTCCAGCTCGAGAAGCTCCGGCTTTTCTTCTCCTCCGCCCATGTTCATTTGATTCCCTTCCTCCAACTCCCGCAATAAAGCTGTCGTGTTCGGCGGCGCTGTGGTGGCGGTGTTCGTTGCCACCGCACTGGAGATCGTCTGCCCCTCGGCACTGGGCTGGTCCGGCGGCTGGAAGTCCGGTTTAAGCAAGTTTTCGCTCGCGAGCTGCCCCGCCGCGAAGGCGAGACTGTTCAGCACCTGCCGCACGAACTTTTCCGCGCGTTCCCGCTGCGCCTTGCTCACCAGTGGCGGCTTGTCCAGCGGCTGCACGAACGTAATCGTCGGATCGTTCTCGAACGCCATGGTTTCCCAGTCGAACGTCCAGAAATTCGGCATGTCCTTCGTGATCACCTCGTAGATCAACGCGATCTCTCCGCCCGGCTGGTTGTTTCCCCGCAGCTGCGCCAGCGCGTCGCTGGTCCGCCGGACAAACTCGTCCAGCGCTTCCAACTTCTTGATCGGGCTGTAGGTCACGTCCTCCTGGTGCAGTTCCTTCACCTCGATGCACGCGTAGGTCGCGCCCTCAGCGCCTAATCGATCCCGGGCGATGCCGCCGATCAGGTAGTTGCCCTGCGCGAACGTGGTCTCCATGTCGGAGCGGAAGGAGAATTCCCGCATCTCCTTGAAGACCGGCGTGAGCGTCTCCGCCAGGTACTTCGTCGCGTTCCGCCGGATCACCGGCGAGGACTGGAAGTCGCGGCAGTCGACGAAGGCCTGCTGCAGGCTCGTGGGAATCTCGGCGTACACGTACTTGTACAGCAGCGGGGCGTAGTTGGTGGCGAAAATCATGTCCAGCTGGAACATGTCCTTGACCGCGATACCGCTGGTCGGCACCGAAATCAGGTTCGGACTCCCCGGCCGCACGGCCGCCTCCATGGTGTTGCCGTGCACGCCGCGCAACCGCTTCTGGCCGTCCGGATCGAGGTTTTCTTCCGGGAAGCGGTAGGGGTAGTCTAAATGCTGCTTCGTCAACGACAAGCGGTCCGTGGTCTCGTTGGTGTACCGGTAGAACGCGGTCAGTTTGTTCGCGACCGACTTCTCCGCGCCGACCACCAAATAGTCGTAGACGAAGCCGGCGGTGAGCACTTTGTCGTAGCCCCGGAATTTGTACTCCAGCATCTGCGTGGACTCCGTGATCGTGATCCCCAGGTCCCGCCGGTACTTCTGAAAGGACGCCGTCATCTCCGTCGTGACGTTCAGTTCCGGGTACCCGCCCGCCATGGTGCGCAGGTCGTTCAGGGCCTTCGTGTTGTTCGCGTCGATCAGCATCAGGTTCCGGAAGGGCTCGCGCGGGTCCGTGCCGCGGAACCGCATGGCGAACCGCTTTTCCGACTTGTCGTCCGCGCGGATGCAGGTCGGCCCCCGGCCCATGTCCGTGATGGTGGTGCCGTCGTACGCGGACTCGATGTGCACGGGGAAAATGTCCTCCGCCTCCACGCCGAGCACCTGCACCAGAATGGTGTCCTGCACGTTGAATACCATGTCCTTCGTCGCGCGGTCGTAGAGCTCGACGGTAAACTCGTACAGGCCCGCGGCGAGGCCGACGGGGAGTTCCAATGCCGGGACAAACCCGTACGCGTTCTGACACACCGCTAATTTGTCCGCCACCTCCTTCAGGATCGAGAGCGCCGTCGGCACTTTCGGCTGCTCGTCGTCTACGATGGAGGCCAGGCGGCGGCAGCTCCACCGGTACACCATCCGGTGCTCGCGCGCCGGGCTGGACCCGACGGAGGTAACGGCGTTCGGATCCACGACTAACGGCTGTGGCTTGCACCAGGCGGGCTCCGAGATGGCGGGCGACACCGCGGTGGTGCAGTTGGTGGTCGCGATGCGGCAGTAGCTGTCCGGCAGCGTCTGCGTCTGCACGCGGGCCGACACCAAGGCGTCCATACAGGGCTCGTAGTTGGAAGTCTTGTTCAGCGCGTCGCAAATCGCCCGGATGCTGAAGAAATCCGACGGGTTCTCGATTTCCTTCATGTCAGGAAACTGGTTGAGGCAATCGACGAACCGCGGATCGTCGATGTGCGTCAGCCCGTCCCACGACGCCATGTCGAAAGTTTTCGTCGTTGTCGTGGTGGTGGTCGCAAACCCATCCGCTTGGAGGTCTCTGGACAAGGCACCCGCAGCCACTTGTGGAGAAGTGATTGGTACTAACTTCTGACTCAACAGCTTCTTGCTCTGTTGTCCCTCCAGCATCTTGCGCTCGTGATTCGGGAACGCGAGCAGCTGGTGTCTGTAGTGTTCCTTGTTGAACCACCGCACCGCCATTTCCTCGTCGTACCGGCGCTGCAGCTCACGCAGGAAGGTGGTGCTGTTGCCGCCGGCCTCCAGCCACCGGGCCAGCGCCGGCACGTCCTCTGTGCGCTCCGCCGCCATCTTTTGGTAGGCTTCTTCGGAGAACCCCTGGCTCTCGCGCGGCTTCGTGTCCGTCACCAGCTGCCGCCGGTTCACGATCTTGCGCTTCTCGGATTCCTGGGATTGTTGATCATGGAAGTGATTGATGGAGAGCCACGCACCAGGACAGTAAGTATGCAGAATAGCGACAATCACGAAAGTATTTCGAAGAAAAGTTAAAGTTCTGGTATACTCGTCATATTAAGCATGTGGGCACTATTAAAACTTATACCGTCAGCCTCCGCGCATTCGGAATTCCGCCTCCGTGTTCCGTCGACCAGGCCCGGAGTTCCGTGTACGAACTCTTTGACGCGTCCACGATGAACCCGCACGTGGTGCCCTGCACGACGAGCGGGGCACGCAGGTGAATTTTAGGCTGCTGCACCGTTCCGATCGACACCTCAAACGGGACCAACGAGAACGCCGTTTCCTCCGCCGCCCGGGTACTGAACGTGACCGCCGCGGCGAAGTACCAGATCGCGCCCGGCTGGTAGAACATGTGCGGGTGCTTGAACGAGGGAATCAGCAACACGTTCTGGTTTACCGACTCGCTCTGGTCGTCGACGCTGTACAGCTCCATAATCCCGGGCGGGATCCGCTGTCCGCCGGGACCGATCATGAAGTTGCCGTAGTACCAGCGCACCTTGATGAAATCCCGCACCATATCGGACAGCTCGTCCGCAACCTGCAACGTCTGCGGGCTCTGCGTCGTGGAGAGCGACGCGGTGGTCCGGAAGAGCGGACTGGACTGGATGCAGGTCGGTCCGTCCGGATGGTCGGGGGTCACGGGCCGGTAGCAACTGTGCAGGTACTCGGGCGTGCGCGTGGTCACCTGTGGACGTCGTGGGGAGATGAGAGTGATAAAGACATTCTACGACCGTGCGGTGCGACGTTCTTGCGTTCGCGAAACCGAAAGCACGCGTGGCATCAATCGGAAGCAAAAAAATTGTAGAGTCAAGGAATCATATAAAAAAATGAATTCTAACCGTACCTCAAAGCGGATTGGTTTCCCATCATCCACCTCCATCGGTAGATGTAACTTCGTAGGCCCGACGGCGCGCGCCGACGGGAGGAACGGATTTCTGGAGCCCCGGCTCGCCGTGGCCTCCGCGCGACCCTCCAAGCCATTGAACGTAACGACGTCGACGCGCAGGGAGATGGACAGCAATTGGCAAGCCACCGACAAGGGGATGACCACCTTCATGTCGCAGGGGCGGACACCAATGATGTCGGGATCATTACTGTCGTCGTTGCCGCACCACGGCTTGCTGTCCAGCAGGGGTTGGACGTGCGTTGTGCAGTAGTTGTACAGAATGTCCCGCATAACCTGCAACAAATCATTCTCGTCCAACGGCCGAGTTTCCAAACAGGTCCACTTTACGCTGGCCCAGCGGCGCATACCTGAAAGTTCGGTTTGTAGCAGAGTGAACAACCTCTGGGTTGTAACACGAACAGTTGAAGAGAAAACTGATTGTGAAAATGTGTAGTAAAAGCATAAGTATTCAACAAGTATGCAGATATACCACTGGTGTGACTCTCGCTCGCCCGAAATTCGATGTCACTACATGTGCCAATGCTTTCCGGCGCGCGCAGAATGACTTCCGGTGTGCGCGCGACCACGTTTGGATGCGACCGCACTGCGATTCCGTAGTTCCGCTCCGGATGCGGGGGCGGAAAGTCCGGCTGCCCGCGAGGCCTCAAGTGCGAGGACTTGAACACCAAATAACTCGGGCCGCCGTGCACCTGGTGCAGGTAATCGTACACCGGTACCATCGTGGTCACGACCGTGGTGGTCGAAACGTGTCCTGCCAGGCTTCTGGGTGCGAGTGCGAAGTCTGTCTTCAGTTCCCGCTGCAACGACACCGGCGCGATCGTCGTCTCGGCCGTGACGCTCGCCATCAAGGCCCACTCCGTGTTGCCGATGTTCGCGCGGCCGCCGAACTGCAGGTACAGGTGCTTCGGCGATTTCCAAATGCACTGCGCCTCCGTGCCGCCGATCAACCCGTCCGCGCTGGCCGCGACGAAGTCCGTGCAGAAGCCCTCCTGCATCAGCCGGACGTTCTGGATGGCGTCGTCGAAGAGAATGATGGCCGCGCCAAAGTCCTGCGTGTAGTAACTGGACACCGGCCGCGGCGGCTGTTGCAGGGAGCAGTAGTAGTCCCCGTCCTGCGTGCCGCCCGCGCGCCGCACCTTCGCGTACAGGTAGCTGTACCCGTTGCCGTACTGCAACTTCTCCGACGCGGTGGCGGGGCGCTCCGTCGTGTACGCCACGACGATTTTGCAGTTGCTGTGGCAGTTGAAGGTTTCCTCGCACGTACTCGCCTGCTCCCCCTGAATCCAGAACTGCGAGTACACGCAATCCGGGTCGGAGAAGCACGCGTCCCGGCACTCCTCCTTGGTCCGGTACCCCTGCGTCTTGAACGGCGCGTCCCGCTTCTGGTTCGCCAGCTGCGTGTCCACGGTCCGGCCCGGCGCGCGCTCCACCATGTCGTAGGCCCGACAGTCCAGCTTCGTGTACCGCTTGGGGCGGAAGGTGTAGGTGTCGAACCCGGTCCCCGCCAGGTTCTTGAAGTTTTCGTACTGGTATAACGTAGAGGGGCAGATATCCGTATCCGAGGCGGTCGTCGAGGGGGTCCAGGCGTAGCAGCGCAGGTACTTGTCGTCCCGCGGGACCAGCGTCCTGGCCGCGTTCTCGCTGCAAATGTACCCAATCTCCCCGCCGCGCTGGAACTGCGCCAGGCCGTAGCCCTGCGTCAAAACCGACCCGCCCGGCCGCTCGTTGCAGAACTCCAGCGCGCAGACGGACTTCAGGGACACCTTCGCGTTTTCCTCCACGTAGTTGCTGACGCAGCGCCACGCGTGCTCCACTTCGCACAGGGGACTGCAGCCGTCGTCCGGCAGAATGTTCCCGTCGTCGCACTGCTCGTCCGCCACGACGTAGCCGTCGCCGCACACCGGCTGGCAGGTCGCTTGCGCGGAACCGATCCTGTCCTATCCAAGGAAAAATAAACTGTGTTAGTGTGGGTCTCTTACTCTTGAGAAAGCAGCATGACAAGTTTGTCTGCCATGACAGGAAAAACTTGTCATGCGCGGATGGGACGGGCAAACACGTAGGAAACGAGCCTATCATGCATGTGGAGCATGACAAGCGTAACCGTTTTGCATTTTCTGCATCACAGACTTACACTTACACAGTTTTTTTCCTGCATATGTCCGGGGTCTTCTTGAACACGAAGTCCCGCCACAGCAGCTCCGCCTCCAGGATGGGTAGCTGCACGCACTCGTACCCGAGCGAGCACCCGTTACACGGGTCCGACTGGACGTAGTAGCTGGTGGCGATCTCCCGCAGGGGAAAGGGGAACGTGAACGCCGGCTGCTGGTTCGCGTTGCGCCAGTTCGACTCGTAGAAGTAGTACTTCCCGGTGGTGGTACTGCGGGGCGTGGCCGTCGCGGACAGCCAGGTGTTGAGGGGATATTTGTTTGATTTGTCGTACATGGCCACGTCCGTCGCGTCCTGGTCCCCGCCAAAGAAAACCTCAATGTACTCGCAGAACCAGGCGTCGTTCGTGCCCGCGACGACCCGGATGGACCGGAATTCCAGCGGGACGGGGGAGATCAGCACCCGGGGCTTGGTGAACACCTGCACCTCGCACATGTCCCCCGAATACCCGGTTTTGCACTGGCACGCGTTGCTCACCATATTTCCGTTACCGCAGCAGGTCAAGCCCTTGCACGCCTGCACGCCGAGCGGCTTCAGGTTGTCGATCACGGCGAACTGGGGCATGCACTCCGTTTCGGTGCGGCAGAAGTAGATGTGGAAGGGGCCCGCGGACCCGCTGTGCTCGGCCGGGGCGTCGCGCGTTTTCACGTGCAGAATGTAGCCGTACAGCACATTCAACTTCGCTTTCCAGTACTGCACGGGAAAGGAATGCACGTGGTTGAACTCGCGCAGCTTCTCCTCGGTCGGATTGGACGTCACGAGAGACGTGGGCAGCACGTTGTGGCTGGCGGCGTTGCCGACCAAGATCGCACCGATCTCCAGCATGTAGGACGCACCGCTGTCGCAGTCACCACCGCAGTAGCAAATCTGAGAAGTCGACGGGTTGTGATGATGAGATGAAAACAATATGAAACAGACACTTTATTTCTTCCGCAGGCACTTTTTTCAAATTAATAGGAAGCAACCAAAGAGCAGATCAAACGCAAACAAAACACTATACCTTCAGAATTGTGTCGGAGTCAATCCGCAGGTCCGACCAACTGATTTCTGTCCGGGCGGGGTTTCGCATCGGAATATTTTCGATTTGGTCGCCAATCAGCTGCGCGGATGAGATGCCAGCGGAACTCGAGCCGCAGGCGATGTAATTCTCCACCAAGGCGATCTTTTCACTTCGCGTAAAATCTATGCCCTTCAGCGTGACCGTGAAAAGCGTTTGCTTATCCACTCGGAACAAACCGCCCTGGTCCTGCGTCGCGCTCAACCCCTTCACTTGCAACACACCCGCGAGAATGTTGAAGTCCTGGTCCCGAATGCACCCCCCGTGCGTTTTCGTGTCCACGTGCCCCGGGAAGTTCTGGCTCACGTGCTCCATCGTGCCCGTGCTCCGGCCGCAGAAACAGATCAGCATCTCCTGGTTGTCTTTGAATCGAAAATCCGTCCATGTGGCGGAATAGTCCGAGATGATGCTCGGCGGCCCGGTCGGTGCGCGCCCAAACATCGTGTTGGAGAACGACATCTGCCCGAGCGTCCCGCACTTGTGCGTGGCGGACAGCTTTTTGACGATCCGGATCCGGTCGGACCGGCGGAACCCGGTGCCGTGCAGCTTCAGCTGCACGTAGGTGCTAACCTGGGCGGTGTACGCGACGGAACTCAAGCCTGGGGCGTAAAACGTCCCGTCCATCGTGTACGGCCCATGCACGTGCACCTCGGCGGCCTGCACCTGGTAGTCGCCCCTCCGTCGGCAGGGGATTTGGTCCGAGGTCTGCCGGGAGCGGAACCCGACCGGCGGCTCGCGCTGGCCGTCGCACCAGCAGGCGAGGAACACGCCGGCGCGCTTCAGCTCCACCCGCTGCCACAGCGAGGAGGTGCTGTTCCCGTAGTCCCGCGGGATTTGGTACGGCGGCGTGATCGCGATTTCGTACATAAACATGTTCAAATCGTCGATGTGTGCCGCCAAATCCGCGCCGTTACCGTCCTGGAAGTTGTCCATGCAGGTCTTCGCAACGCCGGTCGCGGGGTCCACCGCGTTTCGGAACATGATGCGGTCCCCGATGTGCAGCTGCACACCCTGGGCGAGCAGGTGGAACGCCTCCCCGACCCGCACATCCTGCCGCAGACGATCGGGACCGGAGATGGTCAGAATCCCGGCGCCGGTTGTGAAATACCGGGCATCCCGGCAGATGCGCGTCGCGGACACCGCCGCCCCGGTGGCGCCCCGCGCGCTCTGATCGGGGCAGAAGCAGACCTGGAAGTGGGCCGCCTTCTCCACCACCGGCATCCCCAGGTCGAAATCCTTCGCATCGAACATGTTCGACGGGATCAGCGAGGCCGGGTTGGTCGACACCCCGCTCATGTCCTTGAACCCCTCCGCGAAGAAGCTTTTTGGGTCCCCGCAGGCCGTTCCATGGGGAAAGATCCCGATCTTGTCGGTGGTCATCATGCCGTTCCCCCGGATCTCGATGATGCACCGCATGCCGTTCGTGCATCGGTAGGTCTGCCCGGAATTCGGCCCGGCCTGGCCGTAGATCACCCGCACGCGGTTATTCAACGTGTCCGCGATCCACAGGTTGTTCGAGGCGGGGTCCACGTCGATCCCGCTGGGCGCGTTGAGTGGCGAGGAGATCGCGTTGAGTGCGATGCTGTAATCCTTGGTCGCCGCTTCCGCGTACCCCGCGACCCCGGGCGCATTTGCCAACGCGAACACGCGTCCGAGCTCCGCCAAACTTTGCCCCGGCGCGATGATCTTGTAGATGTTGTTGTCGGACGTAGACCCGAGGCCGTCGACACAGGTCGTGGAGGATTTGTAGGTTTTGTACGTGTTTTCCGCGTTTTTGTTGGACACGCACATGCCGTTCTGCCGAATGCCAAACACCACGTACCCCAGCCGCAGGGATTCGAAGAAGCAGGCCTCCACGGGGTTGGTGCGCTGCAGGTAGTCGCCGACGAGGAATTGGCTGGGGGGGTTGGGGTTTTCTAAACTCGCGAGTAGCACACTGTTGGGATCCGTGCTGTCTCGCCAGCAGCCCATGCTGACCACCTGCGCGGTCGGCATGCCGATCAGCCGGTGGTTGCCGCGGTCCGACATGATCAGCATGTTGGTCAGCGAATTGAACGTCAAGCCGACCGGGCTGTTCAGGAAGGCCGTGTCCCGGAGCTGCCCGAGCATGTACCCGCTCTGCATTGGCGTGCCGACGTAGGTGTCAATGATCCCGCAAATCGGGCCGTTTTGCAGACCGCAGGTCTCGCCGAAGTGCATCTGCACCTGCCTCCCAATGTGGTTGCCGTGCTCAGAAAAGTAGACCACGGCCCGCAGCGTTCGGCCCTCCTCGTCGTCCTCCTCTAACGGGTCCACGTGCGTGCACACGACACCCTTCGGCAGGTTGATTTGCCCGCGGAGCGAGTTGCCGCCGTCACCACCATACCTGTCGTTGGAGTATCACTGTGTAAAGCGAAGTTTGTTTAACAGGTTTTTACCAGCCATAGCAAACCTGCATGCCCTAGAGCAAGAATCACGATCACCCCCACGACAAGGAGGGGCTGCATTAGCATGCAAAATTACAAGCACGAAAAACAGTCCCACAGTAAAAAATGCATACTTACCCTTGTGGTCCTTCTCCTATCGCGGTGTAGATCTTGCCGTAGCGGGAGCTGAGCGTGTCCAGATACACGATCCGGATGCGATTGTTCAGGGTATCCGCCACCCAGAGCATGTTGTCACTGTCCAGGAAGATCCCGTTCGGCGAGTCTAGACGCGCCAGCAGCGCGGACCCGCCGTCTCCACTGAAACCGGGGCTGCCCGTCCCGGCAATTTGACTGATGATTCCCGTGGTGGCATAAAGCAGGGCCTCCGTCATGCCGGCCTGATTGGATGAAGGGATTGTGAATGGACCGTTCTCAAACGGCACTGCGCTTGTTCAAAAGGAAACTCGCAATCGCAAACACTGTGATCATGATGTCGCATTGCATTTTTCAATTAAAAAAAAACCTCTATACCGTGGTCATCAGATGCGCGGGCGAGTATTCGATCATGCGGACCTGGTGGTTATTTTCCTCGGTGAAGTACAATCTGTACACGAACTGCTGCGTGTTTTTGTAGATGTCGCCGTTCGCGGTCTGGAACTGCGCGGTCCCGAAGGCTGCGTTCACGGCCATGAACTCCCAGTAGTAGCGTTTGTCCAGCGTGATCCCGGCGGGCACGTTCAGCAGCGCGTCCTTCGACAATCCGCCGTTCCCCCCGTTCCCCAAATACACGCCACCGGCGATCCGGTAGGTTTGCCCGTAGATCAAATCCAGGTACCGCAGTCGGTGTCCCTCCGCGACAAATACGCCACGGTCCATCACGGCGACATCTTGCGGCTTCTCCTATGAGGGTGCATAAAGTACTTACTCCCCTTCCCCTGATTTGTACAGCAGGAACAGCAATACAAACACCAGCACGCGCAGAGGCTGCGTGTGCGTTATGGTGTAGCAGCAGCAGTTGCAGTACTGTTAGGGCAGCTTCCGTCGAAAAGATAAACTTATCATGCAAACAGTGCCACAACGCCTCCGTTGGGTTTCTTGTGATTTTCCATGACAAATGAACGGGACGAGGTGGAAGAGTTCTTGTTTTGCACTCTCATAGGTCCATCAACGAGTTGATGATGCCGATTCCGTTTTCCAAGCCGGACGTGTTCGTCGGCGCGGTGCCAGCGCCGTTGGCAATCGTGACGATGCTGCCCGTCACGATCAACCGGACCGCGTGCTGCGAAAACACGTCGTCGCCCACGTCGCAGTTGCCCCCGCACCAGCAGATTTTGTAGTACCCGGACCGGCCGATGGTCACGTTGCTCCACTGCTCCCACCGCATGGCGCCCGTTTGGTCGGGGGAGTGCGTGGGAGCGGTCAGGGGAAACACGTTCGAGGACATGGTCAGAGACGCTTTCGTCCCGCACAGAATCGTGTCGTCGACGATCCGGACCCGGCTCGCCAGGCCCATCCCGATCCCCTGCAGGTAGATGTTGAAGGGCTGGCCGGCGACCACGGACTGGTCAATGATCCCCACGGGGCCCTGGGCGACGACCTCCACCTCGCACAAGGCCAGCACCGCGGACCGGAGCTTGATCACGATAAACACGTAGCGGCCGAAGCCTTCGCAGGTGATGCTGTTCATCTGCCCGGGTATCATCACCACCCCGTCGTCGTCGTACTCCGTCACGTATGCAATGCAAAAGTTTATCGCACCCACTTGTATTGTATGCAGACATCACGCATGACAGATTTATGGAAGCAGCATTGCAGATAACTGCATTCACTTTTGTGTTTTTGTGCAACTCCTACTATAGCACGATACTCATGCAATGCATATGACGCCGCTCAACCCGCCGTTGGGCCCGCTGCCGCAGATCATGTTTTCGTCCCACCGGGAGCCGCCGATCCCGCCAACGCGAAACTCGAAGTGCGTCAAGGTTTTCACCACGTCGTTGCGCGGCCACAGCCGGATGAGCCCGACATGCTCGGACCGGCCCAAGTCGATGCGGAACCACGGGAAGTCGTCCGTGTCCGTGCCCGAGGACCAGGTCTGCGCGCACCGGTCCTGGAAGAAACTCATGCCCTTCTTCCCGTCGACCGCAAACCCGGCGGATCCCTGCCGCTCGCCGATGGCGGGGTTGGGGTGGACCTCGGTCCCGACGGAGGAAAGCGCCACTCCCTTGTTCAGAGCCAGGTTCACACCCTCCACGCCGCCCGTGGAACCCTGCAGCAGACGGGCCTTTTCCTCGCTGTGCGGGTCGTCCTGCGAGTTGTGGTCTTCCGCGTAGGCCCGCAGGGGGCTGCGCACCCGGGCGGCCAGTTTCGTTGCCGTCCATTGGCTCTGCTCGTGCACCTCGTTGTAGACCTTTTTGGTTCGGGGTTTAGCTACAACTAGCGGCTCCTGCTGTGATGTAGTGGTAGCCTGCTGCTCCACCCTGTTTGGCTCCGGCTCTACACCGTTGGCGGATAGCAAGGACTCCAGCCCGCGCACTACGGAAGCCGAGGCTCCTCCCGTTTGTCGTGGCTTGCTCCGGGTGGCGGGATCCACGTAGTCGGTGTTCTCCGCCTCGCCGTTGAAGACCGGGTTGCGGTAAAGCCCCTCGACAAACACCGGCGGCTTCTTCTGCTTCACCATGGGCCGTTTGGGCAACTGCGCCTCCAGCCGGGCTTTCTCCTCAACGAGGGACTCCACCTGTGCGGCGAAGGTCTCGGGAGACAGCTCGGCCCGTACCGCATGCTGCTGCAGGGACGACAGCAGCGCGAGACAAAGCCATGCTGATGCTGCGCGGCGAAGCATAGTGCCCGCTTGTCGTCGTTGGTCTAGCAGTAGTTCTTCACAGTGGTCGCGCTGGAGAGCAACGACCCCCGGGCGCCGCTTCGCAACTCATACGGACGAGCAGCGGAGCCGTATTTTCAGGAAACATCATTTTCAAAAAAATCCAGCAGTTACAAGGTCCGTGCTACGAGACACTGTAAAAGATTTATTGCGAGAGGCAATGCAGAGGGTAAGTAGATGTGGTTGTGATGTATCAATACAGAAACAGGGTAGGCTTATGAAAGCAAACTTAAACACAGAAAAGAGAAGTTCTAGAATTCTCAAAATCGACAGAGCAGAACTGGGGCTAGGAAAAATGCAAAATGCATGTAGTGTAGATACCGAATGGGTAAGCCCGTGCAGAATGGGTTAGAAAAAAAATAGGGTTAATTTTGGTTCCTGCAAGATGGTATTAGAAAATGTGAAAGGAATGTCAACTGAGCTTCAGTACCGCAGTTCTACTCCCGCAATCAGACGCGAGGCCGGCGGTCACTCGAGCGCTACGAAAAAGTGCGACCGATTGTGTGTGTGCCACTCTTCGCTCTCTGTTTGTTCGCTCCGCTCTTTCTCTCGTAAGAAGATTGCTTTCTCGCTGGCGCGCGATCGACTACTTATATATCGCCCGTTTTTGGGACGCGCCTCGCGCGACATCGAAGAAGAGCACGGTGCTGACGCGATGATGTTGTTTTCTCTCGTGGTTACTTGCCACAGCTACATGCACGTCACAAACATTCAGGACAGAAGTTGCCGTCGCGCAGTTGGCGGCTGAATCAGCGCAATTGCCTACGACGTGTTTGCGTTTTTTGCTGCACACAGTAAACATTGAAACTTATAACTGTTCGCACTGCATATCAGCGCGAATTACGACCTAGCATTAAGATAAATCTTACAGGAAGCGCGGGACCGACATCCGCAGTGTTTTTACCATCACTTCTTTTTCATCGCCATCTTTTTGACGGCCATTTTCATTTTTCCCGCCGAACTGCCCCCACCCGTGTTGCTCTTGGCATCTCCCGTGTGCCGCGCAACCCACTTCCACTTTCCGCTCAGCTTTTTCCACACGTTTTGCGCCGCGTTGTCCTGATCCGTCTTACCTCCGCGTTTCCAAAGGCAGATCTCCTCGAAGTCATTCGTCATGCGCCAGTCGACGAGGTCCTTTTTCGTTTTAAACGCGCAGTACGCGTCGCCGTCCACCTCGCAAGTAAAGCAGTTGTAGGGCTTCCCCCACCGGTTTATGCTGGTTTTCTTCACCGGTCTGGTACTGGACACCCAGCTGGGCAACTTCGCGTCGCCCGGCTTCGGAAGGAACTCGAACTCGAGCGGCGCGGAGCAGGTGTTGTAGGACAGTTTCTCCGTCAACGAAACGCCTGGAATTCTTGTGCACCGCACGTTGAACCAGTGGCCGCCGTCCACGTGCACTTGGTGGACGCCGAGGAGGTCGTCGGGTGTGATAGGCGCCATGTTACTGCTTCTCGCAAAACACTACGGACGTTTTTATTTCCGAGAACTGGTGGGCGCGGCGTCGCAATTTACATGTAGCTGGGGAAAAATAGACGACTAGTATAGGGGTAGAGCGTGATGGGAGTGCAGGGGCTCTGGGATGGCAGAAAAGCGAATACTTGATTTTGGAAATTTGCAGAACAGTGCCTCGATGTCAGATTTTCTCGTGCGCAAGGCCCTCATGAAGGAGTGCGATACAATATTCAAGGAAGTTTCGCCCTCGTCAAAAATTCGACCGACTTTCATTGTGTCACAACCGAGGCTGACGTGCGGGGAACATGATCCGCCTGAAAAGCAGCCATTGGAACTACTACGCATCAAACGCAGTCCATCCTCTGCAATTCTTCAAGCAGCAAGGACATGCCAAGAGCGGCCACTTGATACGAAGCACTACAAAAACGATTAGCAGCAACCACTTACAGCTAGCGTTGGAGCGACGGGTCTCCGCGCGACGGCCCTTCCTCTTCTTCATTCGCGCGTACCGCTTGCACCGAGGGCACTGAAAACAGCTGACAGAGTAAAACATTGAAAACAGCACGGACAAAGCCCGATCAGCACAAGCGGATGCATCAACTTGCTTCCTGGAAGCTCAAACGAGCTCCGTGCCTGTCCTCCTCCATGCGAACACGTGACAAATCATTGGCCTGCGGACAACAAAAAAACGCGGGGCAGCCTACCGACGAATTGCAAAACGCGACCAAATCCGCTACGTGATGCGCGATCACTCGTCCTGCGGGAGCTGATTCCCGGGCGCGGGGGCGTCCGGCTCCACCGGAGGGGCCCCCGATCCACCGCGCAACTAAATCGTCGCACCGGGAGGCAGATACGCACCAGCCGGCAGGGGTTTCTGCCCGGCCGAGTCAGCATTCGCGGGGTAAAAGATGAAACAAAAGCGCACCCCTTTGAACGCCCACGCCCCCCTTGCGCTCCAGGTGCTTCGGCGTTTTTTTATGCGACTGCAGGGCAGATCTTTCTACTTTCCCCAAAATTTCCGACGCGACCCTCGTTCCACAGCGTAGCACTGAGTTGGTTCCCATGGAGTGCGGAAAGGCCTAGGACTGCTTTGATTTAAGCTGATACAGCCTCTGTCCGCGCGGCCCCTAGAGGTTTTTCCTTTTCATCCAAATGCGGCTTTTTTTCGATTTTCCACCAAAACCAGAAATGTACTAGGTGTGCCCAAGTCGACTGCTCTCAGGTCAGTTAAAGCGTCAAAATTGCAATACGTGCTCCCTGATTGGTCCACTTTTACATAGTAGGATCCTGATTTCCTCAATGCAACCCAAAATAATTTTTGTGATTTTTTTAGGAACGTTTGGAATGTTCATACGAGATGCCAGCTGACCAATATAAAAAACGCACATTGTAACAATACAAGTAAACTGGCCACAGGTAATACCTAACGAGGCCCAAACACTGCAAGTTTTCTTGCGTCGTCGCTAAAGTTTTTTTTTTCTTTTTTTTCGAAAAAAAAAAAACTCCGCGCTGTTTTCTGTAATTGCCTTCAAGAAAACAAACAAAAAGACGCAAGTTATGTGATAGGAATGCTTGCAACTGTTAGATCCATCCAGAACACAGGATAGACAACGAGCCACCCACGTAGCCACACGTGGGGCAGAGCCAGTACAAATATAGTAGAAACCAACCTAGAAGCAACCAAATACGTTCATCGTCAAGCTTAGCAGCATGGTGTTTGGTGCAGACAACGATCTACGCACCCACGACAGCAACGACGTACGATCTTACGAGCCTGGCGCTCTCCTCCTCTCCCTCTCTCCCCCTGGCGTTCTCTCAAGTGTCCGAGCCCGAGCCCTAGCGGCTGTAAATTCTACGAAATACAGGCGCACAATGGTGCAAATGTGCATGCTAGCGCATGCCATAGGCCCCAATTGTTACAACCCCCTTTTTCAAAAATAGGTCTGTAGTCCCGTTACGAAAAAAGTAAAGCTGTAAACCGCTTGAGAGAAAGATGGAACTGTATGCAGGTGAACGAAGAGATTCGAACGGACACGACGCCAGGAGGGAGAGAGAACACGGACCAACGCGAAATTTATACTCTGGCCAAATTGTACACAGGCGAGCTACCACCACTGGACCTAGTGTCCCCCTGCTGCTGTACGAAGGTTTGTAGTGGTGGTCGCGAAGAAAACGAAGCGATTTATTTCTAGGAAGACAAAATAACGAAAACGAGCCAGAAGCTTTTGATACAAGAGTGCATTTTGTAGACACGGAGCGAGAAACAGAAGATGAAAATCATACATACGATACTACTTTTGGACGTCGAAACGAGAGAGAAATGCGAAACGTTTGAAACAGTTGTGAATTTTGCATGACAAACTATTTTTGTTATTTGGTTCAGCTCATAAAACTTGCTGTGTAATTTTCTAATTCTAAAATGTAAAAATAGAAACTTGCAATGCTAATTTGTTGAAGAGATGTAGAGATTTGTAATGCGGGAACGGAAATTCGATATGGATTTGCATTGCGAGAAACTAAAATCTTACACAGAAATCTTACAAAGGAGCGCAACTTGTAATGCTGAAACTTGTATTGCGAAAGCAGTGAAGTGAGAAACTAAAATCATACACGAACGTCTTGCCTAAAGGTGCGATCTGTAATGCTGAAACTGCGAAGCGCCCCGATATTCCCCAACTGGTGGGGTTTGTCTCTTTACCCCCTTGGTCTTGCAGTAGCACCGGGGGAATGTGACCCGACCGCCCCCCGTCGTGTTTCCCCGTTTCCTCACGGCTCCAACAGCGTAAGAGCCTCGGGAGGCAGCACAAATTTCGCATCTTGAAACTGCAAAAAGCCTCGCACCATGTCAAGATCGCACTTTGCCACTTCTTTGGTTAGTATGTCGCTGGGGTTGTGTTTCCCCTTGATGTGGCAAAGGCAAAGATCGCCGTCTTCTACTAATCGCGATAGGTAGAAGTAGTCCGCTCTGAGGTTTCGCTCGCTGGGCGACCTCGTTAGCGAATTTGTGCTGCTCCTCACCACGTTGTTGGAGTCGGAACAAACGATGAGAGGCTGGGCGGGGGATGTAAGTCCGGATGCCACGCAGACGCCGCGAAAGTAAAGCAGCTCGCTGACCACGAGCCGCAGGGCAAGGAGTTCGGCCGAAGTGCTGGAACTGAAAACCCGGGAAGGCTTCGCGGAGTAGTGGGTGATGATGTTGTAGACCAATTTTTCGCCCTTCTCGTCCCCGCATGGTGTGCCTCCACTTGCCGCTTGTTTCTTGTTGACCAGGCACACCATGGCGCCGAGCCTAGGGACGAGACTTGCATCCACCAACCCCAGCAAAATGTCCTCCGTCTGCGCCGTCGGCTGGATGTGGATCACATCCTCCCCGTGCTGTTTCACCTGGTCGATGAGTTCATTGACTTCGGAAACCATTAATCCGTAGTCGTCGTCGCTGGCTTCGTCGTCAATCTGCCCCGCCAAGATGCAAATGTTTGCAACGAAAGCAATCTGCACCTTGGTCACCCAAAGCAACTCCCCCAAAGCCCGTCGCAGCGGCGACTTCCGCCGCCGGTTCTGCAGGAAGTGCTGCAGTTCGTGCTCCGAAATAGGCTTCATGTTTCGAATGAAGCTTTGCTGCCCGACCTTGAATCCCACTCCGCCCGCTGCTGTTGCCCGTGCGACAAGCTTTCCGTCTTGGTAAAACTCAAATTGCTCCCGCTGGTCCGCTTCCACCGCTGCGTCGTGCTGCTCGCAGTGGATAGTCCTGCCGCAAAACGTGTCCTCCGTGCCCGGTAGCAGGCAGGTCCTGGATCCCGGTGGGAACTGCAGAAAAACCTTCTCCAGCGACCTGTGCGCCGCCGCGCTGCCACCGTAAAGCATGTCGTCGACATGCACGCCCAGAATCCCCTCGATTTCGTTGGACTGCAGGAGCGGGTCCTCGATGCTTGTCCGCAATAGCGGACTTTGTTCCCGTCGCTCCTCGTCCCCGTTTGCCGCTGTTTCCTTTTCGCTGGTGCTGTTGCTTTCCTCCTGCTGCTGCTGCTCTGGTTTTGCTTTAGGGAAGTACCACAGGCAGGGGTCGTTGATGTCTTGCTTCCACCCGGCATCGCGCAAGGCCTGGAACAGAACTTTTTGCCACGAAAGCGGAGCATCGGCCAAGCCGTAAAGGCACCGCTTCAGACGGACGAAGCGATGGCCAAGGCCGAAGGCATTGTTTCCTCGTATGCCCTCCGGAACCTCCAACCAAACTGCGTCTTGCAGCTCCTTGCCGCGAAGAAAAGCCTGCGCAATGTCGGCAAGGTGGGCGTAGTGCTTGTTTTTCGCCAGCCAGTGCAGCACCACGAGGATGCTGCTATCTGCCACCGTGTGGCATCGTTTTTCTAACCCTTCCTCCAGCCGCCGATCCATGTAGCCCTTGGCGCACCACCGCATTTTGGCCTTGGTGAACTGCCCTGCCGAAAACTTCAGGGTGAAGACGATCCGGGACGACACCACGGAAACGTCTTCACCCTCCGGCCGCTCGTCCCGCTGGCTGGACAGGTCAAAAACGTCAAGGGCTTGGATTCCCTTGACCTCCGCCGCCCTTGCTTCGTCCACCAGGTGCCACAGGCCGTATTTGGCGATCTGCTGCAGCGTCAGCTCGACGCTGCACCCGTTCGGCGTGACTGCTTCCCAGTTCACGGCGGCGGGCTGCTCCACTTGCAAAAACAGATGATGGTCGTCGGGGCTGGGAATTTCGGTGGAGGGGTCAAAGACCTGAAATGCAGTTTTTGGCCCGACCCGAAACGCGATAGTGTGCTTGCCAAGCTGCCCCGGCACCCTGCAACCCCTGCGGAAAACTTTCGCCTCGACGACGTAGGCGCTGCCGTCGAATCCGCTTGCCGTGCCGCTTACTGGCTTGCCGTTGATCAACGTGTTGAGCTCTGTCACGATGGGGTCGCAGAAGGAGGAGCGAAATACGGTCTGGCGGCCCCGCTGCGCAATCAGCTCCATCAAAAACTTGGAGTTGGTGTCGATGCTCCGCAGCTGCGTACGCCAGTCTTCCAGAGTCTCCAGAACTCTCTCTTGCCCGTCCTTTTCCGCTTCCGCAAGGTAAAGATGTGGCCCGTCCTCCACCAGTTGCGCGCGCCGTGCAGTCGTCCCCGCGACAAAGTCCTGCACCGAAGTCGCCAGGGTTGCGACCGTGTTCCCCGTGCTTCCCGCAATGTCGAAAGTGCTGTACGCCGCGCCGCGGTCGTCAATTGTAGCGAAGCTGTCGCTGGCCGCCCCTTTTGCAAAGAGGTCCGCGCTGCTGGTCAGGTAAAGCCGTCGTGCTTTCGTCGGAGGCTCGGTCGGTGGTTCCATCGGGATCGGCGAGCCAAAAATCTCGTCTTCCTCCCGACGCGCTTGTGTGTCCAACTGCTCGCGGCGCAAAGGTGAAGCTGCGGCTTCAGGTTGTGGCAGGGGTGGAAGGAGCGTTTCCTTCTGGTTACTTGAAGAAACTGCTGGTGGGAGAACAGGCGGCCCCTGCTGATTCTTGGCCCCGTGGGGTTTTGTGCTTGGCGCCGCTGGGAGTGGTAAAGGGGGGAGAACAGTAGCCGCAGGTTTGGTTTTTCGCTGTTTCTTCTTGTTCTCTTCGCCCCTCACGATCTTCTTCGGCCTAGAAGGCGGGTTTTTGTCGTCAGGCAAGTCGGCAGCAGCGTCCGCGCGGTTCCGCAGTGCTGGCTTTGGGTTTTTCGGAGTGGGGACAAGAATCCCCGGTAGGGTTCGGAATTCTAGTGGCGCCGTCATGTACTCCGACAGCTGCACGCCGGGCTTGATGTCCGCCGCCGCAAAAACGAACTTCTTCACTTGTGGCGCCCGCAGCACCACAATCCTGTTACTCCCCGATGGTCTCACCATCGCCTCCTGTCGGTGCGTGTCTACGCCGACACAAGTCCCAACCTGCCGCCAGTTTGCTGTTCCCGCGTGCCAATGGTCAGAATTTTTGTCGTGCGTCCGTAAAATTCTGACCATTTCGCCCCGCTTGATGTCTTCCAGGCTAGTAAGCGACCGCGAAAGCTTGTAGCCCTTGTTGAAGCGCCGGATCTTGTCCAAAATCTCCCGCCGCTGGACCTCCAAGGCAAGCCGTTTTTGTTCCTGCAGCAATTTTTCCATTTGCCGCATGACTTGCTTCGTTGCCTTGCCGTCGTCGTTTTCGCAGTGGCCGTAGTGGCAGTTGTCCGCTGCGTAAACCGTTCCCCGCACGCCGGGGCATGTGTTCAAAAGCCCCTCGGTATACTGAAGGATCTTGTCCTTCAGCTCAAACTGGTCCGCGTCCAGTTTTCGGCAGTTGTAGATTACGTCCACCAGGTCCCGCACTGCGCCGCTGATGTTCCTCATCCCCACTATTTCCTCCAGGAGCGCCAGCTTCGTCCCGCCAGTGATGAGGAGCACCTTGTTGAGGGTTTTGTTGAATTTCGGATGTGCCCGCTCCTCCTTCCCCAAGCACCAGGGGGAGGCGTACGGCACCGGGACGCCCTGGACGTCGTTATTGGCGCAAAAATTCTCGACGTTCTGGTTGAGGTTGTCCGACTTTGGGTCGAACATGAAAAAGCGCGGAAGCCCGCCGGCCTTGGTCTTGAACGCGAGGAGAGCAGCCGGAACCTGGGGCGGAGGTGGTTCCGACTCCTTCCCGACCTTGTCCGGGAGGTGGTGGTCGATCAGTGCCAGGCTACGCTTTTGCGACCCAAAATCGTAAAGGTGGTAGACGATCCCCATCGCCGTGTTGACCGAATCGCCGCCCCAAAGCACTCGCGGCTTGGCGCCGAACTGTGACCACCCGACCGGCCAAAGTATTTCGCGGCAGCGGTTGAAGCTTGCGCACTCGCTGCACAGGTCGTAGTTGGTGATGTCCTCAAAGAACCGCCGCTCTTGCTTGTCGGCGATCCTGTCGCCGAGCGTAGCAAAGTGCCCCCCGTTATGGTGCAACTTCACCAACCATTGCTGCCGCTCCTGCGAAATACCGGGGTAAAGCGCACCAAGCTCCGCAAGGGTCTTCGGCCGCGGTCCAGAAAGCGCCCCGGCCATGTAGATGCAAAATTTTTGCTCGAAGTCGTAAGCCGGTCGAAACTCCGCCTCCACAAGTAGGATGTCCTCGCCGTCCACTTCAAGCTCCTCCCCTGCTAGGCAAAGGGAGTCGCCCGCCGGCCCCGTTTCGTGTTTCAGCCCCAACTCCTTGTGAAATTTTCGCCCGAGCAAAGGGTGGAAGTCCCCAGGAAGGATGCGCCACCGCCCCGGCCTCCAAACCGTCCACCCGTTTGTTCCGCGCCGCCGAAACCGCATGGAAATCCAGCTTCCACCAAGGTCCCCGACGTTTCCCTTCGCCGTTGCAAACGTCGTCGGCGTGTCCAGGTGGTCAAGCCGTGCCCCGATCGCCGCAGCACGCTGTTCCGGAAACACGAGGCTACTGGCCCCCGTGTCAAAACAGGCCTTGCATCCGTTTCCAGCTTGTTGTTGCGCGCTGAGGTAAACCAGGTCCACCCGTTCCACCCATTCGCCGTCGCCTCCCGAGTCGCGAGAACACAAAATCGGACCCAAGGCACCGACAGGCCTAAAAAACTCAGCTTCTTCCTTCTTCTTTTCTTCGTTCACTGAATTTTCTCTCTCATCTCTCGCTTCATCATCATTTTCATCATCGCCGTCTTCTTTTTCATCTTCCCCCGTTGCGGACCTGCATGGTCCCCGCTGCCGCAATTCGTTTCCGCCTCCGGTCTGCAAAATGCTCGACCCGGAACCGGTAGTAGAAAAAGTTCTGTTTTGCTCCGTCCGCAAAATGCGTCCGAAGCTGTTGCGAGTGCTGGTAGTACAGGAATTTGTCTGGCTGGTAGTGCTGAAATTGGAACAAGTAGTGCCGGCAGTGCAAAAATTTGATCTCGTAGTGCTGGTAGTACAAAAGCTTGATCTCGCTCTCGCTGCAGGATCTTGCTCTTCCGACGCCGGCAAAGTGCGGGCCGTCGGTATTTTCGTGCTTGTAGTCGCGATAAAGCTAGAAGATGAAGGATCAGATGTGGTCTGCAGTGCTTTCTCGTGCTGTTTCCGTGCTTGGACAAAGTTCGTAGTTCTTGTACAGGGTGGGAATTTTGAAGATGAAGATCTTTCTGCCGCCTCGTAGTGCGAGCTTTTGCCCGCTTTTGCAGCCGGGGCCACGTTGCAGGCTGTGGCAGTGCTTCCGCCTTTGCGGCTGCTGTTTTCACTAGATAGTCACGGATTCTTTTCCTTGTCGGCCGCCTCCCGCGCCAGCCGTTCCGCCCGCTTGCGCCGCAAGACCACCATGTCGGCCTCCGTGTGGGATTTTGTGCAGCGGCCGTTCTTGATGAAAAAATGGCAGCGCTGCCCGTGCACGCAGGCGTTGCCCAGCAGCTGCTGCTGCTGCCCCGTGAGGTACAACATCCCGGAGCGCAGCATTCCGTCGTACCAGTTTTCCCACTCCGAGTGGGAATACTCCGGGCACACCATGTCCCCGCTGGTGTCGCCCTGAAGCATGTGCGCATGCCCGAAGAGGTTCTCCGCCTCGTAGTGCTTGTTGTCGGCCGGGTAGATTTCGGTCTCGTGGGCGCAGCCGCACGAGAGCAGGGTCGTCGCCACCATGTCCATGGAGGTATTTTCGCCGAACGTCGCCCGGACCAGTCGCTGCGTGCCCTTGTCCAGCAGGCAGGTTCGCAGCAGCGCCTCCCCCGCGACGATGCTAGAAACGCCGGCATTCATTTTGGAGAGGCTGCGGAACTCCATCCGCTTGGCCCGCACGAACTTGCTGACCGTGACGCCCTTGCGCCGCTTGGCCTGCAGCAGCCCGGTGGTGCGGTCCTGCAGCATCTCCGAAGGCGTGCCGCTACTGTCTTCCAGCAAGTTCTTCGCAAGCGAAAAAAGCGACTTGTTGGACACCCCGGCCACGATTTCCTGCGCCCAGCTGTCCGCCTTGAAAGTTTTGAGGTAGATCAAGTCGTAGATGGCGTCGTGGTTGAACTCAACCTCCGCCATCATCTTGGACCAGCGGGCTAGCTTCGGGAGGAACTTTGCCATTGCCTCCGTCTTCGGATCGAAGATGGGCATGGCCTCGCTGATCTGTTCCGCTTTTATCACGTCCTGCGGCGACAGCCCCTTGCCGCTCGGCGTAGGAAGGGCGGCCCACTCCTCCAGCATGGCCAAAACCGCAGTTCCCGCCTCGCAGTCCGCTGCGGAAATCTCGTCGGTGACCTTGTCCCGCAAGGCCATTCCCGTGCGCCTTTTCGAAAACGCAGTCGCGGAGCTGACCCCGCTCACCGCACTGCTTGCGGGTTTTCCATCCTCCTTCTCGGTCGGGGTAGGGGTGGCGGTGTTCATCTTTTCCAGCATCTGCGCCATCATCTCGCCCTGCTTCGCAACCGCATCTGCCAGTGTGCCCATCGACGTCGCCAAAGACGCAAGGCTTGCCGCTTGGGCGTTGCTGTGCAGGGAGGAAATCTCGCTGCTGGCATCGCCTTCTCCGTCCCGCCCTTTGCTGCCTTTTCGCTTCTTCGCCATGATCGCTTCCCGTCAAACCCGCGGGTTGGAAAAGTTGAAGAAAGAGGCGCCCCGTAGTGGTGTTTTGCTGCTTCGCACGGTGCTACGGTGATGATGTAGCCTCTAGGGTCGGAAGGTAGTAATGTCCGGATATCCACCGCGTTTCGAGTACCCCCGGACCAGTTTCGCGGTGCTAGTGCCTTTCCGACCGCTCGCGACCCTCGCGCCCTATCGGAATGGCCGTAAGGTCGGTTTTCGGCGTTCCTTCCACCGGATTTCCGCACTTCCTGCTTGCCGCGGAGCGTGGTCCGCGCACTTACCGTCGTCCTAGAAGCGTGGAAGACGGTAAATAGCTCCCAATGGAGAAGCCGCCGCGACGAAGCCCAGCTGCGTCGCGTCGTCTGGAATAGCGTAGGGAGAGAAGAAGCCCCGAAGCGCTCAACGGGGTTACGGCACCATGTTAGATCCATCCAGAACACAGGATAGACAACGAGCCACCCACGTAGCCACACGTGGGGCAGAGCCAGTACAAATATAGTAGAAACCAACCTAGAAGCAACCAAATACGTTCATCGTCAAGCTTAGCAGCATGGTGCTTGGTGCAGACAACGATCTACGCACCCACGACAGCAACGACGTACGATCTTACGAGCCTGGCGCTCTCCTCCTCTCCCTCTCTCCCCCTGGCGTTCTCTCAAGTGTCCGAGCCCGAGCCCTAGCGGCTGTAAATTCTACGAAATACAGGCGCGCAATGGTGCAAATGTGCATGCTAGCGCATGCCATAGGCCCCAATTGTTACCGAATTTACAGGCGCACAATGGTGCAAATGTGCATGCTAGCGCATGCCATAGGCCCCAATTGTTAGCAACGATTGCAGGCTCTCCATCAGAAGAATACTTATTAGAATTAGGTGTGCTATTTTTTTTGGATTTTTTTCAGATTTTTCGAAAAACAAAAAATAACCAATGTTGTCATATATTACATACCTATGGAAGTGAAGTGGTGTGAGGTGTTCAATTTATACTGCATTCGTCTGGGCGCTTTGTTATTTTTCTGGGAGTTTTTTCAAAACTTCAAAAGTTCTCACTTTTGAAAATTTTTCGAGTCCATTGAAAATTTGAAGTGCTGGTGATTTCAATTGGAAAGATTGAAGAGAAACTGGGCCACTACATCACTTTGCTTATGGACATCCCTTCTAAAAGTCCTCTATTGTCATTTTTTCACTTTTGCAGACCTACATAATTCTTTGAAATTTTGAAAATGTTGAAAAAAAATGCTTTTTCATAAAAATGGTCTCAAGGTGAGGCACATCAACTGTAGAAAGGCTCTGTATGCAGTTCATATGGTCGGGCTGTGTGTTATAGTTTGCAGTTTTTGCAGGATTTCTTCCACATTGACAAGCATAAAACTTTGCAAATTGCTTAGGGATGTCACTTCTCAACCTTGTATGACCAGATCGGATTCCATAAAGGAAAAGGGGCACAAGGACTACACCTCCATACCCGCGTTCACCGCTTTCGATGACGGCCAGGTGACGACTTTTTCTATGACATAGCGCTGCACGGATCTTCCCAGACTCCAGGCGTCGCCTGGCTCCGTTGCCCACTTTTCCCTCCCGTGCGGCCCCAAGGCGCGAACCAGCTTCGCCGCCGCTGGCCCCCCGCCTCCCGCGGTGGAGCCCCCCCCCCCCCCCCTCGTGACCCTGCTGATCCGCGGCCGAAGGTGCCGCCGTGCCTCGCACGGGGGGGGGTGCGACTTTGCGCGCGCCGCGGCAGATACCGCACCACGAACAGGAAAGGCTTCTGCTATGAATTAGCATGCGACCGTGGTGGCGGAGCTTGGATTTTGGCAGCGCTCTAGTTTGGCCGCAGGTCGCCACTCCGCTGCACCGTGTGTCATGGCGTGTTCTTCGCTATAGTCGACTTTTTGAAATCTCCCTCCTTGTGCACGCCTTTGTGCATTTCTTGTCTGGTGGATCTCTTTGCTTCTTTTTCCTTTCGATGTGAGTTTTTTTGTTATCTTTCGTCCGAACATTCGGGCACAAAGATCACGAATCGGCAAAGAGCCCGCGTCACAAAAGATCTGTTCCACGTTTTTTTATTGGCATAGTGGATTCATAAGTCCTCGCTTTGAATAAACGGATCTACCGCGCTCAACAGCCCGCACTACACAGTTCCTATCGAAACAGTCCGAATCCTTAAACTTTTTCTGGCTTCCCCGCAGAAAGCCTATCATCACGCACTGAAACTCCAAAGTGTGCTGTTTGTGAGTGCAAATTGATTCGATATGGTGTTTTCTTCTCGGACCCTGATGGCAGTGGCTGCCGCCGCGACCGCAATTGCTGCCGATTCGGTGTGGCCCTCGTGCATCGAACAAAATACCGTGATACGCAACGCCGGAAAGGCGTTCTTCACCAACGTAGCGGGGTACGGAGCGGCGGCCGGGTAAGTTTTACGTACTTTCATTGTCGTAGGCTTTGGCACCGGGCCCGACTGCGACATTCACGGAGACGAATGTATGTTTCTTCGGTGCAACTCGTACTGCCGGAGGAGCCTGCGAAGATCAGTGCGCATCAAATTTTTGATTCCCAATAGAAATGATCACCACAGCTGCTTTCTCGACGACTGCAAGAACACGGACAAGTTTGCGGTGTCCTCCATTGAGTCGTGCCTCAGCGTCTGCAATTCCGAGCCCGAATGCGCGTGGTGGGTGTTTGGGACCGAGGAAGGTTTTTTTCGATTCGGTTTCTTAAAAAAAAAATCTATTTCAACAACACCCGCCACACTTTTTTTCTTGCATGTCAATGATCAAAGTTCGCTATTCTTTTTTTTTCCGCCGCACTCCGAAGGAAGATGAATATCAGCTCGCGCCGCTACAGGTATGACGAAGTGCTGGATGCGTGTCGCGGATGACGGTCGGGAGGCCGGCGACGGGTGGTCCAGTGGCGCCACAACCTGCGCGCCGCCGGATGTGCAGAAGCTCACGATGGGGAACACGGAGTGCTGGATCGATGGGTTCGACTACCACACGTGCTGCGACCCCAAGTTCGGGCCCAACGGCAACACGCAGTGCTGGGACGGCATGTTCAACTACAACCGGTGCTGCTTTCCGAGGCACGAATTGTAGGGCGACAGCAATATGATTATAGCAGGGGAGATATCATGAGTGGACAAAAACCGTGATTTATTCAGTTGTACACTAATTGAATAATTCGAAAGATGCCCAGAGCACGCTCGTGTGAACCACTGCAAGAAATGCGGCAACTGCGAATATAATCGTTGAGCTGTTCTTCATTCGCACTATCATTCTCTTGCCTGCTCGTCCCGTGCAACTACAGCAATTGGTAGCTACTCCTGCATCAAATTAACGCGAGTCGCGAGAACACGCCGCAGTGTCTTTTGTTTGAGCGAAAATGAACGGTCGGTTTCGTTGCGTGTGAAACTGAAAGAAGGGGAATAGAAGAAAACATTTCTGTTTGTTACGACTATTCGTTTGATCCATGTTGTGTTAGAAGTTCTCTGGGCTCTTCAACGACTTTATTTAACTCTGCAAACATAACACATGACTCGCATGCACATCAAAAAAAAACGATTTTCTTCATCAAACCTACTCTAGATTTTTTTCTTTGCAACGGGAGAGAGGGGTCGTGAGACCTGTTGGGACCACTAGCACTTCAGAACACAACCGCGCGTGACATACTATCTATCAACTGCACAACAAAACTCATCAAAATGGTTCTCTGCTGCGGAAGACCAAAGGTTGACATCCCGGCCGTCACCAAGCCAATCGAAAGGGAGGCAACGAAACCCGAGCTCGTCAAGCCAACGGAGAAGGTGAGCCAAGTCAATGTCCCGGCGTCTCCGCTCCCCGTGGACACCACTTTTGAGAAGAGCGTGGATAAGGATGTCGTTCAGGAAGTGACCAACTTTTCCGCACCGGTGAAGGACGAGAAGAGTGGTATTGGTTTGTTCCACTGATGTAGTACTATTTTGAGTTTCACGAACTATTATCTTCTCGCCAACTTATGCCAACTTGAAACTTTTCCCGCATCTGCATGCCAAAACTCATGTTCTCCGGGAAGAGTCTGGTCATGATTTGAAAAAAAGATCGAAAAGATACGCAAGCGGAGCCGGAGGAGGAAGAGGAGAACAAAATCCTGGACGTGAACGAGCCGGTCGAAGTGCCCGCTGTGGAGGAGCCAGTGGTCGAGCTCAAGGAGCCCACGCCAATCGTCGAGGTCGCGGCCGAGGAACTGATCGTCGAGGAGAAAAACGTGATTGAGACGCCGAAGGAAGAGGAGCCGGTGCTGACCTTCGAGTATCCTGTGCAAATTTAATATCGTACTAACTATGTTTTAAAAATTGCAACTAGTATCCTGCATGAAAGGGATCTTGTCTAAGAAGCTACAGCAGCGTCACAAAATTTCTTTTGTCAGCAAATTTTTGTAAGAATGCAGTTTATGTATAGTACTAGTGCGATATGCTTTTGCGCTGCATATCGAGGAAAAGCGGGCGATTTTTGACAAGAAGGAAGAGGAAATCGTCGTGGTCGAGGAAGAAAAAATCATCGAAGTCGCGGACGTACCCTGTGTAAAAGTTGTATCGTGCTCGTACCAAAAATCGCAATACTGCATGACAGATGTAAACTTTCTATCTGATTCGGCATGACAAATTCTACTTTTCTGATTCTGTACCAAGAATTTGTGATGCAGTATTACGATCACCACCAGCACGGCACAACTCTTGCGATGCATAGGACGTGGAGCCGATCGTGAGCGCGGCGTCACCTGCTTCTCCGGTCGTGCCGCACCTCTTCGCTGGGATCACCGGCTTGAACTTCAGCGGTTTGTACCACCTGAATACGGGAATCCAGACGCCCCGGATGGCCGTCAGCGTCCCCCAGATCGAGCTGGATATGCATTGCAAATATGTCTGGGTCTGGAACAGTGCAACTTGTGATGCTGCATTTGGACGCTAAAAAAAATCTGTATTGCATGAGCAGCAACAGCAGTCAAATTTGGTTACACGGGTAGGGCTTTTTCATGCGAAATGCGCATCGATAAGCGCTCACGAAATTATCTGTGATGCTAGGGCATACATAACAGACATCGTGGACCATGGAAAATGTGCATGATAAACTTGTCCTCTTCCAGACCCAGACATATTTGCATTTGATACTGGACACCGGGGCACCAAAGGTGAGCGCTTCCTTCACGCCCCTGCGAATGCCCAACTTGCAGATCAGCGGACTTGGTATAGACATACGTACTACGAAATTGATGTTTCTTGTTGTGGAGAAGTTTTTGGTCCGGCATGTTAGTTTTACTGAGGACAAAAAACTTGCGAGAAAAATGTTGCGGCGTATTTTGAGCTCGATGTTGGTGCTGTGCTGCGCACGCGGGGGCGTTTGATGATGACTGACGAAAAAAATGAAACAGGCGTCTTTGCGGCTCCGAAGAACTACTTCGGTGAACATGGTAAGCGTTTAGAAATGCTTCAGTGCATCGTGTAATTTGTAAGCAGCAGGTCTTTATTAATCCGGCGCATGAAGCTTGTAGAGGAGTATGAGTATCATCATTATCATCTTGCTAGCATGGGGTAAGTAGTTCTGACCAGCAAGCTGAAGGACCCCACTCTAAACTTTGCCTCTCAACAATAGCCGTGATGCGCACTCCGTCCGTGTCCCTGACCCCGATCGCGTCTCTGGCGGCCGCGACCCCGGTGGCTATGCATTGCAAACATGTCTGGGTCTGGAAAATTGTGATGCTAATACATGCATCAAAAACTGATTCCAGTACGCAGCTACGCATGAGAAGTTTCTGAGCGGTTAAGTCATGCGTGTCCCGCATGAGAAATTGCGTTCTTGCATGACAGAGGGTTGCCGCTATTGCACAACATGCATCACAGAGTTCAGGGGTATGCGAGTTCAGCAATACAAATCTCGCAATCTTCCAGACCCAGACATATTTGCATTTGATAGTGGTGCAGGTGCTGCAAAAGGTGGAGGCCCAGGTGGTCCGGGCCCCGGAGTCCAACCGCAATTCGCCCGTCGACGCGCCGTATCAAATGCAAAAATGTCTGGGTCTGGAAGGATGCAAGGTTTGTCATGCACATTTTGCATGACTCCTGATGTCTGCGATGCATGCCCTAGCATCACAGATCTTATGAGGGCTTTCCGATGCCCCTTCCGCATGAGAAATGCCCTCTCGCCGGGGCCAAAACCAGACCTCTTTTGCTGTTCATGCAATACAGATTTTTGGATAATGCAGACGCAGCATCACAAGTTGCATTCTTCCAGACCCAGACACTTTTACATTTGATACGCCGGCAGGTAATGAGATCACCGTGGAGGCCGCCGAGGTCGCTCCGCTCGAAGAAGAAGAACCGGTTGCCGCGGAGGCGGAGGCGGAAGTCGATGCCGAAGAGGAAGCCGATGTCGAGGCGACCCCCACCCTGGAGATCGTCGAGGGCGAAGCCACCCCGATGCCTATTATCAAGTGTAAAATTGTCTGGGTCTGGAAAAGTGTAAACTTGTCATGCAGATTTTCCATGACCCATGAGGTCTGGAATGCGGGACTTAGCATGACAGACTCTGCGAGGTCTCTGCCATGCCAGTCCTGCATGAGAAACTCCCTTCCGTCTTGGTCAAAAGTGGACAGCTTTTGGCACTCATGCAACACAGATTTTAGCATGATTCGGATTTAGCATGACAAGTTGCAATCTCCCAGACCCAGACATATTTGCAATGCATACCTATCGAATTTTCTTGAAAGGACTTGTTCTAGTCCGCCCAAACGCAGTTTGATGTGCGCAGTTTTTTGTTCCTGCATATTCATAAAGAATGTTGCGCATGATGAGTACTACTTAGAAGTGGCCTCCTTCGTTTAACTAAACTGCATCAAAATTTATTATGTGTTCGGGAAGAACGACTGCTGCCCTTTTTCTGGTGCATAAGTGCCATCGAAGAGTTTGTGGAGGATGAGGTCAGCGAGCCCGCTGCCGTGGAGGCGGAAACCGTCAAGGAAGAGTTATCAAATGCAAAAATGTCTGGGTCTGGAACAAAGCAACTGGTCATGCTAAATCTGAATCATGTAAAAATCTGTGTTGCATGATTGCCAAAAGCTGTCCACCGCGAGGCAGTTTCTCATGCAGGATAGGCATGATAGAACCTTCACAGAATCTGTCATGCTATGTCCTACATACCAGACCTCGTCGATCATGGAAAACCTGCGTGACAAGTCTGGCACTCTTCCAGACCCACACATTTTTGCAGTTGATAAGAGTAAAACAGTACCAAGAAAGGAACATGAAGATTTATTTCTGTGCAAGCAAATATAAGCAAAAAACCATGGAAAAAATGTTTTCCTCGATCTGCAGTGATGCTGCTGGCTTGACAGAAAAAAAATGACGCAGTGTAGTAAACAAGAAAACACGTGAGAAAATTGTAAATTTCAGACAAGATGATGAGCACAGTTTCCTTTTTCTCTTCTTCCAATAGTAATCTTCAGCTTTTTTGAAAAGTATGAAAACAGGCGGCAATAATTATCCTTCCCTTCTAAATTAGCTTTTCTTTGAGCGGGTGTAGAACAAGTTGCAGCGCTCTCTTGCGCTTTTTGCGCACGAGCTGCGAGGACATCTTGTTTTAAGGACAGCAGGACTTTCAACGGCCGAATTTTTTGAAAATAAATCTTCCAAAAGATCATGACAATACAGGGTTGTTGAATGGTCTCAGGAGGCGACTCTAAGAACTCTCCGATAGTCAGCACCACAGCTAGAATATTTTATCGAAAATTGAATGACCACGTACACTGACGCCGATTTTCGAATCAAAACGCCCATGAGATAACGAACTTCGTCACAACTATCGCCGAGTTGCAATCTAGATGAAAATGCCTGTTTTAATAACACCAGAATCTCAATCTTTAGACTATATTTGTTTATTGTTTATCAGACTTTTAACATCATGTTAAAATTTCGCTGTTTACTATTTTACCATTACAACTTTGTAGTTTATCTTTGCACAGCTAACGAAGGGCGGGGGGGTGCAAGCTACTAGTAGGAATGCTACTAGTGGAAAGCTGCTAGTAGAAAAACGGCGACTAGTAGAAATCCTGCTAGTGTTTTTAGCGTTACAAAAAAGCGCGACCGGTACTAGTGACAGGCGCCACTAGTGAAGGCGCCCACTAGTGGAGCAACTAGTGACAAAAAGCCCGGCTTTGGGGAAAGCGGAAACACTAGTGAGAAAACCCGCCAACGCAGCCGGACCAAGAAACCCCGAAGGAAATACAATAGACCAGCAAAAGCCCGCCCGGGCCGCCTGTCAAGGAGCCTCGGTCAGGGGGCTTGGGGCTGCGGCCTCCCCTTGCCGAGCCCTCTTAGATTCCTGGCTGGCGGCTGCCGATTGGCTGCCCCGGGCCGAAGTCGTGCTGCATTCTGGCGCCCCTTGCCATTTGCCCCTTAATGCGAGGGGTTTGGCGGCAGTTTGAGCTTTTCCCTGCCGCCTGTGGCTCTCCAGGCCGGGCTTCGTCGCATGCCGACGGGGCTTTTCGGCCTCGCCGGGGCTGCCTGATTTTGCATGCCCCGCGCCCTTTGGGCCGCCGGGCGCGTTTCCGGTTTCTTTACGGCTCGCCCCCTCGGCCTATTTGGGCGCCCCCCCTTTCGATTCCAGGGCTTTTTGCCTCTTCCCCGGGCGCGGGCTTTGGCCTGCTTACTTTTTTTGGGGTTGTCTGGTTTCTCACGAGAACCACCCGCAGCGCCCGCCCTGCCTTCCCGCTGCCGCCCTGCCTGCTTTGCTTTGTCTTTCTCTTTGCTTGGCGCTAGCCGTGTTTCCTGTTTTTCGGACGTCGGCGCGCTCTTTTCGTTCTCTCCCCTGGGATTGGCGGCTCGGACAGGGGCTGCGCTGTGCGCTCCCTACCGCCCCTTGTGCCTCGCGGCCTTCTCTCTACCTACATTTCTTTCGTTCCCGCCGACCGAGGGAGGTACGCCAGGGGCGCTGCTGTTTCTTTTTTTCGCCTGTCGTGCCAGCATGGCTTGAGGCTGTAGCGCTAGGCGCTACCCGGTAGGAACTTTCTCCCTCGCTCCCCCTTGCACCCCCTCGTCGCCGGGCCGGCGGGCGCGGAGCGCACGCCCGTTCTAGATATTTTACCATTACAACTTTGTAGTTTATCTTTGCACAGCTAACGAAATTTGCATTCTCGCCTGGCTTTGGGAACAGGGGTCGTTTGGCACTGGCGGTAACCAATCCGTTACCCTTGCGAACTTGTTCCCTGGCTGGGGCTGGTGGTTAGGGGTTTCCTTCGTTCGTCCTCTGTTCCCATCGCGGGGCGGGGCCGAGGTTTCGTCTCATGGTTGCTTGACCATACTAACGCTTTTCTTTCGCGTGTGCGCTGCGGTTGCGGAAAGGCCCAAGTTGGCCGGGGTTGAGTAGGAAGCACTACTAGTGGAGGAACCGCCCTTGCGGGGTCGCTGGTCGTGCTGCCACTAGGGGCATTACGCACATCTTCGCGTAGACGTGCGCGGAGGTCTCGCGCTTGATCGGGCCTAGTGACTGAGAGGCCCGCTGATGGATCCGGTTTCCTGTTTTCTCGTGGCAAGAGTAGGACTTTGGTTGCCAGTCCGCTGCTTTGGTGGCTCGCTTGCTTCTAAGTTTTGGACTCGCCCTACCGGGGGATTTGGGGTTTTCTAGCACGTTTAGCTTGTTTTGATTTGGATTGATAGTAGCACTTCCCAGTCGATAGGACTTCCTTCTTTGCTTTCCATCCGAGAGGAATTTTTGCTGCCTCACGAGCGGACGGGTCTTGACTGTACTTTGGGGGAGGAGTACAAAGCTGGTCAGTCTTCCTGCAGCGGCGGTCTGCTCTGTGGAATTGCTTTAGACTTTGCAGTGCCTGAGGCGGCTAGGTTTCGTTCGCTGGCTTTTTCCAGTTATTTTTCCCAGCCAGGCCGAGGCTGGGGGTACGGTCGAACGGCGGAGCTATTCTATTTGGTAAGCCGAGCGGTATTCTTTTTGCGTGTCCGGGGGACTGCTTTTTGGAAGGTTTTGCTCACTTGTCTCGTCCAGGGCGTACCGGATCGTTTTCCCTCCCTCCCACCCAAGTGGCCGCTCACGTCGTGCCGGTTCGTCCGGACAGACGTGTTGGTGGTGGAGTGGGCCGTTCCCCGCTACGGAAGCTAGGCACGGCCTGCTTGACCCAGCCCCATGTTGAAATTTCGCTGTTTATTACTATTTCACCATTAACAACTTTGTAGTTTATCTTTGCACAGCTAACGAAATTTGCATTGGAATGCCCCGCATCTTAGGAATACAATCAGAATTAAAACTGGTGACCTTTATTGTCATTGAAGGATGACAGCATTTTTATACTCAAATGTTGCCATCGTTATTTACATAGAGAACTACTACCATCCCTACCATGAACAATTTCGTACTAGATTATCTCCTCAAAAGGACTCAGAACTAATCTGCCGTACACTAAAAAATTTGAGTTTTTCGTCTTTTGCTGGTGGATTGAGCACCGGCCGGCTCGTTGTGCTCTGCGCGTTCTGGTTCGATATTTTCTGTTTGCGATCGAGCAAGTTTTCGGTTTTGCATGAATTTTCTGACTCCGACCCGCTTCGCTCGTCACGCTGACGTTTTACAATTTTTCGGAAGCAATAACTTTTCTGAATTCGTTGTCTCGCAAGTACTAGCGTTTTCTTTCGGGTACGGGTGGGGTAGCAAATAAATGAAAATGTCGGTGAAGTGCAGCAGGTCGTTCCAAAATTTCTCAATGGCGCAAAGCAGTCCTTTTTCAAATCTCCATTCGTAGCGTCGTCGTCGTAGGTATTCTGGTCTGGGGCCCTGCGCCACTGAAAAAATACGTGTCATCCGACTCTTCAATTTTCGTAACAGGAACCGAGGATTGGCGTTTTTTTTTTGTTTATCGGGGAGCAGGTTTGTATTTGTTCATAAAGGTAGTTTTTTTATCGGATTTTTTGCAAGCAAAACAACATGGCGCGCGTGGGTGTGGCAAACTACCGACACCCGTCGGAGCACCGAAGTGTGATGATGTGGGACGGTTTTTTTCGCGAGGGCGTGGGGCGTGAGCAGGGTGATCACCCGTATCACTCCTGGAATATCAACCGAGTGCCGAAGCCAACGTACGTGGGAGTCAGAACAACCAGCAATGTACAGTTCATTTTTTCGCTTGGTGCAAAAGCGTTTTATTTGCCTCCTCGCGGGGACAAATGATATATGATTTTGATGATGCTACTTCTTTGAGGCGTTCCACTTTTCGAGGGAAAACTCAACCTAAAGATCGGAAAGGAAATTTTTATCAAAAAACTCCAGGATGCGCAACTCTCCTGCTGGAGTTACAAGAAGAAGGGCATTGATCCACCATGGGCGGGCAGGTCCGCCTTCCACAGTCCTAGGTTCCACGGACACAATGGGATGCCAGTCACAATGCTGAGCCTGCAGTTGGCCAAGTATAAATTCTTTTCTTGCCCGTCTCATGGTTTTGACAGATGTAGCTGTTCTGTAGTAATTTTTTGCAACTTCGCCCATGACAACAAGGAGCAACAGACATAAGAACACTATCCAGTATGCATGCTGAAGCCGCTATTTCTATACCATCCAAATCCAGGTCCCGCTCAACTCCAGACATGTTGGCGCACGACGGGAGGGCGATGCACGATGCGTATCCAATCAACACGGCCAGATCAACCGCGAGTCAGCTCTCCACCGCACGATCCACCGCGCGAGGCACCAAGCCATATCCTGTGTAAAAACGTCCCCACCCCATAGTCAAGATGGGGAATCGACTAGACAAATCCGCAAGCTTTGGCTGTTTTGCATGACAAATTTGGACTCGTAGCGTAGTGCTGTTTGAGCTAGCTCAGCAGCATCACAGATCTAGTACATCATGCTGATTGGAGCATTACAAATTCCAAGACACGATTAGAAAATGCGTCTCGTGGGGGTCCGCATGAGGAACATTTTTAGCATGCAGATTTGCATGACAGCCATGGGGTGGGGACGTTTTTACTCAGGATAAGCCACCGAAGGTGGCCATCGCAAGGTGAAGTGGAGGAGAATTGTGCTCCTGACGGCAAAAATCCCTATTTTATACGTGCTTGTACGAAACAACGATGAAAATCTTTCCGACTTTTTTGCATTTGATAAACTTCACACGCAACGACCTTGTCATATCCAGAACTTATACAACCAAATTTCTGGTGCTTTTTTGGAGATGGGATGTTTGTTTCTTGATTCAAATACTACTGTTCTATATCCACTAAGCATGATTTGCCACCGCAGCAAACGATTGGTTCCAATTTGTCAATGTATCAACAGCAAAGAGAAGACGTGAAGGCTTGCGGGTTGTATGAATGTATCAGCAGCAAACTGTTGTTTTTGAACTGTACAATACTGTATCCAAAATGCCGCCGGCATTCTCTTGGCCGGGATGAGAAAAATATGATTTTTTCCAGAAAAGTACCAGAGCGCGGGCGCGCATCCGCCATTCTCTCATGGCACCTTTTCGTCTGAAGCACGAGCCAGATGTTCAATCACCATCAATCCAGCATCACGAGAGCGATGAGCGAAAGTGCTGATCCGTGATGACTTACCAGTTTCCTGCCTGAAAAATATTTCCCTTGGTTTCGCATGTGATAAGGACGAGCAGGGTCCTAGAATTTTTCCAACCTCATCGGCTTAACCCTCGTTTTCCGCTTTTATTATAGTTTTTCGTACCAAAAATAATCATGCGCTTTTCTTCCTTCGTCGCTGCTTCTGCTCTGTGCAGAAGCGGTTCATTCGTGGCTGCTGCGGAACCTGCACTGAAAATTGAGAAGAACGTCGTGGACGAGTCCGCTGCAGTTGCAACCGACCAGAAGATGGTGCCTGGAAATGACTTTACGGTCTCGCTCGCGAAATGGCTGGGGGTGGACGAAAGTGTGGTCCTAGAACGAGCGACCGCTTCACCGGAGTTCGAAAAGAAGTTTCTGCGAAGGAACGGAGAAACATCACCAAATTCATCAGCCAAAGAGCCACATGATGAGAGAGACGGTAACAGAAGTACTTCTAATTCTATCGACACCGCACCAGTCTTTGTCCCCCCGAAATATGAACTTATCGACCTTCTTTCCGAGTACAAGAAAAACAATCCAGAAAAGCATGAACAGCAAAGACTTTCCGGGAACACACCGGTGGTGTTCATGCACGGCATGGGCGACGCGGGGTACAATCCGGGGATGCAACACCTGTGCAAAACCACCGCGGAGAAATACAACACCTACGTCCTTTGCCTCGACGTCGCCGACGGTTTTTCCTCCATCACGACCAAAATGGACGACCAGCTGCTCGCCTTCGCGGACACCGTGTTGAAGGATAGCAACCTGAGCGACGGGTTCAGCCTGATGGGGAACTCGCAAGGCGGACTCCTGTCCCGCGCCTTCATCGAGCGCTTCAACAATCCGGTGGTGAAGCGGTTCGTGTCTCTGTCCGGCACGCAGAACGGGATCTCCACCTGTCCGACTTCGCTCTCCTGGGTTTGTCCGATCTACACACACGTCGTCGATCCGTACAACTCGCCGCTCGTTTTCGCGGACTACTGGAAAGACCCGCTCGACGAGAGGAAATATTTGAAGGAGAGCCGGTTTCTGGCGGATATCGGCAACGACCGGGAGAAGAAAAACGTCAATTACGCGGCGAACATGAAGAAGCTGGAAAAGTACGTGATGATCGAAACCACAAAAGATTCCATGGTGTTACCGCACGAGAGCGAAGCGCACGGCTACTACGCCTGGGGCGGACGGGAAAAAGTGGAGGAGTTGCGGGAGACCGTGGCGTATAAGGAGGACTGGTATCTATCATGATGAAACGGCCTTTTAATTCAAGTATGTTGACAGTTCCTAAACTTTGAATCAGCGAATCGATGTCTTCGGCGTTGAGGCAAGAGGTGGTTCTTTCATGCTGTGTGTTAGGGAGTCCTCGTGTGGAAATCGTAGATACCCAAACAAAAAAAAATCAGGATCGGGCTCCGCACTCTGGATGAAGCAGGTAAGCTCGTGCATTTGAAGTATCCCGGCGATCACATGCGGATTCCGCATGACATGCTGTACGACGAAGTACTACCGATTCTAGTGGGTAAAGAGGGCAACAAGCGATCTTCGCAAGCGCCGTCTGTAGAAGTGTATCAATAGGGAACCACCTCAACATTTGAAGAGAAGACAGTGACGGAGAAAAATTTTGCACATCTATTGTTTTTCAAAGATATGCTCAGCAAACAGAAGAAAAGCCGTTCATGCATAATGGTTCGTTTCGCGTCTGCTAGCGCGCACTGATCGAGGTGACTTGACGGATGTTCTCGAGGCAGGTTCTTGTTTGTCCTTTCCTTTGCGATCTGGAATTAAGTAAAAATGGATTTTGTTTCCGTGTCACGTTTCAGAAGATCTCAGATTCCACTGCGATCCCCCGTTTCGGCATGAAAAGTGCGCGCGTCATTTCGTTGGGTCAACTTGTTCTTTTTTCTCCTTTTTGTGCATTGTTCAATGCGATCGCACTGCACTTGAATCTTGTTTTTGACGTTTTGCGATTTTATGATCCGCCGCAAGAACAGAAGTGAAGGTGGTGCTGTCGGAGCCAAATAAAGCGTGAAGAACATCACAAGATGAAGCAAACGGCCACGCGGGTTTTGATCAAACACCCGACCAGACGAGCTGTGCGGTCCTACTTCGGCCGCCGCTTTTCTAGCAGTGCCGCGGGTGCGACGCCGGCGCCTGGCGGGGGAGCTGCGTCAATATATCCGCCGGCTCCGGCAAGTTCCTCGTCGTCGTCCTCGTCCTGGGCGGGAGGTCACGCGGTAACAGGTACTACAATTCCAAGCCAACTGCACCCGAGCGCTTCAACTACAAGCACCGTCGGCACAAGCAGTAGCAGCACGGCTCCGCGCGTCTTCAATTCGGCCCTGCGACGACAGCAAACACTAGAGCAGTCACCGCCAGAAGTCGAGGAAGGCAACAGCTCGCTCGGCGCTGCTACCGACAACACGCGGACGATACCGGCAGTCGCTCCGAGTTCGCCGAGCAGCAAAAGCTGTGTTCCGACAACGACGCATGCGATGATTGACGGCGACACGCAGCAGCTTTACGAGCAGCTGGATGAAGTGCGAAGACAGCGGTCCGTCGCGATACCAACGCTGCGCGCCTGGGTGCTGGAGCGCGGAGCTGCGCAGGTTCATGACTTGCTACAGGACTACTTCGTTGACCACAAAAAGCACGACGTGATCGCAATCCAACAGGCTGTAGTACCCAGCTCGCGGCAGGGCTCACGTGCCGCGGCGGACACCGCGAAGGATTCTGCTGGTGTGGCAGCTACAAGTGCAGGAGAATCTTCCTTCGCCTCGGGGTGCTTGTCCTCGGTGATGCAAGTAACAAGTCGCGGAACAACAAGTTGTGACACAGCAGTTGTTCGAGTCCCCGAGGAGTTTTACGCTGAGCTGGAACTCCTCGACCGGTTCCTCCTTGCGAATTTCTCCATGCTGATCGAGGACATTCCCGTGGCGCGGCTGCACGAAGTTTTGCACGACACCGAATTGAGCTGCGACCAGTGCTATCAAATGCAAAAATGTCTGGGTCTGGAAAAATGCAACTTGTGATGCTGCATTTGGATGTCTACAAAATTTGTGTTGCATAAGCAGCAAAAGGATTCTGATTTTTGCTACGCGTGGAGGGCATTTGTCATGCCGAATAGGCATCAAGAATCCCTCAAAAAACCTGTGATGCTAGGGCATGCATCACAGACATCATGGCTCATGCAAACCGTGCATGACAAGTCTCAGAATCTTCCAGACCCAGACACTTTTGCGTTTGATAAGTGCGTGGGCTGCACAGTTGGCACGAGTGAGGTCCGAAACTTTTTCAACCAGCACGTCTCTTTGTCCACCCCGACTTCATCTCGGAATCAACAGATAGCTCTACTAGACGGGCGGGAAAAGCCAATGCCAACATCTTCTTGCGTCGTGGTTCACAGAGACTACCATCCGCCCTTCGGCGCGGTGATGCAGAGCGGCATGCACGTGTCGAAGGTGAAAACCAAGACGATGGGCAAAGCAAACAAACCAGTAGTCCAGGAGTGGGCGGCGAAAGATTTCGTGGAGAAAATTTTGCCCGCAATGGCACCGTCATCCACGGCCAGAAAAAGTTCGGAGCAGGAGCAAAAGTGGGTCGTTTTGTGCCACACGAAGATACAGGGTTTGCGGGAAGAGCTTTACGCAGGCAGAAAAAGCCCGGTGCTGGCGGAGAAGTTTTGTAATATCGCAGATCGGCTGCACGAGGACCGTAAGAGAAGTAAAAGAGCAGTAGAACTACAGCCGGAACAAGATCATGACAACTCACGACCTGTGCAACATTTCATCGACACCTCCCCCATCCGCCGGGAGTTCGTGATCGAGCGGCAGGCCCAAATCCAGGCGACGCACGAGTTCGAAGAGATGCAGGAGCAATTGCACAAGTACGACACTCTAGCCGATGTCGGCGAGTGCAAGAAGATCTGGCTCCGCTGGGTTTCGGAGTTGTCGAGGAAGATCGAGTATGGATTGCAAATATGTCTGGGCCTGGAGGAATACAAACTTGTGATGCGCATTTCAGAACACGACAGAAAAATCTCTCGTGCATAGGTAGCAAAAGCTGCCCCCTTTCTGTCACCAAAGGTGGGGATTTGTCATGCGGATTCCGCATTGCGGCAGCTTCTCGAAGCCTGTGATGCTAGAGCTTCCATGCCAGACCTTCTGTGTCATGCAAAAACGGCATGACTCTTCCAGAGATCCAGACCCAGACATTTTTGCATTTGATATCGAGAGGATCCGCTTCGAACCCACCGTGGAGGAACAGAAGACCGTTCTGTCTGCGAAGGTTCCTTCTTATCTGCCCTCCGATCTCCTCGCGGTCACTACCTGCCGCACCGCGTTCTCGGTTTTGTACCAGCCACGGAACTAGGCATCGCAAATATGATATCTGGGTCTGAAAGACTGTAATGCTGGTCTCACAACTTTCCTGCGAAATTTGTATTGCATGGGCAGCAAAAGTCGGAGTCTCTTTTGTCATTACAGAAACACAGACTCTCATGCGGGCTTCGTATGAGAAAGCATTCTGGAAAGTTGTCAGGCTTTCCTGGATTGTTTCCGACCCAGACATATTGAATTTTGCATTTGATAGGAAGAATAAAGACAAGGACGCACTTACGGACATCATCGGGCAGCAGTATCCTGTGAAGAAACGTCCCCACCTTATAGTTGTCATGCAGATTTGCATGGTCAAAATGTTTCCCATGCGGAGCCCCATGAGAAGCGTTTTCCAATGGCGTTTTGGGATTTGTGATGCTCCAATCAGCATTCTATTCTAGATCTGTGATGCGGCTGAACAAGCTAAGCAGGATGACACTACGAGGCCAGACTTGTCATGCGCAACAGCCAAAGCTGGCCGATTTGTGTAGCAGGTTCCCCATCTTGATTATGGGATGGGGACGTGTTCACTCTGGATAAGCAGCAGAACAACTTCAACAACTCCAGCGCCCTCACCGAAGAGGAGGCAGATTTGAAGCAAATTAACGAATCAGTGGCCGCTGCTGCCAGGAAGAAAAACCAGAATAGTGGTATATCTCCCGATCAACTGTACTCCTCCTTCTCCGACTCTGGCCCGAACAAGGAGGCGAAGGTCGGCGGGTGCAAGGTGAAAGTGGTGACGCAGTCCAGGGACGTGCTGGCGGTGCCCTTCGCGGACATTTGCTCGAAGATCGGTGATGCGATAAATTTTGAGTACAACTGCTACCGTGTGAACCAGACAAAGAAAACCGGACTGTTGACAAGTAACGCGACGTCGAACAACAGTGCCGAGGATGAGGAAGTAGAAGGCGATGTTGATCATACAACAGGAGCAATGGGTGCAGGCACCACAACAAACCCACCAGCGGTATCGGAGGAGGACACGAAACACATGCGGAAATTGCGGAACGCGGCGGCGTATGGATTGCAAATTTGTCTGGGTCTGGGAAGTTGTGATGCAGCCAGGTCTACGATTGCTTGACGCTCTTGAATATGCAGCCACGCATGACAAATTTTTGAGCTGCTATGTGTTGCGTATCCCGCATGGCCAGTTGCGTTTTTACATGACAGGCAAGAGGTGCTCTTCCTAGTCATGCATCACAGATTTAAGAGGCATGCCAGACAAGCATGACAAACTTGCCCCCAAGCAGACCCAGACCGATTTGCATTCGATACGGTGGCGGAGCAGCAGAACCGGGCGGTGTTTGCGTCGATTGACGCGGAGGATTTGCAAGAGTATCAGACAAGCAAAAGCTAGCAGGTCACATTTGATATGCAAAAATCGCATTGCCAGAAATCGAAATGAAAAACAAAAAGTTCTTCTGCCTTGGGCGAGCCCAAAGCATGTTGTTTGAGATATGCAAGAGAAAGTTTTTTTTCGCATCACAAATGTGTATGGCAATGTCGGTGCGGTTGTTTTAGCATCACAAATGTCGTGCATTTTCGCATTACAAATGTGCCCTGCTAGTTTTTTTTCTGTTCCATAAGGAACAGGAGCTGAAACAAGTGCAGGACGACTTCGCGAAAGAGACGAAGTTGACGCAGCGGAAGCTGTACTTATCAAATGTAAAAATGTCTGGGTCTGGAAACTTGTGATGCTGCGTTGGGAATAGTGAATGCTCTGGAATGCACAGGCAAGCATGAGAAGTATCTGCGCTTCTTTGTGCGGCGTTTTTCGCATGACAAGCAAAAGGGTCTCTTCTTGGACACGCATCGCAAACTTTTTGGTCATGCCAGACAAGCATGGTATCGATGGAGGGCGGGACCTGCACCGGCGACAGGCGCTATCCAACCAACCAACCAACCAACCAAGTCTCAGAATCTTCCAGACCCAGACATTTTTGCACTTGATAGTACTACGAGAAGATCAAAATGCTGGAAGACCCGGTGTGGGACCGGTACACGGTCCGGGTGCCCCTCGGGGCGGAGCTCTGCCATTTGCTCCTCGAGTGCTGTCCGGTGGAGTGCGACTACGAAGACGCCAAGCACCTGCTTTCCGCCGAGCAGCAGCAGGCCTGGGAACAAAAGAAGCGGGACGGAAAAATGGACGAGAAAGGTACAGAAACCACTCGCGGCGGCGGCGGCGGCGGCGTTGCAGGAGCTTCAGGAGGAGCTCCTTCTTCTTTTCAGCAGTCCGATCGCGAGCTCGGACTAGCATCTTCTTCCGCGGGGGGAGTAACAAGTGGCACGTTTGACGAGGCAGGAGCAAACAATCGAGAAGCCCTTGTTCCCTACGATGAGATGCACCACAGCAGTGACAACTTCGACCGCGTAGAAATCAACGCGTTGTACCACCGGCTGATTTGGCAGTCGCAGAACAAGATGCAGGGGCAGATTGTGATGCGCGAGATCTGTCGGCAGCAGTTGGAGGAGGCAAATTTTCCGCAAACGATTCGGCCCGTGAACCCGCCGATGATCTGCAAACCGCTGCCCTGGCTCGGCCCCCGGAAGGGGTGCTACTACCTGCACTCCGTCCGGCTGATTCGCCCCACCGGGTCCCAGAAAACCATGGACGACGCGAAGGTGTACGACATGACCAAAGTACAGAAAGCCATGGACTATCAAATGCAAAAATGTCTGGGTCTGGAAGAGTTGGAACTTGTCATGCGAATTCTGGAATAGGCAAAAATTTGTATTGCATAAGCACCAACAGCTTCCCATTTCTTGCTACGCAAATAGGGAATTTCTCATGCGGGATAGACATCAGGAGGCCTGCGCAAAACCTGTAATGCTTTTGCGTGCAACATTATAGACCAGTTGCGTGATCCAGAAGATGCATGACAAACTCCTGCAATCTTCCAGACCCAGACATTTTTGCATTTGATATGGACGTGCTGTCGCAGGTCGCGTGGCGCGTGAACAAAAAGGTGTTCGACGTCATGAGCGAAGTGTGGGATATCAAATGCAAAAGTGTCTGGGTCTGGAAGGTCCAGACTTGTCATGCTAAAGCTGCATCATGCAGAAAATCTGTGTTGCGTGATTACCAACAGCCATCCTTTTTTACCAAGGTGAGAGGGAATTTGTCATGCAGGACTGGCATGATAGATGTCTCACTGAATTTGTCATGCTAGGTGCTGCATTCTAAACCTTATGAGCCACAGAAAACCTGCATGAAAAACCTGGCAATCTTCCAGACCCAGACATTTTTGCAATTCATATGGGAGAAGGATTTGCAACTGGCGAAAATTCCGCCGCGGGAGAACGTCCCGCTGTCCGAGCTTTTCAAATCGGCGGAACAGCTGAAAGGCATGGGGCCCGAGGCGCTGAAACTGCACCTATTGCAGATCCAGCAGGCCAAGCGGAAGAACGCGCAGCTGGTGTCCGAACGGCCCACCTTTTTGCTCCGGTTGAACGCGGCGAGAGAGTACTACTTTGCGGACCAGGTTTTCTTCCCGCATTCCATCGACTTCCGCGGCCGCGTATGCATTGCAAAAATGTCTGGGTCTGGAAACTTGTGATGCTAGCATGTGGATGATGGAAACAGTTCCGAATGCAACACAGCACGACAACTTCTCAGAACACTTTCTCATAGGAAATCCGCATGAGAAACTGCGTTTTTGCATGTACAAAAGTGGCTGCGACTTGTGTTGGCTATGCAATACGGATTGCCTAGGTATGGAGAGCTGGCATTACAAGTTCCAACCTTCCAGACCCAGACATATTTGCAGTGGATACCGTGCCTACCCGATCCCCCCGCACTGGAACCACCAGGGGCCGGACGTCTGCCGGGGCCTGCTGGAGTTCGCGGAGGCGAAACGGCTGGGGGAACGCGGGTGGTATTGGCTGAAGATCGCCACGGCAAACTTGTACGGAAAGGACAAGCTTTCCTTGGAGAAACGGGTCGAGTGGGCGGAGGAGAACATGGACAGAATTTGCAAAACAGCCAGGGACCCCTTCGCTGACGAGGAAGCCGTGCAGTTTTGGAGCACAGTACTAGAGACGTTACGCTTTGCTTTATCTTTTATCTGGGTAGTGGCAATATGACATCATAGAGATCGACTGCCTGAGTCAAAACTTATATGTGAAATTTTATCTGTTTTTCTAAAATGCTATCACACAGGCCGCGGACGGTGCGTGGCAGTTTCTGGCGAAGTGTTTCGAGGTGGAAGCCGCAAGAAGTTGCCCCGAGGGTCCGACCAACTACCTCTCCCATACGCCCGTTTTCCAGGACGGCAGCTGCAACGGCCTGCAGCACTACGCCGCTCTGGGCCGGGACAAGCGGGGCGGCGCGGCGGTGAACCTGTTACCGTCGGAGGTCCCGCAGGACGTGTACACCATCGTGCTCGAGGAGTGCATCCACCGCGTGAACGCCGACACGCACAACAACGAGCAGGCCCAGCTTTGCGTGCAGCACGAGGTGCTAAAACGATCCACCGTGAAACAAACGGTCATGACGATCTGCTACGGAGTCACGATTCTCGGTGCGACCGAACAGGTGCGGGGCAAACTCCGGGACCTTCTCGGCTCCAAGGTGGACGAAGCGACCCTGCGGAAGATGGCACAGTACCTAGCGCTATCCTGTGTAAAAACGTCCTCATCCCATAGTCAAGTTGGGAACTTAGCAGCACAAATCTAAAAGTTTGGGGAGCGACGTATGACAAGTTGCAGCCCGTAGTGTAGCGCAGGTTCGTAAGGACAACCGCATCACAAATCCATCTGCTCTTCCTGTTTCCAGCATTACAAATTGCAAAAGACAACTAGAAATGCCTCTCATGGGGACCCGCATTACAAATGTTTCTGTAGATGCAAATCTGCATGGCAACCCTGGGGCGGGGACGTTTTTTTTTCAGGATAAGCGCGGAGGATTCTCCAGTCCGTGGACCAGGTGTTCGACCGCGCCATGCGCATCAAAAAGTGGTTTATCAAAATGAAAAGTCCCCCCTCCCCATATCAACATGGGGAATGATTTGTAACCACAAATCATGTTGTCATGCTAGAAGGCAAAAGATGCGGACTGTCGTGCTGGCTAGCGTGGGAAGGCCTTGCATCTTCAGCATTACAGGAGGCAACTGGAAGTGGAAAACAGCATGACAAATTTTCAGCAATTCAGGCCACGGCTGCTTCTCTTGGCCGTCTAGCAATACAGGTCGATTTGTGTACGCAGATCCAGCGTCACAGATGTCCTTTTCAATATGGGGAGGGGAGATTTTTCCTTGCGATATGGCTCGACGCGGTCTCCGTGGTGTTTTCCGACGTGAACCTGCCGTGTTGTTGGATGACGCCGTTTGGCTTGTCCGTGTCCCAGCCCTACTACGTGCAGTCGAAGCAGACCGTCAGAACGGGGCTTCAGTCCGTGACCCTGTGCAACGATTCCAGCAGCGAAGTCGACGGGCGGCACCAGAAGTGCGGGTTTCCGCCGAATTACGTACACTCCCTGGACGCGGCACACATGATGATGGTGGCGACGAAGATGCACGAAGCAAACATGGACTTCGCGATGGTGCACGACTCGTTTTGGACGCACGCGTGCAACGTCGACTTTATGAATTTCCACATCCGGGACAGCTTCATCGAACTCCACAACCAGCCGCTTTTACAGGACCTGGAACGGGATTATTGTCTCATGCTCGGGGCCATGCGCGACCGCTTACCGGTGCTGCCGCCACGGGAAGAGGATCTGGATCTGGAGAAAGTGCGCGAAAGCTTGTACTTCTTCGACTAGGTGGTCGGGGTGCTGGCAGAGTCGAGTCGCATGGTAGTAGTTGAAGAGTGGAAGATGTACTTAGCAAGTTCATCACGAAGAACTATTCAAGATGATAGATTGACGAGGAACCTCCTACAAAAGGACAACAACAAAATCTAGCGACATTTCAACATTTGGACACATCTAACGACACTTATTTTGACGTTTCGTCTCGCTCTCGCAAAGTTTGAATGTATATGCCCATGCGTGTCTCAGCTTATTCAGTTGTCTGTTGTCATGTGCTGCAAGTAGTACTACACGCATTAAAAAGTGCGGAGTTGTCAAGGTTGCTCTTGCCCGGTGTTGGCCAGTCGTGGTCGTCAAAAAGCAAGTCGTGTTCAAGAAATCAATAAGTAACTCGTCGCTCCTCCCTAGGCCGGGGACACAGAGCAAGAAAATTTATCTGTTTACAGAGTCTCTCGTCTTTCATCTCTCTCCTCTACTCAACAAACTTAGCGAGAAATAAATTCTCATCTACATCATTCGAATCTCTGTTGTCTGCTAAACGCAAAACATCATGCTACATGTCTTTCTCTCTGCTCGGAACCGCAAACTGCCGACGTTTTATTTCCTCTTGCTTCTTGGAAGTTTTTTCTTCTACAACCCTGCTAGTACTGCCGCCAACGCTGAGATCATCCACACTGTACACACCGCGACGCAGCACATCACCGGCGCGAAACCACTGCAGTTTTTGTCGCAGCGACGCGGAGCGGTGGAGCGGGTGGTAATTCTCGTGGTCCTTTACAACCTGTAAAAGACCGGCACAGATGATTGTTTGCAAGAATGAATTTCGAAAAGTTTTCCGATTTCACATTCACCGCAGGTAGAGAAGTTTATCCGTGATACGTACGGCGTAAGTGGTGCGACTGGAGGGTCTGCGGAAGAAAGCGCATCAGGAATAAACGAGGAAGTACCTCCAAATCAAGAGGAAAGTGCAAATGCGGTCGACACGCTGCTGCAGCAGGCACCATCCCCGGAGACGATGCGATCGGTAGTTGAATTCTTTTTTGGGGGTTCTTACATCTGACTCTGAGGCTCACAGTCAATACTGACCCTTCCGTACTACACAGGCACGCAATTCTTGATCCTCAAGGGGGCACAGCGACGGTGACTTTGCCTCGCGTCAAAAGGACCGTACTCGATTCGAAATCTTTCTGACAGGCGCTTCTGTACTCGGTTGTGATCTACCTGGGCCTGCTGACCGTGATGAGTATCCTGTATTTTTCTTCCTCACAAGGGGTGGATGACACAGACTTCATCGTATATCAAAAAGAGAAACCCCTTCCCCATATTGAAAAGGAAATTTCTGTTGCTGGATTTGTGTACACAGACTAGCTCTGTCTTGCAGTGAGGTACCACTGCAGGCAAAGCCTCAGCCTGCGTAGGGGTGTTTTGGTGTAGGTGCTTAGCATAGCAGAGGCCTGCCGTATAGGCGCAACAGCATGACAAACCGCCTCCATAAGGCGTCGCACTCTTTGGATTTGTCCTCTTGCAAGAGAGACAGGATTGGTGGCCACAAACCAGCATCACAAATTTTTAGAAGCGTACCCCTTTAGTATGGAGAGGGGGGATTTTTCCTCACAATATCGCACCAGGCGGGTTCAGCGACGAGATTTACGACTGCTTTGCACAACCCAATGTCTGCGTGGCAAGCTTCGTATAAATATCTTTTGCGGTTCAGTTATTTTTCACAGATGAACACAGCCAGACGTTGTAAAACAGCGTAAGTAAGTTATAAGACAGATTGATGATGGCGCAATGTGATTGTCATGCTCATGCTTTCGCTTTGCATGACGTTCGTCGCAGATAATACCCACTACAAAAAAAGTGCTGTCCGTTCGCGCGCTGGAGTGATACCGTGAGCCAAGCAGATTTGCTGCCCTTCAACGTCGGGCTGGCACTGTGGATTCTGGCAGGACTGATCGACTTGGCATGGTTCTTTCCCGCAGGTGAGTACGCTCGAGTACTTTTGGATTTATTGAAAGAACACATTTTTGCCTGGAGACTCGCATGGTAAAGATTTTTGTAGATACGAGAACTTCTCGTTCTGCTTCAACAAAGTACTTTCTTATTGTCAAAAAAGGTTTTCTCATCCTGGTCGTCCTGGGTTCCTATCACCGGATGCGACTGCGACGGGTCTACAAGTTGCCCACGCAAAACGTTTCGGACGTGTTGTCCTACCTTTTCTGCATGCCCTGCGCGATCGCGCAGGAGGCAAGACACGCGGAGAGGGTGCGCTCCATCGCGGAGGCGGTGCAGAACGGGCCGAGGACGCACTTCAACAATGTTTCGAAACCGCGAATGCAGCAGCCAGCCGACGCGATTCCGAAGCAGCGCTAGAAGTAGACGTGGTGGTCGTCGTGGGCTGCTTTATTCTCTTTCAGAATGGGACGGACCAAGACACTGCGAGAACTACAAAAGGTCCACTGCAGAGAAAATCCATTCCCGCCGTTGTAAATGAACCACAAGGAAGTGATCAACGAGCATAGATCAGGATGCCGCGTTGACGCAGACTCGATGCGTGAGGGGATGTGAGAGCCGCCGCCCGCATACGGATTCGTAAGTAGTACCCGTAGAGCAGGGATAACAGAAAATGCAACCGCTTCATGAAAGCACGTATAGGTGTGTTTTTGAATGTACATAGAAGACGAGATTATATATCTATGATAACACGGGCCATGTACAACTACACACAATAAACGAACCACCTATATTTTTTTGCTTTTTCTGTTTTTGCGTTGTTTGCGGCTTTTTTGTAAATGGCAGTCTTGAGAAGTACTGACTGCGCGACCTGTGCGCATATCGATGAACATAACATGTCGAAGAATCTTCCTTCGCTATCTGCGCACCCTCGTGCAGGACGCTGTCTAATAAATCAATAGCCACACCATGATCTTCGTTTTCTGATGATTCCTTTGATACTAACAGAAGGCCACGCGGCACTCTGAGTGTCACAACGCGGTAGTTAGCGATTCGTAGCAGGAAAAAGAAACACATGAACTTGGCATTTTTCTCAACACTTCACGACAACTTCTGTCACTACAACTGCTGCTCTACTGGAAAAAAGTCGAGCGAACGCGGCCGCCTGCACTGTAAGGACAGTTGCGCGCGGCGTTCTTTGGACACCTTTCCTAGAAGGCAGGAGCAATTTCATCCAATCCTCAACACTTCTGCTGTGCTGAAGCTGCTGTGTCTGAGAACACGCGCGAGGGACTAAGGTAAAGTTCTCGTCGCAGCCCTGTATGCCTGCGATGCGGAGTTCTCTTTCGATTATACTCGTTTGGTTTAGTACAATGAATCATTCTCAAGTTCAATGATCTGTTTCCAGCAGCCGCTCCTGAATCTGATTTCACGCCGCGATTAAAGGTCTCCTCGGAGTTCTACTTTATAGTTGCCACGGATCTTCATTTTGTTTTTCTTTGACTCGAGCCAGTGCCAGATTTTGATGGGCACCCAAGCAGTAAATGTCGCCCGAAGCTGCAATGTCGGAAGTGCTTGAATCTTCACCCACCAGGGCACCAACCACATTGGCGATAATCAATTTTATGGAGTAGAAGCCCTAGTTTAAAAGACCCTGTTTATCTTTTCTATTTCGCTTCCCGATGAAGCCTGCGCATTCAACTCGTCCCGTTTTAGAGGTGCTTCTTGCGTAATTATCAAAGTAGGATATCACAGGCAAAATGTTTAACCCCTTTGCGAGTAATCCTTTCACGAGCGGATCCGGTAGCAATCCGTTCGAGGAAGGAACTCCCCACAGCAACCCCTTCGACGACGTTCATGTGGTGGAAGACCATGATGATTTCGAAGAGGATCCCGCACAAGCTCTCCGGCAGGACAAAGCAGGGCATAACTCCGAGCAAAAAGGGCAAGCACAAAGGCAGCAGAATCAGAAAACGAACACTCAGAGAAATATAATCCAGAAAAATGACAAGAACGGCAAAAACAACCCTGGCCCAGCAGCAGGGAACAAGAAGAATGGTACTAACGAGATGAAAACTACCGATCCGAAACACACCAGTGATCATCCAAATGCTAGTGGGAGAAGCGGTGGCGGAATTTACGGAGCGTTTAGCGCACCGTATGGATTGCAAAAATGTCTGGGTCTGGAAGGATACAACTTGTGATGCTACTTTTGGAATCTACATAAAATCTGTATTGCATGAACAGCACAAGAGGTGTAATTTGTGCTACGCGGAGAGGGCGTTTCTCATGCGGTATGAGCATCAGAAAGCCCTCGCAAAATCTCTGATGATAGGTCATGCATCACAGACCTCATGGGTCATGCAAAATCTGCATGCGGAAATAGGGAATTATAAGGTGCAAAATCTGCATGACAAACTCCTGCATTCTTCCAGACCCAGACATTTTTGCATGTGATACACCGAAATCTGCCACGACATCGGCCCTTGCACAGGAAGTTCCGACGCAACGGGTGAGAGAGCCATTTTATGCGGCATCCAGGCTACCGCGCCCCGTGTTTCCGGTGGTGATCACGGGCACTTCTGCCGCAGCATCTTCATCTGCCGGTTCTTTTGCGCCGCAGCAGATGCCGCTCCCGCCGGATTTGATAAATTTGCGCAGAGTCCCTTCATCCGGTACTAGCAATCACGCAGGGCCCTCAGCTGGTGCCACTGCCACGTCCTCGAAGATGCCGATGCCAACCTTTCCTCCACCGGCGGTGAATTTTCCAGTCGACACGCTGAAGCAGAGTCCGCGGTCTATGCCGATGCCCCAACCCCCTCTCGTCCACACGCAGCGCGCAGCGAAAAGAGGACTGATGCCGGTCCCGGCCCCTTCCAGTAGCCCGTCGTCGTCACCGCATCACGCCGCGATGAATAAGAGCGGCGGAGTTGTACCACAACTCGATGAGCGGACTGCTTCGTCTAATTCTACCAGTCAAAACGGAAACAATAAAACCGCTAACAACAACAAGAAAAACGCGCGGTCGCATCAAAATAAGAGCAACAAGCGGGCTGCACAAGATGGGGCGGGACATCGGCAGCAGGAAGGAGATGGAAATCAGGCAAAAAGGCAAAAAACCATAGGGAATAATATAGACATCAACATTTGCGAGGAGAGACTTTTTCCCAACACCACCGCGATGCAGGACGGCTCCCGCGAGCTGAACACCACCGAGGGGTTTATGAAATGCAAACATGTCCGGGGCTGGAATAAACCTGTAATGCTGAATGGTCGTGATTGACTTCGCCTGTAAGTGCAGTGCAGCATGACAAATGTTGTTAGCGCTTTTTGATGCTTAGTGCGCATTGCAAACTGCGACTCCTCATGACGAAAGTGTGGCGATTTTGTCGTGTTTATGCAATACGGATTTTCCAGCAAAAATGCTGGACACGCAATGCAGGTTCATCCTTTCCAGACCCAGACATATTTGCAGTGGATAGGGTTCCACCTGCGGCAGAACGAGTTCTACCTGAAGCGCGTCACCGACGGAACGAAGCGGCGGGGCAATTTCCTGGACGACGTTTCTCACGAAAACGCCTCGTATATGTACATGACGGGGCACGACTTGCGGCAGTATGAGAAGCAGGTGCTGGACTTCACAAAGTCGAAGTCGAAAGCACAGAAGAAACAGCAAAAGAAAACGAACACGGACGGGCTGCACCCCCTGATGGAGTCCGAGGACGTGAGTTGCTACGACAATTTCACGGACAAGGAGCTGCAACAGGAATTGCTTGCCCTGATCGCGGCGTACATCGACGACAAGGGCGGCGCGGTCAAGGCCTGCGAGCTGGTCCACCCGCGGCTGCTATCAAAAGTAAAAATGTCTGGGTCTGGAAACTTGTGATGCTGGGTGGCGTCTCATGATGAGGCTACAAATGCTGGCTCAGCATGACAAGTTTCTGAGCTCCTAGGTGTTGCCTATTCTGCATGACAAACTGCGCTTCTGCATCACAGAAGAGCGGAGCTCTTGGGTAACGTGCGTCACAGATTCAAGAATCATGCCAGACAAGCATGACAAACATGAATTCTTCCAGACCCAGACATTTTTGCACTTGATAGCTGCAGGCGGTGCAGCACCTGATCCAGGACGGGAAGTACAAAAAGAAGCTGGTCTCCATCTGCCAGGAGCACCCGAAACACTTTCGCTGCTGCGCCTCCTGGTCGGACCCGGAGACCGGGCGCAAGCTCGGGCAGTTCATCGCCACCAGACTGGGGCTGCGCCGGCACCTGATCACGCCGCGCGACGAGCAGATGGCAGCGAAAACCGTGCAGCAGACGAAAAACGAGCTGTTGGTGCAGCAGGAGCAGTTTCTGAAGCTGAACAGGGAGGAGCTGGGGATCGTCGACGCGAAAAAAATCAACAGCGCCGGACTGTTATCCATTGCAAATATTATCCCTGGATGTCTGAAAGAGTGTAAACTTGTCATGCAGGTTTTCCATGACCGATGAGGTCTGGAATGCGGGACCCAGCATGACAGACTCTGTGGTGTGTCTTCCATGCCTATCCTGCATCAGAAACTGCCTTCCAACTTGGTCGAAACTGGACAGCTTTTGGCACTCATGCAACACAGATTTTTGCATGATTCGGATCTAGCATGACAGCTTGCAATCTTCCAGACATCCAGGGATATTTGCAATCCATAGCTGTATTTCGAAGAGGAAACGGGGATCAAGTACTTTATCTCGAAGCAGTGGTACGCGTGCTGCTTCTATCAAAGTGAAAAAAGCCCCCACCCCATATCCGAAACAGAAGATGCGCGAATTTGTGATGCTGTATTTGAGTACACAAATCAACTTGTATTGCTAGAAGGCCAAGAGACGAAGCTGCGGCCTAAATTGCAGGTAATCTGTCATGCTGTTTCCCACTTCCAGTTGCCTCCTGTCATCCTGGAGCTGCAAGGCTTTCCCACGCTAGACAGCACTACAGTCTGCATCTTTTGCCTTCTAGCATCACAAGGCTGATTTGTGACTACAAATCTGCATCACAGATTTCCGTTTTGATATGGGGAGGGGGCATTTTTCATTGTAATAGCTTCAACGGTTGCAACGAGATCTTTCACTCCTGGAACAGCTGCGTGGCCCACATGCTCGCGGACTCGCGTGCGCTGGGGATCATGTGGAAAAAAAGCGGGGGGAACAGCAAGAAGAAGGAGAAGTTCAAAGACACCCCGATTCCCTACGTGAAGCACCGGGCGTGCAAGCACCTGGACGAGAAGCTGGTGGCATCCTGGGCGCGCGCGGACGACATCGGCCGCGTCACGAACTTGGTGAGCGTGAACAAGGCGCGGGCGACCGGGATCCACGACCGCATGAAGAAGGTGCAGCTCCCGAGCGAGGAGGAGCTGGTCACCTACGTGTGGGACCTGATCGACGAGATCACGAATTTGGAGCCCAACTTCAGCTGGGACCGCGAGAACGCCATCATGATGTGCGGGGCCGAGTTGTGGGAGATGGAGAAGAGCAAGGAAAACACGCGGCGGCTGCTGACGAAATTGGGCCAGGCCTGGGCCAAGGGGGAGTTCGACACCAACAAACTGTTCGACGATTTGCAGCACAATGAGGAATATCCAGTGCAAACATGTCTGGGTCTGGAAACTTGTAATGCTAAAACGTGGATGATGGAAACGGTTCCGAATCCGAATGCAACCCAGCATGACAAATTTCAAGAACGCTTTCGCATAGGCAATCCGCATGAGAAACTGTTTTTTTGCACCTACAAAAGAGGCTGCGAATTTTGTTGGTTTAATGCATTACAGATTTTCTAGGTATGGAAAGCTAGCATTACAAGTTCCAACCTTTCAGACCCAGACATATATTTGCAATCCATAAGGAAGATGATCTCGACCCGCAACTCGAGGCGGAATTGGCGGCCGCGAAGATGTATGCATTGCAAAAGCATCGTACTAGTATAGATTGCATTACAAATTTTACCAAGAGGAAAAATGCAACTTGTCGTGCTGGATAAGGTAGCCAGTTTACATTTGTCATGTATCATGACTGCAATTCATACGAGTACGATAATTTTGCAGAGGATAAGATGTTCCCGGAAGTGGACCACGGCGAGCAGAGTGAGGTATCAAATGCAAAAATGTCTGGGTCTGGAAGAATACAAACTTGTGATGCGCATTTCAGCACACAGAAAAATCTCTGATGCGTGGCTAGCAAAAGCTGCCCACTTTCTGTCACCAAAGTGGGGGATTTGTCATGCGGATTCGGCATTGCGGAAGCTTTTCGAAACCTGTGATGCTAGAGCTTCCATGCCAGACCTTCTGCGTCATGCAAAAACAGCATGACTCTTCCAGACCCAGACATTTTTACATTTGATATGAGGAGGAGGTCGTCGATCTGCAGGTCGCGGGGGCGGGAAATATTAAAAACAACAGTACTAACAGAACCGGTGGTGGTTCGACTGCTCAAGAAGAACATCACGACAAGGACAACCTCGACGACGACGACCGGGACCAGTCTATACCGAACCTGGAGCTGGACTCTATGGCGCTCTCAAACGTTACATCCTCATAGCTGTTACATGGATTTGTAATGCAAGAATGGCAAAAGTGCAAGGGGGAAGATTATTTCGCCTTTTGCATCACAGGTTGGGCACGGATTTAGACGCTGTTCAGGAGTCCTTCGAAAATTTGTCATGCGAGGCAGCTTGATGATGTAGATACTGATGAGGGTTCTGCGTGACAAATCCATGTGACAGTTGAGAGCGTAACGTTTGAGAGCGCCATAGACTCAACCATCGGGTTACTGAAGAAGGTGAAGAACAAGACGCTATCGAATGAAAAAATCCCCCCTCCCCATATCAAAACGGAATTTCTGATGCTGGATGTGTGTACACAAATCAGCTTTGTATTGCAGAGAGGCACTGCGGCCAGGTCCCCAGGCTAGGTAGGGGCGTATGGGTCTAGTTGTTCAGCATGGCAAATGGCTCCCCTTTAGGCCAAACAGCATGACAAATTGCTTCCATAATGGGGCGGGAGCTTCTGTCCTTGTCTTCTTGCAATACAAATGTGATTTGTGACCTCAAATCCGCAACACAAATTTTCGGAAACGTACCTGCTCAATATGGGGAGGGGGGATTTTTCCTTCTGATAGACGCGGCGGGAACTTCGAGACCAGCTGCGAAACTTCCCGGACTTGTCGCAGCCGATCTGGCGGAAGGGCCGGCAGGGGAAAAAACAGTGGGACGTGAGCAACATGACCCTGAAGGACCAGCAAAAAAAGCAGATCAAAGTGACCCCCAAGGACTACGAGCGCGACGCCAACCGAAATGCCGCCATCCACTTTGGCCGCGCGCTGCTCCAAACCACACTGTACACGCGCGCGAAAGCCTTCGTCGCCCAGAAGTGCTACGGTCTGGAGTTCGACGCGCTCGGGTTGGGAAAGACCTGGGAGCAGTTTTGGACGGACAACTTCGCGTCGCAGTTTCTGCCCTCGGGGTTTCTGGAGGAACGACGGAAACTACGCGACGCAGCTGCCCGGAACAACTACCGCGCGGGAAATAGTAACACGACCGGAATAAAAGGTGCAGGTAAAAAAGGGAAAAATAGTAAGGGCGCCGCGGCCCCAGGGCAGGCGGGAGCGGGAAAGCCCTTCTTCAGCAGTTCAGCCGCTTCACCAACTAAAGGTGGAACAACCAACGTGAACTATTCCGTTTTTGGCAAAAACGTGAACGATCCCCAGTCGTTGGATGATAACAATTTCAAGCCGACCTCCGACGCAGGACGTGTGGATGAGGTTGACAGCCAAGCTTCCGAGCTGAATTCTGAAGATGAGGGTTCTGCTTCCTCGCAAGACGAAGATGAAATCGTCCTCGACATGATGAATCCCTTTGCGGACGACTCGAATGATCAACACACGACCGCACTTGACGATCCATTCGCTACCAGTCATTTCGGCACGAACAACAACTCTGCTGATCCGGCGCTTGTTTCCACCTGGTCCCACGAGCAAAACGGGAACTCCTTCGCCGGAGTCTTCGATGATGATTTTGAGAACGATGCGGTTGCTGCGGGCGACGATCAGGTGGACAACTACGGGAGAAATGAGGAGAAAACCAAAGAAAAAATTAATGCAACAAACGCCACCCCCGCACTGTCCACTACTGCGCTGGCGCACCAGGACAACTTATCCTTGCTATTGAAGCACGACTTTCTGACCAACGAGGTCCAGGCGGCTGCGTATGCCAAGCTGGAGACGAACGCGGAAAAATCCAAGTTCCGTGCGCAGGCGCGCACGGTGGCGCAGAACAAGATGCCAATGCCGCCGAAGCTCCTGCGCGGCGTCGACCGAACGAGTGCCCGGGAGATTGAGCCGGGACTGCGGCAACTGGCGGAGGACCAGAGTCTCCGCGTGGAAGGACGACGAGGGGGAAATCATTCAAATGATCCTTCTTCCTCTTGGAGCAAAGCAAATGAAAATGATCGGTCCAACGACATTCCGGTGGACGCGCTGGTGCATTCTGTGGTGGTGAAGTTGAAATCTAACCTATCCTGTGCAGAAGTATCGTACTCGTAGTAATTGCATTTATGCATGACAGTGCCCTTTTATTAAGATGAATCCGCATTACAAATTCCATTTCTAATGCTGAGAAAATTTGTATTACAATTTTAATTTCATACTAGTGCGATACTTTTGCAATTCATTCAACCTTGCCTGGAACAAAAGACGCGGACGGGGGGAAAACGAAAGAGATAAAAGTAGCCCGTCGGCAGAAGTAGTGGACCCGAAATATACGGTGGTTCCACAGGCGGAAAAGGCGCTTCGGCTGGTGGTGGCCGACTGCGCGAGCATTCCGTTGGAGGTATCGCACAGAAAAAAGCTGGCAGGTCATATTTGTAATGCAAAAACAAATAGACAAAAAAACTTGCGTCGCATATCCTAAACAGCATGCTATGAAGCCGCCCACGACAAATTTTTCGGTGTATTTATTTTTGCATTACAAATATGCCCTGCCAGCTTTTTTCTGTGGGATAGGAGGCCCTGGCGGAAGACGCGGATTTCTGTTTCATGCACGCCGGATATGAGAGTGCACAACTCGTCCCCGTCCTTCTCGCTTGTCATGCAAAATGAAAATACCAAATCTACACCTCGCCTTTGGGCACTCTTTGCAGGGCAAATTTTGGAAACTCAAGCAGTACTACAACAATCTGTGTACAGATTTGTCATGCGGAAGCCGCACGATCTCTCCTGTGGCTTGTGTTGCTGTTGATGTGGCCTGGCCACATCAACAGCCGCCACGCAAATTAGGGGGAGGGGAAGCAGCTGTGCACCCTCATACCGGAAGTTGTCTCAAATTGCAGTTGGAAGACGGAATGCCCATCGAATGCGTTGGGTGCTCCGCGAATCACGCGCATACGGAAAGGAAGCTGGCGCACGTTTTCAAGGACTTGTGAACAATGAAGCGAACATGTATGTTGTATTCTTTCAGGTTTTTGGTTTAAGTAAATGATATAATAAGCGACCCCCCGCGCAAAGCTGCAGAACGATTGCGCCTTATGTGTTGGATGCATCTGATAAAATATCGCGATGCGGCTTGTTGGTTCGCTGTAAAAGTGTTCCGAGCAACGCACCACAAAGGACATTCTCGTCTCGTAAAGGAGGGACATATGCCTTTGGTGTCATGCTTAGTGGATGATCATGATCTGACTCGGTCCAGTGCCCAAAGCTTTTTTTGGCATTGCTTGTTGATATCGCTGTCGGTTTTGATTTGATTGCAGCAAGCGATAACTATCGGTCCCGGTTCCAGATAACCAGGTTCGGGTGATTAGCGTGATCTTTGACTTATCCAGCATGACCCCGCCCCTTGTCATCATTCGGTGGCTTGCGATTTCCTTCGCGGTGCCTGAAGGTGCTGACCCGGTTGTCTCGTAGCTCTCCCCTGTCATTTACTGGGAAAGTCTCCGTACTGTCGGTTTGTGTGCTATCTATTGCAGCAACTAAGTCGCGCTGACACGGAGTCGGTTAGTTTACCGGCATGAAGTGTTTTTGTAAAAAGCTAGCGGAAGAAGTGTTTGGAACTTTTGACGCAGAGTCGGGCGCTTGTTTCCGTTCGGTTTCCCGTTCCAATGTCTGCGCCGTAACCAATTTCTGCGACGACCCAGGTGCTTGTTTCCGAGCCCCACTTTTTCGCAATCGGCGCGCGCGCGTGGCGCAATCCATTATTCGGATAACTATGCTCTACGTGTAAGTGGAGCATAATTGAGTAAGTTGAAGTTATATTTTTCTCAGTTGCACAACGCTTTCGTTGTTCTCGACTACTTACTTCCACTTCTACCCAGCACTAGCTACGCCAGTACTGCTGCCTTCTTCGAGTCGGAGAATTATGCATAGGTAGTGCCTGCTCCATAAACTTTGAACCTTTTCAGCTCGGACCACTGTGGCCGTCGACGTCCAGCATACCAATCGATGTCGATGGAGGACATCTCAGTACAGAAACTCCTGCCCGCCGGCGTGTTGGGGTGCCAGGTGGAACAGGCGGAGCTGTTTATTTGCCGAGAGTCGAACAGCGCACCCGCGCATTTCGACGGGAAAGAACTAGTACCGGTAGACGGGTACAACATCAACAACTCCTCCTCCCCGGCAGCTCCTGATCTGTCAGTTTGTGAACCGCAGCACAATTACAATGAGTTGCCCACTCTAACGCAGGCAGAGGAGCACGCACGGGCTAACGGATTGACGCTCAAGCGAAAGTGGCGCAAATGGCGAAGGGAGTGGAGTCGGGTTGAAGAAGTGACTGAAGTTAGCGATGGCAATTGCGTTGCTGCTGCTGACCGGTATTCGTCCTGGGTGCGCTACAACCCCGAGCCGCAGATGTATCGCTTTGTAGTGTCTGTGAATCATCCGCACACGTATGAGGAGCTGCCTACGCTCGAGATGGCGGAGAAATACACGCGGGAAAACGCAAAGAGACTAAATCCAAAGTGGCGAGCATGGCGAGAAGAGTGGGCAGCAGAAATGAAAGAAGTAACCGACGCCGGCCCTGACTTCGCAGGCCCTCGTTACAAGCATTGGGGCGACCGATATAAGGTCTGGGTCGCCTACAACCACGAGCCCAAGATGATTGGTTCGACTCCGCGTGTGAGTTTGAAGCATCCGCACACGTTTCATAACTTGCCTACTGTTGATGCAGCGGAGGAGTGTGTGCGAGACCGCGGGAAGCGGCTAAACCCGGCTTGGCGAGACTGGCGAATGAGGTGGGAGCAGGATACTTACTTTAAGGCCTGTGTTGACGGAAACGGCACCAGAAAAGCTATGGCTGATTGCTTTTCTGAGTGGGTGTGCACGTGGCCCTACAATTCAGAGCCGATGATGTTTCGCTGAGTACGGAGGAGCTCGAGGTCTCGGCCTTCTACTGAATTGCGTTGTGACTTTATACAGTAGAGTGGTGCTATTTGATTTTTCCTTTAAGCGTGTACCGTTTTTCTGTTCGGCGCAGTCGTCGCATGCATAAATCTAGCAGGTGCTGCATTCGCAGAATCACAATTATTGATTGATTATCTGGAATGAAAATCTTAATCTTCGGGCTGTTGCTATAGTACAGTAGCATGTTGGCTCTGGCTCACTACGAAGAGCAGTGAATAAAAAAGAATGTAAACTAAGTATGGGTATCTACAATTTTGTCCCGGCACGTAATAATTTGTCGAAGTAGTTGTAGATCATGGTAATCCATCGCATTTCACGAAGACCAGCATTGGTGCCCGTTCTAATCATTGTGCTAGCGAGGGTTATTTTATGAGATCACTACGTATGTCGGAAGCGGAACGTGGGGACCGTTTTGATTTACTCCACGTCTAGCGGTCAATATGATCGAATTTTTGTTTAACCTACCGCACAGATTTAGAGAGGCGAATAAAATGAAAAGCAAATAAAGCGCATCAGCACTCCGGTTCTGCATTTGTTACAGAGAAGAGCCTATTGATGTAGCTTCTTAGGCTGCTGTTCCACCAAGAAGTGAATGAAGGTTTTTTCGCTTTTCTCCGGCTACGAGGTCAACGAGGAGCAAAAAAAGCATCAATCTTCTGGCCGATCCTTATTGACGCACTCGTAAGGAACAAATGCGCATTTTAGGCACGACGTCATCAATTGGGTCGTGCCGACGATCTTCGCTGCCCTTTAACCGCTGTACATCATTCCGTGCTCCGGACTGTATTTTTTTTTCCAACTCAAAATAAATTGTAAATCAATTATACGCGTCTGTGTATATTTTTCGTTTTTGTGTGCTTTCTACTTTGTCGGGACCCTTTGCGGGTCGTGACATAGAAGTACCGTCGCGATCTCATCTTCACCGGTCACTACATGCGCCATTCGGAACAAGCACAACTTTGCAAAGGACACACCATGGTGCGCCCGGTTTCGACCTCCCTCTATGTGCCTCCTCGTCGGGCACTTCACGTGTGGCGGCGTGCATTATTTCGTGTTGCTTGTTTATCTTTGACTTTGTCGGTTTGTTTCACCCCAACGACCATTGATGCCAGATCCTGGACCGACGGCGCTCCTGCAAGGTTTGATGGCGATGAGCGGACGGAGTTGTTCGAGGTGGAGCTGCCGAGCATGCGGGAGCTCCGGCAGCAGCAGCTAGACAACGCGTTGTTTGGGCAGCAGAGCCAGGCGACCGCCAAAATCGATCCAGCGGACGCGGAGTTTGACAAGTTGACCAGAAGTTCGGGGGTCTTATCGCCGAAAAGGGGAGGAGGTCAACAAAGTCAAGCTGCGGGACGAGGAGGGTGTTACAACTCAAGCGACGGCGGGTTACAGCCACTCGGCTGCACCACCACCACTACGACCTCCGGCATAGAAGACAGTGGGACCACGTCGGTGACCGTGCTGGGCACCCCGAGGCCGAGTGGAAGCAGCGACCCAGAGAAGTCGTTCGCTCCGCCACCGCCTACGCAGCCGCCACCGCCCCTGGCGCCCCACTGGGCAGCTACAGAGGACTTTGAGTCCTCGGTTACTGCTGGCGGAAAGACGAGCAGCAGCGGTAGTGATGTGACAACGGAAGTTCTTCAACAGCAAGCAGCACGGGTCCTCGCGTCCGACCAGCTGAAACTTCCTCGGTTTTCCCCCGTGCCCTCCCGGCAGTCGCTGCTACAGCAAGTGGAGGCGCGCGCAAGCACGGCCGAGATTTTGGACGCCTGCCCGGGGATTGATGGTCCGGCCGCTTCGGAAGTAGAAAGCGAGGGGGCGGACATCAGTCGGGGGGGAACGAATTGTGGCATGATTACAACGGGAGCAGAGAAAGGCGATGCTGGATCGATACTGACCTCTGCCGCGGCTGCCTCAAACGTGCCAGCACGTTTGGCGCACGGGCTGCCGCACCAAGGCGGCCGCGAAGATGTTGAAGAGCAGAAAGGCGAACAAACTGAGGAGGAAATTGAAGATTCCTGTCCGCTCTCCGTCTCGGAGCGCATTCAGCTCTTTGAGGGCCTGTTCGGCGAAGTTTTGCAGAAGCAGTCTGAGGCGGAAAAAAGAATGAACAAACCAAGGAGACGAGGCATGCAATCCCGGATCCGCGCCTTAGCAGCGGACGAAGAAGATGAATCCAGCTTCGGAGGACGAATCCGAGGAGACGAGGAGGATGCAGGCAGTGGGAAAAAAATCAACAACAAGCCTGTTGAAGATGATGTTGACCTAGTCGACGGCGGGCAACAGGCTGCAACGAGAGAGGACATGATCCACAGTGCTGCAACTACGAAGCAGGATGAGGATGATGATAATTCTCGTCGTCCCACTCGTTCTACTTCAGTAGCTGCTGCCGCTTCTGCTGGTGGTAATCAGCCCACGGAGGGCGCGTTTTTCATCGGGAAAGATCCGGACACCGATTCCGAGTCCGACGAAGAAGTTCCACGACCCGCCCGCCGCGCCTCCTCGGACAGTGCGGGCTCCGGGGGGGCGTTCTCCAGTCCCTTCTCCCCACCCTATTCTACCGGGCGTGACTCGTCCCGACGCGACGTGGGACGAGAGGGTGGCGCCGGCGCGGGGCTTGGTTTTGCATCCTCCGCGCGAGACGAAGGAGCATCCTCGGGAGTAGCTCGTGAAGATGAAGTCCTTTCAGCGATGAATTCTGAAGTAGTAGAACCAGCAACAGGTGCCTCATCGAACACGAGCGGAGGACTGCTGAAAATCATTTCGCAGCGCATGCGCGTGAAGCCAGGGACGAAAGATGCCACTCTTACAACTGCCAGCGCGACTAATGCGGTCGGAAAAAATCCAGCTTCTGCCGCCTCGTCGCAGGAAAATAAACAGAGCGAACTGTCGACATCATCAAAACGAAACTCCTGCTGCGTCCCTCCGACCGTCACGGACGCGGCGAATTTGACCAAAGCACAGCGGCAGATGCAGAAGCTCTTCTCCGACGTGGGGACGCTTTTCCCGACGCACATTATCCCACAGAAAAAAGCTGGCAGGGCATTTTTGTAATGTAGAAATAAATACACAGAAACACATGTCACGGGTGGCCCCATAGCATGCTATTTAGGATATGCAATACAAATTCTTGGGTGGCCCCATAGCATGCTATTTAGGATATGCAATACAAATTCTTTTGTCTATTTATTTTTGCATAACAAACATGACCTGCCAGGTTTTTTCTGTGTGACACACATGGGCCGGCACTTCGACGGCATGTCCGACGAGGACGGGCGTGCGGCGCTGGCGACCCACCGCGACTGCATCGAGTATCAAATGTAAAAATGTCGGGGTCTGGAAGAATTCATGTTTGTCATGCTTGTCTGGCATGACTCTTAAATCTGTCATGCAAGTGACCCAAGAGCTTCGTTTTTCTGTGATGCAGAAGCGCAGTTTGTCATGCAGAATAGGCAACACCTAGGAGCTCAGGAACTTGTCATGCTGAGCCAGCATTTGCAGCCTCATCATGAGACGCCACCCAGCATCACAAGTTTCCAGACCCAGACATTTTTACTTTTGATATCGAGCAGGTGTTTGCTATTCCGGGACTCTCCCCGGAGTACGCCGTGTCCGCTCTGCGCCGCATTGCGGAGTGGCTGCGGGCGCGGTCTTTGTTCGTCGAGGAGCTGCCCTTCTGGGTCAGAATGCTCGACATTGAGCAAGCAATCCACAAGGAGCAACGGGAAGGTATGGTTCTTGTGCGTATATAATGATTTGATTTCATTCGTCGCAGCGAAAAGTAAATAGCTCTGAGCAGGACCTAAGAAAGAACTCTCTGCGCATACTTCCAAAACTAGGGCTTTCATCAAATCAGCTCAATTTTTTATTTGTGACGTCAACCTGATTTCAATATAAAGTATCAAATTTCTTTGCGCCCTATAGCGCTGATAGCCGAGCTGGCGCTTGCGGTCGACCGCCCGGGAGACGATGATGTCGCGAGCTTTCGCGAAGATGAGGTCGACGTTTTGCAACGCCGAGTGGACGACGAGGACCGGCGTTTTGAGGCGATCAAGGGCGAACTCGAGGCCCAGCAAACGCGCGTCTACGAATTCATCGGACAAAACTGGGAAAAAACGCGTCATAAAGTGTAGCGACATGATAGTGGCTTAAACAATAAAAAGAACTTGTTTATTTGCAGCTTACTTTCAACAGTGATTCGATAGCGCCGCTGCACCCATGGTGATGAAGGTCGTGGTGCGTCGTACGAACTACGAAGAAATGAGTGTGCTGAAAAAATAAAGCGACTTTATTGAATTGAAATGAACGACTGGTGTGGACGATCGATGTTGCCGCGTGTAGGAAAATCTTGATGTGATAGGGGTCATGTGGCCCTTTTCTTGCGATTTTGCTGTGAAAACAACCGGTTTGCTGCAAACGTCAAAATTGAAGAATACAGATGGATCACTTCTTAGCGCGCAGGCGTAGCGCACTGCGGATATTGAACTACAACGCATGTTGCGATGCAATAAGGAAGAACAAGAATTAGAATCCGAAGAACGGAGTGCTTGTTTGATATTCCACCCAGCGCGTTTCTGTTGTAGTGCGCGACATAATTTTTATCGCAAGTAGTCTGGGTTGTAGAGGAACTTTTTCAAGGAGTTGGTTTTTAGCGTCGCTTAATTTCGTGGTACGCAGTGCCAGATCCAATCGTGCCTTCGTGGTCCACAAATTTATGGAAGAAAGAGCAGGAACATGTGACGCCATCGCGCTATCGTGTAGGAAAGATCGTTAACTCCTCATTCTCACTTCTTTGTCAGTCAAGGGTCGCCGGTAGGGAGTAGTAGTGCATCTGTTGTTTTATTAACTCTAGTCTGTAATGACCTGAAACTGAAAGTGAAAGAGGAAAACTAGCGCGCAGGCACACAAGTACGGCGGTTTTTCATCGTTTATAAATTTTCCTTGCAAAGAAGAAGTTGTACGATCTCCATCTTCATGCAGAGCAAACATATTTTTATCGAAACACGAATAACGACGGCGGGTTCGTCCTTTAGATCTTGCAGTAAGAAATAACCGCGGGTCAGCATACAGACCCTGCCTCCCGCTCTCTTCCGATTGACTCACCCTCCGAACACGTTCACGACGACGCAAAAATGCCCGAGCACAAACCCAGTGGTGCCTGCCGTGCAGTGACGCCGGCGGCGCTCACCGCGAGTGAAGAAAAAGAAAGAGGCGCGAAGCTGTACAAAGCTGGGGACTGGGCAGGCGCGGTCGCAGCGTATGACGAAGCGCTTTCGCTGCTCCGCGAAGGAGCGCAGAAGGAGGGGCGGGAGCAAAAGCAGCACGCCTACCTGCGGGCTACGCTTCTGAGCAACAAATCGATGGCGCAGTACGAGCTGGGTCAGTACCGGGAGGCCGCGCACTTGGCCAGTATTGTCGCGGATCTGGATGAAGACGATATAACTTCTGTAGTCCCACCAGCAGACCACGACTCCGGTGGCAAGGAGAAGGAGAAGGACAGCACAAACATTGTGCGGAATCTGCGGCGCAAAAATATCGAGCGGGTGGAGCGGTGCGAAAATTTTCTCCGCCCGTTGATGGTGGTGGAACAACCAGTCATACTACCCGAGGCTGCTGGGTCCTCTTTGTCGTCTACAACAACTTCGGCCATCGGTTCTAGTGATCATTTGCACAATATTAATTCCGGTCATAATTTATTCGACGCCAGGCGCTTGGCCCGCTACCGGTCCCCGCGCATCACCACCATGCAGGAGCTGTACACCAGCAGCAATGTGTATCATACGAAAAAAGTGTTTCACTGTAAGGATTTTGCAAGTTCTGCATCACAAGTTTGCTCTACATCACAGAGAAAATTTGCCATGCTAGATTCCTAAGGAAAAAGACAGCTAAAAATCCATTGTCTTGCATGTGTAGCAAGACAAACACTTCTCAGATGCAGTTTCTGGATTACAAGTTCACAGTGAAACAGTTTTTTCTTGCGATAATGTGGCTATGAGCGCGTTTCGGCGAATTCCGCGGGAGGGAGAAGAGTTGGGCGAACCAGACCCGAGCTGTATCCCGTGTAAAAACATCCCCACCCCAGAGTTGTCATGCAATTCTGCATGCCAAAAAAGTTTCTCATGCAGAGCCCTATGAGAAGCATTTTCTATCCGTGTTTTGGAATTTTTGATGCTAGAATCAGCATACTATGCTAGATCTGTGATGCTTCTGAACCAACTGGCCTAACAGGATTACACTACGAGGACAAGTCTGCCATGACAAACAACCAAAGCTGGTTTATTTGTCTAGCAGAGTCCCCATCTTGCTTCTGGTGTGGGGACGTTTTTAATCAGGATAAGCTGCGAAGAGGACCTGGCCGCGGTTTTCGGGGGCTTCAACGATGGTCGAGACGCCATGCTGACGATGATCGAGGGGAGCCAGAAACTGGAGAAAAATCCGAACCTGCGCATGCGGTTATCAAATGCAAAAATGTCTGGGTCTGGAAACTTGTGATGCTAAAATGTGCAAGAGGAAGTCACTTCCTTATGCAGGAAAGCATGACAAGGTTGCAGCACGCCTTCTCATACGAACTCCGCATGAGAAACTGCGTTTTTGTATGACACAGCACGCTACCACTGTTCTTGGTCATGCAATACAGATTTCACAGGAATGCAAGGCCAGCATTACAAGTTCCAACTTTCGGGACCCAGACACTTTTGCAATCCATAGCGGTTGTGTCTGAACGACATCCACCCCACGGCGGTGGCGCGATATTGCAAGGAAAAATCCCCCCTCCCCATATCAAAACGAAATTTCTGATGCTGGATTTGTGTACACAAATCAGCTTTGTATTGCAGGAAGGCACTGCGGCCAGATCGCCAGGCTAGGTAGGGGCGTACGGGTCTAGTTGTTCAGCATGGCAAACTGCTCCCCTTTTAGCCCAATAGCATGACAAATCGCTTCTGTAATGGGGCGGAAGCTTCTGCCCTTGTCGTCTTGCAGCACAAAGATGGCTTTTCAATATGGGGAGGGGAGATTTTTCATTTTGATACGCGAATTCTGATCATCTTCCGGCTCTGCGAACAGCTCGCCTCGGAGGTTCCACCCGAGAAGGACGCCAAACTGCACCGGAACGGCTTGGGTTTGCTGCACAAGAGCCAAACTGGGCAGCTGCTGCAGTTTCTGTACATGATTCCCAGCATTCCGCCCGCGTTGTATGAACGCTTGCTGGCGGAGGTGGCGAGTCTGGAGAACATATTTGCACCAGCAAACGAAAGCTCCTTCGCGCAGGATTTTTGTGCTGCATTTGGCTCTTGGTTCCGACCCCCGGACAGATCCACGCGCCAAAAGATCTTCGACGCGATTCAAAATTGGAAAAAGGTCGCGGCGTCCGTATCGGACGAACGCATTTGGGAGTACAGCAGTATCGCGCCGGAGGGGGTCCCATTTGACGCGTACTTCAACGCGCCCGGGGCGGGCCCGCTGCGCGAGCTTACGAAGATTAGCTGCGGCTGGATGCGCGACCGGCTCGGCCTGGACGAACGCGCGACTCGCGAAAGGTTGCGGCAGATGTATTTCGTCTTCGATGCGAGAATCCAAGCGGCCCACGTGGACAATTTCGAGGAGGTGGTGCGCGACTGGCACAAAGCAGCCAAGGCGGGTCCGGTCATAGGCCCTATTTGGCGGGCCTATGACCGCCTGCAAAAACGCGTGCAGCAGGAAGTGGAGAAAAAATACGGCGATTTCAAGCGGTGGCGCTTCAATTTTACGTTTCACGATCTCAGCTGCAGCGTTGACCCCGAGGCTGGTCCTGCTCGCGGCAACTGCACGTCGAACACAGGCCGCCCCGCTTCTAGAAGTACAACTACGTCTGTGCCGGAGGGTGGCCTCCATAATTACATCCTTACGCCAGATTACGAATTCAATGAAAACATTTACACCAGTAAGAAGAGTTACAAAGCTCCTGGCGAATTTATCATTCCCGAGCCGCCAGCCAAACTGATGGATTGTGGCCTCAGTGGCGCGTGGTGGAGAGGCACCGATTTGGCCGCTTGGTTCTTTCTGCAGGTCGGGCGCGCAATCCAGAAGTTTCGAGCTCTAGAGGATCATGGCTCCACGTCCACGAACAACAACTTCACGGCAACATCAAGGATAAGTTGCGAATTGAACTGCGGAGACATAGGGGCCTACCTCAATGAGTTGGAACGAGAGGCCTTTGCTGCCGGAACAACGTCCAAGTTGTTTGACCGGGTGTTTGTTTCGAACATTCTCGATTACACTGGATGTCTGGACTTCTTCAGTTACGGTATCCCGCTGCTAAAGCCATCAAATGGCTGCACGAACTCCACGGTCTTGCGGAACTGCGGGCACTGGTTTCCGTGGACGGGTGACATGCACTGCGCCGAGGCCTACAAAAAGTACCTGTACTGGGGGAGTGCGCTCGGGAGTTATGAGCAAATTCGCGAGGTGTTTGGCGCGTCGGTGGAGGGGGCGCCAACTATGATGGAGCCGCACCACGTGTGGAAGAAAAGCGACGCGTTCGGCACCGGCCGATTGCTCCCGAAGACTTTGAGCCGAAAGACGACCGTCAAGACCTACCTCGCCACGCTGCTGGTGCGCTTGGTGCTCCCGCCGCAGATGGTGGAGGAGGACCGGGGTTGGGAGATGGGCGCTCCCTGCGTGCCGCCGACCGGCCTCGCCGGGTTTCTGCGGGTGGCGCAGTCGCTGGTGCGATACCAAAACTGTCCGCCGCACTGGGTGTTCGAAATTGTCGAGGCGGTTCTGAAACGGGGTGAGTTGAAGGACGTCTGGTGCCGAGACCGCAGCGTGCCCGTGCCCGAGTCCGAGAAAAAAATCAGCAATGTGCCCTTAGATTGGGCACAAGTCGAACTCGCGACGCTGCTCCGCGTGTTCGCGAACGAAGTGCCCTTCCGTTTGGATGGGTTCCAGCGACTCGCTGACACCGTACTAGGCGACGGGTGCGCGGCGCAAGAGAGCAGTCGCGTGCGCGTGTACCGGGGGAAATTACGCAAGCCGCTGGTGCCGTGTACACAACTTACGCACGGAAAGCACCCGGTTATGGGCGTCGCCATTGTCTTCTCGGTTTCTCATCTTGTTGAAGCATTGAAGAGCAAAGCGGGTTATGATATGAACACTCCAGCAGAGATGTTGAACGACTACAGGCCGCGGCTGGTTGGGCCAGTTCCGAACGACGCCAAGGCCGAGCTGAAGTTTTGGGGCGTTCCCAAAAACGCGGGCGATTTGAGATACCCAGGGTATACTTGTTCTCCCTTCTTCAAGTTCATGGTTTACTGTTCGAATGATGGCCAAAGAACATGTAGCTGCTGTTGTAGCCGACGGATTCGATTATTATCTATTTGTTTCTTCAGTAAAAAAAGCTTTTAGTTCTTCTCGTCCGGCGCGCAACATTTTCGGGTGAGGTTTTTGCAAGAGCTACTTACTACCTTCTCTGAAAAGAACAACGACTAAACAGCACCGTCCTACATCGCTTCACCACCTGTTCCTGGGATTTCGAGTCACGGGAATTCGAGATCCTGTTGTCGAGCGCGCTGTTTGAGAAGTTTTCCGCTGACGGCTACTCCTGCGTCGTTTTCGAATATGGTACTTACATCGTGCTCAGTAGGGAGGCGGTCCCGGTCAAGAGCCTGCAAATTGTGCAAGCCGATGCGTCGAAACTCTTCCGGGTCTGAGGGTGCTTCTATCCTGGTAGTGCCTCCTAAGTGTCGCAACGAATCGCCAGGGAGGTGGTCGACGTGATAATGTAAAAGTTGCAATTGTTTGATCCAACGGGGACAAACGCACTTTCGCGATGGAAAATGCTCCTGCAAGAAGATGATAAGCATAAGTAACTGAAGTGTTGCCCCTTGATGATCACAAACATGTTTACGCTAGAGTCCACATCAAGAAACGCACAATCAAGCTGTGGCTGAATTGCTAGACGCCGCCCCTTTGGGTGCACATTCCATGCGATGATGATGTATTCGGCCACTGTGGAGGCCGTGATCTGTTCTACGGCTGACCATCAGCTCTAGCCGAGCCTTGTCCGATGCGTGATGTGTCCTCGCGTTTGTGTGCTCCAGTGAGATTCTCGTGGTATCAGTTCAAATCCACGACTTTCACACAGAAATAAAATGAGCCCTCGGCGGGTCTTGCGCTCCCTGCTCAATTTATTTCGTTCCTCAGCTTATGCGAAGATCTGTAAAAAGCAGCTCACCAATTTGCTCTGGTTTACCAGCACATCGTGAAAAGCTAGGTCATCGCTCTTCGGTTTCCACGATTGATGCGCGGGCCTCTTGTGGTGCACCCTTGCCAAACGGATCTGATATTTTGTGGCAGGCTCTTTGCAGGTTATCACTCGGTGGTCGGCGGCAAAGCTCATGCTAGCAGAAAGATCTGATATGTTGACATTTTCGTGTCAGGTGGCTGCGTATGAGGTAGATCACGACGTTCATCGACATTCAAGAGCAGCAGCAGCAGCAGCAGCAGGTGAACCGATCGAGACCGAATAGAGTCTTCCCGAAGCAGCACCATAGCAGCACTAAGTAGAAGCAAAAATAGTTCTAAGGTCTATACATACTAGTCAACAGCTTCGCGTCACCAAAACGAAGAAGATGGGTGTAGTAAAAATTGCCACGGAGCATCAAGCAATAAATCTAAACACGCATTGAGGAGCTTAAACAAGGATGAAAGTGCAGCCACTATTGACGCAAGTCCTTGACTATTTGGCTACGTATCTTTCAACTAAGTAACATGCCGCCTGGTTTGACATAAATCCATGATTCGATGACGTATGCATAAATACAAGACACTAAAATAAACACGACCTCGGCACCACAAGACGGCACTTTAGTAATAAAGCCTCGAGAATGGCGCTCAAACTTGCGGCGCGGGGGGACTACGGGTCTTTTTCCCATGCTGACAGGACGAAATGGGTGCACGAGCATATGGACGAAAGGCTCAGGCAAAGTTTTGCCCAGAAAGTACTCGGGCTGACTGCAGGTACGAGGAAGGTTGCTTAGACTCCGACTCAGAAGAACCAACTACAGTAGATGTTGCTGTGGCAAGAGCGTGGTGCCGTTGTGCGGCCTCCTTCTATCCGAATTCTCGAAACTTCTCACTATAAACAGGTATGCTTTCCGTGACCGCTTCCGTTTGTATGTTGTTCAAAGTCGTTTTCCACTTTTACCTGAAGCATCCTCCAGACGACTTGGCGCACGGTGCCAAGCCCGCAGAGAATTCGCGCGACGCAAAGTGGCTTCAAGACGTCGGGTCCGCGCTGTTTCTGAACGCCGAGGCCACGGAAAACTTCACTCGCCTGCAAGTCCGGTGGATGGAAGACACCATGGGCGCTTTCCGTATACCAATAACGGTTCTCGGAATTTGCGGCAGCCTCTACGCACTGTGGCTACTGTGCTGTGTCAGGTGCTGCTGCTCTGAGGTAATTATGTCTCGACTGTTTATCCTAGGTGGAATGGTAACTGGTATATGAGAATTCAGGAGCAGCTTTCCATGTTTTTTCCGTGCAGCACTGCAGCTCTCCCTTGTGTAAGTGTAGTGAAAGAATGTGACATGCAGAATGAGGCCGGCTCTGTTAACTTTTCTAAAGCTATCTAATTCAAGTACATGACCCGGAACATCAAAAAAAACTATAGCTGCTTCGGCGGTCCCCGACCAACTACGTTCTCCTGTACACCCTGGGCGTGATGTATGGGTTGACGGTAAACACAGTCACGCTGCTCGCCCCGATGTGCGACATTGGCCTGGCGCTGGGCGGCACGGCCGGCGTTTTGATTGGGCTCTACTGCGTGGCCAAGTGTACGAGCGTCGACGTGACGGGGATGCGGTTTTGGGTGTGGCTCGTAGGCTACCTGCTCATCTTTTCCCTCGCCATTTTTCTCCTGCCACTGGTTTTCATCGGCCAGTTTCGCGTTATCGGCTTCGTCATCAACGTGCTGGCCCTGTTGATGATATCGGTCTACTTGGTGGCAGACTTCCAGATGATCGTGGGGGGGAAGCGTATCCGCAGTGAGAAGTGTGAGTATGTCATTTTTCGCTTATGACCTTCAAGGAATCGATTTATAAAGCACGGCATCTCCTTCTCCTACTTCCGCTTCCTTCTGGGGAAGCGAGACAAAGTGGCATAATTGGGCTCCAGGTACTCGGACTCCAAAAATTATTGTCGGATGATCGACACCGGGGCCGGCGCTGCGCTTCATCGGCACCAGATGCATAGAATTTTCTCAATGGGGGGGGAGGATCCGCCTTTCGAGAAAGTTAAAGCGTGTTGCATTGATTTTTGGCGAAGATGACATACGAGTGTTGCGGAGCTGGATAAGGGACAGGAAGAGGCAATTCGCACTCGACGAGTACGCTCACGCCGCGCTGCAGCTCTACGTTGACATAGTGGAGCTGTTTTTGCTGCTTCTCCGATTGGTACGATCCGGGATATAGAAAAGTCATGAGTCGGGGTTGTGAATTTGGTGACATCTGGTGTAAGACCTATCGCAGTTTTTATCTGTTGGAGTTGCATGTGCCCCCATAATTTCTTGCAGAGTTGTTCCTGCTGCAGAAGAAAAGGTCTGATCAGAACAAAACAGTTTGCAGCACGTTTGCATATTAAGTACAACCACATAGCGCACCAGCTCAACATGATCGACGGCAAATTCACCGTACCAGACTTGAGACTTTTCCGTCGGGATACTCTTTCGGAAGGAAGAGCGATTGATACTGGGGAGTACGGGTTTTGGGCGTCAGACTGAAAGAAGATGCTCTGCCACTTCCTCGTGTCGTCGTGAGGGCGCAGCACGAAATGTCTACAAGGTGTAAGTAATAAAAATGAACCTACAATACGAGTAGCTTGACCGACACCATAGTTTGCCAGCGGCAGAGATAGAAACACGGAAGATAAGTTCATGATGATTGTGCAGACCAAGAATTTTCATCGCGTTTTTGTTTTTCCGCAGTAGTCAAAGCTGAATCTACCACTCGAGATGTTGCAGTTGCTCGAGATAAGACCAGAAATGAAAGCAATTTGGCGTGATGAAAATACGAAATGCAGTGTCGACGAAGAATTCGTCGCCCTTCGTTGCTTTCGTCCGAGAAAGAGATCGAAAACACTTGCTTTGTCGTATCACCCACTAGCCTGCGACCGTATCTGTCATCGATCTAGTGACGGTGAGATCCTTTTTTGCGTCATCCAATACGCAGCAGGAGGTTGACAGTCGTTCCTCGCAACCAGAAAAGTTTCATCGAAAGATATACATTTCTATGCGACTTACGATGAATCAAAAAAATAGTTCGTGTAGCTTCTACTGTGCAGTATGAAGTATCTGTGTGGTGAGTCCGTCTGTTGATGAGCCGTAGGAGTGCTGCAGCTGCGTTGGATGAAATAAAGCACTTTACTGCGAGGTTTTTCTTTCATTCGATTGGTTGCTGCCGGTGCCGGCCATAGTAAGTTACGATCTATCCTATTCCGCTACAGCAATTCATTTTATCGACCTCGTTTGGGTGGATCGCTTTCCCGGTGTCACGATCAAAAATCGAGCGGCACGTACCCCAGACACAGGGCAAAGTGCATCTGTATGTATGTATGTATTTTATCGACCTGCAACTTCTCGATCGACATCGATCCTGATGAACCTGAACTCTACATAATTCTCTACTTAAGAATCATAAATCGAAGAACACCATGCCCCCCGTCGCTTCTTCCTCCTCCTCCTCCTCCAGCACTGGGGGCGGCGGGACTGCACCGACGACCGGGGCGGCGACTTCTACTGATGCCGCCGTCGGGCAGCAGCTTCCCTTGCGACAGTTGTCGACCCTGCAATTCAACGAGAAGCGTTTCGATAAGGTGCGCTACAGCGATCTGGACAGCATAGAACTTTTGCGATTCGCGTTATCATTCCCGGAAGCCCAAAGGAGTTCGTATTCGACCTGGAAAGGGTACTTTATTTTCTTTTTGACATGATGTCTGATCAGAGTCGTGACACAATCACAAAGGCTGGAATGAGATTAGAGGTAGACGCATTTGTTATCACCAAATTTTGCTGCATTTGGTAAAATGGAAGGAGTTGCATTTTTTTCATCTAGGGTCCTTCTTTTTGTTCGAACTACAGGTTTGACTTTAAGGGCCACCCCCATCAGTCGCACCAGTCGCACTACCGTAATGTAATAGCGCCGCGCTTGGAGTACTGGATCGGGAAAATGCGGGAAAGGGATGCTGAGCTGGCCAGGTGGAAGCAGCGAGATCAAGAGAAGGGGGAAAACGAAACGGCGGGGAAGGAGCCAGCAGCTGTTGATGGAAAGGAACGAGTTCCACGACCTGACGCGGGTGTCAAAGAAGGTCTTTCCGGTATAGTAGTTTTTTGTCCCAATTGCAAAGAAACGCCATACCTCAATCTAGGTACTTGATTGTTCATAGAAAGTGACGCTTCTCAAGATTCCCTCCGGAAAAATAGGTTGAACAAAGTTGATGTTTCCGGACAAAAATTTCGCAGGCGCGAGCGAAGACCATGCCGAGGAAGCCGACCACAACTCCAACGACAATTCCGACAGTGAAGATTCATCGGAGTTTTCTTTAGACCTGGGAAACCTGAACAGCAAAGAAGGCGACGTGGAGGCCATTCCCTCCGTGTGGGAAATGCTGTGTCCCGAGTTTGACGGAGAGTTTCTTTGTCCGGCCCAACGGGAAGCGATGGAAGCGATTGTGAGGAACGAGCAAGACGTGGTGCTGCACGGGCTACTCGGGAAATCACTGGCCTACCTCTTCCCGGTCTCGCTCACCTACGGACTGTGCGTCGTGATCACGACGCGGCCGCATGAGCACAGCGAGAAGGTGCGGCGGCTTGTCGGGATGAACATCGGGCACGGAAGTATCGGCCGGGAGCTGTACGACAGCAAGCCGATGTCGCAGAAGTTTATCCACTGGAGCAGCAACCCCGTCGTGCAGGAGATCCACGACTCCTGCACCGTCGAGGCGCTGCAGGAGGCGAGTCAGCGCGGGTCCAGTATAGCAGGAGGAGCCCCGCCGCACGGAAAAACAACCTGCGACGAGGAACCGCCGAACACGCAGCAGAGGGCGGAAAAGGCCGCGGGTGACTTGAAGCGGCGAGTAGACGAGGCGATGGACCCGGCGCTCCGGAGAAAACGGCTGCAGAAGGAGCGAGAAGAGGAGGAGACGAGAGCGGCGGCCTTGCAACAAGAATTACTGTATAACAACAACGCAACAAGTAGTACGACTACAGGTGGAGCTGCAACTTCTACGGAGATGAACTTCTTTTACAATGGAGCCTCATCGTTCTCCTCGTATAATACAACTTCGCGCCGGCGGTTTTCGGTGTTGTTTCTCCACCCGATTTACTTGGAGAAGGAGAAGGCTTTGAAGAAAAGCTCGACGCTGATCAAGGTGCTGCAGACCGCGATCCAAAAGAGACCCGGCACCTATTTCGTCATCGACGAAGCACACTGTCTCTCGCCCGCGAGCAAGTGCTTCCGCGCGGAGATGGATCCGGCGCGGCACGTGAAGGAGATTTTCGGAGAGGACACGCCCGTCGTGGCGTGTGTCGGGCCCTGCCCAGACGTGAAGAAGTGCGGCTTGCTCGATATGACTTGCTCAAACGTTACAATCTCAAACGTTACAATAGAGTCTGGAATTTGTGTTGCATGATGAGCACCATGACAGACTCGCGCAGTGTTCCACCTTTTGCAATACAAATTTCGCCAGATTGTAGTGGGGTTTGGGGCTCCGGAACTTGTCATGCGCAATCCTATGAGAGTTCGCTAGATAATGCACTCTTGCATCACAGAATTCCATATTCTATTGTAACGTTTGAGATTGTAACACCTGAACGGGTTATACTCGACCGCGTGGAGGCGGAGTTGAAGCTCCGGCCGGACACGAAACGCTTCGAAATGGTGCCGAAGCCCGAGGCGCTGCAGGAGCTTGAGATGGAGGTGTGCCAGGTGCCGGAGAATATGCATCGCGAAGAAACTATCGTACTGAAGATTTTAAATTGCAGTCATGCATGAAAGCAGGTAAAGGTAAAGCAGCATTACAAATTCCATTTTTTAACTCGAAAAAAGTTGTGAAGATGCAATTCATACTAACTTGTTACGGTACTATTGCGATGCATAGAGAAGGAGACCAAGCAGTTGTACGACAACTACGTCGCTGGCCAGGTCGTGACGCGGGTGAAGCAACTTCTCCATGCGAATCGGTGCGTCGTCATTTGCGAAGACAAGCCGCAGCTGCAGCACTTGAAATCCGTGTTTCTCTCCTCCGAAGCGGGGTTCGAGGACGATAGGCGAGCCTTGGTGGTGGAGGATTTGACGAAACGCTTGTCGCCGCAAAACCGCGTCCCCCCAACGCAGATCATCCGGGACGCCACGCCCAAAATTCCGTTCGACCAAAAAAAGGTTCTGAAGAAGCCGACGCTGGCGTACCTGCACACAAATATGAAGGTCGCGGAGCGCCAGCTGATGCAGAAGCGGTGGAGCATGGATGCGAACTGCAAGGTGTTGATCCTCACGGCCAACGTGGGCAAGGGGTCGGCGGCGCGACTCCCCTCGGTGGGCCCGGTCTCTTTAGTCATTCACTACAGTGCGGCCGCTGTGCGGAACCTGAGCCGGCTCGCGGAGGATGTCGCTGTGCTGCTGCACGCCGACCCGCGGGAACAGGAAGTGAAAGAGGATGATGACGAGGTGGTGAAAGTAAACGACCATAAAAATAAAGCAGATGCTGAGGCAATAAATATCAGACCAGGAGTACAACATCAGCAGCAGCGCGAGGCCGTTTTGTACTGGGACGGGAAGGAAAGGCTGCCACAGGGTGGCGGGAAAGAGGCTGCTGCGCACCAAAGCGCCAATAACTTGTCGCACCTCGCCCGACTGAAGAGGAGCATTGTGGACAATGATAAAACGCAAACGGAGACGGCCACGGAGTGCTGCAAAGAGCTGCGCAGTTACCTGCAAGCGGGGGTGAAAGCGAACATCAAGGGAAACAACAACGCAGCGGACGCCGCGAAGGCGTTCTTTCTCGCCAAGTTCAGCTTGCACAAGCAAGCGGGGATTTCGGTTTCCTCGATAGACAGATGGAACTCCGGTGCTGGCAGCGCAACCAGTGCAGCCAGTAGTTCGAACAAAGCGGCGGGCAATATATTGAAGCAGGCACAGCAAGTTACTGGACCAACAACTACAGCCGCCAGTTCTTCGAAGCGGAAGATGGACCCCACGCAAGCCGTCCAACAAGGGGACCACGGTGCGAGTGACAATGTGAATATTAGAGCAAAAACTGCACAGGAGGAGGAAGATGCTGCGGTAGAGCGGCAATTGTTGAAGCAAACGCAACTGGCGCAGAAAGCCGCCGCGGCGGTTAAAACTCGGAACAAGCGGGGATCGAACCCGTTGGTGTCTGGCGGCGCAGGCGGAGCGTCGTCTTCGTCGACCCAGCGACCAGGTGGTATGTTTGCGAATTTTGCTACTTTCAACAAAAAGGAGAACAAAAATGGTACAAAGCCCGTACTGCCATCTGGGAAGGTGCTGGCGACTGCTAGCACTGCAGCTTCCGCCGCTGGCGCACCAGTAGTAGCACCTGGGATAAAAGAACCTGAGAACAACCAAACGGCGTTCTCGGGCGCGGAAATACAGAGTAAAAAGAAGGAAACCACGGAAGTAGATCTTTCCTCTCTGAGCCACCAAGATTTTCTTCAGAAACTCCTGAGCGAGAAAGCCTCCACGACTCGGGCGCCTCCTGGGAAAGGTCCACCCGCCGAGATGAGAGTAGGAGACGTCGCGAGCAGTTCAAGTTCCCTTGCTTCGACGTTCTTTCTGCAACCAAGTACTACTGTTGCAACGTCGCTGCCAAAGAACAAGAACATCAGTAGGAAAAACAGCAAGGACGCAGCACAGCAGCCGCTTTCGCGCGCGAATTCCACTATCACGTCGTTGAGTCGTCAGGAGCAGAAGGAGCTGGCGAAGGAGTATCAGCAGGACCTGCCAGCGAAGGTCAGGAAGGTGGATAGGTACATGGGTGAGAAGATGGCGTCCTTTGCGGCGCTCGAGGTGGCCGATCTAGGTCGGAATAAAGACCAAGTAGAACAAGCGCGGACCACGTCGAAGCGACCCGCTGCTCCCTCCAAGGAAGCACCATCTACTTCGACGGGTGAGCAGCAGTCACAGCAACCGTCGGCGAAACGACAGAAGAAAGCGGTCCTGTCGCGCCAGCACACCGACATTCTTCCGGACAACACACAGAAAGTAGCTACAACGTCGGGGGCCGATACAACACATAATGCTTTTACGGGAAAAAACTACCAGCAGAAGTCTTTGAAAGAGCGAAAGGCGAGCGATGACATTATGGTGCTCGACTCGTCGGACGACGAAAGCCAAAATAAGGAGGGCCCGAAACAACCTGGCCAAGTTGTTCCAAATAACATCACCACGACAGGAAATAAATCTGCTTCTACTTTGAAGCAGCAAGGAGCCGGAGGAGCTACGTCCTCTTCCTCTTCCTCGCTGATCGGCGGGAAGCAAGCTGCGCAAGTCCAGGAGTCCCAACCAAGACCAGCACAGCAAAGTAGTTCTACGTCGAACGGAGCCCCGTCCGTAGCTGCACCCTCAGCTGCCCGACCTGCTTTAGCATCGGTAGGTGCTCAAGCATCGATCCTTGACCGCCTGAAAGCAGCGCAAAACCCGAAGGGAGGGGGTGCGGGGGTCTCAAGTGGGAATACTACAGTCGTGGGCGGGAGGCCGGCAGGTGGGGCAACGTCAAAGCAGCCTCCTGGTTTTACCTTTTCCACCACTGGGGGAAGCACAAGTGCAATCGGCACAGCAACTCTACAGCCGGCCGCTACGGCTAAAAGCAGCGTGATCAGCGATGTCCCCGTGTCAAGCCGCGTCGTCCGCCCGAATGATGCTGCTCCTGCAGCTGCACAACGACAACCCCCAGCAGCGAGCAAACCGGCCGGAAATAAGATCAAAGCTGCGGGAGAAGTTCTCCCGAAAGCTACCAAGAAGAAGCAGGAGTCGATGAAGAAGCAACCTCCGCGGCCGCCCGCGTCCCCACAGCGACGAAGGTCTTTGATCGAAAGCGGAAACAACGACGCGCGGCCAAGTCTGCTCCAAGCGAACAAGCCAAAGGAGGATTTTTTTCAAGGAATTATCGGAACAGCAGGGAATAGTGCTGCTGCTGCAACCGCTCGAGCAATCAATGGCGCTTTTAACAAAGATTTCTCGAACAATTTGTCTGGCGCCGCAAAACAGCAGCTTGCTACTTCCATGCGCCCAGCACCAACATCGTAGAAAACCATTAAAAACTTCATTCTGGTTTTTTCTGCAGAACTAGCAACACACAGACAATTTTCCAATACACAGGCCCCAGATTTTCAGTTTTATCGAACATCATGTTGAAGTTTGTTGCATCGAGCAAGTTTCGTTCACTATCGCCACGGCATCGTCGAAGGATTTTTCTGTTGCTTGTGTGTGAAACGCAAACGCCAACCTTTCACTCGTGGAAATGATTGCATCATGATCTTGAGGCGAGCATCGGCAGGTAAAAAGAACTGAGTTGCTCGAGAGGGGAGCAGCTACTGCGCAAACGGGCACGTGTGATCGGAGAAGAGAAAAATGGCACGGATAATATCGTGCAGTGTGTCAGAGAGAAATGATAGTCGTCAGCTAAGTAGGAGCTGTTGGTGAAGCCAATAGGCCTGCCAAGTCGGTGAGTAGCGATTCACATTTTTTGTGGAATAAGAAGCGCCCTATACTGGGGGCCGGAGACGGCGTAAGGTAAACACGAAGCCGGCGTAGTTCGTGGTAAATTAATAATTTGAGAACAAAGTAAAAGCTGGAGAATTTTCAAAAATGATGGTCACACCTTCCAAGAAGTCCGCGACTCTACTACCCGCTTGCTTTTCGAAAAGCATCGGTGTCGCGCTGGTCCTTTCCGTTCTTTCAGCTCTTGCGCGGCCCCACACGACCACGACGGATCACAATTTTGCGGACCATGATGGCAACAAGCGGGGATACGAGATCGATCAGGGTCGTCAAGAACACGCACGTCCTACCAGCCCTCCGTCTAGGCGGTTGCGCCGGCATGCGGATGTTGTTGATGTCAATGCGAATGGTGTAGAGCAGTTTGTAGCTGCTGAACCTGGCGTCCTAGACGAGCGCAGTTTCGCGCCGGGAGAAGAAATTACAACACCATCATCTTCGCAGCGCCGTCATTCCCACAGGAATAAAGGCGCGACGAGGGTAAAGCGCAAGAACCGGCCAACAGCTTATGATCAGGCGGAATACATTGGTGATTCAACATCTTCATCTCGTGGCCATGACTTTTACGAGGACGCGGAGTACGCACCGCAAGCAGTGCGTAGAAGCGAAGTTTTCTTCACGGAAGAACCGCAAAAAGACGCAGAGGCACAGGACGAGGGGTTCGAGGAAAGTTTTGAAGATCAGGCTGATAGAACGACAACAACTCGGAGGACATCGAGATATGAAGATGAAGACGATACTAGTCCACGACCAGCTGCCCTCCATGACGAGCAAGGCCTCGCTTTTCACCAGACATTGCAACAGGCCCTGCAGGAACACGAGGAAGGCGGAGAGAATTTCTATCCAGCGGAACAAGAGCCGGCGGTTTTTCCACATCGGGATAGAAACAGTAGAAGACCTCCAACAAGCACAGCGCAAAAAGGAGCCTTCCAGGCACAACAACTACACGAGGAGACCACTTCGGATCAGGTTCAGCAGCACAGGAGCACAAGCTCTTTCACGTCCTTCCTCGAACACTGGCACTTGCTCTCTGCTGACAATGCCACGGATAGTAGTGCAACTTCCTCCACTTCGACGACTTCCACCACCACGAAAAGACCGACGTACTGCATCCTATATTCGGACGAAACCTTCCTCTGTCCGAACGACGAGGAGCGCGTCACCGTGGAGAAGCATATCCAGCGGCGCCAGGACTTCTACTGCTACTCCTTGGTCGTTTTCCTCCTCATTGCGTTCGGGCTGCAGGGCTTCGTCGACGAGTCGCACAAAACCGCAGCGGACTACGGCGGGGTGCAGGCCATGCTGCAGGCGGCGTCGATGAAACAGTTCACCGTGGTGCTGGGAGGGACCGTGGTCGTCGCGTTGTTGATCGCGGTCGACCTGGTGAACCAGCTCGGGGGTGCGTTTTTCGGAGAGATGCCCCCGGAAAGACTCGACCTCGAAAAGTACAGCATCGGGGACGTGCGGGAGGGGGTGATCTTCTCCGAAGCGACTTTGATCGTCATGCAGGTGCAGCTGATGTTTATGGTGACCATGCCGTTCTACCTGCTCTTCGTCGCGCTGTTGGGAACTCAGATGGGGAACACCATCACGAAGTGGAAGTCGTGGGAATTTTCCGGGTTCAGCGAAAAGGTGCTGATGTGCGCATTGGAAAACGAGGAAAAGATCAAGGACGACGACGAGGAGGGGTATCCACAAAAAAACGCGACCCATGATTCCCATTCAATCTATCTTGCAAAACATGTAGTTTCAAGGGGTCCTGTGTTTTTCATGCAAAAAATGGATGGGGATTGGTGTTTCAATTTCCAGTGGATAAGGGGCAGAACAAAAAGCGGCAAGAGTACGAGAAGAAAATCCCCCACGACATGTGCGCGTATTTGGCGACCCGTCGGTCTTACATTTCTCCGCACCAGATCTACGAGAACCGGAAGTACATTCCCCGGATCCTCCGGCACCCGGACACCCAGTTTCTGCTCTACATGTACTTGCGTCCGGAGCTGGTTGACTGCGCCATCCAGGTGGTGTGTTGGCCGGCTCGCGGGCAGCTGATCCTGGCCGGCTTGGTGCTCGGGTTTTTCCTGGTCGCGCACCAACTTGGTGGGAAAGCGCTGCACGAGATGAACCTCGGCGGGACGGACTGGTGTTTGTTTTGTCCGGTGGTAGCCGCAATCTTGAAGTTTCTCGCCGTGCTGCTGCGCTTGCTGGTGAAGGAGGTATAGATCAGAAGTGAGTCTTTCAAAACTTCTGACAAGGCTCGATAAAGTTTTCCATTTCTTTTTTGCACGTCAGAGAACTCCACTAGCTATGACGACCCGTAGAAGTCACCAACTTGCGTGAACAAGATGTTCATCTGGAGAAATCTTCATGAAAAAAAAACCACAGATCGTCGAGAACATGTCTCTCGACTTAGAGTACTTCAAATGGCTGAAGGACAAAACGCACGGGAAACTAGAAGCGGCCATCGAGGCCGACAAGGATATGGAAGTGCACCAGCGGCGGTCGAGCGTCCATGTGAAAACCGAGGTCGCGTTTTCCAATCTGCCGGTGGAGTTGATTCCCAAATGGAAATACGCGCGCAAGCGCGTCGCGAAATCGAAAGGATGGCTAACCTACGTTTGGTACGGAACTTTCGACCCAACGCGCCAGGAAATGCTCTGGCCGAGATGGCGGAATGGTATGTAATTTTTTTCGCACAAAAAAGCGGAGTTGTAAAATTTAGTACAAGAAAAATGCAATGATTGAGAATGCCGTGGTGTTTCGGAATCGAATATACATAATAACAATGCTTTCCGCATTGAAAACTCAACGATTTTTTTGAAGTATCTCATACCATCGCGTTTCGTTTCGAAACACGATGGCAATCTGGCCGCGAAGGGTCCAACTTTCGTAGCCCCCACGCGCAGTCGCAAAAAATAGCAAATCGTGTAGTGTTTTTTTCTCATTACCGTCGCGAAATCAAATTTTTACGGCGAAAAAAAATCGAAAACAGGTCCTTCGGCTGTGCGTGTCGCCATGCAGGAAATATTTTTCTTTGCAACTTTGAATTGCGGGTTGGTGGCGGCGCTGCTTTTGACGTGGACCAAATTTGACACCATTCTGTCGCAGTGGAACATGTTTCTGTATTGATAATTTATTTTTCTTTCATCCTTGTTGTCAGCACTCTGTCAAGTCATGCATTCTGTCTCGGCAAGAGTTCTTCTTGTAACAAAAAAATGAACCCACGACAGATCATCTTCTTTTTACCAAAAACAAAAAATCTATACCTAAAAAAGGTATTTTTTCCTGACCCTTGGCATCACTCTGCACATTATTCTGTACGACATCGCGCCGTTCATAACGCTTTGGACCCTCGCCGCCCGCACGGACACGATGACGGACGACAGCAATTTGCAGAAGGAGGTCCGGGAAATGAGCGCGTACTTCGGCGACGCTATCCTGAGTAAAAACGTACCCACACCAGAGTCAGGATGAGGATTTTGCAACACAAACCTAGGAGTTTTGTGAGTCACGCATGACAAGTTGCGCTCTGCAGTGTAGTGCAGGTTAGCAAGTGCAGCCGCATCACAGACTCCTCTGCTCATCCTGTTCACAGCATCACAAATTCCAAAACACGATTGGAAATGGCTCTCATGGGGATGCGCATTACAAGTCTTCCCGTCTTTGCAAATCTGCATTACAACTCTGGCGTGGGTACGTTTTTATTCAGGATAGACGCGGCGCTGCAGGAGTTCTGCGGCGCGCTGTATTTGCACGTTATGCATTGCAAATATGTCTGGGTCTGGAAGGATCCAAAGTTGTGATGCGTGTTTCGGATCCTACAAAGATCTGTGATGCAGAACGTGCAAAAGGTTCCCACATATGGCCATGCTGAGAGGGCATCTCTCATGCAGAATACGCATCACCAAGGAGCTGTGGAACCTGTGATGCTAGGCCCTGCATTCCAGACGTGGCGGAGCTTGAAAAAACTGCATGACAAATTTCGGAATCTCCCAGACCCAGACATTTTTGCATTTGATACACGTGTTGTACAAGGAACTGCATTTGAACAGCCAAGCCACCCTCCAGGACCTTCGCGTGCAGTACTACGCCGCGTTTTCCGAGTATGGATGTGTCAGAATCGAAATTAACAAAATCGAAAAATTTGTGATGCACAAAATCGATGTCAGTTGGAGCCTCATTTTCCAAGTGGCGCATGACAAATTTCGGGAGCACCAAATTCCAGCCTGTCATGCTGTTTGGGCAAAGAAGACAGCTCCTGTCTTGCCACCCTGGCAGCACATTGCATACCCCTAAACAGGCCTGCAATCGGTCTCATTTGCCTGCTCCCCAATACAGGTCTTCAGTGCCCTACATTTTATGCATCACAAATTTTTCGACTTTGTCGATTTCGATCCTGACACATCCATACCGAGGCGGAGCGCAGTGTGATCGCGGACGAGTACGAGCAGGCGTGCGAGGACCCGGCTGCGGGGTTGACGGAGACGGAAACGAACAAGTTGCTGAAGAAGCTCGGGTTTGACAATCCGGGGGCCGACCTGTCCAAGTGGGTGAAGATGCTCCAGATTCACGCCCCGGACCGGTTGCAGGAGGCGGAGTTCGAGGCCCTGGTCGCGGTTTTTTTCAAGACCTGCTACGAAAAGATGCCACGCGACGTGATCGACACGGCGTTGATGCACCTAGCGGACGCGGGCGAAATCGGCGAGCTGGCGACGCACGTTTCGGTGCAGAAAATGGTGACGATCTACGAGTCGGTCGGAATCTCGACCGTGGACGCGAAGCGGCACGCCAAGGACCTGCTGTATCGCGCCCACATCTTCGCGAACGAGGGCGCCTCGCTGGAGACGGAGGCGGTCGGCGATCTCGGAGATTTGGATTGGTCACTACGGGGCTTCTTCCGGCTCCCCGGGTCCATGCCAGCAGCCGCGAGCAGTGGGAAAAAAGCGGTGGACGCGGCGAAAAAGAAAGCCGCGGCGGCCGGAGAGACGGTCTCCCTGAACTCGCTGGTCAAGGGAATATGAACTTCAAATATGTCTGGGTCTGGAGAATACAAACTTGTGATGCGCATTTCAGAGCACAGAAAAATCTCTCATGCATAGGCAGCAAAAGTTCTCACTTTCTGTCACCAAAATGGGGGATTTTTCATGCGGATTCGGCATTGCAAACGCTTCTCCAAACCTGTGTTGCTAGAGCTTCCATGCCAGACCTTCTGTGTCATGCAAAAACAGCTTGACTCTTCCAGATCCAGACATTTTTGCATTTGATAGAGTAGCAGCAAAGACAAAAACGAGGAGGATGACGACGGCAAGCGGCCTCTGACCGAGAAGGAGATTCAAGCGGCCATTGACGCGGACGTCTGCGCGACTCACAAACCCGGGGCTGTGCTGATCCACATCTTCGCAGGCTTTTTGTTGCACGAGCAAAACCGGCGGGGGGAGTGACGAAACAAGTTGATGGGACTTCTTTTGTAGGATTCTGTGAATATGAATAATATCCCTCAGAGAATAAAGCTTCGTGCGACAACGACGGCACAGGTTGTCTCGTTTCTCGCTTTGAATTGAGCTTCCTAGAACGATACCTGTCTGGTTTCCTCGTGTTTCGAGAACTCAACACTAGAACGAAATTCTCTGCGACACCAAACGCAATCATGGTTGTGTTTTGTGTGCAACGTGAACTGAAAGAACTGTCGTGCGTGAATATCGCTCGTGTTGTTGCTAACTTTCGTTTCGTTGGTCTGCCGTTGCCTTGGCGATTAGCCTGCAGTGTACTCAGAGTTTCGCCAAGAGAGAGAGAAAGAGGGCGCGCGCGAAGCGAGACAGGTAATATCGGCGTCGCGCGCCGAATTCGTTTACCTGATGCAGAGCTGTCCTCTTGGTCTTGTGTTTCTCATGCCTCGGAAAAGCTACATTTTTAGTTTACAGCAACAAGAAACTCCAACTACAGAAACAGAAAGAACCATAATTGTGCAACACCGACGTCTGCCTTGTTAACCTGGCAGCTAGCAGCAATATCGTGTGCCCGAGTGGTGGAAGCGTGCAAGCAATTGAAATGTCCGCAGCTGCCGTGGAGCCACCGGGGCAGTGAAAATGAATCCAATTTCGAAGAAAATGAACGACTACATCAACTCGTGTTGACCAAACTATGCTGACATCCGTCTCTTTGCAGACGTTGCTGGTGCTGCTGCTGGCGGGATCACCCGCTTGTCGCGCAGGCAGACAGCATGGCAGCGGAAGGCAGTGGCTACGCACCCACCAAGTAGAAGTAGAACCGGAGGGAGGTTTGCCGGTGCCAGGAGCAGGACATGACGTACTTATTTCATGAATGTATTTGCGGAGTCTAAGTCTTGCAGTTTCACGAATGTTTTTTTCTTCTGTCAAGTAGAAAACGTTAGTGACATCCATGCAAAAAAAAACAAGAAAACAAAATTACAGCTCGAGCGTCGCGCGTCCCACGAGGCGCTGCGGCGTCGCTTCCCAGGTATGGCGCATGCGCTCGGCGGTGCGTCTTCGTTCGTGTCGACGTCGAGACGCGGACGTGCAGGTGACGTCGAAAGTGGCACAGCGATATCGCACACCTCAGAAGTGGGGACCGTCATTCAGCCCTACAGCGGAGCGCCCGCCTGTGTGCTAGACTCCGCCGACCCCTACAGCTGTTCGTTCACCGAAGCAGAAATCAGCAGTGTGAGCACCCATTTAGAGCGAAGGGCGATGGTCTCGTTCCTGCTGCTCCTCGGTAAGTAAGTTCTTTTGATTTCCTTTCTGTGGATTTTGAATGTTTTGTCTTTTGTCAACCCTGGAGGTCTCGTCGGAAGGGGGCGAAGGTGCTCCCGAGGGTCATTCGTGTAAATTTGGCAATAAAAAACCAGCTCTCATCGTTGCGGTGTACGTGATGAAGAGTCTGTTTGAGTTTCTTCAGCGGTTGTTCCGAGATGTCCGGTATTTCAACGTGATGTTTGTCAAGTGCGTGGAGCAGTTGACGATCCTGGGCCTGATTATCGCTCTCTCCTTCAGTCTTTCCTCCGTCGCACTGGAAAGACGACTGGACGACTACTTGTTTCCGGACAAGGACCGCGCCAGGTGGGACTTGACCAAATACGCCTCCAACGACGTGCGAGAAGGTATTTGATTGGAATCCTTTACTAGCATTTGGTCGCGTTTTTAACTTTTCTCATCTGCTAGGTCTGAGTCCCATTACAACTGACGATAAAAATCTACATTTGAATTTCAAAATTTTTCCCGCACTCAGGTGCCATCTACCCGGAGATGTCGGTGCTTCTCCGTGACTTCTACCTCCTGCTCACCGCTTTGATGCTTGTGTACGTGCTCTTTGTCGTGATGATTGGCGCGAATTTGAGCTTCAAATTTAAGAAATACTTGCGGTTTGAGTTTGAGGCGGAAAACGAGGTGCACGTGAAGGACGACCCCGTGGACAAGGTTAATTTCCTGCTCTGGCGACGATCCATGGTCACGCCGATGGTCGGGCATAGGAGTGAAGAGTTGAACTCCTTGAGGAATCCGCTGCAGGAGTTTTCCTTTGTCCAGTACCTGCAGGAAGTGCTCTCCCAGTACATGCAGGTTTTGTTTCACATCCCCACGTCCGGCCTCGCGATTCTGGTGTTCATCAGCTCCGTAGAGTGCTTCTTGGAAATAGAAACGTTGAGCCGGACCCACGCCGTGACGCTGCTCGGTCTGTCCACCGCGACGTGGAGCTGGTGTCTACTCGCACTGTTGCTGATCTTTTTTGTGCACCTGCGCCGCGTGCGGGAGATGCTCACGCCGCCGCCCGCGGCGATGTTGTGGCATCTAGATCCCCAGAGCGGCGAGAAGCTGCCGGACCGACACTTGTTGCCGCCGTTCCGGCTTGTCCCTTACCTAAAGGAAGCGCCGAAAAAGACGAAATTCTTCTACTGGTGGTACGGAACATTTTCGCCGAACCAACAGGAGCAACTGTTTTTTCGATGGAGGAAAGGTACTTCTAAACGTTTGTGGTGTTGTTTTACGCATTTGTAGTCTACTTCCGAGGTACGAAAACTTCTGAGATGCAGGATGTAAGAACGGATGAGAAGTACTGAGTTGATACGATAGAGAAGGAAGCCAGTTCTAAGACTAAGTATCTTTTCTTTAGTAGAAGTAAAAATTGCGCAAGTTGTAGTGACAATACAAATACAAATGCAAACCACAGGGCCCGCCACGATTCTTGGCGTGCTGCAGACCGCGATTTTCGTTTACGCCACCTTTGTCGCGCTCCTTTTACGCAACTTTTCCTACGTAGCCACGACGGGACAGGGGAGTCTGTGGTACGCGGTCGTGGGCTGGACGGCGGCGCTGATTGCTTTGCTTTACATCATTCCGGAGTCTATCATGATGCTGGTCATTTGCAGTTCCACGAACATGATGCCTAACCGGCGAGCGATCCACGCGGTCGTGAAGGAGCACTCCCAAGAGTACCACAACCTCAGTACGACGCTGTTGGAGATGGCACAAATATCGGCGATGAAAGAGAAACTCGAGACGCCGGCACTCGCGGGGGATTTTAACAAGTATAAACTGTCAAATTACTTCGCTTTCTTCAGCTGATTATACGTGTGATTCGTCCGCCGGTTTCGGTCAAGATAGCCCTCAGATAGTATGCTACCGTCACCTTATTTCCTTGCAACAAGCCTCCAACCTATCATTCATCTTCAACCACTTTGATTGAATTAACAGGTATCTCCAAGATCTGTACGAAGTGATCTTTTCCCAGGACCAAAAAGACTTGTTCGAAGCCGGGTGGAAGATTCACAACTGGAACGCCACGCGGGGCATGAACCCGACGGAGTTGAAGGAGTGCATGGAACACCTGGGCTTCGAGGACAGCGAGATTGTGATCGGGGAGTGGTGGTTGGTGTTTGATTCCGCAGGGGAAGGCACGCTCCACCACGACGACTTTGTGCGCATGCTGACCGCGCGACACATCATCAAGTACGGTCTGATCTCGGTGGAAGATCTCGTCGCGTTGTTCCAAACGCACCCAAATGGGGAGACGATCACGGAGTACAATCGGCTGCGGTTGTCCGAATACCTGGTCTCCTTCCGCGTGGACGAGCCCCGGCTCGGCGCGGTGGTGCTGATTCGGGAGGCGCGGTTTCTGGCGGACGAGCGCGCCGGGCTGAGCGACCAGGAAATCATGCGAAAAATGATGGACATGGAGGCGGTCACCGTGACCCCGCAGGAGCTCGCGGAGTTTCTGTACACCAAGCAAAACTACCGGACCCGGTTGGATACGCGATTCATCGACCACATGCGGCAGGTCCGGGAGTTAGAGCGGCAGGAGGAACTGCAGCGGGTGGCAGCGATTGAGCAGCAGCGCGCGGAGCTGGTTGCTGAGCAGGGGCCGGGTGCGGAACCTGGTGGGGGGCTGGAGGAAACGCTGTTGCCGCGGGACACGCAATAAGGCTCGACTTGGGTCGTCGTGTGATGTTTAAAGATTGACTGACTTCGTTTCAAAGAAATTATCTAGCTATAGTGACTCAGTTTTTGCCCAATACAGATACACTGACTGTGGGTAGATGATGAAGATATTGGTGACGTCTTGCTTATAATTGTTGAGTGAATTATCATGATGTTACCCACCTGACATTTAGTGCTCGTCTTCTGGGATGAAGAGAGGACACTAATTGTCTGGAAGTTCAAAAACTTGTTGTAGAATATTTGCGCACAGCCACAGAAAAACAACTGTACCAAACCATCAACCCTGAAATCTTGTACAATGTATGAATTCGTACCCGGAAGCAGAACAGAAACAGCAGAAATGATGAATGGCAATGTCCTTGTCATCTGCACTCACGCAAGAAATGAATCTGTAGAAAAACGTAGTTTGCGTTTCTGTGCGAAAAATTGAGGAGCAAAGATAACTGCGCAAACCACCATCGAGACAAGGCAGACAGCGTTGACGTCCTGCGTATCTGTTAGGGCCCGCTGTTTAGTTTTACACTTTGGATTGTGTATGTTCGTTTGATGTGAAGATCGGCATCTGCAACTCAAGTGAAATCTCCTCGAGTGCGGCGGATCTTCATTTTTTTCTTGCGATTGTCATGCTTGCTGTCTTCCGCGCTGACTCTGCTATTTTCCAGGGTCGGTTCTTTTTTTTCTTGCGATGCAAACAAAAAAAGATTTTACTTCGCACTGACTTTATGTCACCCAGCTCGGCTGTGAATCTTTGGCGCTTTCAAAAAAGCGGTTGCACTTGAAATGGAAGTGGTTGCGTCTCCTGCTTCTTTAGTCCGCTGCACCCGACCTTATACATAAAAGTTGTCTTGTCTATCTTGGAAACTACGCTGCTGTGTTGAGAACAAGCGCTCGTGTCAAAGTGTCGGCGTGTTTCTCAGAAACAATAAGTAACGGCAGGGCTTTGCTTCCAGCCAGATTTCGCTGCAAGTGCAAGCGCGGTTGGGAAAGAAGGCAACGCGGTCCAGGAAGTAATACTGTGTGGGCTACTTACTATTCATTGAACCAAGGTCATCATGGACCTTTCTACCGAGAAGACCGGCAGTGCGTCGAGTGCTGTCGAGGCACCAGAATCAGTCGACAATCGCGACGGCGCGAGTTGTGTGTCAACTGGAAGTAGAAACACAACGGAACTTGTGAAAGGGAACAATGGAGTGGTAGACCAAGGTGCCAGTACTTCTATTGCTTCCAGTGCAGCCGGTGAGGCGAAGAGCAATGGGGATAATTTTTCCCGAGGGTCGGAGGCGAGCAATGCCCGCAACAGCAGGTCGTCCAGCAGCAGGGAAAAAGCGAGAAGAACAAAGGAAACAAGCGAGGAAATTACGAGCTACAAATTGGGGCTTTTACCCCGGCGGCCGCTCGCGCCACTTCTGGAGCTGAATGAAGAGCAGGTATAATACGAACGCGCGGTTTATTCTCTATTCTTTAGTTTAACACGTGCAGCCTCATGTTCTTGCATAGTTGTACGTAGCACAGGTCAATGCCTGTCTGCAACTCGACACAAGAACAGGAAAAGTACGGCTCATAAATTCATAGCGTTCTAGTATGGCCGCGATTTGCGCTTCTGAGTGTGGGTATTTGTGTTGGTTTACTTCTTCTATCGCGTCGAACCAAAAAATCTGCAGTCTGAGTCCTCGCTGGCTGGCAACACCAGTATCTGCGAGTCTCGGATCGCGGGGAGCACTCGACTCACGGTGAAACTGGAAGATATCGCCGACCTAGAGGACTTACAGAATACGGAAGAAGCGGGCTGCACAGACCCCGACGAAGGTAAGGACATAGAGAAGGACCGGCGAAAGATTTTAGACACGATGATCACGGCAAGTGAGCAGGGCGGACCGGGGGCTCCTCCGGGGAGTGCGGTCGTTGATATGGTATAGATGACCTACATAATGTTGTCCTTGGGTATTCTGATATAAAAGTTTATAGTCATCGATTCATAGTACTTCTCTTAGTGGAGAGCTGTCTGGGTTGTACCACTAGATTTGCTGTGCATCGAAAAAGTAGAAATTGCACTTCTTTTTCTCATTTATTGTTTACCTGAAAATCGAAATTTTTATATTAGGAAAAGGAAATGGCAGAGCTGAGCTCCGCCTGCCTCCGGGCCAAGATGCAGGATATCGAGTCCGGTGTGGTGCGCGACGTTCCCATGAGCATGTGCAATTCGGTGCACAGCAAAGCACCGTATTTGAATGAGGAAGAATTTATCAATACCGTAGAACTACCGGACCACGTCGAGAACAAGAATGCTGGCGATCAAAGTGCATCATCTTCAAGGGGTTTCTCGAAAGAGATGAGTGACCACTGTGCGGCTCAACCAGCTACAAACCAGCAGAACCTGAGCGGCTTTAGTTTCGTCGACGCCACTCCCCCGCACCACAGCTCAATGTCCACCTCTGGGGCGAAACTAAATCTTCCAGTTACAACGACAGCGGGAGGATCAACATTGAACCAATCGACAAGCAACCAAACAAGGAATAACAAAGCCATTTCCGGTTCTGCCCATCGCCTCTCCTCATCCGCCAGCTTCAAAGCGAAAAGCGGCCCGCTGAGCCAATCCATCGGGCGGCACGAGAAGGAGAATAACAATCTGACAGCTCTGCTGCAGCAGCGTAATGGAGCTGCTGCAGGTGTGCAACACAATAACAATGGCGTTTCTAGCGGTTGTTCGAGTAGGTATAGCACGGATGGTAACTACTACGCGGAAGAAGAGAAAGGAGAAGCAGTAGACAATGCGGGACAACTAGAAAATAAACAAACAGCCATAATCTCCAGCAAGATGAATCAGGAGCAGCAGCAGCAGGAGCAGCAACAGCTTCGCCTGTTCGCGATAGAGCAGCAGCCGGTTCTTGTTGCATCGTCGTCCTCTTCAAACACTGCCAGTAATTCCCGCGAGGTAATAAATCTGGACAACAATCAGGGCAACGACCCATCGAAAAATCCGCTGCTCCTTGCACAGCGAAGCAACACTGGGGACGAGAATACGTCAACTGACGGTCGTATGGGTAGTTGCAATGGAAGTTGCAATCTTCATGAAGGAGGTCCTGCTCCGGGTCAACAACTTGAGCAATCCGGGCAGCAGCTGTTGATGCTATCCTCCCTGAATCTGAGCAACGCCGCGCAGAAGGAGCCCAGTTCCTGTTCCAACAACGGCTCGGATTGCGACGTCGGGAGCGGATCGGCTATTCTGTGTAAAAACGTCCCCACCCCATAGTTGTAATGCAAATCTGCATGCTGAAGATATTTCTCATGCGGAGTCTCATGGGAAGCATTTTTTAGTCGTGTTGTGGAATTTGTTATGCTCGAGTCAGCATATATATGCTAGGCCTGTTATGCGACTGGGCTAGCGAAACAGGATTACACTACGAGGCAAAGCTTGTCATGCGCAACAGCCAAAGCTTGTTGGTTTATGTAGCAGATTTCCAATCTTGACTCCGGGGTGGAGGCGTTTTTACTCAGGATATCCACCCTCTCCTCCTTACTCCCCGGCCGGCTGTTTATGCGGGACGACGAGTCCTCTGACACGCCGGCGAATTCCGTCACCACCGAGCAGTTGGCCGCGCCGCTCGAAATCAACGACGAGGAGGAGGACGGGTGCAACCAAATTAACAACAGTTCCAGTTGCAACGACAACTATTCTGCGGACGACGATTATCCCTGGAAAAAAGTCAGTGTTACAGTTACACATTTGTAGTCAAATCAGCAACACAAATCTCTCTGCATGAGAAACTTGTAATGCAGAAATCCTACGGGAAAACACCTATGAAACGATGCTTCTATGCGTATCCGGCATGACAGAGCTGGTCTGTTTTGCTTGGCCTGCAACCCAATGTGTAACAATAACACTTTCTTCTCTGGATAACGATCTCGAGAGATTGGAAACCCAGACCCGCCGGGCGGAGATAGACAGTTCTTCGGAGCAGGAGCAGGACGCCATGACGGACAATCAGGAACCCTGTACTATCAAATGCAAATAGGTCTGGGTCTGGAAGGTTGGAACTTGTGTGTGATGCTAACTTTGGACTCTAAAAAAATCTGTATTGCATGACCAGCAGAGGGAGTGTAATTTTTGCTACGGGAAGAGGGCATTTGTCATGCGGAATAGGCATCAAAAAGCCCTCAAAAAATCTCTGATGCTAGGGCATGCATCACAGACATCATGGCTCATGCAAAACTTGCATGACAAGTCTCAGAATCTTCCAGACCCAGACATATTTGGAGTTGATATGTACCGGCATCGGCCAAGTGTTCGCCCGCAGCTGCGAATCCGTGCCCGCGCCGACGGCAAATACGGTGGAGGAGGGGCTGCGGCTATCGGAAGTGGACCGGAGTCGCGTTTCGGGCGGAGAGTATCATCATGGCACGGGGTTGGTGAAAACAAGTGGATTCGGTGGAACGTTAACCTCCAGCGGCCAGAGCGGGAAACTGCGTAAATTGGGGTCGAGAGGCAGCAATAACAACGACGGGTCGGTCGTCGATCACCAGCGAATCTCTGGGGAGTTTCCGCACGGGCTGCTATCCTCCTCTGTGCTGGTGCCCGGGGGCGCAATAAATAACGCTGGCGGTAGTTACAACCATTTGAGTGCTGGAGCAGTTCCTGGTGGAGAACACCACAGTGTGTTGGGCAGTAACCTTCAACATAATTCCTCCAACGCATTTATTCAAGAGCACGGGGCCGGCGGTGGGGGCCGGCCCTCCGGTCCGCGGGCCGGCCACTGGCCGGTATTGCTGTCTTCATCGGAAGAATCGGAAAACAACCAGCTACAAGCGTACGGGGACTTCATGCTGACTGCGGAGCAGCAACGGGCGTATTTACATCGTCAACAACGACTGGCGGCCGAACACGAGAAACTGCAGGAAAAGAAGGAGGAGCTGGAAAGACGGGAAGAGGCACTGGCGGAACGCGAGCGAGTCGTCGTGCGAAAAGAACAAGAATTCAAAATCAGTGGCGACCCCTCCGCGTCTATCCTGAGTAAAAACGTACCCACACCAGAGTCAGGATGGGGATTTTGCAACACAAACCTAGGAGTTTTGTGACTCACGCGTGACAAGTTGCACTCTGCAGTGTAGTGCAGGTTAGCAAGTGCAGCCGCATCACAGATTCGTCTGCTCATCCTGTTCACAGCGTCACAAATTCCAAAACACGATTGGAAATGGCTCTCATGGGGATGCGCATTACAAGTCTTCCTGTCTTTGCAAATCTACATTTGTTAGCGGCCGGGAGATGATGGTGATGGCACTTCTGTGTCCGCCTGACCTACCCCCCCTGCGTGTCAAGCCATCTGCGGCCTGGGGCAGAGGGGGGGGCAAAGTGTGCTGCAATTCCTTTAGCATTACAACTCTGGTGTGGGGACGTTTTTACTCAGGATAGCGTCCTCCACCCCCTCAGCTTCGCGGGACGACGACTACAAAAACTACGGAAGCAAGAAAAGTGAAGACTTTTCCGCCGTGACCGCCTGCTGCGTCTCGTTTCTTGCGTCTTTGCAAAGACAGACCGGCATTTCGGAGCAGACGCTGGACTTCAAAAAAGTGGCAAAGCAACTGTGCTTCCACCCAGACACGCTGTGAAGTATGGAATAGGAAATAAATATTGAATTGTATCTGTCCAATTATCGAAGACAGTCTCGCTCGTCTTGCATCGTAATTTCATGATCCTGCGAAACAGTAAATCACTTTTCCGATGAACATTGAAATTAATTCCGACCACACTGGAGGCATTTTTTGAGCCGTGAGTAAAAAAGATGAATGCAATTGTATCATGTGTACTGAGTATTTCTTCGTATGATTACAACTGTCTTTGGCTTGTAGATGAAGTTACTATAAGAAATGCCGAAGAAGTTTTATTTCTGAGGTGTTTAGTTAAGAACCTTGCCAGCCGAACTGAAAGATTTTTCTAGTGACGCCCCGGTTCGCGGCCGCGTGTCTCGTGCTGTCGTGTAAACATAGCTATGAAAGACGAGCCTCAACCTGCGAGTCGTATTATCAATCAGAAGTGCCCGCTCGCCCATCGGAATCGGTATCAGTAACTGCTTCAAGAACATCAGAAATCAGAATTTCGTCCATATCTCTTTGTGTAAAGCGATAATATTAATGATAGAGAAAAGAACAGATTTACTTGCGAATAAAAAATAAGAAGTGCATCGAAATACCTTTCCGAAAAAATCTTCAACCAGCCAAGACAGAATTCTTGTGTGTCCATGCGGTGCAAGAGTACCAGAATTTTTGGGCTAGTCTAGAGTCGTCATTACCGCCTTGACCTACTATCTATGTCGAGGACCTATCATGGTTCCCGCCGATGTTGTTCCCGACATACTTTTCATTTTGCTCGTGTTGCCTTTTCGGTGCATATTCTTTCACACCCTCAGTGAGTAAAAAATTGGTGTAGAATCTCTTTCGAATCGCATCGCCGAGTGAGGGACGAGGCTGCTAGAGCGATGCAAGCGATAGTACGTATAATTCGGCAACGTCAGTCGAGACTTTGCAGTAGAGAGGGGAAGCAGGTTTCGCCCTGGCGAATGAGTGCTCGTTCGTGGCCGAACTTATTATCACAAGCAGTGCAGCTGCAGCCCTCCCAATTGTCTTTGTCCTTTTCATCGTATGGTGCTCTTTCACTGACCCGGAATTTCTTCTTTTCTTTTGTAAGATTTTTATTCGGTCTACTACTACTTCACTAGGAAATAAAGCAGTTGAAGCCAGAGAAAAAGAAAACCTTTCTCGTCACCATGGCGTACGTGGCGTCATGGAAGGCCCCGTTGGGGTCCATCATGGGCTCGCAGAATATGGAGCAGGAGTTGCGGATCGGAAAACAATCAGCTTCAGGAATGAACGCAGTGTTTGAAATGCGGTTTGCACTCAAAATTTGCATGACTTCGCGCAAGGAATTGCGACCCTTCTGGGGAGGGGAGTCGCAAAAGAATAAGAAAACTATTCTCGGTTGTCCGGTTGTACTTATTTTCTGCATTTATTTTTTGGCCGCGTTTTGATTCCTGGGGTACTGTTTTCCACTCGATAGGAGCCCAGAAATGCGGAAAACATCAACGAAACATTTCGAAAAAACGAGACGGAAGGTATACTCTTGTTTTGACAGAAATTATTTTTCTCCATAGCGATCTCTACTGAGTATTATGCCAGTGTAGTCGTGCAAATATTGGTCGTGAACAGTTTTGAGGCAGAGGTGCGAAAGCCGCCACCCAGTATCTTTTCGAACACCAAGGAGTTTGCAAAGTCAGAGAAACCACAATCCTCCAGGTTATTTCAAGCCACCATTTTGCCAATGGCCCTTTGGAGGAACGAGCAAGAAGGAGACCAAGCAAAGAATAAAATCAGGGGAGCCAGTGGTATAGACACAGCAAGTGTTATTCTTTCGAGTTCTAGTACTTCGGCCGTGATGTAGTTGCAACCACATGAAGTACAAGTTGCAAACAAACATGGTTCTACATCACAGGTAAAAGCGGGCAGTTACGAATACGAGCCAACGGCAAACGACTACTACTTTGGGATGGGAAAATTTTTATCATACAGAAAATTATTGCTAGTGAAGCCTGTATTTGATCATAGATGTTTTCACGTCGCACAATGAAAAAGCCAGCAACGTGAAAGAACGAGCAAGGTAGAATCGGGCATATGATGCAGACAACAGAACGTCACGATCTCCCGATCCCGGTACATATTTGGATACGGCGCCGGACGGGTTTAAGTTTATACTTACTTGCATCCATTGGCATTCGGGATTTTGACTGTGCAATACATAGACAGCCGCTTCTATGCTAGCACATTTCTGTACGATACGCAACCCGACCGAAAGACGAAGACGAAATGTCGATCCGCACCGAGTCCACGACACTCTACATGCAGAGCAATCTCTGTACGAATTTACTTTCAACACATTTTGATGGAGTTTATTGGCGTCGTAGTACCAAGCTGAGGATAAATGAATATTGACGTTTTTTTTGCTTTTTTTTTTTTACGAGGACGAGTCTAAACGTCATCGTCATTCCCTCCATGCAATAAATGCAAAGGTACAAGAACGTTCGGACCCAACAAGAAGCCAAATGCACTTCCGGGCGTCGTTAGCAGGCCAAAATTCGAGAAGAGGCCCTTCATCAAGCCATACATTGTCCCGGACTCGATGAAGAACGTATTTTTTGTTGTCTTTTGATGCTATTGCGTTTGTCCTGTTTCTTTTTCAAGAGCTCGATAGTAACTCTAACAAACTGCAACGTGCTTGTTCTCGCGTTTTCTTGTGACATGCGGGGCATGAACAAAAATAAAAAAGAAAAAACAGTACGACGCAAAAATCGACATCTTCGACAACGTGCAACACGATGGTGTGCGATCACCAATGGCACCAAAGTATCGTCTATAGTTTTTCACTATCTTTTGTTCGTAGCTGATGATACCTTCACAGGTCATCAAACATTTTAGATGATATCGTTCGTGTGAGGACATAGTAGGTATTGAATCGACTCCAATTTATTACTGTGAAACGAAACAATTTTTCAGGGCCGACCAGGAATTTCTGCCGCTGGAAAAGAACACGGCAATTTTCATTAGCAAGGCGGGGCACTCAGAAGAAATGAAGCCGGCCGTGGGCAACCCATATGGTCCGGAGTTCTCGCCGCCACAGCCACTTCGGTCCGGGAAGAGGGGGCTCCCACGATCATACGCAGTCGGAGCGGTATTACGGAATTCTTGTTTATTTCAAAAAGTCGAAATGATGGATTTCGATTTTTTCGAAGTTGTACGCATGGAGGTTCGACTATTCTTCTGAAGAACGTACTTTTTTTCGATTGGCAATTTGGATCCGCAATAATACAGGTCCCGCGCGTATCGGACAGCATGCCCGCGGAGAAGGAGCCAGTGTGGCGACAGAATGATTCGCGTGTGCTGATCAGTCCCCGCACGTACCTCAACGCAACGGAGAAGGTCACGAAGAAAAACAAGTACCTGGAAGACCGGTTGTTCGAACCGAATGGAGACCTGGTGCTGACGTACGAAAACTAGAAATGCACCCGGTGCATTTCGAAACTTTAGTAAAAAAAGCTTCTTTACTTCTGTAAATGTAAAACTTTCAACAGCAAACGTAAGAACTGCAAGCAATGCAAAAATGTCTTAGGATTTCAACGAATTTGGCAAGGATAATCCAGAAAATTATATGTTTCAAACCGATTCAGATCATCTGATGACACAAATATAGCAAACTAGTTTATTCTAATTCGAACGTATCTCGTTGTAGCTTTCATCAGACGCACGGTTTTAGAGGTACACGATGCAGCATCAGGTTCGCGCTGCATGCGCTTGCAACAATCCTTGCAAGCGAAAGAGGATCTTGTATGATTAGGTGTCGTCGTCTTCGTGTAGAATAGTTTTCGAAACTAGATGCACGACGACCACGCCCAAGCAGGTTTACAGTACCCGTATTACACTATCCCAGTTAGCACCAATAGCGGGAAAGCAAGTCGGAGTTGTGAGCAGTCCCCTGTAAGCAAGCGCCGACTCGGAATTTTCTGTAGATATATGTTTGTGAGAACTACTGCACTCTTTCTCCGAAAGAAGTTCTAGAGAAGAAAACTATGGCTTACACTGTACACCACGGTAGGGACTAATGGAGGAAAAACAATTTCGGAGGACAATAAGGTAGAACTTCGAGAGCTTCTTGCGCAGGTTCTCTGTCTGCGCACCCTAAAAAAAGAATTCTTCCGATCCCGAATTAGACAAGTGACAGCACTCATTCGTTGTCACCGCGAAAGATGTTGCAACGTGTACGTGTTGCACCAATCCTGTCACGTGCCTCTGTAAGAGCTTGGGAAGATCAGCTGCTTTACGATTCGAAAGTCGAAACGAACAATGACACAAAGATCAGTTCGCAAAAACGTTCCTTCCTGACTATCTAGATCACCGCGAACACAAAGTAAATGTTGCGCCATTGATCAAAGAAAGTAACTAGCTTTAGTACTATCACCCTTGGATTTCTAAATTTAGATACAAAAAGACGCTACCCAACATGATTTATCGGACCTCTCAGCGATTTGTACGAAAAAATTTTTTGCGAACAAATTTTAAGACTTACAGACACTAACAACTTGGACATTTTGTACACCCAGTGAAATAAGAGTTTTCACGACCGATACATATTCTCTGCGACAAGAATGTTGTTTTCCTACGCAAAGACTGCTAGTGCGGCTTTCGCACTCTGCAGTACCCTGGCGCACGCCGCATCAGCTGCACAAGCCAGCGACGATGCAAGAAGAACCGCAATGGAAATAGATTCATCAGTGACGAAGTTGCAGCCAGAGATGAACATCAAGGAGCAGTCCATCCCTGAAGAAGCTTTGACAGCACCAAAACAGGACGTTGGCCTTGAGCCTGGCGAGGGCGCCTCGGACTCCGATACCACGAGCACGGACGCGGGCGACGAGGAGTCGGACTCCGATGTGGAGATGTTCTCACCCAGGACCGCGGTTGCTGACGGGGAGAGCAATCCTGAAGATAGCGACGTTAACATTTCCGAACTCTCCTCCGCCTATCCTGAGTGCGGGGAGAGCAGCAGCAGTTTTCTACGTGTAGACGAGCTGTTGGCACCAGCGTCAGTGCAAGAAGAACACCAGGCAGCTGCACAACCAAGTAGTTCTACTGCTCATTCAAGCATGGCCTTTTCATCTCGACCGGAGGTTCGGGCCGCGCTATCTAAATACGATCCCTCCGAGGGACCACAAGCTTTCAACAGTTTTGACCAGCCCGGCGCGAACAAGTGGCTCTCCGTATCATGATTAAAAACGTACCCACACCAGAGTCAAGATGGGAATCTCGCAACACAAATCGAGAAGCTTTGGGAATCAAGCATGACAAGTCCCTCTCTGTAGTGTAGTGTAGTTTAGCAAGTACAGCCGCAACACAAGTCCATCTACTCATCCCGCTTACAGCATCACAAAGTCCAAAACACGATTGGAAATGGCTCTCATGGGGTTGCGCATTACAAATCTTTCTGTAACTGCAAATCTGCATGACAAGTATGGGGTGGGGACGTTTTTCCTCAGGATACTCCGACCACACCACTCAGCTGATCGAGCTGCGCCAGGTGCTTCGCCCCGATATTGTCGGAAAGCAGAACACCATACTGCCCTGGACCCTGAGGGGGCTGACGTGGAACCTGATGCTGCAACAGCAGCGGATGGTGTTTTTGGGGGAAGACAAGGAAAACGGGGACGCGAAGCAGATCTGGCTGAGTCCCTGGTCATTTCCGAATCCGCTCGACTTGAACGGGAAGAAGAAGAGCAAAAAAAAGCCCGCGAGAGTCCTGACGACGAACCGCGAACCCAACAGTCACTGGGAGGCGCGAACGGTGAGCCAATTCGAGAAGATCATTTCTCTCATGCGGAAGGAAAATCTGGCTTTCGCCTTTCTGCAGGAGGTGGGCATGTTGCGAAACGACAAGTACCAACAGGAGAGCTTGAAAAAAATCATGGAGAAACTTCATGCCGCGGGTTACGAAGCACTCACCACCGCGAAGGACACCCAGGAGTTGATGATTGTTTACGATCCGAAGCAGATTGTGCCACATAAAAATATTACCTACGGGGAGGCTTCCGCTAGCGATACCGATAGCGATCCTCACCTCGAGGGGCTGTGGCCGCAGACGCGGGATGGCCAGGTCGTGGGTAAAAACCGAGCGGCAAAGGCGCTGTTTAAGATCGTGACAGAAACAGAGGAAAATAACCAACCACCGCCCTTCGAGGAGCAGTTGGTGACGCTTGTGAACTTGCACCTGGACTACGAGGAGGAGGCTTACGCCGAGAAGATTTTCACGCTACAGCTGGACAACCAGTGGAACAACATCGCCACAATTCTGGGCGGCGACACGAACCACTGCACCTTGTGCGGCATGCTGCAGATGACGGGGAAGGGCGACCGCGCGACGAGTCTTGGGAAGGGTGGACAGGTTAAAGAATCGAGTCAGGAGTACGCGAAGTTGGAGAAAGATCTCATGGGTTATGCGATTAACGAACCCAAAACCGTGGAACTCGACGGGCTGGTCGCCACCCCGGTGGAATTTCGCGACGTAGCGGTGCCACCCGCACTCGCCAACACTCTTCTAGCGGCCGGTCACAGCCTGCCGATTTATAACGCAGATCCAGTAGTTTCCGCGAGTGAGATCGACGGGTTTTTCTTCTCTCCCGCGCGCTGGGGCTACACCCGCGCGGCGGTGCGGAAGTTGGAGTCTGAGCAGTGGGTTGTGGAGCAGGGGGGCCACGACACTTGGGAACAAAACAAGCTGGTGTTAGAGAAAGTGGCGGCCGACGACTGCTTCTCGACATCGAAACTCGGTCAGCCGTGGTTCAGACCGGACTTGGCAGACGAGTTCGAAGCGTGTGTCGCGCAGGGGGAAGTAGATGCCGAGGGCGGACAGGCCTTCGAACACTGTTTCAACCAGGAATGGCTGAAAAATAACCACGAGCAATTTCCAACGCTAGCGAAAATCCTGTTGACACGGTACGCACCCAAAAAGTAGCTGTTGGTTCCTTTACTTCCTGCGTGTAAAAATTGGCTGGAACGATGTCATAAAACGCGTTTTTGGAACCAATGATAGGTGGATAGGACTGCATGGGAACTGCTCTTGAGTGTACTATGCAGATCCTGGAAATCGTTGTAAGATTGACAATTTGTTTTTTTGGAAGAAGGGCGCTGATCGCTACTCCTACTCGAGAAATAAAACTAGCAAGTCCATGACACGTATAGCGCCCCTGTGGATCACGCTGTTGACTCCTGCTCCGTGAATGATTTGAAAGCTAAGCATGCACATAGATACGCCTCCAGGTGGTCAAATACACGATGTATGTACCCAGCGACGCTCCGGCCCACAAGATAGCCCGGGTTCGGGAGGGAACTTTTTTTGATACTACACTTTGTAAAATTTACGCTGTCATAGTCATTATCATGTAGTTCCACTCTGTTCATATACAAACTGCACAAAGCTTGCACTCACAGGAAAATTTGTCTGTAAAATTGAACGACTTGCGTTGCCACATAAAAGATCGCGTGCGATTGTCGTCGTGCCTTTCATATGACGGAAACTGTTCTACCACTTTTTTCTTATTCGCTCTGTGTATAAAATGTCGTGCCTCGTACTCGAAGCTTCGCAGTTGGCATGTCAAGTGAGTGACCGACGCTGACCAGACCTTCACGAGAATCGGGGAAGTAGAATATTTACCGCAATGCGAGAGCTAAGCAATTAATGCCATGAATTTTCAGAGTGAGCGTGTCTATGAAGAAACCCTTTCTGTCCAGAAGAGTGAGATATGAGCCGATATTTTCTACGAGATACGAAAGAGATGGCTGACGTTGATCCAGATTCGGACCGAACGAAGGGCCGGACGGCGACAGAGATACGAACCAACCGCCAGATTGGCAAAGCAGCAGACCGGAAGGATGGCGTCGCCTTCTACTCTCTCTCGCGCGCGCGCATGCCCCGGTTCGTAGCGGCTGGCGTGGCTGCTGGCTTGACCGCTTCCGCCGTGAACACCTGCACTGCCGTGCCGCAGACCAAGACGGGCGTGTCCGAGTCGGTAAAGAACTTCGAAAATCAAAACCTGCTTCACCTCTCTTTTCGATCTGGAGGTTTCATTGTGCAGTTTGAATGTATTTGCGCCGTTTGCCTCGAGTAGTACTGATGCAACCTGTAGTTCATGATTTTACATAAAAAAAAAGGTAGAAAAAGACGACGAACCTGGGGGAAGGCAGAGCATGCGGATCGGAGCAGACGGTGGACGAGAATACTCAGAGGAGATGGAGGAATTCTTGCAGGAAGCCGAGAGTGAAAAGGACAAGCTTCCTTGGCCTTTTGGTAAGAGAAAGAGGGTCGCACCGGGGGAGCCCCGTCCACAGCCGAAGAAGGGGTTGGCGTGGACGACCACGGATCCCATAGCTGAATATTTGGAAAATTTGAGAGAGATGGATGTTCATCGTCTGCCGAGTTTCATTGACCTAGAGCATGCACTGCTTCAGCTGCGAGCGAGTCAGGATCAGTGGGAAGAAGCTAAACGCATTTGGAGGGAGAGAACAACTGCTGCGCAGCGTGGCACAGAGCAGGAGGAAGCTGAGCCTTCCTAGTAAACGTATAGAACGAAAGAGTGGCAGTTTTCTTCAAGACAAACGGAGTCCATTTGTCATTGCAGCGAAATCAGATTTCGCGCGCAGCAAATGCAAGCGCAGCAGCCTTTGTTTTTGCTGATCGTGGTCAGTCAGTCCCTTCCCACATGATAATATCATGTAGCTCTACTTCTCTCATATACAAACTGCACAAACCACCTTGCACTCAAACAAAAATTTGTCTGTAAAATCGAACGACTTGCGTTCCGAAAAAAAAAAACGCGTGCGATTGGTGTCGTGCCCTTCACATGACGGAAACTGTTCTACCGCTCTTTTCAGATTCGATTTAATTATGGATGACGAGCATCACAGCAATGTCGTGCCTCGTAATCAAAGCTTCGCACCTGAAGTTTTTTCTGAAGTGGTTTGGTTTTTTTCTCTTCGCTCGACCAGTTTTTTTTGTCGAATTTTGGCCTGTGAAAAGCCAGCTGACGTGATGCAGCTGAGAGGACTCGGGAATAATCTTTTGAGGGGCGGTGTTGAGTCAGTCGTCGTTCTTTTCGATAGAATAAGTACTGCGATCGTTTCTTCGTTTCGCCTTTCATCGGACTTCGTTTCGTTCGGCACATTTGTCGATTTCGTGCTGCAACGTCTTTGTTGCTCAATTCTTCAGTTCCAATGAAGATGATCTGCTAACGAAGAAACTCTGTTTGTTTTATTGGGCCCTTCATGCAGTGTCGAGCACAGCCACAGGCTAAGGCGCGCGCTTGGAATCGGGGGGTTTTTGTTGTGTTGCTTGAGCCCAGGTCCATAAGGCGAAGCGTCAGGAAGATAGAACTACATCTGTCTGAGACAGATACAACTCGACAAGCATCAGGATAATAACATCACTTCGCAATGTCTCAAATGCTGGGCTCGCTGTTCTTGCCTTCTAGATCATAGTATCGACACTTTGATAGATATCTGAAGCGAAGTGGAAGTCCTCGATATGGCGGCCACTGGTGTCAGTACCGAGGCTGAGGCCAGCGCGCTGGCCGGCGACAATCGTGCATCCATTGTGCTCTTCTGTTGGTAATCGTAGTTGTAATTTTTCAGAATTTGAATGCGAGGCCGATGCGTGACAGGTGGGTCCTTGATGAAGACGAGGGGACGAAAGAAGATCTGCTGAGGAGATTCGTTTGTGCGATGATTTCTTTCGTTCGTATTTTCGGTGCGAGGTTGTTGAGAAGCCTCTTTGGACAACAAAGAAATTTCTGTATCTGTATCTGTTGGCCTTGCCGTCGTTTCGCTTCGCTTCAGCTTCGCTTGGTCGACTTGTTTTTCGGTCTTCCATTTTTTCTAACTTTCGGAAAATCTACCATTCGTCCACGACGTTTTTGTATTCGTGATTTGTTTTTTCCATGGCAGATGATATGTGAGAACCTACAGCGCGCACTTTTCTTCCACGAAGGGCTAGTCTTGGATTCTTGAACCGGGTCTATAAATTTGATGATGGCACGCGGTTTTTTCCTCACGTGTGTTGGACTTGTTGAATCGTAGAAGTACTGTCCGATACATGATACAACATGGGTACATTAATCACCTTTGTGTGCGATATTGCGATATTAATCACCACGTGCCGGTTGATGTTGGCAAAGTAGATACATAAGAAGTATAAGTTCAGAAATTCTCTTCCGCTGTTGAGATCATGGCCGCCACTGGCGTGAGTACCGAGGCTGAGGCGTATGCATTGCAAAAGTTTCGTACTAGTACATACAAAGCGCATGACAAATTTCCTCACCATAAAGAATCTAGTTTTTCTTGTTGCTGGTGTACATTAGAAAGCAGATTTGGCATGCATAGGCGCAATCAGGACGAGTGCGATACTTTTGCAGTGGATAAGGCCAGCGCGCTGGCCAGTTTCAAGAAGGATTTGGAGGACCAGGCGCGGATTGAGGGGCGGTTGATCATCTACGAGGCATGAGCGCCAAAAGCTGTCCGTTTCTTGGCACGCAAGTAGGAAGTTTCTCATGCGGGACAGGCATCATGAGGCGTGCTCAAAACCTGTGATGCTTTTGCCTGCATCAGACGCCACTTGCGTGATCCGAAATATGCATGACAAATCTCAGAATTTTCCAGACCCAGACATTTTTACATTTGATAGGTCACGAAGAAAAACAAGTACCTGGAAGACCGGTTGTTCGAACCGAATGGGGGCCTGGTGCTGACGTACGAAAACTAGAAATGCACCCGGTGCATTTCGAAATCTTAAAAAAAGCTTCTTTACTTCTGTAAATGTAAAACTTTCAACAGCTTTTTGTTTTTTCTTCGCTGGATCAGTTTTTTGTCGGATTTTCAGCTGTGAAAAGCTTGTTGACGCCATACAGCTGAGAGGAGCTAAAAGTGATCTTTTGAGGGGCAGTGAGTCAGTCGTCCCTCTTTTCGATAGAATACTACAGTCGTTTCTTCGTTTCGCTTTTCATGGGAACCTCGTTTCGTTCGGCACATCTGTCGATTTCGTCATTCTATTTGTTGCTTACTTAATTCTTTTTCACTGAAGATCTGTCAGCGAAGAAGCTCTGTTTGTTTTATTGGGCTTCTCATGCAGTGAGCAATGGCTCCTAAGGCGCGCGCTTGAAACCGGGGGGTTTTTGCTGTGCTACTTGAGCCGAGGTCAGATGGAGCATGTTTTCGAATATACTCGACTATAGATAATAAAAAGGCTAGTTAGTACGTACATCATGAAGATATCAATTCGAAATGTCTACTTCCTTGTTGGGCCGTCCTTTCCCCCCAGATAGTATCGACGCTTTTATAGATATCTAAGCGAGGACGACGTCACCATGGCGGCCACTTGTGTGAGCACTGAGGCTGAGGCCAGCGCTATCCTGAGTAAAAACGTACCCACACCAGAGTTGTAGTGCAGATTTGCAAAGACAGGAAGACTTGTAACGCGCATCCCCATGAGAGCCATTTCCAATCGTGTTTTGGAATTTGTGATGCTGTGAACAGGATGAGCAGCTGGATTTGTGATGCGGCTGCACTTGCTAACCTGCACTACACTGCAGAGCTCAACTTGTCATGCGTGACTCACAAAACATCTAGGTTTGTGTTGCAAAATCCTCACTGTAACTCTGGTGTGGGTACGTTTTTACTCAGGATAAGCGCGCTGGCCAGTTTCAAGAAGGATTTGGAGGACCAGGCGCGGATTGAGGGTCGGTTATGGGTTGCAAAAATGTCTGGGTCTGGACGATTGCCAGATTTGTCATGCAGGTTTTCCATGACCCATGAGGTTTGGTATGTAGGACATAGCATGACAAATTCTGCGAGACCTTTCTCATGCCTATCCTGCATGAGAAACTGCCCCCCGGTTAGGTCAAAAGTGCACAACTTTTGGCAATCACGCAACACAGTTTTTTGCCTGATTCAGATTTAGCATGACAAGTTGCCATCTTCCAGACCCAGACATTTTTGCATTTGATATCGGTTGATCATCTACGAGGCCAGCATTATGTACGACCAATTGCGCCGCGTGGAGCCGTCCATCAGTGGACCCTGGTGTTTTTTCCTGGGTGGGCAGCAAGACAACCATCCCTGGATGGAGGAGGAGCACTGGCGCCCCACGCCGCCCAGCGTGTTGAGCTTCATGTCGCACAAGGTTCCAACTGAGGAGCTGAAGTTTTCCGCGGCGTTTGAAAACGGGAATTTGTACTTCGTCGAGAAACTAGACGACTTGAATTTCCGGGTGGAGGTTATTACAATGAAAAATGCCCCTTCCCCATATCAAAACGGAAATCTGTGATGCAGATTTGTGGTCACAAATCAGCTTTGTGATGCTAGAAGGCAAAAGATGCGGACTGTAGTGCTGTCTAGCGTGGGAAAGCCTTGCAGCTCCAGGATGACAGGAGGCAACTGGAAGCGGGAAACAGCATGACAGATTGCCTGCAATTTAGCCCGCTGCTTCGTCTCTTGGGGGCCTTCTAGCAATACAAGTCGATTTGTGTACTCAGATAAAGCATCACAAGTTCGCGCATCTTCCGTTTCCGATATGGGGTGGGGGCTTTTTTTACTTTGATAGAGGTGCAGTTCGACCCGGTCGCGGATTACACGAGAATCCGCCGCGACGCCGACGACTACGCCCCCGGGCCGGCGGCGCTGTGGTTTCACTTCGCCGTCTACGGCGGCCGGAACTGCGCCGGCCGGACGGTGCGGTTCGAGATCGTGAACTTGAACCGAGCGAAAGCGGTGTCGCTGATGGCGTCGCACCAACGCGGCCCGCTCGTGTGGTCCTCCCACCACTCGGCGTGGCACGGGTCGAAGACGAAGCACGTCAGCATTATAACTTGCTCAGGTGCTACAATCTCAAACGTTACAATAGAGTATGGAAATCTGTGATGCAGGAAGCGCATGATCTACCGTAGTCCCATAGGTTTGTGCATGACAAGTTTCGGCACCCAAAACCGAATTGATATACGGCGAAATTTGTATTGCGAAAGGCGCAAGAACTCTACATACGTTCTTCATTCTCTTCATGCAAGACAAAATCTTTCAGATTCTATTGTAACGTTTGAGAAGATTGTAACGTTTGAGCAGGTCATAAGCATCCGCCCGACGGAATACGAGGTAGCGAAGGAGGCCTTGATATCCTGAGTAAAAACGTACCCACACCAGAGTTGTAATGCAGATTTGCAAAGACAGGAAGACTTGTAATGCGCATCACCATGAGAGCCATACCCAGTCGCGTTTTGGAATTTGTGATGCTGTGAACAGGATGAGCCGATGAATCTGTGATGCGGCTGCACTTGCTAACCTGCACTACACTGCAGAGTGCAACTTGTCATGCGTGACTCACAAAACTCCTAGGTTTGTGTTGCAAAATCTCCATCTTGACTCTGGTGTGGGTACGTTTTTAATCAGGATACTTGAACCGGCAGGGGTGGGACATCGAGGTGGGAACGAGGAGCAGCGGAAACATCGACAATGGCGGCTACATCGTGCCGAGCAGCACCGCGCACGGGCTCACGACGTTGTGCTTCGACTACACCTTTTCGTACGACAACGAGACGGCGTTCTTCTGTTCCAGCTTGCCCTACACGCTGACCCACTTGCGCCGGTTTCTGAAGTCGGTAACGGGGAGCGTTGACAGCAGCAGCTCCGCGGCGGGCAGGGAAGGAAGTACTAAAGCAGTTTGCACTATGCTGCCTCGTCTTCTACTTATGGAGTATTCATCTCGCGCACACTAAAGTGATGTTCTGCCACAGAAACATTAACATTTATGCGCAACGAAAATACACACAGGAAACATTCCTGAGCCGATTGTTACCCGCGAAGAGCTGGCTACGACGGAGGCCGGGTTTCCAATCGACCTGGTTTGCGTAGAGAAGAAAGCACCGATGCCGGAGCACGAAGAGGAGCTGGACAACCTTGAGTCTTCGGACGAAGAAGAGGACGAGGGTACTACTACACTCGAAGCCGGTCCGACGACCACCGGAGAGACGACTTCGACCACCGCCTCGGGAACGGAGAGCAGCGGGGCAAGTTCCTCTTCGAGCGAAAAGAAAGCTGGCACATCAACTCAAGAAATAACGGCTGTGTCCTCGGGAAATACAAACAGCAGCAAGAAACTGACAGGAGTAGCGGCGACTGCCATTTCCTCTTCTTGTCGGCGGAACACGAAGATCCCGCGTTTTTACCAACACACGCGGAAGGTGCTCGTGCTGATCGCCCGGCAAACGCCGTCTGACACCAGCAGCAGTTGGGTGATGCAGGGCTTCCTCCGGTTCCTATTAGGGAACAGCAATCGCGCACAGCGGCTGCGGGACGCCTTCGACTGGGTCATCGTGCCCATGGCCTCGGTCGACGGGGTTGTCGCGGGGCACTCGCGCTGTCCAGGCGGGCACGACACGGTCAGTCTCCACAGGCACTGGCAGAAGATGGGGACGAGGACGAGTAGTAAAACTAGTAGCGCAACGATTTCTACTAGTACTTCTACGCTGGATCAAACTATTAGCTCCGTTCTTGGGGCCACGACGACGTCCACTGATGTGCCTAATGCTGCTTCCGAAAGCGAAAGAACTGTCGTGCCCCTGGTCGTGAAGGCGTTGCGCGCCAAACTGGAGCAGATCCAAAACGAGGAAGGGAGGCAGATTGTGTCTGTCATCGACTTTGAATCGCAGGTGAGCAAGCGCGACTCGATCCTGTCCTTGACGCAGTCTTACTTTTCCAACTTTTCCGCCAAGGGGCTAACACCGAATAGGCCACCAGAAATGTCGTCGAGTGGTGCGACGTCGAATGCGGCGGGTGGGCAACAACAGCAGCAGCAGCAGCAGCAGCCTAAGGACCACGACAACGGTATCCTGAGTAAAAACGTACCCACACCAGAGTCAGGATGGGGATTTTGCAACACAAACCTAGGAGTTTTGTGAGTCACGCATGACAAGTTTCAGTCCGTAAGGTAGTGCAAGGTAGCAAGGAAAGCCGCATCACAAATCGATCTGCTAATCCTGTTTACAGTATTACAAGTTCCCAAACACGATTGAAAATGCCTGTCATGGGGTTGCGCATCACAAATGTTCCTGTCATGGCAAAGTCGCATGACAACTCTGGTGTGGGTACGTTTTTACTCAGGATAAACGGAGATGAGACGTTCGACGAGTCCGCGCAGAGATACCGCCAGCGCCTGCGCGACTACATGAAACGCGAGGACGTGCGACTGACCTATTTGCCGGACTTCCTCGGTCGTGCCTGCATGGATGTGGATTTGGAGAAGTGTCAACACTTCGCGGCAAAAACGCCGAGTGCTGTCTTTTGTGCAGAGGTGAATAGCGCAAGTAGCCTCGTTGCGGGTGCTGGGGTGAAAAGTAGCAGCGACCCCCTCCGGAGGAACATCAGCGCTTCGGGCCTTGCAGGTGAAGATGTTGGGGCTGCGAACAATCCAGATGAGGACCTCGATGCGGATTTGGAAGATGTGGAGGAGGACGAGGAGGAGGACGAGGATCTGGATGAAGCTAACAACCCAGCTGAGGGCGAGGAAACTGCGACAGCCGGCGCGGCTGGCGGAAAGGAAGGCTCTTCTTCCACAGCGGCGCTAGTAGCAACATCTGACTCATCAACAGTCGCTGCGAACAAATCACAGAATAGCGCCGGCAAAACAAAATCGCAGGCGGTGATTCCTTTTGCCAAGGGCGAGGTGCGCGAAATCCGGGATGCGGCGCTGGGAGGGACCAATGCTAAAGCGACGAGTCTAGCGGGGCCCTACTCGTCCGCAAGCCGGCGGGTCGGCCCGGACCGCGCCAGTCTGCGCATGGCGCTCTCCGCGGAGCTGCACAACTGTTGCTTCCTGTCGATCGAGACCTCCCTGTTCGGGATCTCCTCCCTCACGAGCCGCTTGGAAGTGCAGCGGAAGCGGTCCAGGCCGTACCAGCGCGCGTACGGGCGTCCGGCGCTGCTGGACTACGTCTCCGGGAGCCGGGAGCTGCACAGGTTTTTCGGCAAGGGCACGCCGTTCTGCGGGATCCGACTCGCGTCGCTTGGGCTCGCGTTGGGCTTGTCGCTGTTCCGGCTTCTCGTGGCGCACGAACTGGAGGGCGAGAAGAATGCCAACAGCAATCTGCACGGGTGCCCCAACGCCGCGCCGAAGGAAATCCGGCCCTGGACGCCGCGCACGCAGGAGCAGATCGTGTGGGAGATCGCGCGCACCCGGTGCCAGAGTCTCGGCGAGTGCCGGATGCGCAGCGCCGGCGTGCTGGCGACGCCACGGCAGGTGCGGTTCACCAAACCGTTCTTCGACCTGTGGATCTCCCTCGTCGAGGGAAATTTGGTCGAGAATTTACCGCAGAAGAGCTCCAAAGAACAGGCGTTAGCGCGCAAGGCGGTGGCGGAGCGACCGCAGACCTGGAGCCGGCTGAAGCCAACAACCTTGTCTCTCACCTTCGCCCCACCGTCCGCTTGCGCGCGACACAGTTTGTCGACCTCAAAGTGCTGTCACGGCGGCCTGCTCCCCTTCGACAGCGACGATCTGTCCATGTTCCGGAAACACTGCCCCTGGCTGGACGTGGAAACGCTTTTGAAGTACAAAATCGCCGTATTAAGAGGAAAAATCCCCCCTCCCCATATCGAAAAGGTATGTTTCCGAAAATTTGCGTTGCTGATTTGAGACCCCAAACCACGTGTGTCTTGCAAGAAGGCAACGCTACAACCTCCGCAGCATTTTGTAGGCGGTTTGTGATGCTGATGGGCCTACAGCATGGCCGTTTCTCATGCTAGACGCCTAGGCCAAAACCTCTCGCCTTAGGCTCAGTATGGGCCTGCAGTCCTCTAGTGCAAGACAAATCTGATTTGTGTACGCAAATCCTGCGTCAGAGACTTCGTTTTGATATGGGGAGGGGGGATTTTTCCTCTCAATACGCCGAGTTTCGCCCCTTGAACAAGCGCTTTCCCTGGAAGTTCAACGCGGACGTGGCTTCCGCGGTGGAAGTGATCACCGTGCCGGCCCAATTATCGCACTCGTCCTCGTCACAGCCCCAATTAGTGAACAGCGGTTTCGGCGGATCCGGCGGGTCCTCGTTCGGTTTTGGGTTCGGCTCCACGGGGAAGAACAAGGATCATGACAATGCTGCAAATACTAAATCCACGTCGCCGATGAAAAGGCTGTCGCACCAATCCTCCTCGACGGCCCTCGCGATCGGGCAAGACGCGTCCGGCGACATCGACCCCTTTTCCGTGTTTCACAAGACCACGTCGCAAAAGCGTCTCGCGACAATCGCGGAGCCCATTCCCTCGAGCAACGAGGGCAGCGCGAAGGACGATGTGGTGTCGCAGCCGGAACATCATCAAATGGAGCATGCGCTGCCGTTGACGCAACTGATGCAAAAACTGCAGCAGCACGCGGGGGAGCACTCGTTGTTGCCGATTTCGGTCAAATACAGCATGGAAAATGAGGGAAAAATGCCGGATTTCGAACTCCTCGCACAGGAGACGAACGCGAATTTTGGCAACATCGTCACGCAACTGCTCACCAACCCGGATTTGGCCAAGAGCGTCCGGTGGGACGAACTGTCGACCGAGGATCAGCAGATGCTGCGGTTGCACCTCGCCATGTTGAAGACCTGTGCGGTGTCTGCGACGGGGAATGAGCGGGTGTTCGTCCGCGAGCCCTGCCACCGAACCCTGACCAGCGAGCTTCTGTGCCCGAATTTGAAAGGTCCGGCGGTCACCCCCCGGAAAAAGAAGAAGAAAACGTCGAATGCAACTGCTTCGAGGCAAGGCGGAATAAGTACGTCTAAACGGGACGAAAGGTCCACATCTCCGGACAGCAGGCACAAGATTCCGATGTCGTCGCCCATGCTTCGGATGTTGGCGGAAACGAGAACCCCCGGGAGTTCTCCCGAGGACTGGCGAAGGAGAAACGAAGTCGCAAACACGACGAAACCGAGTTTGTACATGGAAGAATTTGCCTCCAGTGGGGACGACGGCCAGGAATACGAGTATGACTCTGAGGACCAGTTGCGCAAGGACGTGCGCAGACTCGTCCGACAGTACGTCGTCGATGGAGACAGCAGCGAGTACTGCAGCACGTCCCCGTCCTCCGCCGGCACGGGGTCGCCCAATCCCCGGCGCGGGACCAGCGTGGGAAGTGAGTCCGGTATTGTTCGGGAGAAGAAGAGCAGCAAATCCGCATCACGTAGAAACAAGAGCGCTGCAGCCCTCGCGTATCCTTCTCGCGCCACGCAAAAGAAGCTTTTGGCCGGGTTGGCGAAGTACGAGCAGACCTTGTCCGGGCCCATGCGCAAACGCGGACGGATCTACAAGAAGCGCAAGCTGCGGAAGGAAAAGGGCTTTGTCGGTTCAGAGTCCTTTCAGCGGCTCGCGTCGGGCGTGCGCTCGCTTGTGAACAAAAAGAAGAAGATGCTGGGTGGCGGGAGACAGGACAACATGGGCGGAGAGAACAGCAGCAGTCAGAGTCCGCACAAGCTGTCGCCGCTGCGGCTGACGAAGCACCACAACTGGAATGATCTCGCGGCTGCGCACCGGGATCTGTTGAATCAAGACAACAGTAGACAGCACGGGGGCATGTTGGCTGCGACCACCAGTCAACACGCGCAGAAGGAACAAACGCTGGAAGAACTGAATGAAGAAGATTCATCGAGTTGCAGTGCTTCAGCCCCGCCCTTGCCGCGGGCACCCGCAGGGTCGACGATGACGGCGTCTTTCACTTCTGGTGCGGCTTCGGAAAACCCCACAGGAGGACAACAGCAACAAACACAGCAAGCCTCCTTTTCCTCCACCGCTGCGCGCATCTACGCTGATCAGGTGTCCGACGATCCCCACCGGATCACGCAGTTTGACGTGCAGAACTGGACGAAGACAGGGCCCATCGACCAAACGCCGCCCTCGCGCGGTTTGTACTCCGCCAACACGCCCGACGACCCGCTTTCGGTGGGGAAGCAAGTGGAATCTGCAAACGGAGGGAATAGCAACCCCAACAACGGAACTTCTTCCAACGGCAAATACGATCCGATCACGGAGGCGGCGCGGCGCCGGCGCACCTTGCAGACGCCGAAAACACCCTACCGGCAGCCCTGGGGGGTGCAGCCCACTGCGTTACCTCCCGCGGCGCCGGGGAACGACGTGATAACGCCGAGTAAAGAGCAGTCGCAGAAAAGCTACTATCTGCAGAACAAGGAGCATAGTAGTTCCTCTGCGAAAAAGCGGATGAACAAGCGGAACGAACCGGAATACTTGAAATGCTCTAAAACCTTCGCCGAGGGCGTGATCCACCATCGGAGATTGATCGGGACAAGGGAAAACAGCGCTTCCTCCGCATCGTCCACTGCAGGCGACTTTGGGTTCGACGAGAGCACGCGACCACCTTTGCCAGCTGGTCTCTCATCTTCAAGCAAGAAATTATACTACCACGCGCAGAGCCCCACGGGGAAGCATACGCTCGACGCGGATCTGTTTGCGGGTTTGGTGAACCGCGTGAAGGGGGCGATGCCCGGTCCGCTTTCCGACGTGGAGATGGGACAGCAGCGGGGCGGTGGACAGCAGGGAAATGCGAACGAGGAGGACAGCGCGACATCGCAATCGAATTCCCTAGGTCGGGTTCGGCTCGACGGCTGGCATCGCGGGTTGAATAACGTCGACGGGGAGTCGAATGGAAGCAAAAAAGGCACAAGCGATATCGAGGTGGACGACGGGAATTATTTGGACGATGTGAACGAAACGATGTTGTCAAAAGTGCTGGATGGCGGAGAGGAGGACGAACATGATGATCGACTCGGGAATGCCATGGATCCTGATGCAATGAATAACAGTTCCGACATTTCTGTCGTTCGCGGCGAAGCGCGCGTGAGTGTCGACGGACGGTCGCCGCAAAACCGAACGGAAAGAGCGTTTGTTTCTGACGAGGAACCGGGTGAAGCGGTAGAGCACGATGGAACACCACTCGAGTCCCACCTCGTCCCGCAATTCAGTGACACATCCGAGAAAGACGCCGAGTCTGACACTGCCGTTTCTGGCGATTCAAAGAAGAATATAGCCGCGATTCAACAACGACAAAAAAACCTCTTACTTTCGCCCTCGGAACACGACCGGCCGCAGGGGCGCCGAACGACAAGGCGGGGGCAGGGGCAGCGCAGTGGGAGACCGATCGAGACCGAGGTGACGCGGTTCAAACAGTTGAACGGTACTAGTACTGCAGGAGCGGCAGGCGGACCGCAACTACTCGGGTCGTCGAGTGCGACATCAAATGTGCATCCCGCTACGAGCAAGCGGGACGCCAAGGCGAAAACGCTGGGACTGGGGACGACGACAAATTTCTACAATCGGGACACTCACTTTGCTTCGATGGACAGTTTGGCCGGCGCCTCTGAAGACATGACACAGGCGGCGATTGAATTGCTCCGGACAGGAAACACGGACATTATGAAAGTCGAATCCGTTGGATCGCTGTCCTTTGCGGGAGGTGGAAATAACGCTACTTCCGCTGCCTCTTCCAGCAAAAGCAAGCAAATGCAGCCAAATCTTCCACCGCAGGTGCCTACAACCACGTCGACGTCCAGCACACAGAGATTAGCGCAAGTCGACTTTTCGCAAGCCATCATGACGAGGCCGAAGGGCAGCCCGGCGGGGAGCGACAGGTCATCTGACCATCCTGCAGCCCCTGCGCATGACAGTACTAATAGTAACCTTCCGTCGAATGCCAGTGGTGCAACAACCACGTCGACAGTGAAACCGCACGTGATCGCGAAGCCGAATTACTCCACGACGCATAATAAACCCGTGATTTCGAGGACGAACTCGAAGGAGGACCGCGCGGAAGCGATTTCTTCCTCTTTCACCAGCGCCCAGAAGCAGCAGCAATCCGAAGTGGAGCAGCTCGCCGGCCTCGTCACGAACAAGGACGGCACGATAGACATTTTATCGGCGATGAACAAAAACCTACGCAAGCAGCTAAAGGAGATCGGGGTGAAGGATAGCAAAGAACATCAAGCAGCAGGCGGTAGCACCACTCTACCATCATCACCAGGCGGGAAACTTGTGAAGGGGCAAACAAGTGGGCTCGTCGGCCGCAAGGACCATCATTTCTCCAGCACGTCGCGTTTCATCCAGCAGCAAGTGGTCGAGGCAACCAGTTTGCAGGCAACCGCGACCAGCAATCGTGGGTTCGGGTCAACTTTAGGTGGCGGCGGGACCAGCTCGCCGTTCAAGCGTTCACCCGGAAAATTGCCCAGGAAGAAGGACCAGACCGCGCCGAGGTTCCTGTGAGCCTGGAGGGAGCAGGAACTGTTTTGTAATTGAGCTGCTGTTGCGTGAGCCTGAAGTGCATCACGTGCGATGGACCGATTATTCAATGAGCTATGCAGGAAGGAAGTTCGTCGTCAACCTCGACGGCCTCGTTCTGACGGATTAAGATGATATGCGCGTTATCCAGGTCGTCAGAAAAACTTTGAAATACAGAACATTTGTTTTCGGCGGGCTTCAATTCAAAGGTAAGAGTAAAACTCGCTGAAAAGAGTTGCACGAAAGCCATTGATCCTGATTTTCGCGCGTTTTGTTCCATCTCGACTTGGCTGTCTTTTGACCTCGATCATGATCCTACAAGATCCACGTCTACTGCGGCTTCTTCTCCAATCCGAGTTGGAGTATTTTGCGTTTCGCCACTCAGTGCTTACTTTCCGTTTCGAAAGATCCAATGTGAAATTAAGTAGACACAGGTCCGGCGCTCGTCGATCAGCACGAAAGACGTAACTGGGAGCGTCTTTGATGAAAGTTTAGCTGCGGCAAGGCCCAAGGTGGACCATTTTGGGATAAGTTAAGTAGTTTTACTCAATCCAGAATGACTCGGAAGACTGCCGAAGTTTGAACCGCGATCGTGTCAGGACTTCCACTTCATACTCGTCATTTTGAAAAAATGGCTCCTGCAAAAATTACTGTAGAACAGGAAGGACCGTCTGCCCGTTACGCAGCGTGGGTGGAGCGTCGCTTCTCCAGCTTTGTGCTGCAAGAGCAAGACAAGCAGCGGGTGAACGTCGAAGCACGAAGCGGAGCCGTGGTTGAAACGGACCCAATGAAAACGGTGCAGATTTTCCAGGAATCTACAAAGGAAGCGCACAGATGCGCGATACTAAAACTTGATTTGAAGTACCATCAACTGTGTGTGGAGGCTGCGCGACGCGGTTGGCTATGCAGCGAGGAGCTGAGGCGCACGGGACCGAAAAGTGCCGATTCCTTCTCTTGGATTTTTGGAAAACCAGCACTCGTTCAAAAACAAATTCCGGTGGGCGAGCAGGCCACGTTAGCACAGCAGGATGTTCTCGAGATATGGTATGAAGATGATCCGACGATACACTACAGGGAATTCTATCCCGGGCCCGGAAAGCACTACGAGGCACTGTCTAAGTCCATAGCACAAGACCAGGTCCGCGCATGGATGAGCGTGGTGCGAAGAAGGTTTCAGGAGCAATCACAAATTTTGCACCCGCACTTGCCGTCCGAACTCTTCTTGAAGATTAGATTCTTTCTCCGACCCTGCGGTTCGGTCATCCTGAACCCTTTGTACCTGGCGGAGACTGCAGCGAAAAAGCGCCTGCGCGATATCGAGCCGCTAGCCGCAGCTGCGCTAAAAAACTGTTTGGAGGATGCACCGCGCGCTGCTGTACATGCTCCAGTTCTCAAACATGGAGCAACTGGAAAAGTTTGGTCGCGTCGGGATCCCGTGCGTAGGACCACCGTTGTCGGCTTGCAACTTGGAACGGGCCTGAGCTTCATGATAGAGGGAAGGGCGTTGCAGATGTGGCCTTTGAGTAGCGAGAACGAAATCATCGATAGCGAGGCATGGGAAACGCTTCGGCAGACGGAGATCGCAGATAAAGCGCCCCTCGTGCGTCCGTCGAAAGAGGAGGTGAAGTACGCGAATTTGATGGGCATCTTGCGGGAATTTTTTGAATCCAAAGGTTTGAAGTTTACCCAGAATGAGGAGGATCGTAGCAAGTTCGAGATCTCTTGGGGATAACCCAGTTTCGTGTGAGAACCAAGGAGGGAGCAACATAGACCGTGTTTCAGCTGAAGTGTATCACTTCCGCATGGCTTGCTCCAGGTCTAATTGGGCCTCCGCACCGGCAGTCTGACAGATGAATATGTGCGTGGTAGAGGATGTGGTTGTCGGAAAACTTGTGGAATAATAAAGGACCCGTGTTTGCGCCGGACTTCATCTCTCGAAAGTTGAAACTCGCTGAAAAGAGTACTAAAAACGAAAGCGTCATTCATTCGCTGTGTTTTTGTTCCATCTTGAGGCGGGCGTCGACTTTGATCGTGATCCCTACGCGATGTATGTGTGTATTTCCGCAGGTCTTTGCTATTCGCATGCTATTCAAATAATTTTTGCCCTACTCGAGCCAACAGGAGGACGATCATGAAAGCTAGCTGTGTAGTCAAGACCGAAGTCCGACAAGTTTTGTACGACTTTGAAGTTGTAGATTCAGCGAAAATCGGGAACACCTTGAAACAGAAAGTTCATGTTTTTGCAAGTGATCACTGGAGGAACATGATTTGGGACTAGAAACTGAAGCGGAGCAACGTTAGTAAACGTAATTAGCTTGGCCTTGGTAGTATACAGAGTTGTTGAAGGTAGCATTTCCATCTCGTTGTACATTCGAGAACAATGTCAGAGTATGGGGCAAGATTTGCAACTGAGGTTCGCGGTCCGTCTGCAGCGTATGGAGCCTGGGTAGAGAGGCGCATCGCCGGCTATTTACTGCAGCAGCAAGAGAATCATCGGCTTGGTATCGAAACAAGAAGTAGAGACATTGCAGACGAGGACCCAAAGAACAAGAAAACTGTTCAGAATCTAAAGCAATCCACGACCGAAGCAAACATGTGCGGGGCAATAGAGCTCGACTTGAAGCTTCATAAAGAGTGTGTGGAAGCTGCGCGACGCGGTTGGCTGTGCAAAAAGGAAAGTGACGACTTTTTTGTCTGGATTTCAGGGAAACCATTTCCACAGGAACAGCTGGTCTCGGACGGAGAGGCCGGGTTGGCGCGACAGCCACATCTCGAAATCTGGGAGGATGGTCCGCCCCCAGCTCGTCGCTCCTGCCGTGGCATTTCCGGGAATTACATGAAGGCGCCTTCTGATTCCGTCGCGCAGGACCAGCTTCGTGTATGGATGACTGTGGTGCGCCGGCGCTTTCCTGTGAAGAGTCAAATGCCGCACTTTCCCTTTGAGCTCTTTTTGAAAGTGAAGAGCTTCATGCGGCCGCTCGGATCTGTCATTCTGAATCCGTTGTACCTAGCGGAAACTGCAACGCGCAAGCGCCAACTTGACATTGAGCCGCTACTCGGAGCTGCCCTCAGCAACTGTTTTGCGGATCTGAAGAAAACTACAGCAAGTGGCAGCGTCGGTTGGACTCGTGACGCGAAGAAAACTGTCAACGGCGCCAGTGTAAGTGTACGAATCAGCCTGGGAAATCGGGTTTTTACGTTGGAAGGTAAGAGGTCGCAGATGTGGCCGATGAGAAGTGAGGATGACATCATCGATAGTCCGGACTGGGAATTCCTCCGACAGAAAGAGATCGCAGATAAGGCGCCTTTCGTGCGTCTTTGGCAGGAGGAGGCGAAGTACGCGAATTTGATGGGGATCTTGCGCGAATTTTTTGAATCCAAAGGTTTGGAGTTTACCCAGAACGAGGAAGATTGTAGCAAGTTCGAGATCTCTTGGGAATAACCGAGGTTCGTGTGAAAAGCTAGGACGAAGGCATGAAGAGTTTCACATTCATAGGTATCAGCTGTATGTCCTTGACGCAGGCCCCGGCATTGGGACAGAATATGTGCGTCATCCGGGATACGGCTGTCAGAAGAGTTGTGACATAAGGGAAACCTGTTTGGAGAGTTGAAAACTCGATGACAGTACGAGTAAGTACCAAAAGTAAAAGCGTTCATCCGTTGTGTCTTTGTTCTATCTACTTGGGATTATTTGGCTTCGATCCCTACGAGAGCAGAGGCACGCGCAGCTCCAGAGGGCTTAGCGTGTCGAGTTCGAGTGCTTTGCTTTTCGAATGCTATTCGAAGATGACCGATACTCCTGTGCTAGTCGAGGTGAAAGAAAGACGATCATGAAAGTTAGCGGCGCAAAGACCAAAGCTGGACAATCCTTGCAGGACTTCTCATTTCTAAATAGAAATTTCTTGGAAATCCAAATCCAAAACAACTTGCCAGAGAAATCTGAATGTTCAAATCATCTTGTCGTGAGTGATCATGTGTGCGGCTGCACGGGGCGCTTTTACAAACGACGGAAGTCTGGTAGGAACTGAAGCGGTGTGTTAAGATGGACATTTCACTTGGTAGGTGAATGTACTAGCATCTCCATTCGAGGCTGTCGGATTCCATTAAAACGACGACAAGGAAGTAGTAGCATTTTCATTCGACTCCATTTGCTTGTACCTTCGAGAAAATAAATAAATGTCAGAGTCTGGGGCAAAAAACGTTGTGGTTGTGGAGCTTCACGGGCCGTCTGCAGCGTACGGAGCCTGGGTGGAGAGACGCCTCGCCGGATTTTTGCTGCAGCAGCAAGAAAATCATCAGGCTAATGTCGAAGCAAGACGCAGAAATTGTGCAGAAGCAGATGGGGACCGAGCAAAAACTGTGCAGACTCTCCAGCAAGCCACAGCGGAAGCAAAGAGGTGCGCGGAAATAGAAATCGTTATGATGCATCATAAAGCCTGTGTTGAGGCTTCGCGACGCGGTTGGCTGTGCACGGAGAATCTGAAGGAAAGTTTCGACGATATCGATTTCACCGCATGGATTTTTGGGAAACCATTCCCACACGACCAACACCTTCCACAAAGCAGGGAAGCCGGAATGGCAGGACAGCCACGTGTCGAAAAATGGGAGCATCTGGGTGAGCCGAGGAAACTTCAAATATCCCAGCCCAGCTACCGCGGATATATTTCCGGAAATTACATGAAGGGACTTTCTGAGTCCCTCGTGCAAGACCAGCTTCGCGTATGGATGACTGCGGTGCGCCGCCGCTTTCTTGTGAAGACCCACATGCCGCCCTTTCCCTCTGAGCTCTTTTTGAAAGTGAGGAGCTTCATGCGGCCGCTCGGATCTGTCATTCTGAATCCGCTGTACCTCGCGGAAATTGCGACGCGCAAGCGCCAGTGCGACATTGAGCCGCTACTCGGAGCTGCTATAAGCAGCTGTTTTTCAGATTTGAGGAAAAATAAAGCAAGTGGCAGGGTCTGGTGGACTCGTGATGCGAAAGAAACTGGAGTTCCGGACAGAGTCAGCGTTGGCGTCAGCCTGGGGAGCCGGATTTTTACGATACAGGATGAGGCGTCGCAAATGTGGCCTGCGAAAAGCGAGGATTACATAATCGATCGCCAAGACACATGGGAAAAGCTTCGACAGAAGCAGATTGCAGATAAGTGGCCATTCGTGCGTCCTGTGGATCAAGAGGGGGCGAAGTATGCAAGTCTGATGGGTATTTTGCGCGAATTTTTTGAATCCAAAGGTTTGAAATTTAGCCAGGACGAGGAAGATCGTAGCAAGTTCGAGATCTCTTGGGGATAGGCAAGCAATCTGCTTTCATTTTTCGACTCATGCTGCAAATTTTGACTTCTGCAAATATGCATCTGCCATTTGCAGGGTTCCAGGGCCTGGTTTCCTGAAGCGGCGAGCGCAGAGCTGCGCGTCTTGCAGAATGGCATAGATAGTTCGTTTTGAAAATAATTTCTCGAAGTTACAGTTAGCGTTCCTTTGTCGCCGCGTTCTTTTTTGATCTTTCTACTCCGATTGTTGATCACGTCTGCGACCGATTTTTTCATTGCGACTCAAGACAAAATTATAGGAACGAACTCAAACAGGGTGGGAGTGTCAGTTTGTTACCTAGTAAGAGAACCCGAGGAACAGCAGGTTTTGAAACTGCGGCTCCTTCAGTTTTGTTGATTTCGAGCACACTAATTTCGCGCCAGCTTTTGATTTTTTGTGTCTGATTTGCAAAGTCGTGGCATATCTTCCCTTGCTCGTCGAGCGTTACCCGTAGTACATCCTGAACCTAGTTCCCTGACTTGCGCCAAAAATGCCGTGCTCCAAGAGTTCACGTCGACTGGTTTCCTTGCTTTCCTCCCCTGCGCTGTCTATCGCGTTCCACATCTTCGCGTGTTGGAGTTTTTCTTCGGAAAGATGCCACGTCGCTGCATCTCTAGGCGCTCAGCGCTCCGCCTGGTCGGCGATCCGACGGGCGAGTTTGTTGAAAAGACCCGACGAGAAGAAGTTGGCAGTTTCCCTTCGACGAGCCACGGGTTGTGCAACTACTCATCGAGGCAGCAAATCTATTCTAGGCCATGCAGCTACAACGGTGAATCGTAACCACCGAGGGGTCTTTGACATCGGACAGTTCCCTCACAGGACCATTTTTGGCGAGCCCGTGCGGGGCTGGACGTGCTACTACGACACTGAAGGACCCGATGTGCAAGTTGGTGGCGCGCCGTGCCCGCCGACGAGCGTCCGTGTGTTCACCGTGAGCAACGAGCCCCCCTTGGAGAGCTCGTACACCTCGGCAGGTCTAGAAGAAGACCGGGACTCAAAGTTGAAACTGCGTGACAGCAACGAAGTAACGCTCCGCGAACAAGGTGAAACACCTACTACACAAGTGGAGCAACAAGCCGGCGAAATAAACTCCGAAAATTCCTCTGTACTCCCTTTCCTCAAGAGATTCGAGCAACTGCGTCGAGAGTACACAACTGAAGTAGACGAGCGCAAGAGGGCCGCGAGAAAAATGGCGAGGAGCAACCAGGTCCAGGAGCATGCAGCCAGGTCCTCTCCTGGGGGTGCGGTGAAAAGAAAACGCTTCCAAGGTACAAGTCCAGATTATGAGCAGGAGAAAGTCCTCGTAGAATCTCCCCGGATCCGCGATACCGCACAGCGCTGGTGGCTTTCGCACGTGCGGGATGAGTTTCGGAAGATGGATAGAAATGGTTCGACTGGTGGTCGAGAAGGACCACATCACCCGGAAAATAGAAGGACGATAACAAGCGAAGAAGATAACAGAGCTTCTAGTACTCTCGAACATATGGTCGCAAAGTCCCAGGCTCTATTCACGGATCACCATGTTGCAAGAGTGAAAAAGCTGATGGACGATCGGGAACTCGCGCCAAAAGCCGAACTCTCGCTCCGAGCCGCGCTGATATCAAAAGGAAAAATCCCCCCTCCCCATATCAAAACGGAATTTCTGATGCTGGATTTGTGTACACAAATCAGCTTTGTATTGCAGGAAGGCAATGCGGCCAGATCCCCAGGCTAGGCAGGGGCGTATGGGTCTAGTTGTTCAGCATGGCAAACGGGTCCCCTTTAGGCCCAACAGCATGACAAATCGCGCCCACAATGGGGCGAAAGCTTCTGCGTTTGTCTTCTTGCAAGACAGATGTGATTTGTGACCTCAAATCCGCAACACAAATTTCTGAAAACATAACTTTGCAATATGGGGAGGGGAGATTTTTCATTTTGCTAACTGACGCTGTTTCACTGGTGCACGCTGCTACCGGCGCCGTTCAGCACCGGGGCATTAGAGATGTTGAGGAAGGACCGAGCTGGAAGTCGTGCTAATGGAAGCGGTCGTGTACAACATCAACAACCTCAGCACGCAGAGGTGGAAACGGACATGGTTTCGGCAGAGAAGCTGATGTCGGTCGCTGAGCACTCGCTGTGGCTCGCGGAGTTTTGGCGGGAGCAGGCGGAGAACAAATATCCAGTGCAAAAGTACCGTACTCGTGCTAACTGCAGTAATGGCGCATGACAAATCTCATTTTCTACCTGTTGTAGCATCACAAATTTCATTTCTCAAGAACCTCAGAAAATTTGTAATGCGATTGCTATTTCGTACGAATAGCGCGATACTTTTGCAATACATAACAAAGAGTACATTGCAAAACTGTCGCCCGCGGAACAGGACGAACTAACCGTGCTCACGTTGTTCCATGACGTTTTTTATTTCGCCGATTTCCCCAATCACGACTGGAAGGGCGTCATGCTGATTCTCGGTCAGTTCTCGGACGACGTGTTGAAGCGGGTGGAAGGACGAGGTGTGGATCAGGATAGGGTTGTTCGAGGAATGAAGATGGCAGCGAGCGCGGGGGTAAGATCCAGCATAACCATTCCTGAAAACGAATCGCATGAAGGTTTTGGCCTCAGTGGTTTCTTTCCACCAGAGCCGTTCCCGGAGGACGGAAGCTTGACCGCTGCTGGCTACCGACACCAACAGGAGATTGTCAGGACCCTCCGAAACGGGCACGTCGGCAAGGCGCCACTAGAGGCAGCCTCGTACCTGATCGGCGCCACGCCGGCGATCAAGCAGGCCATCAAAGTGGATGCGGACGGGAGTGGAGCAAGTAAAGAAGCCGATGCGCAACTACAAGTAGATCGCGGCAGAAGAGATGGAAGACAAGCTGTGCCTTCAGACCTTACATTCAACTCGAAAGATGAGCGGAGCGCTAAACGGGAATGGTCGTCTTCTGTTTCGCGAAATAAATCTTTCTTCGCGCCGACACCCTCAACACCTTCACTCTCCTCCCCGTTCGCTGTTGCCCGGGTCCTGGAGCGCGCCATGTCGTTGTCCCGAAGCGAAACCGAAGCGGCCTGGTTGAACCAAAAAAACGATCGGCCCGCGGTGTCCGGGATTGCCGGACTGGTGTCCAGCCACGTACTGTTCAGCAAGGATGAGGATGCGGACCTGTCGCGCGCGTTTTTCTACTACGACTGTCTCTTCGTGGACAAAACAGAGAAATGCAAGGCCAACATCGGTTTGGCTGATGCGAGCGAGGAAGCGAAAACATGGAACAAGGTGTTTTCCTTTGCAACATCCTCGCAGCAAGAGGATAGACAAACTTTCATTTTTCCGGAGCCTCGTCTCGACGCCTTTCACTCCGCCCTAGCGCGCTTCTTCATCCGCCAGAGCGTGCAGAAGAGGCAGAGAGGAAGAAGGACAGGTTGGAGTGACGCAGACGCAGCGATTACTAGCACTCTGTTTACCAGCGAAAGAGAGGTACTGGAAAAGACCGCAGCGGACGCGGCCGGGGGGTGTTGTACCAGCGGCATAGGTGATGCCAGTTCTTGCAGTAGTTCAACTGCAGCTGTTGAATCTTCTGCGGTTCCTACACAACTTCCAAGTATAACTTCTAGGACGAGAGCAGCGTCGCTCGCCTCCGTCAACGATTTGAGCATGTTCTCGACCGCCCTATCAAGTACGTCGCTTTCATCAACTTTCTCCAAGAACAGCAACAGGGAGAAAGTTTCGAACGACAAGTCCTCTATCGGCAGTAGTAAGAAGAGCACGGAGGTTCTGAACAGTATCGAGGACTTTCTCGACGACCCGGTGTGGGCGGCTCCGTCTATGTGGATCGAACGGGTACCGATTTTACTGGCGAACAAACTTGCGCTGTGGCGGTCCGTGGCAGCCTTTGACTTCGACGAAGTGCGACAGGAGATTTCCAACGGAGGACCGGAACTGCTAGATAAGCTTGCGAATGATCAGGACGGGACGATGAAGAAGACCAAAGCTATCGTGGGGGAGATAGGGTAAGTAGAAGATAGATTTGACAGGCTTTTTTCGTCTTTGCGCTGATCATTGTCTTGGCTCTTTGGGTTTGAAAGTCGACATGTTTAGAGGTCGACACTGAATTTTTTTACACGAGATGAAACTTTTACGATCTCACAGGATGTTCCCGCTGCTCGCGTTCTCCAAGGACCGGGTTGTAGCAAACGCCTCACCTGCACCCTGTACCGAAAACACCTGCAATGACTTGCCCCTCCGGATCATCGGCACAACCTTCATCCAGCAGTTGGACCACTACTTCGTTGGCAAACGCGACGATTTGTACAATTATTCCGCGAAGATGAACCATGACAAGCAGAGCCCGAAGAGGTTTGGCATTCTCTCCCACGGCAGTTGCGACAGTTTTCTGTTAAACGAGATGCTCGACGCAGCGGACGGACACCGCATCATCGACCGGAAGACAAGCAACGGGGATCCCAACCTCATCGTCCCCCTTGGCGATGCGTACGGAAAGGCGAACGTTTTACTCCCGTCCGAATTGCATGAGGGGGACCCGGCGGTGGATGCGTGTTTTTTGACCGAGCCGCAGCTCTCACTCGCGTTGCAGAGGACCAACGATTGCAGAATTCTAAAGCGTCTGGGGGACGATTACCCGGTATTTCAGTGGGGCGCGATCGTCGCGAGGAGCGACGTGTTGCAAACGAAAGAAGGGCGGGATGTCGTGAAGCGGTTGCTGAAAGTCTACAAAGCCGCGGTGGAGATCATGGATCAAGCGGTGCGGACTTGGATAGAAATCGAGGACTACCAAACGAGGTTCCGAGACTACAATAACTACAATAGCAACCGGAAAAGTTCGTTTTCCTCTGAGGAAGACGATAATCTGGTTCGGTTACGAAGCAAATCCACGGCCGCGTTGCTTCTGCGGCTCGGGCCGGAAGTTTTCGGCGTGCCGCCGGAAGTTATGAAGGAAGCTCTGATCCGGACCAGCGGAATACGCAGGAGCGGAAGAATTATTATGCGGGACTTCGCCTTCTCGTCGTCGAAAGAGGGACATCAAAAAGTCGCGCACGAAGAAGTCTCTAGAGAAGGTGACACGTGGCAGAAAAACCCGGCTGCATTCAGTTTGGACGGCGCGGTGGAGTGCCTGCGGCTGGTGGAAAAGGTTTCTGCTGGTTGTGCTCAGTCAGAAGCGTTTGAATCTGTGAAGCAACGAGACGAAAAGCGTAGGTCTTTTGTGTGCAGTCTTCTAGATAGAAACTTTATCAAAGATGCTGGGGCCTCCGCGAATCTATGATTGCGGAAGTCCTAGTTGAGCTAGTCATTGCATAATTTTGAGACAAATCAGCTTTTTGGTAGTAATAATGAACGTTTCCCTGTCGTTTGAAAAATGTAAGTACAGTAGAATTATGATTATCTTGAGAAAAATACCAATACTGTTTTTCCTTTGAATTGTGCTCGACACAAATTTGAAGTTCTGGCTTTTTGTTTCGCATTGCATCTTCCTCGCATGTCACCGCACACATACTTAATGCACTCTATGATTTTCAAAAATGTAACACGTTGACTTATCTATTTCTTTCGCCTATGATGAATTCGAGAATACAGATGTGAATCGCTTACCTATGCATCGAGCTAGTGCAGCTCCAGCTACAGGAGCAAAATGAAGAACGTAAAGAACAACAATCCAGCAGCACCACTTTCAATTTTATTCGCCGATTTGTTCTGGGAAAATATTCACAACGTTGATCTACCGGAGATCGATTCTGCGTACCATCGCAAAAGAGGCTACAGGTCACGGCCCTTGGTATCTCTGATACGAGCTCGACGCACACATCTCTTTGTTGATATGTTGCCGATCATAACCTTCGATCGCAGGCTGCGGACAAAGAGAGACTTTTTACCAAGGGATATAATTTGTACACTTGTAGTTCCTCCGAGTGAAACAAATAAGTCCTTTTTCGTGTTTTGTCAATACCGTGCTTAAGCACAAAAATGAAACCATGACAAGCTCAAGCGACAACGAATCAAGCAGTGAGGGTGACAATCCCAACAGGGCGGATCCTGAAAAATCTGCGTCGAAGTTGCGGAAATCCGATGGAGATAGCGACGATGAATCGGACCATGAAGACAGCGACGCGAGTTCCGCACCAAACAAATCGAACTCGGACGACAGTGACAACGACGACTCTTCCGACGACAATGATGATGGCAGGCAGAAACAGAATCGAAACTCCTCATCCAGCAAGTCATCATCTTCCAAATCTGGTGCCAACCGCAATAAATCCTCCGATAGAGCAAGCGAAGAAAAAGATTCTTCGTCAGAACGACAAGAAGATTCGGATAGTTCAAGTGCTGCTTCCTCATCTTCCTCGGGGCAAAAATCGTCTTCCTCTTCCGCGGCAAGTCTCAATGTCCTCTCGAGACCGAAGCGGCGCATTGTCGCACCGCCGCAGCGGGCCGAGTTTTCCAAGAAGCAACGGGAGGAGGAAGATGAATTCTGGCAGCACGTGCTGGGCGGCGATGGGTCGGCCGGGGGTGGAGGGGATGAAAGGGGTGAAAAAGAAAAAAAGCAAAATAAGGAAGAAATCCTTAGTCGCACTCGCAAGAACAACACTCTTCCTTCAAAACAAACGGTCAAAAGCAGCAGTTCTTCTTCATCTCGAAGACGACCCGCGATACAAGGCGCAGCTGGTGGTGGAGCGGTGAGTTCCTCGCCTGCGGAGGAGGACGTTCTTGATGTTGACCAGGAGCAGAGTAGAGTATCGTCTGTGAAAATAAACCAAGCTGAAAATAGTAACATAGCTGGTGAGACAAGTGACGGAGATCATGAAGAAAGATCTTCTGACGAGAATGGGGAAAACCAAGATGACGAATCCAGAAGTAGGGAAAGAACGGACGAAAGCGACAGCGAGTCTTCCCGGGACTGGGCCAAGGACTCCGATCTGGACAGCAGCGAGTCTTCAAATAGCGGCTCCTCGTCCGCAGACTCGCGAGACGTAGTACACTACTCCGAGAACGACGAGGGTGTGCCCATGGTCGGGAAGAACAAAAATGCTGGAAGCTCGAACCAGCGCGGCCGGCGCGGTAACATGAAGCAACCGGCGGCGAAAAAGCGGCAACGAGGGAAGCAAGCCGGCGAAGACGACTCGTCGGACAGCGAGCGAAAAAGACGGAAGAGAATCGCGGCACGGAAAGGCGCGTACGTTGACCCATTTGCTGCCGGGCCAGGAGCTGCGACTTCCGACACGGGGATCAATGCTGCGTCCAAATTCCAACAGGTGGCCTTGAAATTCGGCCTCCGGAAGCCGAAGCGCAAGCCGCAGACCAAGACGCAGATGACGCGATTGCTCGAGGCCAAGGACCGGGAGGAAGTGATTCATGCGGAAACGAGGAGGCTCGCGGAAATGAACCGGTTGCAGGTGCTCGCCAACACCTCGCGCCTCCATCTAGAGCAGGCGCAGAACAATACCGGTGCCGGGGATGTTTTTAAGCGGAAACGGGAGGAAGAGAAGCGGTTGTTGCGGATGCATTACGGGACGAAGGTGTGGGTTAGTACAACCAGGGGGGTCGGGTCTGAGCGAAATGGAGGAAGTAGTAGCGCGAGTGCAGTTCCAGATCCTTCTCGGCCGCAGGAGAAAGACTTGAGCGTTGTGGATCTGCGTTATCCGCCGGAATGTCGCGTTGAAGGACCAGAGATTTATCAGGAATATATGGTGTACCGTCCGCGAGGCACCTTTGTTTCTTACCCCTATCAGCGAATGAGAGAATTGCAACCGGCGCAAAATTCTGTTGGAATGAGGACAGGTGGAGGCTCTTCAGCTTTTCCGAGGCGATGAGAAAGCAAACTTCTGCGACAGGGATTGGACATACACACGCAATAAGCGCGGTTATGTTTTCAGCGACAACGACCATACTTAAATTGAAAGACGCATAGCATGCGAAAAATGAACGAGAAGGAAGACGTGTTCAGAGAAAAAGAAAGATCATGGGGAACGAATTAGCAATCGAATGATAGAAGATCAAGCGCAATCCCTACACGGAAGTTTTGTTCTTCATTGCGACCGGAAGATTTCTTTGTGGTGATTTGATTTCTCTTATTTTCGTCGAGGTCAAGTGCTAGTGCTTACGTGAAATCCTTGAAAGATGTTGAAGGTCATGGGGGTAGAGCTTGATAGAAAAACAGAGAACACAAGATGATGGTCCCCTCCTCCCCCCGACAGCAGCAACCGCCGCAAAGACTGAAAGAGACATGTGAAGCTGCTTCTGCGTTGTCTTCCGGGCCCGCGACGAAGCGTCGGAAGCTCGAAACGACCTTAGCGTTTCCTGCGCTATCCAGGGCAAATCCGAAAATTTCGAATTCGATTGTCTTGGGCGAGGAAAAGTTGGATCAGCAAACGCGTTCGCAGGTGGCGTCCAGTGAATCGCCGGCAAATGTAACATCAAACGGAGCAGCTGTTTCACCATCACAGCTCGATGCGTATCTCCAGCAGCCGGTCACGCGTGTGCATTTTCTGTCACCGGAAACTGAGAAGGAGCTGCAGAGTCTCGTTGCCAAGTACCGGCCGAAGTCGGTAGTGCCCGATGCGACCGACCCCTTGCTTGAAGACCCGGGATTTCCCGAAGGATTGCGAAACACCCTTCAGAAATTCAATTGGACCATCGAGAAGCGGCTTGGCATTGGGGGATTCGGATCCGTGTACCGCTGTTTCGAGACCACGGATAAAAACACTTCTAGCAAAGTGCGGTGGACCAGGACCAGGAGGCACTTTGCGATAAAGGTGGGCAAACTCCTGCATCTCCGACAAGGGCCAGCGCCAGGGCAGCACAAAAAAAATGCGAAGAAAGTTGCGACGCCGATTCCACCCATCGCCGCTGCCGCGAGAAGGCGGCTGGAGGATTTCCCTTTGCGGGAAGAGCGGGAAATTTTGCAAAAAATAGGGGAGAGGTTTGGCTCGCACGTCCGCAACATCGTCCAAATCGCGGAAAAGGCGGTCGCTTTCGGCAACGGCGACACCGCGGACCGGCCGGATTTTTTCATCATGCCACTGTGCGAGTATGAGGTCGGCCACTTGCGGCTGTTGCTGCGGCGCTTTTCCGTCCCGCTGACAACCTGGCTTGGGTCGCAGGTTTTGCGCGCCCTGGACCACGTGCATCGGTCCGATTTTGTGCACGGCGATGTGAAACCGGAAAATCTCTTGTTGAAACTGAACGAAAATCGGGTGCTGTACGTGGTTTTGGCCGATTTTGGGATGACAAGTGCCCACGACCCGGAGCGGGCGAGGAAGAGAGACGGGGATCATGGGAAAAATAAAGCACCTGTGATCAGTGCTGCATCAGGTTCATCAAACGATGTTCTTCGAGATCATGCAGGAGATGGAGATCATGCTGACGCCGTTCCCGCGGCTGACTCTAGTCCAGTCGTGTCGGAGCAACGTGCAGAAACGCCCCGGATAAGGAGAAGTCCCGCGTCGACAAGCAGCGCAGAAGACCACCCCCAATCGCTTGTCGGAAGTGGAAGCAGGTCTAATCCCGTGAAGAATGCTCCTGTAGGGTTTCGTGGCACGGTGAACTATTCCTCAATCGACGTGCTTGGTATCAAGCCCGCGACAGTGGTCGACGACATTTTCGGGCTTTTTTACGTCCTGCTTGAGTGCATTTGGGGCGCGCTGCCGTGGTTCCGGCAGCGAGATCAGGAGCCGTTGAAAAGAGTCCAGGCGAGGAAGAGAAAATTGGACCTGCACAAAGAACTCTGCAAGATTGGAATAACAAGAACAACGTCCGGGGCAGCTGGAAATCCAGGGAATCCGGCCCAGCGGCAGCAGCTGGATCCCGATCCAGTTCCACCCGCAGTGTTTCAATTTCCGCAATGCGAAGTACGCCAGAATAAATCCACGGGAGCCCACTACGAGGATTTGCTGTATCAGGACGTCGAGAAAACGCCCACCGCGTCTGGGCGCAATTTGCAGCCGTACTCTGTGACGACCCGTCAGTGGGCGGAGAGCGTGCCGAACAATTTGCTGAGAGTCTATCTGCAAGCCTGCAAAGACAGAGTGGTCTTCTGGGACCCGGGGCAAGAAGAGCCCAAGGACTTTCCGGTTAATGAGCGGGGTTTGGATGTTGAGCAGCTTCAGGCCGGAAAAGAACCAGAGGCTGTGGTGGGTACGGCAGATGTTTATTTCGATCGTGTCGCAGAGGAAGGGGCAGCCCGTGAAGGGGCCAGCGGACAGCCGGAAGAAGACGATTTTCTCGCTGCGTTGTTTGACACCACAAACAGGGACCGCTCGCTGGAAGAGATTCTAGCCTCTTCAAACGTGCAGCCAGAAACGGGAAAAAAACTCGAGGAGCATCAACTCGTCGAGGACACCGGCATCGTAAAAGAAGAACCGCGTGAAGAGCAGGAACGTACGGGGAAAGAAGAAATTAAAGATCTCGAGGACGGAAGGAAGCAGGACGTTGTAGCACCATCTTCGGTAATTGTTTCGTCCGATGATTCCGAATCGAAAGTGCCGCATTCTGGCTATCTCGACATGCGGGCGTACCGCGAGCTGATGCGCGAAGGCGTTTTTGAAAGCGATCTGGTCGTAAGTGCCTGGGTGCAGGACTTCGAGGACGGGCGGGCCATTCGCAAGATTGCCGAGCCCCACTGCAGTAGGTGTACATTGCAGGAAGCGGGAAGGGGTAATCTGGTACGACCTTTCGGGGAGAGAAAGCCGGGAAGTTGTCAGGAAGATAATTCAGAGAATGGTAGGGAATACTATCTCTACCTCGACCCTATCCCACCCGCTCACCAGCTGTGCTACACCGCGAAAGGCGCACCGCTGTGCCTCCTCGAGTACCAGCGCGAAGTGGATCGTCTCTATTTCGAGCGCAGTTTGTTCACAAGATATCTGTCGCCTCGCACTGGGCTAACGTCCTACAACCTCCGGCCGGCGAGCTACATCGCAGCGCGCGGGAATAGTTGTGACCTGCGGATTTCTACTGTTATAACCACTCGAAGAAGCAACAGAGGCAGCGGGAGCAACATCAATAAAGATGGCGCTAGCAATAATTCGCCCTGGACGTCGTCGGTAGAGGAGTACGAGAATGAGACCGACTTCCGTCTGAACACCGTTGAGGCACAATACTTCCGCCTGGACCTGGAATTTCGCGGGCTGTTCCTCCAGAGAACGGCTAGCAAGATGCGATCTTCGTGCAGCTTCAAGGACGTGGACGCGAGGCGAAGAAAGGTAGAGGAACATGCGGCTGCGAAAATTTCATCTGTTTGTAGTGGAGCGACAAAGCATCTTTCCGTCCGGGAGTTGCTGCTGCAGAAATTTGACATTTATTCCTGTTCATCTACTCAAGAAAGTGAAATTAACACCAACGCAACTACATCTGCCCTTTCCCCAGACCCAGACCCTACAGGAGAAGACACAAAAAGCCGCAAAAAAGCCGCCGGGAATTTATTTTCTGGCAACACCAGCGGAAATTATAGCAGCGAGAACTTTTTCAGTCCAAACGCCAAAAAGTCATCGTCAAGGGCGTCAGAGAAGAACGTCGCGACTTTTTTGGCTTCGCGGCGGAGTCCCGATATTGTCGCGGGTGTAGGACTGGACAACTTGCCAGATTCCGGTTCGCGCGGACAGCGCAACGTTGTGCCCGCGCATCTCGGGGGTATCAACCTCGCTTCCCGCACGTTTTGGGCGCAGGGCGGTAATGGTGGTCACGAGGGTAGAAGCACTTCTGCACTGCAGAATGTCGTCGCTTTCGCGCTCGGTGATGCAGAATCCGACAAAAGGCGAGATTTGTTGTTGGACAGCTGGTTCGAAGAGTATGAAGTAAACTACTGGACGGCCTTGCACGAACTTGTGTCTGAATTGGCCTTCCTGAAAGAAGAAGAAGATGAAGGTGCCACTGGAGCGGCTTCTGGAAGTGGGTCATTCGCGGCCTATTGCAGGGCGGGACTACAACTAGCAGCAGAAGTCGACCACAAAACCCTGGTGTCCGATCAACGCGCAGAGGAGCGGCGGTGGTTGTTATCGCGCATTCGGGCGGAACTCCTGGACGACGGTTGGCGGGCAACACAGTGCTTGAATGCGTTCGTTTGGTGCTTCGGTCCACGTGGTCGACGAGATAAAACGGAGTGCGAACAAGAGGAGGAACTTCTTCTCACCGCTGCAGCAGAGAAAACGATAAGGGACCGCATCGAAAACATCACTAAGCAGCGCCGATGCGATTTCGGAAATCGGGACGGCGCCTATGCGTCACACGGACCAGCACGGCAGCGAATGCTGGAGGAGCGGCTACAGGAGTACTGCGAGTTTGTGTTGCTGCTTTGCAAGCGCACAAATGGGACGAGTGCCGGAGCTCCATCAGGGTCAGATGCGAAATTGCGACGCGATCTTCCGAAATTCGCCGAACGAACCATCGATTTTTCCGGGTGCAGCACAGATTTTCGTTGTAGCAGAACGGCAGACGCGAACCTCTTGAGCAACGCCTTGCGCAGTGACTACCTTCCACCAATCCATTGTGTAAGGAATAGCCTAGGATGCTACAGCTCTCGAAGCAAAAAGGCCAGACTTGAGCAGAGCATTGCTTCACGATCAGTGTTGCATCACGATGATCATAGCGAGGACATTCAGGATTTGCTTTCATCTGAGAAGCTGCGCAAGTGCTTGCTGGATGGCCAAACGTCAGATCAGACACCACATCTCGCAGACCTAAGGATCATAGATGTTTGTCGATCTGTCTTGGCGGGTGACACATATGACAATCCGAACACTTCTCTAATACGCACCAAAGCAAACGAAAGCCAAATCCGTTTGTAGGAGAGTCATCTCGATGTTGCCATGCAACGACACGTGCGCGGCGCGCACGCCATGCTAGTGCTATTTTCTTGTTCTGGTCTTGTTCCCATTGCAAAGACAGCTACGGAGGAGGCGGCGCTCTGAGTGAATTACTTACTTATTGCCTGAAGGCCACAGTTCTTTGGTATAGTGTGATAGATGTACGTTGGATGAAGTTACACTTACAGTCAGATACAGGTTTGATTTGTGGACCCGAGACGAGGATGGAGACTGTTCTTGCAAGCTTGGCCCCGTGGCGCTCTGCGCTTGTGCACTTAGTGAAAGTTTGTTTCGAAATTCTGCTAGAGTTTCTGCCAAAATATGGCGATGGAACAAGCACAGAGGCGCAACCAGCAGGAACTGCGCGCTCGGTGAATGGGTGGTCAGCTGTGCCAGCAAAGAACGGCAATACGGACTCCTCATCCTGTCCTCCGCCGAGAGAGCCTGCTGGAGTGCTAACGACCAGCATGGTGGAGACGAGTGGTCAAAAGGCAAGAGCAGACTCGACCAGTGCCGTGGATCTGACAAATCCGGCACTTACAAAAAACCCCGACCACATCGCCTACTGGCTGAGCCGAGGGCATGGTGCGATGCCCGCCCCTTACGTAGTCGCCGCCGAGCGAGCGCGTCTCGCCGCAGAAAAGAAAGCGGCTTCTACCGGTGCTTCCTCAGGAGCCAACCGGGCTGCGCAGCTGAACCCAGCCCACGAACTCTACTGGAAGGCGCGCGGAAGGAAGGGAATTCCGTCTGCTGAGGAGGTCGAAGCTGAGATCCGCAAGATTTCTGAAAAGCGAAAGCTTCGCGGTCCGGGCGGAAACAAAGGAGACCAGCTGAACCCGCAACACGATACCTACTGGGAAACACGGGCAGCGCGCAGGCCATCGCAAGAGGACATTGAGGAGCTAGTGAACCAAAACCAAGCTGATCGTGCAGTGCACACGCAGGCGTGTCAGGTCGCGGCGCGCACTGCGGAGGAAAAGAAGGCGATCGGGCGCGACACCGATAGAATTGTGAAAATTTTACAGCGTATTGTTCCGAAATGCGAGGTCCGCAAGGCAGGGTCGCAATCCAAGGGCACCAATGTGCGTGGAAGCGACTTGGACTTGCGAGTCACGGTCCCGGAAAAAGTTTCGGAGGTGGGGATCACGTCTGCACAGTGGGAGAAGCTTGTGGGAGAGTTGGAGAGTGCGGAGTTTTCAGTCGAAATCGGGAAAAAGGTGCTCAAGATCACCAATGCTGCGTGTGACATCGAAATTGTCCCGAACCGCGCGGAGCACATTCCTGATGGAGTAGGCTGGAAGCAGCGTCTGGTGAACCCCAATCAGTTCAAGAATAATCCGAAAGCGCAAGCTGCAGTGCGCGTTCTGAAAGACGAGGGGGCGGGGGAAAAATTCAGAATGAAGAGCTACGAAATCGAAAAGCACGTCATCCGCTTACAGCAAGCGAACCCCAAGGCGTCTTCCGCGGAGTTGGTCCGGCTGTTTTACGAGGGGAGCGGGTCGTCTGCCGCTTCTGCGGCATCCCTGTCCGCCTCAGCATCAGGGTGAGTAAGTAGCAGGTAGATGTGTGGTACGTGCCTCCTTTTATCTATCATGTACAATCCTTAAGGGCAGCGACACTGGTTACTAGAATCAAAACAGCTCTATTGCGACAATTGTACGATTTTTTGCCTTTGGCTAAAACGAATCTGAGTAACAAATATGCGAGCATATTGGCGCATCTATCCGATCGACCTTACAATCGTCCTGTATCTCGTCAGATCATGGACTGTGATTGTTTTTCGCATTCTTCAGTTTGTTGGGTTCCACACATGAGCGCACTCTTCTTGTCACTGAGCAGACTCTCAAATCGACACAAGAAGTGCAAGGATGGTGCAATAAATGGAGTTGTGAAAAAGTTTAAAAAGGAACAAAAGCTAACTCGTGAGAGAATTCGTGAGGGAGACAAATCATTTCATGAACTTACAAAAATTTTCCATCTCAATATAGATAAGTGTATCCTCCCTATGCGAGGAGGACACGGACTCGCGAGCAGAAAGCCGCGGTAGTCGGTACAATCACCAAGTAGACTGACACTAATTTTTCCATACATGTCAAAGTAAACCACTTGACATCAAGAAGAAGATGGACGAGCTCGAGGTTGAAGAGTTTTCGGACGACTTCGAACTGGACGAGAGTCTGGAGCTGCCGAAGCCGAAAGACCTCTCCCAGCGCGAAGAGGACAAGTCCGGGTCGGAGTCGCTGCGCTTCGACGATTTCGCCGGCGGGGCGTCCCCACCTGGTGCGATCACGGACAAAACAGAGGAGGACCAACCGGGAGATGCGGTGTTCGGGCTGCAGTTGCAGTATGAAAAGGAAAAATCCCCCCTCCCCATATCAAAACGGAAATCTGTGATGCTGGATTTGCGTACACAAATCAGATTTGTATTGCAGGAAGGCATTGCGACCAGATCCCCAGGCTAGCTAGGGGCGTATGGGTCTAGTAGTTCAGCATTGCAAACGGCTGACCTTTAGGCCCAACAGCATGACAAATCGCTTCCATAATGGGGCGGAAGCTTCTGCCCTTGTCTTCTTGCAAGACAAATGCGATTTGTGACCTCAAATCAGCAACGCAAATTCTCGGCAAGATACCTTTTCGATATGGGGAGGGGGGATTTTTCCTCTCAATATACAGGAAGATGACACGATTCTTGCGGACAATATGCAGGGTAAGAAGCTCGACTTCGATCCCTCACCGGTCGACGAGGACGAGGATTTTGGTGGTCGACAAGAGGAGAAAGCACCCGCGGCGAAAAAGGACGAATTTGCTGATTTTCTTGACGCGCTTTCGGACGACGACGCAAACAGCGACGACGCGGGAATTTTCGGTGTCGGAATCGTCGGAAAGGCAGCCGTCGACGCAACAGCATCTTCAAAACCTGTTTCGGAGGAGAAATCTTCAGCACAAGTAGAACTGCAGCAGTCCAAAGCCTCCTCACCCGCCGGCGAAAGAAAAAATGAGGACACGGCGGTCGTCACTCCATTGACGGCGTTGGAAGTAGATCAAGCACACGGCAGCAAGGTGGAAGAGGTTGAGGATTCGTTCCACATCCCACGGGTCAAGGAGGAAGGGAAGAAGAGCAGGAGGTTTGAGGAAGCAAAGAAGGACGACCTCACGAGCAATTCCTCCGAAACGGGGACGCTGGGGAGCAAGGGCCCCGGGCGGCGCGGGCGCAGGCAATCGGGCGGCGGCGAGCCGGAACCGGACCGCGCGAAGTTGGATTTCGATTTGGACGCTGCTTTGGGGATCGTGAAGAAGGAAGATGATGATCCGGTGAAACCTTTATTTGCGGTCGAAATAAATCAGGAAGACAAGAAGACAAAGCCGTCCACTTCCTCCCCGGTAGAGGACGAGATCATAAAGTTCGAGAGTGTTTCCGAGGAGGAAATAGTCTCTGCGTCGAAAGTGGACGTAACTTCCGACCTTGCGAGCCGATCGAACGCCGGCGGGCTTACGCCGAAGAGCGAATCTAGCAGCAGGTTCGCCCGGGCCGCGACGAAGAGAGCCATCCCGGAAGAGGACTTGCCGCGATCGTCCGCCTCCTCCGCCTCCGGAGGCGATCGCGTGAATAAAGGCGGGCTGAACAGTGCAGAGAACAACTTCACCTCGGGGGAAACGAAATCTGTCGTCATCGGCTCCACAAGCGAGGCTGATCTCTTCACTCTCTTGCCGGCGAGTGGGACGAGCACTGGAGTTGCTGGCACTGCGCCAGGAATCGTTCTCGGCGGACCGATCATGCGTGGGCCCATGGCGAGGGCGGCCGGGGGAGAAAAGGAAAACCAGACTTCAAGTGGTACGAAGCCTTCAGTAACGGTTCTCGGGGCGGACGACAGCGGAAGTGGCGCAAGTGCTGCGGTGGACGAGCAGAAGAAGGAACAACCACAAGCTGTTCGTGTTCCAACAATTGGTCTTCCGGAGCCCCCAGCAGTAGTTGGGTCGTCCAGTACTAACAGCAACGTGCAAATCGGATCGGTCTCCGAATCGGACCTCTACAGCCTCGGGCCGACGACCGGTGGCGATGAAAAACAGGATATCGACTTCACGTCATTGTTGAAGCAGAAGCCGAAGCGCACGTTTCAGTCTACGAACCAGTCCAGCACGTCTATCAACAGTGAGTCGCACCCGTCGCAGCACACGAACTCGCAGCAAACCACGTCGCAGGGCACTCCTTTGTCCCCCGGCAGCGGGAAGTTCGTGGAACGGCGCGACGTATCAAATGCAAAAATGTCTGGGTCTGGAAGAGTGCATGTTTGTCATGCTTGTATGGCATGACTCGAGAATCTGTGTTGCATAGGCACGAAAACGCCCTCTTACCTGTCATGCAAAGACGTAGTTTGCCATGCGGAATACGTAAGACATGGCAGCCACAAAAATTGTCATGCGTAGCTGCGTATTGCAGTGCGTCTATCATTCACTTTTAGCATTACAAGTTTCCTCCAGACCCAGACATATTTGCAATTCATACGACGTCGGGATCAACTACATGCAGCCGTACCGGGAGGGCGGGCCCCGGGTCCATTCCCCCGGTAACCACAGTAAATTTCCCGTACACGTACACATGCGTTATGCGGTGTCTGCATGACAAAAATTGGCTTCCATCCTAGTCTAGCATGACAAGTTTTACGCTTTAAATTTGTGAAATTTGTGATGCATCTTGTACATGTACGGGAAATTTGTATTGCATACCCGGCATGGCACCCCCACTGGTCGGGGAGAGCAGCACGGCGACCTCCAGCTTTGTTTCCTCCGAGCCCGCGCGTGTGGTCGCGGAAGAGCCGGGCATGCGACCCGCGAGGGACGAAACGAATGTTGCGAAGAACAAATCAACCAATTCCCGTGCAGCAGGAGCGCGGACGGTTGCCAGCACTGGAGGCGACGCAGTGGAAATCGCGGAGGAGATCGAAGGGGCTTCGTCAGGGGAGTCGGTGAACATTGGTGCGGGGGCACCACAGATGAACAAACCGCGGCAGAAACGGCCGGGACTTGTTGAGTCGCGGCCGCCGGCAGCCTTCTCGACGCGAAACAACGTCGTCGCCAGCAGTGGGGCAGGGAGGAGGAAGCAGGGCGGCGGGATTTTGAAAAACAAAGACGACCCGGCAGGAGGACCAGCTCCGGTGCAGCAAGTGGTACCCGCGACGAGGGCGGTGGATGGCAAGCCGCAACAAGCTGGTGGTGCTGTAGCAGGGGCGGGGAAAAAGCCACCGGAACCGGCGGGGAACCTGGAGAAAACAGGTAGAGGAAATAAAGTCGTGTGTAGTGATGTTGCTTCTGCGTGTATGTGCATCTCTTAGAATTGGATTTAGTTATGGTTTGTCTTTCTATGATCTACCGTTGGCGTTGGATGAAATAATTTGCAGGCAAATCGCAATCCGGGACTTCACTTGCTTCCCTTGGATACTCTGAAGACTTCGAAGTGCCCTCCGACGCGACTCCTGAGGACGGTCCGAGCCGCTCGTCATCGAAGGGCACTACGGGCGAGGGCGGGATAGTGGTAGACACCATGCATGATAGTTTCTTTTTCACCTCGGAAGGTCGCATGGCGTCGATGCATTTTTGGACGAGAGTGTTGCCGTTATGTTGTTGCTAGAGTGTTCAGATCTTCTGAATGTCGGATACAACAGAGCGCAAATTAAAAAATCAAGGTGATCTCCCAACAATCAAACCCCACGTCAACACGACCACGGCGACCTGCCGCGCAGCTCCCGACCACTAATTCCACCCCGGCTGCCCCGTCTAAGCCGCGACAGCCGGTAGCCCAGCAATCCCAGCAGCCGCCCACTACGATTGTGGCGTCGCGGGTGAACGGGCCCAGTCGGAAGGGCATCGCAAACTTCAAAGCGCCCGCGCCGGTCGTGGCGAAAGACGTTCCACGACGGGGGCGCAGTAAGGACGCCGAGCAGGGGGTCATTCTCACTGCTGAGAACGCGCGGAACGTGCTGCGACCGACCAAACCGGGGCAGAAACGGCCCTTGGGGGTGATGAGGGGCGGCACGCGGCAAAGTCGACCGACGTCGAGCTCGTCGGCACAGGACGACGCGTCAATACAGTCGGTGACCGTGCAAGAACTGCCGAAAGTAGGGAGCGACAGGTTCTTTCGAAAGAGATTGTCGTTCTTTTTTGTTCAAGGAAGTCACATAGTAAGTAGAAAAGTTCTCAACAGGTTGTGCCAGAACCACTGTACTTACAACCGAGAGCAACCATAGAATTGCTCAACCTAGGTAGCAGAAAGGATCAACCTGCTATGCAAGAACTTTATTTATTTCTATTCCGCAGTCCTCGTCCAATCACTTCTCCGGGTCGCAAATCGCCAACCGACACGGGTATCAATGTCGAAAACGTCGACCCGGCCTGGCTCCCGCCCCGCTACCAACATGTGGCCGAGAAAGTTATGGCGACCTGTGCTGAGGAAGGCTACACCAGCCCGCCACGCAGTCCCGGGCATCAGAATCATAAATCCGGAGAAGGCCGGCCGCACCGGCCCGGCACGTCACACCGACCCAGGACGGCGTCCGCAAATGCGGAGTTGCAGCAAGAGAGCGTAGATCCGGATGTTAGTGTCACCGTGGATGGCGAGGGAGGAGATGCCAGTACTACTTCGCGCGCTGGACGGAGCAAGAGCGCCGAGCCGGGGGAGACCAGCGCCGCGCAGGAGCGGCTGGCGCCCAAAGATCAGCGGCCGGGATCGTCGTTACCGCGGGCCAGGAGTGAGAAACCGAGTCAGCACGCCTCGTCGGACGTACTGGTTTGCTTTTTGGAGAAGTTTATGGCTGTTAGAATCTGAGCCTGATGCTGAGTATGCTATGAATCTGTTTGTCTCGTCATCTTTTTACTTTCGCATCAGAAATGTGTTATTTACGATGTTTGTTGCAACTACAACAGAGCGGCGCAGTGAACTGGAAACACGAGAAGTCGTATGGAGAGCAATACGTGCCGCCCTCGTATAGATTTTTTGTGATACTACACCTGCTCTAATGTCGTGCCTGGTGTTGGAGTTGGTGTTTGTCTATGCCGGTGCGAGAACCACGCGGAACTTCCCCATTGAAGGTCGGGTGTAGAAGTAAAAAGTACGGACATAGCCTCAATTACAATTATCCAGGTCCGCGGTCACCTCCGCCAAGTCGCCGAAGCGGGCGAGGAAGGAGAAACTCCCCGACTTCATCCGGATGCAGAAGGCCATCGACAAAGCGCGGAAGCAGCACGTGCTTGCGGAATTGCAGCAGATGCTGAACGAGACCTGGCGGCACGACAAGCAAGTGAAAATGCGGCAGCTGAAGCAGCAGTGGGACGACCAGCGCCAGGAACAGCTGCGCCTTCAGACAGAAGAGAAAAAGCGCCGCATCCAGGAGATCGAGGCCGAACGAAAAAATTACGTGGACAAGCAGTTACGGGACCGGCAGAACTACTTGCGGCGGAGGGAAGAGGAGCGGAAACGCAAAGAAGCCGAGCAGAGACGATTCGCAGACTTGCAGCGGGTGTACGACGATAACCTGCGCAAGGAAAAGCTGAAGGTCGCAGAACGGGAACGGGAAAAGTATCGCGAGAAATACCGGAAAAAACTCAAATTTGTGATGCCGGACTGGATCGACTGAATGCATCCACACCTATCAGGATGTTTTGACAGCGCATGTCTACGCGGTGATGTCGGCCACAGCCGCATCTACTTACCTCTCGCTGGGGACTCCTCGTCGGATGTTTCTAGTTCGACTACGAGGATTCCAATGAAACTGGACAAAAATAAAACTTTGATTTGACTGAAGTTCACTTGATAGTACTTATGAGTCTTGAAAGAAATGCAATTACACACATTTGATGCTTGAATGGTTTTTAGTAGTTTTTCTTTTTGAGGTTTGTCTGCTTTTTTATGAACCGCAGTGACTGATCAAAATGCAAATTTTTTTACACGAGCGATTTGCACTCGCCAAGCGTGGTTTCCCCGTTTTTTTGGGTCCATGTAGACGTCTTAGACGTCTTGTTTATTACAATGACATACTGGTAGGTCGTTTCACTCGTTGTTTCGAATGTTCTTGCAATTGCAACAGCCCGCTTTGCTATTTTAGCAGCCTACTGTAAAATTTTGATGAGACCACAGCGAACGGCACTTTGTGCAACGTTTCGAGATGATACACAAACTTTTTTTTCGGAAATGAGCGCTAGCACTCATATCCAAGAAAACAAAGGGAGCAGAAAAATGATAGGAACAAAACCAGTCACTCTTGGTGATTGCATAGCATTTATTCGCTTGAATCATGCAAGCGTTTCCCTGGTGTTTCGCACTTCCCATGCAAGAACGGTCGAATATCTTGTCGCGTAGCGTTGAGGTTTTCCTGCCCAGAAACTAAAGAGTGATTGGAGTTTTGTCTACAGCGATCGAGCTGCAACAGCGATCGAGAGTAAGTCGAGAAGCGGAATGTGTGCGTGTGATGCGATGGTGCTGACACAGAATTAAGACTTTGATGCCCCTCTACCCTCGCTCGATTTGGTTTGAAAAATTCGCAGTCCTAGTCATGCTTGCATTTTCCTTTTTCACTCTTGCTCTTTGGAAATAATGTCCCGTGTCGACGAAAATAATCCCTTCACCCGACGAAGAATGTTACCTTTGTTGCTTGAATTCATGAAAAATGCATAGGTCAAATTTCACATTTTTTTAAAACTTCGCTCAATGCTGAAAGGGCGGCTGAGGTTGAATCAATTTGGTTTGTTTAAGATTTTTTAGCTCTTCCTCTTTGGTGCGTACCTCATCTCCGTGAGTTGTAATATCGTGGGTGGAGCAAGTACTAGCAGCTATTTTGACGAAGGCAAATTGAAATTCAAATTTCTTTCGGCGCAACGACTGGTCTGAGACTTTGCTCAAAGGGTTATTACCCCGTTGTGCTTCCTGAAGCTGAACTAAAGTGGTAGATTCTTGCAAAAAACCTTGGTTTGCATGAATCTCACACCGAGGCTTGGTTCCGTCAATCCCTATCCCCGTGCCGCGGCTTCAGCACTTGAACAACGTCAACAGAGCGAAAAATACCATGAGCAGGTTGCTGGGCCGGATGAGCGGCGGGGGTGGGAGCACTGGCAATGGGGGACAGCCCCGTGCGAGCTTGGCAGAAGACGAACTGGTACAACAGCTGCGGAACGACTTGCAGCGCCTGCGCCTTTCCGATGGAGGTGACAGTGAGGCCAGCAGTCTGCACTTGGACCACAATGCGGCTCCCCGTCGGTTCGCGTGGGACCCTCCGCGGGCGTCCGCCTCCGTGCCAAGCGCGCTGGCGTCGAGTGTGCCGGTGCAACTGCAGCATTCCGCCAGCTCCGTGTCGGATTTTCGCAGATCGCAGCAGCGCAGCGCGCCACCCGTAGGTGTACCTCCCGGCGGCGGAGTCTTGCAGCACTATCCGCAGTCCATGGCAGGCGAGATGATCGGGTATAATCATGCCAACGGCGGTGGTGGTGGCCCGTCGTCAGGGTCCTACAGCAATCACCAGGTAGTTGTGGACAACTACAACCAAGCCCCAAGTTCCGCAAGCAGCAGTTCTTCGCGACAGGAACGAACGAGGCGAAATGTGGCACTGCAGGTGGACCGGGAGTTAGATGGTTTTGCGAACGAGATCGACCGGAAGTTTTACCAGGACCCAAGAAAACGCGGCCGGGCCGCGGAGCAAATCGCGGGCTTTCTGACCGGCCCGTGGTCGCAGAACCAAATCCACTACCAGCCAAATCCAGGCGGGGTGAACAACAATAGCGAGGGCGGTATTTCCTACGGCACGCTGGACGACGAGTCGCTGCCGCGGAAGCTGGCGCTGGGTGGGAAAAATTCTCTGACGAACATGGGCAACACGTGCTTCATGAACACCGGCCTGCAGTGCATGGCGCATTTGGACCCCGTGGTCGCCTTTTTCCTCAGTTCCAAGTTCAAGTACGAGCTGAACTTCGAAGCCAAGCACGGGAGCAAAGACGCCACGATAACCATCGGGTTTGCGGAGATCTTGCTCCGGCTCTGGTCGTCGCCCAGCTACCTGAACGAGAAGCAAGAGAAGAAGCTGGCGAAAAGTGGCGCGAATGGAGGACAGGGCGCGAACGACGAAGAGAGCCGTTTTGGGCTGAAAACGACCATCATGAACACGGCGAAAAGAATACACCAGACCATGAGCGTCAACGCAAAGCGGGCGAATTCAGAAATGACAATTTTTGTCCGCCCGAACGTCCAGAGCTACGTGGAATACAAGCCGCAACGGTATATCGATTTGAATCAAAAAATTATGTATTTTTCATCGAGTTGCTGTGGCTGTGGCTCTCATGCATGGTCTGTAGTGATGTCTTAGGGTTGGGCCAGCTGCGGAACAACCGGTTGGTTTCTTGCACTCAACAGAAGGCAAAGATTTTTTTACACGCATGCACAATTTTGAAGGTATCTGAAGAAGCTCGCTGCCCACAACAAGGATCTTTTCCGGGAGAACATCGAGCAGCAAGAGGAGCAGGACGTCCAGGAGTTCATTTCGTGGCTGCTAGATATGCTGCAAGAAGACACGAACCTGGTGGACAACGCAACAAGCGCGTTGAACAAAAAGCGGTCGAGCAACGTAGCGCCGGTTAGCCGTGATTTTCGGGCGGAGGACCTCCTTGCGATCGAGCGGGAATTTGGCTCCGAATCCGCTGCGGCGCTCTGCTGGGCAAGGAGTCTTTCTATGTACCGTGGGTTCATCGTGGATTGCTTCCAGGTACTACAGAGTGTCCAGTGTTTACTCGCTCTCGTTAACGTTAATCCAATAGATCATACTCAGTGTTTGCAAAATTAGATCAACATACTCAGTGTTTGCAAAATTATTCAAATAGCCTCGGAACTACATAGTCGTAACAAGCAATCGCATTCGGGGTGAGAAAAATGATGTCACTAACGACATACATCACATATCAGGGCCAGTGGCGCAGTACCGTGACGTGCAACCGGTGCAAGAATTTCAGTCGATCCTACGAGCGGTTTCTGATGACCTCCTTGCCGCTTTCCCGGTCCGGCGCGACCGATTCCGTGACGCTGATGGAAGCGCTCCGCGCGTTCAGCCAGGAGGAACAGCTCGGGGAAAACGAAAAGTGGTACTGCCCGACCTGCAAGCGCAAGGAGCAAGCGACCAAGAAGATCGAGTTCTGGAAGCTGCCCTACGTCTTGATTCTGCATCTGAAACGCTTCGAGTTCGACCAGTATCGCAATCGGTGGAACAAGAACTGCGCGCGCATGAAATCGCCACTCTCCCTGGATTTGGCGGAATTTGAAGCGCCGGGGAACGGGAAACCCAACCCGACGCCGCTCCACTACGATGTCATCTGCAGCGCCAACCACGTGGGAAACGACTTGGAGACCGGACACTACACGGCAACGTGCAGGCATCCGATAAACAAAACCTTCTACTACTTCGACGACGACGATGTAACGAAGGATCGAGAGGAAAACGTCGTGTCGGAAAGCAGCTACGTGCTGTTTCTGGTAAACATGAGTACTTAATGATAATATGTTGTAATGTTTCTGCGGTACTCTATTGTCTACATGGATTCTCATCTCAAAAAGTTGTGTGATTGTGCTTCTTTTCCTCTCAAAATCAGATGCGTCGCGCCCCGAACGGCGGCACGTTACCCCGACAAGACCTAGCGCACCCGGAAAATTGGCCGCACAAGCTGCATCCAGAGTTTCTGCGCGTTTTTCCGTCGGTCTTCGATCGTCTGTGCGCCAACGCGGAAACGCAAGCGCAGAAAGACGCGCAAAGCAGAAGGTGATGACAAGGAAGGGCTGTTTCCAGCTGCCGGGGCGTCCGGAAAACTTTGCCGTGGCGAGCAGAAGCGTACGTCTGTGGAAAGTACTCCCGTGGTGTCGAAGTGGAAGGAAATTCCTCAATTATGCGGTCGAGCTGCTGAGTAGGTGGCGTAAGGAGTGTTTCCGGTCGCGGGAGAGAACGGCGGTCCCAGTCTTTCCGCAGGACGTACACTGTCATTAGTTGTGTGCAAAAAGAAGACCACTTGACCCTGATCAACACCGACCGGAGGACGCCGCCGCCCGAGCCTGTAGTCTATAATGGGCACGAATTTCCACCACGTGCGCGCTGCGAACAAGCTGCACTGTGTCTGTGAACAGAAGGGCGATCTTGAGAACGAGCGCGTTCTTTCTCTTCCCCTGTGGCGCGCAGTACAGCACTCGGATTTGTAGCTTCAATCCGGCCGTAGCGTTGTACGTTGATAGCGGGAGTAAAATGCCGGTCTTGCAGAAGTCCGTAGCACCGGAGAATGTCCGTGCTTCGTGATGGCACGCGAACGAATTTTTCAAAAAACTTGTGCAGGGCAGTTGGATCTGCTGCAGGGACGACCAGCACGAATAGGCACTACACGGATTTGCTCCATCTTTGCAACGTTATCAGCATGATATGATCTTAATCCATATGCCCCTCACCTCGTACTCACGCCGCGAGTGCAGGGGTGAGGGATGATGAGACATTTGAAACGCATGATTAATATGATACGGGTGCTATTTCTCTTTTGAGAGAGTCAAGCGAGAGCCGGCACAAGTGTTCTTGGACGTGGTATCAACTACCTAGCTTGTTTGAGATCCAGGTGAAGAAAATCGAAAGAATACTTCCTTGTGCGTTGGTCTATTGCGCTACTGACCGGTTGTTTTTTTTCCTGCGGAGAATGGCGCCATCAAGGTCAGGCTCCTCTATTGACATCGCGCGCGATCCAGTTTTGCTTTTGCTTCCGTCCAAGGAGTTTTATAATAAAAGTTTGAGCACGTGTTGAAGTCCGGCAATCAAGATCCCAGAAAACCTCGTAGCGCGAGACAAGAGCGTCTTTTCAAGTTTGCAGCAGCTACTTAGGAAGTTTTTCTCTATGTGCACGTAGGTTTGATGAGCACGGTCACAGCGCAGTATCACTACAGCGTATTTTTCTAGTTTTAAGAATGGCGGCGCTCACGTGGAATAATGCGAAGAATCGAAGTCTGCTGGCTTGGCGTCAAAGCTTGAGTTCCGCTGTCTCGAAGCATCTCCCAGGCGCTAGCCTCACCGACTACGAAGCGTCCTGCATTCTACTACGACACAAGGACTGCGCCGGTTCTTTCAAAAAGGAAAAATGCAGCGCAGAACCTCATCAAGAGCTTCATTCGGGACCCTGGATGGACGAAAGAGTAGCCGCTTTGGGCAAGGCTTTCGGCTCGTCTCCGGAAAGTGCGAAGCAATGTTTGCTGCTGAATGGCAACGTCCTGAGCTGGTCGGCGCAGGACATTCTGCGGCATTTCCGTAGTTTGGAAGTACTCGGCGTACCGCCCGAAGATGCGTCTTGTTTCTTCACTGAGGAACACCGGCGAGAAGTGCAGCAAGGTTTGGAGAAGGCGGTGCGCCCCCCAGGCCCGCCGCCGCCGAGGATGGCCACAACGAAACCCACGGGCGCAGTGCAGAGTGGCAGTGGTGGGAAGGTGCAGGAAGATGATACTGGAAAGCCAAAACTTCATCAGGACAAAGCAGCTAGTGCACAGAATATTGAGCAGCGCGAAAGTGCTGATACGGAAACTCAAATTGGTAATGCCACTTAAGCACTGAGTATACAAAATGATCTAAGCGCCGCGCTTTGTTTCGGGGGCGAAGCTTTAATCTTGTCGTGTGTTCCAAGAGAGCCCTATGGCGCAATCTCTGAGTTCGAGTCTAAGGGGGACCTTAAAATATGTATGAGACCGACCGTGCCGCTTTCGTTTCTTTGAGTGCAGGGCGCGCGTGCATCGGATCGCTACTGCAGGACCCGCGCGAGCCGGGCCATCTTGAGCCTGCCCTGCCGGGAGGAGTCCGGGCGCCTGAGACCAGGAGGGGGGGGGCCGGCCCTGCCAAGCGTCCACGGATTGGGGCGGGCCCCGCCCCGGCCGGGCCCTTTTGCGATCTTCTCGCAACGCGGAGCCGGCTCGCCCCGCGGGCGCTCTTTCATGCGCGCCGCGCCGAAGCCCTTCCAGAACCAAAAGACGGCGGGGCGTTCGTCCTCTGGTTTGGCGTCCGTCTGCCGAACCAGTCCAGGGGGGCGCTTGCCGTGCCGGGCCAATCCGCTCGCAGGCGCGCACACCGGTCCGGCGGTTGCGCCCGCGCCCAGGCCGGTCCTTCTTGTGGGGCTTTGGCCTGTTGGTGGTGGCCGAGGGGTCGTCTAGGTTCTCAAGGAAGTGGGTCCGCGCGTGAAGGGAGTGCGATTGTGTTCACCCGGTGGGGCAACCAAGCAACAGCACCCCATGAGAAAGCTCGAAGCGCCGGCGACGTCATATGTAGCGAGGCCAGGGGCAGCGGAATGCGGGGAGAGATCGGCGAGTTCGCGCATGGTGTTCGAAAACCTCGCAAGCCCGCCGATGTATGACCCGCCGGCCGCCCCGCCCCCCCCTTCCTTGCAGGCCGCGCCCCCCCCTTCGACCGGCGAACCCCCCCGGGCGTGGGGCCGGGGCGCGCTCGCCCCGCGGCCCGCCGGCAATGTGTGCCTCAGCTTGGTGGCTCGCCTCGTGGCCTCCTTTTTCGTGCCTTGCTTTGGCCGAGGGCCGCCTGTCGCCCTTAATTCAAAGGGGTTCTGGGCCCTTCGCGGCCGCGCAGTGCGATGACACGGGCGTGGGGAGGCCCCCCGCGTACGGAAAATCAGGAAGGCGCGCGCCACCGCCATTTGGCGCCGATGGATTTTTGGCGCGCTGGCCGCTTTGGGGCGGCCTCTGTCGCTCTCCCGTGCGTCGAAGCGTTGCCCCGTTGAACGCCTCCTCGCCGAAGGGCCAGCAGGCCTGCTTCGGTTGTATGACTTGTGGGCGTCTCTGCACAGTATCACTGACCCGAGTCCAAGCGTTTATAGCGAGATCAGTTACGGCCTTCAGCTGGCATAAGAAAATAAAGCGTGACTATGTACTTACACACGCCCCAGTGTGTCTGTTCTGCTTCTGATAGATCCTGACCGGCCCGCGGGAGGGCATTCCGGCGTTCTGATGGCCAGCATTTGCAGTCGAGAGAAGTTGTTCAAATGTGGTCAATCTGGTACTCATGGTTGAGTAGTGGGTTGGGAGAGTTGTTCGATGGCTTGTTGTTCGACCTGGCTGTCCTAGTATGAAATAGCGCACCCTCACCGCTAGCTGCTAGCAGCCGCTGCCTTGAACGCAGGCAGACTGAAGATGGACCATCCAAATCGCGGTCGTTCCGCAGCCCGGCAGTCGGGCAGCGTCCGTCCCACAAGCGAAGCGGCAGTTGAGCGGTCCCGCTCTCTTCCCGCGAGTAGGTGGAAATCTGGTCGCTCGCCACTGGATGACGCTCTGTCTGCTTCTCCCTCCGAGAACCTTGCCTGCAGAACCGCCGGTCGCCACCGGCGGGTACGGAACACGAGCCGAGGCAAGGCCGTGGATGGTGTGCAGCGACGTCCGAGATCACTTGTGCCGCTCGGAGATGCCGCCGTCGCGGGGTTCAAGGCAGAGCACGAAAAGCGCCCGTTCGATGTTGTGGCGTTCGTGAACCGGGAATCTGGGGGGCAAACCGGAGTAGCGGTCTTGTATGAAGTAGAAGGCGTTATTGCCTGAGAGAGAAGGCCGCGACGCGGTTGTTACGAGCAGGCAGAGCGTGAGCAATAAGCTATTTTGTTCTCAGCTATGTGCCTATCCTTACTACACTACGCGATGCATGTGTCATTCAAAGGGAACGTACTACAGAAGCAACAGCAAGCTGCATTCGACGCTCGAAAGCAAATATTCATTCCTGTTACACTGCTTTATCGCTGTGCTGCCTTCTCTGCAGGAAGTATTTGGAATGAATTAAGCAGCTGATCAACCTACTGGGCGGTGAGCATGTGGTGAACCTCGCCGACCCCGAGGAACCCGCCGCCACCCTCGCGACTTGGGACTACCGGCTAGCGAGCGGTGTTTTCCGGGCCAACCGAGCGAGCGGCGCCTGGTCTAGTGCGGCGTCCAGTCCAGAGCGGGAGAAGAACTTGCTGCAAAATATTAAATCAACCGAGAAGCCTGTACTACACTTTGCCCAAGAGAGTACTAGACCACTGAAAGCGAAAACGAGCAGCCAAGGGTCAATCTCCAAGTCGTCCCCTGCAGCCGTGAAATTCGCTAGCGACGAGGAGAAATTATACGAAGTGTTTGAAGACGCCGTCGAGCAGCAGTACTACCATTCCGATGATCAAGGTACAGCTACTACCTTTCCGCAAAAACTCTTCCACGACGTCGATCACGATACTTCATCTCGCGGCATCCGGTTTCTGGTTTGCGGTGGCGATGGGACGGTGAGCTGGATTTTGAGTGAGATCGCGGCTTTCCCCGCACTTTCCGCGTACCACAATGGCGTTGCGATCTGCCCGCTCGGGACCGGAAACGACCTGGCGAGGAGTCTAGGGTGGGGGAAGGGCTTGCAGCGCTTGGAGGACCTGAAGCTCTTCCTGGAGTGGACCATGCACGCGGATGCAGTGGAACTTGACCGGTGGTGTTTAGAAGTAGAGCCGGAAGACGAGTTGCCAACCGACCACTGCTTCCACCAATTTGAGAACTGTCTGCCGAAACGGGAAGAGGTGAACGATTTTGAACTTGAGAAGGCGTCCTCACCGCTACGCTTCTCTAGTCCGCAGCGGGAAGGGGAGGAGAATGCTGACAAGGACGAGGATCCATGCAGCACGGCAACGCCGTCCGATACGAGTCGCACGCCCGCGTCCTCGGTCCGAGAGAGGCACGGCAGGGGCAGTGGGAGTAGTAATAAAGTGGAGCCTGTTCATCTTACTAGCGTGCTTCGTCAAGTAGATCCTGTGTCAGGAACAACCGCTTCCTGGACTAAAAGCCCTAATCTCGCCTACGCGGTGCCGTTGCCGAAATACCGCGGGTATTTTCACTGCTACTTCTCCATCGGCCTGGATGCGGAAATAGCCTACCACGTGGAACGGAGCCGCAAACTTTCGGCGGTCGGCCGCCGCTTCTTCCGGGCAGGGCTGGGAAAGTGCTGCTACGGGTGGCATATCAAATCCAAATATGTCTGGGTCTGGAAGGTTCCGAACTTGTGATGCGTGTTTCGGATCCTACAAAGATCTGTGATGCATAACGTGCAAAAGGTGCCCACTTCTGGCCATGCTGAGAGGGCATTTCTCATGCAGAATACGCATCACCAAGGACCTGCAGAACCTGTGACGCTAGGCCCTGCATTCCAGACGGGGGGGAGGTTGGAAAAACTGCATGACAAATCTCAGAATCTCCCAAACCCAGACATTTTTGCATTTGATATGGCAGGGGTTTGCGAAGGTTGGCTGTTTTGCGCGCCAGTTTTGCTGCAACTCGACGCTGCTGTCCCGGGACGTGCGGATCTTGGAGCCGCCGGTACACAACTCAAGCCACACTTTTGCGTAGTGCGTCATTTGATCAGATCAAATACAAATTGATCTTTCCTTTTTGTGTAAGTACTGTGAATGTGGTTCTAGAAATCCAGTGCGAACAAACAATGTCACCGGCGTCCTCAACTTCTTTTCAGGTCGAGCAACTGGAAGCTCGGAAGATTCAAGCGTGCCTCTTGAAAGGTCGTTGCCGCCAGCTCTCCCTGCTGAACATCAACAGCTACGGAAGCGGTGCGCAGGGCGCGCGGGCCGAGACGCAGAGCGCGCGGGACCAGCATCTGGAGCTCTGCGCCGTGCGGAATCCGGGGTTCGATACGGCGTTGTTTTGCGGGTTGGCGAAGATGCAGGAACTGGAAAAGGTGCAGCGCTTGACGCTGCACGTGCAGAAACCCGTCTTCATGCAGTACGACGGGGAGGCTTGGTTTCTTCCCTGTCCTTCGGTAATCAGCATATTTCCGGCGAAGGACGCGGTCCGGCTTCTGCGCGCGCCGCCGGACGCGCCATTTTGGAACAATCGGCAAACGCACGGGTTTTGGGATCAATAGGGACTACTTCGAAATGTAAGTAAGTAAGCAGTCGTGGTACAACGGAGAAACCACGACAGCAGCGCAGGAAAGTAGTGGAGCGAACTTTTGTCCTCAATCGTGTGAGTTTGAAGCTTGGAAGTCACATAATCGAGGAGGCTGTAACTGTCTTCTCTGCGTTTGCGCCACACTTTATCGGCTTCGATTGTGCGAGCCCTTTGGTTCTTCACAAGCGGAAACTACCGATCGAGATTTAATACTTGTTGGGCAACTCAGGATCTCTTGCACTATTGTGAGTAACCCTGTTGGTCTTCAAGAGATATCGATGGTCCGAAGATTTATGCGCCACGTTTTTTTTTCGAGCTTTGCCAAGGAAGTACGTTGTCGCATTTGTACATCCACGATTTTTACTGACTCCGACGTAGGTCTCCACTACGGAATTGACTTCAAGAACCCAATGGCGAGGGAGAATGAGCTAGGGATTATTTCCTTCTGTCTGTTGGAACCGCTACCGCTACTAGCGAAGCACTTAAGTCGTTGTACAGAGTCGATCTTTTTCCTGTGTTTTTTTTCAAAATTTAAAGTATGAGAGCCTTCGTCTCCTCCGTGTCCATTCTTCTGGCCTTCTGGCCGTTGTCAGTCCACTTTTGGCCACTTGCTCAGGCTGCGGAGACCCGCACCCGTGTTTTTAGCGATCCGGTCGGGCTGCTGCTCAGCCGCTTCTATTTCAGCGACAACGAAGGCAGGTTGGAACCGAGTGGCGCTGCAACAACCGAGGACGGAGAATCGTCTGGTGCAGGGGCCGGAGAGAACAAAAGGGATCGGTCGTTGAAGGAGCAGCTTTCGGACCTAACAGAAACTGCAACCGATCTGCTCGGCGATCTACGCGAGAAAAGTTGCAATCGGTTGAGGGGGGCATGGCGGGTCGTTTTGTGTGTGAAGATTCATGGAGCAGTAGCTGATCAAAAATATGCATCCAGGTGTATTGATAAAATGATTTTTGAAGCTCCATGCACTGCTTTCTAACAAATCATGAAATTGTTTGAAATGATTGTTCCACATTCGAAGCACACCCGGCATTTTTCGCCTTCAATACTAGCGATTCCAACGACTGGGTGCGGCGAGTTTCTGCGACGGCACGACAGGACGGGCTCTGGTGCTTGGTCCCCGGCTTGCAAAAATCCGGCACCGAGACGAGCCAAGTGGAGCAGTGTCTACAGGACGTTTTGCGCCGCATCAGCTACCGACCCTTCAACGTCACCGCGCCGGAAACCGCCTCGCTGCAGCCGTTTTCTCAGTTTCTGGCCGAGTTTGCGCGGGTGCTGCACCTTTCGGGGGCTTGGTTAGAGTTCCAGCTGCGCAAGCACAAAGCGGCGTACGCCAGGTTCTATAACAGTCAAGAAGATGGAGATGATTCCTCTACTAGTTCATCCGCGTCTTCCTGGAAAAGGTTTTTGGCGCGGAACGGGCTCAAGTTGAAGGCCGACCAAACCCAGTTCGAGGGGCAACCAAAAAGCTTCTCCGACCAAGCTGCCTCGGAGGCCCTGCACAAAGCGGAGGCGAACTTTTATCGCCTTGTGGGCGAGATCTGGGAGTATTTCGGCCCCGAGATTGACGACGTGTCTTGTGAAGAAGACAAAAATGTGTACCACTGGATTCGCGAGTCCTACGGCTTCTTTTTGCCGAGCGTCAGCCAGTATGACTGTCGGGTGAAGCGGCGAGAGGATGATGTTCTTGCCGGTGATCCTCCTTTGCTTGCCGAGAAAACCCTGGCCTCCCTGCAAAACCTGTCAAAGGACCGGGGAAACCGCGAAGGGCCGCGGACGCGCAGTATCACCGCGCCCGACTGCGGGCTGCACCGAGATCGCTACGTGACGTTTTCTGACAGCATGAAGTTTCTCACGGAAAACGCGGGACTCGCAGCGCCAGCAAAAGTGCTGACGCGAAAGAACGTGTGGGAGGTTGTGGACGACAGAACTGGTTCATCAAGTGTGGTTACCACGAAGGAGAGCTCGCCGCGGGGAGATGAACGAGATGCCATTATCCGACATATCGAAGCGAAGCAGCCAACACAACTAACCGAGCAAGCTGCATCAACACCAGCGTCGTCCGCAGCCAAGCTACTTCTGCAGCACCTCATCCCTGAGCGGCTCCGCGATATCCACCGTTTGTCCTACGTCACCTGGGACGGCATGTTGGTCGGCGAGCTCGGAATTTTCCGTATTTGGCAGGAGGATTATGTTTTCCCTCGGGGCCGATGGTTCGTGAACGAGCTGAGCAGCCGATTCGCGCGCCGCCACAGCTGCCACGGCGGCACGGTGGTGATGCTGGTGGTGGCCTACCACACCTTTCTGCTAGACTTGCAGTTCGCGCACGCGGCCAATATTTTGCTGGAATTGGCGGAGTATCTCCTTTTGCGCCCGGAATCGGTAGACGAATTCGATTGGGGGCTGACGAAGGAAGACGTTTTTGCGACCTTGCAAGCACTGGCAAACTTCCTCGGCGACTTGTGTCTGCACGAAGTGGAGAGCACTTTTTTTGGAAGTGAGTACGACGTTTTGTCCACCGGCGAGCAGCGAAAAAGCGAAGGATTTGATGCTTCGGAAGCGAGTTTCACAGCGACCGTTTTGGCAAAATTTCAGAACACGACAGCACCAGCAGATAATGTGTCGAGCGGGAAAGATAAAGAAGAAAGCCGTCCCTCGTTCTTTCCCTCCCCACCAGACCAAGGTGAGAAAAAGCGAGAAAACGAGCGTTTGGCCTGGAAGGCGCGGATACAGGCGGAGATTGCGCAGGATCCCAAAGCGATAGAAGTGTACTGCCGCGATTTTTTTTACAACAATCGGTTTCGCACAAATCACCCCAAGCACTTTGCCAGAACCGCAAGCCCCGCGATCGCGGGCTTTTTGACGGAGTTCCTGCACTTGGAGGAGGAAGATGAAAACCACCTTGCGGTTAGAACAAAGGCACAAGCAGCTACCTCTTCCTCGAAGCACAAAACTTCCAGCCTTGTCGACACCCTTCCGCCTGGCAGTTTCGATCCCTACTACGCCCACCCGGTGGCCGTGGCGATGGACATGTTTTTCAACCGGACAAGTTCGGACAGGCGCAAGCTGTACCACGAAGTTGGGGTGAATGTCTACGCCACCGATGTGCCGTTTGTGTTACACAAGCGGATTTCGGCTCCACGAATGAAGACCATCCACAGCAGTGAGAAGAAGGTGGATCCGAGCCTGCTGCAGTTTTTGATAGAAAAAAAGCTCGCGAAGTTTCATGGCTTGGTTGACGGTGTTAATGCTGACAACGCCAACGGCGACTCGGTAGGAAAACATGCAGCTTCTGGCGATTCCCATTCCACAATGACCACTGCTTTTACGTCGCCACAAGAAATAAACACGGACAGCCGAGCGACCCGCTCATCCCCCGACCATCGCCCGCGTTCCGAGGAAAGCAGCAGTACCTCTTTGAGCGCCGAGGAAGAAGAAGAGCGCGAGTTTTTTTCTGACGATCCTGACGAGGAGGATCTGCGAGACGGAACTACTCCCGAACAGCCTCCGCAACGCCCTGGACAGAACAGCCAGGATAGAAATGCAAATACGGGTGATTCAGATTCAGTCGCTTTACCGGGAAGGAGTAAAGAAACAAGCTCAAAAATCGCAGCTGCGCCACCCTCCCAACGGCACTTCGAGTTGTTCCAGCGCGCTCTCCCGACCTGGCAAACCGCGAAGCCGTACTTTGAGAACCGGGTGTACGTGAAAAAACCGTGCTATGGAAGTGTCAGGTTTGAAATCGACAAAGTTGAAATAATTTCTCATGCATAAATTGCAAGGCATGAAGTGCCTCTCTTGCAGGGATGGCAAGTGAGGCCGATCGTCAGCCTGTTTGGGGTCTGCGGGAGAGCTGCTAAAGTAGCATGGCAAAAGCCTTCTTCTGTTCCTAAACAGCATGACAGCCTGGATTTAGACGGTGCCAAAATTTGTCATGCACCGCTCGGAAATTGGACTTCCAACTGGTATCGATTTTCTGCATTTCAACTTTGACGATTTCAAGCCTGACACTTGCATACGTGCGTGCAACCGGTGATCGAGAACGCGTGTCTTCATTTTGACCACGTGTACACCGATTCTCTTCCGGAAAACACGCTTCTGCCCTCCTGCGCGGAACTGCGCCAGCGCGCCTATGTGCGCACGAAACGGTTTCCGAGAAGTAAGAACGCGGAAAAATCTAAATCATCGTCGAGAAGTGGTGATGGGAATAAAGTTTTTTCGTTTGAAGATTTCCCGCCTTACAAAACCTCCAGCGGCACCAGCAGAGAAACGATCGGGATTGTCACCAACATGAACCTGCCGGCCAACGTTGGGCACGACATGACATGGTATGTGCCCCTGGCAGAGACGGTGAAGAAAGTGCAAAAACAGGCGAAAGAGTCTGAGAAGCCGGTAGACATTGAGATCCAGCTCTTCTACCATTACCACTACGGGAATTCGCTGAGCAAGATTTGGCAGCGCACGGTACAGACCGTCGGGAATTACAGCGAAGCAGTGGACGACGCTGGGGAGGAGGTTGCACTTGGCATAGAAGAACAGGCCGCGCAGACCTTGGAAAAGCTGGAAGAAGTCGCTGGGGCGGAAATAAAAGCGTCGAGCAGTCCTCCGGAGCTGCTGTCAGAAACTGTGAAGCACCAGATCATTCCGAAATTCGCAAATTTCGTCGAGACCGAAGTGCTACCAAGAATCGCTTCCGGGGAGAGAAACGCGTTTTACTATGAGGATTTGTTCAAAAACTTTCTCCAAGACGTGCCCGTGCACCACAGCCTCCACTCCGTCTCCGAAATGCGGTGCTACCACAAACTGGTTTGGGGCCGCGGACCCCTGTACAACATGCGACACGCGGTGCAGGCGGGAGTGGTGGCGGTTGGAGGAGAGGGCGATATTAGAATCAGCGGAAAGATGTTGAACAGCGGAGACGAAATAAAGCCATTCATCTTCGCAGCAACTGATCTTCCGCACGACCAGGAGCATTTATCTGCAGAGGTAGCGACGGCACAATCTACTTCCGCGCTTGCAACAAGCAGCTTCAATAGCCCGTATTTCCTTGACAACCGCAGCACCACTGTTGCGCGGTTTTACCCCGGATTCGAACAAACAACTTCAGCGGCTGCTCCAGGCGGAGCAGACACTAGAGAAATAAAGAAGCACAACGACGAGAATAAAGACCAATCGCCCTTCTTCCCTTCCAACCTGATCTCCTTTTCCCGCGAGAACGGAGACTATTTCGTTGCCGAGTACCGTGACTACCTGCAAAACTGGGAGTGGAACCCGACCGACCGCAGAGTCGCGGCCGTGCGCGAGAAACAACCGCTCCTGTGGCAGGCCTCGGTTTGCCCTGTGGACGAGGAAAAGAACCTGGAGACCAATCCGATTGCGCTGGAGGACGCGAATATCGGCGAGTACGACCAGGAAGTCCTCCACTCATTCGGGTTTCTCGGGCTCCCACCCAGACCGCTCGTGGATCCGGATATGAGTGTCCAAAGGGAGTTGGTCGACTCCGAGGCGAATCCGCGCGGCATGCTGCAGGACGACGAACAAAACATGCAGTTGGGCGTGCCGAAGTGCATCCCGGTCCAGACGGACAATACGACTTCGTGGAGCTCCCTGGTGGGCGATTTGGACCGAAAAGTGGATGAACTCGCGGTGGCGAGACGGGTGACGGAGAAAGCGACGTACTACGTGCGCAGCATGCAGTATCCCACGAAAAAAGTGTTACAGTTACACATTTGTTGGAGTTTCTGCGTCACAAATTTTCTCTGTGTGGCAGAGAAAACTTGTAATGCGAAGATCATCAGGGAAATCAGGAAGGAAACCAGGCTCCCAAGCATCTCCTGCATGAGAAAGGTTGTCTGTGTTGCCGGTCTTGCAGCACACTGTGTAACTGTAGCACTTTTTTCTTGCGATATGCAGACCTCGCAGTCGAAGAAAACGACGCACATGATGTACGTGCACCCATTGCACCAGGAGCCCGTGTATCCTGTGTAAAAAGGTCCCCACGTCGACCCCAGAGTTGTCATGCAGATTTGCAATGACAGGCTCGCTTGTAATGCGCTCTCCCATGACAGGCATTGCCAATCGTGTTTTGCCATTTGTAATGCTGCAAACAGGATCAGCAGACGGATTTGTGATGCGGATGTCCTTGCTGACATGCACTAATACACTGCGAACTGCAACTTGTCATGCGTGGCTCCCAAAACTTGCGGATTTGTGTTGTTAAGTGTCCAACTTCACTATGGGGTGGGCACGTTTTTACATATGATACCGTGCTGCGGGCCCTCGGCCGGCAAACCCGGCCGAAGGCGCTGCTGTTCGACCGGCCCGGGGGCTATCCGCGGAGAATTTTGAACTTGGAGGAGCTCGCGCGGTTTTTACTCGCGAAGTTTTCCACCGTGTTCGACTGGCACATCGTCGCGGGCCTGGAGCAGTTCAGCGGCGCGGACCAGATGCGGCTGTTCGCGCAGTCCTCGTTGGTTGTCGGCGCAGTGGGCACCAGCATGCACTTTCTGCTCGCGATGGAGGACGCGAGGAAGAGAAATTCCCAGGGGACCACGAAAAAGCATGAGAAAGACGAAGCTGTTGAAGGCAGTTCAGGTCATCGTCTTCTTTCATCGGACAGCAGCAGCATATTAAACAGGAACAAATCTAGTTCTTCTACTTCCACCTCGGTCGACCAAACGTACGACCGGTTTTTCGAACGCAATGCGCACCTGCACGAAAAGATCCGACCGACCGTCATTGAGTATGCCCCTTTGAAGTACAAGCCGCACGATTTAGAGCATTACGAGTGCACGGACAATTTTTTCCTTGACAAGTACGGGTGGGTAGGCGGCCAAGCGAGGCAGCAGCAAATCCGGCACATCTGCTTGCGTGCGCGAGCGCTGTTCGAGCACGACACGTTCGCGCGCCAGGACGCCTTTGGGTTTACGGTGGCCGCCGCGCGGTCGCAGTGGCGCGCGGCGCACTTGAAAGTTCTGAATTTCACACAGTTGGAGGAAATCATTGAAAATGTGGTTTTAGCAGATGTGGACGCGTCTGTGAAGAGGGAACTCAAGATCGGACAAGGATTGCTCGGCGATAGCGAAGAATTTGCTGCGGCCACCAGCAGCCTCAGTTCTTACTCATCAATCGGAGAAGTCGTGTGACAGGAACAGGACTGGGACTGCTCAGATTGTAAAAAACTGCCGCAGCATGCAGCTTCCTGATTCCTTGTCTTTCTTGCGTTTGTTGTTCCAGCGCCTACATTGAGAAATCGAAATGTGCTTTTTGATGAAATCATCTGTCGCAGAGTGTCGTCCTGATGAGGTTTTTGAAGTGTAAGTGCCCGCCGAGTTCTTTTTTTGGTATCGGTTTCGGTGCTGTGATTTCGTTGTGTGAATTCATCATGGAAATTAAGTATTGGTGATCCATGGAGACGAAAGCGAAAAGATCGAAATATGGTGATCGGTTCTTTGAAGAAAGAAAAAATTGAGTTCAGGGAGTTTTCTAAGGATTGGTTGAGATGATTGTCCCTTGACTCATGTCTGCGTTGTCAAATCCATTTGAAATTGAAAATCATTTTCCACAGTGAACGAAGAAGTGAAGTCTCGAAACGTGGAGACGAAGACAACAGGTACATGCAGTGAATAGAGTATACTTAGTTGTGTCACGACACAACATCACACTGCGTATTCTTCCGCCATTTGTGACTAGGTAGACGTTGATGTAGTTGACTATTCTTTCACGTAGAGCTGCTGCTTGACTGAGACGCAGATTATGGGACGATGGGGCGGACGCAAAGGCCGTGGCGGAGGAGGTGCGAAGAAAAATAATTTCAAGAATCACTCCCGCGGTCAACACGGGAACCAGAACCAGAAGGGCTCGGGCAAAAATAACAGCGCGGGGAGCAAGCGAACAAACCATCACCAACACCATGCGAGCAGTAATCAACATGGGTACAACAACTACGGGAAAAATAATAACTACAGGAAGTGGTACACGAACTCTCCTGGAGACGCCCAGTACGAAGTGCGGAGATTCGCGCTCGGGCTGCACGGTGACGAAAACCAGGAGGCGCCGGACCTCACCCCTCTTCAATGGAATTCGCCGGCTGAGTACGCGGAGGCGTTTGGTGGGGCCTTGTGCTGGGAGATTTCGGCTCTGGGAAGGAAAGTGTTCAGCGAACCGGGTGCGTCCTCTCCATCCGTGGACGTGAAATTGGTTAAGGATCCGCACAATGTGACCTCTCACTACAGAGGTAGCATCCAGGACGACTCCAGTGTGTTGCGCCTCTCCGTGCAGCTCGAACTCAGTACAGACGCGTACTGGAAGCTCTGGGAGCAGGTCGGACGGGGACGTGGGGTTGCGCCTCAGATAGGGCACGTACTGGACAGTGACTGCTTCTGCCGACTAGTCGTGCGCTGTGGGGTGGGAGAGGTACAGCTTTCCGGCTTCATCACGAAGTCGAACTGCGCGCGCCCGACTGATGGAACAGATGTGTCCGGTGCTGGAAAAGGCAAAGGCAAGGGAGCTGCAGGTCGTGGTGCTGGCCCTTCCTCGTCGTCGTCTATCGGGCCCCCGGTGGTCGGTGCCTCCAGCAGCAAAGCAAAAAGCATCGACTTGGAATTACTCGCGCGCGTTTTTCCGGAGGGCAAGGCAGTGCTGCAGCGAGAAGCTGCGGCCAGAAAAAACAAAGCGAACAACAAAACCTCCGCCGCCGAGGCAAGCAAACCTGCTGGGTTGTTCACGAAACGCGACGCAAATAATCCAAATAATGGGCAGTTCGTGCCGATCTGGTCTGCGGACGGCGCAGCGGGCGCTTGGGGCGAGGGGGACGTGGAAATGGCGACTGAGCAGGAACAAGAAGGCGATACCACCGAGGAAGAAGAGGATGACGAAACCCCGCCGGAGGAAGCTGAAGAGGGCGAGGCCGAGCCCCAATATCACTACCTGCCAGGCCCTGCGGAGCTTTCTGCGATTTTCCGTGCAGGTTCGCCGCAACTGCAGCTTTTGCCGAATAGCAGCGCAAAAAGCCACGTACGAGCGCGGTTAGCCTGTGATAAAGTTCAGAAGGCCACCGCCACAACTGGTTACCAAGTCGCGCAAGATCTGGCAATCACGCCTCTAGAAGACTCAACATCGGCGACTGGTGCCAACGCGAACTTTGATGATGAAGCTGCTGCTGCGCACGACGCGCAACTGAGACAAGACGTTGACGCGAAACAGATGGCAGCATGGGATGCCTCTGAGAAAGTGAAAGAGCTAGCAGCCATCAAACAAGAAGCGGAGAAGCAACTCGCGGAAATGCAGAATAAAACTCCGAACGAACAAGAGTTTCTCGCGGAGAATCCTGCGCCGGTATGGGCTACATTTCTTCAAATCCCTGAAGAAAGGATCATCCGTGAACAAATTGGAAATGTAAAGTGTGACTCTGGAAAGCACAGCACGCAGACCCGTGCCTGGGTGGTTCAGAACGATCGGACCTACATAGCGTGGTGCCGCGGCCGGCCTGATCAGAAAGATTGGATGAAGAAACTGCTGGCCTACGACGACCTGGCATCTGGCCGCAAACACTTGACCGCAGTGGTTCTGCTCGAGAAGCGGCAGGAGGCATTCAGCGAAGCGCAGAAGATATGGAAGGCAGAGCGTGCAGAAATGGCAGAAGCGCTGCGGGCCGAGGCGAAAACAGCTGTTCAAACTGCAGATGAGAATTTGAAAACCCAAAAGTGCGCCGAGGCTGAGGCCAAGCGCGCGTTGGATGCGGCCCAGGAGGCGCTGGAGGCGAGTGTGATTTCCCAAGATTTGAAGCGGAAGCGAGAAGACCTGCTAGCGCAGGCTGGTTTAAACGATTCGCAACTCGATGCGATTAGAACGGCGCTGCGGGGACCAGGTGTAACGACTGTGCAAGGTCCCCCGGGGACGGGGAAAACGCGGACAATCGCGACGCTGGCACAAGTATGCACCGTACGAATATGCTTTGGTCTGGAGAAACGGAGGCTTGAAACTTAGATCGTTGCTTTTTTTTTTGCCGCATGCTCGGTGTTTCTTCTTCTTCAGGAATCTGTGATGCATGATTTTTGATCACTGAAAGCAAAGCGCGACCCTGGTGTCGTGTGCAATTCAGACTTCGCTCGAGCGCTGTGCTGTAGATTGCGTTCCACCACCAGTACTTCATTTGTGGCTGAGTCTACCAGCAGTGCTGGCACAAATGAATTCAACGATACGACAAGCCTGCGTCTCTACAACTCCAAACCAGACGTTTTTGCATTGGATATCAAGTCCTGCTGGAAGCGGAACCAACCGCTGAGCCGACGCCACCATCCTCTTCACCGACCCAGGCCTCCGGACCTGGGCTGGTTTCGCCACGCCAAAAGCTCGATGCGGACGCTGACCGGCCCCCGGGAATCGGCCGCCTGGCGTCACAGAAAAGTTTCGCGCCGAGACGCGTAGTTTTTACTGCTTCCTCCAATAAAGCGGTTTTCAATATGCTGGAAAAAATCGCGGAAGAGCAGTCCCGCCTCCCGGACGATCTTCGCTGCCCCGGGACTATCGTGCTTGTGGGAGTGGAGGATAAGGTGCCGGATCACTTGCGTCCCTACTTCGTGCACACCCGGTTCGGCGACGTTTTCGAGAACACCGCTGGTGTGGAGGTGGAGGCGGTGCAGCGCCTCGTGCGGGACGCGCCGGACTTCTGCAGCAAGTGGGGTCTCACGGATGACGCCACCAAGTTGCAGACGCTGCGAAAGGACTTCGAAGTTGCGCGTGAGAAGCGCAAAGCGGAGCGGGAAAGGAGGCAGCAACTACAGGAAACAGACAAAGGCAACGCGGCTGGAAATTCGACCTTGAAAGCGCTCACACTACGGGAGTTTTTGCAGGGAACAAAAAAAGCACAACCAGATGATTCCACGCGGCTGCCGGAAAAGCTTGACCTGGAAGACGAGTTGCTTGGTGGCGCTAATTACATCTTTTCGACGCTCGCCTGCCTTGGGCGACCGAAGATTGCGGAAGCCATAGACGAGAAGAGCGCATGTTTGATCTCGCGAATGGTCAAGAAGGCGAACGCGTTTGCGTTGTCTGGTACCGAGAAGCGCGACGCAGAGGCCGCGAAAGACCTAGCGATTGTTGTGGACGAGGCGGCGCAGGCTACCGAGGCTGACACGTTCCTGGCGTTGTCGCTGAAGCCCAGCAGGCTTATCCTGGTCGGGGACCCGCAGCAGCTATCGGCGACGGTTATTCACTCTCGCGCTTTGGAGCAGCGGGGCTACGCGCGCAGCCTACAGGAGCGGATGCAGGCGCTAGCAGAGCAAGGACCTTGCTTCGGCAGCCGACGCCCGGAAGTCTGCTTTTTAGAGACCCAGTACCGAATGCACCCGGAGATCTCCGCGTTTCCGAACCTGCAATACTATGGTGGCCGCTTACAGGATGGGACGCAGCCGGACCAGGAAGCGCCGGGGCTGATGCGTGAGTTTTTCTCCGCTCGCCGGCGTCACGGGCTCTCCTCTGCAGCAAACGAACTGCTGGACAAGTGCGCCGGGCAAGGACAGCGCTACATCGTGGTCAACCACAGCGGCAATGAAGAGCACTACGGGGCGAGCTTCAGCGCGCAAAACCCCCGGGAGGCCGAGTTGGTAGCCCGAACCTGTTTCGCAATAACTCCGGCTGCGTCAGCGGAAAGCTGTGTAGCTCTTACGTTCTACCAGGCGCAGCGACGTTTGTTAGAAAACAAGTTGCAGCGGCTCGCCTCAGACGGTCGGTTTAGTAACAGAAGCGCAAAAGATAAAGACACCAGCCACAGCTCTGTTGTGCACACCGTTGACAGCTTTCAGGGAAGCGAGTCGGATGTCGTGCTGTTGAGTTTTGTGCGTAGCACCAGCAAAAGGACGTTTCTGGCGGAGCCCACGCGGTTGAATGTCGCACTAACGCGGGCGCGGGGTTTCGCCATAATTTTCGCCAACGTCGAAAAGCTCCTCGGGGAAAGACCAGGACAAATCGACAGCGGGAGAAGTCTCCTCGAGACACCAGGGGACGCTGACACCGCTAGTGCTGACCAGGAGAACCAGGTCCGTGCGGTGTTAGAGGATGCGAAGCGGCGTGGTTTGGTGGTGAGCGAAGCCGTTTGGGAGGAAGTTCTGAATGACAGACAGAACTATAATCGCTTTGACAGACACCAACACGCCGGAAGCCGCGACTTGTATTCGTCCTCCGGTGCACGAAGTTACAACAACATTTCGAACCATTCGCAGTATGCTGGAACAAGAGGACCATATCAACAAGACAATCTCACTCGGAGCACTTACAACTCTTCGAACAGCATCAGCAACAATACGGTTTCCAAAGCTCCGCAGCCAGCACACCACTACAACCAGCACCAGGTACTCCAATCCAAGGCAAGCGGCCGTATAATCGGCAATGGTCACCAGCAGCCAGCACCTTCTGCTCAATACCAGCAAGGAGCACCCACCCAGTACGGCTACGGTTTTGGCAACGTGGTCAATGCTGCTCCGCACGTGGGGTCGTCATCAAGTGCTTCTTCCAGCAGCGGTTGGCAGCCGGCGCGTGCTGGTCCTCCAACTTCATACACTGGCCCGCCGGCGGCAGTTGCGGGCGGAATGAATGCAGCTTCGTCCTCTTCTTCGTCCTCGCAACACGGGTTGTTCCAAAGCAGCTATCAGCATTCATTCAACCAACAGGTACAGGGCTACAACGCTGGTCGCACCTTCGGGCAACCACAAGTGCTGCAACAGGTCCACCAGCCGCAACAAAACAGCTCCTGCTTCGACAACCGACGCAGTCAGAGCTCCACTTTGTTTTCATCACACCAGATGATTAGCGACACTCACAGAAATAACGGGAGCCGCTACACGGATCTTCGTGATAGGACAGGGTATAATTCCTCAAGAGCGCCACCTGCAGGAAGTCATGACTTCCGGGACGGGCAGCGGAACAGGTCGCGCTCGCGCGGACGGGATCGTCAAGGTGAGCGCGGGTGGGAAGCCGATCGATACAGAAATCAGAGGAATTTTGACCACCACAGAGACGACCGCTGGCGAGGACGTTGAGGCCTCTGCTCGTCATATTCATGGAGTTGCGAGAGTGAGTTGATCGTGGAATTCGAGTGCTGCAAAATATAACGAGTCTCTAGTTTCTCGTTCATTTTCGCAGGTCCTCGAACTTTCACGGTCGTGATCCAACATTGATTTAACAAATAACGCGACAGGAGATTGATAAACATCATGAGCACGGATCCAGCTAGAGCCGTCATCAATCATGCTGGTCTCCAGAAGAGATGGGAAATAAAGTGAAGCGACTGCGAGAAGGCGCTACTTCTTCTGCTGCATGTAGTTCGACTCTCCGCCACGACGGAAGAGCATGAGTTGTACAAGATGTGTTCTCGTCTTTTGAAACGATCGTTTGTGGAATTGTCGCGCTATAGATCCTTTGGTACTGTCTTTGGTGCACGCAATGTTCGAGTCTTGGTGACGAAAAAGTATGAATCTTGTTTTGAATCGCTCCGAGTACACGGCTATCGTTCATGAACATTTCAAGACCTGACATCGTTTCTGCTGCAAAGTGTCGTGACTTGTATTTCGGATGCATCGATTCGTGAAGCGAGTGCCGAAAAATTTGAGTGTGAGCGCAAACATCGCGTTCTTTTTTTCGGCCGCAGCACTAGCACGGGCAGAGTCGTGTCGGAAAGACATCTATCAGAAAACGTTCTCCGTTTTTCAAAGCAGTAGCGATCTGCGACTTTGTTCGTTTTTCTTACGTGATGCAGCGTCGATGCAGTGCTGATTTTGATGCGTGGCGTTTTCTCGTTGCTCGCCTTTCGCTTTTAACAAGTTAGTGCGATGGATTGATACATACATCACCAGTTTGAGTATGGAAAAATGTAGCGGCACCATTAACTTCAAGATCATCTGATTCCAGACGACGACAACAGGACTGTGGCGTCATGGGAGGTGCTGGTGGACCGTATTCTCAATGGAACGCGAAGGCCGGCTATGGCACGAACACGAAGGGCAAAGGCGGTGGTAAAAAGGGCGGCGGAAAAAGCAGGATCAATCCGCAGAATAGCAGCGGTACTTCTGCCGGGACCGATGTTCAGACCGAAATTCGCAGGTTCGCGCTTGGCTTGCACGGCCCGGAGCATACTTTGGCGCCTTCCTTGGCGGCCCTCTCGTGGGACGATCCAGTAGTTTACGCCAGCACTTTCGGATTGGCGTTGTGCGTCGAACTCAGCGCCTTGGGGCGGAGGATTTTCAAGCAGGAAACGTCGGGTGCAGCGGAACCACTGGAAATCCAGCTTGACTCCACGAATTTGCCGGAGGTCTCTGCAGGCCTGTCTAAATGCCTCCCCGGGGCAACTGTGTTGCGCCTTCGCGCTTCGTGCTACCTAAACCGCGACACGTACGCCCGCCTCTGGGGCAAAGGCGCACACCCGCCCAAGATTGGGCACGTTCTAGACAGCGACTGTTTTTGCCGTCTCCAAGTGTGGTGTGGATACGAGCAGGTTACGGCACTCGAGTCCTTCATCATCTGGTCCGACGTGCACGCCCAGCAGCCTCTCGCGGACCCGGAAGATAAACCAAAAAGAGTCAGACTTGACCTCCTCGTGAAGATCCCGGCCGATGCAGGGGAGCTATTGCGGTGGTATAGTGGAGAAACCTGGCCGTTCGGTACAGGACACTCTTCGAGCCACGTTCTTGCAGATGTGTTGGAAACCTATGAATTCAGTTTGTACCTGGAACTCTTGCGGGACAGCAGTGCAAAACCGTACGTGCGGGCCCGGCAAGCTTGTGATCAAGTACAGAACTCGTGGCCTGCATCAAATCTCGCTAGGAAGTACCCGGTAGCACGCGACATCGCCGTAGCGACGGCGACCGGTGTGGATACTGGCGGACTGGACATCGCAAGGACATCAACAGCCGTGTCTGCCATCCCCGTACCTGAAAAAGCGCTCGCGCTTGCGTGTGGAAGTGCTGTAGATTCGATCGAAAGCAAGATCGCCAAGTCCATCGAAAAGATTGCTTCCCTGACGACATTCAAGAAGCAAGCCGAGGAAAGCCTCGCAAAGAAGCAAGAGGCGCTCGGAGCCGACAGGCTAGGTGGACAAGAGAGTACGGAGAGCGCGCTTGCCCGTGCTGCAGTCCGTGCAACTCTGCCAGAGCCGGTGCTGGCAAGTTTTGTGCAGGCGACCTCGGTAGAAAGCTGCGTAGTGGGGCCAAATACGTTAGTCGGTTTCGGTAAGTTCAAAGACTACATGATGCGGTCGGTGTGCGCAAGCACCGAGGGAAAAAGCTACATCGCGTGGTGTAAGGAGCAATCAAGCCCGGGCGGTCCGATGGAGAGGCTCCTTCACTACGAAAGCGTGCATTCTGGCCGCGACACGTGGGAGAACATTGCAAGCAAAATTGCGGAGGCCAAGTTTCACAACTCACACAAGGTTTGGAAAACGAACTTCAACAGGCGCTTTAACGAGACGCTGCAAGAAGTAGCGGGGATGACTAGTGACGAAAGAGCGAGGCAGCTGAGGCTACGCGCGTTTGTGCTGGAAGAAAGTGCTGTGAAACAAGCGGATTTCGCTCTGACCAAGGAGATGCGGCGTGAAGCGTTTTTGCAGAGGGCACGCGTTACAGCGCAGGAACTGCGACTGGCGTTTAGCAAAATGGAAGAACAGCAGGAGACGGTGTTGCAAATGTCCGGACTGAACGACTCGCAGCTGGAGGCCGTGCAAGCTGTCCTGCACCACACGGGAGCGACCATTTGTCAGGGACCGCCAGGCACGGGTAAAACTAGGACAATCGCCACAATGTCTGCGGCACTAGTTCGCGCAACGCCGACAGAAACTGAGCCGGCCGAGATCACAAGGCTTTTGAGGAACTTCGAGCAAGGTTTACAGAGCGGCTCGGAAGATCATCTACACGGAAGCCAATTTTTCGGTACGTTCAGCGCGAGCGCCACCAGCAGCGGCTCGGATCACGTAGAGAAAGAACTTCGGCGATGCACTGCGCACATGCGTCATACTCCAAGGAGGGTATTGTGCACGGCAGTAGCAAACAAAGCAGTGTTCAACATGCTGGAAAAAATCATCCAGCAGGAGGCAGATCTATCCCCCGAAGATCGCTGCCCCGGAACAATAGCCCTCCAGGGGGTCGAAGACGGTGTCCCGGCGCACCTGCTTCCGTACTTCATCCACCGCAGATACCGGGACGTTTTCCAGGCTCCGGTGGGTAGTGTGAATCTCCAGACACTGCGTGAGTTGGTCAATGATGCTCCTGCTTTCTGCAAAGCTTGGGGTGTGAACCTCAGCAATTTGAATGCGGTCTGGAATGAATTCGAAGCCAAGTCGCAGATTCGAAAGAACGAGCGAGCCGCGGCACAGAGGTGGAAGAAATGGGCGCAGATCCCACCTGAGCTCACGCTGGAGGACTTCCTTCGCAACGCAAAAAACACTGCGGATCCGGGAGAGGCAGGGTCGAGAGCAGACGGCGCTAAAAACAGTCGTGACCAACGTAGAAGCATCCGTGCGCGGCCGCTGCCACTGGAACTCGAGCACGAGCTTCTTGCCGGGGCTAGCTACATTTTTTCAACGCTTGCGTGCTGTGGGCGCAGGAGCCTCTCGGACGCGTTAAATGACACCAGTGTGCTGGTTTCTCGACTGCAGAAAAGACACGCTAGCGAAGATTCCGATTCGTCAGTGGAGCAGGGCAGTGTTGATGCTTCTTTCGCACAAGATCTGACAATCATCGTGGACGAAGCCGCGCAAGCCACTGAAGCGGATACATTCTTGGCCCTCGCCTTGCAGCCGAGCCGCCTCGTTCTTGTCGGGGACCCGAAGCAGCTAAGTGCGACAGTGATTCACAGCAACAGCCTGCGAAAGCGGGGATACGCGCGCAGCATGCAGGAACGCCTGCAGACCTTGGCCGCGCAGCCGAGCAGGGATCCGGCTGGCCAAGCAGAACATGGTTCGCCGCGGATGCACGCCCCGCGCGTGTGCTTCTTGGACACACAGTACCGGATGCATCCGGAAATCGCGAAGTTTCCGTGCAAGCAATACTACGATGGTAGGTTGAAGGACGGAACGCAAGCTGAAAACGAGGCGACCGGAGTAGCAAAGGTGTTCTTATCGTCCCGGCTTTCCCCCGCACATGCGCAGGACCTCTCTGTCGATGCACGGACATTGGTCGAAGCCTGTGCGCAAAATGGACAGCGCTATTTCGTAGTGTGCCACAGTGGGGAGGAAGGGCGGCAGGGCGGGAGCGCACAAAACTTCCACGAGGCCGACTTGGTCTTCCGGACGTTTTTGGCGTTGGCTGGGGATAAAACAGCGTGGCAGCAGACGGATCATCAAAGCGCAGCGACGTCGGCAGGAGCTACTGTGTCGACTTCTACTTCTTCCCATCCACGAAATCCATTTGCCGGAGGACAGCGTGAATCTTCGGCTGCAGTGTCGACGGAGCCAGATCGTAAGTGCGTGATCTTAAGTTTTTACCAAGGACAGCGACGATTACTTGATCAAATGTTTGCCGCGAGAACTACGACTCAGCCCAGCGGCAGAACCAACTTCATCAAGACAAATACCAGCAAGCAGGGCAGCGCCGCAGTCCATACGGTTGACAGCTTTCAAGGCAGCGAGGCCGAAGTAGTATTGCTGAGCTTCGTGCGCAGTACAAGCGAGCGGACCTTCCTGTCGGACGCCAACCGATTGAATGTTGCCCTCACACGGGCCAAGAAATTTGCGATCGTCTTCGCCAATGTCGAGAAGCTGTTGAACGAATCGGCGGAAAGCCACGGTGGTGATTCAACAGAGGACGCGGACTCGTCCGCACAACAGGCCAATCAGGTCCGCGCAATATTGACCGACGCGAAGAATCGCGGTCTGCTGGTCCAGGAGGCCGTTTGGGAGGAATTGCTAGGCAACAAGGGTCTGCAGCCTCTTGACAACAAGAATACCGCCGCGGTACTAGATGCCACATGTAGAAACACAGACCAGCAGCAAAGCGCGACGCGTGCTCCGATGGCACAGTTTTCCGGTGATAAAGGAGCGTCCTCTTCTTCTTGGCATGGGCCGTCGTCTTGGACGTGGCAAACTATGCACTGCAACAACTACAGCAACTATCACAACCATTCGAATTCTGGAACAGCCTACTTTGGCGCGGGCACTGGATGTGGTCCACCGACGGCGAGAGTTCCTACCGTTGCAACGCCTCTTGCTGCGCCTGGAGGCTGGAACTTGCCTGCAGCTTCATCTTCGTCGACTTCTGCTTCGTCGTCTTCTGCAGTGCAGTACCCGGCGGTCGGCATTTCGAACGGAAAGCAAGTCTTTTTTTCTAGCGAAGATGCAGGGTCGTGGGATTGGCCTTGGCCGGATGAGGACGAATGCCAGCATGATCTTCTCGGTGTCAGTGACTACGTTGACGGTTGTGACGACAAAGACGTTGGGCACTGCAACAATCACACGAGTGAAGAAAAGCAGAGCGATTTGGCACAGTCCAGTAAACAAAGAAATAATGATCTCGTTAACAATTACAATAGGAATAGACCGGCGTCACCATCCCGACCCCGGCGTCATGACGAAGGTCGCGACAACGCCCGCGAGCGACGGTCGCGCTCGAGGCGTCGCGATTCCCGGAACCGACAATCGCGCTCGAGGCGCCGCGACTCCCGGAACCGACGCAGAGACCGATCGCGATCGCGCAGCAGAAATCACAGGAATCGGAATGGGCGGCGGCGCGGCTCGTGGCGCTGATGCTGAATGGTTTGTCTACTTGAACGCGAAATCGCTATCGCACACGATTGTACTCTGCGGAGTCCTCAACTTCACTTGAAGAAAAAGTTCCCAAAATCGATTTCATTGCTCGGTCCCAGATTCCTTCGATATGAACTTATATTTTCCCTTCTTCCTGACCCTGAGCATGAGCTTGACAGAAGGAGTATACTACCTCACTGTCGATTTCCTTTGTGAGCTATAAATGTATGAACTGACGTATCATCTATCGATCTTGGCAAGAAAAATGGAAAATGTTTGTGGTGATCGCGTTTGCCTTTTGTTGACATGTTGGTGCAGATTTTGGCCATGTGTTCAAGCAAGCTGCTAAAACTAACAGGCAAGCTTTTTCTTGCTTGCAGGCGATAGACGCCGTGATCGAAAATCTACTTCCTTGGTCACGTGCGAGATAGCCTCGCTGATCTGTCCGCAACAACTCCAACGCCACCTCCAACAAGAAAAAGATCCTTTTCGATGCAATTTTTGGGTAGGTGGACTTTCTTTCTGTTTTAGGGAAAATCCCAGACGGGGAAGCATTTGTTATGGTGGATCGAATGAAAAACGAAACTACGGTACAAGTGTTTTGTCTTTATGCCCGAGTTCAAGTTTTTTGTTTCTTATAGTATTCTTCGCATCGAACTAGTTGTCCAAGAAATATACCTGACTTCCGAAGATGTTGCCTTTCACCGCCCCGGTCCTTCTTGGCGCGCTAGCGCTTACAATTACGCTGCTCATCGTGATTCCGCGCCTGTGCGCCGCGCGGTTCTACGACTTTTTGATAATCCGGATGACGCGCGTTTGGTACAAAGAGGTGCTTTCCCGAGTAAACGACGGCGATCACGTCTTGGACATCGGTGTTGGCACCGCCACGGCTCTGCTCCGGAACAAGGAACTATTGGAGAAAAAGAAACTGCAAGTTTTCGGTGTTGACTACGATCAAGCGTACATTGATTTGGGGAAACAGCAGCTCCTAGCGACGAAAACGTCGAACCAGGTGCAGCTCACCTGCAGATCGATTTACGACGTCGCGGGCGTTCTGTCGGACTTCGCAGCAAGTTCTGGTTGCAAGTCCGGGGACCAGCACGACTCAGGAACGAAGAAGAACACCGGTTCATCGATTGCGTCTTCCCCTGGGATGAATAAAAAGGTAATAATGAAAGACCAAGTAGACGCTAGCCCAGCACTTTCTTCGCCCTCAACCGCCGCTCCCGATGGCGAAACTTTGGAGCAAGACTACGATGAATACAAAAACAAGTTCGACGCGGCTTATTTCAGCGGCAGCTTCACCCTGCTTCCGGACCCGGTGGCGGCGTTGCATTTGGCGAGAGACGCTTTCGTGAAGAAAAACGGGAGGATTTTCATCACGCAAACGTTTCAAAAGCAGCGTTCGCCGATGACCGCTTTGTTAAAACCCTTGTTGAAGTACGTGACGACCATTGATTTCGGGACTTTGACGTACGAGTCCGATTTGGAAAACATTTTGGAGAAAGCCGGATTGCCAATTCTGTACAATGAGCCAATCCCGAACTCGATCGACACGCGGTTTCAAGTCGCAAAAATCATCTGTCTCGACTGCGGAGATAGAACGGGGAAAGGGGCGGGTGCGGCGAGGGGGTAGTCGTGAACTACGTGTTTTGGCTTGATGGTTGGCAGCGTCTGTGTGAGAGGTGCTCCTTGCTGGTGCACCTCGTCGCTTGTTTTATTATAGCGAAACGGAGAGGGAAAACGAAAATAAAAATTGGAAGAAGCGAAAACAAGCAACGGCTTAGCGATCTTTGAAAAGCAAACGAATGGGAAACATGGAGCATGATACTTGCATTGCTGTCTGTCGTGCACAAGAGGCCGCAATTTTTGATGTTCCTTCGATGCAAAAGTCGAAAATTTTGTATCAGCTAACGCAATAATTGAAAGTGATCACGCAGTGAATTTTTGCGCCGTACTAGAAGTACTCCCCCAAGAACGACCTGCGAAATCCACAGCGCTTCGAAAATAATTGACAGAAGACCGAAACCCGTTTTGAGCTCTGATTCGATCGTAAGAAAACCACAATCGAAAAAGTCCTCGTCAACGCCCTGCACCTCTTTCTTGCAAAACTCGACTTCATTTGAAATTGTATAATCAAATTACTGAACAAGCTGATCATTATCGACAGGTACGCATCGCGTCACCCCTCGCTTTTCAATTTTCATACAAACATGATTATGATCTCCTCCCCAGCAGCTTCATCATGTTTCGCACTTCGACAGACTGAGCTACGGATCTGTGAATTCTCTCGAAAGTTCCATATCTTTCAACAAAGAAGGAGTTTTTTCTTGTTTCACTTGTAACCAACACAACATCAAGTTTTGGCCTACTGAATTCTTTTCGCCTTGCAGACGTGAACCAAGAACCATGTCGGCCAAGCAGAAAGAGGCCCTGGCGCGCCTTTATGCGAAGCAGCAGAAGAAGCCCGCGGGCGACATTGCTCCTGCCGCGCCCGCTGCATCCGAACCTCCCAGCGTGGGTGCCGGACCCGCACCCTCCAGCGCCGATCCCTTCAACCCGGACAACAAGGATAAATGGCAGCATGATGGGTACCAGAATCAGCAGAAAGGGTACTGGAACGGCAACAAGGGCAAGGGCAAGAACGGGAAGGACGACCGCGAGAACCCCAGCAGCTTTTTCTGGCGGTACTACGACCCGGACTGCGGCATGGCCAAGGCGGAGTGGGAGCGTGAGCGCAAGCGGAAGCGGCAGGAGCGCCAGGCCATGGAGTACCTCGCGCAGGCCGAGACTATGGGCAGTCTGGAGCCGAAGGCGGTGTTATGGAGAAAAAAAAGTTTGTCAGAGTTACTAACTTGCAGGCTTTGCATTACAAATTTTCTCAGCATCACAAACTTTCCTTGTATTGCAGAAACACTAGGGAAATCCCTCATGAAGTTTGGCTGTGATGCATTTTTACGCATGACAAACAATTTTGTATTGCAAGAATGCGCATGAGTGATCGTGACGAACTTTTTTTCTTCGATAGGTGTCCGATGAGGACTACTGGGCGGCGATCTTCGCCCGGGAGGAGCGTGAGATCAAGATGAAGAGCATCGACGGGTATCAACCGCAAATATGTCTGAGTCTGGAAAGATGCAAGGTTTGTCATGCTCTACCAGCATGATTCTCAGGTTTGTCATGCAGATCACCCAAATGCTCAATTTTTCTGTCATGCAGAGCCCCAGTTTCTCATGCAGAATAGACAACACCGCAGAAACATGAACATCTCCAAAACTTGTCATGCTTGGCAGCCAATTGAGGCGTGCTCCTCGTTGTCCAACCACCATCACAAGTTTCCAGACCCAGACATATTTGCAATGCATAACGGGAACCTGATCTACGGGAAGATTGTGAAGCGCAAGGAGATGTACGACACGACGGTGGAGTTGCAGTTTGACTACGACAAAAACGCGAAGTTCAAAAAGAAGACGCGGACCGAGGACCACGATATGCAGCAGCAGCGGAGCAAGATCGAGCTGCCGCAACGGATGCAGCAGTCAGAATTTCTCGGCTGGGGGCGGTCGTCGAACCGGGCGAAGGGCGACTGGGACCACTTGAGCAAGGACAAGATGAAGGGCGCCATGAACCGGGATCGCGACGACGACAGTCCGCGGTTCGGGAAATCCAAGGGCAAGGGAAAGCGCGGCGGTTCGCGGTCTCGGTCCCGCGGACGTGGCGACGGAAAGGGAGGCTCGTCCTACGGTGGCGGCGCGTCCTCGTCTTCGCGACCCTGGGGCGGGGATAGTAACAATTACCGGGGGCGGGGAGACCACTACAACGCGGGTCCCTGGGACGATCGCAAGGGCGGCAAGGGGAAAGGCGGGTACGGCGACGGTGGCAAGGGGGACAGTAGTTCTTACAGCCGGCCTGCGACAAATCACGACAACGCGCTCGAGAGCCACATGGGCGAAATCACACTAGACGATCTGTGATGAAGTTTGATAGAGTTTTCTCATTTCTTATTTGAGCGAAACACAAAGCGTTTGTAGCGCGACGAAGGAACAATGCGAATGGCGACAAACGAAGTCCTTACCAACCTCTGCGACAATAGAATTCTTGGGCTTGTCGCCACGGAAGAAAAACCTGTTTTGAAGAAGTTTATCCTTGACGAAGCGGTGTCGACAAAGAAGACCCTTCTAGTGCGTATCCTAACGCAAAGTGAATCTTTGATATTACCTCATTTTGAGAAAACCCTTTAACTAAGGCCCAACCGAACTGCGTTCGCCCTTCTTTGCGTAAGAATCAATTTTTTATGGTGAAACAACTGTTGAATTGTAGTGCCGTTATTTGATTTCTCGTTCTCCATGTCGAAGGCTTTCCGTTTCCGTGGTCATTCCGCTTCGTTTCCGAGTGGAGAGTGAAGAAGAGTGTCAAACAATTTCCTTCTGGCAAGGTGGTTGCACTGATGTTGATGATGTGTCGTCGAAGCAACAAAAGTCTTCTTCCTGAGTGTGACAAACGACGTGCTTCTAGGTTCGGAATGATCTGTTGGAAATTAATTCTTTCGATTTGTTCTTGTTGTTTCAAAGCAAAGCTACACCTCCTAAACACTGTCGCTGAACCACGGCACTTTATATGAACGAAATAGAGTATCCTGCCCTGGCCCTGCCCAAAAATGCCGGTGGCCGCGAGCTCTACGATCTGTAAGCTTGACGTCTCCTCCCAGGCTGTGATCGACCGGTCGGACTCCGATCCGCGGACGATATGCGGCGACAAGACGACGAAGAAGCTGAAGCACCTGCACAGTGGCTCGCTTCGCCCGGACCTGGGGCCGTACTTCAAATGCCAGCGGGAGTTGTACGACAGTGGAAAAGTCGCGCTGAACGTCGAGGAGGACGGCAGCGCGTTCGCGTACTACCCGAACGGCAAGCGGGCGATCTGCGTGTCGCAGGCGCAGAAGGCGCGACGCTTCTCCGCGATGTTCTTCGGGAACGAGCAGGGCAGTCCGTGGCTCGGATCCATCAACGAGTGGGGTTTGGGCAAGATCGAGAGTGCGGCAGACGAGGGTGGGAGCATCTACCGATTCGTTTCGACCCGCGACGCCGTCTCGGTCACAAAGAAGTCCGCGGAAACCGGAGCCGTTTTGTCCACCGAATCGGTTCCGTGGGCGACCGCGGTGGATGACAGCAGCTTCCAACGGATCCAGATGCCCGTGGCGGCGTCCTCCACGGGCTCCATCACGCTCCGCGTCTGTTTCAACCGGTTCGCGAAGCACAAGGCCGAGACCAGCCGCGGGCCGGGCCGCACCGGCGTGCTCGGCAGCCAGCCGCAGACCACGGGCGTCATTCTGGCGGATTTCCGGGCGGAGAAGGTGAAGCACACGTTTGTGCTCGGGATCGTGCCGCCGTCATTGTTCGACCCATCTAACGCCGGGCTGGCGCTTTTGCAGATAAAAACGATGCGGCACAGCGACCCACAGCAGCACGCCGAGGACGTGCGGTTAGAAACCGCGGGGATTCTGGAAAGAACCTCCGCGGCTTTGAGCCGTGCGCAGTCGGATTTGACGACGGCTCTGCCCGGATCCCCCGCCAAGAAGATGTCAACTAGTACCAGAGGCGGTGGATCCTCGTCCAGCTCCGCGCTGCACCATCAGACGGTGAATGTGGACCCGGTGACGGGCAGACACCTGTTCGGCACGATCAAGGATAAGTTTGCGGCCGTGACGGGAGCCGCGCCGGTCACAGACCTTGACGGCACATTTGAGAACCTCACGTTGAAATTGACGAAAAACCGGGTGGAGTACAACGTAGAGCGAGAGTTGGCGCAAAAGGTGGCGAAGGCAAACCCGACCTTTCCACGACTCGCCGGGTCGATGACGAACGAGACCACCGGGGAGTCGGCGAAAATTGGGATCAAATACTTGAGTGGAAAGCTCATGCTCGGAGGGGAGTCCAAGTTGAAAGCCAGCAAAGGGATTGACGATGGGGTAGGTGGTCCTACCTTTGTGATAAAATGTTTCTCTTCGACGGTTGAACAATTATGAGCATAACGCACATCGACGATGTTGAGGTTTGGGAGAGCGAGAAATTTGATTTTTCCACGTAACATCGTATACACAGCACAACCGCTGGTTCTATCCCAAGACGGTGCAGACGCTCAGCCACGACGAAATGGAAGACGCTTTGACGCGAAGTAAGGCCAAAATGTTTGTCGTGTGTTTTCACGCACCGTGGGATCCCCAGTCGAAGCACGCGGAGAAGCTGATGCAGGTGGCCTGTGCCTGCGCGAAGAAATTTGAGAAAAGCATCGACTTCGCAATGGTAGACATGGCGGAAAGGGGGGCGCTGATCTCCGACCGAAGGTGCTTACTTGGCAGTCACTTTTAGAAGTGTGGAATTATGCAGCGATGTTGATGTACTAGAGACAGCACAGGAAATGCGAATGCCAGTGTAACGACCGCGTTTGGTTTTTTCGTCCATCATCATTCACCACTTATACACTTTTATCTTTCATATTCATTTCTATTCACATCAAATCCATCGATGTCCACATCAGGTTCGTCAACGAGCTCGCGCACAAGTACTCCGTATCCTGATTAAAAACGTCCCCACACCAGAGTCAAGATGGGGATTTTGCAACACAAACCTAGGAGCTTTGGGAGTCACGCATGACAAGTTTCAGTCCGTAAGGTAGTGCAGGTTAGCAAGGAAAGCCGCATCACAAATCGATCTGCTGATCCTGTTTACAGCATTACAAGTTCCCAAACACGATTGGAAATGCCTGTCGTGGGGTTGCGCATCACAAATGTTCCTGTCATGGCAAATCTGCATGACAACTCTGGTGGTCATGGTACAATGGGGGGGAAAGTGTGTCGCATTTTGTTTAGCATGACAACTCTGGTGTGGGGACGTTTTTACTCAGGATACTCCGTAACTGCCACGCCGTGGCTTCTGGTCTTCAGCAAGGGCGTCCTCATGGTCTCCAAGAAGATGACGGGTTTTGTCGAGCGCTTGCGGTTCGAGACCTTTGCCAAGCCACGCGCGCTGCTGGTAGAAATCCCCGGCACGGTCGTCGGCGAGCGCGGCTTTCCCTACGGACCCGAAAACCAGCGGCGCAGCAAGAACGCGCTCGTGCGCGCACAAGTGGACGCGGACCACGCACTCAGCGGAAAGGACGCGATGCTCTTGGCGGGACGCATGACGCCACCCTATGGACTCGTGTTCGCGAGCAGCGAAGTAGGATGTCGTTTTTTTTTTGGGCACCTGAATGATTGAATAGATAATTTTATTCTCTGTTTTTGAAGAACACGTCGAAATAGTAGCACTAGGCACCGACGACCACATCTTCCCACACGACTCAACCAAGGTGCCTTACTCCGAGCTGGAGGGCATTCGCGGCATGGTGATGCGGCGCAACCCGGGCTGCCTGTTTTTCCTAATTCACCATGACAAAAAGCACATCGTCTGTCCGGAGACCCAGCACCGACTGCTCGACAACCCGGCGGGTGTGGATTACGTATTCCGCCGCCCGCTGGCCACGAGCCGCATTCAGTCCGTGCTGGCAGAGCTCACGCACACCGAGTTCGCCCTTGCGGGGGAGAGCGGACACCAGTTCTGGGATTACTTAAAGCAGCTGCTGGAGCTGAAAACGTAGGTTTTGAGAAACTACTGGATCAGGGAGCAACTGTCAGGAGGAAAGAGGCTACCTCGGTCGAGGGCCAGCCTGACTGCTCAAAGGCCCGAGCCGGACAGGCAGGCCTGACGCAGGAGGACACTGCTGCGAGGGCGAAGAAGTGAGACGCTCCAGGTGCGTGCGTGCGCGCGTGCGTGCATTCATGTGGAAAGAAGCGCAGCGGCGGCGGCAAACTCAATTCCTGAAAAGACCAAATGCAATCGTGGGCAGATCTGCTGCTGCGCCTCCTCTGCTGCACAGACAACATTTTCCCACTGCAGTGTTCACAAAAAGCGCTCAATTGCAGGTACTAAGTAGCGACCTGTTCCGAAAAAGATGTGCAAATGTTATGAGGGAGCTCTAGTAAAATCAACTGCCCCTGTCCACAAAAGGGCTCTCGGCCCACTTCTTTGCGTTGCTCGTGAAATATCCAGAGAGAAGTCATCTCGCCCTCCGGAGGCGCTCACTGTGCTTTCCACCTATGACATTGGGCAGCTTCATGTGCTTAAGTACTTCATTTGGAATTTTCTTCCTTCAGGAAATGGCAGTCAATCCAATATGTCTTTCGATCTGGGTCGTTGTTGAGTGCGGTAAACAAAAACGGAAGTCGTTCTAGTTTTGCGCCTAACAAGTCAAAGTCGTTGTATCGGAGACTCGCACACTACACACCATTCGCATTCCATCGGGGTCGTGCGTGAGCGGCAGGTCGTGACGCTCAGACCGCTAATATTCGGAAGTAGTTTTCGTTGACGAATCTCTGGGTGTAGTTAGTTGCATGTAAATTAACACATTTTGGAACGTCCCGTCGTGCAACAAATCCACATGCTTGTAAAGGGTGTGGAAACTGCATTGGCTTCATCAAATCATTTCGTTACCGGATATTCGTTTGGATAGTAACTCGCAGATCATAAGATGCGACCAATGTGCTGAACTTGTACAAGGACGTATCATGTGAAGACTCGCTCGACTAAGACGAAGAAACGAAAAGCAAACAAGAAGCGCTACGTATGATAGTAAGTAAGTAAGTAAGTGGAAGAAGCTAAAGCTTGAAAACAAGGCTTTCTTTTTTCTTCGGATATCGATGTTGTAGTGCTAGTGGAACTCCAGGAAGGAGAATAGTTCATACTGTCAACTACAGAAATTTTGGCAGCGTTTTTCATCGTATCCATCGAAGGAAGATGCGCAACAGGAAGATGCGCAGCAGAATGCTGTCGAAGTTCCTTCTTCTTCCGTCTTGGCCAGCATGTTGGTCGTGGTATTCATCCGCTCCAAGAACTTCGGCACTTGTTGGCTTACTCGTTGGCGTCGCCTCTTCTGCTAATACCGGATCAGAAGATGGGAAAGGCGGGACCACTGACCGTGACGACACGCCACCCGATCTTTTCAACCACGGACCGCAGCAGTCAGAGTACAAGTACAATTGCATTTTGTCTGCTTTCGAGGACGTATTTGGTATTATTTGCATTTGCTCCGTTTTTTTGCATTTGCATTGATCTTTCAATAAAAAAAAGTCCGCCAAGGCCAACGGCACGGTGCATGACGAGATCGCAAAAAAACAACGTTTTATTCTCCAGCCATCGCTCCGAACAACCGGAGGACTCGTACGCCAATCAGCAGCTTCTGGCCACTCGTATGCTTGGTCCACGCACGGCACGCGGTAGCAAAATGAGCGAAAGTAGGCACGAGGAGCAGGACAAAAGCGGGCTTCTAGAAGAAGCTGCTTCGTACTTCTCGGCCAACGGCAAAGATTTTCTTCAGATCGGCAGGAGCGGCGACAATCAGAACGACGCGCCGCCTTTTGCCTCCCGTTCCGGAACGCCGCCGCGCGGGGCCCTGGCTGACAGCGCATCCGATGAACACCTCAAACAGGGAGAATCCGGAGCGATGATGGTTGCCGGGACGAGTGGTGCGCAGTCTGATTCTCCAGGTCGTGGAGGCGAAGTCGAGCTTTCCGTGCAGCAGCAGCTGGCCGAGCTGCGGGCGACCGTGGCGGCGCTAGCAAAGGAAAACGCAGAGTTACGCAACCATGTCAGAAAAGAAGTGACCGCCATCCGGTTGCAGGTCGAGCAGGGATTCGAGGGCGTGCGCGACTTGCTGGCGTGGTTGGAAGTAGTACTCGGGGGCGTGGTCAGCTACATACTGTGCAGCTTTCGGATGAAGTACACCTACACCGTATCCTGAACAAAAACGTCCCCACCCCAGAGTTGTCATGGTGCAAATGCGCAACGATAGAAATGGAGCATTTGTCTTGCGCAGTTGCATGAGACGCATTTCCAGTTGTGTTTTGATATTTATAATCCTGTAAACAGGATGGATGAGAAAATGGCTTTCTCATGCGGCTTTCCTTGCCAACCAGCACTACACTGCAGAGGGAAACTTGTCATGCGCAGCTCCCAAAAGCAAAACTTGGAGACTTGTTTTGTGTTACTAGATTCCCACGTTGACTAAGGGGTGGGGACGTTTTTACACAGGACACACCGCGGTTTTCCTCTGCTGCGGGTATGTCGCAGTGCTGGTCGGCCTCGTGCTCCCCACTCGCCTCGTTTTCTTTCCGCTAGAGTACGTGGAAGAAAGCAACGAAGGCCCGGAAGATGCGCCCGGACGAGAAGCGGACGACAGCAACGGGGCGGAAGCGTCGCGGCTACGGGACGAAAAGGGGCGGGGGGCGATGGGCGAGGAGGCGGAAACGAAGTTGCTGCTTCCCTGGAATTTCGCCTACATGGGGACCCTCTCTTCCGTCACGCAGCAGCAGGCAAGCGGAGAAGGCAAAATCTTTACCGCCTGTATGGTCATTAACGAGGTCTGCGTGCTGCTGTCCTGCTACACTTCGGTCCTGTACGATAGACCGGACACGGGCGGGTGGGGTACCAGCGGGACCGAGTACCTCAATGTTCCGGCAATTGAGGCGGATACCGTTGGGAACCATGCGCTTCGCGCCACGTGGCTGATTCTGCCGCGCGTCCTGATGTTGCTGACCGCGACAATCCCGTCGGCGAGTTTTGAGGACGAGGAGGAGGAAGGTCCCGGGCATGCGGATGAGCGCATGTCCGAAGCCGAACGCCTCACGCACATGCACGCGAATCGTGGACGGAAATACATGCTGCAGATTCATCGAGCAGTTTATCCTCACAGAAAAATACAACTAGCGTGCTGCCAGAAATGTAAAGGAGCAAAGCCAATTCCTAACACTACGCGTACACATAAAAAGAACCTGTCAGGAGCGAGCCTATGGCCCGGTGCTTCGGATGTGCAAGTAGCGATGTTCTTTTTTATTTGTGGTGTGCAGCTGTAATCTAAATTTTGTTATTTTTGCATTTGCTGATGCTGTTGCGTTAGGAATATCTATGACATGCTAGGTGTTTCTTTTCCCTCTCATACGATGCTCCTCGCGATGGCGTTGCTCTTGTTCTTCGAAACGCGGCAGCTTGTATGGTGCGAAAAGGTGAGCATTCCACAGGTGCTGTTTGCTTGTACGCCGCTACCTGGTGAGTCCGGTACCGGGTTGGTGCATGAACATGACAGAATCCGGGACAGCCGGTGGCTGTACTTCCCCCGCGCCCTCAGCCTGGTTCTCGGATGGGTGTTCTGCGTCGTTTTTGCGGTTTTGGCGAACGTGTTGCAGCATTCGGATGCTCGGCAGAGAGGTGCGGCGGCCGGTGGCCGGCTGATGCCGAAATCCACCAGTCTGTTATTGCCGCGGTCCGTCTACGTCACGGAAGTGTTGGCCATGCTAACAGTTTACGGCCTACCGTTTTGGCCGATGCTGCTCGCTGCTCTAGAAGATGAGGCACAAGATGGATTGGGATTGCAAGCTGGCGGCATCGGGAAAGACCCGCTCGGTTCGATCGGAGACAATGTAAACAGATTGTGGGACATGACCTTTTATTGGACGCCAAGCTGCGGTACGCATGCGGACTTGCTCCAGAAATTTTACAACAGCACCGCCCCGCCATGCGATCCTGACAAAAGCTGGTGGGACCTAGACTGGGAAAGCGGTCATGACCCAGCGTGGCATGCGCGGTTTAAGGCACGCTTAGGTTTCGAGTAGCGCCAGGCCGCTCGGCGTTTCTTCGTTTCTTTAGCACCGCGCAAAGAAAAAAAACTGCAGGCTGCAATGAACAGATGAGGATTAACAACTCACTTCCTCCACTAAAGTGAAATGACATGTATTTCTCCTCTGCGTCTGTCATTGATTTCGCAATAAGCGACGTGTGGCGAGCAGGCGATGGTTCTTATTCCTACAGGCACTCTAATCGAAGTAGAGCACCATTGCTGATGTGCCTCCGCCTTCTGGTCCGGAACCTAATGTGCTTCCTGGTCGAGTTGTCGTCCAGGAGTTGTAATTGAATTGTTTTGGATCCACAGTACGGTGGCTGAGGCTGAGGGGAAGAGCGAATGAGTGTCCTTGAGAGTGTGCAAACGTGCTGGTTGAGTGATTCCCTCAAATAAAGTGCCTGCTCACAACCTACAAACTCCGCCTGCTTGCGCAGTCTCTAAAAGAAAGGAGGCATTTTTTCGAAAACTATTGCAATCGTTGACTGAGTCATCTGGGCTAGCACGACAAAAGCTTTTTGCCGGATCTACGAACTCATTTTTGCGTAGAGATGTATCTATCAGGAGAGTTGTGAGGTACATACTAGCAGCTCCCCAGACACTTCTCCTTGCAGAGGACACTACGCCACATAAAATCTACTCGACGTCGACTCAGACCAGGGGACGTCTCTTGCGAAGCGGGGGAGTGGAATCGACAAGAAAAGACAGCAACAAGAACGACAAAAACCAGTCGTGCAGTGAAACAAAATGAAGGCCCACGAAGAGATCGACATGGCGGAGCAGGAGGAGAAGCAGAGTTTGCTTCGCACCCCAGGAGGCGCCAGCACGAACGCCGACGGGGTGAGCCAGTCGAACCAGTCTAGCGTGTTGCTCATTGACGAACACTATCAAATGCAAAAATGTCTGGGTCTGGAAGAGTGCATGTTTGTCATGCTTGTGTGGCATGATTCTCAAATCTGTCATGCACGTTACCCAAGAGCGCCATTTTTCTGTCATGCAGAAACGCAGTTTGTCATGCAGAATAGGCAACACCTAGAAGCTCAGAAACTTGTCATGCTGAGCCAGCACTTGTGGCCTCCTCATGATAAGCCACGCAGCATCACAAGTTTCCAGACCCAGACATTTTTACATTTGATAAACCCCCCCACGAGGGCACTGCTAGTGGGAGCCCGGTCGACGTAGACAAGTATTCCATTGTCGGGACGGCCAGGCGGCGCACGTCGTCAGAGCTCATTGCCTTCACCATGTTCAATTTCCCGTTCGGAGCGGTGCTGGGCTGCAGTGTCACGTTGCTCTCGCTGGAATCCGAAAAGCTCGCGCCGGAGAATAGCAGTGTATATATCATAAAGTCGGCTATTGAAGATTATACTTACCCATGCTACCCTGGCTAGTGAACCCAGTATCTTGAAGATCGTCTCATTACCTCTAGTTTCTTTCCCATTCGATCCAATGCCAGTTAAATTTATCGTATGTACATCAAAACAGTTGATGCTCGGGCTTTTCTGCATCATGGCCGGTCTGGCGCAGTTGGTGTGCCTATGAAATGCAAATATGTCTGGGTCTGGAAGAACAATGCAAGATTTGTGATGCAGGTTTTCCATGACCCATGAGGTCTGGAATGCGAGACCCAGCATGACAGATTGTTTGAGGTCTCTATCATGCCTTTCCTGCACGAGAGACGCCCTCTCAACGTGGTCAAAAGCGGACAGCTTTTGGTACTGACGCAACACAGATTTTTGCATCATTCAGATTTAGCATGACAAGTTCTAATCTTCCAGACCCAGACATTTTTCCATTTGATAGTGCCCCCCACTCGGCAAACTGTCGGATCGGTGCCGCTCGGTGTACGGGAAGCGCCGCCCCTACATGACGATGTTCTATCAACTGCGAAGATAATGTCTGGGTCTGGAACAAGCTTGCCAGACAGAGATTTGTAATGCTGAATCCGAATTAAAGTGCAGTCATGTCATGGAATTGGAAAAATGACACTGCCTGTGTTTGTCACGCAAAAACGGGATAATTTTGCGTGCGGGTTCTTGCTGGGGTAGTAGTGCACTACGCAACCGCTCAGAACAAGTTTCTCATGCGTGGCTGCATACTGTTACTGGAGCAGTTAGCTTGTCACCCATATGCAAGTGGCCTCACAACTTTCCGGACACAGACATGTGATTTGCACTGCATTATCAAGAGGAAAAATCCCCCCTCCCCACACCGAAAAGGTATGTTTCCGAAAATTTGTGTTGCTGATTTGAGGTCACAAATCACATTTGTCTTGCAAGAAGACAAAGGCAGATGCTTCCGCCCCATTATGGAAGCGATTTGTCATGCTGTTGCGCCTAAAGGGGAGCCGTTTGCCATGCTGAGCAACTAGACCCATACGCCCCTACCTACCCTGGGGATCTGGCCGCAGTGCCTCTCCAGCAAGACAAACCTGATTTGTGTACACAAATCCAGCATCAGAAATTCCGTTTTGATATGGGGAGGGGGGATTTTTCCTTTCGATATGCATATGCTCACCTTTCCAACGATCTTCGCGTTCTTCCTGATGTGGCACTGCTCGCTGGAGAAGAATCTGGTCGGGTATGTCCTTTCGCTTCTTCTGATGATGATCTGCATCTCCGCGGCGCAGACCGCCTCCCTCGGCATCATTGCGGACCTGGTCTCTCCGGAGCAGCGCGGCGAGGCCAGCGGGTACAGTGGCGCCAGCTGGCTCTTCGGCGCACTCGCCGGGAACTTCTTATCTTGCGTAAAAACGTACGTCCACACCCCCGAGTCAGGATGGCGATTTTGCTACAAGCTTTTGCTGTTGCGCATGACCACGCGCAGTCTGTGAAGCATGACAAATCATCAAATAGCATCAGAAAATGCGGCTGCGCATGAGAAGCATTTTTTTGCATGCCACTTTGCACTACAAGTCTGTCTGGAGTGGGGCCACGTTTTTACACATGATACTTCTGTCTGCAGTCCGTGGCCTACGTGGATTTCCGGCTACTGTACGGGGTGATGGCGGTATCCCACGAAAAAACTGTTTCACTGTGATGATTTTGCAAGATTTGCATCACAAGTTTGTTAGAGCGGGGTAACAAACTCCAAAAGAGTAGTTGCAGGCCAACTTCTCATCCACCCGGCCGGGTGGATGAGAAGTTGGCCTGGATGGCCTGTCCGCGTCGCCACTCCATATGGCTCCGCCCCGCCGTTCGTTCCCCCAGATCCCGGATCCCCCAGAGCGTTCGTCTATCTGCAAACACAAATCTTCACTCTCCACCCAGAAAACACTCCCACCACCCCATGAGTTTACATATACAGTTTCTATGAAATGCAATACAGAAGATGCAACTTTCTCTATATATATAATGCAGCTTCAAACTCAAATCTCTATATTGAAAATCTGCACGCGCACGTGCAAGAGTGCAGGGCTGGCGTTTTCTGGTGGTTGGTGGTTGCGAGTATGTGCAGAAGAGAGGCGAGTATGTGCAGAGGAGTGGCTGGTGGTTCCGAGCAGTCGAGTGCGGTTTGGTTGCGAGATAAACCGTGGCACCGCGTGGCGAGATAAACCGTGGCTACGACATACGCGTGGCGAGCCCGTGGCTGGTCGGTTCGGAGCCCGTGGGTGGCTTACTTGGTTGCGACATCAGCCCGTCGCTAGTCGTCTCGTTGGTCGGTTGCGACATAAACCAGACTCGCAACCCGGAGGGCAAGTCGCAACCTACCGCTGTAGAAGAAGCGCCGCCTCTATCTCTGAAGAAGCCGATGGACATCCAGCAGGCTATTGGAGTAGACCGCCCGCTTCTGTCTCTGTCCAAATACGGGGCCCCGAAAGAACAAGCATGGGGGGACAGACGGCAGCACACTGCTGCTGTCGAGGGTGGTCGAGTCTCGGCTGGTACTTAGAGATCCGCTATCGCGCTCCGTGGTGGTTTATTCATTTCTGTCCTTTTTATTCTCGTACTGCTTCCAGAAACAGGAGCGCGCTCTCCTTCTCCTGAGTGCCACAAGCAAAAGCCTTGCACTTAGGCTTCTCGAATCACGACGGCACGGCGTGCCCTGGTTTATGTCGCAACCGACCAACGAGGCGACGGGTAACCAAGTTTATGTCGCAACCCACCAGGTAAGGTAGTCCAACCACGCCACAGTTTATCTCGCCGCCAAGGAAACCCGGATCTCGCAACCAAAAACCAAACCACCACCAAAAAAGCGCCAGCCTTCAAGGTGTGCTTGAAGCTCTTCCGTACTCACTCGATACATTCGCGACCACCAACCACCACACTGTATACTCGCAACCACCAACCACCAGAAAACGCCAGCCCCACACTCTTGCGCGTGCAGTTATATACAGAGACTTGAAATTGTAACTCTAGTTGCATTATAGCAGCTTGCGTCTTCTGTATTGCATTTATAGAAACTGGCGTCTCTTCTGTGTTGCGTTTGAAAATAGGAGCTAGTGCCTGTCGTGTTGTATATGCAAATTTATGGTGTGGTGGGAGTGTTTTCTGGGAGAATGAGTTAATGTTTGCAGATACACGACCGTTCCGGGGGATCCGGGATCTGGGGCAACGACGGGACGGAGCCGGATGGGCTGGCGACGCGGACAGGCCAACCAGGCCAACTTCTCATCCACCCGGCCGGGTGGATGAGAAGTTGGCCTGCAACTACTCTTTTGGAGTTTGTTACCCCGCTCTTACACATGACAAAGAAAACTTGGCATGCGTGCTTCCTAAGGGAAAACACAGCTAAAAATCCAATGTCTTGCATGTGTAGCAAGACAAACACATGTGCGTTCCGTTCTATGCATCACAAGTTTACAGTGAAACAGTTTTTTCTCGCGATAGGCGGCTACTTTGTTTATGTCCTGGCTGGTGATGATGGGCATCGTCGCGGAGCGCGACACGAGCAAGGACCCCGAGGTGAAGAACCGGGGCGCGAAGCTTTGGGAAGATATGCATTGCAAATTTATCTGGTTCTGGTAGATTGCGGAATTTGTCGTGCTAGTCTGGCATGACTCTGAGCTCTGTATTGCGTGGCCGCGTGGATTCCTCGTGCCTGTCATGCAAAAACGCACCGGCCTATCATGCGGGATAGTACGCAACGCAGAATGAACCACGGAAAAACTTGTCGTGGTTTTTGGCAGCGCATGATTGCTTCCAGCGTGCTCACTATGTATTCCTTTCCTTGCATTTCACCATCCCAGACCCAAAGATTATATTTGCACCTGATAAAGGAGTTCCTGGACTGTTTCACGCTGGATACCAGCCAGGGCTACGACTTCGCGTTTGTGGTACTGGGCCGCACGTTCTACTACTGCAGCGTCTCTTCCCAGGCGTTCATCTTTTTCTACATTCGGGACTTCCTCACCGCGGACCGGCACCGTATCACCTACAATCTGGCCGGCGTAGCCATCATCAGCTACTGCATCGCGGTCATTGGCGCCTCGACCGGGGGGGCCCTGTCGGACCGCCCGGGGTACGGGCGGAAACGGATGGTGTACCTGTCCTGCATCGTTATGTGCGTCAGCTGCGGGATGCTGTTGCTGTTCCCCTACGTGGTCAACGGAAACTTTGCCCTGCCGAAAACGGTGGAATTCCGCCAATTTCCCAAAATGGCGCTCGACCCGGAGGAGGAGCGAACGGAGTAAGTAGTTTTCGCTGCTTGTTCCTTGGACTGCAGTTGTTTTCGAGATTTTGATATTGATTCTGCCACTTCCTTGCACCTGCGCGTTTCTGCACATTACATGCCTAAAGAAGATGCCCTGTAGTCCTTGTGAGTTCTTCCAGAACCTCGAATAAATGCAGGTTCCTCATTCCGTCTGGGGACAGTGACGATGACGGCCCTGCGGGCGTAAAAACCCTGAACTTTCAAACCCTTGCCCATTTCGTTTCTGACAAGCTCCACTTCGAAAAGTTGAAACAAAGCGTCTTGAGTATTACATGGAAAAATGTCCCCACCCCCAGAGTTGCAATAATTTGTGATGCGAAGTTTCCAAATGAAAACTTTTTGTCATGCATGAAAGGAATATGAATCTTTGTGATGCAGAGTCTAGGCGTATATAGCATTGCTTGCATGACAAGCGCCGCTCTTGCTGGGATCTTTTGCAATACAAATTTTCGCTATTCACGACTAGAAATCTGTGATGCTGCTAGATGCAAGAGGGCGAGTGTTTCTCTTGGAAAGGTTTGCAATACAAATGCTCCCAAGTCCGGGGATGGGGGCACTTTTCACTGCGATATTGAACTTCCTTCATTCCATCGAAGACCCGTCGCAGCGAGAACTGAGGGGCTGGTAAGAAAGTTATTTATTTTCATCGCTGCGGCTAATAATGCTTATTGTGCTTATCTATGGTATCAGATTTGCTTTACCATAGTACTCCAGACCTCCGATTCTGTCGTTTCTTGGCACGATAATTCTTTATCAAAGATTGTCTCTACTCCACGTCCACTTTCCAGGGGTTACATTTTTGCGACCGCCATGGTCTATGCCTTGGGAAACGGGGCGTTTTCGGCTGTAGACTACGCACTGGCGTTGGATACACTTCCTAACAAGAACGCGGCGACGCAGAACCTTGGATTTTGGTCCATCTCGCACTTCATCGGGTTTGCGGTCGGCCCGGCGGTGTATGGCGTGCTCCTTCGTGGCACCGCGCAATTTTCCACCTCCGTTGAGGCCAACGACCCGGCAAATTTCGCCTACACGGGCTACGCCCTGGTGTACTTCACCGCGATGCTCTTCCAGTTGATCTGCGCGCTCTTGGTTTTCAAGGTGAAAGGAAGCACCTGATAAGCTGTACTACTGGGGAACAGTTGCAAGATCACACGGAAGATGCAGGTGGACCACCGGAACTGGCTTTGAATACCATCAAGACGTGCAAGTAGGTACCACGTCGCGGAGCTTTTTTTGGGCATGGAGGTCGCTGTGGACTTCCAAAAGACGAGAACTAATTGCAGAACTTCCGGATGACCACGATGAGGCATCTTCGGCAGGGACCGACGTGTGGTACTAGTCCGTCAAGCCGTTTTTCGCACATTCCGAGCCGGCGATGCAGTACGACATTGTGCGATGGGAGCTGACTTCTACGCAGGACGTGGCTGTCGGGCCGCAGGATATTGACAAGGAAGAAGCAGTCTCGAGCACCCTGCTGCGCAACTGATGAGAAAGCACAGAAAGCTGCACAAGGCAGCTTGCAACTTGCGTCAAGAAGAACAGCGGGCAATATGGCTCTGGTAGCGGATTTTGACATTGAATGGAGGTGGTGGAGTCCGCGCGCGCGGTTCGCGCGACCAGGCGAGTTGCACATGCCACTACAGGCCACTTTGATGTAGCTTCGTTCGTGTGGCGTCGCCTTTGAGCCCACTTCAATCGAAAAACATTGAATAACTGTACCCTATCACAGAGCTTGTGCTTCTTAATGAGTTTGCTTCTGCTCCTCTTTGCCTTGCGTATTTTCCGCTATTAAGACAACGAATTTTGGGTATGCTCATTCGCAGCACAAACTGGGCAACTGGAACTACATACTTCGAAGACACGACTGAAAGAAGATAGACAGACGAGTAGATGGGACCGCGAGCTACAACAAGAAGTAGTCAGAACATGTCGGATGAAGAACTTTGAAAAAAATTGAAGTCCTCTCTCAGTAGAAAAACTCAGGATGATTTTCTACGAGAATGCACAGGACGAGGATGCCAGAAGAATTGAACCTCGCCATGAGTGTGAGTTGCAGCTGTTCTATTCAAAGAAGCTATTAGTGTTTTCTGTGGGGGGAGCCGAGTGCTAACGTGTTGCGTTTCGCCAACACACTTTTCTCACTTACGCCGCTGCGATATGGAAAGCGTTCCCAGACCCATGTAAGGGGCGATGAGCTTACAGCACAAATCAACGAAGAAACGAGATGAGCGAACCAGTTGGAGGAGGAAGCCACACCCTACGTGTGGCTCCTTTTCTCATCGTGTGTGAGTGAGTGCATTGATCTCATAGTAGTGAAAAAAGCTACTTACTTAGATAGAATACTGCGAGCGCTTTTTCGAAAAGTCAGCCTCTTCGACTGCAGTGATTGCGTTGAATTGTAGGAGTATTGCGGTTCGTGGCCGCCTCGGCGCCGACTAACGAGCGGAAGTGTTTGCGTTGTCCGTTTCGACACGGCGCGGCCTGCGTTCGCAGATGGCGAGCAATTTCATGGCTGTCCCGAGCGCCTTGGCGTTAGATGCCAATATCTTCGCAACGGAGCCGCCCAAGAGGACGCCGCCCGGCCGTCGCGCCTTCGTTCCCGGATGCGGGAGCCTGCGGGCGCCACCGCTGTGCTCTTCCCCGTGGCAGCCCCTTCGGCGCTTGCCGCCCGGGGCTGGGCTCGGCTCGCCGCCTTGCGGGCCTTCCCTAACGACGGAGCCGCAGGAGCGCGCAGGCACGCCAGTCCTAATGGGCCGGCTGGGCGCAGCAGGTGCGGACCAGCGGACTCAGCCCCGTGGGGCTCCGCGGCCGCCTCGTTTCCCAACGAGGGGCCCGCGCCTCGCCGTCCCGCCTGCGTGGCTGGCGCGTCCCTGTCAGCTCCTCGGTGTAAGCATGTAATAGTAAGCGTTGCGCTTGCGCCTGGTTCGTTTTGTCAGAGGTGAGCCCAGGTAGACGAGTGATGCGCCGCCGCGCTTTGGTGTGTGAGCGTCGCCGTCGCTGGCCGAACGGCTGACGCATGACGGACGTCGTCCTGCTGCACTCATTGGTTTTGTTCGATTGTCGGACCTGCCGTGCGCCCGCTTCAAATCATCGCCCTGGTCGTTTCTGCCTGGTCCGAGTTTTTGGCGCCAGTGGCTGCGGTGTTCACACGTTATCAGACGTTTTTTCAGAAAAACAGAATCCTTGCCAAGTGTGCCGGGCCATATTTTCAATGCCTAGCTGCAATGAGGGCGCGCCGGTGTGAGATTTAGCAAGGCTATGAGAGCTGACGCACAACGTCGACGTCAGGCATTATCGGGGCGACGTATGTCTGTGCAATTGCGGCTCATATTATGCATAGCTCGGCGAGACTTGCCGTGATTTGTCTGAGAGTCATTACAAGACCCCAGCATTAGATTTGGATGTGGCTGACTGCTGCAGCGAGCATGAGCGAATGAATTATAGTAAGTGTCGACGAGGGCAAGAAACGACCTTTTGAGTCGTGTATGGAGACGGTAGTAACAGCTGTTGCAAGAAACTGCTGGGTGTGGACGTTCGCGTCCGGATGTATCACGATCTATCAGGAATACTTATCTGTCTGATGGAACAAGAGAAAAAGCTGCGCGGCATCAACTAGCGAGCAGACACAAACATGCGCAATCATGGTGGTTCATCGGCTTGAGTTGTTCGTTGGGTTGTCCCTACAGCTTCGCAACTGCGAGACGAGCCGCGAGTGGCGGCCGTGGGTTTTGCCAACGAACTGCGCCGCTGGATGTTGGCGCCTTTTTGGCGCCTCCCGCGATGGCCGGCGACATCCCGGCCGGTTGCTTTTGGCCGGGGCAAAAAACGCAAACGCGGAAATTGAGTTGGACGCGACAACTAATGTTGTGTTCGACGAATGGCCAGGAGATAGACGACGCCGGGGCCATTCAGGTGCGCCGTCTCTTCGCCGCTCTGTCTGTGTACTTAGTCGCCGCGCCGCGTACGGCCGCGGTTTTGTTGCCTGTAGCAGGACAAAGGCAGCGCCTGCCACCGCCGGGGCGTGTGCCTTTTCGCCAGGGGTCTCCGGCATCCGGCGCAGGGGGGCAGGGCCCAATACTCCCGCCGGCCCTTCCGCGGAGGCGGCAGGCCCGCCGTAGCTCCGGAGCGCCGCCTGCCGGTGCGTTGGTTGCCGAGCGGGTTCGTGCCGGGTTGATACGAGCCCAGAGCAATCGGTCGCAGCCTCCATCGTCGAGTCCGCCGGGCCTCCTTGACCCGCGACTGGTGGCGCGCCCGCCAGGTGCCATGCCCTTCACAAAGGATCTGGGCCACCGTTCGCCGCCGCTATTTGTTAATGCTCGCCCGAAATGGAGGTCGCAGAGTGCGTCGATGTTCCATGTCTAAATGTGGACGCGTGGCTCACTGTGGCCGCTCTTGCAGCAGAAGTGTTCCTAGGAAAGCTGGCGCAGGCCTGAATGAGCATCGGCCTGCCAAGTCACGAATTACAGCAGTGAGAAGCTTGTGTGGTCTACAGTCTTTGCACGTTATGTCGCACGTCTCGCTGATTATGGAATGGCTTCTGTTTCTGAGAACTGGAACAGGAGGATGACAGACTGCAACAGATGGTCAGTTGGATGAGATGACTAACGACCGAGCTGAGCGATGTGTAAGGCCACGAGGTTGGCGTTGGCCATCTTATCACACAGGAGTCTTGTGTGTGTGTGTTTGTTGATGGAATCGCGTAGCTAGAGCAGCATATCATCCTGCATGCAATCATCTCGCAGGCCCGTTGTGTGCCTAAAGTAAGGCAAACATGTACTAACGGGCGCGCGTTCTTCGAAGCTTCGTCAAGAATGAGCAGAGCCGGGTCGCCATTTTCTGCAGGCCCGCCGGCGATGGCCACCGCGGGCGAGCCCCTGCTGCATGTGGGAGCAATTCCGGGCCGTCTGTGGTGGATCTTCAAACCCGACCAAGGGGGGGGGGCAGCTTTGGTGGATTCGTGCCGAGCTAGCGCAAGGCGACCGCGCGGAGGGCGTGCGCGAGCTCCAAAGCAACAAGACAAAAACATCGCCGAAAAACCGGTGGGAGTCTGTCAGTTGCGCCAGCGGGGGCGGACGCCGAGCGGAACACCCCCGCCAGCGGCCCCCCGCTCTGTTGTTGGGCTGGGCGGGAGGCTTGGGCCGTCCGGCAAGTGTGGAAGCGCGCGGCCGCAGGCCAGCGCCGCGCGCTCCTGGCGCTGTGTGTTTCTTTGCTGGCGTGCCGGCCCTCGCTAGTGGGCGCCCGCCGGCCGCACACACAGCCTGCCAACCTACCCTCAGTGGCCCTTGTTTCGTTCGGCTCCGAGGGGTCCCACATTCATTCCCCGTTGCCCGCGCGCAGGCGAAGCGCACGCCCCCCCGATACAGGTAGGCCGGCACACGTGGCGTGGCCAGCATGTCTGGGCGCCGGCCGGGCGGTTCGCTCGCTGCCAGGGTAAGCAGTATCTCCGGACGGCTGCCTTATATATTGAGAGGTGGAGGCAGCATTGCGCGTCTTGGTTTGATCTGTCGTGCCAGCGGACGCCGGCCGGTCCTTCTAGAGCTGTAGTGCGCAATATGTAAAAAGAGGAGGCGTATCAGGTCGGTGCCCATGCTTTTGTCTGTGCGCGACCCCGTTAGCACGCAAGGGTGAGGCATGTCGCCTCTAGAAAAGTGCGTAGTGGTGAAGATAGGTGCGTTCAAAGCAAGAGGAGAAGGATGAGGAGCCGTGAGCTCCCCGGTGTTGCAAAACGTGCGTGCTCGTCTTTGCCGGATGGGTGCGCCGCTGATGTTTTCACTGCATTGACTCGACTGACGGCAACCAGTATCGTCGCTACCAAATAAGACACACCTCCCAATGCAGTGCGTTAGGCAGGAAGAGGGTTTCTTGGTTTTGTTTGTCAAGAATAAAGACCGATACTTGCTGCAGGTCGTGCTGTACAGCTGATATTGAATGATTCCGAGCAGACATGCACTTGCTTTCGCGGTTCTAGCTGTGTGACGACCACTGTAAACGCATTCGAAGCTTACGGGTAGCTGAGTTGCCGTCCTAGCGCGCGCCTCTAAGTCCATCTCTTGACGGGTTCTTCTTCGTACAGAGTTACGCAGCACATCCATCCTCGCGCACTATGAAAGGCACCGATGAACGTCCCGTGTGAGAGTTTGAATGACACGACGCTGCTGGAGCGTCGCTATTTGCTGCAGCGTCTGCTGATCTCGAATCACGAGCAGTTGGGAATCACCAGCCGGAGTAGAACAAAGCATGCTGGCGTGCCGCAAAATAAGCGGCTCGACTTTGGTGTCGTTCCCTTCATCGGCAAGGTTGACGACTACTCCCTCCCCTCCCATAGCCGCCAGCAGGAGCCCTTCGACGCGCGGAAGCACCGCTCCGGATACCTAGCCGGCAGGCGAAGTGGCACGAGATGGACAAATCGCGGACCTGTACCGGAGCCGGTTCTGCCGCCACCGGAAGGAACTTTCGGAACCGGCGCTCGCAGGTGGAGCGACGAGCACGGCGATTCCAGTACCTTGCCGGGGGAAGGCAAGTCGCGGTCGGAGGGCGCTTCGCTGCGACCGAACGGCCGGTTGTCCGCCTCGCCGAGGCGGAACTTCGCTTCGACCAGTAGCAACGCCACCGGGTGGCCTGTTTCGGCGCAGCTTCCCTTCGGGATATTAACAGGCAGTGGCTCAGCTGAAGATCGAAGACAGCAGGCCGAGGTGCTGCCGCTTCTTCTCCAAACGCGCGACGATGCAGTGTGGTCGAAGCCTCGCTGGAAGCAGTTTCTCGACCTCGGTCGTCGTTTCGCCGCGACAAAAAAGCTCGTAGATCGAACGTTTCGAAATAAGTCTTCGAAAGCAAGAACTACAGGGGTGCAACTTGCTGAGGATGACGCGCCTGAAAGTCGCGCGAACTTCACTACAGCTGTGGATCATTTGCAAAGAGAGTTTGCCGGACCGGAGAGTTTCGAAAGCTCAGCGCCGTACGCCGGCTACGGAACAGGTGCTTCGGCGGTGTTTCCAGGAGCAGGCCGAATAAATGCAGACGGTGGAGTCTCTGCTTCATCGCAACTCGGAGCGGCTGCAAACAGTATCGACTGCCCGCCACCCCCGCTGGATGTGCTTTGTGCAAGTGCCAGCTCGTTGACTCCCGCGGGACCAAGATCTTTGTCCGCCAGCGCTGCTGACGATCCCGCGATCGTGAAGCTTCCAAGCATATTGAAGAAGCCGTCACCAATAACGATGCCTGGAACAGCACCCGCAGGGGCCTTTGAAGAAGATTGTCTTGGAACAGCCGCGACCGAGACGCAAGTGCCTCCCGCAGCGGAGACGCCACAGCTGGGGCTTTTCCCTGTCGAGTTGAAGCGCGTTTCGAATGGCGGCCTTTCTTCCATCCCGCTTGGCGCCAACGACAACATCCGTGCTTTACTGGGCTTGGAAGACAAACCTGAACTGCAGTCCTCGACGGGAGAGAACCAAGGGACGACAGAAGATGGAATCGCAGAAAGCGAGAGTGGTGCTACTGGTACTACGGATGCACCAGCCAAAAGAACCTCTGCTGTCGATGCACACCTTCCTCCTGGCCAGCGCACTTCTGCGATTTTCAACAACCAGCAGCAGTCTTCTGCATCAGAAACCGCTGGTGCTTCAGGTGTAGACTTCGACAAGCCATCCGGGACCCTCGACGAGCTTGCGGCGCGAGTTGGGACCTTCCGCACTTCGCGGTCCACCGATCAGCGCCGGAAAACGATATCTGCCATTACCTCCGGCGGTTTACTGGATTTCGGAGGTCTGGTCTTCGGATCGAAAAATGGTAGCGACCACACAGGAATAATTTCTCCCGGGGGACCACCAGCAGGGACCACCGGAGTAGAACAAACTCCTTTCGGCGCGTCACCCTCGACGAGCCGCCGCAGTGCCGCCTCTAAGATGGACACGGTGTTAGAGCAGGGGGAGGACGCAGCTGCGCTTAGCCAATCCAGTGCTGTGGCCGGCAGTCCTATGGCATCTTCCCCGGGAGGAGGTACTGTTGTCGCCCGGAGTCCGCGAGCCCGGTTCGCCCGGGCCGCGACGGTCGAGGTGGGCGCCCTGTCATCCCGACCGAGCATCAGTGCGGCATCTAGCAGTCCGTTTGGCACGGCCAATGCGCAAGGCGGCGGGGCGACTTCCAGTTTGCTCGGGTCCGCGGCGGTGTCCAGGCAAAGCCAGCGGCGAAACTGGAAGGAGCGGGAACAGCAGCTTTTCAACGAGAACTTAAAGCGGCACGTGAAGACGGTCAGGAACACCGTCTCCGCGGTGAAAAGCTACGTTGACGGCGGCGGGGCGGGGGCGCAGCAGCAGGAGAATGGTAGTACTAGTGGCTCACCAATTAGAACTTCGGTTGGGCGGATCAGTCAAACACTTGGGGCGGGACTTGGTGATGGATTGGCCGGCGGCGCGACAGGCGGCGTCGACGGCGCGGAGCTGCAGTTCGGTGGCTCTGATGGGCAAGCAGAGACTGGCTCGGGCGATAATGTTACCAGAGGCGACATTCCAATTAATACTCCGGGCGGAGGACATCAGCAGGATCAATCACCGCAACCAACACCAGTTTCGCCTCCTTCGTTCTTGCGAAACAGCAAGAAAACGATTCTTCGTTCGCAAACGATGTCAACATCGTCCCCGCTGAAGAAAAAGGCGACAATTGAGGAGTTTAGATTCGAGAAGGCCATCCCGCTCATTCCCGACGAAAAAGATAAACCATCAATATCGAAGGACTTTCTGATGTCCAGCAGTTCATCTTCCGGCGCAAAGGGACCGGAGGAAGAGAGCAAGAGCAAAGAAAAAGCGACAGAGCCACCTGACGCGCTAGCAGCGGGGAAGAAGATACTAGAGGAAGGCTCGACCGCCGCAGGAAGTGCAATGACTGCCGGTTCTTCAAAGCTAGAGATGAACAAAACCACCGGCAGTGCCGAAACGACCTCGACCGCCACAGTTGTAGCGAGTCCTGCAGCCTCACCGATCGCCCCAACTGCTACTTCCCCTCCGGTCGCCGCCGCCAGCACCAGCATCCGACGTTTCACGCGCACCGGGATCCCCATCATATCACAGCAACCCAACATCACGGGAGACGCGCCAGGGGGCGGCTCGGCCCGACACCGACCGGTTCGGCGTGCGTCGTTGGTGCGAGACCCGTCGGGCCGAATCAGTTTCATTTCGGCAGCGGACTTCCGCAGGGTGGGAACGACCGGCGGACTCCTGGGGAGTAGTAACAGCCAAGACACGAGCCCCAGTTTGACGGGCGCGTCGCCCCTCCACACGACCAAAAGCGGTTCCGGCACGGGGTCGGAGAGCATGCCACTCTCGGCCTACCGCAGAGGGTCAATTTTCAAGGGCGTGAAAAAAATCGAGGACCTTGGGCTGGGCGATCGGGGGATCCCGCTCTTCCAGAACAAAGCCAAGCGGTTGTCAATCGAGGAAGGGAAAACGTTGAAAGCGTTGCAAAAGTCCGACTCGCTACTGTCAGATGTCGAGGAGGACGAGGATGTGGATGTTGCGGGAAACAAGAAGAGCGCTGAAACAAAAAAGGACCTCGCGGACGATACAGAGGAAAATCGAAAAGGCGACTCGGAGAAGTCTAAGTCAAAAACGACCGCGACCGGTGAAAGCAGAGGACTAGTGGTTGCTGAGAACAAAGAGAGCACGTTATTTTCCTCACCGGCAGGAGCTTCATCCGACACAGACGCAAAATCAAGCTCCGCACCTCTTTTCCCAGCGGATCAGAAAGTGATGAAAACCTCTACCCCAGCAGAAGAAGACTTAGTACGCCTGCTCCCAGTCGTGGCACAAGCCGTGTTGCAGAAGATCTACGCGGATTACGCGTTAAGCGCAATCCGCCTCGAGAACCAGGTCAACGTAAGCCGCCAGCCACGCCGCAGCAGTTTGAAATCATCCTCCTCCGTTACGACCGGGGGAGCGAGTGCAGGACCTCCGACATCCTCTCGCCGCTTGTCCGTCACCTTGACGGACACTCCGCCCGACCAACAGACGTTTCTCGTGGACAAGCGGGAGACCGAGCAATTCGAAGATAACGGCGAGGAGAGCTATAAAAACGATTCATATAGTTATAGTATTAGTAAGAAAAATACATCGAGGCCGCAGCGCATCAAACTGGCGATGAAGGCGACATTGATGATGGAAGGCGATGAGTTGGAAGACGAAGACGAGGAACAACAACAAACTGGGGGTGCAGCTTCTCTCAATGCAAGCGGAAAAAATCTGCAAAATTATCCCGACAAGAGTGCGAGCAGCTCCTCGGCAGGCGAGACCAGCCAGAGCGACCGGGATTACAATTCTACTAATGTGAACAAGAACTATGCTTCTTCCCGATTCTCTGCGAAGTCGCCGGACGACCGGGTGAAGCAAATTTCGCGACAGCTCCGTCGGCGTTTGCAGAGCGCTGTGATGGACCGCGCCAAGGACGGGCGGTGGGATCGAAAGACCACGTTTTTCGGACGGCGGTCCACCGAACGGGGTGTGAACCCGCGGGATTTAGGGGAGATGTTCCACGTGCGCTACTTTACGTTCGTCATGCACTTCCCGGAGGCGAAGTTGCTGATCGACCGACTGGCGTGGCAGCACGAGAAAAAGGGCCGCATGCTATCGGAGGAAAATCTCGAAGGCGTTTTTGAAGAAGTGCAGTCCGCGTTGTCCGGGCTGCTGCTGGGGTATGTGAAAGGTATTTACTAATTAGTGCTGTTTGGTCGTGTTCATCGAGTGCAGTCAATATGCTGACGTTGATTGTGTTTGTGTCTTGCTGCCATGCGTGGCTAGCTGCTATGGTAGATGTAGATCTTTGTGCAAAAATCCCCAATTTTTATCGATCCGAAAAATCCAGATGCTCTGGAAGCCCAGACGTCTCAGAAGAAGCAGGCGAGCACGGAGAGCGTGCGTGCGGACCGGTGTGTAGATTTTCTGATGGAGGTCGGACTTCACCCCCTGGTCGAGGAAGAGGAGAAAATATTGAAGGAAACCCTGCACAAATACCTGCGCCTGAACCTCATGCCATCCACGGCGTCGGGAACGACTGGTGCGTTTTCGCTGGCGGGAATAGGAGGTACAAACATGCTTGGAGGTGCTGGATCAAGTAGTCCTCCTGGCGCGGGTGGCGGGAACAATACGAAATCAATTTTTAGTGACACTAGTCCGAGTTCTTCTACCAGTCCGACTGGGATCATGATGAACAGGCCGAATGGGACGAATGGCAACCGCGGCGGGGACCAAAATACCAATTCGATTTTCTCACCCTCAAATTCTGGCGCGAACAAAAACGGCGGGCTGACGTTGAGCAGCCCAAATCATGGAGCAGGTGGAACCAATGGAACTGCTTCGCCCTCAAAGAACAGTTTTTTCGCCGGCGGTTTCGATGCTGTGAACCGTAGGAATTCCACGAACGCGAAGGCACTGTCGAAGGCGCTTCCGTACGAAATTCTGCGGAAAATCCATATGCAGCCGAGTGACGTGGTGAAAGTAGTTATCCTGAGAAAAAAGTGCTACAGTTACACACTCTGATGGAAGACAAGCAAGACAGATAAACTCTGTCATGCAGGAAATGCGTGCCACCCTCATTTCATTCGTGTTTTCGCCTTATAGTCTGCGCAACACAGGTTTTCTTTGCCATGTCGAGCAGCTTTGTGATGCAGAAAGTCCAACAAATGTGTAACTGTATGTAACACTTTTTTCCTGTGATAGTAGTGAAGGAGACACTGGAAAACTTCCAAGCCGTCTATGACGACCAGAAAACCAAGGTGATTGAGGACTACGACCTGAACAAACAAGTTTTACCCACGTTCCAACGCGGCGGGGCCGCGAGTTCCTTCTCCCCGACTTCGTCCAGGCCGTGCTCGCCGATGGGAATAGTTGGTGGGCCGTTCTCACCAGGGAGTGCTGGTGGTGGTAGTTTATCGAGCGAGGACGAGACGCACATGCTCCGAGACTTGTTGGAGCTGTACAAAGCTTTTTGCGCCATGGACACGGGGAAATGCGGCGTTCTAGCGGGCAAGCAGCTGGACTCGCTGTCCAGAACGGTGTTCGGCGAGAACCGAGCGGCCAAACAGAAGTATCTGCACAATGTGACACAGGTAGATCTGCGGTTTATTGAGTTTCATTCGCTTGTTCTTGCATCTGGTGAGTCGTCGCGCAATGAATGTAGTTCAAAGCACAGCGAGTCTATCTGTCATGGTTGTTTCATAGTTAAGTAGCGAAAACCGCATCACAGGTCACCTTCTGCGACTTCCTGCGTCTAGTCCACAAGCGGCGCCTGGACGACTTGGAGGACTTGAAGCTGGACCTCTGGCGCATCACGCCCCACCAACAGGATTTAGCCACGCAACCCGACCAAGTAACCGAACTCGAGCTGATGCGCATTCCCGGCCGCCAAACGCTGGACGCGTCGGCGTTCGAGAAGCACCAGGAGCTCTACTCTCACACCTTGAAACAGGCAGATGTCTGCCGGATGCTAGGTATGAGCATAGTTGGTTTCTTTTTGGATTTGGAACTTGTTAGAATTTTGAAAATGCCAATCCACCCTAGGACTTGCCAATAGAAAATGAAGCAGTGGAGCATTGAGAACTTCGATCTGTCGGCGATATATTATCTATCGACACACATTTTCATTTTTCATCATCAGCCCGTCTCGAGATTTTCCCGAAAACTCGTGCGGAACAGCGGGAGATCCAGGAAATTCTGGAACTAGTCTTTCCCACTCCCGACGAGGCGCTCACGTTCGACGAGTTCCAGTACCTCTGTCAGAAAATCCAGAACTTGTTGCACTTCAAGTACAGCGAATCGGAGCTCACTTTCGTGCAACAGTTCTTCTCGCCCCGTCAGGTCAGCCTGTTCCGCAAAAGCTTCGACCGTCTCGCTATGAACGAATACGGTCGGGTGGCGCTCGCGCAAGTCCGGAATTTTTTGTTGATTTCCTACAAAATCCCCATCGAGCCGACGGAGTTGTGGAAATTTTTAGAGGAAGAAGTTCTGTTGATCCACGAAAGGAAGGATTTGCTAGCCCCGGGGCCAACAACCACTTCGTCGAAGAAAGGCGGTGCGGGTGCTGCGCACCTTCAGGCTGGGAATAAACAAAGCACCTCCCGCGGCGGCGTGGAGGGCACATTGAACTCCGCTTCCTCGAACTTGACGCAAAGAAGGATGTCCATCAAGCGGCGCAGCGTGCACGACGTGAAGACCGCGGCGGTGCTGGCAAACATGAAGGACGCATTGCTGAGTCAAGCGGCCATGGCCGCAGGGGCGGCGATCGGGGATATCAGTGCGAAGACAGTGAACACTACTGCATCCGCGGAGGGAGTAGAGCAAGGTGGAGCCGACGAAAGAGACGGCATGTTCGGAGGACAGTCGCACGAGGGCGGGGCCAACAATGGGTCGCTTTTTCCGTTGCATGCAATGGACGGGGAGGCACAGGCAGCCCTCGGCTCCCTTTCGCAGCCGCTTGTTTCCGCCGTGATTTCCTCTTCGACCGCGGCTTCGGGCCATGATGCGCACTTTTCGCTCGAAGAGCGGATCACAGACAGTAGGGGCGATGTTTTGCATCATGGCGATAGCGCGGATCACCTTCATGTGCAAAGCGGACACGACGCAGATCGTGGTTCCGCCGGTGGTACAGCTGTCAGTTCCGGGCATGGAGGTGGCAATGCCGATCCTGGTAGTGCTGCGGGGCACGGAGGACAAAGCCCTGCGACACAGAATTTCGATAGCACCGCTGATCATTCCGGCGGGGGAACTGGGTCTAATCCCAAGCAAAACGCACCCTCCGGAGGTCCAACCGCTACTATCAACGCACCGCCTGGTGCCGGCCAGAAAAAACCGGCGGCCGCGATGGGCCGGAGACAAACAATCGTACGCCGCGAGGGGGCGTACCGACCCCCGGATGCGAACCCGCTTGCCATGGAGTACGGCGGTGCGGCGCGCATTTCTTCGGGATTTGGAGTTGGCGGCGGACAGCACCAAATGACGCTGCAGATTTTGCAAGAAGTCGGGCTCAGTTTCGACCAGTTTATCGTGGTGCTACATTGGGCTTTGTCGGTGAAACGGGCATCGAAGAAAGCAAATGCGAATAAGGCGGGATGAGGACGATTGTGTCGGTGGATGCTGTACTGAGCTGCTCCAAGAACAGTGCAACATGGAGTCAATGTAAGATTTTAGAGTTTCATTCCTTGTGGCAGGATACTTTGCAGCACGTGATTGCCATATCCATGTTTGATTAATAGTAGTTTCGTCTTTGTCTTCGAAGATCAATTTGCTAAAGAGCCAGAACACGGTCAAAAGGCTGTTTCGTTATTATGGTAAAAAGTGAAGAATGCTATGGATGTAAAATGTGCTAAGTACCAACATAAGTTATCGCTGAAACTGTTTGCTGTAATCATGAGAACCCTCCCGCAGGAGCCGTGCAAAACGACGCTTCGGGCTGAGTGCGTAAAGCATTTACTGATACCACAAGATGAAATGCAGATGCACCATCTGCATAAGTACTGAAGAAGACGCGCAAGGACTACCGAAATCTGCAATGACCTTGCAAACTGGTCGTTTCGGCGTAGTTGCAACAGCGCTCTTGAACACGGTGTTCGGCTCCTTTTCCTGTTCGCAAGATATGCAAAACGCACACACAACTAGAGCTACATGGTCTCCAAATGATCTTTTCACCTCACGGCTTCGTCAGTAATTTCACAATCGTACAGTCTATCGGTTTTGATGCCTTCGTTTATCGCCTCCTGAAAAAATCCCATCTCGATTTTGCATGTACTTTCTACGAGTCGACAGATGGAGGACACTTTGCCACTACGCGCTGGCCCTCTGGCACGCTGAAAAGTTTCTCCTGGTCGCGCACGGCGTTTCGTACCTTTTCCCGACACGGATAGAAAGCACGACTAGCGGCGCAGCTTTCACCGATGATCTACTTACACGTGCAGAGGAAAACGAGGATGACCCGGCCACGTTCTCGTCGCCTCTCCCAAAAAAAAAAGGTGGAGGCGGTCGCGGAGGTACAGCCGCAAGAGCAAAAACGTCCAGGGCGGCGAGCCATCAAGCCCGCGCCATCCAGCGCTACACTGCTCGTTACCAGCGGAAGACCACGATTGTTGAGAATCTCGCGAAGAACGGGTGGATTGCAGAGCGCGCCGCCGACATTGAGCCGACGATTCTCGCGGGCCTGCAGCACATCTACCGGAACATCGATGGGAAGGAATGCGACGGACTCATCCCTGCGGTGCTCGTGCCAGACGGCAGCGCACCGGATTGCGAGGTGATCTGCGCGCTGACCGAGCAGTGCGAGGCCTGGCAATTCTACAACGGCACCTGCTACTGGGGCAACCCGTTCCCCGAGCGCTGCAAAGGCGACCGGGACTTCTATCCGCCGCGGCCGGCGGGGGAGGTGGAGGAAGAGGCGGACTGGTACAACTCTGAAAATGGCAGCGCCAGCCTGTGGCCAAAGTTTCGAAGGGACGAGCCGAAGTTTCGGCCGGGAGATCCGGTCAGCGCGGCGTACAATAGAAGAGTGGTGGGTGGTCGGTTGCGGTGGTTCGCGTGGAAATTCGCAAACAGCCGGTGGTACGAGACCTTGCGACTCTACTCGGAAAAGCAGAAGTTATGGGATTTTGTGGAACAGTGGGAGAGAGAGCAAACAAAAACAATAGGGAACGAAAAGGGTTCTTACGGTCAGGTGGATTCTTCATCTTTCCTCACTTCCTTCGACCGAATGCGGCTCGCTTACCGCGTTGGCACGAATGAGGACAGACAGTCTATGGAATTCTGCCAACGAGAGGACAACAAAGAAACCGACTACCCCTGGGCCCGTCACGTGGACGACGGCGCGGAGCTGCGGAAGCAGAAGCTGTCTGAAACCTCCCGGTACTCCCTGCTGCGCCTCCGCAGCGCGATTCCGGCGCACCTGCGCACGGGGCGGTTTCTGAATTTTGGCATTGGACCGTGTCACGTGTCCGACCCGTTGCACCCCTTTTTCCACCATCAATTGGTGAGAGAAGATGCAGAGAAAGTGGATTCTCCGCCCTTGAATGGCTTCGGGTTCGAACGCTCTTTCGACGAGTTTGACGAGGAAGATTTCGCCGCCGTGGGCGTTGATGTCGCGTCTACTTCCGGCGCAGAAGTGGCACCAGGGAGCAACTACAGGGAAAAAGATAAATTCGCAGAAAATTCATTTTCATCAAGCGCCGACGAACAGGCAGAGGACGAGGAGGAAACAGGCCAAGCCGCAAGGCTTCGCAAGGGCTGCAAGTACTACCGGAACACCACAGTGATTTTTGACACTGTGACGCCAACGAATTTCCTACCAACGCTGCGCAATAACGCCCCGGACTGGTTTTCTTCACCGGAAGATGAGCACGAAGATCATGGAGAACTACAAGTTCCTAAAAATCCGATTGAGTTCTTCATTCTGGACATTGATTCCCACGACTATCAAATTCTTCGGGAAATGGTGACTTCGAAAATCCCGGTTCTCGTGTACATGATCGAAATCGCCACCCACTTCCCCCCACCGCTCAAGTACGCAAACGTGTACCAGCCCGAGCAGGTGTCCGAGGCCAGCCGCAAGGTGGAAACCGGCGAGACTGGGAAGCACTCGGTGAATTTTGAGCTTCTTTCTGGTTTGAGCTTTTCCCTCGCGTTAGACTTGCTGAAAGACACGCACGACTTCTTCATGTTCCCGGATATGGGCGATGCGGTCTTCACGCACAAGTCGTTGCGGCCGTACTTGGAAAAGGAGTACGGCGTGAGGCTCCCGTTTGATGAGTTTTTGTGTTTCGCAAAGTCCCATCTGTGGTTCATGTACCCGACGGACATCGTCGCGCAGTGGGGCTTTCTCCGGGGGTTTGACAGTTTGCATGACATGCTCCCCTGGGTGTACCGGAATATTTCCGCCTCGGTGGAAGATGGGGTGAACCACCAGTTTATGCTGTACATCTAGATAGAACAAGCGTTCTTGTTTTCGAGTCTGACCATAGACGCATAGAAACGGAGTTGCATCTGGTGCTCAGGATCTTCGATTAACAACGAAGTCGTGCTTGAACAGTTCTTACGCGTTGGCTCCGGATACATATCGCCTCGCTTTCGCCGCTCCGTCATGGTGCGCAACTCCTTTCATGAACTGAACACGAAATCCTTGACGCGCAAACGCAAAGCGTGCGAGCTCCCATCTCAGCGATGCTGCAGTTTTTTGTTTTCGCTGCGAAAAAATCGATCGTTGTTCGTTCAATCTATCTAGATCTACACTCATCACTGGTCTCTAGAGCGAAAAGAGATTGAGAGAGAGTCTATATGGCAGTTCTTCTTCCAAAAGGCTAAACTTCAACTTTCAAATGGATGAAATGATTCGTACACATCCATCGGACCACTTTTTCTGTCTCTCAAGAGTGAAGAGCACGCGTGTTGTTTTTGGTTTTTTCGTTGATGTCCTCGGCGTGAGTCATCTTCCACAAAAATGACGGTCTTGTCGGACAACTTCACTCCGCGTTCGACACATTCGTCGAAAAACGCGAATCATTCCGCGAAATCGACACCTCGCGGCAGTACCGCTTCACACTATGGGGACGAGAGTATACACGGCACTCCTGCAGCAGGTGTTGGACCTGCCACTGGTGGAGGATTCCAAAGAAGCATGTCCAACCACAGCATTGCGTCGTCGATTCACGGGAGTGAGCAGCACGCTGTCGACAGAACGCCTGCGGCTGTTGTAAACAATGCGAACGATGATCTTCAGGGAGACAGTAGCAAGCCACTGGGCAGTGGTGACGGGACGATCTGTACACCGACAGAAACTACAGGACCTGGGTCAGTGACCACGAGGACACCTGTAGTTGCTTCCACCCCGATCACGTCCTCTGTACTACCAACCCCGTCGTCGGCACCAGCTCCTTCCAGTAGCAGCAAGCAATCCTCGTTACCGGTAATCAGTGCTCCCACGACACGCCCCCTCATCTCCTGCCAGGGGTGCGGGAAACAGACCACGTCCGAAATGTGCTGCCCCACGTGCAACCAGTTTGGGAGGCAAAGCTTCTTCTGCACGCAGGACTGCTTCAAGAAGAACTGGAACGTGCACAAACGGCTTCACACCCTCCTGCAGCAACAGAAAGAGCTGGCGGAGAGCGAAACGGCGAGCCTGGCCTCGGACATGGCGGCCACGTCGCCAGACCACCGGTCCGAGGGACTGATGAAGCGGGGCTTGTCGCAATTACGCGACAAGGTTTTCTATCAAGTGCAAAAATCTCTGGGTCTGGAAACTTGTGATGCTGGGTGGCGTCTCATGATGAGGCTACAGATGCTGGCTCAGCATGACAAGTTTCTGAGCTCCTAGGTATTGCCTATTCTGCATGACAAAGTGCGCTTCTGCATCGCAGAAAAACGGAGCTCTTGGGTCACGTGCATGACAGATTTAAATGTCATGCCAGACAAGCATGACAAACATGAATTCTTCCAGACCCAGACATTTTTACATTTGATATTTTCCACCAAAGCAGCAGCTCGTCCTTGTCGGTGCAGAAAAAAACGTCTTACGCCTCGCGGAGTTCCAGCAACAGCAGTAGTGTGAATGAGGAAGATCCGCAAATGGCCAATACTATCGACGGAGAAGACGATTCCAAGAATTCGAAACCGCTGTCCACCATGTTTGGAAAATTGTTGTCTTCACAGCCCTTCTTGAACAATTTGGTGCAGCAGCTCCCGCTTTCCTCCATAAGCGTTTCGCCGTCCCGGGGTCCGAGCAAGCGCGGGCTGTTGCCAGGCGGGGGCGGGATGCAGAGTGGTGTGCACAGCCAGCAATTGAATCACGCGGTTCTTTCGTCTGGGGCGTCCGGAGGAGGACACCAGAGTTCATACAAGCCGGGCGCTTTGGCGGCTGCCTGGAACTCTAGTAGTGACCCGGGCGGCGGGGGTGGAACGGCGTTTTCTGGTTCGCATCACGGACCGTCCAATTCAGGGAAAGTGCAAGATGTTGCAACCTCCCTACCTACTTCCCCAGCGCAGGTGTGCGCAATGGTGTTCTCTTGCTTCCTCGGCCTACCGCGCTTGCTGAAGATGCTGCTTTTTGCCTGTCTTTTCGTCTTCCTCACCATCGCCTACATCACGCGTCGGCTCGCATCGCCAGAGATGAACGGAGCACTCGGGTCGGCGCCGGTGGGAGCGCCGATCCAGGATAACGCGAGCGCGCGGAAAGGCGCGGGCGTGTCCTTTCACCACGACCACGGCTGGACAATGGAGGACCTAGCAGAGCATCTGGAGGAGCACGAAAGAAGAATAGAGCAGCTAGAAGCCGCCCTGGCGAACTACGAAAATGCAGGCTCGTCTTCCGGTGGAGCGTCCGTGAACGCAAGTCCCTTTGCAGCAGTCGGCAGCATTAGTGGAAGCAAAAGTAATACTCGGCCGGAAATCAGTGTGACTCCCGCTTCTTTTGCCGCGCCAGCGAGTAGTTCTCCTTCACTTGTTGTAGGTGGATCCTCCAACAGTAACATAGGCGCGGTCGTGTCGGTAGCTTCAGCAGCGAATTCTGCTGTTCGGAGTTCGACTAGTAGCGGTAACGCAGCAAGCTTTTCAGCAGAGGAGACCCAGCCTTCCGAGGGAAGCAAGCCTACGTCAGGTGAGGCCACTGGATTCGCTACTGCGCAGCAAATGAACGACATGTTCGCAGCCGTGGGTTCGCCAGCGCAGAAGACGGCTGCGGCTGCTACTGGAGCGGTAGGACCGAACTCCGGTACAACTGCGGGAGTGGGAAACCAAGCTCCAAGCATTTTGGCTGGCACCTCCATGCCGGCGTTCGCAGCTTCGCCCGAGCCTTCGTTTTCTGAGCCGAAGGACGGTAGAGCGCCTGGCGACCCCTTTGTTGCTAATGGCCCTGCTGCTAACGGAGACGCATTCACTGCCACGAACCAGGTACAACTCATGCAACGTTGATGCGTCGAGTCGATCTTCCAAAGAAGGATGATGCAGCAAATCATTCGAATAAAAAGCGTGCGACACCAAAATGGCCAAAACTTAAGGAACCACGGATAATTAATCTCTCAGGTGCAACAGCAACGAGATGGGCCGGATTCGGCGTCCATTGGGAAGGCCATGCCCGAGGAGCAACCGTCATCATTTATGCAGGGCGGAGGTGAGCAAGAAACAGAAAATCGAAAGGCAGGAGGCACAGATGAGCACGAAAATCATCACCGCGGACTCGGATTGCCGAGACGAGAGAGTCCTGGACATTCTGACGAAAGTAGTGCATCGAATGACAGTCCAGGACAAGACAGGTTTTAAGATGTGCGTTTCGAAGCGAGGAGCAACCCCACCACACATGAAAGAAAGACCGCGCTCTGCTTTCTCGAATTCACAGCGCTCAGGTTGTGTTTTTGATTCATTGTAGGTATGGCTTGAGCAAGGACTCTACAGTACTGATGTGTTCTAACGCATGAGTGTTGTGATATGTAAATCATTGCCCTACGACGTTTGCGTTGTCTTGGATTCAGATGGGATTTGAGATGGGAGCGTTGAAGGAGGCTCTCCTTTTCTTGAGCGTCTCAAAAGGTTGCAACGACAGCTAAGCATGTATGTGTACCTGAGTGACTTCAGCGGTAAACTGCGTTCAGCTGGCTTCGGTGCGACTTCGTCACAACGTTAGAGATAGTGTCTACGGCTACCGAAAGAAGTTAGTAAAGAAATTCATATTCATTAGTTTCTTCTCGCGGACGAGGTTCCATAGTTGGACGATTGGTATAACGTTCCACTCTTCATGTTCATCCGTAGGCATCGTCTGCCTATGAAAATTTCGAGCGAAGTTGAGTCAAAAGAGCGAGCACAAGACATACGAAGTTCTTCTTCGTGTTCGTTACATACCATCGTGCACAACGCAGACATGTGCTACTCGTGTGAATGCGCTCTATGCAGCAGCTGCATTGCTAGCATCAAAAATGGACGGAGGGCTGTTGTATGATTTACGCCCGCCGAAGCTGCTGCCGGCGGAGTGGCGCGCACGTGGCGCCGGTTTTCCTCATCCGGGGGAGCGCCGCCCAAGAAGAGTAGTCTCATCAAGACTTAAACAGCCTCCGTCACAATGCCGGCGGCGGGGCAAGCAGAAGCAAGAGGAGAGCGGCGCGCAGCCCGCCCCGGCCTTCGAAGTCTTCCAGAGGTTGGGGGCCCTCCCGCGGCGCCCTCCCCAAGCCGTGGCGCCCCCTCTGGGCGAAGTGGGTCGCCCTCGAATGGTAGCGCCCCATGTTATTGCCGGCACCCCCGGACGGGGCCAGGGCGGCCCGTCCCCCGGGCTGCCTCGTACGCGCCCCCCCCCCCCGTGGGGGGTTCTGCAGCCGCCCGCCCGGCTGGTGGTGGCTTCCAATCTTCCTCGGTCGTGTGGTCATCCGGAGGGCGCGCGCGGCCGTGTGCGTTTTGGGCGGGGGGGCTGCCCGGGGGCCCTGAGGCACCTGCACGCCGCACTGGTCGCAGTATATAATGAATGGAATCTGTTGCAGTCTGGGCGCCGTTTTATTGCCTTTATTGGGAAAGCGGCTGCCCGGTGCCGGTGTTGGCCGCATCCCGGACTTGCGGGACCGGTATAGCAGTTGCATCTCTCGACCTTGTCATTGGTGCGACAGACAAAGTTTAACAGTGCCCCTCCTGGAAGGGAGATTGTGTTTGTGCCAGCTGCTGGCGTAATATGACGAAGGTGCGCGTGGGAGTGTTTGGAGGGAACAGTAAAACACAAGGCCAAACGCAAACGAAGTTCAATGCTAGCGTGCACTGGCCTGCCTGAGAAAACAATGAGAGACAAACGAGTTGGAGTTGAAAAGTATTGGAGGGCGTAGACTTGCGTGTTCAACGACTCTATTTCGGAATCTGTGAGGGTATCTTTGTCGTTCTTTGTGATCGTGAAAGCACGTGTGAAGAAATCCAACGAGTTTCTTGCCAGCACCATCTCTGTTTGAGATTGCACCCAGAGGCCCGCGATGGTCTTGCATGCCACCGGTGGAGCAAGACTCCGTTGCGGGAAGCGGAGTCAAGGACGAGAGGAGCGTTGGCTGCTCATGCTACGCGAGAAAATGCAAAAGAGTGGCTATGCAGACTTCATCTTTTTGTCCATTGATCATTACCTTTATCTCCTGCTTCTCCAAACACATTAGCGCCAATAGTGTCTTCTTTTGTGTGCCATTGTAAAAGTTGGACGCCACTGGCGCCACGACCTGACCGCGCTCGCCTGCGACCCCTGGATCGCTTTAGCGAGTTGCGGGGCAGTCCCGTCGATAGAGTGGCGGCCCAGCCCCTGAGTCTCGACGCCAATCGCGAAATCAAATGTGACTCGTACATCAGAGAACGCGCCGGAGAAGGGGGCCAGCGCGGGCGAGTTCGCAAGGGCAACGCGGCCGGCGCCGGCGCTTGCCAGCCTATCGGGGGCCCTCGCTCTGCTCTGCAGCGTGAATTTGCGGCCGGTTTCTCCGCGTGGTCCTGTGCCACCAGGCACAGCGCCAGCCGCCCGGGCCATGGGCGCCGTTCCGGGCCGGCGGGCCCGCGGCCTGGCCGCGCCGGTGCCTGCTCCACAAGGCACCCGCCTTGGCACCCCTTTGCCTGCCACGAATCTACCCGCACGCAGACCGGCCGATTAAGGTAGCACGGCCGGCGCCCGCATGTGCCTCGTTGTGGTCGCTCGCGCTGACGTGTTGCGCCGTCTTTCCAATGGCTGCATGTGGGGCGCTGCTAGGGCTGGCCGAGTGGGCCTCTCTACGTGATGTGCCAGTTCCGCTGCAGAGGCGATTGCCGCCGACCGGCACTTGGACGTCATGTGGAGACCAATTTCGCTTCGAACCTCATTCAAGAACGCTGCTGACTTCAGGGGGCTTCTGCAAGATTGTTAAGCATGAAGAAAGCTCTCTGCTATACTTGCGCTGGCAGCAAGGGAGACTGCAGGAGAAGAGGCGCCATAGCGGCTTAACCATGTTCCTGCCTATTTTTTGGGTCGCGTGACGAGGCATCGTCATGCGACTCTTTGAGGGTGAGGACGTTCTGACGAAAAGCAACGCTCTAGAAGTACAGACCAGGAGAGCTGTCGACGCAAAACGACCGAGACAAAGGTGTGTGGAGAAATGTCAATCCTGTTTCAGCAAGAAGGCTTCGGTGGCAATCGAAGCGAGCGAGCAATAAATGATTGAAGTATAAAATACAAGGACCTACTACTTGTTGTAGGCGCCTGTGAAACTCTCAAAGCCTGAAGCCCGCCGTGGCCGAAGATGCCACCGACGAAGCAAGCCTGCAATGCCGGGAGCGGAGTGTTTAGAACGAGAAAAAGAGTGGCTATATAGTTCTACCTAAAGTAAATTTCTATTTTGATTTTACATTGCAATATATAGTTCTAGACAGCATCTTTTTGTCCATTTTTGAGATTATTTGCCTTTATCTTCTGTACTTCCAAATGCGTTAGCGTCAAATTTTTTTTTTGGGGACTCATTGGCCCGCTGCAAAAATTGGGCGCCGCTGCTGCAGGCCGCTCTTGTCTGCGGCGCCTGTGGTGCTGACAAAGAATGCCCATTCAGCTGGACGCGAACGTTCCGAGAGGATCCGCGCCCTTTGTGGCTAGACCCGAGGGCTCCGGTGCAGGAACAAGGCCCGCCGGTGCTGTTCGCGCGCTTTGGGAGAATCCAGGGGCGCCCGCGTGTGGGGCGCAAAGCAGCCGGCGCCGGCGCCCGCCTCTTGTTGGCCCGCAGAGTTGTGCGTTGGCGGTATTATTCTGGGCGCAGCGGCGCGTGAGTTAGAGTTTGGCGGGGCGCTTCGCGCCCGTGGTGCGGCCGCGGCCCTGCCCCGGCAGGCTTGCGCGGCTCGCGCCAGTGCTCCGCCAGGCGCCCGTCTTGGCGCCCTTTTACGACAGGGTCTGCCCGTGTGCACGCCGGCGAATTGTACTGAGACATTGCGGCCGGCGCCCGTTGTGGTCGCCGGCGCCGGCGTGTTGCGCCGTCTTTTCGGCGGCTGCCTGTAAAGTGGTGACGGGGCCGGCGGGCCGGTCGAGAACGAAGGTCTTTCAGAATGATCTACATGGCATGTAAGTTCCCCTGCCGAGACCGACGATCGCCGTCACTCAGACGGCACGCACCTGGACGTGATGCAGAAACCAATTTTGTTTCGCACATCATTGAAGAACATTGATTGCGGGCTTCATTGACTTCAGAGGGCTTCCGCGAGTGTGTTAAATGAAAGCTATCTTCAAGGAAGCCACTTGTCTTGCGCTTGCAGCAAGGAAGACAGCAGGACAGTGCCGTCATATTGTCGCAGCCATGTTCCTCCATGACTCATGTTCTGGCTTATGTGAGGCATCGCAATGCGGTTCTGTGAGAGCGAGGAGGCATATGGAGAAAAGCAAAACTCTAGAACTGCAGACCACGAGAGCTGCCGACGCAAAACAATGGACACAAAGCTATGCCGAGAGATTTAACGCCTCTTGCAGCATGGAGGCAGGCTTCGGTAGCAAGACTTGAAGCGAAGCAGAAGTATTACTGTATATTAAAGTATCGCGTACTAGTTGTAGGCACCTGTGAAACTAACTCGCGAAGCCAGAGGCCCTCGGTGGTCGAACATGCCACCGACGGACCAAGACTCCGTTGCGGGGAGCGGAGTTTTCACGCCTAACGAGTCCGCAGTCTTGCCTGTCACGGATTCTCGCACACACGCAAACTCGTGGGACACTTACGACATCGCTACTCCGCAGAACAACAAAACATACCGAGAAAAGATGGCGGACGTAAGTACTTTTTTCGATGCGGCGCACTCCTTGAGCGATTGTTTCTGTAAATATGTTTTCTTTTGTACTTCGAACTAGTTTTCCAGTTTAAGGAAGTTTAAGTTTGACTCATCTGCAACGCAGTGAGCAAACTGAAATCAAGCGCGAACCTGAAAATAAAATCTTACCCCACCGAACAGATGCAGAAGGAGCGGAACCAGCAGGTGCGGCAGTACATCCGCGACGAAGCGGAGCAAAAGTACACGATCATCACTTTGGAGGAGAACCTGCAGGACAAGATCCGCAAGCTGCGCGCGGCGCACGCGGAGATCGCCCGGCTGCAGGAGATCCTCCGAAAGAACGGGCTGGAGGCCGAGGTCGTGCGGGGGTGCCGCTACAATTCCGTCGGGGCCATCGACGAGGAAGTGGTCCCGGAGGAGGAGGTATGGATTGCAAATATGTCTGGGTCCGAAAGATTCCGAGATTTGTCACGCAGTTTTTCCAAGCTCCGCCAAGGCTGGAATGCAGGGCATAGCATCACAGGTTCTGCATCTGCAGCTCGTTGGTGATACCTATTCTGCATGAGAAATGGTCTCTCAGCATGGCCAGAAATGGGGTCCTTTTGCAAGTCACGCAACGCAGACTTTTGTATGATCCGCAACACGCATGACAAGTTTCTTTACATCCTTCCAGACCCACACACTTTTGCAGTTGATAGGACGTGGAGGAGGTGTCCCACGTAACTATATCGCCGAAGGACGAGGCGGAGCGACAGCTGGATGGCACGAACAAAACCACGAACCTCCACGGGGCGGGCGCAGCTGGGTCAGCGTCCGAGGTGGAAGGTGCCACCGCGGTGAGGAAGGTTGAAGGTAGAGACGGAATGTAGTATAAAATCAAAAATTTGCCATGTGGCCCTCTTGAAATCAAATGACTGTGCAAGAATAACGAGTTTGCCACAAAAATCTATAAGTACCAGACTATCTTCCCACCGATGATGTTGTTGTAGCTAGTAGAAAACGAAACTCAAAATCTCTTCAGTTCTGCACCTCCCGCCCGTGGCGTCGCTCACCGCGAAGTCCGAAAGCTCGGCCACAGCAGTCGCAAAACCGTCCGTGCCCCTCACCGCCGACGACCTGTACTACTACCCGGAGGGCAAGGCCGCAGAGGACTTTCAGCAAGTCGAGCGAGACCCCGGCGAGGAAGCCGACTCGGAATATGAGGACATCGAGGACGCGAGTGAACAGCACGGCGTCGCCGATCGTCCAGTAGAACAAGTACTCTCTTCGAGCAGACAAGGCTCCTCGTCCGTCGGCGTTGCTTCTCTGGTCGTAGCGAAGCCCACAGCCTCCATAGTTTCTCTCGCTTCCGACGGCAGTGACCGCGTCTCGCCGTCTGCGGTGTTGACTTCCTGCGTGTTGGAAAAGAAGAACGACGAAGCTGTCTGCAAGGAGAACAGGACATTAGCTGAAAGTAGAAGTGCCTTGAACACTTCTACCTCAGGGTCCGGGTCCAATAGCAAAAAACCACCTTCAGATAACTACACGGCGAAGAAGCCGGCCCCGGGGCTGGCGCGTCCCCCACCCGCTCCGGAGAGCACACCGGATCTGCTGGAGCAAACCCGGATTTCGAATTCGGAAGTGGAAAAGATGGAGGCGTCGCTGCGGAAAAAGTACACGAACTTGAAATGTCTGCAGCGCAGCGGTGGAGACAACATCAGCCTGAGCCAGACGAGTGGTCAACAGGTGGTCTCGCCGATGTCGGCTTCCGTGGCAACCACCAAAGTGTCTCCGGAAAAGCGGCCTCATGGGACGATCAGTGCGTTGCCGAGCTTAAACATCGGAGGCGTTACAGCCAGTATAGATCTCGTCACTTTGCAGATTGATTGCTTCATTCAATCGCGCTTGTGTGAGTGCTGTCTTTTCTGTCGTTCCATGTATATTCAGAGTTCTCGCAATGTCTGCTCGTCTTCGTCACGGGGGTAACAACTTTCTTAAGTTCAACTTCGAATTTAGATCAAACGGTTTTTTACCAATTTTTTTACAACTCTTCCAACTAGGCTCTTCCACATCTTCTTCCCGCGAGCGTGCTGCGTCTTGTCGCCCCGCGGCCTTCGGCATCTCGGTTCCCATGCACGTGCCAACATCCGCGCTGCCGTCTCCGTGCTTGCAGTACCGTTCGCTGGAACTGCCAACGCCGAAATGGCCTGTGCCAGCAGCATATAACATGCAAAAATGTCTGGGTCTGGAAGAATGCAAGATTTGTCTATGCATATTTCTCATGACTCATCATCATCATGCCTGTAATGCTTGACCTAGCATCGCAGACTTTTAGAGGCCTTCCTGATGTACCTTCCGCCTGAGAAATGCTCTGTCCGTGTAGCAAAAACTGTACCCCTCTTGCTGGTCATGCAATACAAATTTTTTTAGAGTTCAAAAACAGCATGACGAGTTGCAATCTTCCAGACCCAGACACTTCTGCAGTTTATACAGCCGTAGCTGGAACGAGCACTCCGGCAGACGCCAAGCCACGGTTCGTCACGCGCCTCAGCGCCCGACCGCCGCCTAGAATGCCAACAACCGGTACAGGGGGGAGCGCCACTGCCGCCGTTGGAACCGGGCTACCCCCGGCCAATGCGACGTACTTGCCTTTGTTTGATAAAAAAAAAACCCATGAATGTGCGTACGTGTACTGAAACCGAGTTCTTGAAACCTAAGAACAGTGTACTTTTTCGTTCTGCAGCATGTTTGATGTACACATTTGACTTTCGTTTTCCCAACACCAGCGTCGTTGCTGTGGAAACGACCAAGAGCGCGACCAGTTCCGCGGCACCCAGCCCGCTCACGGCCACCGCTGTCTCGAAGCACATGGGCGTGTTGCACTACCCGCGGTTCGCCAAGCAGCCCCGAATCGCGCAGTACTCGACGAGACCCTCAAGCACAAGCCCGGCGGCGGAGACGCCGCTGGTGTTTTCCCGTGCCGTCGTACCCGCTACGGCTCACCAAACCAGCAGCTTCCTCCCCGCCGCGCGTGCCAGCGTCACCGGCGTGCGAACCCTGGTCGGAGGAGGAGCGATTTGTCCTGCGAAGAACAGTAACACAACCCCCAACCGCAGTCCCTCGCACAATTCGAGTTCCGTCCGCAAGCTTCGGGCTGGATCTGCGGATGATGCGACGTCGGAGTTGCAGAACCTCCGTGCAGCAACTTCTACCGGCCTAGACTCCTCTGCAACGCGACGACTGGGCGCTTCACCTGTGGACGGTAAGGACTCCGGTGCGGAACTGCTCATGTCCAAAACGACGGCAGACTCAGCAAAGAGCAAGGAAACGGTTACGACAGCAGAAAAGGGCGGAGAGCATCAAGAGACGAAGGAGTACTTGCGAGTGGCCCGGTCAGACACCCTCGAGGCGAGTCCGGTGTCGTAAGGATACTTAAAGGTTGAAGTGGCAGGTTGACATCAAGATCTGCAAAAGAGTTTTAGTGATTTTGATTTAATGAGGACTTTTTCAGCACATGTTGATCCGGACGAGCTTGTGGGCCAGGCCTTGCCTCTGAGTCTCAAAAAAGCCTTTCCCACAAATAGAAATTCCAAAACAAGTCGCTCTAACTCAGTAGTCTAGTATGAAATAGATACTGCAGCGTGAGCGTAAGACAAGTGTTTTTCAAGTTCATCACTGGCTTTCATGTACATATCGCGACCGTATTGTGTTTGTGACCCGGTTTGAATATTAGACAAGAAATTGCTGTAAGAGTAAAGCTGGCTGTTTGTGTGTGCGCCGTGTCATGTTTTTGTCATGCAGGATTCGGTTTTTAACTTTAGCTTCCCTGACGGGCATGTGATGAGCTTTCCTCACAGCACGGACCCCAACTTGTTGCAGATGAATGTTGTCGGGATCTATCATCTTTTTTGTTGATCGAAAAGAAAAATGAACTCACAGACACACATAATGATAAGCGACGACTTTTAGAAGAAGAAGCACAACTTTACAACAAGAAAGAACGCGCAATTGCAGTAGAAGAAAATACTTTGAAGATTTTTCTGGGTTTCTGGGACCTGAGACGAGGCCGGAAGGAACGCCATCTCGTCGAATTGTGACAAGTTTAATACAATTGTGCGTAGTGTTGATGTGTGTTCGTTTATTTTGAAACCGCTCTGTTTGAACGCGACGAGGTTAATGTTGCTCTCTCCGGAACTGCGATGGTGAACAAGAGCAAACTGGCGAGCGTCCTATCTCCTAAGTTTTCTAGTCAAGAAGCGCAGGTTTCAAAAAAAGGACCGACACGAAAAGACGGTGATGGTTTGCGTCAAGACATGCCTTGCGTCAAAACATGGTTTATTGCTCCCAAAAGATGACAAGCGACGTGCAAAGTTATCTAACTGGTGGTGAAACTGAAAGCGAAAACGAATGCCACTCTCTGATTGCACCTCTAGTACGAAGCATTGTCTGACGTCGTGTTTCAACGCAGCAGGGAAGGTGTGGTTTGTGTGTGTTTCGAATCAGTGTGCAAATCAAAAAGTTGTGAACGTCAGAAAACGAGAACGGATAGTGAATTAGAATTTGTGCTATCAGACAACCGTCTCAACAGCATTGTTCCAGAAACATCAAGATGCTTTTATCCTAATCCCTTCACCCTGGTGGCCGCGCGTCTGCTCCGCTTCGGGCGATCACACAAACTACCGGACTGAACGGTTGTTGCGAATTGAATCTGTGCCGCACAGGTGCAGCAGAGAACAGGAAAATTTTATCGTGCAAGAATCAGGACACTATCCCGCTTTGGTACTTGCAGTGTCGCGTCCGTGAGCGATTCATTGTAATCCTTCCGACTGACATTTTCTGTCCAGTTTCTAGCAGGAGCAACCAAACGTGGGCTACAACTACCGGAGCAACGTGCGGGAACCAACCAGCTATCTTTCCACAGCAACATTCATATCTGCAACAACTTCCTCATTGCAACTACAACTTCAGCCTTTTTGGTCCGTACCGAGCAGCTGCGAATTGAATTTTTTCCAGCGACTATCAAACGCATTCTCCTCCGTAAGCCGAGTTCCACGAGACAAAGAAGCACCTCCTCCTGCAAGATGACGAGCGACGCGGGAGTATCGAAATCAAAAAAAGAGAAGAAGGAAAAGAAGAGCAAGAAGGAGAAGAAAGAAAAGGACAAAAACAGCGACCATCCAAGTCCCTCCGCCTCACCTGGGGACGCGGTAAATGAAATTTTGTTATGATTTTGTTAAAGGAGCTTCGCCTTATTCTTATGAAAGAAACTCAGTAAGCGAGGTCATCTAATGGATTTTCTGCACTTTACTGAACAAGAGAACGTGAACTTGTTCTTTCACCAAACCCGCAGCATTAACCAAAAATCTCAGGCACCGTCACTTCCGCCCGGTCTCGCCGCCGCTGGCTTAGCCGGCGCGTATCCACCGTGGGGCGTTGCAGCCGCACCCGGGTGGGACCCGTGGGGACAGGGATGGCATCCCGCCGCCGCTTCGGGGCACCACTGGGCCCCTCATATGGACCCGAACGCCGCCGCCATGATGGCTGCCGCCGCGGCGCACCAGGCCGCCGCAGCAGCCGGGCACCACCTGGTGCCGCCGCACGACGCGGCAAATGCGCTCTCGGGTGCGTTGGAAAAGGCGCTGAGCAGCCACCTGAGTGGGAGCTCGGAACGCAAAAAGAAGAAGAAGAAAAAGAAGCGCAGAAGCCGTTCGTCCGATTCGGAGGAGGAATCGTCGGAGGAAATAAAAGTCCGCACCATCGCCAATCCCTTCGCTCGCTACGGCCACGAATCCCAGCCACCACCGCAGCAGGGAGCGCAGATGCCAAGGAGCGGAGATTACACGAGCGAAAAGCTGGAGGCGATAGGAATCCACGAAAATCCTATGCGATTGTCTTCGATCAGGGCGACTTATCATTATCAGCGGAAGATGTCAGTGTCATGCGTGTTTGAGGACTCTAATGATCTGTTAACACCGAGATCTAGATCACAGGTTACGTGAAATGTCTACCACCTCTCACCACCTCCTTGGGCTTGGACTTATGAACTGGAGTTCAATCCCAGTTTATTCGCTGAAAGCCGCCACAATGGTAATGATAATTGGTTTGCATCCTATACCAGCAGAACTAGTCGAAGGCCTCCTCGAATGGGTGGATGAAAATAGGGTGAAAACTTTTTTTAGCTTTTTTTTGTCCACTTCAATCATGGGTAGACCACGATTTCCAACAACAGCGTCGGTTACTTAGTTCCTGCTGATAGTTCGGTGGAGGTCGTTCTTGTACCAAATTGCAATAGAAAAAGCCGAGCATGTGCGTCGTTTGGCAGCGTCTCATAGTTGGTTCCAGTCCCGACAGATACATTCCACAGTTTTTACTGGACAGCGCAATGCTGGCACAGTAAAATCTTTCAGTAAAGAATTCTTTGGTATAAAACATCTTTGTGCAAAACGAGATGGAACCTCCAGTGCGAGTGAGTAAAGGCATTTGCGCACCATGCAAGTATTGACGAGCTTCGACCGTGCAGATCGTACTGCTGCTGCAGCCGGAAGGATCTCAGTAGTAGATAGATCTCTATACATACCTACGTACACAACTGTCCGCCTCGCGTTTTTTCACGGGAGAAGTTACAAGCGCACTGGTGATTGTAGCTGGAGGAAGGTTTCCTATGTATTGATGAGCACGACGGCGGTTCAGCAAAACAAGTTGTGCGGCGGGCCTTCATTGTCATTCGTGAAGCCAACAAATTTTGCTTTGAAACTGGAGGAGAAATAAGTACTGAGTGCCGAGGTAGTTGTGGACTGCTAACGTTGAATCGCAATCGGGGTGCCACCGCGAGCATGTTAGAAATCCGAGATGAAAATCATAAGTAGACCGCATCCTGTGCCTGCTGCATTTTTAGTCTGTGCGACTGATGCAAGTCTTCATGCCATGCCCATGCTTGTAGCTGTAAGTGTGCCTAATATGGCCAGACGCATATATCTCTATTATGGCGCACGCTTAGCGTGAGACCGACCAAGCTGCCTGTACTAGGGACAAAAGATTTTGACGTTTAGGCTCTTATTTATCTCTAGTACGTAGTTCTTGTAGCTGCTACACCTTTGTACATAGTCGGTTGTAGCTACTCCACGTCCTCATGTTTGTGTTGCGTATTTCCCGGAAGATGACCACGCGTCAAAAATGTCATCGAAATTCCCCATCAATACGAACCTCTGCAGATCGATCAAGACGCCTTCGTACGGCTTCGATGCCTCGTACGAAACTGGGACGAAAGTTGTACTATAGGAAGAAACAAGTTGTGGGAAAAATGTAACACAGTTCGTCGTGGTCCACCACTAAAATTCGAATGTTTTTTCTGCAGCTGCAATCAAGTTGTGCTTGTGTGTGCTTCAGTTGTTTTGCAGCCACACCACTGCAAAGCCAGAGCCGTTGAGCTTTTGCATTATTGGCATCTGAATTGCCATTGCAACGAGCAGCTGACGCCGTAAGATTCCTCGAAAGTAAAACTTGTTCCCTGTGCTCCTTTCTTTGCCCTTCAATACCGCACGGTGGAGTACCAGCACAAAATCATGGTAAAAGGCCCGGTTGGGGACGTCGCGAACCCGGCCAACGTGCTGATCGCGCGTATACGCGATATGCTCAAGCACCCGATCCTGGGAGCGCCGAGACCGGGGAAGAAGGCACAGCCAACGCTAGAAGAGAAAGAGCACCTGGAGGACAGTACACGTTTGTTATACGCGGTTTTCTTCTGAATCTGATTGATTTACTTATTCCGAGCTGCACCTTCCTGCCTGTTCATGCGAGTACTAGATTGGACGTTTCCGCTTCGCTATCGTGCTTGAAGAGATTTGTAGTTGTGCCGACATTTCTATCGGTACCACGTTGATGTAGTTACTCATAAGTTCAAAAAAAATGACACCAGTGCGCGCACTGGAGATGCAGGCACGAAACAACTACCAGCAAGAGAACCAGAATCAGAGAATGAGACAGCGATACGACGAAAGAGACGGAAAAGGCGGAAAGAGGTATACATAGTAATCATCTGCGTATAAAAATCCTTTTCCAGCACCTTCATGGACGGCTTTCTTCATGGTCATTGATTTGGTTTTTGGAAAAAGTTAGTGTCGTAGATGTACAAAGTAAACGTTCTTCCTCTCATCTTACCCCGACTCGTTTAGGTATGACGGCTACCACGACCGTCCGTACGGCAAGTGGGGCCGCGCTGCCGCCTCGCCAGAGGTGATCGGGCCGAGTTTATCGGAGCAGCAAGAGAAGCTGTCCCAGCGGGGAGGCAGCGGCAAGTACAATGGCGGAAAATACGGCAAAGGCGGAGGAGGACGGCACAAGGACCACCAGCGAAGTATTGGAGACTACAACCACAGCAACGGCGGTGGAGCATCAAACCAGCAGAACCTAGCGCTGACCAACGTCGTCGACCCCTCCATTGACGCGCGACACGCCCCCCAGTTCGTGCCAGCCACGGCCGCACAACACTCGTCCACCTTTCCTCCCGGAGGAGAGAGCGTGCATCCCCCGCACCAGATCCATATGGGCGGCGCAGGTGTTGTGCCACCAGCACACCAGCAGCAACCCGGGGTAGTGATGATGCAGCAGCACCAGCAGCACAGTATGAACACCGAGCAGCCGCAGCGCGAATCCACGCCAACGACCACATCGAATGGGCAGGCCATGCCGTACGGCTTCGGAAATACCACGGTGAGAGGACAAACGACGCCACGGAACCACATACACAGCAACCTCCCCGGCGGCGGCGGACAGGGGCACCAGTCCTTTGCCACCAATGGCGGGTTTGTTCATCCACAACACCATGTACTTCCGCACGACCAGGTAGGACATCATCTTCCGCAGCACCACCCGCCACCAATGGCGCACTTTGGTGGACCTCCTCCACCAGAGATGACCGGCCCGCCGCATCACCAGGGCGGGTATCGTGCGCACCAACAGGGTGGATACCACCAGGCACCTAGTGGCGGTGGTCCATACGGAAAGGGCTTTGCACCGGTTACCTTCGCGGATGTTCGGGGGGCGTGCTAACGGAGCAGTCTTGAGCGAGGACTACATAGGATTTTTCTAGTAGTGCGGTGCCTGTGCAAGTAACATACATGGAGGACCATTAACACGCAGCACTACAACCTGACGAGCGACCTTTTGGGATTGGAAACGACCAATGGAAACGAATATAAATAGTTTTTTCCTCGAAAACGAAAACGAAATGAACCTGATGAACCAGCGATGAGTATTCGCCCGGCGACCGCGCGACTGTTGCGACGTCAATTGTACGCCTGCACGGCAACTACGTCCAAAACTCAACGAATACTTCGTTATTTTCATCTGAGAGCGTCTTCTTTCGGCGACAAGGGCAGAAGCAGTAGCGCATGTTATCTAGTACAGCGATATAATTGTGGCGCTTTTCATTTAAGACGAACGACTACGACCACTTTCTGCTTGCGGCGAAAAGTACTCTGCGCTCTACGGTGGCTGACGGCATCCGCGACTCTCCTGCGGTGGTCCACAGCAGCTACTTACTCTTAAAGCAGCACCACTACCTCTTGAGCACGCAGGACATAGACTCAGGGAAAGTTGAAACACTTTTAAGCAGTGCGAGGACCACGTCAGTGTTACTGAGACTTTAAGATGGAGCACACCAGGACTCGACGGGCTATCGGGACGCTCTCCCCGCACTGATTACGTCTTGTCGCTGCTCAGATTGAGCGTCAACATTTACATCGAAGAGGTGAGCTGTGCTCCACGCGGTTTCCCTTCTGATTTGGACGGTTTTCTTTTTTTGTGTTCGCAGAATTCAGTTACTTTTTCGCTGCAGAGAAGGCACTGCATCTTCACAGTTGTGCCGTTTTACGAAGAGAATTCGTTGTTGGGGCAGATGAGCGTTAGCACGAGGGTCAGAAATTATAAAACTCAAGTACTTGTTTTTGATAGGAGAGAAAGGTAGAAGTGTCTGATACATACAAGAAAGAGGAAGACTTCTCACGTTCGAGGTATCTGAATGAACGTCTGAAAGAGCAGTAGAAATTTTACGTCACATCTTGGCTCAGCGAGGTTGTTGCTGACCAGGCTCAGGAATAGTAGTAAGTAAAAGCAATCCCGAGTCTTGATGTGTTGATCGCGCCGGGGGACAAGGATGAAAACTTGGCAAATCCAGCCGGTCCCGACGATGCGCGGCGTCCCGTTCAGCTTCTTCGCCGGCGCCTTGCCAGTCCTCACACGGTCGCAGCACCTTCTGCAGCGCGAGGGCGTTCGTTCAGCAGGAGCAGACACGCCCTTGTCTGTTGTAATCTCTTCAGGTCCAGACTCTTTTTTGGAACAAGCCGCGACCTTGTCTATTGCAGCTAGGGTGCTGGAAAAGCATCAGGCTATAGAGACAGCAGGAGATACTTCAGCACTCCCATCCGCTAGTACTAGTACAGCAGCAACGAGCGACGAATTTTGCGATTCTCATTTCGGCGCCGGGCTTTTACGCCGCTACGATGAAAATCCCGTCGTCCTATGCGGTCCCAAGAAGAAAAATAATGGACCAGCAGAAGGTGAAGGACACGACGTAAGCACACCTTCGAGCAGCGACGACACTGAAGCTGCAGCCTCATATCTACAGTGCAGCGGGCCCAAGCTGAAGCTCGAGGGAAGCAAAATCGTAGAGCTCGGTAAGGGCGCTTACTGTTGGGGACGAAACTTGACCTTCGTGAAACAAGGAAAACACGGCGACGCCGTTAGCGCGGCAAGTTCCGATGACTGGCGCTGGGTGCTAGAGGCCAACTGTGACTGGCAGATAGATCCTGCGTCCAACCTGCGGCTTCTGATATCCAACAAAATGTACTATTTTTGCAGTCCTTCTACTACGGAAATCTACTTTCCCAACGTCTTGCTGCTAGCTAGGCATGTTGATAATGCAGTTTGGCGAATTTCATCAAGCCGTTATGATAAAAACTTTCAAAAGAAAGGAAGCACTTAAAACAAGCTCCTCCTTTGAATACTTTTTTTATCTGGATACCGAAACCGCTACCAGTACTACGATGGCCCGGTACCAGCAGGCGACCCGGAGGTGTATCTTCCTGTACCACGAGAAATTCTCGATCAAAGCAAAGGGGGAGCAGCACAGGAAGGCTCGTCACTCGTGCACGAGCAGGCATTCCGGTCCCACTTTGATAGTGATAGGAAAAGCGCGACGGGAAGAAACACCGTCGGAGATCTTCACGGCGCGTCGAGGTCACTTTCTCAAGCGACGAGAGGACAGCACGACAGTGCAGCGCAGCACAGCGGGAGCACAAGAACAGAAGAGCATCAATCTGAACAAGTGTCAGATACCTTGTTTGTCCTCTCCTACTTTGAAGACGCCTGGAACCCGAGCGAAGGTCTCCCGCAATTGTTTGCCGTTCACCTCACCCAGCTGCGCGCGTTCCAACAGCTGCGCGGTTTGAATGGCAAAGACGTACTAAACCTGAAAGCCGCAGGGACACAAGAAGAAGCTTCGCTCGGTGTAGCTCACGGGGATCTTCTCGTTCTAGAGCGAGACCCCGGTCGCCGACATGTTTCGAAGCCCCACGTCGTGCCCTACATGTTTCGCAGGATGGTGAACGGGACGTATGTATCCTGAGGGCATAAAATCCCGCCGTTCCCATATTGAAAGGCAAAACTTGTGATGCAGGAGACCATCGGTGGCCACAATGAATCACAAATCGAGTGCAGAGGAGGTATGCCTACGCGCCGCATTATGGAAGCGATTTGGCACCATCCGCGTGCAGCTGTCGGGCCTACAGGTTAGGCGGCTGCAGCCATACTAAGCAACTAGATGCGAACGCCCCGCCACCGGCCGAGGATGTGGCTGCAGTTCTTTACTGCAAGACAGCTCGTTAAGTAATTTGTGTATCGTTCTTACGCAAGACGTCAAGCCTCAGAAGGAGCTTTGTCTGAAGAAGGGGGACGGATGTTTCATTTTGATACTGTGTACGGTCCGACGAGACGCCGTTGACACATCAGACAGGAGAAACTGCGAAATCTAGTACAACGGCGGGCGCGTTTCTTTCTCTGCAGCCAACCGAGCCAGTAGACACACGACCATCTGCGCCGCTCGCCGCGCCAATAAACCAGCAGCAAAGCGGTCCACGGCACCGGCTACAGCACGGAGAGCGAGGCGGAGCCTATTTGGAAGTAGAGCAGCACGGTCGTGCGCCGGAGCTTTCGGCGCAACCTGAACACCGGACCCGTTGGACGGGAAAGAACGTTTTTTTCGTAATTGGCACGGACGAGGAATGTTCTCTCGGGATTGACTGCCGTGAGTACCCAAAGGACGCGGCAAAGCCTGGCTGTACAGGCAGCCCTACTCCAGAAACATCAGGCACCGGCCGAAGTACTAGTACAAGCGTCGATACACAACAACCACACGACTTCCCGCGCTTTTCGGAATGCAGGGGAAAGGGGCCTTTCCTGGATTCTGCAAGCCGGCACGTGATACAAGCATTCCAGCCGTCAACTACATCACCTGCGACATCCGTAGTGGATTCTGCAAGCCGGCGCGTGATACAAGCATTCCAGCCGGCAACATCTGCGACATCCGTAGTAGGGGCAGCAGCAGCTGCCGGGGGACGGGAAGTAGATCAAAGCTGGAGTGGAGGCAGTGACTCAAGTGCTGCGGTACTCTCCTCTGCTTCATCTCGGGTTTCTGGTATGGAAGCAAATAATCTTCTTCACGACCCATCCTCGTCGTCGTGTCTGATTCTTCTGTACAATCGCCACAGCCATCGTCGAGAGGCGGAGAACCAGGAGGACGCAAAGTTCACGCTGGAAAGCAGCTTGAACTTGCAGGAGCACGCGTTGAAGACGAAAAATGTTGCCCGCGAGCGGCGTGAGGCAGAGTTTTTCCACACTCTGCGAGCGATCGCCGAAGAGGCCGAGGCAGAGCACGCAGCAAATGGCGCGAGGACTGCTATGGGATCACTCGCTGCGATGGGGCGTTCTACGGAGGTCGAGCGGGAAGATGTTGCAAAGAACGCAAAAGAGGCGGGGGCGGGGGCCCTCGGCAGGACGACATCCTGTGTGGTGGAAGACTATAATCCCGATCCTGACGTACTGCCGCTAGCGCAACAGGTGCAGAAATTAGCTAGTGCTTCCATGCTGGTGGGCCCCCACGGCGCGGTGTATGCGTGGGCCGCATTAAGCGAGTACAGAACTCCTCCTTCCTCTTATGTGCATGGCATCTGCAGCGACAGAAGCAACAGCTTCCGCACGACAAATCTACACGCGTAGAGTAGTACTGTTTCGGGTTCTCGAAGCTTATCATCCAGAAAACACTGCCAGAAGGCACAGCTTGGATTTGGTATTTTGCATGACTTTGCGTAACAGCCATCGGCGGCTGTTTGCAAAAGGAAAGACAAATCGCGAGGCAAAGTGTTTCGCACTAATTCTGTTTAGCGTGACAAATGAGAGGGAGGGGGAGTGGTGTGCTCTCTTCATACTCGTTGTTGATGCCGTCGCCGTGCGCGGTTCTGGTCGAGATACTGGGCATGCAGTACAAGGTATGCATGGGAGTGTCATGTTGGGAATTCTGAAAATGTAAAAGTAAATCATTTTCTTTTGCGATGCATACAATCTCAATCAGTATCCTTTGGAACTGAACCCGCAATTTCGGGCAATTTTTAAGTGGCGCATGACAAATTTTCCAGGCACGGAACGCCAATATGTCGTGCTCCTGTTGAGAGAAAAAGCTAAAGCAAGGTTTTTTTGTCATGCCTGCAGCAACCTATCCATGGCGCATGCTGATCCCAGTGAGTCAGAGTCTTACAATCTGCCTCAGTTGCCTCGAATGCAACACAGACATATGCGTGTGCTGCATTTCGTGCAAGTGCATTACAAGTTGATTTCCAACCTTACGCTTCTATACAAGGGCCATCGGAACGTGGCGCTGTTGCGGAACCTGCAGCATGTGAACTACGTGCCAGCCTGGGCACCCAAGTGGGGAACCGATTCCTTCTCGTATGACACAAGCGAGCTACTATCCACTGCAAGTATGTCTGGGTCTGGAGCGTTATGATGCTAGTAGTACAAACTTGCATGAGTCAGAAACTTACTCCAGTACTTACGCAGCCACGAATGAAAAGTCGCGTTTTTGCATGCCACAGTGAGGAAGACGGACCGCTCGGGGTTACGTCGCAGTAATGAGAATGACGATGATGATACTGATGATGATGACAAAGAGGGAACCCTAGTATCCCCTAAAATGCATCACAGAGTCTAGGGGAGTTGCGATCCGGCTGCATTATATTTGCATATTCATATTGCATTTCCATGCAGATGGAGGGCGCAAGCCAATACAGTTACCTTACCATACCGTGCGAGAACATCAATGCAAATCTGGCAATCCTCTTCCAGGCCCAGACATCTTTGCATTTCATAGCTGCGCACCGAGTACAAAAAGTGGCGCACTTTGTTGCACGAATGCCAGCAAAGCGGCGGACCTCCCAAGCCCGTCCAGAGCAACGGGGGCAACGACGGGTCCGACCAGTAAATGAAAAAACAGGTCGTGCGCTCGCCGGTAAGATTCAACCACAATCAAACACCGCTACTAGCCGAATAAACAAAGCCAGCCGGGTAGACGAAAGATGTTCTAGCTGTTGAAGCTGATGAGAACCGGCTTCGGTGAAGATATTACATATTTGGACCATAACATGTACACAAACGTATAGCCATAGTTGTAGAAGCGGCGGGCGCTCCTGTACGTACAACGGTTCTGTGGGATGCTCAAGCACAGGGCGAGAGCTATCTGCGAAGCGAGGACTTGTTTTAAGAAAAAACTAGAATACAAGAAACGCCTTATTACCATGCTACCGACTGAGCAATCCTTCCCAAGGAATACGTGAGTGAGGAAGGAAGCAAAATGTAAGGACATGCACATGCACAATTGTAAAATCTGATCAACGTCTACTTCTACTGTCCTCGGCAATATGATCTATCAATTCGGATTCTCCCAGGAATATCACTGATTTTAGGTTTCGTTCTTCCATGGAGGTAGAAACAAAAGCCCACTGAAAGCAACGGCTCGTCTACCGAAATTGATTGGGCTGGGCATGGCATTTAGGGTAGGATGAAGAGCAAGAAGCAAAAGGATGCTGATGTCGTCCTTTAGTTGAGAAGTATATTTGATTAGCTGAATTATATAAGTTAGTTTAGCGCCCCTGCAAGGCGCCCGGTAGTACAAAGGCCCAAGTTCTAGTGGGCCTGGCGCAGAGCCCAGGAAAAAAAAGACAGACACGAAAGCGTCGCAGCCAGCCGCAGATGGGCGCGCCGGCCGTAGCGTAGGGCTCGCGCAACACGTCCGCTCGACGGCGTTCTGGCGTGTCGGCGGAGGGTCTTCCCTACATCCGCCTGTCTGCGCCAAGCGTTTTTGGAGGCGCTGGTGGTCCAGGCCGCCGAAGTGTCTGCTTCCTCCCTGGGCAGCAGACAAAGCCGATCCCGCGACCACTTGCATCCAGCGGGTGTTGTATTGCTAGGAAATATTGCAGGATGTTGGCGCACCCTTGGCCTGCGTGCGGCAGCGTGCCCGTTTGTTGTTCTTTTTGCGGACGAATTCCAATTCGACAACGACAGCGTGGAGCGAAGTCTTTGGCTGCGTTCGGATAGAATTGCCACGGTTCTTTGGCGACTGGCAGGGTTTGAATCGTCAGACGAGTAATATGGAGCTTCTTCATTGTTTCGTAAACGACTCCCAGTTTGTTTGGCAGTAGCGGAAAAAACAGCTATACTAGAAGCTCACCTTCGCCGCCCACATAGCTCCTCCAACAAAAAAGCAAAAAAATGGGTTGCTCCCAGTCCAAGAAGCCGTCTCTCAGCTCGGTCGTCCCGAACGAGGATGGTGGCTCCCCTGTGAAAACCGCCAATAAAAGTGAAGTTGCGGCGAAGGTCGGCTGCAGCAAAACCATCAAGCTTGACTCCTGGTTGACCCGAGTTCCGGTAGTGGACTGGGAGAAAAGCGATGTGCACCGGTGGCCCGCGCGATCGGTAGATTGGGGGGACATGGAGAGATGGGAAGCCACTCTCAACGAAGACCTGGCACGTGAGGGAAAAGCAGCTGATGTCGCGAGTGGAGGCAAGGAAAGGAAAGCTGCGCTTGCGGTAGAACTTTGTGTTTAGATAGAAGCAATTCAAAATAAACCTTTTGATTGAGATTCGTCGTGGTTGCAGAGAATTGAGATGCTGTGCATCACTTTAAGAAAATCACTCTCTCTCAGGGCCGCGAGGAAGAAGTCTTGGGGCGGTTGCGAAAGGAGTGCGGCGTAGCTTTCCAGTCAGACGATTTCTTGAAGAAGGCGCTGCGAACTCATCTGTAAGATCGTTGAGCACTTTTTGTATAAGAATGTTGTGTTTCAGGTTCCTATGTTAGTTTACGTGACATAGCAGCTTCACATGTGTTGCGACGCAGAAGTGTTTTGACACTGACAAAAGAAGCCAAAACGCTTGAGCATCTCCTTTTCGGAAGTTCCTTGAACCTCTCGTCAGGTATCTTCAAGCCGATGAAGCTCGTGCAAGTTCCTCTTCAACGGCGGCAACCGCAGCGGATGTGCCGCGCGTGGCACCGAGTAATATGATGACCTTCGCCCCATTCCCGATGTTCTCCGAAGTCGCGAAAGCCGACACTGCGAAACTAGATGCACTGGTCGCGGAGTGCCGGAAGGTGCCGATCATTTGGACGCCCTTGCCCACTGATGTGATCAAGCGAGACGAGGTTCCGGTTTTACACAGCAGCAGTTGTAGCTCTTCATCTTCAAAGTCAAACTCGAACGCCCGCCCGGCGGAGACACTCCTAGAAGCTGTGGGAAGCAGTGAAATAATAAAACCCACGCGGAACAACACTAGTTCAGCCAGTAACTCTAACTCTTCTGCAAAAGAGGAGAACAAGACGATGACCACGGGCCTGACTTGTTCTAGTAGCGAAATAAATATACCTGGCAAGCCACTAGAAGATCCTGCTGTCGCTTCCACAAGCACGGTTTCCTCCTCCTCCTCCTCGTCTAGGAGCAAGGGCTCGGGAAAATCTGCTGGTAAAACTGCTGCGCAGTACAAGGCATACTACTCTTCGAAGAAAGGTAGTAAAGGCAAGAGCAACGGGAAGAAGCCCGGGGGAAAAAAAGGAATGTCGGATAACAAGGGGACAAAATCTGGGCCGGTGGTAACCTTTGCAAACAAGACACCGAATGATGAAGAAGACCACGAGGCGACGAAAAACAAAAACACAACTGTGCCACCGCCAGGTGGTCAACGTGTACCTACAACAGGCAAAGAACCCAAGATTGTCTCCTCCACTTCCACGCTGGCAACCCCGAGCAGGACCACTGGAATATTAAAATCGTCGCGCTTGAGAACGTTCGAAGAGAGGCGGCACAAAATGCTACCGAAGTTTGACCAGACCTACGCGCAGCGGTTCGAGAAGCTGACTCTGGAAGAGAGGCGGAAGAAGATAGCGTTGCGGAAAGCTTTTCTATTCCGCCTGCCGAAGAAAAGCAAACCGATTTTGCACGACCCGGACCCGGAATTCGGCTGTAAACCAGGCCGATTTTTTCTGTTCGGAAAAGAAGACGACGTTTCGCCGAATAGATTAAAGTCGCCCGGACTGGATTCTAGCAGCTCCTCTTCCTCGTCTGGTAGTAGCAGCAGCAGCAGTGGGAGAAGTTCCTCGAGTTCTAGTAGTAGCAGTTCATCCGCCTCTAGTTCCGACACGAGTTCTTCTTCTTCCTCGAGCGGCGAGTCTTCCTCCTCTTCGAGTGGCAAAGGATCGCCGGCGCAGCCGAAGTAGGCTAGCAAGTCGCGAGGTAGGAGGACAACGGTTTTTGTTCACGCGTAAGAAGTATTTTGTGGGCATTCACAGTGAAGTGCTTGGGTGTGTTTCAAACTGTTTCTTGAATTGACAAAAAAAGCCCGAGAATAGAAGTCATTCTGTAAACAGTAACGGTTTCTCTGGAACTGGATGTAAAATCGGCATTATCAGAAGTTTCGAGGTGGAATAAAGAAGACATCGTTGGACAATTTTTGAAGGCCTTTGCAAAAAGGGCAGAAGGAATACGCCAGGTAACGAACAATTCATGAAATAAGCTCGTGGCTTGCTGTCTAAGTCTATCGACGAGATGTGGGAGGGCAAAATGACTGCAGAGAACGTTTTCTGCACTTTGTGGCAAAGTTATGCATCTGCACTGTTCTTTGTCCTACCAGTTACAGTTTATGCTGTTGGTCTTTGAAAAGTTGGGGAGAAAGAACGAAAAGGGGCCCAGTCGACTCGCGAAAGAAAAGTATTATTTAAAGTACATGATTCTTTTTGTGGTACGATGCAACCACGGACATCAAAAAGCGAAAAGCAAACCGGTCGTGATACAACATTTTTGCCGCTTATTCATGAAATTCACACCCCATTTCATTTTGGATTTTGGTTTTGCATTTTTATGTTGCGTAGCGCCTGCGCTTGTTTGAATTGACGTCTTTGTACCATACAAACAGTTTATCGCAGCTTTTGGTTTTGCTCCCGCTTCACTATCAAATCCTGGGCCAGATTTCTCTCAAAAATCTTCTTGTTCTACGATAATAATTTTTACCAGTGACAGGAAATAAAGCAATACATAAATCATGGCGACGACGTTTCTGTCCTCGTTGTTTCAGACAAAGGACGAGCTGGTTCGGGATCTTGACTTTGTCAGTGCGTGTGACGACGAGGTGGAGTCCGATGAACTGAAGGAAAAATTTATCCTATGCAAAAACGTCCCCACACCAGAGTCAAGATGGGGATCTCGCAACACAAATCTAGAAGCTTTGGGAGTCACGCATGACAAGTTCCTCTCTGCATTGTAGTGCAGTCTAGCAAGTGCAGCTACATCCCAAACCCATCTACCCATCCTGTTTACAGCATTACAAATTCCAAAACACGACTAAAAAAGCCTCTCCTGGCGATGCGCATTACAAATGTTCCTGTCATTGCAAATCTGCATGACAGCTCTGGTGCGGGGACATTTTTACTCAGGATAAAATTTGCCCGCATCAAGATGCGCATCGAACCCGTGCACCGGCTGGAGGAGCGAGCAACGGCGATGAAATACATTCAAGAGACGATCTACGACACCAAAAAGTGGCGGAAAGTGTACAACGGGCTTCGGCTACTGGAGAGGGTAAGCATGTACACGACGGTCGCTTCTACTTTTTCACAAATTATATCTCATTCTCTTTGTTCGCATCGATCATGATAGGGGGACCGGACCCACCAGTGCAGCCATTATTCCTGGTCTACATGATTTTCACTTTCTTGCAGCAGGCTGCAAATTGTCACGCAGAATACAACTCGCACACGACACGCCTCAGCCAATAACTTACGTGCGCTATTTCGCATAGGTTTCCGAGTTTTTCCCATTGCCATACACAAAGAATTGTACCTTCAGGTGATGCAAATTCAAATCCTGGCCGAGGAGCAGCGAGAAGGGCGTCACTTCGACGTGGTCCAGCAATGCAGCTTGCTGATGAATTTTTCGCACGAAGACAGCCGTGTGACGAATCTGGTGCGCCAGCGGGCAAAGCACGTGCGCGAGCGGTGTCTCGACTTGCTGAACTTGACGGACACCAGTTCCGCCGCGGCGGGAAATAGTAGTAGTACTGCTGCCGCGGCGGGGGCAAGCACTAGTTCGTCCTCTACTGCGTCACCGAGTGCGCAGCCCTGGTCTTCCATGAACAAAAGCAGCAGTGCAGCGTCTCCGGATGCAGGAGCTACTCGGAGCAGCCAAAACGGCTCAACGAACCTGCTGGACGACGACTTCAACGTGCAACAGTCGAACCCCTCCGCGGCACGGGGCAGCAGTTCTCTGGCAAATGCCAATAACGACCTCCTTGGCGGAGGTGCAGCTCCCAGTCCGGAAAACAAGTTCGCCCAGTCGGGCGGTCCTGCAGGTTCTTTACAACCCGGCCCAAACCGCGTGTACGCGAATTTTTACCAAAGCGACAAACGCGGCGCGGCGCTGCAGAACAGTACTGGGAGTACGATCTGCTACACAAAGCACCGAGAGGACACCAGCAGCGAGGAGGACGACGACGACAAACCGCGCAGCAGCACCGGCGGCCCGGCCTATCCCCTCGGAATGGTACCGCCGCCCCCAGGAGGGGGAGCAAGCGCCGGATCATTCGCAACCACGGCTAGTAGTGCTGGTCCTGCTGTTCCCCCACCTCCGAGCAGCGCAACTACCGTTACGGATCTCATCGACTTGTGAGATGGGCTGTCGGTTTGTACTTTGTGTAGGAACTGTCGATTCCTACTTTCTTCGCCAGGGGAGCCCGATGCAGGTCCTCCTCCCTGGTGTCGTGTGTGTGAGTCGACATGCAAGTGCGCTTACGTTGAAGATGATGTCCGGCTTCACGTAGAGTCACAGATCTGTGTAGGTATCGTAATGACGACACCAGACAAGACACACGTTAAAAGAAGTGTCTATTGCAGCTGGAGCATGTGCATGTTGCGCAAACAGAAAAGCCGCGAAGGTGGAATAGAAACTGAACAAGAGTCTTGATCTCAGATTGCCGAGGATCCCTCTTTGTTCCATTGTTTTATGTCATCTGCGCAAGGTGTTTGACCGAAAATTGGAGGAGGTCGCAAGAGTTTGAGTTGGGCTGTACCTCCGAGGATGTTTCACTAGTTTGTGCGTACAGGCACCGGCGCCATTTTCTCTTTTCTATGCGTGCCGCACAGCGCAAAACGAGAGTGCCCCGAGACAAGATCTGCCTACCTCGTTCGAAAAGGCGAGGCCTGTTCTTGAGCCAAACTTAGTCAATTACTTTGCAACCATGCCGAATACGAAGAACGCCGGGCGTCAGCCCAAGGTAAAGAAAAAGAAAGGCAGCGACAAGAAAACCGCAACAGCCGGAAGCGCCAGCTCCACTGCACCAGTGCACCAGAAAAAGAAGCAGACAGGAGGAAACACTGCAGGAGCGGCCGCTGTAGGCACTGGCTCTGCATCTTCGTCGTCCACTGCGTCTGTTGGAGCGAATTTCAGTTCGATTCAGCTTCCGGGACTTGAGCGAGATGCCATTCAGCTTCCGACCAAAGTAGTCAAAAAAGCTGAAAAAATCGCCAGTGATATGCTGGAATTCGCTTACTCGTGGGAGGGAGGCGGTATGTAAATTGAGATGCTGTAGTTAGACGTTTTTACGCTCTTTCCGCACCCTTGGCTTTGGCACGGTAAAAAGTTTGTATACCCTTGGCTTTGGCACGGTAAAGAGTGTTGCACGAAGTAGGTGACGAGGAGAAAAGTTTCTCTGCCATACACTCCAGACAAGAACTAGACCACGATCCATACAGGTTCTTCTCCCCTCGAGTCAAATAGTTGCTTTCATCAAATTTGAATACCATCGACGACTTATCAGGCACCTCCTTGGGAAACGCTTTGTGGGAGGACCATCTCTTTGCGCACATTGACGCAGTCCGGAAAGAAGGTCGGATGGCCATCATGAGCTTGCTCGCCGCTCCGCCGTCTGGGAAAAATTACTCGGAACTCAGTGCTGACGAAAAGGATGCGAGGGACGTAGAACGGGAAAAGGTAAGTAGATACTGTGAATACACCAAAGCACTTTTGATAATGTCCTTCTACCTGGCGCCGTGGGGTTTGTTTATCAAAAAGTCTTTACGACTACTATCCTTTTCTTGTGGCGCCATCTACCACAAGCATATCGACGGCAATATTATGAATTCTGATTTTTTGCATTTGCTCCATCCAGGTGGACCACTCGCAACTTGGATACTTGCTCGGCATTGCGTTATTCTTGGGGAGTGAAGACGGCCTCGCCCTTCTGGCGGACAATGACCTTTTAGAGGAGGACGAGGAGGCTGTGCAGGGGCTCTTCGACACCTTCGCCTTAATTTTGACACAGATTCTACGGATGGCCGGGTGCAGACAGGCCAACAGTAAAAGCGCCGAGGAGATGAACGTGGAGTGCTCCTCGTCCTCTTCTGCGCGGGCCCGCCAGCGCTTGGGGCTGCGTTCCGAGCAGGACGAACAGACCCTGCTTGCGTTTCTCTTCAAAGTGCAAAAGGAAATCATCGATGAGTTCGGGGAGGAAATCCTGCCCACGAAGATGGTTCAGAAAGTGGCGAAAGAAAAGAAGGACCAGCCCGTTCTTTTCGAACTTGTGGAAGTAGCACCCGATGAAGATGATGAAGATGGCAGCGACGACATGGTGCCGATTGACCCAGAAGAAATGGCTGCCGCCTTGGCCGACCCGAATGGTGGCTGCGCCCAGCAGTGAGAAGTCCGGATCGGGCTAGTCACACAGGGGGAACGCAGGACGAGCAGAGAACCACCAAGTGGCAGTAAGAAGTTCTTGTTCCACCAAAGAATAAAAACAGGGCAGAAGAAGTCTTCAGTCAGAATGTTGACCGCCGCCCGCGTCTCTCTTCTGATCCTTCTCTGCGTTCAATTTTGTTCTGTGTGACAAGTTGCAGTTGGGTAAAGATTTTGCTATTTTTTCGAGTGGAGCGGAATTTGATAGTACTTCAATTTATGCAGTTACTAAAACGTGCTGCGAATTTGTCGAGAAAAATCCAAAAACAGATCATAGCAAGTTCTTGCTCGGTGAAAAAATCAAGGCATTGGTCCCGACAACAAGAAAAGTCTGGGCACCCTGCATGCCAGGGTGCTGTTTGAACGGCGTTGCTACGTCTCAAAAGAGTATGAAAACAAAGATGATCGATCTGGTCTCTCTGTCGTCATCCGCCTCTTTGCCGCGCAGTCAAAGCAGTCCCATTCTATGGTAGTGTAATTCATCGGCTTCAACATCGTCGGCTTGCTCAGTGCGGTGGGGCCGTTATCTTCTGGAATAGTGATCGCGACGGGGACGTGTCCTCCGATTACCATGCCGAGGCTGCCATCGACCATCCCTGCGTTTTGTACAAGGGCACCCTCCTCAGTCCCCCACGGCCCGCGCCTGTGGTGCGTTACGTCCTCGCCTAAAGCGCAGCTCACCGCCGTGCTGGTGTTCCTCTCAACGTTTTTCCTGTCCGCGGTCGGTTCGGAATTTTCGGACACACACAATGAGGAGGTCGCTGTCGACCCGTCCGCTTCGATCAAAACGGAGCAGCGCATCGTGTTTGCGAGCAGTACTTTTACTTACGTCTCAAAATACCTATTTCATCTAGGATCTGATTCGTATGCAAACATGTTTCATGCATGACAAGGATATCATAATCAAACATAACCTTACAGCGGCCGACGGGTTGCGAGAGCAGGTCGAGGCTTTGCTCCACGAAAACAGGCTGCTCACCGCAAAACTCCGGAATCATGAGCAGACCTACCGACTACAAAAAGCTGGGGCGAACGATAAGAAAAAAGAACCGGCTCTTGCGTCTGTGACCGCCAGTACTTCTTCCGCTCCTACATCCTTCATTGAGTACATGGTCACGACTTCGAGCGGCAATACTACCCAACCAGCGGTGGAAGAATACCAAAACCAAGGAACGGGTTCATCCGCGAGTCCAGCTTTTTCGGCTGCGCAAAAAACTACGAATGGGAGAGAAGATGAAGAGGAAGAAGCGACTGAGGTGAGCAACCTCCTGGATTTATTGGTGCGCAACGAACAGATCCGGGTTGCGGCCGAGCTGCGGCTGGAGGAAGCGGCGTCTAAAAGAAAACTCGCGGAACACCGCGAGCGGGTGGCGCAGCGGGAACTGGACAACGTCGACCAGGTGAGCAAGGGCGTGGTGGACATGCTGATGCAGCAACTGAAGAAGACGACGAGCTTGTTCTTTTCCTGGCTGGAGGAAGCCGGAAACGATTTCGTCGACACGTTGATTACCCACATGATCCAAGAGTTCAACCTGCGGGACAAGAACGGAGATTTGGTCCTGGACAAGGGCGAATGCCCGAAGCCGCCGGATGGCGCCGACCTGAATGAGGATGACAAACTCACCCCGGTGGAAGCGCTGGCGTATTTGCTCCAAAACATTACGCAGGACGCGGGGAATGTGGTCCCGGGGGAGGCGACGACAAAGGACAAGGCGCAGTCGGGCCAGGGCAGTCTGTTGGAACTGGCCCAACATCAGAGTAGTTGGCGGACGTTTTGGTCTGATTGTTGGAGGAACAGCATGTGCGGCGTCGATGAGGCTGAGGCTTCCTTCGAAGAGGCTGGGGCTTCCTCCGAAACTGGCGAGACTGAGTCTTCCGTGGGAGATGTGCGGCGTCGAGAGTCTTTCTCCGATCTTTGCGGGATGTGCGGTTGTCCCGAGCGTCCCGACCGCAAAACCGAGATGGAAGAGCTGGAAGAATGGGACCGGCGAAGATACCGTCCGCCACCATATGGATATGAACCCTTTCCCCTTGACCCTATGGATGCTGGAGCGCGGTCAATGAGAATGAATTGAAACGGAGTGCGAAAAAACTGCAGCACCCTCATGTTTTATCCATCATGATTCGCGAGCAAAGAATTCTACTTACTTGTACCGGAGCGACTGTACTTGTCTTTTCCGAATAGATCAAAGACACTTGTTTTCTGCTGAATGACAGGGAGCAAAGAAAGGTTTGATCCGGGATGCTCGGACGCGGACCAGTGTGTTGCAGGTCGTCCTTGCTGAGCCGCTATTTGCCAATGGCAGTTGTAGTGTTGGCGGTTCTTTCTCGTCTGTTCTGCCTGCAATTGTTTGCAGCTTGTGCGGATAACGAAAGCACATGCCACAACTGTTGTAATGTCAGAGGGAACCAGGGACAGCACAGCGCAGAGCTGCACAGCTGTGGGAAGGGAAGAGGACGAGAGAGATACTGATACAGAACTCCACTGAAGATTGACCGTGGGAGCACGGCGGTGCAGATGAGGAAAACTACGAGTGTAAAAAAATATGCACCGGGCAAGCGCGGGAAAAAGTTTTTTTTATTGCTCTACAAAAAGAAACTGCCTGCCAGCGACGAAAGAAGTAGATCCAAGACCGAAGAGCGCGCTATTAACATGCGCAATATCAGAACAAGAATGACCCAACGTTGATATGGATATCTCTTGGTTCTCTCCTGCTCAAAAATACGTTCATCAGTTGGAACAAGCGCGGCCACCAGCAGCACGACGTGAGGACCCGAGCGTAAACACGGGATCGGCCCCCAGCCTTCCGCCAAGCGATTCAACCTCCCGTAGAGGCGCAACCATCATAAATTGCCTAGCACCGTAAAAAAACCCGGCATCGCCACTTCAAGATGGACCTGTTAAACGAAACCGCGCGCATCTATGGCGTTCTCAACTGTTACATTCTCAACTGTTACATGAATTTGTGATGCAAGAATGGCAAAAGTGATAGGAGAGATCTTGCGCGTCTTGCATGACAGATTTGGCGCCGATTATCGGCCTGCTTGGCCCTCTGAGAATTTGTCATGCGAAGCAGCTTGATGGTGTAGATTCTGTAGGCAATTCTGCATGACAAATCATGTAACAGTTGAGAATGTAACGTTTGAGAACGCCATAGCATCTGGGTGGAGAACCACCCGACACTCGGGTGGTGCGCGGCGCGCGTTGACGGGGTAGATGACGACGGCAACTACATCGCGGTAGACGAAGAGGTATGCATTGAAAAAGTATCGTACTAGTAAGACTAGCATTACAAATATTTCCAGAAGGAAAAATGAAATTTGTAATGCTGCATGAGCTAAGGAACCAGATTTGTCATGCATAACAGCAATTAAGAGTGCGATACTTTTGCGCTGCATAACAGGGGCAGCAGTTCAAGGTCCCCCAGGACAAAGCCACGAGCGTCGATCCCTCGTGTCTGAAGGGCGTCCAGGACTTGCTCACCCTGGGGGATTTCAACGAGGGCTGCCTGCTGCAGAATATCCGGCTGCGGTACTTCGAGGACAAGATCTACACGGGGATCGGCGCGCCCATTCTGGTGTCGCTGAATCCCTACCAGAAGCTGACGACGCTCTACTCACCCGAAACCATGGCAGAGTACCGCAGACTGTCTTCGGTATCATGCACTTTTTAGTTCTTGTTACAAGTGTTCTTCGTCATCGTCGTGTTTTTGCCGCTACTGCGGTTGAACATTTTTTCAGGTACAAATGGATTCATTCTACTAACTTAAACTCGTTTTACCATATCAATTGTACTCTTTGACGACCTTGTTGAGCATCCTGTTCACAAAAGATGCTGCGTTACTACATAGGTCCGCAAGCAAAACCGCGACCTGAGTGTGGCCCCGCATCTGTTCAGCGTTGCTTCGGAGTGTTACGACACGATGCTGGAGGAGCGGTTGAATCAGTCCATCATCATCACGGGCGAGTCGGGCGCAGGCAAAACTGAGGCGACAAAGCGGATTTTGAACTACGTCGCCAACATCCAGACACCAGCGTCCGCAACGGCAACTTCTGCTGGAACCACGGCAGCTTCATCGCCCGCGGTTGGCTCTTCCGCCTCGTCTTCCTCCACAGGAGGAGGCCCTGCGAGTTCTAGTTCTAAGCGGAGTATCGAAGACCAGGTGTTGAAGAGCAACCCGATTCTGGAGGCGTTTGGGAATGCCAAAACGGTCCGGAACGACAACAGTTCGCGTTTCGGCAAGTTCATCGAGATTCAGTTCGACGCGCAGGGCAAACTGCGGACGGCGAACATCCGGAACTACTTGCTGGAAAAGTGCCGTATGAAATGCAAATATGTCTGGGTCTGGATGAGTACAAGGTTTGTCATGCATATTTTCCATGCGTCGTGACGTGAACGTGATGTCTGTGATGCATGCCTAGCATCACAGATTCTGCGAGAGCTTTCTGATGCTCCTACCGCATGAGAAATGCCGTCTTTGCGTAGCAACAACTGGACCTCTTATTTTCCTGTTCATGCAAAAATACAGATTTTATGTAGAATCCAATGGCAGCATCACAAGTTGTTGCACCCTTCCATACCCAGACACATTTACATTTGATATGCCGGATCACAGCGCAACAGGCGAACGAGCGGAACTACCACGCCTTTTACTTTCTGCTCGCCGGGGCGCCGGAGAAACTGTTGGCGCAGCTGCATCTAACGTCCGAATCCGTGCCAGAGGATTTCGACTTCGTCTCCGTCTGCAGCGTCATCGAGGGTGCGGAATTCTCCGACGAGGAAGAATTTTTGAACGTGCAGGACTGCCTGCACCGGCTGAAGTTCAGCAAGGACGAGATCGAAACGCTGTGGAAGTGCTGCGCGGCGGTTCTGCTGCTGGGGAACGTGGATTTTCTGGAGACCCCGGTGGACGGCTCGGAGGACAACGTGGAGATTGCGGACCACGAGAGTGTCTGTCCGCCCATCTGCGACTTGCTCGGGATACAAGTGGACGCGTTGCGCGGGGTGCTGCGGTCGAAGAAGTTTTACGACCCGATCTCCAAGGCGATGTTCACGTCGCCGCTGCGGGTGGAGCAGGCAAAGCAGGTGAAGTTGTCGATCGCGAGAACGCTCTATTCCCGCATGTTCGACTGGATTGTCTCCCGGATAAACAGCAGCATGCAAGAGGAAAACAAAGCACAGGGAACGTCAAATTCTGGCGGTGCAGCGACTCCATCAGGTGGAAATCCAAGCGCCGCGGGCCGCGCGTCCGCCACTGGGAGCAGTTCGTCTACCGGTCGCGGGGCGGCAGCGAGGCAGGCCGCGCAGGATGCTAGCGGGCACAAGGTCGGGCTGCTGGACATCTACGGGTTCGAAGTGTTTGAATGGAACTCGTTCGAGCAGCTGTGCATCAATTTTGCGAACGAGAAGCTGCAGCAACACTTCAACAGTCACATGTTCCGCATGGAGCAGAAGCTGTACACGGAGGAAAACATCAACTGGAATCACATCACGTGTATGCATTGCAAAACTATCGTACTAGTATAAATCGCATGACAAATAAGTTTTCCAGAAGGAAAAATGGAATTTGTCATGCAGATTCAGGTAAGAGAGGAAGACTAGATCTGTAATGCAAGGCTGTCATTTATACGAGTGCGATACTTTTGCTGAGGATAACGTGGCTGGACAACCAGGAAGTAATCGACGCACTGGAGAAGAAGCCGAACGTATCAAAAGGAAAAATCCCCCCTCCCCATATCAAAACGGAAATCTGTGATGCAGATTTGTTGTCACAAATAAGGTTTGTCATGCTACACGGGAAAAGATGCGGAGGCGGACTGTAGTGCTGGGTGGCGTGGGGGAGCCTTGCATCTTCAGCATGATAGGAGGCAGCTGAGAGTGGGAAACAGCATGACAAATTGCCTGCAAACGAGACCACGACTGCGGCTCTTGGCCTTCTAGCGTGACAAGTCGATTTGGTACCTCAAATCCTGCATCACAGATTTCCATTTCGATATGGGGAGGGGGGATTTTTCCGTTTGATAGAACGGCGTGTTTCCCCACCTGGACAGCACGTGTCTCGGGCCGAACGCCACCGACGCCGCGTTTCTCCAGGCGTTGTACACGAAGCCGGCGAAGCCCAACATCATTTACAACCCCTCGAAGCAGAAAACGGACCTGTTCGGGGTCGCGCACTACGCCGGCGAGGTTTTGTATTCCGTCGACGGGTTTTTGGACAAGAATTATGAGAAACAGACGGACGAAGCGCTGGAAATTCTCCGGGAAAGCAAGAACGACCTGATAAAGAAGTTCATGGAGTTTTCCAGTTCTGGCACTGCTGGTGGAGCGGATAACTCCTCCTCTTCTGCTGCAACTTCTTCTGCCGGCGCAAGCAGATCCTCGACCGCGGGGCGCGGATCCGTCGGCATGCGCGGAAGCCGGTCGATGACGAGCGGGGCCCGGGGCAGCGCCAGTGCGACGGACAAAATCAAGGGCCCCCAGGGGACCGTGTCCAGCACGTTTCGCGAACAGCTGGACGCGCTGGTGGCGGACCTGAACAAAACGCATCCGCGTATCCTGCGTAAAAACGTACCCACACCATAGTCAAGATGGGGAATCGGCTAGACAAATCCACAAGTTTTGGCTGTTTAGCATGACAAATTTGGACTCGTATTGTAGTGCTGTTTGAGCTAGCTCAGGAGCATCACAGATCTAGCATACCATGCTGATTGGAGCATGACAAATTGCAAAACACGACTATAAAATGCTTCTCATGGGGCTCCGCATGAGAAACATTTTCAGCATGCATGTCCCTATTGATGGGTTTTATCTTTCTCTTCCTCAGGAATGTATGGATATATGTAGAAAAGAGGTAAATTTAAATGAAGAGAAAGATAAAAAAGAAAAAAGACTGATTGGACTCAGACAAGCTTCTTTGTTTTTCAGTGCCACTTGTTACACCCGGAATACGCTCAAGTGCCAACAGGGCGAGAGCCCTGCAAGACCGGGCGTCAAAATAAGTCCAGACGGGAAAAACGCCAAAGATACCCGCGCCTTCTGCTTAACTGTGTGAAATATTGTGTCGGCCCGGTTCTGCTCAGACAGGCTGGATCCCGTAGATCAGATTTCACATGTTAAGTAACGCACACCGGCCTCCTAGCAAAAAACTAATGATGAATTTATATGAGCAAAGTGATGAAGATAGAGCGCAGCGGCTTACTGCGCAGCGTCGGTTCGTGCACGTGTGTCGCCCTTCGTTCGTTGCTTCCAGGAGCATGATCGCAAATTCGTACGCTCCTCCTGCTTTGAAAAAAAAAATCCGATCTTCCCGTCTGCCCCCATCTTCCCATGTAGAGTTAGGTCTCTGCCCTTTTATTGCTTCTCTCGTGTAGATGTGTTGTTGTTTTACCTGACTCGCCTTCTTAGCGCTAGCCCGCGTAGCCCGCGTCCTTGCAGGGGCAGCTGTTTTTTTTCCGCCTTGCCAGCGGGTTTTGTCGCGGGGAAGAAAGCAATCTGGGTTCAACGGTCCCCGCCCCCCCATCATCGTGGGTTCGACGGCCCCCGCCCCAAAGGAGACCACTTAGAAATATTTTTTTTGTAGAGTGCAAATTTTCACTGCGATCAACCGTTCACCATCGGCTGAAGCTGCACATGCATCCGGAGTAGTTTTGAAAAATTAACTTTATTGCCCGCGGCTTACGGGTTTCGTCTAAAGGTTCTTCGTCAGGGTGCGCGGTTTCTATTATTGGCGTTCGGCTTGGTCGCACCCTATGGCTAGTATCTGAGATCAGAAGACCATTTATTTCGGGGGACAGTAGCGCGCGAAAAAAGTTCGTCGCGGGGGCACCCCGCATGGTTCGTTTTTATATGCTTTCCGCACCATGCATCGATGGCCGGGGGTTCGGTCGTGTTTCCCGCTGGGCTTTTCAAACGCGGGTTTGCAAAGCCCGTTTGCATAGGGCGTTCCCAGTATCCGCGTTTACATAGATCCCGGATATCGCCCCCTATGGGCAACTATCTCCCTAGACAGTGGCTCCTCCCTATCTTTACTACCGTCAGGTGCAGCGGCTTTCTGCACATAGCGCCTAGTCTCGACCCATATCGACCCCCCTTGCTATTCGTCCCACAGCATAGCAACGTCCGCCGCGGCTTACGGCTATAGACGTTAACTATATCGTGGGGATTTTCTATGCGTGTGTCCGGTCCGAGTTCGAAAAAGGGTTCAGGGGTGACCCCCCTGTATGCATGCGGATTTATGCTTCCGAAGGGTTTAGGGTTTTGATTTGTATGGACCAATGCGGCGCGCACATCGAGTTTCCTGGCAGTGTCGACCTGCTGTACACGGCGTAACCCCCGGCGGAAATAGACCGGAAAACGCATCTGAAACTGAAACTGAAACTATGAGAAAGAGGGGCCTAATCAAAAAAAAAAAAAGATTTGCATTACAAGTATGGGGTGGGTACGTTTTTACTCAGGATACCGCGGTACATCCGCTGCATCAAGCCCAACGCGAACAAGGCTATGACCTGCTCAAACGTTACAATCTCAAATCGGTTACCATAGAATCTGGAATTTGTGTTGCATGATGGGCATGACAGACTCGCACAGCGTTCCACCTTTTGCAATACAAATTTCGACAGAATGTAGTGGGCTTTCGAGACCCGGAACTTGTCATGCGCAACCCTATGAGAGTTGGCTGGATCATGCTCATCATGCAAGACAAATCTCAGATTCTATTGTAACGCTTGAGATTGTAACGCCTGAGCGGGTTATAAAGGCGGCGCACGACTTTGACTCGATCGACGTGTTGCGGCAGTTGCGGTGCGCGGGAATGCTGGAAGCAATACGGATTCGGCGCGCGGGGTACAGTGTGCGTCGACCGTTTCGGGAGTTTCTCATGAAGTACGGCCGCCTGCATGCGCAGTTGAAGGTATAGCTTTAGAGACGACGTGGAGCTGATTTGTGTACTAAGTTGTGATTCAGTTTCTGTGTTAGTTTGTCTCTGTACTAAATGAAAAATAGTAAATTTCCCGATCCACCATTGCATGGAGCACGAAAAAGAACTCGAAAAAATCGAGGTCAAAGGCGCAAGCGAGGCGGACCACAAGGGCCTGTGTACGAAGCTTCTGGAATATCTCGAGACCAAGCTGAACACCAAGGAAAAGATTGGCGAACACAGCTGGCAGATCGGGCGGAGCAAGGTTTTTTTAAAGGAAGATTTGCAGAAGCTGCTCGAATCAGAGCTGAACGCGGTGATAACGGAGTTCTGCGTGAGAATTTCCAAGATGTACCGCGGCTACGCCTGCCGATCGAAATATCGAAAGCAGCGAAAAGCCGCGGTCGACATCCAGGCCTTCTGCAAGTGCCTACTCGCCGTCCGGCGGTGTCAAGCAGAGCTGCAGAAGAAGCGCGCAGCGACAAAGCTGCAGGCGAAGGCCAGGGGCTGGAAGGAAAGACGGATTTTTTCAAAGACCAAGAAGTCGATCCTGCAGGTGCAAACGCGTTGGCGGGGCGTGCTGGTCCGGATTCATCTTGGTGACTTTCGCACGCTGAAAGACAAGCGCGACGCCGAGCGAGCGAGACAGAAGATCCAGCGACAGCAGGAAGACGCAGAAAGAAAAGCCTTGCAGGAGAAGGTTCGAGAACAAGAATTGCAGCTGGAAGAATCGAAGAAACAAGCCACACTAGAGGCAGAAGAAAGGATAAAAAAAGAAGCGGAGCAACGGGAGAAGCTGGAGAAGGTAAAGATTTCTTTACGATTCCAAGTTTTTTTTCTGGCTTTCCTGAACGTGCGCTCGGCCTGTCATTGCTGACTTGCATTCATAAGTACTTTCTTCTAGTCTCTTGCCCACTAATGAAAAGTTCCCCGAGTAAATGGACACTTGCCGATCCGAATTCCAAAAATTTCAAACAAAACAGGAAAAGCAACTTGCAGCGGATCGAAAGCGGCAAGAGCAGGAACAAGCTGCCGCTGCGAAACTGCTTGAAGAGAAAAAGGCTTTCGAGGAACAGGAAGCGCAGCGGAAGAGAGAGTTCGAGAAGGAGCGCGAGAAGCTGAAACAGGAGCAGGCCAAACTCCGGGAGGAGCGCTCCGCCGCGGAAAAAGAGACCGGCTCGACGATTCGGCAGCTGCAGGGTGAAGTCACACGACTACAGGCGGATCTAGAGTTTTCGCAGGAGACTTCGGAGAAGTACAGGAAAGACGCGGCGATGTACCGGGAGGAAATGGAGAAAGCCGCGGATGTGGCGACCACGAACAGTAAGAAGCAACAAGAAGAGTTGAAAGACGTTCGTCGGCAGCTCGTCGACCTGCGGGACCAGGTGCGCACTTTGGACGACGAGAAGCAGCGAAAAACCGAGGAAGCCGCGAACGCGCAGCTCATGCTGGAGGCGAAAGAGACGGAACTGCAGCTGAGCTCGACGGAGCTCCGGAAACTCACCCAGGAACAGGGTAGCAAAGAGCAGCGAATCACGGAACTGGAAGACGAACTGACGCAGCAAAGTAACTCCGCAGACGACAAAGTCCGCGATTTGGAGCGGGCTTTGGAGGAGGCGAAGTTCAACAACGAGACGTTGGAACGCAGTAAAAAGACCCTGCAGGAGCTTTGCAGCACCAACGCGGACGAAAGTCGCAGCAGGATCGCGGATCTGGAGGCCGCGGTAAGGAAATTGAAAAACGAAATTGACGACGCGAACAAAGCCCGCGACGACATGCAGATCGAACTGGAGTTCAACCAGAAAAAACTCGAAGACTTGCGAGAAAAGCTCCTCGCGCAGGCCACCGCCCCGACGGCCGCGAAGCAGGACACAACCACTGTGACGACCGGCAGCGGCGGGAAATCCTCACCGGAGAACGACGAGTCCCGGCCGACCATCGCGAACCACATGGAATTTTTGGCCATGTTGGAGAAGGACAAAAAGAGCATCGAAGTTGGGGAAGTCGTGCTTGAGGAAGAGGACGGTACGCCGGCATCCGCTGCCTCGGGAACCACGGACCAGGCCATGCTGCGGAAGCAATTGCAGGAACGGAACCGGAAGCTGGCGGAACATCACGCAGCCTACACGGATCTGAAAGCGGAGTACGACATTAAGCGCGAGGAGAATCGAAGGTATAGAAGTAGTTCGAAAAAATTTCATGTAGGACATCAAGTTCGGGCCTGCAAGAAAATTCTTACAGTTCTGAGGGAGCCGCGACTCTATGTCGTAAGTCGAGCGTTATTGATTCAAACGAATCACTCAGGTACGTCAACGAACTCGCCCAACTCCGCAACGGGAAAGCGCAGTTGGAAATGAAGCTTTCTGGCATGGTCAGTGGCGACGAGATGAAGGCCTTGAGAGCGGAGAAAACTGACCTCGACGCGGCCAACGCCCGACTAACTTTCTCCGTCACGAATTTGGAAAAGCAAAAGGCCTTTTGCGAAACGAAAATCGAGAAACTGGAAGAGGAAATCGAGGAAAAGCGGAAAGCCAACAAGGAGCTGGCAAACAAACTCCAATTGGCACAATTAAAAATGGCCAACAGCGAGGCTGACGCCGCTTCCCCCTCGGAAACTGGACCCCACGGGTCCTCCTCCTCTTCGGCGACCCACCAGGACGCGCTCACCGAGCGGGCCGACCGCGCGGAACGGGGGTACCAGGAGATGAAGAAGGTAAATCAGCAGTTTCGCGAGCAACTAGAGTTGCAAATGAAGGACCTGCGAACGAAAAACGAGGAATTACGAGCCGTGCGCCTCGAAAAGATCCGCTTGCAGCGCGACACCGAGGAGGCGCAAGCGGAACTGCAGGGGGCACAGGAGGAACGGGATAAGCTGGAGGGGACGAACAAATACTACCTGGCGAAAGTGAACGAGCAGCGGGAGGAGCTCAGCAAAATTCGGCAGGAAAACAAGATGATGCAAAATGAACGACTGTCGGAAAAGTTGGAATACGAGAAGAAATCGTTACTCGTGGACCAACTGAAGGCGCGGAACGAGGAGCTCGTGTTAGAAACCTCGCAGCGCGGGACCGACATACTAGCGAAAACGCTGGGCGGCGGAACGTGAGACGCCCGGAATTTTTGCGGTTTCACAATAAATAAAACCCAAATGAATTGCAGAAAACCCGTTTCTATACGTATAGCTCATCTCACTACTACAGAAGTTTCAATACGCAAAAGTGCGCGGATATCCCTTTGTATGATTGATACAAGACCTTCGAACTGAAGGTGGGACACCAGCACAAGCTCTGCGCTTACTTAGTTTCAAAACGAAGAGAAAGCCGATCAGCCTGCTGGTCGTGGTTTTGTTGAGGGATGTGACCTCCTTTATGTGAAAAGTGGCCTAGAAGTGTTCGTGTTGATGTTGATACTTACATACCTCGTTCCATTCGCAAAAGGTCCAAACATAGAGAAGCTCGAGTGGATTTTTCACAGCCGGTCCAAACTTGTTGATGGAGCATCGCAAAACTGATCAAAAAAGCACCTCTTTGGAATAAGTAGCCACCACAAAGTCAAAGCAAAGCACTGGCTGTACTTACGGAGTTTTGTTACTCTAACTTCTACAACACTTCTGCTAACTTTCAAAACGATCAAGGATCTTCAGTGTCGTATTCTTTGCTTGCGAGATCGAACGGCACAGACATCATCATCATAAGCATTCCAACAAAGGTCATTTTCGCGCTTGGAAGCGATACTTACAACGAAGTCTCTTGACGTGGTTTCCCTGGAATTCGTTCATACAACTTCTGGTGTAATTTTTTCACATTCAATGGCAATCGCGGTGCTGAACAACGACCGTGCGGCGGCCGGCAACAGTACGCAAAAGGAGGACGTCGTCTTCCGCGTCGCCTTGCTCGGAAATGTTTCCGCCGGAAAAACGACTCTCATCAACGCACTGCTTCGCGATCGTTACGGAGAAGTCTCGAAAAAGCGCTGCACTGCGGGGATCAACTTTTTCCACCTGGACCTGCTGGCAGGACAATCGCAATCGCCAAATGCGGACGCCGGCGCTGCAGCGCCCTCGGGTCGTGGAGCGGCCTCCTCCTCTGCACGCGGCACAGGAGGAGCAGGCCACAGCTTGTCGCTCGAGGACGAGCTTGACCAGATTGACGTGCAGTTAATTCACCAGAAAATCACCCAGGCAAACGAAGTGCTGCGGGCAGACCCGAAAATTGAAGAGAAGCACTTTCATGTTTCTACAACCGAGCCCCTGGTTACCGTCGATGCAGACTTGCGATCGCGGGCGTCCTCGGTGAAACTGGTGCTCATTGACGTGCCAGGGTTAAACGAACAGGGCAGTGCAGAAACGTACAAAAAATATGTGCGGGAGGAACTTTTTCCGACTCTGGACAAGGTCATCGTCGTGATGGACGTCGACCAGGGAGTGAACTCGACGGAACAAGTTGGGTTGCTCAACTTCGTGCAGGAATGTATCCGAAGTGTCTCGGCAGTTACACACCATTGGAATAACCCCCTGGTCATCGTCAACAAGGTGGACGATCCTGCAGATGCGGTGCACGACGAGACGAAAAGCATGATCCAGGAAATCGAAGCCGAAGTGGCAAAAATTTTCGGGGACTACACAGCGCTGCACCGGTGCATTCCTCTTTCTGCTGAGCTCGGCTGTATCTACAGAGTTGCCGCCGGCCTCAACTTGCAAGATTTTAAAAAGTCTGCTGTCTGCCAGGATGAAAGGTAAAAATTTTCGAGTGCTGTACTTACGTCGATTCGTAGCGGTCGTGGCAGGCATCCAGTCAGTAACTGCATCTGATGAAGACGATCATGTCACGAATGAAGAATGAATGCTTTCTGATCAACAGCAGTGCGCTACGAGCAACAGAAATTTCCTGAAAAGGTATCTAAACAAGATCGGACCACTCGAAATTGGTGTAGCGAAGTGGCGAAAACTGATGAAAGACAAGAAAATCGTCGAGGTGCACAAGATTCTCAGCGACAGGAGCGAGTCGAGGCAGCGGCTGAAAGATGCGAATTTCCTTGCGTTAAGTGATATGCTGGAGCACGACCTAGGAGCAGACGCGCAAAAAGGTTTACTGCAACGACAGGTCGACTACAAGCTTGGAACACTTTCGCACAGTCATACTCGACCTGATCGCGCCGTTGCGAACCTGTTGGAATGCGTGCAATCCAGGCGGGTGGTCGACACGCCATTGTCCAACTTGGAAGTGAAGGGGGCATTCAAAACCTGTTGGAACGAGCTGCGGAAAGACGCGCTGCAGGAGCTTGAAGAACAGCGAAAGACCGAAAAACTCATCCTCTGCATCAAGCAGCTCGAAGAGTTCGGAGACGAAAGGTACCTGCGCAAGTTGTTTGCCTCGGATGGAGCAGCAGCTTCCGACATGCAAGCCGTTGTTGCCGCTACGCGCGCAGAGTTGCGTCAATGGATCATTGATCTGCTCAAGGCCAAGCTTGTCATCTTGGAGAACGTTACGCAGAAGATAGCGCACAACGCATCTTCCCCCCACATAAACGGGAAGATTCCGGAGACCATACCAGAAGGGTGGGCGAGTTGCGATTTTTCAGCGTCCGTTTTTCGTCTCGCAAACCTGATCCGGTCAACTCGCCTTGCAGACGGGGCTTCAAACGGAGCGCTTTCGAAGTTCTGCGGAACCGTGGTCGTCCGTATGGATCGCCTTTGCAGCAATTTGGAAACTTTCCAAGCAATCCGCAGAAACATGACTAACGGAAACACGACGACCCCAACACAATCCCATCCTTATGGCGTTCTGCCGTGGGCGTCGGGAACATATGATCCGAATGCCTACGAGTGGTCCGCCAGTAAATGGCCCTTTCCGGAACCCACAGCTTGGGGAGCGGCAGATGTTGGTGTCGCGGGTTGCAGAGAAGCCCAAATTGAAGACATTCACGACGACATTACCGACCCGCGTCACTGGGGGCACTTCGAGTACCGTTGCGGGACATTGTTGCAGAAGATCTGCTCCTCGAGTAGCAGTGCTGGGTATCTAGACGAGCCTGATTCTGAGCCGACCGGAGGCGGTGCCAGCTCTGCTTCTGGCCCAGGAGCAAAGCGACGCCGCATCGGCTGAAAACAGTGCCTCGCAAGAATTAGCTCGCTTTTAATGCAATAGCGAGCACATTTACACCAGAAGTAGCTCGCTTTCAATCCAATCCCGAGCAGATTTACAAGTCGGTTCCAGATTCCTGGGTTGAAAAGATTCTGACTGACAATAGCAATTGGTAGCGTGGTCGTCATCCGCAAGATGGCTCAACAAAAAATGTGACAGATTTACTTATCGTCAAATACATTCTGCGGGACCGGGAACGGGATTTTCTACGTGTTCCCAACATCGTTCTTCAGCACTTGTTCTTCCTGAAAAAATAGGCCTTTGCACCAACCCGCAAGAGTCAACAGTACGTGGATATGATGTGAGAGTTCGAAAGAGAGAGAGACAAAGATCGCACGACTAGCACAGCCTCCCTGGTCACTGTGATATCAACAGGACAACAGCTCTCTGAAGCAGTGCGATGCCGTGCCGATACGAACTTGTAAATTACATCAAAAAAAACTGAAATCGAATCCATCACTTAGGCTACATACTAGCCACAGGCCGGCAGTACCTGCGGTCCCGAAGCCTAGGCAAGATGTCCACCTACCGCAGCCTGTGCTCCCTGTCTGCCTTCCTCGCATGTGTCTACTCTCCAGTCTCGCCGGCACTTGCGCTTAGCCTCTTGAAGAAGAGCCTGCTGCGTAAAAACAAGAGGCTCCAGCAGCACAAGCATAAAAGCAAAAATAAGCATAAATCCGACCTCGAACCCCAACCCGGCGATGAAGAATTTGACAAGAACGACCCGAACAGTTACCGGTCTCTCACCTCCGCCGAGACCACCTTCCGCAAGAAGAGCGCGTGCGCCGCGGACTATGTGCGGACCTTCTACAACCCACTACCGTCCGGCTTTCGCATCGCGGAGGCCGAGCGCAGCCAGGTTGACAGCCTCGGTGGGGACAGCACCTACGGCGAGATTCTCCCGGACTCCCTGGCGCAAATCCTGTGGTTGATGCACATCGGCCCGGATGACGTCTTCTACGACTTGGGCTCCGGGATCGGGAAAACGGTGATTCAGGCCGCGATGACCACCCCCGCAAAGAAAGTCGTTGGTGTGGAAGTCGCGGACTCGCGGTTTTCGGTTGCGGAAAAGGCCCTGCAGACCCTGAAGAAGGACGTGGCGCAGCGCACCAAGGACGAGCAGATCGTGGCGCTCCAGCAGCAACTCGCGGTGCTGAAAGCCACCGGCGTGTCGGAAGACGAAAGAAACAAAGCCGCCAATGGAAATGCCATGCCCATGGCCTCCGAGGTGACGGACCAGCTCACCGCGGCGGGGAAGCGAAACGACGCGAACGCGGCCAAATGCGGGTACGTGAAGGACAACGACCTGCTACGGGGGACGAAGCCGGTCGCGTTCGCGAACCTGGGCGGGTCGGGCGCGACCGAGCAGTTCTCCATGTACAGCGGGGCGACGGAGAAGAACATGGACAAGGTGAAATTTTTGAACGAAGACTTCACGAAGGTGAACATGCAAGACGCCACGGTGATTTTCTCCGCCACGGTTTTGTACCAGCCCGCACTGCTGGCGAAGATCTGCAACAACCTCGGCCCGAACGTGAAGCAGTTTGCGTCCATGTCGGTGTTGGAATTGGTGCCCGAGTGCGACCGGCGACTGTGTTTGCTGTACCACACGGAGCTGCCGATGAGCTGGGGCGACACCCCGGTCCGGGTCTACCGCATGAAGCAATCGAAAACGTACGGCGACAAATTTTGCAAAACGTCGCACGTGGCCGGGCCGGGCGGAATCTTGATGCAGATGCCGGAAAGCGATCCGATCCCGGTCAGCTATTGGGGCGGGAAACACTCTGCGGAGTTTGTGCAACAGGAGAAGATGCTGGAGCGGGAAGCATACCCCTCGTGAGAAATAAAGCCTGCGGGTACTATTGCTGAAATAAAAAGCGTTCATCGAAAAAGTAGAAGTCGCTTTGCAAAAAAGTAAAGGAATTTGAGTCGGACAAGAGTTCGAACTTTTTGAAATTTCGTCAATCGTCCAAGACGAGAAGGAGAATCATGAAGAACACATTTTTAAACAAGAAACATGGCGAAGATCGGATGGAAAACAAAATTTAGGTTCGAACAAAACCACAGAATCTCAGAGCAACCATCATACATCACGACGAAAACTAATTTCTCAAAAATTTCACTTACCATCCGATGGATAACATTCATCAGGCAATTCGAATCGACACATGATGACCATGACCGAAAAAATCTTCGAATGGATCCATCATAATGATTTCATTTTCGGATGGAAATTTTTCTTCATCATGATAATTTCTTATATAATTGATGTCATCATCCATTTCTTTCTTTCTTGTCATGGATGAGATAATATTCTAAGATGGATCAATTTCATTCTCATCATCAGAATAGGAAAAAAATGATGAAGAATATCATCTTATTGTATTTCGAGATGTCATTCTTTCATCCATACATCCATATTTGTGTCTTTCATCTTGATTCAATTCTGGATCTCATATTATTCATTCATCCATAGGATATATTTCTGTCAAAAATTTCTGAATCTTTGAAAATTCAAAATAGATGATATTCATCGAAGAAATTTTGTATTGATTTCGAGAATGCAAGATCTATAACTCCTATTGCTGAGCTGCGGAAGTTAAAATTTTGCGCCGGGAAAGAAAATCGCCCACGTCGATTTTTTTTTTGCATCAACGGGATCGGCCCCCAGTGTCATCAAAAGCAAAAAAATCATGATCCCCGAAAAAAAATTAAAAAAAAGCGGTGGCGCCCTGTTTTTCCTGCGCCCGGGGTAGTCTGGGGCGTTTTCTTCGTTCGTCCCTTGGCCCGAAGGATCCCGGAGGTCGGCGTCTTCCTTGGGAGTTCTCCGGTCGTTGGTGTTTGTTTTTTTATGCGACAAAAAATCTCAAAAATCCGGCGCCTGAAAAAACCAATGGGATTTTGCCTGTATGAGAAAAAAAGCCGCGAATTAATCTTGCGACAAAAAATTTCGGGCAGTTTTCTCTTGGTTCAAATTCCCATTGGTTTTTACAGGGCCGGTTTTTATGCGACAAAAAATCCGGCTTCGATATGCCATGGGGGTGTCGACCCCCTGTCGACCCCCTGTCGCAAAATTAATTTAATTTTGCCCGCTTCTCATGTTTTGCGTGTGATTTTGGGTGGTCTGGTGTTTTTGCGTCTCGGGGTCGGCGTCTTCAACACACCCAATTTGGATTTTTTGTCGCATCGGTGTCGCAAAATTAATTATTTTTTGTCGCAAAATTAATTCCCGACTCTTTTTTCTTTATGGGGCTGGCAGGATATTTAGGCCGGGTCCACCCCGCAGCAGTGTGTGGACTCCAGGGCACACGCCCCCACAGGGCTCATTGGTGTGGAGTTCTAGCGGGGCGTGGCAGGCCATCCCATCTTTCTTGTGTTTGCGAATTCGTGTCCTGATTGCCTGACCACATTGAAAGGGGTGCTTGGGTGTGGGATTTCCCTTGTTGCTTTCGCTTCCAGCTTTCCCTGCCTTGTTGGATGGTTCAAATTTTTTTCAAAAAATTTTTTTTGGAAAAAGAGCACGGGAGTTATGATTTTTTTTCCGCCGAGCCCACTGGGGCCCGATCCCGTTGATTTGCAATTTGCGAACTTTCAAAAGCTCGCGCGATTTGGGAAGTCGCCCAACGCCCAACAACGCCCAACAACGGCCAACGAAATACTTTGCAATCCCCACGGCCGACGGCCAACGAAATACTTTGCAATCCCCGAAATATTTTGCAACAATATTTTGCAATCCCCGAAATGTTTTGCAATCCCCGTAATATTTTGCAATCCCCGAAATATTTTGCAATCCCCGAAATATTTTGCAATCCCCGAAATATTTTGCAATCCCCGAAATATTTTGCAATCCCCAAAATATTTTACAATCCCCAAAATATTTTATTGCAATGCCCAAAATATTTTGCAATCCCCAAAATATTTCGCAATCGGGAAGCACAAGGAAGCAGGGGAAAAGCGGAAAGCAGGGGGAAAGCGGGAAGCAGGGGAAAAGCGGGAAGCACGGGGAAAGTGGGAAGCGTGGGGGAAGCGGGAAGCATGCACGGGGAAGGCGTGCGGCAAGCACGGGGAAAGCGGGGCGCAAGGGGAAAACAAGACGCACGGGGAAAGCGGGAAACATCGGCCCGCGGGGAAAGCCGCGCCCTAGCACCAGGCGAACAGCTGCCCACCACCCTCCCCCGGCGCCCTCCCTCATCTGTTCACGAGAACACTGGCAGAGGGCGCCGCCGTCCGCCGCCTCTTGGGGGCAAGCACAGGAAAAGCGACCGACCCGAGAGCACGGGGAAAGCGGGCGGGAAGCACGGGGAAGGCGGGAAACACGAGGAAAGCGGGGGGCACGGGGAAAATGAGCACGGGGAAAGCGTGAAGCACGGGGAAAGCGGGAAACATCGGCCCACGGGGAAAGCCGCGCCCTAGCGCCAGGCGAACAGCTGCCCACCCAGCACCCTCCCCCGGCGCCCTCCCTCTGTTCACGAGAACACTGGCAGACGGCGCCGCCGTCCGCCGCCTCTTGGGGGCAAGCACGGGAAAAGCGACCGACCCGAGAGCACGGGGAAAGCGGGCGGGAAGCACGGGGAAGGCGGGGAACACGAGGAAAGCAGGGAGCACGGGGAAAATGAGAAGCACGGGGGAAGCGGGAAACGCGAGGAAAGCGGGGAGCATGGGGGAACCACGGGGAAAATGAAAAGCACGGGGAAAGCGGGGGGCACGGGGAAAACGGGAAACACGGGGAAAGCGGGAAGCACGGGGAAAGCGGGANCGGAACGAGATCCGGAGGCAGAGCAACCGGGCGCCCTGTCACTCGCCCCAAGTAACTTGCAAGGCCAGGCAGGTTATGATGGGCCCTACTGATAAGAAATTTCGTCTATTTTTCTCCGATTTTTTTGAAATTTTTTTTTTTGAAAATTTTTTGGAATTTTTCGTTTAGATTTTCACTGAAAAGTTTTTTGCTATACAGGGTGTGAGGGCCATTTCTATACCGATTTCGCCTGCTCAGCTCGATTTTCAAGTCGAAAATCGACTAGCAGGCTGCTTCGACCTGTTTTAGGTCCTCTTTGTTCTATTCTGGGGCTGTTAGGGCGCTTGGCCCAACGGTTAAGGCCCCTAGGTCGTCGTCGACACCCGATTTCGATCACTTTTATCATAGGTTCGAATCCCGATGGTATCGTCGATTCGAACCTAGGTGATCGCTTTCGATTTCACATCATCGATCGCGAATTCCCATGCTGTGGTCACCGCACAATGCGAAACAGCACGGAATCCGCCTCGATCGATGAGAGGATGCGAACTCGACGCGCGTGATCGTCTTCTCTCGCTCGGCCTATTGGCCGAGCGGTTAAGGCCCCCGGTTGTTTGTCCCAGTCCCTTTTCACCCTTCATCGACCTCGGGTTCGATTCCCGAAGACGGTGATTTTTTGCGCAGTGTAGTGCGGTCAAGAAAAGCACTAAGAAACCGCGGAGCCACAGCGTCGTGGTGCGACAGCTCTATGCTCCGTGGTCGGCGCAAAAAAAGCTATCGTGTTTGATACGATGCTTCCGGCCTGTTCTTACTCGCTCGGCCATTTGGCCGAGCGGTAAAGGCACCTAGTTGTTACTTCGAGTCCCTTTTCACCCTTCATGGGATGACGAGGTAGAAGTAACAATTGTCACCGCGATCACCATATCAAACACGACGGGGAGAACCGGAAAAGTAGGAGGGGAGAAGCGTGTTCTTTTTCTATTTGATCACTGTGGTCGAATAGTAAAAGAAACAACACACGACCCGCGGCTGTTGCTGCTATGTGAATACTAGGCTTTTTTCCTCGGCCATACCGCCGAGCGGTGTCTGCCTTTCCTCCGTGATCGCAAACACTTTTTCCGATCTGCCAGGCGACACACAGATCGGCACTCGGCCGCACATTGACAGCAGCGGCTGTCGTAAAGGTTGGGACTCGTAACCTTGCGATGCGAAAATTTGTCATGCAAAAACTTCTGTTTTTGCATGACAAATATTAGATCGCAGGTTGCAGCGATCCCAACCCGATCGCGGAAGCCGCTGCATAGTGCGGCTGCGAGGGTTTCGGAGTTGCGGAAGGGTTCGTAAGTACTCCGCTTTACAGCCCTGTATAGCAGAAAAGTTTTCAAGGAAAAGACGAAGACCGGGCGGAAGAGCACATCAAGGTAAGAAAATAAGATGTCGGCGTGATGATTTTGAAGCCCGGAAGGTCAGCGGAGCACCGGCGGAGATGATTATGAAAAAAACGTGACTAGTAGCTATGCGGTCTGTATTGTGTAGCTCTATCGTGCTACGTGTTTGTTTTTTTTCGATAGTTGCTACGTTTTTTTACCACGATGCGGTTGTTTTTTGTTCTGAAAAAATGAGAGGTTTTTGTTTATTTCAGGAGCGGATGGCGGAGCGACGGTTGTTTTCAAGTTCTGAAATAGCAGTGCCTCTACCGGTGAAGACGAAGATCGTCAGGCGGACGACCCGGGGCGGGGCAACGCGCTAAACGACCGCTATATTCTGGCTAAATTGAAAAGCCGGAAGCGCACGGACCCAATGCCCGCGGGCGCGCTTCCGGGCGTGGAACCAAAAGAAGGCGCGCGCCCTTGCGATCGCGGGCTCCGGCCCATCCCTCCGTAGGCGGCGGAAGCGAACGGGCCGGGCCATCCGGGGCCCGCACTGCGGCCGCGGCACGGCTTCGGAGCGTCCCCGGCCCGCGCGCGACGGGCCCGACCCCGCGGGCCCGGTATTGCAAATGCCGCGTGGCCGGCCAGCCTCACGCGCAGGCCTTTTCGGGAAACGCCGGAGATATCTAGCGGGCCTCCGGCTAAATGCTCTGCTAAATTGCCTCCGGCCTCGCTAATTCGCGGCCGCTTTTCGGCTCGGGAGGCCAAAAAAAATCCATCTAAATATCCATCTAAGTATCCATCTAAGTGCTCTGCTAAATTGGGTCCCCCGGGAGGGGGCCGGAGGGCCCGAGGGGGCCCCGGGGCCAAAATCCTTCCCGTTTTCCCAGTGTCCAACATTTAGCCGGATACTTAGCCGGATACTTAGCCAGAATTTAGCTGGAATTTAGCGGAGCACTTAGCTGGATACTTAGCTGAATTTCTTTTGGGAATTAGCTCCAATTTAGCCGGATTTTAGCCGGAT